CCATTCGATCCTGATGCGAACCGTCGCAAATTGCCTGATAAGTTGCCATCAATGAAACCTACTGATAGGAACTTTGTGAGCGACCCCATTGACTACCTAACGGAAATCGAGACAATCCTGCTCAGTAATAACTACCCGCTACAGTTCTGGGGCGCACGTGCCATTCTGGTTGGCCTGAAACCCACGACACAGCGCAGGTTCCTCGATGCCTTACGGACTAACCCGGCACGCTCATGGGATGATACTAAACTGCGACTGCTAGAGACATCCCCGACAATGCTGACACCCACATATGCACAGGAGGTCATCAGACAGCTACGATTGGACATTTACCAGCCATTCGCTGATTTCATTGATGAATTTGAGAAACTGCGCCTGACAGCATTATACCGTGCTTCGCAACCAGGCACCATTCAGCTCTTCTTGGAGGCCCTACCATTGCAGCTACGTGGACTAACACTCAACTTTATGAATGCCCGACCCGCTGATGCCCAGGACCTCTCACAGATCTACAAGTTTGTCATGGAGTCCGAGACCGACTTTGCTCTTATGCTTGGACATGGACGCGCTGGCCAGGAATGGAAGCAGCGTCACACATACCAGTCCACGTATATGACCCAGTACAAACAAAACCAAGGTCGGATTGGCCAGCATATGCCGACCCCAGAACAGAGTGCCGCAGCAAGGACGCCCCGCCCAAATGCACCCAATCGCACCAGGACCACTAACCAGCGACCTCGCAATGACCCGACGACACCCAGGCATGTACATGTAAAGCACATGGACATCAGCACTAGCGAGACTCTACGGACAGATTCTGGCGATGACCTGGATGATAACGAGTCAGATGTGGGCGATACAGAGGCACAGGAGGATTATGTGGACTATGCCAGCGACGACGACTCCATCGACCTGTTCATGATTGATGTTGAAGTAGCTACAGCGGATAGGGTAACACCTCCATTGCCAACTATAACCAAGCTGGATCCATATATCATCCCCATCACACTAGTAGGGCATTCAGCACAGGTCCACACACAGGGTTTACTTGACACAGGCGCACGACATACATGCATCACGAGAGCACTAGCGGAAGAGCTGTCCTGTGAGATTGCCCCAGCCAGTGGCACCATCGTTTTGGCTGTGGCCGAGTCAAGTGTTCCACGACTCGGCACTACCAATATCACACTGCAGACAACTCAGCATACCATCGCACTCATGGTCGAGGTCCTACCAGGCTCCTGCTCACCACCAGTCATTATCAGCCGGGATGTTATCAGTACCTATGGATTACAGGAGCTGATGGCGGTCACAAAGGACAGAGGCGACCACCCGCTGATAGCATCAGAATTACCAGACATTCCGGATCCAGAACCGATGCCGCTCTCTGAGACTGCTGTCAAAGTCAAAGCTGCACTCGCTAATGAACTGGAGGCCAATGCTAGGTTCGATCGGTCACAACCGTGCCCACTACCTGATGCAGTGGTACATATACCGACGACTGTCAACCCACACAACCAGCGACGGCAGCCACGCTTTGCACCAGCCGAATCGGCAATTTGTGATGCGCAGGTGACAGCATGGTTAACAGATAGGGTCATTGTCCAAGCACCACCCGGATGCACCTCCAACTCGATGCTGTTCCTCGTGCCGAAGAAGGACCTGCAGGGGCGATTGACGGGAAAACGTGGAGTTGTTGATTTCAGGGCATTGAACCAGCTAACACGTGACGATGTGTTCCCACTGCCCACACCACAGGAGATCTTTCAAGATCTGGCAGGCAGTACATTGTTCACCACCCTTGACTTGACACAGGCATATCATCGTTTCCCTGTCGCTGAGGCTGACCAGCCAAAAACGGCGTTCACTTGGGCCGGTGAGCAGTATGTATTCGCACGAGCACCTTTTGGGTTAAAGAACTTGCCAGCCCAATTTCAGCGCGTCATTTCACGGTTATTGCGCAGATGCACATTCGCACGTGCATATATTGACGATATCGTTATATTCTCACCAGACCTTACATCTCACATTGATCATGTGCGTCAGGTGGTAGCATTACTCACATCGGCACTACTACCACTGAACATTGACAAGTGTCATTTTGCCCAGCAGTCGGTCAAACTTCTTGGTTTCATAGTCTCTGGTGACGGCCGCAAATCTGACCCAAACCGTGTTCAAGCGTTACTTGATTGGCCGTTGCCAACGACGCGCACAGAGCTACGTTCATTTTTGGGCACTGTCAACTATATCCGTGAGCATATACCATTCTTGCACCGACTTCTGCCACCACTCGACGACCTGCGCACAGGGAAAGGCAGAGATAAACTAGCGCTTACGCCTGAGTACAAGCACACTGTGACCATAGTTAAACAAGCTATTGCCCAGTCGGTAGCCTTGTTCCACCCTCACCCCGAGTGGCCACTATTCGTGGCAGCGGACGCATCTGACAGAGGTATTGGGGCGGTACTATACCAGCAAACACCAGCGGGACAGAAGCGGTTTATCAGTTTCCAAGCCAAGGCATTGTCCCCGAGCCAACAGCGTTACCCCATCACGCAGCGAGAGCTACTGAGCCTTGTGTTTGCACTTACCCGTTTTCGTGAGTTCCTTTACGGCCGATATTTCACTGCGATAACTGACCACGCAGCACTGACATGGTTACACTCGCAACACGAACTTACGCCCATGCTTGCCAGGTGGTATACCATACTGCAGGAGTTTAATTTTAGGCTCGAGCACCGTGCCGGCATATTGAACATACTCCCGGATGCCCTCTCTCGCCTCTTCGCAAACACAACGGTAGCAGCGATACACACATCCTCTGCCTTTACAGTGCGTGCTTTCCAGAGATACCCGGATATCGCATTACCAACGAGACGGCATATTGGAGATGCTGGGTGGGATATATCAGCAGCTCAGGATACCACCATTCCCCCACTGCAACGCTGTAAGGTACCCACGGGTCTATTCCTGGAGATACCCCCATCTTGCTACACCCGCATCGCTCCACGATCCGGACTAGCCTCAAAGGGCATAGACATCGCAGCAGGAGTAGTGGACTCATCATACCGTGGTGAGATCATTGTGCTTATGATCAATACCACAACTCAGCCATTCCGCATCCACCGGGGCATGCGTATTGCACAGCTACTCTTCGAACAGCTGGCACCAGTCACATCACTAACGGCAGTCCCATGCTTAGAGGAGCTCCACGGGACCACCAGGGGAGTGAATGGTTTCGGATCAACAGATGTCACAGCACTGATGACAGACACCATTACTGCCATGCCACCACGTGAACTACGCGAGGAGATCATACGGCAGGCGCACGCATTGGGTCACTTCAAAGGCGCAACAATGGCTGCAGCAGTACGGGGCGATGGCTACGATTGGCCTACATTAGAGAAGGAGTGTAAGGACACAGCAGACCGGTGTAAGATATGTCAGGCATTCTCAGCAAAGAACCCAAGGCCGCAGCCCCTGATACCAGTCACAGCGAAGCGACCGATGGACCATATTGCCGTTGACCTTGCGGGCCCAATGCGGATAACTGAGGCAGGCAATACTTTCATTTTCGTTGGAGTGGATGTATTCACACGGTACATGTTCTTATATCCACTACCAGATAAGACGGCGGTATCAGTAGCAAGAGTACTCATCCACATAGGCTCATCCTTTGGTTTCCCGAAAGTCATACAGTCGGACAATGGTCGTGAATTCGTGAATGCAACACTCGAGTTCCTAACACAGGCCACAGGGATTGAGCACAGGAGAACAACGCCATATAACCCATCAGCGAACGGATTAGCCGAACGAGCAGTTCGCATTTGCAAGGAACGTCTTCAAGCCATGGGCCTTAGCGCAATGACCGAATGGGATGCCCACTTGCCACTGGTCCAGTACGCATGTAATGCCCGATTCCACCGCGCTATTGGAATGACTCCAGCAATGGCGATGTTCGGCCGCGACCTGCTATCCCCGCACATTCTTACGAGACAACAAAACCAACTGACAGATGAACTCACTATCCAACAGCTAGCTCATTTTAGAGATGCAGTGATTCACCCGACAGTCGCACGTAACCTATCGGAGTACCAAGCGCGCCTGAAGACGACATTTGACAACTCGCGACCGCTAGCAGTATACCGACCCGGAGACAAGGTCTTGGCACGCATCATGCCGCAACCACCCAAGGGAGCCCCCAAGTTCGAAGGACCATTCATTGTCCATAAAGTGACCCCGAGTGGTGCAGTCGAATTAACCAAGGCAGAGGGCTACGATGCGCCAGAACCACCAACCCGGCGGGTCCCACCAAAACACTTAGTCCATCTGGAGGACGACCCAGCACCGCAAGACGGTCACCAGGAGATCGATTACATCCACGGGCATCGCCAACGCCACAGGCAGTGGCAGTTCAAGGTGCACTGGCGGGGCCAATCAGATAATGAAGACTCATGGGAACCCATCAAACACTTCGTAGACCCGACAATCATCGCGGCCTATGCAGAGACGTGCAACCCTACGCAGAGAAAAGGAATCCTGAGCGCATTAAGCCGGTTCCTGACTACGCGAGCCAAGGCTCCAAGCTGAGCGGAGAGAGATGTGGTTCCAAATCCTTATGATCTTAGGAACCCATGGATCAAGACCTTTAGGCCACAATGGCCGGCCATACTATTCTGGGCGACCGGCGCCACTACTTAGACGGGCACCTGCCCTTTCACCTGGTGATTCCTCCTTCCTTCTTTCATACAGCATATTTCATACGTTCAATATACGTCGTGGAAAGGTGCTCGAAAAGTAAACGTGTTCTAGACAGTTGCAGGAGGCTGTCTATCCAAGTGTATCGTACCCGAGACACAACACATTGCACTTTCATCTTAATATGTCTATTCACCTTGTACGCTCCCGTTTGATCTCCACTGTGCGACTTCGTCTATATTCATCAACTGTTCGGGTGTCTTTCACTCGCACTGAGGAGCTGCTTAAAGATATCCACGACTATGAGAGTCAAGGGTCCGTTCCGTGGTTCCAGCTCGTGAAAAGGTACCGTGAGTCAGAAGATCGACTGAAGCAGATCCATCAGCAAGCAATCCAGGATGCACAGAATGCGAGGGGGTTGTCAAAGAGAGTTACCGAGGCGGCTAAGGGGCATTACGACGATGTGAAGGGCCGGATCAACTGGTCGGCGGTATCTAAGCAGGTTGGACTGCCGCTGATCGAGTGTCTAAAGCGATTCGATGGCGCATCATCTGGTATCAAAAGGCGATCGTTCCCGACACACGATGACTGGACCAAAAATGAGGCAGAGGTGCTCCAGGGGTTCGTTCGCAAGCATTTTAGGAACCCAACCACGAGGGACTGGGAACTCGTTGGCAACTACATGAATGTCGATAAGTTGGATTGCTTAAAACACTGTCAAATAATGCGCAAATTCGAAATGACCGATGAGAGATTCAGCGAGATCACCAGGTACCGCGAAGCTGGCTTGACTTGGAGGCAGATCCGAAACAAGTTCGGTGATTTGTGGGCGCCAGAAACAATCGGCCAATCGTACCGTGAGCGGGTTCGTCGGGTGAATCGACCTCCAGTGGATATAGTCGACAGGTTTACCAATGACGAGCTCGCCAAGCTGAGGGAGATTCGTCTGCAGCAGCCAGGCAATATCACAGCCAAAGAGTTTGTGCGCATTACACAGGAGGCGTTCCCACACAAATCACGAGTCAGCGTGGAAGACGCCTGCACCAGAGCGATGGCCTTTTTACGATTAAGCGTAAAAATCTCCATCGAGGGCTTCAACAGGCTGCAGCAACTCGTTCGACAGCATGGCGAGGATTGGGAGCTGATCGGCCGTGAGATGCACGCACTGCCATCAAAAATGAGAAATGCATGGAAGGGCTACGGCCTCGATACCAGGATTACAACTGAGTGGACGGCTGATGAGCTTGCTACACTGCGTCGCTGCAAGGACTCACGCATTCCACCAGGCAAAACTGCGCGAATCATTGGCACCAAACTTCCAGTTCAGTGCAGAGCTATGTTGTCTAAGCTGAGACACTCGGGTACGTGGAAATGCGCATCGCTGGATTATTGACGTGTTGTCTGTTTGTGGTATGTATGCTTAGCATTCACATACATCGTGCTATTTGTAGATGTCGATGACTCAGTGCTGGTCAGCAAGAAAAACCGGGGTTGGACCGCAGACATGGACAAGGAGCTAATTCGGCTCGTTAAAATTCACCAAAGCAGCCGATGTGTTGATTGGGCCGCTGTATCAGAGCAGATTGGTCGCACAGCTGAGGCCTGCAGGATGCACTTATATATAATGCAGTGCGAGCGTAGTTCTCAGCCGGATGATGGTCTGGTGGCCCGTGTGTCAAACAAGGTAAAGCAGCAATACGAGGCTGGGCTGAAAATTGACTGGTCAGCAGTCGCAGGGTCGGCTGGTGTTAACGAGCTCGAGTGCATGGAGAGCAACAAATATGATGTTGGAAAACAACAGTGGGTATACAACTATCAGACATTCTCGTGGGACTTGGCCAACCGGATGCGCGACTTCATCAGCAAATACTACCCGAAACCACTGCTGCCGAACTTCACTGCGGTGTCAAATTACCTGTGGATCGTAAAGGACGACTGCATCGACATGCATAGGCTGGCGTTTGGCACATTCAAATGGACAGATGATGTTTTCAACAAGGTGGTGGATCTGAGAAGCAAAGGGTTGAGCTATTCTGATATCGCATTGCGTCTGTCACCAACCATGTCGGCCAATAGGGTGATAAAGGCTGTTAGTCGATACATGAATCACACAGCCAGTGAGCCGCTTTCGGAGCCAGTGAGAGAGCAAATTCGGACTAATACGGATGAACTTGTCGGGAAGATTCCTTGCGCTGACATACTACCTGCGGTGAGAATGAGATTTCCTGACATACCGTACGGACAGCTCTGGAACGTTGTCGAAGGCGCTATAACAAGCCATTCGCTCTATAAGGAGCGGTTGAATCAGCTAGACCAGGCCGAACTTGCTATCCGGATATCTGAAGGTGGGGCAACAGCTAAGCAACTCGCACTTGAGTTTGACATTCCAACAAGGATGACTCGCAAGGTTATCAACAGCCTAAAGTCTGCTGGTTTTTCGATTCAGTGGACGAACGAGGAGACCCGGCAGTTGGTCGCCTTTGCCAGATCAGCAAAGGGCAGAAAAGACTGGACATACTTTGCATCCAAGCTTGGTACTAAGAGTCCACATCAGTGCCAGGCAAAGTGGTCGAGAATACAAGCCAATTCGACATAGGTAGTAGTCTAATACAATTATCCAATATGTCAAAAGCCTGGTTTCTGGGCTTGGGGGTTTGGGAGAGAGAGTTTATCATTTATCGCCCGTCGCAAGTGGAGAGCAGCGCATGCTTGAATCCCATTCTTGTGGCATAGTTCGAAATGACGTATTTATTGAGAGGCTTGTTGCCGGGATCCGTAGCATCCTCATCTCTATACTATGCTTCAGCCTATGCAAATGTTGTCGCCAGCACAGGAGCTGCCGAACCTTATCCTCGAGCGTATCATCGAGCATGCGATGCTGATTTCGAATGGCGTGCATAGCCAGTATATGGCGAAATCGATCATATCCGTATGTCGGTGGTGGAGGATGGCAGCGTTCTGTGTGCTGCACAGAAGGGTATCTTGGTGCAACCTCAAACAAAAGCAGCCTAGACGGTGCCCCGTTTGCTCCGCTGAAAGACCCAGCCTTCTTCACTACGCGCTGCGGAACGGCAACGGCGACAAAATCAAGAAAGTAACCATGCACTGGTACAGCGAGGACCTGCTGAGTGGCGATGCGCTGAAGGTGCTGCAGACAGAGCCGTACAGCAATCTCGTCATCCCCAGTGTGGTTGAAATCGAGCTCAGAATTTCTTATACGCGAACCCTGCCGTCGTCGCTCAGGAAGCAGCTGCACACCAGTGCAAGCGGGTTCGGCAACGAGATCCACCGCATATTCCCCAATGCAACTGGGTTTACCCTTGGAAATATCCATATCATGAGCAAGCATGGGACATCGACTTTCATGAAGACGCTGTTCACTAGTCTTGCTGCAGGCATGGTCGATGTGCTGAACAACTCGGAGTACAACGGCATCGGGTTCTCACTCCCACTAGACCACTGCCCGTTGCGCAAGCTGGTCTTGGGCAATATGACCATCAAGTCGTCCACCATCCAAGTGGTCAGACGCAGTGCTGAGACCCTGGAGGAGCTGGTCACTGAGTGCACGCAGCCCGAAGCCTGCATGATGCTGGTGCAGGACGATGCGGGCCAGCCCATCGCCTACCCGCGACTGACCTACCTCAAGATTAAATCAGAATTCGGTGTGCGCATCCAGGCCAACGACACTAGGGGTGCGCCAGACGGCTCGCCGTTCCCAGCGCTAAGGACCCTTGTTTGCAGCAAGGCGTACCCGTTCCGCAACGATGTCATGTTCCGTGGCAATGAGGGGACGCTTGAGGTGCTGAAGATTGCGATGGATGTCACTGCACTGGTTGTCCTTGCTCGCAGTGGTGTCCTGGATGGCCGCAACCGTCTGGCGCTGAAGCATGTGTGGGTGTACCGTTGCATGTATCTGACGTACCCCAATGATGAGGAAATGGAGGACGCAAGGGCCCGCCTGTCACAGTCTGCAGTTGTTGCTATTGTTTGACAGTCTAGGTGCTCATCCACTTTAATACATTCAGCTTGGCAGGCTATGTCCTGAGGTTGCTACGTGGAAGGGTGGTGGCTACAATCGTAATTGCTGGACAGTCTTCGCAACATCTGAAAACTCTGTATTAGGACAAGTATGCGGGCATTTAACAGCACTCTGGGCTATTTGGTATAGTAGACACTTGTTTGCAGGCATAGCTGTAGATGTGTGGACGCGTAGTGTCGTCAGTGCAGCTGTAGAGGCGGTATATTCCCTGTGAGTCCATATGTATTGTTGAACAGACCCTTAGCAGGGAGAAACGCTGAATGCATGCGCCGCTAGTGCTCGCGCGTAAAGTACTTTGGCCACGAGCTCATTTGAACAGCGGCCACGTCCAGGGTCTTCTCGCCCAGGTTCAGATACTTCTGGATATACCCGCGCATATCCTCGCTGTCGGTAATGCCCTCGGTCTTCACCCTACATGAAGGCACCAGTCTGAGTGACTGCTAAAGCTGGCAGTGAAACTTGCAGGCATGGTGTATTGGAACTCACTTGAAGCCGGTGGATCGCCGGATGCCAGCCAGCGCGGTCGAGAACAGGACAAGGTCAACGCCAATGTGAACAAGCTTTCCCAGGGCCATCGGAATGGAGTGAAATTGAAATTGGACGAGGAAAAATAACGCAAAGCAAATAGAGGCTGCACAGCCTGCTCGTACCAGGCCAAAAAGCAATCTCTTGGCACAGTAGCTCGCTTGATCACCAGTAGAAATCAGCCAGGCGATTACACACATCGATAGTGGCGAGTCGGACATTGGTAGCATTGAGGGCCGGCATGACTAATTGTCTCCTAGTGCCGCTGTTAGCTAGAGCAATGCCCAGGGCCGTGGATGCAAGTGCCCGCTCTCTCCTCCTTTGCTTTACTCTCCAGTGGTCTTTTTCCGCAACCCATTTATATCGCTAAACGATGCTGCCAATACCGCTCAACTTCAACGCGTGGCTCGACGAGAACATGCACAGGCTACAGCCGCCTGTGTGCAACTACGTGTTCCAAGAGGGCAAGGACACCATGGTGATGGTGGTTGGCGGCCCGAACTCGCGCACGGACTTCCACATCAATCCTACCGAGGAATGGTTCTTCCAGATCAAGGGCCGGATGCTGCTGCGCATGGCGGATCCCGGGACACACCAGATCACAGACCAGTACATCGAGGAGGGTGGCATGGTTCTGGTGCCGGCCAACACGCCGCACAGCCCCAACCGGTTCGCCGACACGGTGGGCTTGGTCATCGAGCGCAAGCGGCCCGGGCAGCAGGAGGCATTGCGCTGGTACTGCGAGCAGTGCAATGCTGTGGTGCACGAAAAGTGGTTTATCTGCAATGACCTCAACACCGACCTGGTCCCCATCATCAATGCATACAAGGCCAGTGACGAGCTGCGTACGTGTGGCCAATGCGGCCACCTCAACCCCATCGCGTACACGCCCAAGGAGGACTCGGCCTAGGCAGCGTGTTTCTTTGGCCTGGTGTCGAGAGGGCTCCAGCTTTATGTTTCTTGTCTTTAATGCATTAAGCTCATTAGCCGTGGCTGGCCCTGGCACTCTCCAATCAGCCAGGCAAATAAAGCCAGATAGCGTACAGGGTGTGTCGTACATCGATATCAACATAGGCAACGGATGGGAGTGCTTAATCAAGCAGGCCGACCCGGCCATTTCCGCCTCCGGCTACACACCTACGACTCCGGGCTTTTCTCTTCCGCACTATCGCATTTCTTGTCTCTTCTCTCACGCACTTCTGTTTCCCAAATTAACACATAATTTGCCCTTCGCGCGCAACCACCGAAACCACGGATACAAGCAGTTACTCGCAGTCAGCCACTCCACGTGTTATGTCTCAAACAGTAGACCAGAGCCCCGACACGGCAGCAGCAGGCATGGGCAGCAGCGAATCAGTCGGTGCGGCGCACAGGGGCCACCATGACAGCGCGCACACGTCACCAGACTCCCTCGGAGACGCTTCCACAGCGCAATCAGGCAGTGGCCGCAGCGACAGTGAGGAGTTCTTTGAGGCGTCCGAGAGCCTCGCCATGGCAACGCCGCCCGATCCGAGCGCCACACCACAACCAAGCGCACCTAGGGCCAACCAGATTCCAGGCATCAGCAGCGATGACCCGCTGCAGGAGGGAATGAATCTGGCGATGCGCGCAGTGTTCCTGTTCCTCAACTCCGACTTCAAGGCCATTGAAACACTACTCCACCACAAGCGCCATACGCTGCTGTACGCTTCCGAGGGACACGCGGCCATCCAGTACCTGCGCGCCATGATGACATTCAGCAAAGAGGCGATGCACGATGCCCAGACAGCAGCAAACAACACTATTAATCTGGCCACGCGCTTCCGCAAGCCACGCGGCGTCGGCGCAATACTGTCGGCGTCGACTTCACGCGAGGGCAGCCGTGGCACGTCACCACCAAGTGTACCGGGCTCACCCAGCTCTGCAGGTGGCCATCGCCACAGGAAGCATCATGGCAGCAGTCACAGCTCCAGCCGCACATCTGTGGCTGGGTCAGAGGGACTGTCGCGTAAGAACAGCGAGCGCCACCACCGCTTCCACTTTGACTCGCCGCGTCTCACGTTGCGCAGCAAGAAGAATAAGGAGGTTTCCAAAATGCGCGAAGGGTCGGTGTCGATGCCAGGATCGATCCCCGACAGCCGCCAGGTGAAGGATGCAAAGTCACTGGACTCGGCGATGCTGGCCGAGAAGCTGGGCGATCTCGACAGCATGGGGTACGAGTCCGAGGAAAGCGCTACAACTGCATCGCTCAATGATGCTGATAGCGCGCTCGAGGAGAGGCTGGACGGGCCAACTCATCGCTCATGGGTATCGGGGATCACAGGCGTCGCCGACTCACTGATTGGTATTGTGAAGTCCGGCACGCAGGCTGTGGGCATCAGCAAGCCCGACTGGTATGCACTCCGGGGCATGACACCCCTGCAGCGCCATGCCGAGCTTGTCCATGCTGAGGCGTATCTGCTGCGAGCCATGCTGAACATCGGGACCAGCGGCGGGGCCATGGCGTTTCTGAAGGAGGGATGGCACGTAAAATCTGCCTATGCCACATACCGCGACTGTTACTCGTATATCCAGGCCGAGTATGCAGTGGGAAACATGGTTGATGATCATTTTGTGAGCGGCACATACCTGGGAATGGGCGTGTTCAACCTGATTCTGAGCATGCTACCGGCGCGTCTCCTGCGCTTTGTCGAGTTTGTCGGTTTCTCGGCCGACCGCAAGCTGGGCCTGGAGCTGCTGGCCATTGCTGCTGGCTGGCGGTCTGATCCTGCTACTACGGAGCTGATGAGTCCGCCGCCCAGCCTCCCCTCTTCCTCCAAGAGCAGCACAGAGATCCACCCGTGTGGGTACGGCCTGAGGTCCGAGTTTTGCTCGATAATGCTGCAAATGTACCATACGATGTTCTGCTACGACCTGTTCCTCGGCTACCCGAACCTGCCGCTGGTCGAGAAAGTGATCCACCGGTCCATTGCCCAGCACCCGCAGAGCCTGATCTTTATGTATTTCAACGGACGGTCGCACGTAATCCATACCGAGCTCGGTGCAGCCATCAAAATCTTTGACCGTCTGATCGCCAGTGTTTGCACCAGCGCGTCAAAGAGCGCCAGCCCCGAGACAGCCTCTGCTGTCGACACTGTTCCAGTGCTGATCAAAGAGCTCAGCCAAATGAATCTTGGCGATGTTCCTGACGAGAAATCGCCCTCTCCAGGTTCTGTGGTAAAAGACGACCCGCCCAGTGATAGCGACTGGCGCCAGCTGCAGTACCTCGGATACTGGGAGCGGTCTTTATGTCTGATGGCGCTCGGAAGATGGCTCGAGGCCGCCCAGGGGTTCAACACACTGCGCACTGAGAATAACTGGAACAAGGCCGTCTACACGTACGGCCTCGCGTCATGCCTCTGGGAGCATTACCTGGTTCAGTGCGGGGGCACCGCGCCTGTCGATACGGCGGAGCTGACGCCCGAGCAGCGTGCGACTTTCAAGGTGGTGCAGAACCTGATGAAGACGGTGCCGTCGCTGACGCGCAAGGTGGCAGGGAAGTCAATCCCAATCGAGAAATATCTAGTGCGCAAGGCACACAAGTTCGCACTGCAAGAGTGTTTCCTGCAGCGGCCTGGTCTGGAGCTCATCCATGTCTGGACGCTGTACGGAAAGATGCCGCGTGAGCGGCTGGTGGCGCTGCGTGACGAGGTTGACCGCGATATTGCCCACATGGCTGAGCTCGTGCCGACCCAGCGCGCGCCCGAGAACCCGTACCGGCATGTTTTCTATTATGACGACCTGGCGGTGCTGCTGCTGACCAAAGGATGTATTCTGCGCGAGCTTGCCTTCCCGACATTCCTGTCCTCGGCGTCGCAGGTAGTCAAGGGTGCCCGGGCTACTACGGTGGTTGCCGATCCCGAAAAGTACTGCTCGCCTGAGATCGCACCGATCGCCGAAGATACCCTACTGCGCCTACTCCGTCTTACTCCGCTTATCCAGCGCGACCACAACCTGGCCGTCCAAGCGCGCTTCCACCTGGCCAACCTGCACCTGGCCTTCAAGGGGCACGATATGAAGCGCCGTGAGTGGGCGAAGGGCCAGTGGAAGTGCATTCTGGGCGGCAAACCGCTGTCCTCGTCGCCTTGCGTATCATTTGATGAGTACCACGCCATCATTGCCGATATCTCTGAGCTTACCCGCGATGCCAAGGAGACCCATTCGGCCAAAATCTTCGCCGCACCGACATGTCTGACCGAGGAAATACTGCTGGAGGGATCGGGGCATTCGTCTCTCAAGTTTTTTGACGGCAGCAGCGAGATGGCTGACTGGCGGTGGACCCCGCCGTACTGGGCTGATTCTAAAAAGTACTCGATGCAGAACATCACTGAGATCGGGAGCTTCAACGCGGACAGCCGTCTCCGGGAGCTGCTCACCGCAAGCAATTGAGCCCGGGTTCAGTTTTATCAATCACACCATTGTTTCCTCTCAATAGACCGCGTATTCTACGAAGATAAGCGGAGCTGCAATTTCCGCCCTAGTGTAGTGGGGGTACCGCTTGCCTCATCGTGTATGGAACTAAAACTGCTTAATATACGACATGCCGACCGCGTGTGCCTCAGCACAATCGCACAGCCGAAGTAGGTGGGATCCCCCCCTCATTGTTAGGTCCCTCAGACGTGAACTCCCTACATTAGCTGGCGGATAGTTGAATATGTGCAACATTAGGCGGAGATAAGCAGCTGACATATCCCACGTATTAAACCTCTTCTTCCTGTAGCGCCGCCAAAGCATCATGCCCCTAAGCCGGTCAGTTGTTCGGCTACCACGCCTAGCCTGTGTGATAAGCCGGCAACATCTAGCTCATTATTAGGCGCGGCACAAAGTTTGGCAGCCCCGTTCATCTCACGAGAACCATGTTCATTGTCTGCAGCTATAAGACAAGCAATATTCCCCATCCCAAAGGGTGGCAGCGGTACCTGCTTGTTCATCTTTTTCAGCTCCAGATACTTTTCCACCTCTCCTACTACCTATACTCCATAACAAATTTTCTCTTTGGGTGGCAATATGAAGAACATCTTGCCGTATTTTGCTGCCCGGACGCAGGTTGTCATTCTGGGATTCATCTGCTTCGGGTGTCCAGGCATGTTCAATGCCCTCAACGGTACTGGCGGCGGCGGTCAAGTCGATCGGGACGCTGGCAACAACGCCAACACCTCACTCTACGTCTGCTTTATATTCTCTGGTCTGTTTGGCGGCGCCGTCATTAACAAATTCGGCGTCCGCTTCACCATGTTCATCAGCGGGCTCACCTATGCGTTGTACTCTGGGTCCTACATCTACATCAACCACACTGGCAAGTCATGGTTCACCATCTGGGCCGGCGCGATGCTTGGTCTCGGCGCCGGTATCTTCTGGACTGCTCAAGGCATGATCATGATGTCGTATCCGCTCGAAAAGGAAAAAGGAAAGTTCATCACCATCTTCTGGGTCATCTTCAACCTAGGCGGTGTGCTCGGCGGTGTCATTTTGCTGGGAACAAACTACAACCATGAGGGCTCGCTCTCCGATGGTGCCTATGCTGCCTTTTTGGCGATCGAAATTGGTGGGTCGTTGTGTGCTCTGGTTCTTGCTCCGCCTTCCAAGGTTGTCCGTACCGATGGGAGCCACGTTGAGATCAAGAAAGTCGAGAATGTCATGTCTGATGCCATTGCTATCCTCAAGCTGTTCGCCGACCCGTGGATGATCATTCTGATTCCGATGATGTTCAGCTCCAACTTCTACTACTCGTACCAGTTTGGCCCATACAACGGCTCGCTGTTCACCACTCGTACGAAGGGGTTCAACAACATCTGGTACTGGGGTGCTCAGATGGCCACCTCAGGTGCCTTCACTCGCCTTTTGGATCGCCAGTCGCTGTCGCGCAAGAAGCGCGCTCTGTACGGAGTTCTAATCACTCTTGCTGTGGTCAACGCGGTGTGGGGAGGAACTCTCAAGATGCAGAACAAGTATACCCATGGGAGGATCGGCAATACCCCGACCGACTACCCCGGAGGCGCTATTGACTTCAAGGATACCGCCCGGGCCGCCGGCCCCTGCATTCTGTATGCGTGCATGGGTATTCAGGACGCTCTATGGAACAACATGGCATACTGGCTTCTGGGGACTATCACCAACGATGCCTCGCGCCTAGCACACTATGCTGGATTCTACAAGTCGATGCAGTCGCTGGGTGCCGCTGTCTCGTGGCAACTCGATGCAAAGAACGTCAAGTACCGGAAACAACTAATAACCAACTGGGTCCTTCTCGATGTGTCGGCACTGCTCATGGTATACCTGTCATTCCGGGTTACTGACAAGACCGACGACGCGGAGGACAACTACAGTGGTGACCTCAAGTCCGGACCTGACTATGCCACTGCTGAAGCTGAGCAGGTGTGAATTGGGAGGACCAGTGCTTTCCACACAATATTTTACGGTAGCTTTCTATTTACCCCTCTCCCGAGTATAATCGATTCCCGGCGTCTTCCGAAGCACGCCGCTTAATTATGTGCCAGCCACGTCCGTACCCTATGCCAGGCGTGGACCTGTCCTTGAATTTAGCATTCATGCCACATGGTTGTTGCAGACAGATCAGCACAGGCAATTGAAACTGTTTGCCAACGGGCATTTACGCCGAAGGTACTCTACAGCCTTGTGATCACTGAGTGCATTGAAGCCATACGGGTTTAGATAGCACAGAGGAGAACTGGCGCGGTACCAGCAATGGCCGCACCGCAGTGGAAATAGCAAAGGGGTTGCGAAGGCTAGCGTGTAACCCTTTCTCCCTGGCAAGCAGTTCAAAAACAGCCCACTTTACACAGACCACTGAGGAAAATATTTTCGTTTTCGATGATGTCAGTCTGAATATACTGAAGGTAAATAGCAAGGCCATTGGCCATGGTGGCTCTAGCAGACACGGGGCTAGCGGGCATACATGCAAAAGCCAGCCCTGAAAGCGCATGTGGGTTTCCGGCGCAGCAGCGCCATATCGCTCAATGTCTATTCATCCCATGTGTTAAAACAAGGTTTTTCTGCCTTGTACCGCATTACACCGAGTGGACAGGTTCTGGCACACTACGGGCCCTCCGCCTGTATTATTCGTCGCCTGTCCCCGCAGAACGATTATCCGGTTCTTTATTCGGAAGGAGCGGTACAGCTACTGGGATAGACACAGCCTTTGTGCCACTATCCAGGTGCGTGAACCCAGAATCAGGCAACATTTCGTAGGTACTGGCTCGTCCCACCAGGAAATATCTTTTTCAGTACTGCATCGCGCGAGTGGACGAAGAAAGAAATTTGGTGGTCAACGGGGCTAATGCCTTTGCACTACAGACTTGCCACATAGTCGTGCCACTAGGCTTCTCTGCCTATTACCGGCCCGCTACTATATATCGCTTACAGACCAGACCATTGAGTAGTCGAGTCCATTTTCAAATTGGAAAGGTGTTAGCAGAGCCGAACATAGTGTTTACTTTTCGTAACTGAGTAGAATTAGCACCGCCACAGAAAAAAAATTTGCATGTGGAGCGCAGCCAAAAAAAAAAAAAAAAAAAAGTCACCCTCTGCTACCCGAAAAGATCGTACTAGTGGCAAGCGGGTCGCAGCACAGCCACCAGGTGGGTCTATAAATAAGGCCAAGTAGTCCACCCGTCTCTGGTCCCTGGCTCACGAACCCCAGACGTTTTCCTGTCAATATATTCACGTATACCTTATATTTTCGCATATTACCCCTCCCTGCATATTGATCATGCGTGCAGGCTCAGAAAAAGGACCGTACCACGCGGCTGGTCTCGGACAGATAAATAGAAAGGCACTTGACCGGTACAAGGCCCTTGCTATCCTCTTATCAACCAACAACACAAGCAATTCCTTTTAATGTTTCTACTACTATTGATACACCATATTTTTTTACTTATTCCTAATCATGGGATTCCTACCCTACTTCGCTGCAAAGACCCAGATTGTCATTCTGGGATTCATCTGCTTCGGCTGCCCAGGCATGTTCAATGCTCTCAACGGTACTGGCGGCGGTGGCCAGGTCGACCGTGAGGCGGGTAACAACGCCAACACTGCTCTCTATGTCTGCTTCATTATCTCTGGTCTCTTCGGTGGTGCTATTGTGAACAAATGTGGTGTCCGCTTCACCATGTTCATCAGCGGGCTCACCTATGCGTTGTACTCTGGGTCCTACATCTACATCAACCACACTGGCAAGTCATGGTTCACCATCTGGGCCGGCGCGATGCTTGGTCTCGGCGCCGGTATCTTCTGGACTGCTCAAGGCATGATCATGATGTCGTATCCGCTCGAAAATGAAAAGGGAAAGTTCATCACCATCTTCTGGGTCATCTTCAACCTAGGCGGTGTGCTCGGCGGTGTCATTTTGCTGGGAACAAACTACAACCATGAGGGCTCGCTCTCCGATGGTGCCTATGCTGCCTTTTTGGCGATCGAAATTGGTGGGTCGTTGTGTGCTCTGGTTCTTGCTCCGCCTTCCAAGGTTGTCCGTACCGATGGGAGCCACGTTGAGATCAAGAAAGTCGAGAATGTCATGTCTGATGCCATTGCTATCCTCAAGCTGTTCGCCGACCCGTGGATGATCATTCTGATTCCGATGATGTTCAGCTCCAACTTCTACTACTCGTACCAGTTTGGCCCATACAACGGCTCGCTGTTCACCACTCGTACGAAGGGGTTCAACAACATCTGGTACTGGGGCGCTCAGATGGTCACCTCAGGTGCCTTCACTCGCCTTTTGGATCGCCAGTCGCTGTCGCGCAAGAAGCGTGCTCTGTACGGAGTTCTGATCACTCTCGCCGTTGTCAACGCGGTGTGGGGAGGAACCCTCAAGATGCAGAACAAGTACACTCACGGTGCTCTTGCCACTACTCCTCCTACTCCGACCGACTACCCTGGAGGTGCCATTGACTTCAAGGATACCGCCCGGGCCGCCGGCCCCTGCATTCTGTATGCGTGCATGGGTATTCAGGACGCTCTGTGGAACAACATGGCGTACTGGCTTCTCGGCACCATCACCAACGATGCCTCACGTCTTGCTCGCTATGCCGGCTTCTACAAGGCCATCCAGTCAGTTGGTGCAGCTGTCTCGTGGCAGCTTGATGCCAAGAGCGTTGCCTTCCGCACTCAGCTCATTGTCAACTGGGTTCTTCTGGTTATCTCCGCTCTGCTCATGGTTTATCTCTCGTTCCGTGTCAAGGAGCAGACCGATGGTGAAGATCATGGCGATTTCAAGGAGAAATATGTTGACTCTGATAGCGAGCAAGATGTTGCTGCTCAGGTCTAGATCCTGGTGAGAGCGGTGCCTTTAGTTTTTTCTATTTACATTCATTCACTTCCAATTCTCTGGCTATACTTTTAGTAGGTACCTCATTTCCCAGCACATAATTCTCTGTTCGCAATTTTTCTTTCGCCGAACCTGCAGACTCTGACGCGGTTGGATCATCGATATAAATAAATAAAAAAAAACGCAAGATATCTTGATCTATATTTGTCACAGAATGTGCACTGCCCAACATCACCCCACTGCTCTGCGAGACAGCACAGCCAGATTGCTTTTGGTACCAAGCAGCCAATCTGCTGATGCTGCCCAGATAGTTCCGCAAGCTGGTCAAATTGCCGATAGTTTGCTTTGACCAGCAGTTGCCATATGCGTCCAGGCACCATGCGAAGTAGTACTTGCAGAGTGTCGCATGTATCACGCTCATTTGATGGGAGAGATTGCAAGCAAAGCCCTCTAGTATTTATTGCATCTAGCTGTCATTGAAACTGTGTGCGACTGCCGCCATGCAAAGCATCCAAATGTCACCCTACAGGAGCCATCTTGTCGCTCAGATGTTGCCTGATTTTTGGCAGGTTATCGTAAGATTAGCCTACCAGCTGCACTGGACAGTTATTCGGACTTGGCTTTCGGAGTGCCAGTATCATCTACTGGTGAGATGTGTTCGCCTGCTAGCTGCAGCTACAGTGGAATTGCGCCGAAAAATGCAGCGGCCGTCTGATGTTCAGTGTTGAGCTGTCCCGAGTCATTAATTAGCACCCAACGATACCGCATTACTGCGTTCCGGCGTAAAAAAGAGGAGCAATCGGGCAGCCATGACTGTCGACTGCGCTCGGACGCGCAACTTGGATCATCTAAAAGCGGCCTGTCCTTGCAAAACACCTGTCATAGGGCATGGCGTGTTCCGGTCCAAGACCAGTGGATTGCATCCTCGGGCTGCATTCCGGGGAATTTCGCGGAGGACGAAGCACATTCCACTCCTAAAAGATTGGCCATGGTTCGCTGGATCCTGATAGTCTCCCCTAGCGCGTACTTTCCAGCCAATTGCGTGCCATGATTGCGGTGCAGTTTTGCCAGAGATCTGCATATTTGGGGCACTGTAGGACGATGTTTCACGCCGTATCAAACATGCACCAGTACCGAAATGGGCAATATGAGCTGACCCAACCTCTCTATACTTGGATGGACTATGCCTCGGCGGATTGTACTCAAAATACAAAGGCCTGTGAGGTGCGGGAGCCGGGGGCACAAGGCGCTTGGTGGCCCATTCGTGGAGTCAAAACAATCGAAAGAAACGGCGTCGGTTGGCTCCTCCGCTAAAGTAACCGAAATTCTAAGAATACAAACGTTTCACCGCTCGACCCTGTGAAGAGACAGGTATATAAAGGCTAGCCAGCAGAGGTGCCTAGTCCAAACTCCACTATCTTCAGCACAACACGCTGCAACTCCTACATATCCTCCCTCTATTCCTTCACTTCTGCTATTAGTTACAACCTATACTATTATTATTTCTTAAGTCTTCGAACATGGGAAAACTCTTGCCCTACTTCGCTGCGAAGACCCAGATTGTCATTCTGGGATTCATCTGCTTCGGCTGCCCAGGCATGTTCAATGCTCTCAACGGTACTGGCGGCGGTGGCCAGGTCGACCGTGAGGCGGGTAACAACGCCAACACTGCTCTCTATGTCTGCTTCATTATCTCTGGTCTCTTCGGTGGTGCTATTGTGAACAAGTGTGGTGTCCGCTTCACCATGTTCGGTGGTGGTCTCATGTTTGCTTTCTATTCTGGCTCATACATCTACATCAACCACACTGGGAACTCGTGGATGACGATCTGGGCCGGCGCGATGCTTGGTCTCGGCGCCGGTATCTTCTGGACTGCTCAAGGCATGATCATGATGTCGTATCCGCTCGAAAATGAAAAAGGAAAGTTCATCACCATCTTCTGGGTCATCTTCAACCTAGGTGGTGTGCTCGGCGGTATCGTGCTTCTCGCCACCAACTTCAACCATGAAGGCTCGCTCTCCGATGGTGCCTATGCTGCCTTCCTTGCCATTGAAGTCTGTGGCTCGCTCTGCGCTCTGGTTCTTGCTCCGCCTTCCAAGGTTGTCCGTACCGATGGGAGCCGCGTCGAGATCAAGAAGGTCGACAACATTCTGGCCGATGCTCTCGCCATCCTCAAGCTGTTCGCTGACCCGTGGATGCTGATTCTGATTCCGATGATGTTCAGCTCCAACTTCTACTACTCGTACCAGTTTGGCCCATACAACGGCTCGCTGTTCACCACTCGTACGAAGGGGTTCAACAACATCTGGTACTGGGGCGCTCAGATGGTCACCTCAGGTGCCTTCACTCGCCTTTTGGATCGCCAGTCGCTGTCGCGCAAGAAGCGTGCTCTGTACGGAGTTCTGATCACTCTCGCCGTTGTCAACGCGGTGTGGGGAGGAACCCTCAAGATGCAGAACAAGTACACTCACGGTGCTCTTGCCACTACTCCTCCTACTCCGACCGACTACCCTGGAGGTGCCATTGACTTCAAGGATACCGCCCGGGCCGCCGGCCCCTGCATTCTGTATGCGTGCATGGGTATTCAGGACGCTCTGTGGAACAACATGGCGTACTGGCTTCTCGGCACCATCACCAACGATGCCTCACGTCTTGCTCGCTATGCCGGCTTCTACAAGGCCATCCAGTCAGTTGGTGCAGCTGTCTCGTGGCAGCTTGATGCCAAGAGCGTTGCCTTCCGCACTCAGCTCATTGTCAACTGGGTTCTGCTTGATGTCTCCGCTCTGCTCATGGTTTATCTCTCGTTCCGTATCAAGGAGCAGGGTGAGGACGACGAGTCTGAGAATATCAAGGATGGCGCCGATTACAAGGAGGACGCGTCAGCTGAGGCTCATGTCTAACATGCCCTCTACATGCACATATTAGCTCCCGCGATAGTCTTGCGGTTTGTGTTTTTCTTTCTATTTTTATCACCTTTTAATATAAGCGACTTGAAAATTTCTAATGCACACCAGAAACTGCTGGCTTCTCCGCAAGCCACGCGTACGAGCCGAACTGATTGACATCCTAACCGCTCGAGTCACGTGCAAATGTAATCTGCCGCATTTCCCGCCACATCATGCTGTTGTCGTTGTTTTCTTGGCTGACCTTTGGGCCTTTGGGCCTTTGGGCCTTTGTGCTTTTCTTTCCAAAGCCTGGCTTTATTTCTCATAACCTATACCACGTTTCCTTTTCCTCGATGGCGAGTTCTGGTTCAAACAGCAGGAGTCTTGAGCAACTGACCGATAGTGAGAAGCAGCGGGTGCATAATTTCCGTGAGGTCACCAGCGTTGACGATGTGGGCCTAGCAATTGACGTCCTTCGTTCGAAGGAATGGAACCTAGAGCAGGCAATTCAGGCATTCTTTGAGCCTGGCTACGTAAATACGCTTGTGGAGTCTTCGCAAGCTGAGGTAGACGATGAATTATCTGCTGCAGCAACAGCTTCATCATCGCAGACGCAGGCACCAGTGGCTGGTGGTGCATCTTCCAGCAGGGCTACCGCAGCAACCAGAGGCGAATCTCAACTGCGGCAGAGGACCCAGTCTGACAGAAGTAGTCAGACAAGGAATGACGGCACAAGTGCTGACGACGGTCTGGAGCAGCGTAGGCGAGCAGCTCACAACTGTCGCGCTGTTAAGCCTGCATTTGGCTGGATGCCGTTGTTTACCTGGCCGTTCAGTCTTTCATGGCGGGTTACGCTATATTTCGTAAAGCTGGTGCTGTCGCTTGTTGGCCAGCAGCGTATTGCCGATGAGGGTGTGCCTGGTGGCCACTTTGATGGTGCCAGTATACCAGCATCATCATCGTCGACTGCGCTTCTTGGTCAGCGCGGAGAGACGCCCGATTCTGGCAGCCATGGCCCACTAGACGATGCTGCACAGCTCGCTGCGACGTTTGAATCACAGTTTGGCACAGCTCACCCGCCTTTCTTCCACGGTACCTATGCGCAGGCCCTAGATGTGGCCAGGCGTGAGTTCAAGTACCTTGTGGTTGTTCTATGGAGTATGGAGCATGACGACTCAGCCGCCATGGGCCAGGTCCTCACTCACCCGGATATTGTCAGCTACCTGAGCCAGCCACGATTTGTGCTGTGGATGGGAGACGTCACCCGCAGCGAGGCATATCATGTAGCATCCACACTGCAGGCAGCTGCTTACCCGTTCATTGCCTTGGCTGCGCTCAAATTCCAGACGACGGCTGGTTCAGTGGCTGGTTTGAGTGGGCGGTTCAGGCTGCAAGTTGTCACCCGCATCGACGGCCTTCCCTCGGCAGACACTGTCTCCAGCGACGCTCAAACCGCCGATAACGGTCTACCGCCACATGTCAACGGAGTTACACGCTCACTGCTTTCATTGATTAGCGGGCCTGTCGAGCGACATGATCAGGCGCTCAATGCAGCGCGGCGCGAGCAGGAGGAGCGTGATGCGGCCCGCAGGCTGCGCGAACAGCAGGATGAGGCGTACCATGCGTCACTGGCCCGTGATCGTGAGCGCGAGCGCGAAGCGCAAGAGCAAGCAGAGCGGGACCGTGCTGAGAAGGAGCAGGAGCAGGAGCGCAAGCTTCAAGAGCAGAAGCACGAGGAAGCACTGTGCAAGTGGCGGTGGGCGACTCTGGCTCAAATTTTGCGCGAAGAGCAAGACACAGCCGATGCGTCGGTCAGCTCCGGTGGGTGCAAGCTCAACCTACGCCTAGATAACGGGCACCGCATCGTCAAGGTATTCCCGGAGGATGCGACGATGCAGCAGCTGTTTGACTTTGTAGAGACGCGTGAGGTTGCTGGGGAGTGGGACGCGAGCAAGACCACACCGTTTGGCGACGATATCGATGCGATCGATCCACCAACAGACTACAAACACGAATACGAGTTTTCGCTGGTCTCGCAGTTCCCCCGTGTTGTGTTTGATGATAGGACCGTCGGTCTCAAGGAGGCGCTAACCCCCCACCGCTTGTGGCCAACAGCCTCATTGATCGTCGAACCCAAGTTTGAGAACGAGGACGACGAGTGAGCTCGTCATCTGCCAAAAAGACATAGTTTTCTAGCAATAAGACCACTACCAATATATTGCAGGCATGCTGGCATTAGAAATCGATATCAACATCGTCATTGCGCTCATTGCCGGTAGGGGCTCCGCTGCTCATCGCGCTGGGCGCGCCAAACTCGGAGGCCGATGTGTCCATGGCACCGAACCCCCGGTACGCAGCACCTGCGCTCGCACCCGCATTGGCCCTGCCACCGTCAGCACCCGGCGCATCAACACGATACAGCTCGTTTTCGAACTTGCCACGGATGTTTCCGTACTCTCTGACCAGCGACTGGATCGCCTCCTTCATGACTGAGATGGGCGTGACTTCGGACGTTGTCTGCACCTTGATCTCAACGTAGTATTCGAGCGGGTGCGGTAACCGGTACGCGGCGAAGATCACATGCGGGTTCTTGAGCAGCTTGTACCGCAGAATGTTTGCGATTGTGTGGTCCTCCTTTTGAATGTTGAACTGGATGCAGTTGGGCATTTTCGAGTCTTTGATAATGTCGATTTTCTTGGCCCCCTCCGGGAGCACAAACATTTCAAAGCGTTCTGGTGCATTCATTTCGGTCTAATGGGCTGTAATTGTGAGGTTAAGCAAGGTTGAGGAGTAAAGAACAGCGACATGCAAATTTGTGAGCGAATTTGGTGTCTGCTTGTGTCCCACTCAACACGCCTGGCGGCTCGCGACTCACGAGCCGATGGCGCAAGTGCTGCAGATGGGGCCATCTGTACTGTCCTCATCTTTTCCCCTTTTGCCAAGACACAAGCCATTTTCTGTCCGGAGCATGTGCCCCTTATCTGGTTTCCCTGCACGCCTTTTCGTCTGGTTCTGTAGGGCGACTGCGCGTGCCGCGTGCAGGCAAGGCAAACAAATACACTGACTCCCGCAGCCAACTGCTCCAGTGCTGAGTAGCGTGGAAAAAGGGACAGCCACTAATTTGTTATACTGCCTAGGCCGCACAACTAATGCTCTGCCGATTCGCCGACTATTGCCTCGAATCGCAGCGCATCATCCTGTCCACATGCACAGAAAACCATGCGGTCATCGGCTGCGGGCAGCTGGGCTTCCAGGACTTGGGAAAAAAAACCTGTTTGCAGTTGTTTGGTTCGAGAGACCATTCTTGTGCTCGCCAAGCCGCGCACTTCCCAACTATCTTTTTGTTCGTTCGTAGAAGCGCTTCCTGTCACAAGTATTTTTGGCAGCTACTTTTCCGAGTCAAAGCTCCCTGTCTATAAAACCCCGACTGTGCCTCCTTGCATTTTCTTGGCAGCAAGCTATTTCTCTTTTCTCGTTTTCCTATTCTTACTAATGGCAAGCACCTCAGCATCGATACTAGTGTTTGCCTTCACTGCCGTCAAGGTAAGAGATGCATAATGTGCGGTGTCTTGGCTTGGGCTCTGTCCTCTCCCAACAGCACACGAGGATCAACAGCACGCTAACGGTTCTGGATCGGCTCCTATGTTTTGTAGGCTCTCCTCGAGGTGTTCCTCATCGGGTTCAGTGGATATGTATTTGCACGGAACGGCACACTCAACAAGTCCACGCTCAAGGTAAGAACCAGAAGAACCCCTGCAGTACCTGACCTGCTGCATAGACAGCCCTGTTTGCGTGACCCCGTGAGATCCATCTCGCCACTGATGCAAAAACAGCTAACATGCAGCAAATTGCGTCATTCTGTAGAGTCTCTCGGTGATGAGCGTCAGCCTGCTGACGCCCGCGCTACTGTTTTCGAAAATGACTGAGACGCTCGACCCGACACTGTTGGTGGAGCTCTGGAACGAACCTGTATTCTACTTTATCTACGGCGGCTTCTCGCTTCTCTGGAGCCGCATTGGCAGTCGTGTCTTTAAGCTCGACGGCGAGTATGCACGACTATGTGATGTCGCCACGTTCTTTGCAAACACAAACACGCTGCCTGTCTCACTCATCAAGAGTATTGCGCTGAGCTCTGGCTCCAGCTTTCTGCTCAAGGATGCAGCAGACACACCGCTGAAGGTTGCAGCCAGAGGCGTGTCGTACGCGATGATTTTTGCCACTCTCAACAACATCCTGCGCTGGAGCTTTGGTGTCGCGTTGATGGGTGGAATGGGCGACACAACCAAATCGACGTTCAATTCAGTGAATCCGACGCCGCGTGTCGCTACGCCCTCGGATAGTCCCACCAGCGCATTCCAGGCCGACGGAAGCCCCGGATCGCCAACCGACGTCCATGGCGAGCTCACGACATTGCTCGACGAAAGCGCCATGTCTTCCCGCCAGAGCACCCTGGCGTCTGTATGGAGCAAAACCTGCAATATTGCCACTGCGGTACGGGCGTGCTTGACTGCACCCGTGTACGCCATTATTGTCGCCTTCGCCGTCATCCTCATTGAGCCGATGCATGAGGCGCTGATGAACCCAGATACCATCTGGTACACCGTGTGGTCGGCCATCGATATGTGCGGCGATGCGTGCGTGCCGCTTATTCTTATTTCGCTGGGCGGACAGCTAGGGTTGATGGAGCGCGAGAAAGCCAGCCATAGCAAAGCCACTGGTCGTTCGGAATACCTGAGAGGCTTGGCCAGTGGGTATGCGTCGAACACATCGTCATGTGCTGAACTCAACAACCTCCAGACGATCTCTCCCTCACAGGCGACCTCTAACGGTGCTGTTGTTCCGTCGATTATCCTGCGAATGCCCACTTCCACCGAAACTCTGGAGGAGCAGATGCAGCACCGGAGCTCAGAGCAGCTCACTGTACATGTGCAGGACGAACAGTCGCAGCAGATCTCCTCGATCGAGCAAAAGCGTGGCATCTTGCTGGTGCTGACGGGGCGGTTCGTGTTTGTGCCGACTATGGCTATCATTTTAATTTCGGTTCTGCGCATCTTCTTCCCGCAGCTGCTGCCCATCATGGTCACCGACCCAGTGTACATTCTGACGCTGCTTATCCTGTCGGCCACTCCACCAGCCATCAATCTGATCACAGTTGCCCAGGCCACGGGCAAGTTTGAGACCGAGGCGGCGCAGATGCTGTTCTACGGCTACGTACTTGGTATCTTTGTCCTTGCTATCGAGGTTGCCGGCTTCCTGTGGCTGACTAGCACGCTTAGCACACTCTAAAAATGTACCATTTCAACCTTCATGTTTTCGTCGATATTGCGAATGATGCTGATCGTTTGCTTGTCTTTGTCTTATGAACATGCGTAAGCAGTAGTATTTGGGCCACAATGGACCCAGTCTGTATAGACTGATTCAGGAGACTGCATCAGTGCTAAGGGCCCCAAGAACCATGCAAGCCAGATAATTTTTAATAAAAAGTTCTTAATGCTATGCATACGCAATACAGCAAAACTGAACAGCATCATTTCTCTTCTTACTTGCCTATTGAACTTCTCAAATGGATATTACCCGCAGCACTACTGTCATAAAGACATCACTTGGTGGTATTGGCTTCCGTGATTCTATGTTGCCCCGCCTAGAGCAATTTGTACACAGCGTCAATATAATCAAAGAGCATGCATACATGCTTGCACGATGGATATTACTCCATCAACTAGCTGATGATGATGCCTTTGACCCTGCAACATTTGTGAAAAAGGGGGTTTTCGTTCTATTTATTTATTTATCTATCATAACATGAAGGCAAATCCACTTGCTGCTGCATCGGCGGCAGCAGCAGACACTGTTGCAGTACTTAACAATGAATATGCACCAGCACCCCCAGTCTATGCACACGACCCGGTCCAAGGGATTACACAATCTGTGTGAGATGTGTGGGGCCAGGTTGCAGATCTAACATCAAAGCCATTTAAGGCGCATGGTGATAGAAAATTCCACGGAATGGCAACAACAGATGGTGTAACGATATGCATTTTGCTACAAGACAAGATATTCAAGGCTGATGGTGCAGTAGATGCTGATGGTGCAGGAGGCGGTGCTGTGGGAGACAGTGTTACAGCTGACTGTCGCTATATCCACCAGATCCCACAGCCAGAGCTGCAGGATCTGAAAGGCCGCTGTGTATTCATCGATCCAGGTCGGGGCGATTTGCTATACATGATGCACGAAAATAGCAGCAATGAGAAAGAAGGTGAAAAAAATGCTCTACCGCTACACACGGCAGCAGCGCAATAAGGAGCTCAAGCTGCGCCACTATGACAGGATTCGTCAGGCTACAAAGGATCAAGTCCCAGAAGATGCTGTCTGCAGAGCGGAGGCAGAGCTTTCCAAGCATTGCTGCCGGACCCTTAGCACAGCAAAATTCCGTGTCTACGTTACTGTCCGTGCATCTGTGCGGTGTGTCCTGGCACCGTTTTATGCCAGCACGATGACAGCGCGAAGGTTACCAGAGCAGCAGCCCACTAAGTCAAACAAGCAGCACCAGAGGCGCTGGAAGGCCCATCCGGGTGTCGGGACCAGTCCCAAGGTGTACCCGCTTCACCGCAAGCTGCGCCTTGATTCATTCATGAACCAGACCCGTGCAGACCACAGGCTTGCCGCGAAACTCCGGAGCAAGCTCGGTCCAGATCCAGTGCTGGTCATGGGCAATTGGAGTGCGCCGATGGCCCGACACCATGCACCGATCCGTGGCAAGGGATGGCGCGACAAGTTCAAGCACCATGGCTTTGAAGTCTATCTGATCGACGAATTCCGGACATCGTCGATGTGCCCATTCTGCTGCGAAAAGTCGCTGCAGACATTCCGGCATGTTCTTAACCCGCGGCCCTACCAGAGATCGAAGAACCCAACTGTGAAGTGCCATGGCCTTCTCCACTGTACAAGCGAGTCATGTAAGCGGGCCATGACACAATACAGGCGAGCCTTATTCGTCTCGGCTCTTGAACCGCGATCTCGCAGCAGTTCTAAACTTCAGACTCGTTTTCCAGTCACTCTGTGATTCAGGCAGTATTCCTGAATGGTTCCGTCGCTTTACGGCCATTGCTGCCGATGCTTCTGGCACCACCCTGGCAACAAAGAGGCCGCGCAAGAGGCGTGCAGCAGCAGGCGATTCTGCTGCCAGCAGCAGCGAACCAGCGCTGAAGCGCCTGCGCTGAGCAGGCCATCAAGACAGGAGATGTCCATGATCGACATTGCACCAACAACCATCCGACACGTTCAAATGACCGGTTTGCCGTGATGCTCTTATCGACGTGTCAACCCATGCTGACTAGCAGCCGAGCTCGCATCGCGAGCAGAGTATTTCTAGTATTAAAAAATTAGGGTTCTGGCAAATGTCTAGACAGTCTCAACTTGGTCCTTCAGGTCCTCCTCATCGGACATGCCAGCCGCATCATCGGCCTGCTCCTTGATACGGAACGAGAGATAAACCATGAGCAGAGCGGAGACATCAAGCAGAACCCAGTTGACAATGAGCTGAGTGCGGAAGGCAACGCTCTTGGCATCAAGCTGCCACGAGACAGCTGCACCAACTGACTGGATGGCCTTGTAGAAGCCGGCATAGCGAGCAAGACGCGAGGCATCGTTGGTGATGGTGCCGAGAAGCCAGTACGCCATGTTGTTCCACAGAGCGTCCTGAATACCCATGCACGCATACAGAATGCAGGGGCCGGCGGCCCGGGCGGTATCCTTGAAGTCAATGGCACCTCCAGGGTAGTCGGTCGGAGTAGGAGGAGTAGTGGCAAGAGCACCGTGAGTGTACTTGTTCTGCATCTTGAGGGTTCCTCCCCACACCGCGTTGACAACGGCGAGAGTGATTAGAACTCCGTACAGAGCACGCTTCTTGCGCGACAGCGACTGGCGATCCAAAAGGCGAGTGAAGGCACCTGAGGTGACCATCTGAGCGCCCCAGTACCAGATGTTGTTGAACCCCTTCGTACGAGTGGTGAACAGCGAGCCGTTGTATGGGCCAAACTGGTACGAGTAGTAGAAGTTGGAGCTGAACATCATCGGAATCAGAATCAGCATCCACGGGTCAGCGAACAGCTTGAGGATGGCGAGAGCATCGGCCAGAATGTTGTCGACCTTCTTGATCTCGACGCGGCTCCCATCGGTACGGACAACCTTGGAAGGCGGAGCAAGAACCAGAGCGCAGAGCGAGCCACAGACTTCAATGGCAAGGAAGGCAGCATAGGCACCATCGGAGAGCGAGCCTTCATGGTTGAAGTTGGTGGCGAGAAGCACGATACCGCCGAGCACACCACCTAGGTTGAAGATGACCCAGAAGATGGTGATGAACTTTCCTTTTTCATTTTCGAGCGGATACGACATCATGATCATGCCTTGAGCAGTCCAGAAGATACCGGCGCCGAGACCAAGCATCGCGCCGGCCCAGATCGTCATCCACGAGTTCCCAGTGTGGTTGATGTAGATGTATGAGCCAGAATAGAAAGCAAACATGAGACCACCACCGAACATGGTGAAGCGGACACCACACTTGTTCACAATAGCACCACCGAAGAGACCAGAGATAATGAAGCAGACATAGAGAGCAGTGTTGGCGTTGTTACCCGCCTCACGGTCGACCTGGCCACCGCCGCCAGTACCGTTGAGAGCATTGAACATGCCTGGGCAGCCGAAGCAGATGAATCCCAGAATGACAATCTGGGTCTTCGCAGCGAAGTAGGGTAGGAATCCCATGGCTTAGAAGACTAATCGAGCCAGTCGAATGGGTAATAGCAAAATACAGGTATAAGGGTAACTTGGAGGAGGTTGCAGAGGGTGTTGGAAGGGTGAATATTAGAAGTTGTTGCGATATAGAATGGATTGGGACGAAAGGAAGGAATCAGGCACATGTTTTATATGCAAGATTCAGCGGGGACAGTTAGCATTCAGCGCAGTCTGCTCATGGGTAAGCAAAGTAAGTGTAAAATTTTGTGTGAGCACTAACCTGCTGTGGTCTGATAGCATATGCATTTTCCTCCTGCCTTGAGCAAAATAGTGACTGTTGAGCTTGAGCGCTTTCAGTTTGACCCAGAGGTGGTGCCAGAAAGTCAGTAACCAGTCCTTCCGTTCAATTACCCGATTTATTCGACACCATCCGAATAATACCAGCAGCAGAACACAACTGCAAATGGCAGCTACTGACTGTGCACAGCAGCTGAGGCCAGCAAGAAAGCTTGCATGTTGCTGTGACTGATCGTGGTTTAGCAGTGTGCACCCAGTGTGCCTTAGCCAATACACTAGCTCGCGAGCTTCTGAGAGAATATGCAACCAAACCCCTCAACGAGAGAAGAGGGGAGAGAAGCACAGAGTACTCTTCTGCATCCCTTGTCAGCTGTTCAGCTGCGGATAGTTCTGCAGGCTCACTAACAGGCGGCGGGGGCTGATTTGGGATGGCATGGGCTGGTGGCCATGGCCTGGCATTGGCCCGACGGATCAGCTCACTACAACACCGTCCACTTGAGGCAAACGCACAGTCCATAAGCCATTTTCCGGCAACACCCCCTTCGTCGCCATGACACCCGACTACTATTGGCATGGTGATCAGGACTACGCTGGCCCCTGACAAGGATCCGCTGTTAACATGTGCCTCACCAGGTTGGCAAAATATAGCATCCATGCAGCACGCAACTGCAAGCGGTCTATTAGTCTTTATTTTTTTTTTTTTAAAAAAAAAAAAACATGGCACTTGCTCAGTCTTGTTTGGCAGCTGCATCCGCCTCTTCCTTGGCCCACCGGTCCAGGCACGCCTTGACAGCAATAGGCACACCCTCGCTGTACTGGACACGCGGCTTGTAGCCCAGGTACTTCTTGGCCTTGGTGATGTTGAAGAAGCGTGGCGTGAAGGTCATGCCAAACACAAACGGCACCTCATGCTTAACCAGGTGGAGGACCGCAAGCAGCTTGAGCAGACCCAGGATCAGCGTGGCGATGAAGTTCGGGATGATCAGCTTCGGTCCGCGGTTATCGCCGACCTCGGCCCACAAGAGGCGCATGAACGAGAACATGCTGATGGGCTCGTCGTTGGTAATAAAGAAAATCTCGCCCGAGACACCATCGTTGTACAGCTTGTCGGCACACAGCAGGTGGGCATCAGCCAGGTTGCCGACGTACGTGAAATCGAACAGAGCCTTGTTGTCACCGACCTGCACCAAAACCGGCAGGTTGCGGCGCTGGGCCAGCAGAGCACCGGGTGTTGTCTGACGGTCGCCAGGACCGAAAATACCTGATGGACGCAGGGCTGCCGTGCGCATGCCGTACTTGTCATTATACTCGATCACCAGCTTTTCTGCAACTGCCTTCGTCTCCGAGTAATAGTCAGCAAACGGCTCCGCATACGGAATCGACTCGTCCACGTACTCAAGCTTCTTGCCCGCATACACCACACTGGCGCTGCTGGTGTAAACAAACTTATTGACACCGGCCTTGCGGCACGCCTCCAACACAACCTTGGTGCCCTCGATGTTGACGCGCGTATGCAGGGCCTCGGGCGCCTTCATGATGGGCGATGCGGTGTGGAACACAACGGTGGCCGTCCGATCGTGCGCATTCAGAGCCGCCTCGACCTGCGCCGAGTTGCAGATATCGCCTTGGAAGAACTCCACGTTGGCGTCGTCGAAATTGCGACGCAGGTCGAGCACGCGAATCTCGTCGCTGCTGTTGGTGCTCTGCTTGCGCTCGACCAGCGCATTCACAATCGCACGGCCCAGGAACCCCTCACCACCGATAACTAAGTACACCTCGGGCGAATTCATGGCAATTTCTGTTTGCGGAGATGAGGATATTTTGCGGGTTTATTCAGTAATGTAGGAAAAGGATGCTACGATGATATTTACCTCCTGCATCTGAACTCACTGCCGATCCGTGCTGAACCGGCCGGTTCGAGCTGGGCAATTTCAGACCCAGCTCGGGCTGGCCAAGGCACGTGATCGGTTCGCCCTGTATTTGGCTGCGATAAAAGTCCAGATGGCGCATTTTGGAGATAATCTCCAGCCCATCCGGTTCAGGGGAAACGGGTGGAAAGGCGGTGTTGGCTGCCGGACATGCCAGGCTGGCCGCGGCCGGTTCCACAGCCCTTGGCCATGTATAGCAAGACCAGATGCCATACCGGTCCCAGGACCCAACTGGGTGTCAAAGGCGATGCTAAATAGCCGATGCAATTAGTAATGAAGGAATCCTGGATGACGCTGCTCGACAGACAGAAAAAAGTTGATGCACGAATTGCGCATATTTTCGCTCATGTGAAAACAGCCAGGCAAGGCGGCATTTAGAACAGCACAAAAGCAGTCCGTTCTCACAGGGACTCTGTCATCTTCAAAGCCACCACTCCTCCTCCTCCTTTCTCCTTTCTCCTCTTATCTCATCTAGTTTTTTATACACTTTTTAGTCATGTCTGCTCTTCGCATCGCCAACCGCTCCTTCGTCCGCGCCGCACCCAAGTTCACCGCGGCCCGCACCGCGACGCCCGCCCTGGTGTTCGCCCGCGGCTACAGCAACTCGTCGCGCACCAAGTACGAGATGCCCCGCACCAACAAGTCCGCCGTCAACGTCGGGATCATTGGCGCTCTGGCCGCTGGAGCCCTCGCTGGCTGGTACTTTTACTCGAGCGAGCTGACCACGGCCGAGGCCGACTGGAAGAAGGTCAACTACTACAACGTCTACAAGGACATCGCCGACCTCCTCGAGGACGAGGACTACGACGATGGCTCGTACGGCCCTGTGTTTGTCCGCCTCGCGTGGCACGCCTCGGGCACGTACTCCAAGAAGGACCGCACCGGCGGCTCCACTGGTGGCACCATCCGCTTCCATCCCGAGGCCAACTACGGCGCCAACGCCGGCCTCCACGTTGCCCGCGAGCGCCTTGAGCCGCTGAAGAAGAAGTACCCGCACATTTCGTATGCTGACCTGTACACGCTGGCTGGTGTTGTCGCGATTCAGGAGCTCGGCGGACCTGTCGTCCCCTGGAGGCCTGGCCGGCCTGACGCCATCACTGCTGCGGCTGTTGCAGCTACCCCAGATGGTCGCCTGCCGGACGCCGCCCAGGGCGCCGACCATGTGCGCGACATCTTCTACCGCATGGGCTTCAATGACCAGGAGATTGTAGCCCTGGAGGGCGCCCACGCCCTTGGCCGTTGCCACACCGACCGCAGCGGTTTCGATGGCCCCTGGAACGCCTCGCCAACTGCCTTCACCAATTTCCTCTTCACCGAGCTCCTTGACAACACCTGGGTCCCCAAGAAGTGGGACGGCCCCTTCCAGTACGTCGACAAGGCTACTGGCCAGTTCATGATGCTGCCTGCCGACATCGCCTTCAAGACTGACCCCAAGTTCCGCCAGTACGTCGAGCAGTACGCCAAGGACCAGGATCTGTTCTTTGCCGACTTCTCCAAGGCCTTTGTCAAGCTGCTGGAGCTCGGCGTCCAGTTCCCCGAGGATGCCCCCGTCTACCAGTTCAAGCCTCTGGAGTAACTCTGCTGTCTCCCTCCCAGGAACACAAACCCACTTTTATCACATCTTTAACAAAATGAGTGCTTTTCTAACATCGGCCTCCCATTTTTATCTTGTTGCTTGCCGGCCAGCACTGGTGATTATCACGGACCGGCGCATCGCTTTGACGCGCGATCCTGCAGTCCTTTTCAAACAGATGTTGCCCAAATTTCCCGCACCCAGTCAATCCCCAGGCGAATCTTCTTCGCGGATGGCATAGCAAGGAATGCCCTGGCCGCCTACTTGTGCACGCGCCGGCTCAGTCCAGCTCGCGGCGCATGTGAGCCCGCCAACAGATCGCGGAGCGACGCGCCACCAGACTGCCCGACTCCACGCCCCAGCTTTGGCCTCGCAGCAGGCGTCAGGGTTGGTGATGACAGCGATGACGATGACGACAATCCCTTGACGAGCTTGGGCCGTGCGGTCAGGGCCGTGGTAGGTGACGAGAGCAATGAGCCAAGCGGTGCATTCCGCTTTGCTGGCGAGGCAATTGCTGGACGCTTGGCTGGCGATGAAGATATTGATGGCTTCTTTAGTGCTGGTTTCCGCTTTGATCCTGCTACTGTCTTCGCCGTTGTTGTCTTGGTTCGGGCCACTGCCGGCTTCTTTGCTGCAGACGCTTTCTTTGCATTGCCAACAACGACTTCTACACTGCCCCTCTTTCCCTTGCTGGTGAAATCCATATCATCCGCGTAGTCCGACTCTTCGTCGTCTTCGTCGCTGTAAGCATCCTCGTCGCTATCGTCGTATTCTGGTGCACTGCGCTTGGATCCCCTGTTGGATGAAGTATCTTGCATGGTCGCCTTGACTGGCCTTGGGCTGTGATCCAGATTATCACTGTACATACTGGACAGGTCGCTCTCGCTGCTACCTCGCTTTGATGCCAGCACATCCAATGCAGAACTCGAACCGGCTCTGGGGCTTGACGAGGCCGATGGATTGCGGTTGCTAGGAGATGAGTCTACTAGGATTGTGTCTTCACGCTCAATGTCCTCCTTACCACCTGTCTGCTTCTTCTCGGATTTGGGTGGAGATGCCCTCCTCTCCTTTGCACCTGATGCATCCGATACCTTCTGCTTCTTCCCTGTACGTCTTGCCTTGGGAGCTGGTCTACATAAATATATCGCCTATCATCAGCTCCAATGCCACCGCTTTCCTCCCTAGAGCCATTTTGTCCACATGTGTCGTGTGTACTTACTCGGCATCAGACACCTGGAAGTCCGACTCTTCGCTGTCGCCAACAAATTTCTCGGTGTAATTGACCTGCTTGTGCGTCCTGGTGCTAAGGTAAGAATTAGCTTTAGCTCATAAACACTATGCGTAGCGCCTCAGTTTATGTGTCTCTAGCCGTACCTACCTTGCGCGAGCCATTCTTGGCTGTGAATTTGCCTGTGTTGTAATGAAAGCACGGTGTTGCAATTAAAGCTCAAAATAAAAAGAAAAACAGAAAGAGAAAATGGTTCGAACCAGACCACCTCAAAGAGAAAAATCCTATTCTTGTTGGGCTGCGCACAAAAACACAGGGCGCAGCCCAGAAAAGGTGTGCGATTCGCGTTTGCTCCCTTTTGGCCGAACACCCCTCCCCGCTCCTCTCGTACTTATGTAAACACAGTGGACGACATCATATTGGCGACGTAGTTCTCCAACGTTTTTTGCTCTTGGGCGAGCTTGGCGATTTCTTGCTCCAGGTTGTCGTAGGTTTCCAGCTTGGTCTGCAGCTCCCGCAGCATATCGGCTGTGCCCCTGGCAGACGGTGTTTTGTCAGCCTGTAGATCGCCCGCGGCCATGCCTTGTTTCTGCGACATGATGAACCAAGTAAACGTATTTGTAAGATTGAGATGCTCTGAACAGGCCTGTCCGAAAGACTGGCCGGGCAATTTTCGTGATCGTCATATGCGGCCAGCGTGATATGGGGTCACCAACATGCGCTACACAAACTCTTGCTGGGATCTGTTCCGGGTGTTTGGAGGCTTTGGAAAAGTATGTTCATTAGCTAATGTTACAGAAAAGAAAAGAATAGATTGGCTCCTTTCACAGGAACATGATGGCAGTGTTGTTCTGCTTGAATGGGGCCAGCGTTATGCTGCCGTACTGGAGTCCGTTCTCAGGCACCTTCTGACCGAGAATTGTTGCCTCGCCAATGGTGCTGATGCTGCTGCTCTGGTTGGAGTGCCTGCTGGGAGTGGCATTGTTCTTGGCGGATGTGGGTGCAGCATCGGCGCTGTACAGAGTCCGATCCGACTGGCGAGAAGAGGTTCTGAAGAGGAATGCCATTGTTGTTGACGTAGTTTTAATAAAGGGAGGTGTTGTTGGCGATGTAGCTGTATCAAAGAGTAGTGTTGTTTTGTGTACTGATGAAAGAGACGGCCTGATGCGATGGAGTCCTGAGCACGCCCTTATATACCCCCTGCTGGCTCAATGTATTTGTCACTGGTAGCCCCGTGCCCATCCGCTGGTCGAAAAAAAGATGTTCATACATGAGTGAGTATGGCCAGTCAACCACGGAAGGCAACTTGCAGGAAATATGCATAATTTTCATGGTGGATTGTGCGTTATTTTTCCCGCTTACAAATCCAGTGGGCTGGGCTTTCCTGGACTGCCTTCTTGGTTTTTGGCGCTGTGCTGCGGCCATACCCAGTGGCTTGTTTTGGACGATAGGGAATCCTCAGCATTACCTTATCTAGGGATGCGCTGTGAGTTCCTGGTAATGGAGTCAGCGAGCGGTATTTTCTGGGGAACTTTCTTGGTGCGCAGCTGGGCCACTGAGTGTGACTGGTACACAGGCGGGATCACCAGCCATTTGCCTTTCCCCTTGAAATGCTGCCATTTCCACTGTTGACTCATGACGAAGTTGCACTGGTGCCATAAAGAAGGCGTTGCTTGGCCGCAGCATCGCCATCCCTGAGTCGAGGTGGTAGAGTGTGTCAGATACCTTGTGATCACCACACGGGGCGCTTGCCGAAGACGCAGCGGAATGCGATATGAGGAAGTGCACCAACGATTGGCCATGGTTTGCTCGCCTGGGCCAGCTGTCAAGTCGGGTAACAACCAGTAGTCTTCGCATACAGTCTGGAAAGCTGGTGCCTGGGTGCTGCAGCTGCGGCGATACCGAATCAGCCATGCGCTTTGTCTGGCCCTTGTGAATGCACGCTACCATCATCCCGAGAACGCATACCGATACTGGCTAATGCTACTCTACTTGGCATCGAAACAAATCGCTCACAGCTGCAAAGCGAGCTGAAAGTATTGCAGCTCGCGGCTCGCACGTCACCAGCACATCCACTGTAGGCTTTTTGTGTGCAAAGGTGTCATCGGGCAAAAGCAGCGTTCAAACCACAGCCCCGCTTCCCGCGTTTCTTTTTTTTTTTTCCAGCAATTATTCAAATTCATAGAAATTACAGGTACGGGTAGTGGAAATGTTCAGCTTCCAGGGCGACTTTAAGCGGCAGCGCAATATAAACCTGGGCGGCAACCGGCGGAACGACCCCAAGCGCTCAAATGCACAGGCAACCTTGCTCAAAGCGCAGGAGGAGCGGCAGAAGCGCGAGGTAGAGCGGCACCGGCAGCAGGCAGCGCTGACTATACAAAAATTCTGGCGTGGGACGCGGGCAACAGAGCTGTGGCGGCAGCACATGCGTGAGACCTGGGACTTTTGGCAGATTAACAAGCAGCAGGATCGTGCGATGACGTACGCGCGGCTGGCAGATTTTGCTGCGTACTTCAACCGGTGCAGCCAAGAGGATATTGCTTCGCTTTGCAGGGTGCTTGAGTGGCTGTTTGGCAATTCGTCGCTGGAATACAGGCATATTATTGGAGCTGAGAGTGCGGCGGGGTTGCCCAGTGAGCAGGAGTGGGCAGTGCTGCTGGCGTGGCTGCTGAAATCTGCAATGACAGTGCCGGCTGCGGATCTTCCTGCTGACGATATGGTGCTAAAGTCGCTGCTCAGCGCGTGCTTAACAGGGACCGGGTCCCGCACCGAGCGTCTGGTATTGCGGAACCTGATACAGCACAAGGGCCTGTACGAGTACTTGGTGGGATACATTTCTGGCCCTGAGCGCAGGTCGTCGAGCAATGGAGTAGGCATTGCGGCCCAGCTGCTGGTGCTGCCATTCGAAGTAAGTGGCATGCAGGAGCTGGCAGTGCCCAAGTTTACTCGTTCAGTGATGGGGGTTCCGGGCCTTCCCAACAGAATCGGCGTGCACGGCGTCACCACGTTCACCAAGAGCCGCATTCCATGGGCAGGGGTCGCTAGCCAGGTGCAGGCAATCATGGAGCGCGAGCACGAGGAAATCAAGCGCCTGCCGACTGGTGCGTTTGCTGCTGCAGCATCGAGCGACACGGTATGGCAAGCATCGCTTCTGGCTACCAGCATGTTAGGCAACCTGACGGCGTTCCTGCTACCACATATTGCGCGAGAAAAGACGGTATCGGTGCTATCAGAGTCGTTTGTCCGGGCATGTGCTGCATGCGCACGGCTGATCCCTAATGGCGAGCTGTTTGAAGTCAAGGCGAAGCATGGCTCAGCGGCGGGCAAATTGGCTGTGGCCAAGTCAGTAGATGTGAATGCTTTGCGGTGGCTGCATAGTGTGTTCTCGGTCCAGATCCTCGAGATGCTAGTGCGTGCGTGCAGCTCCAAAGTCCCATCCAGTATCGCAAGTGAGGCGCAAGAGCTGCTTCTCGTGTTCATTCAGAGGTGGGGCAACACTGTGCGTAATGCTGTGCTTGACAATCTCCTGCAGGCTGTAGATGTGCGGACAGTTGGCTGGCGCTCATGCATCCATGACCAGCTTTTCCTCGAGCACTTTGCCGGCGACCGGGTCAAAATCGACACGATCCGTGCACACAACCTGGTGTCATTCCAGCTGCTATGCGAGGTGCTGAACCACCAGCTGCAGACACTGGGGGATGACGAGCTGTTCCGACAGAACATGTCGCTGCCGGTCGCTGACATCAAGACGATTGCAAGGGTGTGTCGCAATATTGCGTTCTGTCTGCACTGGTCGCAGACCACCGACGGGGATCTGACCCGAGTCCGCGATACAGCAACGGATCTGACGCGGCAGCTGTTTACCCGCGACACGCGCCATCCATTCGTGGAAGAGGGGTTCTGGCTCGTGCCGCCCAGCCTCTTGGATATGTCGTCGTTTGCGGACCGCGTGGTTGAGGATCCGGCGTTCGATGCCGACCCTGCGTCGCTTGATGGCGGTGACGAGAACGACAGTGACGACGAGTCGGACAGCGACGAGGAAATGAGCTCTGACAGTGAAGACAATTCGGCAGCCCTGGCTCCTGCCATTGGGCCCCGGCGCAGCGGGCGGCTTGACTGGCTGGTCAGCACGTATTCTGGGCTGGCGCGCAACCGGCGGCAGCGCACCGACTCGTCGATGCTGGCGCCCCGTGTGGCTATCCTTCGCTACATCCCGTTTGTTGTGCCGTTCAACGACCGCGTGCGACTGTTCCATGCGCTAGTCAACAAGGACCGCGGGCGACTCGGGCTTGGGAGCCTGGGCAGTGCCATCCACGCATCGCCAATGGGTATGATGGCGGTGGCCCGGGCTACTGTCAGGCGCGGGAGCATCTTCAACGACGGGTTCCGCGCGCTGTATCCAGTGCTGAGTGGAAGGCCAGTGCATGGCATGGACGACGACCCGGTGGCGCCCCGGCCGCAGCTGAGTCCGGCTGAGCGGTTCCGGCAGGCAATGCGCACCGGGTTCGGACCCCTGGACGGAATGCTGGGCTTGGATGGCGAAGCTGCCGACGAGGAATTTGAGCAGCGGCGCAGCGACGAGCAGGTGGCCGAGGATCCGTTTGGATTCGGCCCGGTGCTGCCGGCTCCTGGCACCAATCCAGACAACCGGCTGAGCCGCAGCGACAACTTCAAGCGGCGCATGCACATCGAGTTCATCGACCGGTACGGGATGCCCGAGGCGGGCATTGACGGTGGCGGCGTGTTCAAGGAGTTTCTGACGAGCCTCGTCCGCGAGGCATTTGATCCCAAGCTCGGACTGTTCAACACAACACCGCAGAACAACATTTATCCAAGCCCCAGTGCCCTGGATGACGCAGAGCAGCGCATACTGACGCTCGACAAGCTGAGGTTCCTGGGCGCTGTGATCGGCAAGGCATTGTACGAGGGTGTGCTGGTGGATGCGCCGTTCGCGCTGTTCTTCTTGATCCGCTGGATGAACCAGCTGCCGGGCTTCAACGACCTGCCGACCCTCGACGAGGACCTGTACCGCGGCCTAGTCAATCTCAAGAACTACCCAGTCGGCGATGCCACACAGCAGTCGGACGACGACGACAGCGATGAGGACGAAATCTACCAGGTCTTTGGCCTGGACTTCACGATCACCGGCAGCACGCGCAACGGCAAGACGCGCACAGTGCCCCTGGTTCCGCGTGGCGACCGGCTCAAGGTCACCTCGCAAAACCGGCTCCTGTATGTGGACCTGGTGGCGCAGTACCGGCTGGTCAAGCAGATCGACGCGCCAGTCAACGCCTTCGTCGCCGGCCTGCACTCTGTGATTCCGCCCGTGTGGCTCACGCTCCTGTTTGCGTCGCCGCTGGAGCTCTCGCACCTGCTGTGCGGCAACGCCAATGCCATCGACATCGACGACTGGAAGCGCAACACCGTGTACGAGGGCGCCTACAAGGCGGCTGCCACGAAGCACCCGACTATTGTCAACTTCTGGAGCGTCGTCGAGCACGACCTGACTGAGCGCCAGCGCAGCGAGCTGTGCAGGTTTGCGACCAGCTGCGAGCGCCCGCCGCTGCTGGGCTTTGGAGAGCTCACGCCCAGGTTCTGCATTCGCAGCAGCGATGACGGCGGCGAAAACACCGGCCTGATTCTCCGGCCGTCGGAGGAGCAGAATGCGCGGCTGCCCAGTGCATCGACCTGCGTCAACCTGCTGAAGCTCCCGATCTACAGCTCCCGCGGCGTCCTGCGCGAGAAGCTCGTCACGGCTATTGAGTCTGGGGCTGGATTCGACCTGTCGTAGAACTCTTTCAGGAGGTTATATTTTACAAGACATTCTTCACTAGGTTCTGTTAGGCATGCCAGCCGGGTTTTATTGAGAAACGACGGCGACAAGACAAGGTTACTGGGCAGCAGACGCTTAGATCTTGGCGGCAGCGATCTCGCGGGCAATAGCGGCCTCCTTCTTGGCGGTCTTGGCCTGCGACTTGGCGCCCATGACACCTCCACCCCAGGTGCGGCGGATCTCGTCCGACTTCTCGGTGAAGTTGGCGTTGACAGCCGACACAAGAGCAGCAAGCGAAGACTTGTCCTCGGCCTTGACGTCGACAAGAGCCAGGGCAGTGGCGGTCTTCTGGTGGACAACGGTGCCGAGGCGGGCCTTACCCTTGACAATGCAGTAGGGGACACCCATCTTGCGGCAGAGGGCGGGCAGCCAGACGACGATCTAGACAGAACACATGACAAGGAGTTAGGAAAAGAGTTTCTACCATCTGCTTACCTTCCCGGCGGGCGTGCTCGCTGCACTCCACCACCCAAGTGAACAACTGCGACGTCCTGGCTGCGCTATGCGACACAAACGAGCAACAAAACCCAAGCACGCCCAAACGATCGAAAAGCAAGACAACTATGACCATGTGCATCAAGCCCCAGCACGCAGCGAAACCCGAATTCGGGCTTCCCTGGTGGGAGACGAGAAGGGGGTCATTGCAGACACGGGCTGCCCTTCCGCCGCCCAGAAGGGAGGAAGAGGGGCCCGCGACTACTAAAAGAGCACACCAGGCGATGCGCTCTTTGCTTTCGTCCTCAAGGCCACGGAATGGCCGAGGCATTTGGTCATGAAATGGGGGTCATTGCACATTTCGCAAGCACGGCTCAGGACGCCCGTCCCATCCACAAGAGTGAGGAAGGCAGGGCGAGGCCTGGAGGAAGTGTTGTGGAATGCACTACTGAAGCTGGCCATTGCTGGCGCAGCCTCGTCCCATAGCAACGAAATTTCAGGTTCTTACCTCGATGGGGTCGACATCGGCGGCGATGACAACGAGCTGGGCCTTCTTGGACTCAACCAGCGAGGTGATGTGGTTGATACCGTACTTGACGACCACGGGCTTCTCGGTCTCGGCGGCCTTCTCACCGGCGGCGACCTTCTCGGCCTGGGCGGTCAGACGAGCGCGCTTCTCCTGCTTGGTCTCGGGGCGGTACTTGGCCAGGAGCTTGAACAGCTGGACGGCGGTGTTGCGGTCCAGGGTCTGGGTGAACTGGTTCAGAGCAGGGGGGACCTTCAGGCGCATGCGCAGGATCTTGCGCTGGCGCTGCAGGCGGACGTACTGCGGCCACTTGACGTAGCGCGACAGGTCCTTCTTCGGCTGGATGTCCTGGCCGATGCCGAACGAGCGAGGGCGGCGCTCAAAGAGCGGGTCCGACTTCTTGGTCGAGGCACCCTTCGACGACTTGACGTTGTAGGGCAGAGGAGCAACCTTCTTCTTGGACGACTTCTGGGGGGCCATTTTTAATTTTCCTTGGATTCGTTCGGACCGGTGATGGATGCGAATACGCGACGAAAAATAGTAAGAGGAGGAAACGGATCGCTTTCGCGCAGAGGCAACGCATTTATGCCGAATCTGGGCAAGGCGTGGGCAGCAGCGCAGAAAAAAAAAACTGTGCGCCGATCTGGTGATTGATCGTTTGATTTGATGCTGGCCATCGGAGATAATCGGCCCAGCTGCCCAAGATCGACTCCCTGAAGCCCGACAGACACACATGGCCGAGTGAGTCACTTACATGGGGCCATGATAACGGGAGTCTGTGGCCCGAATTGGATCGGCTATGTGCAACGAGCAGTCCAAGGTACCAGACGCGCATCTTATCTCTGAAACCACGCACAAAAATAGTCTTCTACAGCTTTTTCAGAGCCCACAAAGCAAATAATGCTACGGCAACATCCTGCGCTTCGCAACATCACCCGGCGGTATGCATCTGGCGCTGCCTCGACCGGCCCGCAGCCACGTGCCTCAGTGCCCAACTACGCGCTCTTCAACGAGCGGCTAGGCAAGGCCCGCTCGACAATACTCGAGAACAAGCCCCTGACACTTGCGCAGAAGATCCTGTACGCCCACCTGCACGACGTGTCGGCCATGTCCAGCGCGCCGGTGCCAGGCGAGACGTATCTGAAGCTGTCGCCAGACCGAGTAGCCATGCAGGACGCGTCGGCACAGATGGCGATTCTGCAGTTCATGCTGTCAGGCATGCCGCAGACGGCAGTGCCCACATCGATCCACTGCGATCATCTGGTGGAGGCATACGAGGGAGCCGACAAGGACGTTGCGCGCAGCTGGCAGACGAGCCGCGAGATCTACGAGTTTTTGCAGGCGGCGTCGCAAAAGTACGGCATTGCGTTCTGGAAGCCCGGAAGCGGTATCATCCACCAGCTTGTCCTGGAAAACTACGCGGCACCCGGCACGCTGATGCTGGGAACTGACTCGCACACGCCCAATGCTGGCGGCCTCGGCATGCTGGCCATTGGCGTTGGTGGTGCCGACGCTGTCGATGCCATGGCAGCTATTCCGTGGGAGCTCAAGGCACCACGCGTGCTGGGCGTGCATCTGAAGGGCAAGATGAATCCGTGGGGCAGCCCCAAGGATGTGATTCTGAACCTGGCTGGCCAGCTGTCGGTGCGTGGCGGGACCGGCTATATTGTTGAGTATTTTGGCGAAGGCGTTGACTCGCTGTCATGCACGGGCATGGCCACAATCTGCAACATGGGTGCTGAAATTGGAGCTACCACATCGGTATTCCCGTATACGGCGTCGATGAGACGCTACTTGAGCGCCACACAGCGTGCCGATATTGCTGAGGCCGCAAATGCCCAGCAGGCAGCGTACCTCAGCGCCGACACTCAAGTCAAGGCTGACCCCGCAAAGTACTACGATCAGATTGTCGAGATCGACCTGGACAAGCTTGAGCCGGGCTACAACGGTCCGTTCACGCCAGACCTGTACACCGCGCGGTCCAAGATGTCGGACCAGGTGGCCAAGGAGGGATGGACCGACAAGGTCAGTGCGGCTCTTATTGGCTCATGCACGAACTCGTCGTACCAGGACCTGTCGCGCGCCGCATCGCTGGCTCGCCAGGCCTCGAAGCACGGCATCAGGGTGGCTGAGGGCACCGAGTTCCTGGTCAGCCCCGGCAGCGAGCAGATCCGAGCGACCATGGAGCGCGACGGCATCCAGAGCGCCTTCGAGGCGATTGGCGCCAAGGTCCTTGCCAACGCCTGTGGGCCCTGCATCGGCCAGTGGAACCGCGACGAGAACCCGGTGGTGAAGAACCGCGAAATGAACTCGATCGTGTCGAGCTTCAACCGCAACTTCCGTGCACGCAACGACGGCAACCCGAATACGCTCAACTTTTTGACGTCGCCGGAAATGGTGCTGAGCGCTGCGCTCAGCGGCCGGCTGTCGTTCAACCCTCTGACCGACTCGCTGACGGCCGCCGATGGCTCCCAGTTCAAACTCGAGCCGCCCGCCGGCAACGAGCTGCCCACAGAAGGCTATGCGGCGGGGCGCGCCGAGTACCGCCCGCTGTTGGACCACAAGCCCGAGATGCATATCCCGATTACGCCGACCTCGCAGCGCCTGCAGTCGCTCGAGGCATTCAAGCCCTGGGACGGCCAGGAGTTCAAGGACACACGTGTACTCATCACCGTGCAGGGCAAGTGCACGACCGACCACATCTCGGCTGCTGGCAAGTGGCTCAAGTACAAGGGCCATCTGGAGAACCTGGCCCGCAACACGCTGATTGGCGCAGCCAACGCAGCGCTGGACGGCAAGGTCAACTGGGTACGCAATGCTATTGATGGCCTGGAGCCGGCCGAGGGCACCATCCCCGATGTGGCCACATCATACAAGAACAGCAACGTGCCGTGGCTGGTCATTGCTGACTACAACTACGGCGAGGGCTCGGCCCGCGAGCACGCTGCCATGCAGCCGCGCTTCCTCGGCTGTAACATGGTCGTGGCCCGGTCGTTCGCGCGTATCCACGAGACCAACCTGAAGAAGCAAGGTGTTCTGCCGCTAGTTTTTGCCCGCCCCGACGAGGACTACTTCCTGTTTACCAAGAACCCACACGAGCTGGTCGTGCGCACCGAGGGCGTCAAGGATATCTCCGAGTCGACCCCGACCGTCTCGCTTATTGTCGATCGCGTGCAGAACGGCAAGGTTGTCGAATCCCACACTGTTCTTTGCAACCATACCATGAGTGCTGACCAGATCGGGTGGTTCAAGGCCGGCAGTGCGCTGAACCTGATTGCCTCGCAGCAAAAGTAGAAGCGCCATTGTCCAGAAAGAGTGATTTTAAAATTATTCAAAAAGAGCGCTGCAAATGAAATGCGCGAATTTGGAATATGTGGGTATCCCTGCCACAACCCAGATTATCTGGAGTCATGTACGTCATTGATATACGGAGTACATCCCAGATCGGTACCCGATTAGCCCTGTCATGTAGCATCGTGAGTGGAGATGGGAAGATGCAAGTTTTTTACAACAATAAATGTGACAGAAACTAAGGATGAGAAGAGAATAGCAAACAAATAATAAAGACTACTATGTACTGGCCAGCAGGCAAAAATGAAATCGAAAGTGCTTCGTTTTGTATGGTGTAGTGTAGGTGTTGGACTTGGCAGGCTTTACATCTCCATCAAGCCGCCCATCTCGACAAAGGCCGGGAACATGCACCTGCGGGGCCCTGTTGGCGGCGGACTGCGGCTGACGATGACCTGGCGCTCAGCCTCGGTCAAAGGATAGTATGAGTACCGGTTCTCGCGCACCGGCGCCGGCTCGCTAAATGCGCGTGTGCGGCCCGTGTAGACCAGTGTGTCCGACGATAGTCTGCCCGAGTCTGTGCTGGCAAGCGAGCTGCTGACGCTGGTCATATCGTACTCGATGTCGATTGACCGCCCGCGCAGCCTGTCGAGAAGACGCGGCCTGCGCGACTTTGCTGTGGTGTGCCGGATGCACCACCCGACGATTCTCTTGAACGAAGACATATGCAACGGCTTTTTTTATACAGGGTGAATGAAAGGGAACTTGATGGCCAGACCAAGCTATGGATGAATGCAAAGATGAAAATGGTTGGTGATTCTGGAGATGAAAAAGGAAGTTGTTGGTTTGGTCGAAGAAATGGAAGAGGGGAAGCGGTGGATGGGGAGCTTGGTTTATATAAATGCCGAAAAGGCAACCTGTTTTTTTTTTGGAGTTTCTTGCGAAAGGCAGTTTCCTGGCGTACGAGGCAACGTTTCCCAGCCTCAGTAGAAAAAAGTGCCAGCCTCATGCACCGACTTTTTTTTCCCAGACAGCCTGACCAAATGCTCTGAAAGCCGCAAGCAATTCCTTGCAATAGGGGAGGAGGGAATGCAATAGTGACAAAACAATGATACGCACCAGGCTGGCCAGCGGCTTGCCGGTTGGTGGCCGCTTTGTCTGTCGAGACGGTGGGGATATGCTGTTTCAGTCTAGTAAAGAACCTGAATTCACAGACACAAGATTCCAATTTGCCCACAACCCGCCTCACTAGGCGGGAGGGCGGCATTCATGGACCTTTTTTGCCCTATTTGGGATGAGCATTGTCTGATGTCAGAGCGACCTGTGGCTTGGGTGGGCCGGCGTCTGCAAAGAGACTTTGGCAAATCGCCTGTTAATTGGATCCAGGTCCCTTCTGCATCGCAGGCTCATCAGACACTGGCCAGCATACTGCCCAAAGCCCATGTTTTGGCTCTCCACTGGTTTACAAAGAGCACCTGCCAATCGCCTAAAGGGGAGGGAGGCAGGGCGAGGGGCAGCAGCTCAGTATTTTTGGCCTATCGCCAGAGAAATCAACCCCTCTCTGCATTCTAGAAATGCCTGCTTCGTTGTTTTGGCTATCCCGTGTCTGAATGTGGAGCCGGCACCCGGATCCATACTGTCATGCCTACTGTGTGGGGATGGGGGGGGGTTGGGCTGGACCGCGGTCCGCAAACCGCCAAGCAAACAAGGCAGTATGGATTTAATATCCCATGTCCACTACGCCTCCCTCATTTCCCTATTGCGGCAGTCGAAAAAGAAACAACAAAGCGAAAAGCCCGGCCCTCGTCCATTGATTCGGCAAAGTCAGCTTAACCCGAGTATGCCACATTCACGATGGGCTGTCTCGTTGATTGTTGTTACCCCGGTCTGCATCGGCAAAGCAAAGGCGAAAGCGCTCGGAAGCAGTGGTGGGCATCCCATTCAGCAGCGCCGCATTCCCCCATGGTGTTGTTGGTCTTTCTCGATGCATTCGGGGGGCAGGCATGCAAGGACGCTCTTGCCTAAACTGCTCACGGTTCTGCGCACCGGCAGACAGACACAGTCCTGGGCAGAGCTGTCGACAGGCGAATGATTGTTGTCTATTCTTAGCAGAGCACAATCGAACAGGCTGTGTGCAGGCATGTATGCACAGCGAGGACCGCATGCCGACGGTACGCCTGGCACCGTAGCAGAAACAATATGTGGAATCGCACATGGCGAGCAGGCAAGTATTATGAACAATGTAATATAGGTGTGATTATAGAGTCTTGACAAAGACGTGGGCGTGGCTGAGCTGCGGCACACTCTGCTTGGCGACGGGATTGACGAAATACCGCCATTCGACGTCTTGGCCAAACCTCAGCTGGATGGCCTGCACGGCGGCCTCGGGAGCGTCGAACCCGGGCGTCAGGCGCTTGCGGCACCACATAACCCAGTGCTCCACCCCATCGGCCAGGTAGTACGGGAAGTCGTTGACGCGGAACAAAAAGTCACTGGTGTCTATGGGCGCGCTCTTAGCAAAGCCAGGCGCCATGGTGGTGGCAATGAAGTCGGCCAAGGCATGCTTGATCAGGAAATTAGCCACTGACCCGTACTCGCACCGCATCCGCGCCATGTGCTTCTCGTACCGCGCCTGGCACTCGTAGCTGCGGCCCAGCGGCTCCAGGTTCTTCGCGTCGACCAGCTGCTTGAACCGCTCCCAGGGCACGGGCGCAGGCACCCCGGTGCGGCCGCCGCGCGCCCTGGATGCTCCCTTGGACGCGTGGACGCCGCCCGGCAGCGAGGCTGTGCGTACCAGCGACGAGGGGATGCGTGTGGCAATCGGTGACTCGGGTGGCGTAGCGAGGCCCGTCTCCAGCTTGACCGGCGTCTGCGGGTCGGCCTTGCGTGTGCCGTCGCACCTCGGCGACACGCAGATCATCCGCGGGGACAGATCGAGAGAGGGGAGTTGGACTGGCATGTGGGTGGTGATATTATACAGCAGGGGGCGCTTGAACATGTTCAAGAAAGAGCCTTTCCTAAGCAAGCGGGCCATGGCTGAAGGCGGGTTTTTATAGTCGGCTGAAGCACGATGAAAATTTTTAATACGCAGCTTGGGAAGCAAAACGGCGAAATTTCGGTGACACAGTGAAACACCCGCCGCACAAAAGCCCACGACCGAGAGTGATGCGCCCATTTGCGCATGGGGTCGGCCTGCGGTGATCGATTGGTCCGGTCATTTTGTCGGGCTCCGCAGATTGGCTGGTGGGCTCCGCTTGACAGCTGCTGTTGGGCAAAGGACGGTGGCTACGTCCTTTTAGACTTGGCAGCTACGGCTTGCCCCGGTTGTTGGCAGGCAGCGCTCATTCCATCGGTCGTGGTCGGCTCCCGATGCATCTCTAAACATATTCAAAAGCGATTACTGATCACTTCACCCAGACGCATTGCCTGGAATTTGTAGCCTGGCCCGGTGTTCCGCCCATCAGTGTTCACCCGCTGTGCTCCACGTGTCCGCCTGTGCGCGGAGCAGGCCAGCGGCATTTCTCCGTCCGCACATGCACCTCGGCACTAGCCCCACTATCTTTCTCACGCGCCGAATCGACATCGAAACGCAAAGTCTGTTATCTTTGCAGTCTCTTGATCGATAAGCAGCCCTTGCCAAAGTCAACGACATCTCGATCAAGAAAAACCTTGTTGCTCTGGCTCCTCCACCCCCAAAAATAAGGCTCCCAAAGCCCCTCATGCGCATACGAGTAAATCATATGATCGGACAGGCCGCAATTCCGTCACACCAGAAGTTTCTGGGGTGGTCTAGTTTCCCGGACGAGCCAGACGGGTGGTGGTGGCCCACCATGGTGCGGACTTTGTTTGACGGCGTTTTCAGAAACTTGACCGGCTAGCCGATACTAAAAGCAACGGAGCTTGTGCTCAGAACTGAAGAAGGGCATGCCTAGGGCTGCTGTGCGCTCATCACCAACACCTAATGTGCATAAAAGAGGAGTGGCAGCCATGCACTAGAGCTGGCTGCTGCATTGTTTCTCTTTCTTGTCTCTTTGCAATTACGCAATCTTATTTCCTACTTTGTACTTTAAGGCTATTCTCCCCCTATGGCAACCACAAAGACCGAGCAGCCGGCTAAGCAGTGGCAAATACACTTTAGCATGCCGACTCGCAAGGACATCCGATACGTGTTCAAGCCGCCCCCCGAGGAGAAGCACCGGCGATGGCGCCTATTCAAGTCGTATATCGTCGACTGGATAATCGTGGTCATTGTCAATGCAGGCGGTGGAGCATTTGGGGCGCTGGGCCCTCGACACCGCGAGTTCTCGCTACACGACCGGTCGATCCGGTACTCGCACCACTACTCGTACGTGCCTGATTTTGTGCCGCCCCTTGTTGGCTACGCCTCGCCCGTCCTCAGCGCCATTCTGTTCCTGATAATCCGGCGACGCAACTGGCATGACTTCCACTGCGCAGTGCTGGGCATCTTCCTGGCCATGGGCCTGAACAACATTGCAACCAACGTGCTGAAGAATGCGTGTGGACGGCCGCGCCCAGACTTTATCGCGCGGTGCAATCCATCGGTCGACAAGGACCCGCCGCTGAAGCTGGTGGACTACACTGTGTGCCAGCAGACGGACCTGTCGTACTTGCACGAGGGTATGCGAAGCTTCCCGTCGGGCCACGCGTCGCTGTCGTTCTGCGGGCTGACGTTCACGGCATTATACCTGGCGTCGCATTTCCGCTACAATGACCAGCGCGGCCACGCGTACAAGTCACTTGTATTTTATGTGCCGTTGTTTTGTGCTACCCTGATCGCCGTGTCACGGACTGCTGACTACCACCACCATTGGAGCGACGTACTGGCGGGATCGGTCATGGGGTGCTACATTGGGTGGTTCGGGTACCGCACATATTTCCCGCCTGTGTTTGACCCCATGGTTCTGTCCGATAGGCCGTATCCGAGACGCATCCCGAAGCCCGCGAATCTGGCACACATCGGGTACAGCAACGGCCACCTTTTGCCCGTGGATGAGGACCCGTACCAAGTTGGCTCGTCGGGTCACAGCTCAAGTCTGCAGCTGACACGGCCGCATGCGTCGAACACACAAATGGCAGCGACTGAGCAGCCGGCGGTAATTCAGATCGACCCAGAGATCCAGCCGCCCACCAGCCTTACAATGCCTGCCGACTCGCTCCATGTCAACATGGTCCGAGCCTCACGCCAAGTCGCCCATGAGGAGCCTGCGCCCAAACAACCAGCAGCAGGGGCGTCTGAATAATTCTTCACATTGTGTGTAAAATTTTGGTAATATAGGGGTATTTATTGCTAGTGGCTGTGACAAGACGCTGGGTATTGTCGCAACAATGTTACTCACCTACACGCCTGTGAATAACGTAAAAGTACAGAATGGCATCCAGGCACCCTTTTTCCGTAGCCTCAATATGTGGTGTTGGCCCACGAGCCAATCTCCATGTCCAGCCGGTCCCGGGCCAGCAACGCCTCGCGCAGCATCGCCTGCGCGTTGTTCAGCGACCTCAGCAGAACCGCCACCGCCCGGCCCTGCCCTTCACCCATGGCCTTTGTCTGATACTCGAGCGCCCGCGTAATATCCGAGATGCGCTCCAGCTGCCGGCTTATTTCGGTCGTATAGTGCTCCCGATATTGGCGCAGTCGCGCGACCACCTGCTGCTTGTTCAGCAACGCCTCGGAAGCAGCACAGGCTGCTTCCAGCGTGCACCCAGAGGCATCGACGACCGAGGGAGAGAGTGTGTTCATTTGAAATTAGAATTGGGGTGGAAAATGTGTGAGAAAAAACAGTTTTTACTAGAAAAGGAGAGCAGAGAACGGAGCGTGGAGAGAAAACTGCCATTTTTGTTGCCAGGTACGATCGATGCACTGTTTGTAGCATCGGCTTTTTTTTTTACACACCTGGTCACATGGGATTTTTGAAAAGACGATAATTTTTCTTTTCACACATTAGAGCACATACAATTACCAAATGCGGGGAGCAGCACTGAATGTGTATTCCCCCACCCCCGCAAGACCACTACCACTCGAGCCGCAGCACCTCCTCGTATTCTCGCCGGCTCAGCTCCGCAGCGTTGCGCGACCGCGCCTCGATTGCCTGCAGCTCCTGGATCTCATCATACCCATGGTGTCTCCGATGCAATCCAGCAACTGTCACCTCATCAATGCCCACTTCTTCTGCCGGCTGCGCGTGCCCAAGACTGCCAGGCGACGATTTGGGCGGCGGCACTCGGTCGATGAATGCCGATAGCACAACGGTGATTGCGCCGAGGCACGTGAACAGAATTAAATTGTGCTTCAAGCCCTTTATATAGGCGGCTATGATTCCGTTGCGGATATGCTGCGGCAGGTCCATGCTCCACAGATCATTGACGTCGTTCTTGGCCTCACGGATGAGATGTGTATAAGCAGGATACTCATTCATAAGCCTTAGCAAATGGTGCTTTGTCGTGCTCTCCGACAGCACGCCGCCAAAGGCCAGCCCAAGGATGCCGCCGCTCATCTGCGAGAACGTCGCGAATGCTGTCGTGATGGCAAGGTCGGTTGGCTTCACCGAGGCCTGCACCGTGAGCAGGAACGTCTGGATGCAGCAGCCAATGCCCGACCCCAGCAGGGCCATGATTGGCACCTGTGCGGCAGTGCTCAGGTGGGCGTCGAACAGACACAAGAGACCAGCACCTAGCGTCAATGAGACTGTCCCCACCCAGGCTATTAGCCGGTACATGTTGTACCTGGCAATCAGCCATCCCGACACAATCGAGCACACCACCACGCCACAGGCTATAGGCACCATGTGCACGCCCGACTGCGAGGCGGTGCTATTCTGCGTGAACGAATAATACGCCGGCAGGTTGAATATCGCATTGAAGAATACGGCACCCACGCACACCTCAATGGGAATGATTAGGGCCACGTTGCGCACACGGAAAAGGCGCGGGTCAATTATCGGCTCAATCGCCAGCTTCAGCTCAACAAAGATGAACACGCCCAGCAGCAACAGCCCAACGCTTATGCAGATGATGACCACGGGCGACACCCACAGGTACACTCTGCCGCCCCAGTTCAGGCCTAGCAGCAGCAGCATCAGGCCGGTGACCAGCATCAGAGCACCAAAGAAATCGACTCTGGCGATTTTCTCTCTGAAGGGCAGCGGATATGCCTTGACACGCACCAGCAGCAGCAGCACAATCAGAGTCAAGCATACAAGCGGCACGTTGACGTAGAATGAGTACCGCCACGTCCACTTGTCAGCAACCAGGCCACCCGCCAGCGGCCCGATTGTTGTGCTGAGCCCGAACACAGCGCCCAAAATGCCCATGTACTGCCCGCGCTCGCGCCACGGCCCAATCTCGGCTGCCATTATCTGCGTGATCGAAGTAAGCCCGCCAGCGCCCATGCCGGCGAAGGCGCGCGCCAGAATCAGCCACGTCATTGTCGTTGCCGCCGCCGTCAGCGCCGAGCCACATAGGAATATCAACAGTGCGACAATAAGCACCGGCAGCGGCCCAAATATCTCCGCCACCTTGCCATACAGCAGCATGAAGGCGCTCAACGATGCCAGGTACGACGCCGTCACCCATGTGGTCTGGAACAGATCATCCTGGTCATTGGCCACACGCGGAGTCAGTGTCGATAGGATGGTCTGGTCCAAGAATGCCAGGAAATACGATACGGACAGCGCCAGGACAATTGTGTATGTCATCCACAGTGGCAGCGGGCCATCGTCATCCAGGGAAATGCGCTTCCATGGTAAATGAAGCCACTCTGGAATTTTGATACACGATGGCAGTTTAAAGGGCAGTGTGTGGGAGTGATGGCGCTGTTGCTGCCGGCCATTTGCATACTCTTGCCCGCGCCGCCGCCGCTGCTGCTGCTGCCGTGCCTGGCGCAGAATGTAATGGAGGCTGCTTGGGCTTGTTGAGTTTTCATTTTCGGTCGGGCTCATAGAGTATGAGGAATGGTCGTCGCTATGACACTCTAGTCCAACCCGTGTAGGCATAGACATGGGATGCTGCGGGTTTGGCGGCGGGTCAGAATACTGCGTCGAGCTGGCTGACGGTGTCTGTTGCTCTACAAGACTGCCGGCATGAGGTGGCGGTGGCCGGTGAGGGACGTGGATTGTGTTTTTGCTGCCAAACAACCTCATTATTCGAAAATGAAAAGTATGGAGCACGAGGTAATTATGTATACAGGAGCTGATGGATATACAGGGATAGGAGGAGAGAGTGGAGATGTGCCTGTAGGTCCTGTGGAAGACAAAATACTACGTAAATATATATATGTAATTTTCGGGAAATGGATATATGCGCGTGTTTTGCCAATCGAGCTAATTCATCGTTTCTCTCAAGATCGAAAAAAAAAGGTAATTACAGCGTCACAAATGATAAAAATGATGGTATAAAATGTGTCGGTGGAATAAAAGGGACGTACAAGAAACCCGCGGCGATTCCTGCCAGGTCAGTGAAATAAACAACCAAGGGAAAAAGTAGGCCAAGTGCCTGTTTACGACTCGCCACATATACGCATAAGGAGTAAATAAACTATACTTTACGCACAGCATGTAGGGAGGTGCACTCCATGCAAAAATAACAGTAAGTGAAGGGGAAAAGTATAACGTGGCGGACGAGGTCAAATATTACACTATACAGTGCGCGCGATTGATAAACTGGCGGTTCAGTAGTCAATGTGGCGGCCGTTTAGAAAAAAGTAGACATACATTATTTGGCCATTCATTTGCATACATGGCCATACAGGTGCTGGAGATAGCATACGTGCTGCTGGGAGAAATGGGAACTCGACCATCTCCCAGCCAATGGCAATTAATCTCCATTCTCTGGAGCAGGTCTGCTTTTCCAAAGGCAGCTGTGGCCATCTATTATTTAAGCAGGCATGTCAAAACACCGGAAATATATATATATATGCAGGATGGTGTAACGCCTATATTTGAAGCTATAGGTGACGAGTCACGTCTGGCTATTGTGCAGCATGTCAAGCACAGCTGTGGCTGTCATACCGCTTGGAAGCTGCACTACTTTGTTGCGCGACTTGTGGCCAGACACAAGGTCAATGCTGGACTTTGGCACCTTGAGCAGTTTGGCAACAAACACAATGACCTCTTTGTTGGCCTCACCGTCGCGCGGCGGCGCTGCTATGCGCGCATGCACTGCGTCGCTGTCGATGCTGGTGATTGCAGAAGACTGGGCACCGGGCTTAATGAACAGGCTCAGAAGCAGTTTGCCGTTCCTTTCTAGAACAGGGCTAGCAAGTAACTCTGGGGTGGTGGCGGCGGCGGCCATCGCCTTGTTGTGCTTTGTTCTCTTTGCATGCGTCGACATGGCTTTCTACCACATGTACAGAATAAGTAGGTTATTTTGCAACTCAAATGCCATATACTGCCGGGTGGAGGATTTCATTTACCATTACCTGCAAATTGACAGCTGTTTGTAATGGGCGGTTCATTAATTAACACAAGATGAGTAGATGATGCAATACAATAAGTGAAATGCTAAGGGGTGTCCAGCACCGACGACCTCCGAAAACTGCATATACAGCAAGGATATCAGTTGATTGTGGTACATGATCTCCTAGACTGGTAAATCAGCCTCGTACGTAGGTTGCACTAGGTTCGACAAGTCTGGTTATAGAGCCAACCGGAGCTGCATGTCTACTAGGTACCAGAGACGCCTTCTCCTCTTCATCCCTACGCTTACCCTGCCTAAAGCGCCATATGACAACAAACAGCACAAGCAGCACAACTGCGCCCACCGCGATGGCCGCCGAAATCCCGCTCACGCTAATCCTCGTCACGATTGTGTTTTCATTTGTCAGCATTGTGACAAGGAGTGCAACCCACAGGATACAGCACAGGCTGTAGGAGCGCCAGAAATTGATCTGCTCGACAAAGCACGGGTGCGAGTTGATGTTGAAGCATACCATAGCCACTGTGATAATGACTGAGATGATGCTGCGTATGTGCCGGTGGTCGTTGTCAACCAAGAACGAGTCGATAGAGAGCAGCATGCTCATATTCTTTAGGAATGCGATACCCTGTGACCGGAAGTGGATTTCGCCTGGAATCGGAATACGGTCGAACGAGGTCACAAATGTAGTCAGGATGATGTATGCGACAGTGTATGCGACAATGGTGCACGACAAATACAGTGCTTTGCTGATGGATGGGTCGTCACAGCGCAGCAGACCGGATGACGCACTGGCAAACTCGCTGGTGCCTAGTTTCGATAGGCATGATGCGGAACCTATCAGCATTACCAGCATTGGCAAATAGAACAGGTTGGCCATGGGCAGCAGATATTTGACCCAGAATAGCGCAATCGGTCGAGTTGGCTTCAGCTCGTTGTAAGTGTGGATGACAGCTATGGCCAGTGCCATGCACCCAATGACTGCAACCAAGAACCAGAACTGGATGATGTAGAATTTGCTGCTGAGATTAGTGAACAGCGTCAGGATGCCGACGATAAAGTTGGCTGTGTCCGAGTCCTCGTCAGGGTGGTTGGCCAAGTTGATTGAGCGGAGCATATCGCGGATGGGGAACGACAGTAGCTGGACGAACTCGACGACTAGCAGCAGGATCTGGATAATATTGAACGCGCACCAGTCAAAGCTGTGGTACTTCAATGTGTCCAACACCAGATAGTGTTCGGCGTCATACGTCAAGTGGGTGCGGCGCACATAGTACAGGTGCTGGCGGGTCATGAACAATGCGTTCAAGCAGACAATATACACAAAGGTACTAATACGGACCACCTGTGCTAGATCCAGTACCAGCGCCACAATGAGGACCGGGACCGATGCAACCAATGCGACCAGAAATATCCACGACAGCACATGGTGCGTGTGGTATGGCCGCATCGACCGCCAGCGCAGCGGCAGCCTGCGAAAGTTCTGAAACTGGCTCGACAGGTTGTCTATCAGGTGCTGTACCTCGCGCTGTGTGTTTATCCGCGCTATGAGCAGTACCTCTGGCTCAGTGATACGCGCCATGACGTTGAAGTATACAACTGTGCCAACGACGACGCCGCCGATGGTCAGAAAATATATCAGCGTCATGACCAGGTTCGGGTCCGCCCCATGCGAACCGCGGTCGCTGTCCCGTATGGAAAACTGTTGGTGCATGGCAGCCAGCTGGAGAAGAATTAAAAATAATGCAAAGCAATGAACAAAGAGAAGGTCGGTCTGCACAGACGTGCGCTTTGCCAGTAGCCTGGCAGCCCGGCAGCCCGGCAGCCCAAGCACGTGACGATGACGTGCCACCATTGTCCTCCAGCGCTCAGATCTCCAGATCCGCCACCGACAGTTCCAGGATCACAACCCTCCAGTCAATCACATGATCAACTAAAAATTTTCTGTTCGCCGTTTTTCGCTGGGCCTATATAGCCAGCTCCGGTCCGGCAAAAATTTGTAGGCTCACCCTTTTTCCTGTACTTCATTAGCGAAGAATTTAGGTAGAGATACTCTTTCCCTCTCATTCGGACCTCCTCGATATTTTTCGATTCAAAAAGCAATTTTCCAATCTGAAAACATGCCCGCTCAGAAGACCACCAAGGCTAAGCGCCCCAACCACCGCTTTGTCATCGACGTGTCGCGCCCCGCTGAGGACAAGATCTTCGACGTTGCCGCGTTCGAGAAGTTCCTGCACGACCGCGTCAAGGTCCAGGGCCGCACCAACAACCTCGGTGAGTCGGTGACCATCACCCGCGAGGGTGACAGCGCCATCGTTGTCCAGGCCAAGATCGACTTCTCCAAGCGCTACCTGAAGTACCTCACGAAGAAGTTCCTGAAGAAGAACAACCTCCGTGACTGGCTCCGTGTGGTCTCGACCGAGAAGGACACCTACACCCTCAAGTACTTCAACATCTCGAGCAAGGATGAGGAGTCCGATGACGAGGACGAGGAGTAAATGTGCATCCCCTGACAGCCAAATGTGCTTGATGTGGAGCGTTCATTTTGTCCGTTCTGGGGATCTATTTTTTGGGTACACAATAAATACATCCCTATCCCAAACAACAGAATTTACTCGCTGTGAAATGCATACTGCGTCTACAGCTCGTTGCCGACCGTGACCCAGTAGTCGCGCAGGTTGTTTTTGCGCCCAAAAATCTCCAGGTACCGGCCACCCGGCACCAGCTGCTCAATGATCTCGTACAGCTCCTCGGGCTTCTGGCTCTGGCCGCGGCGCTCCGAAAAGATCACGTCCGATGCAACTGATCTCCGGAGGTTGGGCGGATCAGGGCCCTTTTTGCCGACCAGACACGTCTCCTTTGCATGCTGCAGGTAGTACCCATGCCCCTTGGCCATGCGGCGGTTGACTGTCTGCTTGACCCACGCAATGTCGTCGACGTACTTGTACCCCCACTGCTTCATGAGCTGGAACGCCTTGGTGTACTTGTTGTTGATGACCCAGATGAATATGAACCCGCTGGTCTGCAGCAAATCGATTGGCAGCGACTCAATGCACACGTCTGGCAGCTGCTGATACGCGATGGCCACTCCACGCGTCGGCGCCTGCGATGCCAGCTGCCATGGTGGGTCCATCAGAATGACGTCGAACTGGCATGCTTGCGCCAGCTTCTCCCAATCAAAGTTCATGACGTTGGCGCGGATCGGCACCGACCACTCGGGTGCCTTGAATTCCTCTAGGTCGGCTTCTGTGACTTTGTTGGCAGCATCGCCCGAGCCCTCCACGCCGCACCGCTTCTCCAGATCGGAGATCTCCTGCTCCAGCACCAGGATCCGTGACCGGATCTTTTGCTCGCGCTGGCGCAGCGCTTGCAGCACAACTGCCGGTGAGCTTGAGTCAACGTCCATGGTAGTGTCAGAGGGCTGCGGCGTGTCGTCAACACTGTCTGAAACCTCGAGCTGCCCAATATCTGGCGTAGACACAATGTCACCTTCAATGTCGCCTTCAATGTCGCCTTCAATATCAATGTGCTCGTCACCATCATCAGCCGGCTCAGTAGTCTTTGGTGCCACAGGCAGTGGGGAAACCGCTGCAGGACTTGGCGATCGCGATGATATCCTAGCGCCCCGTGGTTTGCGCGATTTGACCTTTTTGGCGGCTGCCCGTTTAGACTTTGCAGTAGGGCGACGCGACGATGACGATGTACCAGTTTCGGGCATAAAGTCATCATCGTCGCTGTCGTCGCTTTGCTTTGCTTTGCCCTCCTTTTCCTCGCCTACCATCGCCAGATACGCTGCCATCGCTGCGTCGTCATCTTCAAAGTACAGCTCGTCCTGCCACATTGCGCTTTTTGAAATTCCGCCAAATGAAAAGACCAGCAACAACAAAGGGGAGAGGGTGGGTGACAACTGTTGCACTTGGGCAGCAAAAATCTTTCCCTGCATTTTGTAACTGGTCCGAGCTGGTAAAGTATTATACGGACCGAGCCGAAAGCAAAATAATTCAGTGCCTGAGCCGGCTCTAGCCCTGACTGCGCAGTGATTGTGCCAATGGGGTGGGTGGAGAAGCAGTCAGATAAAAAGCTCGCTACCCAGAAAATGCAAACTATTAAAGTACATTCTTCAATGCAGTGCAAATTCTAAACATCCAACCGACGCAGCAGTGTGGTGCTATTTATATAACGGGACTTGGGAATGTCTAACCCCACACAATATTGTTGCATCCGGTATAAATGCCGCAACCACTGGCACATCTCATGATCGCATTTTGTGGTCTTTGAAATCTATTCACTGGTGATATTTCCCAATTGCACACAAACACAAAATTTTGTAGCATACTCGCTTTGGTTTGGTCGTTATTACTCAAGATTTTGTCCAAGCCTCAAATGTACCGGACTGTGTTGATAGCACCAGTAGTATTCTGCGCTGCTGCCATGCTGGCCAACGCAAGCATCTGCCATTCGCAGTACTGGGGGTCGCGGCTTATGGACAAGTACATGGTTGAGCTGGAAGCAACCTCGTCGATCACTCACAAGCATGTAGTCTACGAGACTGCGTTGCCTAAACCATACAAGATTGTGCACCAGGACGAGGATGGCGATGACGCTGAGGACCCAGACGACTTGAGCATGATTAATGAAGGTCACGAGGTGCGGGCCAAGCGGCGCCATCGACTCAAGGTCACGGTAGACGACAAGAACCAGATTGTTGAAGTGGAGTGCGGATAAACCCAGCCTAATGTGCCAAGCAAATTGCGTAATTACTACACTGTCACATCGGCTAAATAAAGCATGAGAGTAATTTAAATAACCATTACTTTTTAAAAGGTACAGCCCGTTCACAAACCGATGGTTAGTTAACGAAGGTGCGGATAAGAGGGATAGGGAAGGGTAGAAATGTTTACAGTAGATATGTGGGAGTGCTGGTTTGGGGAATATTTACACCCATGCACTCCCAGCTCATGAATGGCAAGCTAGACGGGGTTCTTTCTAGTTGATGACAGCCAGGTTTGACGAGCGCGGCGGCAGATATGCAAGCTGCGGGCCGCATGAGTCAATCCTGGGGACCAGCTTGTTGGCAATGTCTTCCTCATCCTCAACATAGCCAACGGGTCCGCACAGGAGCGCTGAATCGTCGCTGACAGGTGTAAGAACATAGTTACAGCCGTCAGACGGTGGGGTGGGCAGCACTGGCACGCGCGTCTGCGGATCGGCTGTGCTGTACAGTGCCTTGGGCGGAACACACGGCGGGCTGGACAGGATCAGCGGAGAGATGTTCGCCGGTGATTGCGCACAGTCCTGGTAAGAGCTATGCAGACAGCCACCAGTCATGCCAGTCTTGCCAGTGCGGGCCTTGACGTCAGCCGTAGTAACGTCAATCCCTTCGTCACGAGGCCGCCCGCCGCGGATGTAGACACCGTCCTCGTAGTAGTAGTAGTCCTCATGGTGCTGCTCGTGCGCCAGTGGGGAGCGCGTGGTAGGCGAGTGCTTGGGAAGTGCACCATAGCACGCGGAGGGACCATAGGTGGCCGTCAGTGAAGGCGAGGTCGTCGAGCGGTAGGTGCCGTTACGGCGTGTAGTTCCATGGAAGTTGGCTGACCGCGACGAATTCAAACGGCGGTACCCGCTGTACGAACTGTTAGGAGCAACAACGCTGGCAGCGACAGCAGCAGCAGGCTCAGGAACGAGGTCGTTGCGCGACACTGTCTTGGTCGTGTTGTTGCGCTGGAGTTGGTACTCTGACGAATTGTATCTGGGAAGCGCCTGCAGACCGGTTGCTGAGCGGCGGTAGTGTTGCGCAGTTGGCTGACTGATGGCTGACTGCTGAGGGTGCGGCTGGCAGTATTGCTGCTGATGTGGTACCGGAGATGTAGCTGCCGACCCAGAGATGGTCGGAGCCTTGTGAATGCTCAGCGAGCTGCCGCGGCGACGGTACGAGTACGTGCCAGGCGCATCAGACTCGGCGACAGCAGCTGGCGAGACTGTCGTTGGGTGGGAGCGTGCTGGCGGCGACACACAGACAGGACCTACAGTTGCGTATCCAGGAGACCTTTTAGCAAAAAAAATCAGGTTGCTGGGAGGCGGAATTCAGGTTTTCACACAGGTAGCGGTAAATCATTCTGAGATATGCTGATGATCATTTGGGTACAATTGTTGGGCGTAGCAGCGATAGGAGAGATGTGTGTGCCCAAAAATTGACCGAATATCAAGGCGAGGGAAAGAGCGACATGCATCAGTGACCTTGGCATGCATTGTTTTTCTCTTCACTGGACAGGCACCAGTCATTTGAGCTAGGACAGCATGTTGTCTTCAATCTCCCGCAAAAAGGGGGCCAGGCGATGCAAACTGGTTCTCTGATTTGCTGCACACGCTATTGGGGAGCGTGCGGGTGTGGGGAAGTGGGTGGCAGGGGATGATAACGTCAGCCGAATAACACGACGTATGAAGGATGGTCACTCATTGGAAGACACCAGGCGTCGGTCTATTGCGTCAATGCGGGGGGCGTGGCAGTGCCAGTTGGCGCCAAAACGCCATGCAATGGGCAAAATGATGGGCCAAACAAAAGCCCAAGCACTTGCCTGAAACGCGACGACAATCGACATGTCCCAAAAAAGGCCATTTTCTGAAGAGAATGCTGTTTCACATATGCCCGACTGCCTGCTTGGTGCTCAAACGCGACACTGGGGGGATGTGCAAATTTTTGGAGACGCTGCGGCAGATTTTGCGCAGGAACAGGTAGAGTGGTGCCAACCCTCTTGTTTTGTGCAGTGAGGCCAATAGCGACCTTTTTCTTCGCGATTGTTGCAACTTACCGTTCATGTGTGGCTGCTGCGGGAGTGCATTGAGCGTTGACGTTGTGGACGTGGATGTAAACGAGGCGCCCGAGAAACGCCGCGGGTCTACCAGTGTCTGGTCGGCCGCAGTGTTGGTCGTGGCGGTGTCGCTGGACGGCGTAGCCAGCTTGATGCAGCCTACTCGCCGCTGCGAGTTGTGTCTGCCCGGATAGTGCGTGCTGCTGGCCAGGGTGGTCCGCGAGCGCTGCACCGTCGACGGGTTGTTGACGTGGTACCCAGGGAAGAACTGGGGCACGACTTCGCACCCGTCCTCGGCAATGGCTGGTGCTGCCGAGAATACCCGAGAGACCGGGCGGGTGCCGTGTTGGCTGGCGGCAACAGTGGCGTCCGAAACGTCAGAAGACGATCTGTGACCAAAGAAGCCTCTGTGAAGTATGGCCGACTTTTGCCTTCCAAACACCATGGTTTTAAAAATAGGTTGTGAGCTTGAATATGAGTTTCACAGAAAGTACCAAAGGTTGGAAAATAGTGCACTAGTATAGGAAGCTGGAGTTTAAAAAGAGGCGCGAGAGCAAAGAGGCGGAGAAAAAGCGAGGCAGTGTGAGGATTTTGGTGTTCGGGGGAGGGCTGCCGCAGACAAGGGAGGTGGAGAGCGTTTTATAAGCACATCATGACACAAATTCATGCATTCTCGAGGAAATTCTCGCAGTGTTGTGCCCAAACAAGGAAACTTGTGCGGTGTCCAAAGGACAGGGGGGGTGCTCGTGGTCCGGGTGTAGCACGCCCTTCCCCTGGTCGCTCTGCGGACAATTCGGTCCATTGCAATAATGCAGACGCAGACGCAGACGGGTCCAGTCAACGTCATTTGGCGAGGATCCAGTCTGAGAGTGCCTGCGCTGCTGGCCATTGGCCACAAATTGGGTCTGTACGCTCTTATGCGTTGGCCAAATGTCGCACACGTTGGGCAATCTGGTCGCAGCTAAAGAAGATTCTCTGCTCCTTTGCGGGCGGGTTTGCTTGCAAGCAAATAAAATACCTCGTTCGGTGCACCCCAGCACCAAAAGTCCTCAAGTGCCCAAAACTTGGCGCCGATCGGTTGCATTTGCCTGCTATAACGAGCCTGCGTGCGAAACTACCGAGCAATGCACAAGTGGTCGTAGCCCCATGTACAGTGGGTCTGCAGATACACCTGGCCTATTTATAGCACCGTGATTCGCTAGGGGAGGCGTGCCCTGCAGCACAAATGGCACGGCATTGATCAAACATGTATGCGTTGGGATGATGGTTTGGGGATTAGATGTCCGTCCCATGCTCACAGAGCATATGTGCCCGGCCTGTACAATGAGAAGTAGGCAAGTAATCCGTGCGGCAAGGCCGGGTACTACTCTGGGTTGTGGAATAAAACCAATGCAAAATAATACCAGACTGGTGGAGGGTGCCAGTGATTATATATTGACAAAGCAGGGCGATAGCCTATGTGTAGCTCCAAATGCATACCTACCCGGAGACAGGGCTAGATCCGGTATCAGGGGTAGCAGTGTCTGTCCCTAACAGTCAAGCCATCCATGCACAGAAACCAGAATGGGTGCATCAAAATATTCAGGCACGCTTAGTGAATGTGTATGCTGCAATTCTCCGAGGGCAAATGTGCCACTGATACAAGTGCTGCACAGAAATTCGCACTTGTGAATGGAGTTACTCATGCAGCTGGCGCTTCTAAACATTCGAAGCTCTCCCCAGCAAAATGTGCCTGTGTCATGACCAGTCATTATATAGGTTCCCGCATTTACCTGCCCGGCATTCTGCTTGCGAAAGCTGCTCTATTCCGCAAACATTTCCTATCTTTCTCATATCGGTTGCTATCACCAGTATACTTGCTATCACCAGTATACTTGCTATCCAGAATGAGGGTTTCCGCTACCAGAACCGTGTCAGTAATGGCGGCCGTCTCCACTGCACTTGGTGCAGTTGTCTACTACGAGCCTCTCACAGCCTACCTCCCGCTCTCAGTGATCTCTGATCCAAACCAGATCAAGTCGCAGAAACAGGAGAGCAGTTCATGGTGGTACTCACTATTTGGTTCCTGGGGCAGATCCAGGTCAGCGAGAAAGGAAATACCGGCAGTGGCCTCACCTGCCGCAGTACTGCCCGCCCCAGGAGCGTTTGCGCAACCCGCCATACCCAGTCCTGTGCCAAACTCTAATATCCAGGGGTCTACACTGGCCGAACTTCCCAGGACAAAGCAAGAGATGTCGGAGGCTGATGTGACAAACCTCATCGTGAGTCTGTCTGGCCCCGTGCGCCAGTATCTGCTGCGGGCACTGACGGGCTACCAGAAGATATTAAAGACCATCGACCCGAAGAGCATTGCTAATGTGATCCGTGGTCCTTTGGCCAATCTGCGGAAGAACCTGGAGGCACTGCTTTCCGAGCCTGCACCCCAGCCGCCACCACATAGCAAAGCATAGGTGTCAGGAGGTATGTGTCTAGAATATAGGGGTCTTCCGGGCGACTCGCCGGGCTTAAACGACGAATAGCTTTTTTATTTAAATTTTTAGGTGTTTCACGATATCATTTTCTGGTGCAATTCACATGCATTTTATTCAGCAGTTCACCACGCTTCAGTCCTCAGGGTCCACTCGACAGCACGCACCACTCTGCTGTGTGCCGCTTAGCCTAAGCCGGAAGCAAGGCCGTCTCTAATCGCCTGATGTCGGTGCAGCAAAATTGCCCTCACGTCTGGCCATAATCCTCAGCCCAACTCCGCAAAAGGCCAGATCACCCACCCCCGCGTATCTTGTGTATCGCATGAACTGCAGATATTGTTTCCAGTACTTCCATTACTTTGTATTCTTCTTCTATCGCAATCATGGTCCTCAACTCCTCTACCTCGGTTGTCGGACGCCTAAAGGACGAGCCGCTGGTCGCTGTCGGCACCGTGGCAACAATAGCCGCCTTCACGTACGCATCAATCGGTGTCTACCGTGGCCGATTCAAGCAGTCGCAGTGGGGCATGCGCGGCCGCGTTGTCATGCAAGGACTTACAGTGGCCGCCCTGGTTGGCTACGGATTCATGCGCAACAAGGACGTAGAGAAGACGCCTAAGCAAGATGTCCGGCCAATCAACTGGGAGCGCCTGGAGCGGGAGGCGCGGGCCGCCGAGCAGCAAGGCGCAGATAAGGTCGATCCGGCCATCGCCAAGCTGACTGCCAGGCTGGAGAAGCAGAAGGAGGCTGCCAGTGTCTTTGCTGCCGAGCCCCAGGCCACAAAGCCCGCGGACAGCTAGGCCGCGCCTTAATGTACCCAGCACACGCTGTTCCTTTCCTATAAATCCGAATATGCTGAATCTGAATAGTGACGTTTGCTAAAGGACTATGGCGGATCGGTGGGCATGGCGCCTGGATCACCGCTGCCTTTGCAAGCAGTAAGACCCAGGAGCGCCACACATGCCCTGACAACCGCCTTGGCAGCGGTGTCTATTGACAATGGGGAGGGGTGCCTGCCGCCGCTGACTTGCACTCGAAGCACATAGCAAACTGCGATTCCGAATGGGGGAGAGAGGGGGCAGAGTGATTTCAATGAAGTGGCAAGTGCTACTGCGAGCGGTGCTCAGAAATGAAAGGAGGAGGGAGGGCTGTAATTGCACAGCGCAAAGCTGAAACCAGGGGGTTGATACGTCACGGAGAGGCGCTGCAATAAACTATTGTTGACGGCAGCCAAAGCACGGCGCAAATGCAATTTACCCGCTCTATTCCCTCGCCTTGCTACGGTTCTGGTCTACCGATAAGCATCTTAGGCGCTTGCAGTGGGCAGTGTGTAGGAACGGTAAGCGGCAGGTTGTTCACTCATTCTCCCTACCGCTTGCCGCTACTGTCGGGATCAATTGAAGCGCCTTTGTCGCTACAAGCAACGTTCAGCCTGCGATATACAAGGGAATGCTGGAACGGCTGGACTGCTGGCGCGGGACAAAGAGGGGCTGACTACAGCTTGCGCCATTTGCCTTCTTGGTTGAACACCGCATTGTCTTCCACCATTCGGACTTCCATTGCTGTGACTCTAGCAATATTATCCCCGAACAGCAGCCAGTTTGAGGCTGGCTATATATGACCAGCAGCTTCTATCTCATATCCAATTCTCTTTTTTTCTCTCCACCGCCTTTCGCCATCTCATATTCCCTGCCCGCTTTAATTTATTTCCTGTTCGTCTCCGCACCAATATACACGCATCCCCTTATCGCCAACTGCCTTCCATACCCAACGCTCTGGGCAATACTTTGAACCCAATACAACCCACACTGGCCATAAAAGCGGAATAGTCAGATATTCATATTGGACTGGCATCGGCTGGCCGTCTACGACTTCTCGAGTTTTCTAGACGCGCATACGGCATCCTTCCCTCATCCACCAGCCCTCAACTCTTTCATTATCTTGCACGTCTATTCTCACGACATTCCCTATTTGCATCTAGAAAACTCTGTCTAGGAACCCACGCACATTTCTCATGACTCTTCGCATGGGTGAGCGTGACCGTCGGGCCTCTGATAGCGCTGGCGCTGTTTTGACCTGGCGGTCTGGATGGCCATATGAGAACATAAGTAGCCCGGAGCAGGGCACCGAGGTATCCAGCAGCGCATGTAGTTGCGCGAACAGTGTCCGCTCTAGCCATAGCAAACCACGGCCATGCACAGAGATCCTCAGTGCACAGCAGCTCAAACCCATGGACTGCCACGCCACCAACTACAAATTCAAATCATTGTCCCATGACGGCACCCTGAACCGCACACTGACCAATCGGTCGTCTACGAATCTGACACCGCGGCTGACACACCAGGGGCTCCAATACTCGAGATCGCGTGCCGAATCGACAGATTCGCCAGACCTGCTCAATTCGCGGCCTCTTCGGCGGCGTGTAGCGCGCTGTACTACCATGTCACCGCGTATGGACGACGATGGGTTCGACCAGGGGTCCACCCTCGGGCTGACGGTGGGCCAGTCGCTGCGCAACATCACATTTGCGTCATGGATGAACATCTTGATCGTTGTGGTGCCAATCGGATACCTGGCACACTATCTACACTGGCCGGTGACCGCCAAGTTTGTGCTCAACTTTTTCGCGATCATCCCTCTGTCGGCGCTGATGGGCTTTGCAACCGAAGAGATCTCGCTAAGGCTGGGCCCGACGTGGGGTGGGCTGATGAACGCATCGTTTGGCAATGCCGTCGAGCTTATCATGGCCGTCATCGCATTGATCGAGGAGGAGTACCGGATTGTGCAGGCCGGGCTGATTGGCAGTGTGCTTTCCAACACGCTGTTTATGCTCGGCTGCGCGTTCATCGCAGGCGGGGTCCGCCATCGTGTCCAGATATTCCATGCTGAGGCCGCACAGTGTGCTGGCGCATTGCTGGCGCTGAGCGTCCTGAGCATGATCATCCCAGCAGCATACCACGGCGTACATGCATCGCGTGGCGAGATTACCAACGGGATCCTGGTCATGTCGCGCGGCACCGCGTTGATTCTGCTTGTCGTCTACATTCTGTTCCTGGTGTTCCAGCTCAAGACCCACAGCGATCTCTTTGATGGCTCGCAGACGCAGAAAATGCACGATCAAGGCTTCATGGATGAAGCTAGCATCGAATACAGGACACTGGGTATTACACGGGTCGAACCTAGGGGCAAGGCGGTGATAACAGAGACAGAGCCTGAGATTCCGTCGATCCACCACACAGAGCCGCAGCTAAAGCTGTGGATCGCATGCGTGCTGCTTGCGCTGGTCTCTGGGCTCGTTGCGCTGTCGTCTGATATCCTGGTAGACAGCGTCGAGGAGCTGACATCGCGGTACAACATCAGCCATACGTTCGTTGGTATGATTCTGCTGCCAATCGCGGCCAATGCGGCCGAGCACACGATGTCAGTAACAGTTGCGATCAAAAACAAGATGGACCTGTGCATTACAGTGGCGATTGGCAGCTCGATGCAGATGGCGCTGTTTGTGCTCCCTGTGCTGATCACAATTGCCTGGGTCATGAACAAGCCGCTGACTCTGTATTTTGACGACTTTGAGACAAACACCATGCTCATATCGGTGCTGGTCATCAACTACCTGATCATGAACGGCCGCTCAAACTGGCTCAAAGGTGCTATGTTACTCAGCTCATACTTTATCATTGCACTTGCATTCTTCCTGTATCCAGTCGACGTCGATGACCCTCACCGGTCGATTATCACGCCCATTACCGGCAACACGAAGCAGAGTTTCTTGATTAGCTAGATATCAGTCGGCTCTGTTGGATATACATACACGCTTCTTGTAACTATCTGTCCGAATTGCATACAAACCTGCTAGGGACTTTGGCGAACGCTATTATTTGAACCTAGCAGTATCGAAGCATGAATTGATCGAGCAACTTTAAAATACATCTACCTTCATTTTCACTCTCATTATAGAAACAAGGTGATGCAGACATCACTACCTGAGCAATACTTCACTATTCCACAATATAATTTCTGAACTCTGTGGGGCATCTAGTTTCGTGAGACGACCTGAAAACAGCTTGATAGCTGTGCTAGTGGCTTCACATACTCACCAGGAGTGCAATTGCGGTGGCTGTTTTCAAGTTTCTTGGACGACAGCAAAGTATTACTAGTTTTGACGCTGGTAGCGTGTTTTTGTGGTAAGTGTCTTTTAAACAAGGCTCGAAGAATACACTGGCCATTTTGCATTCTTTAAATGCTCTCTGAAAATATCTGTGTAGGGTCAGAATGCCGATTGTTTTTCCTCGAAACCAAGAAAGTTATCTTCGTACCCACCACTCTTTGAAACCAAAGCACTCGAACGCTAGGTGACCATGATCTTGACTTTCCTATCGATGAGATATTATGATGCTAATACGGGTCGTGTGTGAGAAAATAGGGAGGAAAATGTTATGGAATCCATATTATTCCGATAATAGATCCAGCTAGTGTGGAAAGTGCGCACTGCTACCAGTTTGTGGCGTTGTTGCTGTGTATCCACAGGATTGCCAAACAGGAGGCAGAATGGTCAAGAAAACAATGTATAGGGTCTCTGTTATGTGAATTCAATTTCGAGTGCTCCAGCAAAATAACCGGGATCTGAGAAGGAGTAGGACAGATGCGAGATATTTTCTACTGTCCCGACTAAGCTGAGGGTTGATGTGTAGTGCTGCATACGCTCCAGTCACCTTACTCTACGAGCCCTTATCACTTCAGTTTCCATATCACCCATGCATTGCTCCGTCTTCTGGATTGTAAGGCATGCTTGATTCCGATCTGTTTCTGTATGGACAGGCTGTTATTGCATTTTTGTTTTGACCATATGCGATAGACCCTGTCAGGTGAGGCTGCACTCGACCAAGAGTAAACGGTGGGCTTTGGTCCCAGGTGGCATGTTTAGTGTGCTAAGCCTCATCACAAAAGCATAGTTGTCGCTTATCTGTGGCTCAATCGGCTCAGTAAATCGATATCTGGAATGAGTGAGCCAAAAGACATGTTATATCAAACATAGCACGATGTAGTCTCTTGCTGCACCTCATGCATTCTTTGTGGCCCACTATAAGTATCAATATTTTCAAATAGAAATGTCAAATATATATCCAGAATATAGTTGATTGATGGAACTGTACTGAACACATGTGCTGATTTCATACCTCCAGATACTGATTATTGAAATTGAAATGGGAAAATCAGAGATATGACATCAAACAGAGAAAGTGACAATCGCAGAGAAGTAGGCTGAAGTATTCGAGGCATTTGATATTTAAATTTGGCCGTTTAACCCTGAATATCACCCAACAAACTACTCCATCTTAGATCAAAACTGTAATAGGCAATTTCTTTATGAAGAATGAAGGAGATAGTGGGCACAAATTCCTTTGAAATTATCCTTGCACCAGTTCCTAACAAGAGAACGGCATATATTGGTAAATAACACCAAAAATAATGATGTCAGCTTGTGGTGCCAATGCACTGCACAAAGTACCTGGCTAGTTTTAGAATATCAAAGACTGTATATCATGATTTGAGCTATTCTCTGTCTCTTTTGCATGTAAAATGAGATTTGTGAATGTAAAATACTAACAGGACAGACGAGGCAAATAGGATATATAGTAATTGCAAAAGCAGATATACTGATTCACTAGATAATAGTCCTATAGCAAGCGATTCACCTCTGAGATTTGTGTGCCATTGATCACATAGCTCCCCATATGAGGCAAGTGACAAAGAAGTTAGCAGAGGCCACCCACATCAAATGTCTTGTCAGTGCAGACATCAGACAGCATCAGCCTCCAACTGGGTGCCTAGTATAAGGTTAACTCAGCATATTCCTTATTGATAGTCACTTTGAGTACTTCAGAAATACTCTTCTGATCAAGGTAAGCTATGCCACTATGTTACCAAGTATGCCCTTGTCAGTGATGGCCACTGCCAAATTGAGTATTACTAGGTTGTGCCAATTGATAGTGCAAGGTAGTGTGTAGTAGACTAGACTGAGCATGGCAACCTTGTAGACTATGGACTCTTAGGCAACTGGTTTTTGGATAGCATCTGAGGAGTACTCATGCTTGTACAGCTCCTCTGTGGGATGTTCTATCTTGAACTGCCATGCACTTTCTAGGACATGCCAGTTAGTATGCTAGAAGGAAGAATACAGGGGTTTGAGAAAAGTATGAAAAGCTGGTATGTCCATACAAAGACATTAAAAACCAGGGTTATCTGGCAGGCCAATGGTATTCTGGCAGACTATTGGAGCATGAGCAGGAAGGGCGATACAGAAGCACAGGTGAACAGGTAGGCCACTGCTTAGAGAAACACAAAAATATACTCAGCAGGATTGTAGTTTGTTCTTCTGACATTTCCCCCTGCTGTAAGTGAGTATGCTTGGTAGGAGGTATGCACAGGTGCTTGTTTCTGCCTTGATGGCACAGAATGTGTGTCTCCACCCCTGTTTTCAACTGTGATCTGGCTGCAGTTTCTTTTTCTGGTGATCCCAGCACCAAAAAAGCAACCAGGTATATTAATGCAGGATGGATGAGAAGGTGGCATACCTTTATCGACTGATATCCTGCAGCCAATGTGTGACAGATGCTGATCTTGCCAAGGTCCAGGATCAAACTCGGTATATATCTGAATGTTGCTTATGTGGGGGGTGTAGCTGCTGACAAGGGGCAATGTTGGATGAAGCGATTCAATATTACTTATAGATAGCAATATCTGTTGCTAATTATGCTAAACAATGTCATAATATGTACAGCCACTTCCCTACATTGTGGGGGTGAATGTGTATTCTTAATCGAGTTAGTGCAGCTGGAGGTAGTTTTTGACTACAGTCTCGAATAGTGGCCGATATGCAACAGGCAGCAATTTGGCTCGTATTTACAGTGTTCATCCAGTAGAGTCAAGATATGGGTGGAGGGAGTAATAAAGCGCAGATTTGTTGGGTGGCATGTAATGTATGAGGCATCCGCTGAGTTGGGCCTTCCCCAAAAGTGAAATGCTGCTCAGGAATTCCCCGATCAGGCATCGGATTCTCATGCGCGACGCGAATCGCGTTCGTCCAGGTTCCTAGCGCCAGTCGTACGCGTTATGCGGCGAAAAAGGTGGGGCAAACTGGCGCCTCATGAAAAATTATTACGGCCCATTTTTCATGTGCTGAAAGACGGCAGCAGGCGAGTTGACGGTCCCACGCAACGTTTTTCTGCTTTACTTTCCTTCGTATCAACGCTAATTTCGCTTCCTCTACAATCTGATCTTGCAATTCTTGTTTCTTTTTCTTGCATTCGCCAGGGGTTAAGGTTCCCCTATTGTAAACAAGCAACGCGTTGGTCCATTCGCACTCTACGTCTTACACATTGTGGCCACTGTACAGTTCTTAACGGCTAGGTAACCAGCGAGCAAAAAACAAACGCGAGCTATAAGTAGATACAGGATGGGGCAGTCACAGCGGATGCCGATTCGGCACGCAAACATCGCACCACGACCACCAGCACAGCCCCTGCACACACCAACATCGGTGGCTAGCATAGGGCGGCATACACAAAGCAGCGCCAATGTGACGCCAACAGCAGTGCCGCCAAACAGCGGGCTAATGCTGCCACCTGGCATGGACATGTCGAGCACGTCGCAGCTTCTGGCCAGCATGCAGAGTCCTACCCCGCGGCAGCGCACGAGCAGTAAGACGCGTGGGCGCGGCAAGGCAAAAACTAAAGGCACGGGGCGCAAGAATAACAAGGACGTGGCGGCTGACCAGAGCGACACGTTGATCCAGGAACTGCTGGCGGGGCTCCCGTCGTCGCAGATGCTGCAGACGGACCCACTGACGTCGGAGGAGTGGTTTCCGGATCCATCCTCGTCGATGATTGCTCAGGACAGCCTATTCCAGTACCTTGATTCGGTTTCAGGGCAGACAAACAATGCGGTGATTTCGGCAACAACACCTGTGGCAGCTAGCAGTACAGCGGCAGCAATGGATGTGAATTTGGATACGCTACAGACGGTGCTGGGGTCGGATCCGGCCGGGCCAGACGCGGTGGGCGGGTCGCAGGTGACGCCTGACGCACGGTTTATAGCGAATGTGCGGGCGAAGCGCGAGGGGCAGCGGGCGGGGGATTCGCCGATGCTGAGCAGCCAGCGGGGCAGCAAGCGGGCATATCCCTTGCAGGGGTTTGCGAAGCGGCATGGGATCGGAGTGCCTGTGGGCAATCAGATGGCGATTCTGTCCCCGGCACTGCTCTCGTCATCGCCGCCCCAGCGGCAGCAGCTGCGGCAGCACCCGTACAAATACTACTCGCCACCAAAGCCCACGGGCAAGGTAATGGCGGGGAGCGGAGCGGGGCGGAAGCTGCAGCTGGGCGAGCGGCGCGGGGCCAAGTGGGTGTTGGGGCAGGACAAACAGCTTTTGCAGGGCGTGCGACAGCAGCGGTGGAGCGGCAACGGACCGGCGCGAGACCCGGCAGATTTCGGCGACGATGACTGGGAGGCAATTGCGCAGTGTGTGAGCGGCGAGGGCGTGGCAAGGACAGCGCGGCAGTGCCAGCGGCGGTGGGCGGTGATGTATGGGCATCTGGGGGAGGAGATTCTGGAATTTGTCGACAATCCGCCGACGCCCAGTGCAGCCAACACTCCGCGGGCAAGCGACACGCCAGGGGATTTGCTGATGTCGTCGCCACCGTTCCTGGCCGCGCGCGGTGGGTCGCGGCAGCTGTCGGACATTGCTGAATTGCCGCTGGAGGAGGCGACCAAGCAGTTGGTGGTGCATGGCGAGTCGTCGCCTGAAATGGAGGTTGCGTTGAGTTCGCCCGAGGATGCGCTGCGGCCACAGGGAGACGGAGTGCCGGGGGAGCTGGCGAACATTGACTTGACCAGGCGGTGGGAGATGCCTGTGTACTGCCAGCTGGTGGCCGATGTAGTGCAGGCTATGTCGAATCCGAATTCGCAGGCAGCAAAGGCTGTGCGAAAATATTCGGGTAGAGGTCAGTCGGCATCCACATCGGCGACCCCGACCAGTATGGTACTGGCTGTGTCGGAGCAGCAGCCGCAGCCGCTGGCGGATTTACTTGGGATCCCGATCACTACATCGGCGACAATGCCGGTAGTGACAGCCAAGGAAAGCATGGCTCCGGCTGCTGGCCAGTCTGCAGGGCCGCTAGACATGAGTACCATAGACCAGGATATGGACGTGTATCTGCAGTTTCTGCAGAGCCTGACCAACGACCAGAGCGATCTTTTGCTGACTAGCACAGCGCCAGGCAGTAGCAGTGCTGGCGGCATATCTATGGCGGGCGTGGACAGTGCAGGCGCAGATTGGGCTGGGCTGTTTGACAGCACGGCGGCGATACCTGCGACGATGGCACTGGGAGGCACGAGCAATTTGGCCTCGCAACCGGGGCAGGGAGATGCGCAGCAGAGCAAAATAGTGGAAATGGGTAACGGTGATGAGGATGACGCCAACGACGACGATTTCGTTCTGAATGACGAAGACGACGAAGACGACGAAGACGACGATGAGGACGACGACGACATGGCCAGTCTATTTGCAGGCACGCCAAAGGTCGGCAGAGCTGGCGAGGCTAAGGACGGCGAGGTGATGTGGGGCAAAGCGGATGCAGCAGGCGGCGGAGGAGGGCAGCCGCTGCTGGCGGATCCGTTCCTGCAGCAGCTGCTAGACATGCCAACGCCAACGCCAAAGCCACAAAAGGCAGCAGCAGCAAAGACGCCGAGCAAGACCGGCCAGTCGGAGTCGTTCCTGGCGTCGCGGCAGCTGATGAACCCAGTGGCCAGCCTGCTGGACTTGAACGCGGCGGCCAAGCGCGGGGGGTCGGCCAAGACGCCGCGCAAGCGCAAGAAGAAGTCGGCGTCGGCGTCGATTGTGCGGGCGCTGGCAGCGGCATCGGCGGTGGAGATGGACGGCGGCACCGGCGAGGCAGGGGTAGGAACGGAGGTAGACGGGCTGTACCAGGACGCGCTGCAGGACGGCGAGTCGATCGACGTGCAGGAGGAGTCGCTGCAGGCAGACAACAGCGAGTATCTGTTCACAGCCGAGCAGATGGCGCAGCTGCGCGACCAGCAGGCACAGAACTTCCAGCTGGTGACGCAGGCATTTCTGCTGGCGTGTGCCGAGAGTGGCCCGCATGATGCGCGCGCCCGGCACTGGAAGCGCCAGCTGGACTGCCTGGCATTGCGCCACTCGCTGGGCACCCGCGAGGCACCCGACGCCATGCTGAGCGGCGGCCTGCACCGGTTCAGCGCGCTGATCGAGTCCGCCGAACGCCGTCGCGCCCGCACCGGCCATGCTGGCGTCACCGAATCCGGCCAGCCGGCGCCCAACCCAGCGTCGTTCTTTGCCATCCCGGGCATCACCGCTGCCGTGCCTGGACTGTATGAGGCGGTCGACGAGATCCACCGCGCGGCCCAGCTGACGCGCGAAGTGCCCGGTACCGCCGTCGTGCGGTCGTTCGGCGCGCGCATGGACTTCTCGCCCACGTGTGCATGTACGCCAGTGGCCGCCTTCCGGTCGGCCATGGCGCTGGAGTGTGTGGTGCCGCGTCTGCTGGACGCCGTGGGCCACGGGAAGCGCCGAGCCGCCGACGATCCGCCGCGCAACGACCGTCCGACCCAGCAGCGCCTGGCTGCACTGCCGCTCAGGCAACCTGGGGGATTGCCGGTGCTTTTGCCGTCGGCCGGTGCCCAGCCAGTGCCCAGTGCGCCGCGCCGCGCCGAGCCGCCGGCCGACATGCGAGCGCTGCGGGAGGCGCTGCGGACGCAGCTGCGGGGGTTCGCGCGTGATCTGCACAAGGTGCCGCGGACGCGCCGTCGCGTGTTCGTGCAGGACGCTGGCGGGGTGCCGCGGCTCGAGTGGCTCGCAGTGGCGACCGAGCCGCTGGGCTTGCCGCCGGCGATGCATGCGGTGCTGGGGATGCTGGTGCGCGGCATGGGGTTCCGCGAGCCGCTGACGCCGCGAATTGTTGCGGTGCGGAAGCCCAAGAACCGCATCCACTTCATGCAGGCCGAGGATGCATTGCTCTTGATGGGCCTGCGGCTGTTTGGCTTCGACGACATTGCGTCGCTGCGTGTGCATCTGCTGCCCTGCAAGACTGCATCGCAGCTGCGCAACCGCATGAACAATCTGCGCGCGCGCCGAGCCCCGCCCAATGCCGTCAAGGACTTTTGCCTGCGGCGGATTGCCCCGTTTACGCTGGAGGAGGAGGAGACGCTGCGTGTGGGTGTGCTGGTCTACGGCGACGAGTTCCGCGCGGTCAACCAGAACTTCCTTGTCAGCCGTCCGACTATTGCGCTGGCGCAGGTGTGGAGCCATGTGCGGGGGGACTTTGCGTGAGCACGGGGCGCTTGTCTCCTGAGCCCCGGTCATGTGATTCCAATATACGGCCTGCGTTATCGATGGATCGTTATCTCAGACAAAACATACCTCCGACACGCGCTTTTGCCGGACTCGCCGCTTTCCATTCGCCCAATTGTCACCGGGTCTATAAAGGGGGGGCCAGACACTGCGCGCCCGAACATCTCCTGAGTCATCACACCATCCATTCCTCCCCTCCTCCAGCTCTCACTCCTTATCCAATTCTTTTTCCTATACTCTTGTAATAGTATCCATACCAAAACCCTCCTCTCCCGGATGCTTCCACGGCAAACAGCGCATACCCTAATCTCCTGCCAGCTCCTCTCGCAGGTGCGGCGATACGTAACGGTGCGGTCGGGCCGCAACCTGCAGCAAAAATTCTACGAGAACCGGATTCTGGACCGGTACACGGCGCAGGAGCCCAAGAAGGTGACGTTGCGGCAGCTGGTTCTGTTTGGGCGGCAGCTGACCGAAGACAAGCTGATAGCCTCGGCCAACTACGTGCGCGGGGAGCTGCCAGTGCGCCTGGCGCACCGGATCAGCGACTTCCAGTACCTTCCGTACATAGCGGGCACAAATCCGCACCTGAAGACCGTCTACGACCTGTACTGGCGGGCGTTCGATGAGTTCCGGAAGCTGCCTGTGGTGAAGACGCTGCAGGATAACCGGCGGTTCTGCGACGCGGTGCGGCGGAATCTGCTGGAGCACTCGCAGGTGATCCCGCAGCTGGGTATGGGCGTGTCCGAGTGTGCCGGGCTGGTGGCGCCCGACGAGATCGATCGGTTCATGTCGCAGATGCTGGTGTCGCGGATTTCGCGGCGCACCCTGGCCGAGCAGCATATTGCGCTGTCGCAGCAGTTCGACGAGGACCTGCGCAGCCACCTGGGGCTGAGCGTGGACGAGTCTTTTGACCAGCTGAACCAGGCGCCGGCGGGGTTCGCGACCCAGCGGATCGGCATTGTGCGCGCCGACTGCTCGGCCATCCAGATCATCAACGACTCGGCATTGCGCGTGGCGGAGTTGCTCGAGGAAGCGCACAATCTGCCGCCGGGCGCTGCCCCACAGGTGCTTGTCGAGGGCCACACCGACGCCATGTTCATGTGCATTCCGGAGCACTTCAGCTACATCATGCACGAGCTGCTGAAGAACTCGATGGACCATGTGATCCGCCGGTTCTCGGAGCGTCTTGACGAATCGGCGGTGGACGGAGCAGCCTCCGGCCCGCTGTTCCCGCCGATCAGGGTCACCATCTGCTCGAGCCACGCCGACATCATGATCCGCGTGTCGGACCAGAGCGGCGGCATCGACCCGGACGTATTGCCGTATATCTGGTCGTTCACGCAGCCGGTGAAGGCAAAGCGCCTGCATAACTTCCACGCAATCCAGCGCATGGAGGCCAAGCCCGCCGAGGCCAGCTCCTTGTCGCCGCTGGTGAGCTTTGGCTTTGGCCTGCCCATGTCCCGCGTCTACGCCAAGTACTGGGGAGGCAATGTCAATGTGCATTCGCTGCCCGGCTACGGCGTCGACGCTTACGTGCAGCTGCCGCGGCTCGGCAATGTCGTCGAGAACATTGGTGCGCGCCGCGCCCAGGCCCACGGCGACTAAGAATGGCGTTTATTTAAATACATAAAGGTTTTTTTTTACTTGGCCTCCTGGTCGTCGCCGAACGTCGAGCCGATGGCCGGCCGTGCGTCGGTGATCATCTTGGTCAGGCCCTTGTCCTGCAGCACTTTTTTGACGCACGCCTGGTATTTCTTGAACACCGCCAGACATTCGTTGGTGCTGTCGCCGTTCAGGAACTTCTCGCTGTACCATTTGTTGAAACACGCGTCGTACTCGTGCTTCAGCGGCGTGCATTCGTCGCCAATACTGTCCATTGTTGAAGAAGAAGAAAAAACAAAAGCTGTGGCAATTTAGAAGCAGGAGATAAAAAAGAGTTGCTAATTACTGTCATCGCCCATCCTGCCGCCTGTTAACTCCACCTCGATCCGATCAAGCCTCGCCCCCTTTTTCGTCCTACTTTTTTTATCCTCTCTCTTCTCCAATTAACGCTCCAATTCGCCTTTTTAATACTCTTTCAAAATGAACGACACTGTCAAGGAGGCTATCGTCCGCGGCACCGCCATCGGCAAGACTCTCGTCCACTGGGGCTACATTCCGCTGATCCTCTACATTGGCTACCGGGCCAGCAACCCGAAGCCGCCTCTTGCGCGCATTCTCTCGCCCATGGCCTAGTTGCCATTCTCTAGTAAATCCAATACATATTCATTAAACTGGAACAAAGTTGGCTCTTAATGCTCCTCGGGCGCACTGACCACGGTTGACAGCACCGCCGCCGCACCAGGCTCTATGGTAGCCTTCGGCCCCCTGGCCGGCGTATCGCCTCTGTGCCCTGCACTGCCACTGCCCTTGTCGTTTGGCGGCAGAGGCGGCATCGGATGCTGCATCGCCTGCTGCTGCACCGCCTGCTGCTGGAACCGCAGGTGCCCGAGGCTCGGGTTGCGCGACATGTTGCGTCCACGCCGCCGCCGCTCCGCCGTATTCACCGCCTTTAGCTCGCGCGCCAGGTACCGCACAATTGGCCGTGTCGGCAGGCCCTTGAGGGTCGCCACCACGTATTGCGTGCCGTCAATCCCCAGCCCATGCGCCTTGCCGCGCCCTGCCGCTGTCGGGGGTGTATTGGTCGCCAGGGGCTCGCCCGGAATCTCCCACTTGGAGTACAGTGCCTCGACAATTATGTCCTGCATCATCTTCGCAATCACCTGCGCGCAGTCCGGATCCAGCAGCCGAACCGGCTCCCCAACCAGCCGCCCGTCCGCCTGCCGCCGCGGGCCATCGAGCCGCACTGGCTGCAAGTCCAGCATCTGCTTCGCTGCGTCAAACACCTTCTCGATGCGCTTCTTGAACTTGCTGAACTCGCCGCCCAGGAACTGGTACAGTGCCGCCAGCTGGTGCACCACAAACGTGTGGTCCCGCTCTCCCTGCAGCTGCCGGTGGATGCCGCTCGCCACCGTCACTATCTGGTTGATCACAGAGTAGTACTGCCAGTGCGCTTCGATTCCCGCAGGCAGCTGCCGCTGCGACGCGATCACATTGCGCGCCAGCAAAGGCCGCCGTGCCGACATCGGAATCCGTGCCTTGCTCAGAATGTCTGTTGGCGGCAGCGGCCATGCCTGTGTTGGCGGCAGGATGCCAAAACTCGACTCTGAGCTGCAGTCGCTGTTGTCGTCGTCTTCGCTGTCGTTAATGTCGTCGTCTTCGTCATGGTACTTGCGCCATGGCAGGATCCGGTGCGGGTACTTTGCCAGCCAGCTGAACCACTTCGCCGACAACGGGAACACCTGCCGAAGCCCCGACTCGTCGCAGTACTGCGACACCTCCTTGGCCATAGCCTGCAGCTGTTGATCGTACTGCACCATGTCATCGAGCTCTGGACTGACCTGCTGCTGCTGCTGCTCTGCCAGCTGCAGTGGCGCAGTGTTAATCTGCATGTTGCTCTTGCGCCGGTTCATCTGGTGCTGCTGGTGCAGCAGAACCTGCTGATGCACCGCCCGTCCTAGCGCCTGCAGCACACCGAGATCCACCGACGATGGCGAGAGAGGATCGCTCATGTAGTCCTCCTGGTCACGCCCCACCATCAGCTCAAGCTCGCTCGTCAGCTCCATGATATCAAACGGCAGATTACCTGCCGCTGCTGCTGCTGCCGCCACAGCCACCGCCGCAGTGCCCCCCGCAGTGCCAGCCACAACAGTGTTTACATTGGTTGTCTGCGCTGTAGCTGTTCCGCCAGCGTGTTGTGCAGGCCCATTGTCGCCGGAGGACGATGCTGTCAGCGTCGATGTGTTTGTGCGCGCCGAGCTCGGCTTCTTGTTCATCGATCCAGCATCGCCCCCGCGTTCAAGCTGGTCACTGGCTGTCTTGTGGCCCTGAGACTCTTCTGGCCTGCCAGCAACCAAGCGGTCTGTCTCCTCATCAGAGCTCTCACCAAGGGCCGCTTGAGACATCAAGTGCGTGTTTGCCAGTGCTTCTGCCAGCCGGTCGACCTCATAGTGCTCACGGATCACACCGCCGCCCAGCATACTGGCGCTGTGCGCTACGGGCTCACCAAAGCTGTCTGAGCTGGTGGTGCTCGTATATCCGTAGTCGGTGAACTGCTCGCCGGCATCCGAATCAAACGGAATCCCAAACTCCTCAATGGATTCCATCTGCACGTAGTCGTCCATGATCTGGCTGTCGACTGAGTCTGGGGGCAACTGGTGCTGCGTCATGTGCGGCTGCGACGGAAACTGCGGCTCCTGCTCGGGGGACACAGGTGATGCTGCTGTTGGCGGCAGCAACAGGTCGTCTTCAGGGTCCCCCAACTGCTCCAGTATCGCATACGGATCTTTGGCTTGACTGCCAGTACTTTCTGCCCAGCGACCAGGTGATAAAGCACCAGTATCCACAGGCCGTTCACTCTCGGCTAACGGCACACCTGCCTGCGGGCTCTTGGCGATAGGCGTAGGCTGGTACTCCTGTGTCGACTCAGCCACAGCCGCACGGTCGGTGGACGATATTGGCGGCGACCCAGCCTGTGTAGCAACAGAAACAGCCGCAGAAGCCGCTGCTGCTTGCCTGGACGTGTGCTTTTCGATGACCTTGACCAGCTCAGGCACACGCACCAGCGGCGGCGTATCGGGCTTGTGCACAGGCGACGAAAACGACGTGCGGTGGTATGCGGGGCTGGTCGGCTCATTGCGCATCGGGTATTTGCTAGAGTTTAGCAGTGGCCGGTGGTTGCTGGGTGCGAGCATTGGGAACGGCGCCTTGCGCTGCTCGTCAGATTCGCTTTCTTCGACAATCGACTCATATGGCCGGTTGCGATAGTACTCAAGCACATTATCCAGAGACTCAACTGTGCCTTTGCGTCCTGGCCGCTCCATCTCAAACACCGCATCGGGCGACACTCCCAGCCCAACCGACTTTTGCTGAGCCGTCCCTGCTGTTGTCGCCGCTATCTGGGATTCCATGAGCTGTGCGTTCCAGCGGTCGTAGTCGAGCGCATCATCCATCGGCGTCGCTTTATCCTCATCATGTTCGCCGATGACAGATGCCTCCGAACTATCGTCGCCACGCTGTGCGATGGCACTGTCCAGTACACGCCGGTGTTTGTAATAATCAAAGCCGAATTCTTTCGAATGCTTCGGCTGCTGAACCTCGTTGGTATGCACAAGCTGGGTTCGCTCCGCCACAGGCACGGCCGGGATATCACTGGATGACGGAATCGTCGACAGCGGTGCACGGGCTGTTGGCAGCTCTGGTATCTTCGCCATATGTGTGTCCATTGAATACCCAAGAGCCGCTCCCAGCCCGCCGTCCATGGAGCTTAGGCTCTGGTGGGCAGTTGCAAAGTCCTGGTACACAGTCTCGGCACGGCCAGGCTGCCACATGGAGTGGCCAGCGCTGTGGTAGCTGCTGCGCGACCCAGGGCTGCTGTCGTGCTGAATAGGAGCCATCATTGGTGGGATTGGCGGCAGCGGTGGCCGCACAGCGTCGCTATCCCGCCGGTGCCGCTCATTCTCTTTCTCAATGAACTGGTGAAGTGCCTCCGCTTCTGTCGGCGAATTCAACAGCTCCTGGATAGCAATACCGCCGTTGGTTGTCACTATACTCGACGGCGCCTCTCCAGGACCCCTAGCCGGCTCGTGACCTCCAACATTGGCATTGGCCGGCATTGATGGTGCATCCTGAACACCGCGCTGCTGCTGCTGCCGCCGCCGCTGCTGCTCCTGCATCTCTTGGACGAGAGGGAACCGGAACGGCTGTTTCTTGTCGGTGGGAATCGCAGGCAAGTCTGCTTCTGCCTGCGTGCCATTGGCTGCTGGTCGGAACAAGTCGCCGTCAGATGCATTGGCCAGCACGCTTGCACTGCTATTGTTAGCCAGAGTCACCGCGCCGGCTGGTGCAGCTGCATTCTCCGCCTTGAGATTCACTCCGCTGGGCACATTGCTTGGCTGCTCAACAATGGGCGCAAGGTGCACGGGCTGCTGACTCGTAACGCTGCCGTTCAAACGGCCCTGTTCCATTGTCGGCGAGCCAGCATAAACCATTGGTGCCTTGTACATTAGCGGTTGCTGCTGCTGGCTTCCACCGCTAGCGTGTATATGTGTCTGCTCCAGCGGTGACCCAGCCGAACCAGAGTATGCCATATGCGGCAGATACATTGGTTGCTGGCTAACCGCACTAACTTCTACGCGGCCATGGTCTGTCGGCGACCCAGAGGAGCCAGCGTATAGCATAGGCGCCAGGTGCACTGGCGACCCAACATGCTGCTGGGGCTGGTGTGCTTGCTGCTGATAGTGCTGGTACGTCTGGCGCTCATAGTGATATGGGCTGACCGCAAACGAGTCCGACGAGGCCGCTGTCTCCGCGCGCTCGCTCGGGTCTAGCGAATACTGGCCTGCTGGGTTGCCTGGCCGGTCATAAACAATCTCAGGCGCCATCGTATAGTGTGGTGCTGGGCCGCTGTACTCGGGGTAGGCCGCCTGGAATGCCTGGTACGGAGCCACAGGCGGCGACGCAGACAACGCACCGCTGGTCGCAGCCCACTGTGCGTGCGTGACGTGGTATGGGGAGTCAGGCAGCGGCGGATAAACCGCAGCGCCCGGAGCCGCTGTCATGGGGTGCTGGGCAGTGGTCGCCGGATCATGTGGGCTGCTGGTATAGAAATACGGCTGGTGCTCGCGCGGATACACATTGCTGTCCTTTGGCCATTGGCGCTGGATGAACGATGGCACCTGCGGGACCGGCGGCGACAGCTCCATCGCCTGCTGTATCAGCTCTTTGCGCGCACGCCGTGCCCCGCCGACGCTACTGCTGGCATCGTGCTGCCACTGTGTCCGCTGCCCGCCCGCCATCTGCGATGCTGCCCGGGGGTCGTTGCGGCCGGTCTTTAGGTGCGTCGGCGGCGCTGTTGCGTTGTCTGTCACCGGCGATGGCCGGTTTGCCTTGGCCCGCCGCTGCTTCTCTAGCGTCGTCAGGTTCACTGCCATGCTGCGCTTCATCGACTCGATTTCGTCCTCCGACGAGGAGCTCTGCCGGCTGACCGGCCGCGCCTCAGGCTCTACCGCGCCCGCTATGATGTCGACTGACTGCCGCCTCCGCCGTTGTTGCTGCTGCTGCTGCTGGCTGTACGCTGCTACTGGTCTCGGTGCTGCAGCACTGCGCCCGGGCCTGGTGAATTCCAGCTTCGGCTGCATACTTTTTCTTCTTCTTCCTTCGCTGCGCGTTTCCTTTTAGAGTGTATGTGATGAAGAGTGCTCTTGCCCAGGGCAATACCTGCAGCCAATTTGTGTCGGGGAAAAGGTGGGAAATGATAGGGAGCAGAAAAGAAAGAGGCTCCGACAAGAAGGGCGAACAAAAGCAATAACAAGCCATTGGCATCTCAACTGTTTTTCCTTTGGCATCTTGCCGCTCTCTCTGCAGGCAACAGGAAAAAAATTAGACATGCTCGGCTTCCAAAGTCGTTTTCCACTACCTTGATGGCCGTGCAGAGAGGTGCTTCCAGCGAGGGATCTACAGCCTAAAGGGACAGGGACAAAGGTCCTGCTCCAAAGTCTGTACACCGGATGCCAAGACACGTACCGTGGGATATATTTCATACGGAGCCGGGCCTCAGTTGACATGGATATGGTGGTGACTGTACATAGTAGCCTGTATATGTAGCACGGTTTTGTCTCAGCCTGTGTCACTGCTATTTTGTTACTCAGCATTGATTCATTGGGGCACAAGGAACAACGCATTTGCTCTGGACCGAAGAGACGGAAAAAAGCGGCACACAGCCTTCCAAGTCTGAATCTGAGTACCATGCAAGCAGGGCGCAGGTCAGGTGTATGGAAAGAGCAACTCTCATGGCAATGCATATTGGACTCGGGTGTGCCTGATGATCGGGGAGACGTGCTCAGACAGGACGGACCCGGGGGTTTCCGATCATCTTCCAGCGCGAGCAGCTCGCTTGTTTAGGAAAAAACATTGAGAAGTCCAGCGCGTCTATTTTTTGAGCTTTTGTGGGATAAGCGCTGGACACAAACACTCCACAATTCAGCGGTTGGTCCTGCGCGCTCCTAATTTTTTTTTTTCGCTCCTTAGCTTTATATACAGCGCCTTCTGTAAATGTACCGTTTCGTTTTTTTAATTTGACATCGCGCGCTACTTTACCTCTTCTTTTTTCTTATCCAGCTACAGACTGCATACTATTTACGCTTATCCCACAGAATCGCAGATAGCACGTTTTCTATCGCCATGAACGACGGCGGCGACTTTGAACACGGCAGCCCCGGCTCAGACACAGATACACAGTCGTACCTTATTGGCAGCGATGGCAGCCCGGTCGATACTCCGCAGCTCTCGAACCGCCGCCTACAGGACGATCCGCAGATGCCTGCACCCGCTGGCAAGAGCAGGCGCAGTAGCAGCGGGCTGTCAAGACGCTCCATGGAAGGCGCCATCGACAGCACATACCCGAACAACAAGACGTCGTCGAAGGACTTTGACGAATTGTAAGCAGCCGAGAATTGTTTTTTTTTTTTGGAAATTGGCAGGAGTGTCCGGGTGAGGCAATTTGTTTTGCTACGAGTTGCTTTGCGCGAAAAAGGGGAAATTGCGAAACGCAGGGTTCACATTTCTAACTCAAACTCAGTCCCTGTTTTTCTAGACTCAAAGGCGACTTGGTCATTGCAAATGAGTGGTCGGCAGTGGGCGGTGGAAGCAGCAGCAGCAGCAACAGCGCAAAGCCAGAAATGATTGAGCGCAAGCACCTGAGAGGGGTGCAGAGCAACAATAGTGCTGGCAGATCCTCCGCTACGTATAGCGAGGGTACAGCTGCCTTGAATGCCTCACTGGCGCATCTGGCCAACGAAACACAGCGACTGAGGCCAACGGATCAGCAGTTCCAGGATCGTGGCAGTGTTCCGGGGTCTGCCATGCCTCAGCCAATGCATCGCGCAACGTCCTTGCCTCCGAATGCACCGGGCGAGACGGTCTCTTTGGCGGACGATCGAAACCTGCGGTCTGCAATGCGCGTTCGGAAACCCACACCACCAGGTAAGGCACCAGGCACCGGTGTGCCGAATACCACAGCACGCAAGGTGACCTTTACAGGCGTTCCGCAGCCACCTAGCACCGATTCGCCACTGCGCGAAGATGGCCGTGAGCCCACCCAGTCACCGAGCAATATGCAGCCGTATAGCGACGGGTCATTGGGTGCTACGCTGCCGCCATGGGAGGAGCAGCCGGCAAGACACTTTGACAGTATTGCGAGACGGGCGCAGTCAATGTCGGTCGATCTGGGACGTACTATATCCATTGATGGAACTGGCGTCACGCCGCCACCGAGCAGCCAGGATGCGACGCTCAGGCACCGCCGCAGCGGATCACTCGAGGCTGCGCACACGCCAAATCACCAAACGCCACCCAGCCCAACCCCACAGGCAAACACCTGGAATGCTGGGTTCGGTAGCACCTTAATAGGTGTGGGCATTATCGGCAATGCCTTCAGCAAGTTCAACACTATGCTTGGCCATGCCCCTCTGTCGCCTCGCACAGCAGCTCGTGCCATGTCGCCAACGGCCGATATGTACGACAGGCGACCTGGCAGTCGAGCAATGTCTGAATCTGAGGCCAACACTACCGGCGGCGAGGGTGTTTTTGACCAACGGTTGCAGCGCAAGGCTTCTGACAACTTTGACTCGACAGTCTCGACGTCCTCGGTATCACCGCTGCGGACCGAGCCGATGCGGTCGAATGCGCCCTCAAACTTCAATACACCGCATCGGAACATGCTGGGGCTCAGTGGGTTCACGCCGGCATCGGCACTGCGTAAGACTCCCGGCAGTGCTGTTAACCCACTGGCACGGCACCTTGCAATGAAGTCGATGCAGTCATCACAAAAGGGCACGCCGTTTATGTCGCGCAGCGTAATGACACCAACGCCCGGCAACAAATCGACAGCGCCATTCATGTCACCGCTCAGCTCTGGCGATATTAGCGACGCGTCGATGATGGATGTGGCTGACATCCAGAAGCAGCTCGAGCAGTTTGCGGAGCTTCTGAAGAGCGACAACTCAGTGGCTCAGGCTGAGCTGCTCCAAAGCGAGGAGGCATGGGTTGAGATGCAGCGCGAGATTGCACGGCTGACGACCGAGCTGGCCTACTCTGAGGATGAGCGGGAAGCTATGCATGCGCAGATGGGCGAAATGCACCGAGAGCGCGCAGACATGGATGCTGACCGGCAGCAGCTCGAAGACAGATGCAGCGAGCTCACCGATAACATTCAGCAATGGCAGCGCCGAATCGGTGATGTTGAGAACGACCGCAAGGGGGTGTGGAAGGAAGGCCAGCAGAGCCGCGCTGAGCTCCTGAACGAGATCATTAGAGGCGAGGACCGTATTCGGGCAGCGCAGGCCGAGGCTGCCGAAGTCCGCGAGAAGGCGCGTGCAGCAGTGCGTTCAACGCGAAGCCAGGTCTTGGCCGAGTGCGAGGGCCGCATGGTTACATTGCGGGAAGAGAACGGGCAGCTGCGCGACCACTTGGCCCACGCAGAGGCAGGGTACGAGATGGTCACCGGCGAGAACCGCAGGCTCGAGGCTGATGTCCATGAAGCTCGACTCATGGCCAAGGAGGCGGCCGAGCGTGCGGCTGCCAGAGAGATGGAGCTGACTGCCAGCAAGCACAAGGCGGCGCTGGCCGAGCAGCAGGTCCAGGCGCTTGAGAAGCAGGTCTTGGGGCTAAGCGAGACTGCCCGCGAGGCACAGGCGACCGAGATTGCCCTACGCACCAAGATCCAGGACAATGCCGGCACGATCAGGTCGCTGGGCGAGACCATCAACGACCAGACCTACGAGATCAACGTGCTGAAAACCGGGCATCGGGAAGGCAGCACCGAGTACGAAACTGCAATGGAGCTGCTGTCGCCTGAGCGGAAGCGGTCGGTGTCAAGCCGGGGTGAGGATATCGCTGCGCTTAGGCAAAAGTTCCAAATGGAGATCAAGCGGCTCAAGAGCGATAACGAGTTGCTGACCGAACAGCTCCGGGAGCTGGTCGAGGCAAAGGGCAGCTCTAGCGATCGGGATGCGACACAGGCTATCGCTGTCGAGAAAAAACATTCTCAGGACGGTGAGAGCAAGGCCATGGAAAGACTGAAGCAGCAGCATCGCGACGAGGTTGAGCAGTTCAAGAGCCAGATCGAAATGCTGAAGGAGCAGCTCCAGGATCTGATCGACGCCAAGGGCGACTACAAGAAGCAATGCGCAGAGCTGATGGACATGGCCGAGGCAGCCAAAAGCAGGATCACCGGGCTTGAGGCCGATGCTGCTGGAGCTGCAGAGCGCGAGAGCACATTGCGTCAGCAGCTGGCTGCCAAGAGTGAGGCAGCACATACGAATACTGGCAGCAGCGACGATGTGGAGCTAGAGATGCTGCGTGAGACTGAAGAGAGACTCGCTCAGGAACTCGAGGTCGTGGAGCGCGAAAACGCCGAGCTCAGCGAGCGGGCGCGTAATGCTGAGGAGCGGAGCAAGAGGCTCGCAGCGCGCAACGACGAACTGTCACAGCGCACAGCACGCCTGGAGACCGAGATCGGTGACATGCAGCTGCGCTTGGGCGAGCATGGTGTAGATTCAACGAAAGACAAGGAGATCGAGACATTGCACAGGACGTTGTCTGATCTGGAGAAGGAGCTTGCTGCCAGGCACAATGACAACGACAAGCTGCGGCAGGAGCTGGCTAAGCGCGATATCGAGTTTGACGAGATGCAGGCCGATCTGGTGCGCGTGCGCCAGGAGCATGAGGCTGAGATCCAGGCTCTGAAGCTGTCCGAGGATAAGATCGTTGAGCTGCGTGCTTCTGAGCAGAAGCTCAAGGCTGAGCTGAAGGAGCTGAGCACAAAGCTTGCCTGCACAAGCGGGGTTGAATCGGTAGCAGGAGAGTCGGTCGCTGAGAAGACTGCCAATAGCAGCAGCGAATTCGATAATCCCGAAAAGCTGGTTCATCGCGAGTTTGAGCTGTCGCATAGCTTGCGCAGGATGCAATCGGATGTGGCGGCCCTGGAGATCAAGGTCGAGAAGACTAAGGAGCGTCGCGGCAAGCTGGAGCGCGAGGAGCGGTTCCTGACCGACCAGCTCGTCAACAACCTCTTGCGCAACAAGACGCTGCGGTTCGAGGCGGTTGCGCTGCTGATGCGGCGTGCTGGCAAGCTGCGTGAGCTGAAGGCACTGCAGAGCCAGTACGGCAACGACAGCCTGTCTCTGTCGATGTCGGACGAAGGCAGCGTATCGATGATGTCTGGCGACTTGAACGACATTCCGACAGCCAGCCAGCTGCTCGACGGCAGCCGCCCCAAGTTCCTAAACACGCTTGATGAGCACCTGGAGGAGATGGAGGTGGTCATGGATAAGTCTGATACGATGTCACAGCGGTCTATCCCGACAACAGTCTCGCGGTCGTCTCCTCTGCGACGCACGATCAGCCAGCCCACTGAGCGGCGGGAGGCATCGCGTGTTTTGACTCCAATCCGCGAGGAAAACGCAGCCCAGTCTCATCCGTACAAGGATGCCGCAGTGCAATGCACATTGGATAGCGAGACGGCTTCAGCTCTCACCGAGCAGCTGGAGATTGAGCTGGACAGCATGCGTGGCCGCATGTACCAGCTGGAGGATGACTGCAAGACGCTGCGTGCTAATGTTGCTGAGGTCAAGCAGGAGCGCGATCAGTTCAAGGTATCGCACGAGGACGCATCCGAGCACGTGTCAAAGCTGACGGGCCAGATTGAGGATCTGAGCGAGGAGCACGAGCGTATGCGGGCTGAGAACATCACAACGGCACGCATCTCGCGCCGATTGGCACGGCAGCTGAGTGTGCTGAAGCGGATTCTGGGTCGGTTGGCATTGTACGACTCGCAGGTACTGTCAAAGAACAAGGACGAGCAGCCATCTGCAGACGGCAAGGAGCGTGAAGAAGTACTGGCGCTCGAGGAAGACGATGCCATGATCAATGCCACGCTAGACCGGCCGCTTGGTACGGGTGATGACGAGGTGCATGACGCGTCTGACCAGGAGAACGCCGACCGGCTGGCCTCGCAGGGCAGGGTGCTCGAGCGCATGGGCTCGTTGGTGTCTGAGCTGTATGCACAGGCGAAGCGGATCCGTGGTGAGACCTTCCGCGCAAAGACAGAGAGGGCACGGATGGTCAAGCGACTGGCCAAGAGCGATGCGGCCAACCTCCCTTCGTTTGAGCTCTCGTCCCAGTGGGGACGCAAGGTGCGCCAGCGCAGCTATACTGTGAACTTTACCAGCGGTGCAGACTCGGAGCATGGGATGGGTAGCATGTCCAGGGCAAAGACCGATGCGCCCAGTTCATCGGGCCCGATGCTTGACGATACGGAGCCGCCTGCGTCGCTGTTCATGGCCGACGAGTCGGCGATAGCAAAGGAACTGGCTGCGTCAAGGCGCGCCCAGCGTCCGGGAAACACATCAGCCCCGCCTGACAATGGCAGCTACCAGTTTGCAACCAATGCGATTCCACCGACGCTGGAGGTGGCACGGCTTGTGGGCCAGCTGAAGGGCAAAACGCGGGAGGCTAAGATTCTGAAGTCGGAGGTGGCCAAGTTCGAGAAGGTCAACAACGACCTGCAGCAGAAGAACGATCGCCTGCACTCCGAGAACCTGCGGGTTCGGAGTGAGAAGCATGCGCTGGAAATGCGTATTAACAGCCATTCGTCTAGCCGGGCCAACACGCCGCGCCATGGCACCGATTGGGACGATCTCGAGTCGATCACGAAGGAGCTCGAGCGCAGCCGCAAGCGAAACATGTCGTACTTTGAGAACGTCGAGCAGCTATGCACGATTCTGAGCCAGCACACGATCGACCGGGCTTTGGCCGGCGCCAGCGACAGCTTCGACGGACATGGGGCGGCTGCAGCGCCAGACAATGTGTTCCGCAGCCTGCTGTTTGAGATGGCCGAGACACTGGACGCCCGCAGCGATCTGGACGATGACAAGAGCCTGCGCCAAAACTTTTTGAGCATGGCAGCTGCTGTGCGCCAGCGCCTGGATGAAAAGACGAGGGAGCTGCGTCAGCTGCAGAGCGATTTCAGCACCACACACAAAGCAAACGATGAGGCAGCAAGCGCATTGATCAAGGAGAAGGTGGAGCAGTACGAGCACCTGGTCAACGACCTTGAGTCGCAGCTGGCTGACGCCCAGGACCAGCTAGCCAGCCAGCAGGAGCAATCGGCATCGCTGACGTCGACTGCCGACAGGCTGCATCAACAGCATGCCAGGCTGGAGGGGGACTTTGAGACGTTGCAGAAGCACTGCGCAACGCTGGAAGAGGACATCGAGGCTCTGCGGCTTGACAGCCACGGCTTGCAAAACAAGCTGGCTGGGAAGCAGCAGGAGCTTGCGTTTCAGATCGAAGAGAACAGGGCGCTGCATGGAACGATTGAGGAGCTTACTGCGAACAAGGGAGGCAGCGTCGATGACCACCCGCACACGATGGACATGGAGCGGATGCGCCAGGAGTGGACGGCCGCTGCCAAGCAGGAGGAGGCCGAGTCCTGGCACAACAAGGAGTTCATTGTGCGGCAGGCGCTTGAGACTCAGATCAAGGCAGTGCGCTGGGAGAACAGCGTTTGGAAGGACCTGATCCGCGACATGATGGTCCGCTCGATGAGCAATATGCCGCCGCCGCCGCTGCATCAGCACAACAGCACGTCGATGCAAGGGCCCAATGGCAACTCGATCGAAGGAAATATGCGGCTGGTGACAGAGGCATTCGATGATGTCGACCATGAGGTTGAGCGTGCGATCGAGCGGACTATGCTCCTGCAAGACAACATGCTGGCTGGCCCTGCGGTGAATGGCCGCGGTGACACTAGCAAGTACCATGCTGACTTCCTGGATGCACTGAACAAGGTGCTTCGCGGCCTAGAGATCAGCATCTCGAGGAAGTGGCGCGAGAACGTATGTGGCTGCGTCGAATCGGTGGTCACAGCATCGTATCGGGCGCTAGCCTCAGTCAGTGGCATGTCCGGTGGGTCCGTATCTGGCGGCAGCATGCGGCAGCGCCGTGGAGGTCACAGTGCCAGCAGCAGCAGCGGCGGCAGCAGCTCGACTGGAAACCCGCTGATCACTGCCGAGCAAAAGGCGCTGATCCGCGAGAAGAATGCGCGCATGATGGATGAGCTGAAGCGCAAGTACCAGCAGCTGCTCGAGGAAGAGCGTGCCATGTCCCAGCGCGACGTGGAGCGTCTTAAGGACGCAGCCAAGAGTGACAAGCGTATGCTCACCAACGAGTGCCGGTACCTGCGTGGCCGGATTCAGTGCATGGCCAGCAATTTCACACTGGTGCTGTACCAGAAAGAGGTCTTGGTGCAGCTTATCGGCGGGCATGCTGGCATGTTCGAGCGCATTGATGAGCTCCTGCTGGCGAATCGTGGGAACATGTCGCCGGGGATGGGTAACGGGGAGCCTCGTAAGCAGGCGGCCCGCCGCTGGCGCCGGGTTATGCTGGTGTTGCGCTTCCGCAACCGTCTACAGAGCCTGCTGAGCGACAGACGCCGGGTCGACGAGATCAAGACCAATGCCCTTAGGGCAAACGCCACCACCACCTGTGCTGAGCCAGCCGGGCCCTTGCAACCGCAGTACGTGGGCTACCAGGTGAATGGCCACAGAACCACGCCCATCACACCCTCGAAGCTCCGCAACCGCGGATCTGACCTGCATTCGAGCATGGACTCGCTCTCATTCCACTGATGGCATCTCCCAGTGTAGCGACTGCGCATTTTGTGAAATTATCCTTTTTTTTGCTCGTATCCGTATTTTTTTATTCCCTTTCGTTTTATTATTTCTTTTTGTTGCGCACATTCATTCGATAGCACCTTTGCTTGTATCTAACTCCAAGGGCCACTGGGGTAGCGGCTTCAGGTATGTTAAGAAGTGTAGCGAGAAGGACAGGGCAGCGTGCACCCATGATGTGCATTATTTGCTGCCAACGGATATTAGAGTATTTGCTCTATAGAAATTACTGAATTCCTTGTATCTAATCTCCATCTGCACGCGTCCTGTTTTCCTCATCGCCATGTCAGTCGCGCGCAGGGTCGTGATTGCTCCAAAGCAATGCTCGTCCGAAAAGCTGCAGCACCTGCGGCTGCCGCACCCGCGTGCCAAGTCGGCCAGCAGCTACTATGCAGATGTGCAGAACCAGATCCTGCTTGAAGCAACAAAGGTCGACATGAAAGGAAAGCGCTCGTGGCTTGGCGACAACTGGGTTCAGGGAGACGGCTCTTTGTCTATCCTGACGCCAACCGACCCCCTGTTCATCTATCTGAAGCTGATCACCGAAGAATCAAGGATGAAGGACGGCAGTTACAAGTTCATTGACATAGATAGCTTGAAGCTCGAGTCCCACGGCACCAAGGACGCTGTATCGTTGAGCGTGCTGTTCAGCATGAAGGACGTGAAGCGGCGGGCCATGGAAACGCTGTGCGAAGTGCAGGAGATCAACGAGGAGACAGTCATGGTGAAGGTTTCCGAGGACAAGGTGGTCAGGTGGCTCAAGAAAAAGTGCAACCTGGCAATGTTTCCAAGAGCACTTGAAAGGACGGTCGTGGCTGTAGCCGGCAATTGCGGCGAGCAGGTGCGTGAAGAGGCGATGCTGCGCGAAATGGTGTATTTGGTTGCTGAGTACCTGGAGGAGGAATGGGTTGGCAAGCTAGTGGAGGCGTTTGGTGGATTCAAGTTGATAGAGGAGCACGATAAGCAAGTGGCTGGCGCAAGGAAGAGTGCTGTGTCGTATGATGGCCCCGAGTCGTATACCCCTGGGATGATGGCAGCGCCTGCTATCAAGGCGGCCAAGAGCAAGGCGGCCAAGAGCAAGGCTGCCCCGTCGCGGCCCAAAACGAGAACCAGCACGCAGACAGGTAGCTCGGCCAAAAAGACAAAGACCCTGGATGGGTTCTTTCCGTTAAAAGCAGACAAGAAATGAGTGGATGTAAGGTATATTGCGGGGTAGAAATTTGGATGGGGAGTGATAGTGGAATGAAGGTATGCGCAAACATGAAGAGCTGTGTGAAGAGATGATATGGATTTTTAGAAGGTGCCGTCAAACGCATATTTCCTCGACAGCGGGTGTGCTTCTGTAGTGAAGACCCACTGATCAAGGTTAATCGTGTCGTGGTCTGCAAATGTCAGGTAGAGGTAGAGGAATGTCTCGGCGAAGAAGAACGACTCAGTCGAGTCAACAGTGTCGATGATGCCAGTCCACGATGAGTCGACTGAGACGTTGGCCGTGCCGACGTACCCGTTAGCAATGCGACAGTTGCGCTGAATTCCCTGCCAGATGTTCCACACACGGTCGGCATAGACGGTGTTTCCGGTCAAGCGGTACATGTAGAACAGCGACTCGATCAGCTCTGGACGCAGCATGTAGTACGGCCGCTCCAGGGAGAACCCGTACTTGGTGACGTCGGACTGCGCCTTGGGCCGCATCAGCATAAAGTCGGTTGGGACGTTCTTGCGCACAAACCTAATTGATTCGGCGCCAAGGTTGGACGGCATCTTGGCGAATACGCTGTAGCCAGCCTCAAGCAGATCCTCGGCCAGGCCAAAGTACCTCTCGGAGCCCACCAGCTTGCTGATCAAGGCCAGCGTGCCCGGGATAAAGTTGGTGAAGGTGTCAGTGTAAGGGAAGAACCGAGTTCCGTCCACAAAGCCAGGGAAAATGTAGCCATCTGAGCTCTCAGCAATGCTGTAGCGCTTGAAAGACTGGATGCTCTCGCTCCACATGTCGATATTGCGCTCGAGCATAAAGTCGGACAGAATCCAGGTCTTGGCCAGGTACTCGTAGAACGAGTCGCCGCCACCACCCCAGTAGGTCGTCTTGCTCGAGAATCTGCCAGACATCATGTCAAAGTCGATTGGATAGAGACCGGGTATCGTGTAGTTTGATGCAGGGTCCTGGACGTTGTTGTTCTTGAGCATGATCGTAATGACATTCTGAGCGACTTCATGGTAGGTTGCATTGCGTGTGTGCTGTGACAAGCGGAAGAACTCCATCTGGAATGTCCCGATCTCGGCAAGGTTCGTCGATGTCTGTCCAGAGTTCTCGCTGGATCCAATCCCCGTTGTCACATTGATCATCTGCCAGGGAAGACCGAGCGGCGTGTTGAATGCTGGCAACAGGATGTCGGTCAGCTCAACAGCCTTATCCAGGAATATCCTGTCGCCCGAAAGCTCGTAAGCCGAAAGAAACCCGCCAACATACCGAATGTTGGTCTCGAACACCTTTGCCAGCTGACCGTGGCCATCGCGGAAGTTGAGCTGGGCAACAAAATTGCGCGCCTCCCGGAACTCGTCTTTTAGATCCATAATCCACAGAGTGTCAAGGGCGTCGACCAGCGTCGCGCCCCATCCGTTGCGCGTCGTCTTGGGCACCTTTTTGACCACATCGATCTCATCAAACCCGTAGGCATACTTCTTGTATCCATTCCAGGCGTAGATGAACCCCTGCTTGACTGCCTCTGCACGCTGGCGACGGGTATCGCGGTCCTGGATCGTCTCGTTGGCAAAGTTATACTGAACAAACCGGCGACGCAGTGAGTGTGCGCGATCCAGGTTGGCAGGCTCTCCAGCCCGACTAAGCATCCCACCGTGAGCAGGGACTCCTGACGGTGCATAAGAGCTCCATTGTGGCGCCACCCATGTCTTTGCCTGGACAGATAGACTGCCGAGGACAAGGGCAGATACTATGTGGAATTTCATTGTTATCACTATCAGGGAGACGGAGCGTACGAGAAGAGGGGTGTGCAAAATATAAAAAGGGAGGATCTAGTAGATGAGTTTCGCCAATTCACGTAGCGACAAGTCGTATATTTGAACAGCCCCGATATTGACGTAAGGAGGCGTGATCACGGAGATATCGACAGGAGAAGGTGTGTGCGGGGATAAGTGAAAAGAAGGAGAAGTCGCAAGGAAGTAAATGAAAAGGATGGGAGGTAAATGAGAAGCGTATAGATTTTGCGGGAGGCGTGTAAGCGGGGGAACAGAAAGGCTGCGAGGACAGAGGTATTCGTTTGCTATATGGAGATCAGGAGGAGGAGTGTCGTTTGCGTTCGGTGTCTGGTACAAAATGCATAAATGCTTGCGACAGAGGGGATAAGGGAGGGTGAGGATAAAATAATATAGATACGTTAATTAGAAAGGGGGGATGAGGAGAAAGAAGGAGAGTAGTGTATTCATGGAGGCAAGGGGTGGAGAGAGTAATAAATGTATCTTTACAGAAACTCGCTCTAAGCGCCTCATTTTATTAAGAGCTGGCCGAATGGCTTGGGAAGGCAGGAATAGAACCATGCTCCTAGGCCATTCTTCCAGAGACGCTGCGCATGTAGAGAACGGTCTCTCAGAAAGCAATTGTTGCCAACAAAGGCTTTCGGCTGTGGCAGTAGGAGCGTCATAGCAAGAATGGCCCGGCTGCTGCTGTGAACAGCCATATCCTATTGACATTTGTTTTCAAGACATTCTTAGCGAGACGCAAGGTTCGCACAGCGGCGCTGCGAGTCATATTGTATCTTGTTGGCTTATTGAGGAATCGCATCTGGGCTGCGTTTCCACGCCAAGAGAGCGGTCTGCTCAAAAATAGAAAACGCCGAGTGAATATGAAAATATGCCGACAAGTCGACGATAGTTCCAACAACAAAATGAGCTACTGAAGCTGGAACACTTTTAGATAGCCCAAAAGAATTTACCACTGCTACAATAGTAGCCTGGAAGATATGGCCAGCCGGTGGCCACCACCAATACTGCGGTGCCCGACAATATTTTGAGTTCTCATAGCGAGCATACTGTCTAAACGGCTGCTCTCCCTTACAAACGTTTTGGAGACAATTCTGGGTTTGGTATGATGATTAAGCAGGCATTTCCCCAGGGATGATCTAGGACACTCAACAGCCTGCAGTCGTATCGCAGTAGCGCTGTCAGGCCGATATCTGGCTTTAAGCGGTGGTTTGAATTAAAGGATTGTGAAAAAGTAAAAACGTGCGAAAGGGCTAGGCAAGGAACGTGAAGAGGGGAACAAGGAAGGAGGGGGTAAAAACTTGAGGGTGGGCAAAATACACGGATGAGTAGTGCGTTAGAAGGTGCCGTTGAATGAGTTGAAGCGCTTGAATGGGTGTCCCTCGGTAGAGAAGATGTACTCGTCCAAGGAGATGACGTTGGGCTCGGCGAATGTCAAGTAGATGTACTTGAAGGTTTCGGCAAACACAAACGACTCCTGCTTGCCGATAAGGCCGCCCTCGCGGCCAATACGGACATCACGTAGCCCAGCAAAGCCGCCTTCGACCGCGCAGTTCTCTTTGATGCCCTCCCAGATCTTCCAGACCCAGTTGGCATACTTTTCGTCACCAGTGATTCGATAGAAGTAGAAAATAGACTCGATGACCTCGGGCCGCATTAAGTAGTACGGCCGGTCCAGGTAGAAGCCGTACCTTTTGATCTCAGCCTGCTGGTTGCTGTTGAGGTCGCTGTCATCGTCACCGTCGGGCAGGAAACCAAAGTTCTCGGGGCCAATGTGCGTGGGCATGCGCTCAAATGTACCGTATGACGACATCAGCAGCTGGTGGGCGATGTTCATGGAGTCATCGTCGTCGAGCAGACGGGAGGCCAGGGCCAATGTTCCTGGGAAGAAGCAGGTGAATGTGTCGGAAATGGAGTCCAACCCATCATCGTCACCCACGCCCATGTACAGAAGCTTGTCGGTACCACGAGACATGACATACTTTTTGAGGCCCGCCAAGCTTTGTCTCCACATGTCGAGGTTACGCTGCAGCTTAAAATCAGACAGCGCCCACGTCTTGATGAGGTATTCATAGAACGAGTCAGAGCCGCCGCCCAGGTTCGGCTTCCCGCTTAGGAACTTGCCCGTGTTGATATCGAGGAAGATCGGATAGAGGCCAGGCACTGAGAAGATAGTTCCCTTCTGCGGCTCATTACTTGCAAGCAGCACATCATAGACGCGCTGGGCAGCTTTGTGATATGACGGGTCGTGTGTCAGCTGGGAGAGGCGGAAGAACTCGAGCTGGTAGGTGCCGACCTCAGCCAGATTGTTGTAGGTCGAGGGACCATTCTCGGAGCTGCCCTTGCTGGTCTGAACATCCCACATCTGCCATGGGATGCCGGTGGGTGTGTCGAAAGCTTCGAGCATATTGTCGGCCAGCGCTGTAGCCTGCTTGAGGAAGACCCTATCTCCTGACAGCTCATAGGCCGAAATCAGCCCACCAATGTAGCGGATATTGGTTTCAAACACCTTCGAAGGCTCGCCGTCGTTGTGGTCAAAATCGACCTTCTTGACAAACTGCTTTGCATCCTGAAACTCCTTGTCAAGCCCCATGATGTAGATTGTGTCGAGGGCGTCGATGATAGTTGCGCCCCATCCATTGCGCGACGTGACTGCCTCCATGGTCAGCGGGTTGATCTCGTCGGCGCCGAATGCATGCTTGCTGTAGGCCTCCCACATGCGCTTGAACTCGTTGCGGACATCAGCGGCGCGCGACGCACGCAGTCTCTTCAGGTCGTTGCTCTGCGTGAAGTTGGTTGCTTGAACGCGATTCTTGGAGAACGAATTGATGTCGCGCTGTCGCGCCATGTGGCCATTTAGCCCCATCATCCCGTCGTGAACATGCTTTGCCACAATCAGCTGACTGAAAAGACCGATGCACAAGAATGCCTGATAGAGATTCATAACTGGAGTACACACCCAGGTATCTTGGCGTAGCGGAGTAGGATAGGCGTGGTCAAAAGCTGGAAACCAATAAAACGAGATATACCAAAAGAAAAGACGTGTATATCCGGTGGCGAAGGTTTGACGACAGGACTGGTTGTGGCAACGAAAGAAGATATGTGGGCATGCACGCTTGAATAGCTTACAATTGCCACTCTGTCGGAAGTGCGCGCCATTATAAATGAACTGCGGCAAACAGCCCTGTCGCCACTTGCTAACAGACAGGCTATGCATTAGAGAGTTGTTCGGGAATAATAAGAAACTTCTTCCCTGGTGTTCCTCTTCATTCCCCCATCGTTTACCCGATTTCAACGTCTGGTCAGGCAAGCGTACCGAGCGAGGATGTATATTTCTCATCCCCACGGGCTGCAGATTTACCTCACGCGCACCATGCGCGTTCCCCACCAAAGGCATGAATATTTTGGCGGAGGAGAAGTAGCATGGGGAACTTGACGTTCAGGCAACTACTGTTTTTGTGGGTACGTCGGCCCCTACCCTTTTTGAATGGAGGAGCCTTGTGAGAAAGCCCCACTTTCTATCCACGCCGCCCGGAATATGGCATATGCCTCTGCTTATGCAATAGTAAATGTACGTTCAAAGTGTGCCATGATCTTTTGTACATCCCTACGATGCGATATCAAAGTTCTAGATGCGCTATCCCGTCAGACTGCATATACAAATTCCGATGTCTACTATTTGCGCGTACTTTTGCACATTAGAATCCATGCCACTAGTGTCAGAGACTATATGTTCCTTAGCCGCCTGGTACGTGCCAGCTGTCAATTGGTAGCCGCCTTGCCTGTTGAATCCCACAAAACTCCACCACCTACATGATGATTATCACACCCATACTCTATGCACTATTGGTGGTGGCTGCTGCGGCGTATCCCTTGGCTGAGAAAGAAACTTGATTCTGCAAGCTCGGACGGAAATAGCCACAAGCCAAGAATCGCCCAGCTTCTAGTATTTTTGGGTGCATGTTCGACATTTTTCCGCAAGTTCTGGTCATGGGAAGGCACTGTGGCCAGACAGCACTGACACTTGCCTTGCAATCGGCCAGGATCTACAAGCTGCAAATGAGCTGTGCCCAGCTTACGTGACGGAAGTCCAAGGAGCGCTGGCTTTTGGTGAAATGGAGGGAACCTCGATTGTATGACGACCTTGGCCAGACATATATAAAGCATCGTTCGTGCCATCAGGAACGAGACTCCCCATCAGCGGCCTTCGAATCGCACTTTCTTTTCTTTTCACCACTTTCAGCTTCGATAGTTCTATTGAAATGCTTCGTCTTGCCAGTATTTCGGTTCTAGCCTCCCTTGCCCTAACTTCCTTTGGTCAAGAATGCTCCCAGGGTGTTGCGGAGTGCATTAATGGTGGCGGCGACCTTGCTGCGTACCGGACCTGCCTGAGTGATAACCACTGGGAAATCAGGCACTGCCCGACTAGCCACGTATGCGCCCCAGCAGCATCGCACACCATCTGGTGCCCTCTTCAGTTCGACAATTTCCCGCTTACACCTGACTCCTATACTACGACTCCAACGTCATTCTCGACCCAGGCAATCTCGGATCCGTGCAGCGCCTTTAATGTGTGTCCTTCTGACTCGAGCACTACTACGACCCAAACGTCATTCTCGACCCAGATAATCTCGGATCCGTGCAGCGCCTTTAATGCGTGTCATTCTGGATCAAGCACTAGCACGACTCCAACGTCATTCTCGACCCAGGCAATCTCGGATCCGTGCAGCGCCTTTAATGCGTGTCCTTCTGACTCGAGCACTACTTCCACCACAACCCCGTCTGTGACCCAGACAATCTCTAAGCCGAGTAGTATCTTTGGTGGGGGGCATACCAAGTGCCCCAAGCACTGACAGGGCTTACATAATCTGTCAGGCCGGACCTAATCAAGCCGACTCTGTACGGTCTTTACACTCCAAGATAGCCACCTTACCACGACCCTGAAGGTGGGGACTATATTTGGGCCGGTCCCCAAGGCGCTAATGGCAGTAACATAATACGTTCTTATATCTTTCATGGAATCTGCCTGCAGATTGGCGGAGTATTCATCAATATATTTCCTGTTAAAGGTTCCTTTCTTACGTATATTTTAGTCTGCGCAACAAACTATGCCTACCCACTCTGCTTCGTCCCGTCTGCAACACCGGAGAGATAGGTTCACTTGAAAGCCACTCCTTGTATCAATACTCACCAGCGCTGGTGCGAATTTGGCTACTTTTCGGTGCTGTCTGTACCAGAGTAATACTTTCATGCTTTTTCAGCATAGAGGATCATATGCTCTCACCAACTAATACTGTAATCCACCAACGTGAAATTAGCATCTCGAATATACCGATCTGTAGATGATCATGTATCCAATGTATCAAGCGACATGCAAATCAATAAATTAGAATATGCAAGCTCGTCCCCCATGTCATCTGACCAAACATGTCAGTTTGTCTCCTGTTGCATCGTTGCTGCGGCAATGTGCAGAATACTACACCTTTTCCTGTCGATCAGTTATTTGCGAATGGCAAAAAAAAAGGGCAGCGATGGGAAAAGCTGGGGACACATGAGCAAAGGAATGGCACGGGGTACATTCATGAACGGCGCAGTCCTTGGTTCTCTCCCTTCCCCACGGCATCTCCAAAGTGCAAGGAAATCTCAGGGCACTGTATTGTTGTGCAAAGGGATATATATGCCCAGAAGGGCGGTGGGCATGTTCGGTATCTACGGGAAGCCACATACCCTAGCTCAAACATAGGGCAGATAAAATTAGTGCCTTTACGTAAAGATGAGAGCGTATAAAGAATTAACGATCTGCTAGGGTGCTTGTTTTCCGGTCATGCAGCTCAGCTTTCGGCGTTCACGATTGAGGTCGATTTTCACTGGTCTTTCCTCACATCCAGAGTGGAAGAAAACTCTGGGCTGCTGTGGTTCTTGCTGTCTCCCAGTGCGAAAGGGGCAAATTTTGTTGTGACAACGAAGCACCGTGCATTAATTGGGCGCGGAGCAACGTCAGCAGCGGCGGGGAGGGAGGGGAAATGCTTGGATGGCAGCCGTCTCTTTTGTGTTTGGCCAGACGCAAGTGGATTTTAATGAGTACTTTTATAGCAACACCAGGCGCGATTTTGGAAACACAATGTGCGGTGATGCATACGCATTCCTGCCTCATGGGGATGGAGGCGGAGTAGGGCGATACGCGCTTGCTCAAAAGCCTTTAAAAGCCCTTTGAAAGGGAGTGCATAAAGGCTGGCTAGCCAGAGAAAAACGACAGAAACGCTGTAGCCTTCTAGTACCTTTTCTTCCACATCTGACCAGCCTATACTAACAGCACTTGCGTAATAGCGAAATATTGATTGTTTCTTTTTTTGCTATCATCGAGATGCCTAGCCAAATTGTCCACCCACCCAGCGTCGGTGCATACATGGACCAGCTACAAGCGCTTGGTCGCAGCATTGATAGCCCAACATCCACAATGGATGACGAGTACTATAAGCTCATTGCGTTTTCCAACCAAAACCCAGACAAGCGCGTCTACATACCAGACATCGTTTTTCGGTACCTCTTTTTGCAGTGTGATGTCGACTGCTCGTGCGCAAAAAAGTCGTGTTCACTCAGTCACAAAAGACGGTGGCGGACAAACTACCATTTCCTGCGCAATCTTGGCAAGCTGCACCTTGTCACTGACCTGCACATCGTGCTGTCCAACCATAGCGCCCTCGCTCTCGACCTCGTGGAGGTCTTCACACAGCTCAGCATTGAAAGCGTACCGCTGACTAGCATCCGGTCGATTATTTTTGTCGGGCCGGGTATTAAGTACGCCGGAGCTGTCCAAAACACAAGCGAGTGGGCAGCTACAGCAGGCAGGGACTTTGTGCTTATCCGCAGCCTCTACCCTAATATCACGATGCTCGGGTGTCTACCAGACGCGTGCTTGGAGGAGAGTCCGAGCCATCTGCTGCCAACGCGCACACCCGGCATCCAGCTGCTGACGATGCTGACCGAATACTACCTCGGCCACCTTACCACCGCACAAGCAACGTTTACGTTCCCGACCACTACAGGATTGCACTTTTGCGAGAACCTAACGACGCTGTCGATCCACCACCGGTTCGTGCGCACGCTCGCCGCGTTCCCGCAAGTGCCGGTAGAGCATCTGCACACGCTGAATGTCCTGAAAATCGACAAGTTTATTGCGTGGGAGATGTTTGTCAGTGCTAAGCGGCGGGTGCGTTTTCCCAGGGTCGAGAATCTGGGGTTCGAATTTCTCAAGCCAGACGGCAAGCAGCGGCCGCCAACCGGGTACGACTACAGCGTGTCGTTCCCAGCCGTCAAGCTCGTCAAGATCAGGGGCCTGGCCTACTCGAGCGTTAACTTCCCGATTCTGTTCCCAGGCTTCTCCATCAACGTCCTGCATCTGGCCGACAGCCCGTACAGAATTAGCCCAACCGAGATGCGCACGTTCAGATGTGCCATCAACCTGGAGATTGCGTCGCCGGAGGGGCATCCCGAGAGGCCGTATGAGATGGACGGTTTTAACCGCCTGTTCAGGACACGGACTTCGGTGATGGGCTTGACTGTCAAGGGCCCGGGGTTCCTGGTCCCGACGGTTGTCAACTGGGGGGACCTTCAGGGCCTGTATTTCAAGGCCGGTATCGCCGACAGGCAGACACTGGCGAACCTCATCAAGCAGCTGAAGCAGCTGAAGACGCTGGTGGTCTCGTGCTACTCGATGCTGCGTGCCGACGGAGACGTGGACAAGGCGGCAGCCGTATGCAATATCAAACGCGAGCAGGTGTGGGCTAATCTCAGCAAGGTCGATGAAATGATGGCCAGTGACAACATCACGGCGCCCCTGAGCGCCAGCCTCATACGCCTGGACATCTCGGCAAGGTCATACTTTGACTGGTTTGCCGTGCTCCAGCTTCTGGGCAGACTGCCAATGGTGACGTCGGTAGGCGTCAACGAAGAGTTCGTGGCAAAGATCGATGCCTGGTTCAAGACGCTGTTTCAGGGCAGAACGCTGACTGTGCGCAAGTTCTCCGATGACTCCAAGCTGGGCTGAATGCTGCTGGGTTTGTATCTACCATGTTTTTTTCTGTAGGCTTATTCTCTGTAAATTTTTCCTAATGGTGCCTGTCAAGCACAAAAGTCTGCTGTAGTAAACCTATTCGAAAACATCCCAGCAATGCCGCCAACAGTTTTGGATGTATGTGGCTCAGGGCTTGGGAATACGCAGGCGCCGGCTAATCATCAGGGTGCCGCTGATTCCGTACATAAGCACCAGCGGATGGAACTCGTAGCCCGGAAGTATCGAGATCTCACCGCCCCACACAAACTCTGGCGTAAACGCCTGGCTGAACGACGCAAACGGGCCCTCATGCTGGTACATGGGGTTGGCGAACCGCCAAAACTTGCCGTAGTGGACGCCGTACGCCAGAACGCCGACAATCAGCAGCGTGGTTGGAATCGGTGTGCCCTCGAAATACCTGACCTTGCCGTTCTGGTCAGTCGGCAACGCGGCCACGGTGGCATTGTAGCGGGCTAGACGCGCCAGTCCGCAGCACACAAAGTACGTCAGAACCACCAGGTCCAGCATTTTCTGGAACCCGCAGGCGAAGCCAAGCACAGCCGGGGCAATGCCAAACGAGCACTACAGAGAGGAAAGCACATGATCGTATGCGCCAGTTAGAAACAATGCTATATTCGCCCTCACATATGCATCATCGGTGGGAGATCGTGACCACAAACACATGGGGAATTGCATGACCCCCACCCACCCGCACGCCAGCCCAAGACTGCTGCTGCATTGGCCGCCCGCAGCCGCTATGTCTCCCTCTACTTACGAAATCGGCCAGCGAGTCGAGTTCCTGGCCCAGCAGGCTGCTCTTCTTCCTCCAGCGCGCAACCCGGCCATCGAAGAAGTCAAACAGGACCCCGACAGGTATGCACCAGAAGGAGGTGAACAGAAAGTCGGTGTTCTGTGTCAGGAGGGCCTTCATGGCGAACATCAAGCTGAGGCAGCCGCAGACAGCATTGCCTAGTGTGACGAAGTCTGCCAATTGGAACGACCGCACCATGGAGAAGCGGTTGGGCAGGTCGGGATCGCTTGTTTTCCTTTTCACTTGCTTGGCGGCCATTTGGAATTGGTGACAAAAAATAATTAGCTGTTGTTGATACAAAGAAAAGTAGAGCAGAAAAAGCTGGCCTCGGCCAATTCCTGTCACCAGCATAGTAGACGACTTTTTGTGCTGATTTTTCGTGCGAGCTTCCATTTCTGGTAGCCAGGACGGGTCTTGGGGGTTTAGACAGGCAAGCAGTGTTGGCTCCGCCTTTTATTAAAGAAAACCAGTCGGAGGGGGATCGGCGGAGAATACCGGTGCTCACTCGTCAGGACGCATTCCTTCGCGCTCGGGCTCGCTGAGCACAGCCTGCATCAGCTCGCGCAGCTTCCGGACATCGTACGTGTTCTCCTCCATCACGTATGTGAAGGTAGCCCAGATGCTATGCAGGGCGTCGCGGATGCTCGTGTCGTACTTGATCTCCTGCACGTTGCGGGCAATGATCTCTGACAGCATCGCTATGCATGTGTCCCACAGGGCATCGACGTCCGAGCGCAGGCGGAAATCGGGGGCCGACGCAATCAGCTGGTGCTCCACAATGAAAAAGCCGATGATGTCGTGCAACACCTGCTGGAACGAGCCGAGCTGATTCAGGCTGAACCGCACAGGGGCGTTGAGGATCAGGCTGAGCTGGCTGGCGCGGTCGTCAATGAACTCGCGGCGGAACTCGGCACGGCGGCCAAGCTTCTCGTAGATGTGCAGGCCCTGGTACATGGGCGTCATGCTAATGGCCATGGGCTCTTCGCTGTCAAACTCCTCGTCAAGCACAAACTGCACCGCCGAGCTGGCGTAGTAGCGGTCCTGCGTGCCGGCGTCGCGGTCCTGCCACGCCTGCTGCTTCTTGCGCATGCGCGCAGTCAGGTGGCTGCCGATTTCGCGCGTCGTGGCCTTGAGGTCGTAGAACCAGTCGCGCACGTCGCGCATGGCGGCCGCCTGCAGCTTTGCCTCCATGGCCGGGATGGCGCGCTCCAGCATCTGGCCCAAACTATACGGGCGCACCTGCGGCAGGCACGTGTCCTTCAGGCTGCCCAGTGTCTTGATACCAGCATAGTACTGCTTGCTGGACACCTGGTCGTCGAAGCTGGCAGCCATGCGCATCACTTCCAGGCAGCCCTTGACCGCATCCGTGGCCTTCTGCAGGTTGCGCTGCTCGCGCCGCAGGCTCAGCAGCTGTGCCTTCTTCTCATACAGCGACTTCCCTGACCGCTGCACTTCGGCATTCAGGCCAACCACCTTCTCCTGCAGCTCCGACGTGTTCTGACGCACCTTTAGGAGCTGGGCCACCGACTGCACAAATTCCTGGTGGTAGTTGCCGCATAGTTTCATGATCTCCGCGTCCTTCTTCTGTGCAAACAGATCGACCTGCTGGCGGAACAGCTTCTGCTTGTTGGCGCGGTATACTGAGTGGATGAGCGGGCCCAGCTGCTCCATGGCTTCTTCTACTGTGGAGACGCTGCCAGAGCCGCCCAGCTCACCAATGCCGGCCCCTGCCCCGCCAGCTGTGCCGACGCTGTCTGAGAGTAACACCAGCTGCTGCAGCTGCTGCTGGATGGAATCGGCCATTATGAATACAAGATAAAGCTAGAATGGAATTACAAATGGAGAGGGGGGAGATGAGGTAGCAGTTCTACCTCACCTGCGAAAATGCGCTGCCCTGAAGCCCACTGCCACTCGGCTGGCTCGGCTCGGAGTCCGAATCGCGAGTCAGCCCAGAGGCGACGGTGTTGTTCTCCATCAAAAAATATTTACTTTTTTCTTCTCTGACTTTTCTACTATTTTGTTTATTCAAATCCCACAGCTGAAACAGAATCATGAGTAGACGAGGCGAACCGACAACACCGGTCGGCAGCCAAGGCCTCCAGCCGGTCGGCTCGCCCAGCCGCATCCGGCGCCGTGCCGGGCAGGCAGCCCCAGGCATGTCGTCACTACACCCGTTGTCAACCCCGCAGAATTTGTCTTCGCGTACACACCTAACCTCGCCTCATTCGGCGGCCAGCCCAGAGTCCACGTTCTCTGAGCGCGTGTACCGGAGCACGGACCGCAGAAAGGCGACCCACTGGAGCCCCGAGGAGCCGCCGCTCTACAGCGGCTCGCCGACACCGCGACCGCAGCAGGGTGCTACGTCGCTGCTGAATACACCCACGCATACACGCACTCCGGGGAGCGGGAGCCGGTACGATACGACGCCAATTTACGGAGAGTACGAGGACTACGAGGATGACCCGAACGACGACGCAAAGACAGTGTATTACACACCAACCTCGGCGATGCCACGTGGTATGGCGGGTGGGCTGTGGAAGCAAGCGCCGCCACCGCAACCCAGATTTGTCGCGCCCAAGAAACCGGCGCCCACTTCGGCGATTCCGACGTCGGTTCTGGATCTGCCCAGCCAGCGCACATACGCGCTGGCGATAGGCGTTGCGCTGATGGCGTGGAAGGCGTACGATGCAATCTGCCTGTCGGTTAATGAGGGTGTTAGCACGGGCCTGTTCATCCAGTGGTGTGCACTCGATGTCCTGCTATGGTACTTTGGCTGGCGCCTGCATATCCCGCAGTTTTCGATCTCAGCGCGGACGATGGGAGTCCTGATTGGACTGTCGGTGTTTCTGAACGCCAACCTGTTCTGGCTGCGCACCAGTCTGTTTGTACTGGCAGCAAAGCCCATGGCTCTGGGATTCGCTGGCAACTGTATTAGGTTCGTCCAGCGCATTCCGTTTATTGGCCCGCAGATTGTCGGCGACAGCGAGCTTCTGATCGATACATTCGAGCTTGATCGCGAGCACATTCTGGGCCGGCATACAATCCACATTCTGCCGCACAGCCTGGCACAGATGAACCAAAACGGGCGGGGGTTCTGCATCGACGAGCAGGCGCGGCGCAGCGAGCCATGGTACTGGAAGTACACATCCAGCGTGTTCCCGCACCACAGCAGCCAGAACACGCGCATTCCGCTGCTGATCAACGGCACCCAGCCTGCATCGATTGTCTATGCGCACACATCGTTTGAGACTGGCCAACGCCAGCTGCACTCGGTAAAGAACGTTGGCGCTCTGCATCGTGAGGTGAGCACAGCGTACCCAGCGCTGGGCAGCTGGGTTCAGGCCACGTACTATCTGCCTGTCAGCGACGTGGGCGCTTACGAGCTGGTGTCAGTCAAGGATGACAAGGGTCTCGAGTTCAGGACTGCTCTGCAAGCACCACCAACCATCGTTGTGAGCTGCCCCACTGCCCGCCTTCAATGGCGCACGGATGTTCCGCGCGGCGCTGACAACTTTATTGTTCACAACCGCGGCGAAGCCACGATCTGCCAACGCGTCAGCTCAGACGACCAGGACAGCGACCCAGCGTATGACGACGGGCTGATGGAAGCCATTGCCATGGGATACGAGCCGCTGGAGATGACCATCGTTCGCTTGGTCAACGGCCGTCGGGAGGTCATTGGCTTGGACGACATCCAGCCCCGCGTATCTGGCGATTTTGTGGATAAAATTGATGGCAAAGATCTCAGCGAGACCCAGCGCGCGGCAATCAACAAGTGGTCCAAGTACAGGGCCCGCCGTCTCACATACACGCTTACCGACGCGTTCCTGAACCCCGGCGAATACGTGTACAAGCTCGAGAATGTGCGTGACGCAGCTAACCATACTGTCAGACTGTCTGAATCGGTTGGCACCCACGGGATGTTCAACGGCGAGGTCACTGCTGTTGACAAAGCGCAGTACCTGTCCAAGATCCAAGTCTATGGCCGGCCGGCTGTTACGTGGGCCAGCTCGTCAGATACATCTGGTACTGAGCAGCTGCGGCTGTCAAGCGACAGGCTGCGCAAGTCACGCTATGATCTTCCACTCAAGCTCTCGGGCCAGGCACCATGGACCGTTGACTACGAGATAATCGATGGTGACGCGATCGAGAAGCAGACTATGACGTTCGCCAAATCCAAGAACGCAGTGATTGCTGCTTCGGCACCCGGCATCTACCGTATATTGGGTGTCAGCGATAAGAACTGTGTGGGCAATGCTATGGCCTCCAACATCACGCTGGTCCGCACTGTGAGGCCCACGGTCTCGATCACGGCCAGCCCGATCACGGCCAAGGAGTGCGGCGGCGAGATTGGCTCGCAGATTGAGCTCGAGCTTACCGGCCGCCCGCCATTTGTGGTGCACTACAAGGAGCGCAATCTGCGGTTCCCGAACACGCGGGCAGTGACGCGGGTGGTGCGTACTACGCAGCGCCGCCACAGCTTGCGCATCACGCCGGATCTTGCAGGCACCTACGAGTTTGAGTTCTTCCAGGTCGATGACGACAACTACCCGAGCGGCCAGCCGATCAAGACCATTGTCAAGCAGGTCGTCCACGCCCAGCCCTCGGCCAAGCTGGACACTTCCGGTGGCAGCATCCCGAGCCGCGCGTGTATGGGCCAGTCAGTCAAGATCCCGGTCAGGTTTGCAGGCCAGGGGCCCTGGGGACTCACATACAGCATCATCCACGATGACCGCCGAGTCACCGAGGTCATGGAGGACATTACCGACGAGCACATCACAATTCCTGTCGGGCCGTTTGAGAACGCCGGAGCCTATGCAATTGAGCTGCTGCAAGTGCGCGATGGCAACAAGTGCCCGCGCGACCTGCGGGACGTCAGCGCCAGCATCCGTGTGCGCGAGGGCGGACCACAGGCAGGGTTCAAGTGTATGGACCACGGAAGCATCCGCGCCCTGGCCGGCAAGCCCATCCGTCTGCCGATCCACGTCACGGGCGAGGCACCGATTACTGTCAAGTACCGCCGCGTTGACGACCCCGACGAACGTGTGTTTGAGGCAACGGTCCCGCAAAAATCAATGGATATGGGCCAGGATAGCTACATTCCGGCATACGAGCCTGGCGAGTATGAGCTGGTATCGGTCGATGATGTGTGTCCTGGAACTGTCGATCAGGACAACTCTCGGTGCACGGTGCGTGTTGAGCCCAAGCCGTATGCGTGGTTCGAGACCAAGGACCTGGTCCTGGACGACACTTCTTCGTCTCGCAAGGAGGGCGTATGGCGGTTTGCTGACGCATGCCAGGGCGCAGCGGACCCGGGCATTCTCCAGCTCGGATTCAGCGGCTCAGGGCCGTGGGAGATCGAGTACCTGGTTGAGCACTGGACGTCGCTGAATCCGCACTCGGGCATCAGCAAGTACGCCGACCAATCGACCAAGCGCACGGCCGTGGCACTCCGACCCAGCACGCTCAAGGCCGAGGCCAGCGAGCCCGGGCTGTACCGCTACACCATCATGTCGGTGCGCGACCAACGGTACCAGGAGTTCCAGCGGCAGCCGCCGGTGTTTGTCAAGAACTCGGTCAGCAACGTCACGGCGGTCGAGCACCGCGTCACACTGAGCCCTGAGGCTGAGCTGCGCGCATACCTGCCAGACGGCACGCCCATCGACACATCGAGCTCGTCGGCGTTCCGGCGCAAGCCCAAGGTGATCAAGCACTGCCTGGCGACCGGCCAGTCTCGTAGCGAAGGCGACGCGCAGTCCTGGGCCAAGGTGCGTGAACACCTGCCGGTGTTCCGGATCGAGTTCGATCGCCGCGGATTGCCGCCATTCCAGGCCTGGATCGAAGTGTTCCCGACCACCGGGCCCAGCGAAGTCGTGCAGATCGACAACATCGACTCGTACATGCAGGTCGTCGCGCTGCCCGAGCACATCGCTGCCAAGACCGGCCGCTATCACATGCGTCTGATCAAGACCCGCGATGCGCGGGGCTGCGAGAAGGAGTTTGTCGACATGGCCACCGTCGGGCTGGCACGCAAGGACGCCGGTGCCATCGAGGGCGGCATCGAAATCGAATATGTCGAGGCTCCCAGCGCACGCCCGGCGTCATCCAGCCCGGCGGCAAACCCGGCGCGTGACGTGTGCGTCGGCGACATTCTGGCATTCGACCTCCGCGGGCTGTCCTCGTGGACTGTCGACTACACATACAACCATGTGCGCCGGAGCGCCCCCGCCAACAAGCACCTGTTCCGGCGCCTGGCCGACGTGCCCGGCAACTTCTCGGTGAACCGCGTGTGCCACCGGTCGACCAACGACTGCTGCAGCGAATTCGACGATCTGTCATATACGGTGCACGAGATTCCGCGCGTGCGCGTCAGCGGCGGCAAGGACGTCTATCAGGACATTTTGGAGGGCGATCAGGTCGAGATCCGTATGGACCTGGCCGGCACCCCGCCCTTCACCTTCACGTGGCAGCGCCGCGCGCTTGGCTCGACCAAGGTCCTCGAGTCGCATACCGTCAAGGACCTGGAGACCAGCGAGTACAAGATCGTTACGTCGAATGAGGGTACGTTCGAGGTCACGTTCGTGCGCGACCGCTATTGCCAATACCCAAAGGCATGAGAAAAAATTAGCGACCAATGTGACAGACACGCTGCCGCTCACTTGTTTTTCTAGGCTCTCACAAAAGATAACGTGCCTCCCGGAGAGAAGCAGGGAGGGAGTCGCTTAAAAGGTGAACGAGCGTGTTTGTGCGCTTCTCGTCCCCGCTGTTCACCAATTTCTCCATCAATTTTCTTTTTTTTTTCTTTCGCCAACAATTTGCTCAATATACTCCATATACTCCATATACCCGAAAACCCCGATATAATGATGTCAGCTCTGCCCAACATCCCCACAGTCCTAATAACCAACGACGACGGGCCACCCGGCGAAGAAAGTCCCTTCATCGAAACCTTCGCTGCCCACCTAACAGCCAAACTTGGGTGGCGGGTAAGAGTGTGCATTCCCGCGCACCAACGCTCATGGATAAGCAAGGCCATCCTGGTCAACGAGCCCGTACACGTAACCAGCCACAAAAAGGACTGGTACCTGGCGACGGGCACGCCTGCGAGCTGCGTCAACATCGCCCTACACCATTTATTCTCGGACATCGATCTGGTGATCTCAGGGCCGAACCTTGGCAGCAACATCGGCAACACATGCGCCTTATCGTCAGGCACATTAGGCGCAGCCATGGAGGCGGCATTATGCGGCACCAAGGCACTGGCCTTGTCGTTCGCCTTTTATAATGGTGATATTGCGGAGCCGAAGCTGGGGAATGCATGTAGGATGGCAGTGGATGTTATTGAGAAGCTGTGGAGGAAGGATGCGTGGGAGAAGGCTGGCGCCAGCGTATTCAATGTCAATGTGCCGCTGGTCGAACACACTGCGTGCCCGGTCTTTGTGACTAGGATGGCGAATGGGCCCGGTTTCGGCTCGCTGTACAAGCCTGTGGCAGATGTGGACAATCTGGATGGCGTGAATCGCATCACTGGGCTCCCCACAAAGAACGTCGCGGTGCTGGATGACGCTCAGGCACATGCGGCTGAGAAAGACAGGGTGTTTGTGTTCTCGGCGCCCTATGTCTGCGACCCGCAGCCCGAGGTCGGCACGGACACGTGGGCGATCCGCCTCTGCGCCATCAGCGTCACACCGCTGCGCCCTGAGCTTCGAGGCATCCGGTCTATTGGCTGGACAGGAGATCTTGAATTCCAATAATAAAATCTGTATTGTGCTGCTTCTAAACAAGGACAAAAAACGGCTGCGTCGGCTGCACCACGCACCGAGTGTCCTGCGACGCGAACTGAGTGTCCGCAGCCGCATCCACCGCCTCCGCCTCCAGCTGCCAGATGGCAATGTCAATTGCCCCTGGCATGCTGCACGCAAACTCGGCATCAATCTGGATCTCGCCGTGCTTGTCGATGGTTCGGTCAAACTGTGTCGTGCCTACCCACGCCCACGCCGAGCGCGAGCCAGTGTAGTCAAGCCGGACGTCTGCCGACACATACTCGTCCAGGTCGATTGGCGAGATCAGCTCCAGCGAGAGCCGGTACTGGAACCGCCACGAGTGGTTGCGGATGCGGATCTGCACCTTGGCCGTGCGCAGGTCGCCGGTCTGCTGAATCTCGCCGACAGTGAACCCTACGTCCAGCGGCCTCTCGCTCCGGCGCATCGGACGCGCTGCAATACTCTGCACCAGCGCGCTGCGCTCCTGCATCGACTCAGCCAGCAGCGTCCTCGCTATGCCCTGCGCTGGCGGCACCAGGGCCTCCTTGAGGTAGTCCTGCGGCATACCCAGATCAATGCCCGTCACTGAATGGTGCCCGCGGTGCGACTTGTCCGGAGTGTGCCAGAACAATGCAAAGTCGATCGAGAAGGACCCGTAGAGCGGGAAGATCGCTGGTAGGTACCGGGCGCCAATCAGCGGGAACTCTGATCTGAGCATGGTGCGGCGCCAGTGTGCGCGTGTGCGCTGCATATAGCTATGTAGCGGCGACTCTGTGCAGTCGATTTGCGTGTCGCCCATCTTGTCTGTGCTGTACGTCAGCGCGATCGGCACGGGTTCCTTTTCTGGCTTTTCTGCCGAGTAGATGAACTGTTGCAATGCGCCAAGGGCGAAACTCTCGGGCCTGTGCTCTGACACATCCCTTACTGGCCTGGCCCTGTACATTAGACTCAGAGTCTGCTGCGGCCCGATCGCAGTCTCGGTGCTCTTGGCTAGCGGCTCAAGCTGGTAGTGCCCGCTGACACAGGTTGTCTGCGAGATGTGCATTGCCACGTCACTCTGCAGATTCTCGATCTCGACGCCCAGCAGCCGCTCGCTGGGTGCACGTGCGCTGGCGCGGACGAACGCGTTGATGCGCAGCGAGGGTGTCACTACCAGATCCAGGTCGTAGCGACGCGACCGCAATGTGTGCGAGGCATTGGTGCGGTTGCAGACCAACGTTACCGGCGGTTCGGGAATTAGGTCGTTGCTGGCACCAATAAACAGCGTTAGTGTATGGGCACCGACGCGATCCCCGCGCACCCAGATCGGCACTGTGAAGCTGTGGCCAGGGTCGAGCGAAGTTGGCGGCAAAAAGTACCCGTCTGAGCCACTGTTGGCTCCGACTAGCGCCAGTGTTGAGCTGTCGCGGAGAGTGTTACTCACTGTCTTATGTTCCACGGGTTCGCTCGTTTCTTTAGTCGGGTACATGTCGGGCACTGAAGCACCGTCAGAGTCCAGCATTGGCGACCGGATATCAAAGAACGATGGGTGCGATTGCCACAGCAAGATCCCTTGGCACGCCTGGTCGCCAGTGTTCTCGATGCGCACCTTTGAGAGGTGCATCGATCCGCTCATCAGCGTGTCAGGCAGATCCTCCAGCGAAATGCTGAGGCACGGCAGATGCGGGTCAATAGTGAACTCAAGCGCAGTGTCAGGCGCGTAAGCAATACTAGACCGCTGCTCTTTGGTATCGTTGAGGCGGCGGCCAGGCAGCTTCAGCGACTTGAACGACGGCAGGATATCGCATAGTAGGTACTTGGCACCCTCAATCGTTAGCTTACCAGGCCGGTGCACGACGATGTTGACTGTGACCATAGCCATCTGGCCGCCTTCCAGTGCAACCGATCCGACAGTCGATACGTCAAATGCTGCCGTGCTGCCGTCGCCACTGTCGTCTCCAGAGAATCGGCAGTCCAACGTAAAGTTGTTCAGCGTCACGCCAATCGTCAGCGGATTCGACACCATCAGCAGCACTGCCACCGATTCGCCCACCGAACAGCACCGCTTGCCACCATCGACTATCTGTGGCATTGTCCCGTCAAACCGCCACTCCCACACGCCGTCCTCGCCCTCGAGCTCGGGCGACATGATTATGCGAGCCATCCGCGGGTCAATCACTGGCAGCGGCAGCTCAATGTTATCGTGAGCCGTCGACTGGTCACCGCTCTCCAGAAACAGCTGCAGCAGCTCTTGCAGGTACTTTGACTGTAGCGGCGGCGGCACACGATCATTGCCCATGAGCGCCAAAAAGTACTGGAATGCTTCGTCGTAGCTCTGTGCCGCCACGCTCTGCCGCCCCAGCTCGTGGTTAACGAACGCATCAATCGCCGCCCAGTTGGATCGGGCCAGCGAGCTGGATTTTGCAGGCTGCTCAGAAGGCTCCTCCTCGTCATCGTCGTCATGGCGCGGTAGAGGTCGTCTGGCACTCAGTGTCAAGCGCACCATGCGGAAGCACCGGTGGGCGAGCTCGCCCATCCCTGCTTTTTGGTATGCCTGACCAGCAATCATTGCGTAGAACGAGAACTTGCGCATCTCGGGCTGAGGCGCCATCTTCATGAACGCGTATGCCGCCTGCTCATTCATCACCGCGTACAGCGATGGCAGCGACGCTGGCGCCCTGGCCAGTGCTTGCGGGGCATATGCATACATCTTGTGATGCTTCAGCATCTCATAGTACATGATCACACATCGCATGGCCAGATACACCTGCGGCTGGTGAGTCTTGTGCATGTACATCGATATAGCATCGTCAAAGTTTGTATCAAACTCGGACCGTGCCGCCTGCACTTCCCACATCAGCTTGCATAGCCCGACCATTTCCTGCGCGCCAGCATAGCACTTCCACGCCTTTTCAGACTGGAAATCGCGCCTAGCTACCTGATAAACCGACTGCGCGAACCGGAAGTCCTTGAGCATGAACGAGTAGTCTGCTAGTTTGCGCATCATGGCTTCTGGAGAGTCGTACTTGAAGCACACATCGCCGTCCACGCCCACAAACGTGTTGATGTTGCGTGTGGTCGTGCCAAAGTACCGACGGCCCGCCGAGAACAGCCGTCCAGTTATGCCACGCCGCTGGTTGGCAGTCTGGTCGCTGAGCAGCCGAATCATGTACTGCATGTGTGGCACCACGCTGCGCACCATGACCTGCTTGACGCAGTCCTTGAGCGCTGCCACGTCCCGCATCGTCATCATCTGCCCGTACTGTTTGTCAGGCAGCGGTGACGTCGGATACGTAGCCGCCAGATTGCCTCTCCACACATTCGAGACCTTGCTCTGCTCTGAATCATCGCCGATCAAGTTAGTATTCGAGTTAAGTCGCAGCAATGCACAGTTTTGGCCGAGTGCCTTGCGCAGCAGATCGAATTTGTAGTCGACCGTGGCCATTGCGCCTGTGTCGCGCTCATCATGCACCAGCATGTAGTAGAACATGACGGAATTTCCGCTGAAGCTGTTCTCACGCACCCGCATAACCTCGGCGCTATTCTGCAACTCCTTCAGCGTCCACACAGGGTCGGTGTCCGTCGAGGACGCAACCAAGAGGCATGCCACCGGGTGCATGAACGACTCGTGCTCCGACGCCTGCATGTCATTGACCCATTGCTGCCGAAACAGCGTGTACCAGGGTGCCCATCCTATCGGCTCCTCGCTCTTCACCGCCTCCATGTCAATCCCTGTTTCTGTCAGAAACTCAGGCATTTGCTTGTCGATGTTGTCCAGCACGCTGCTGATAACCATCTCGTCCACCTCGGGCCCACCCACTGCATGTGGCTTCTGGATGCTAAAGTCTGTGATAAACTTTACGTTTATCTTGTCGAGAAAGTACGGTGCACCCTGCCCGTCCTGCACCGTTATTTGCGCAGACACGTCCTGTCCGAACGGCGCTAGGAGCTCCGCAAACGTGTCGAAATTGTTTACATGCAGCAAATTGTCCAGAGCGGATGACGAGCAGACAAGCAGCCGCGGACAGAGCGCCTTGGCGACAAAGTCTTTCTTCTGGGCCAACGACGCCTTTGGCATTACTCTTCGTGTCGACGCCAGCTTTGCAAATTAGAAATGTGTAAGATAGCAACAAAAAGCTCGGGAAAAAGCGCTCGAAATTGAGACCCAGAGAAGCGAAGAGAGAAAAGCCAAGTGTTCGGCTGGATGGACTGATGGCACCTTTATTAGGCAGCGAACAGGGAAAACTCTAGTGGCCCAGCTTCTCGCTCAGATCGGTGGCCGCCGCCATCACCGCCTGGTCAAGCTTCTTGTGGATGCTCTTGCACCCGCTGACTGCCAAGTCCATGACATCCTCAAGCTTATCCGACCGCAGCCGCGACTCCATCTGCAGCAGCGCGACCTTGCCTGTGCGCGGCAGAATCGCCACTGTCAGGTCCGGCGTCTCAATCGACGACTCCTCGACAAAGTTCAAATCCAGCACCGGTGTTTCGTCAATAAACCCACCCGTGCACGCGCACACATAGTCTGTCATCGAAATCCCAGCATCCACCAGCGCCAGCGTCGCCGCATTGATGCACGCCTCCAGCGTCCCGCCGTCGTGCTGCAGAAGCTGGATATAGATGTTGATCTGCGACCGCGGGTACACATGCGTCTGGATCACGCTCTCAAACGTCTGCTTCACGAATGCAGACACCTCCAGTAGACGCTTGTCGCTCTTGGACCGTTTCCGCCGCTCGCTGGTGCTGAACGGCGCCACATTGAATTCCACATTCACTAGCGCCTTGTCGTGCGGCACTAGGCCCTTTTGGCGCGCCTCGCGGGGCCCATATACCGCAACAAGGACTTTGGTGTTGCCTTGCTCAAAGTACGCTGATCCGTCAGCTGTATCGAGCACTGATGCACGGCAGCTGATCTTGCGCAGCTCGTTGGCGCGCCGTCCGTCCACGCGCAGTCCTTCCGGTGAGAGCAGCTCTTGGCGAGACTACAGATGGGATTTGCTGTTAGGCTGTGTGCTCTGTGGTCTACAAATACAGTGGTCTCTGCTAAGGTTCTTACCATTGTTGATGACGAAAAAAAATGTTGTATAGAGATCGAGATTCAATAGCAGCGAATACTGTATCGATTTTTTTTTTCGTTGAGCCCCCTCATTTATGCAATCTGATCACTTACGGTTCCCAACACCTGTGCCACTCTGGTTCTACTCCTCGCGCCTCAAGTTTGACATGTGTACTATTCTCTCATTAGAGCGTAAAGGTCTGTACGTGTCCTCACATGCTTGACAACGTCAGCAAGCATGCATGCAATTGCTACGGCGATATGCAGAGGTTTGGTATGCAGATAGAAGCAAGGCGATATTTCGATGCTCTCTGGGTTGAACACCTTGGTAGATATATCTCTTAGCTCCTTTCCCAGCTCCACCATCTCCTTGCGCAACCGCTTTTTCAGGCACTCGAGCTTCTCTTCCTTTCTGGCTTTCGTTGCTCAGGTGCTATATCCATCTTCTACTGCTTCCATGGCCTCTAAAATCTTCATGTCGTTCTCCATCCACACCCTGTCATAATTATCTTTCGCCTTCATGACATCGCTATACGTTTTCTCTGCGTACAGCTTCCTATCGATGACATTGGCAAGCCAGAGCTTGTTGAAGGTGGTGCATATCTTAAAGTGCCTATTGATGGGGTAGATATACACGGCTTGTGGAGAAACTTTGCAGCCTCAAAGACCACCTTGGCTCGGGAAAATAACTTAGCCTGAAGAAACTTCCTCAAGATAAAGGACGCACAAACAAACCTCTCTGAGAGATCTGAATAGTGATCATAATCCAGCGGAATCCTAGCGCTGGGCAAGTTTTCATTTGTAGAAAGCAACATTTCCTGCTGCCCCGAATATTGCCCATCCATAGCCTTGTCGATAGTAATCAGTGGCATAGGCCAGTCTGAGCCAGCATAATTGAATCCACCATATGTGTTTGCTCTGGCTTCGAGTCTTTCGACAAGATCAAATGGCATTGGCCCTATACTTGCATACAACCCAAACTAGCCATGTGCTGTCAAACATGCAATATATGAGTGAAGGCACGTACCGTAGTAGCTTTCAGGATCCACCAATTTGTCGACGCTCTCGAGAGCATTAAGACTGGCTGAGATGAGGTGCTTCAGTGTATTAGTCTTGTTCACAGGTAACTGGCGCTGGTTGTCAGCTTCCTCGACCTGCTTGAGGTAGCCATCTGAATCCTGGTTTTTTTTGGTTGCTTTTCACGATCCTGTTCAGCAGTTTTACGCTTCTTCTCGTCCAGCTTATCATCTTCTGTACGCGTGTTGACCTCTTCAACAAGAGCAGCGATGGCAAGCCGAGCATTTGCAATAGCACAAATAATCTCGCCGCTGACAGGGCTATCACTGTTGTACTCTCGCCATTTGTCCAGCCATTCCCGGAATATGTTGTCATATCCGTTAGGCGGAGGCTGATCCACGAAGCAATTGCCACTGTTTCTTCGGGTCTGCCAACCTCGAGCAATATCTCAACTTGCCTCCACTTTGCAAGTGGCTTTGGATCACTACTGATATCGGAGTTATATGAACGCTTTCTACCCATGAGTGGTAGAAGTGAAGCTGCACTTTTGTAATAGGTAGTAAAGATTTTGATGAGCTGCAAGGACATGCGTTTCACCTTTTCCTTTTTATATTGCGCTTGAACTCAAGTCTAATCTTTCAACAACAGCACATTCATCCTTGCTCTTTCAGCAGTGTCATTGACACAGACACAGGGATATGTGGAATGGTCCCACCTTCGTTTTTACACACATTATGTATGGTTGGATACAAATATAACTGATATTGGATATGGTTTATGAGTTGGTTATCAAGTGCCTTACTATATTTAGGAAACAAAATGTGTCCTTGCAACTGTGACGTGAGGACATGTGTCTTGCTTCAAGAGCCAGAAGTCTCGATAGTCCACAATGCACACCACATCGCGCTTATCGTTACCATCAGGTGTACGCACGGCACTCGGTTTCCATCTGCAGTTCTACACTTGGCTCTAAGAATGCACGTCTACATTTGTGAGCAAATCTCCAGGCCGCCAATGGTCTATCTCTCGAGCAACTTTTTTTTAGATATCTAGTAGAACGAACAAAAGTAATTAGAAAGGGGAAGCAACCTCTACGTGTGTTCCGGGCAGTAGTTAATATATCTTTCACCTGGCACACAACGATAAAACTCTGAAAGCCTGTGGCCTTTGAAGCCAAATGTGGTTCCCTGCTCGCCTGAGATCAACAGTGGTTATACAGACAAGCATTAAATGTGGATAATAAAGCTACCGACGCCCGGTAATAGTCCCTGCGGCGCTTCCAGGCTTTGCTGTAGCCGCTTAAAATAGGCAAAGTGGATATCCATAGGCCTCTTGTCAACGTTTCATTACATAAATGGTGATACCAACCGGTAAAACAAAGCAGGTAGCCAATACCTCATATCCGCATAATAAATGCTTGGCTGTCGATATATTGTGGAGGGCATCAGAAATAAACTGAGAATGAAATGAAAAAGCGGCTCCAAAAGCCTAGGTGCGGTCACGGCTCAAGTAGTCCGCAAGCTGAACGAAGGGACCCATTTCCACAAGATGGGAGCGGAACAAGGTCACACCATTGGCAAAAAACTTGGGGAAAGAGAGGATGCTCGGGCACCGCAACGCCAGAATGACCGCCAGCCTTACAGCCTGAAGCCAGCCTGCACCCCGGTCTACGCGTAGGTGAAATTCCTTCAGAGTCAGAGATAGAGGGGGACCCGAGGCACCGGCAATGGGACGAGTGTTCATATCCAGGTAAACACAGCCAAAGTGGGATTTGGCATCCCATGACACCAGGCGCTCCTTATCGGCGAGCTCCATCAGTTCTGTATCATAATTGGCATCTCCCAGGTCGACGCTTTTGGCACAAGTCACATCAAGCTTGTGAATGAGTGGCAGAGATCCGATCAGTTCAAGGATCTGCTCATACGTGCACCTCACCCCAGGAATGTCCAGGACGCGGAGAGTTGGCGCAAAACTGTCAACACGCGACTGAAGAACAGAATAGTTGAAATTGAACCCATCGCTAAGGTCAATCACTGGCGTCCTGTGGAATGCCCCGAGTATACGCGAAACACGATTGCCATATACCTGGCTGGGCCATTCAAACAACTCCCCGAGTCTCGCGCACTGCAGCGCCTTGAACCGACCCTCGTCCAGAATGCCGGCTTCGATAAACATGTCGATGTCACTCTCCGACATACACATGTCCAGGAATTCCATTGAATCTCCGGATCCGCGTAGCAAAGTGTCGTCGGAAAACGGATAGATGCCGTGGACAACCAAGGATTTCAGTGCAGGAAATGGCATCCCATCGAATGACGGACGCGATGCAGTGGTAGCGTCTTGTTCACAAGTCTTTAGGCGAAGCTTATGAAGTTCAGGATACGTGACAGTTGTGCCATCGCTGTTGGATACGATGTGCTCAACGAGGTTAGGCGCACTGAGGTCAAGATCCAGCCATTGTAGCGACTGCCAATTTCTGCGGATAAAGGTGAACACTTGCTTTGTTTTAATGCTCCCACTAGTGACCAAACTTTGTAGCGGGGTCGAGCTTTGAGAGAATGGTAAGACTGCATTCAAAATATATCCGGTGCAGTCAATGGCAGATCTTCCGGTTAGTAGGCGCTCCAATAGTTTGTGTGAATGAAAAGGAGACCAATACTGCGAAGCTTCCCCGTCGCGTGTCACCTTAACGGAAGAAATATCAGGGAATATGTGCATGAGCTCATCAGTGAATATGTGGATTGGCTGTAGCTTATCATCCTGCTTCAGTTTACCAAGCTTTCCAGTAAAGGTAAAGGAGAGGACTTCAATATGTGGAAATAAAGTTTCAGCCGGCGTGCATTGCCTAAGCTGGATTAAAGCCGAGCCATTAAATATAGTCGCAGTTTTGAACATTACTATGACCTCCTTTGTTAGGTCACAGGTGCCAAGCGCATAAGCTAACTTGAGGGACGGTTTGAATTGAGTGCCCACATGTACGTAACGGAATGCATAACTAAGGAAAAACTGGCGCCATGAACGGCAAACGCGTGTTAGGGGTTTGCTGACATCATATATGGCTTCCTTATCATATGAGTCATTGAGAAACTCAGGCAAAAGATAATGGATGATATGCTCGAAGATGAGCAAAGGAGGATGCTGGGCAATAGCCTCCATGGTACGAGAATGATAAAATACGAGGTTAGGAATGAAAACTCAAGTAAAATGGTAAGCTTGCACTGTTATTCAATGCGGTGAAAGTAGAGTAAATAGAGTCGAAGGCAAATGCTGTTTGGAAAAGTCCAGATAGTTTGCCAGGCTCAACGGGCTTATAAACCCACCTGCTGGTGGCATTAGGAACATGTGCATTTGTTCCTGTGGCAGCCTCTTGGGCAGCAGCTTCAGCATACTGCTTTTGCCAGTTCCGGGCTGGGCTGTGTGGTTCGGGACTTGGCCACTCTTGAGAGGGTGAGAGCGAGAGCGAGAGAGCGAGAGAAAGCTGCTTGTTCCAAACCCACATGGTGAGCTGCATACCCCCTGTTGGGACACAGTCATGGCAAACAATGGCCATCATACCTTTTTATCAGAGCCAAATATATTGCTAAAACGACCTACATTCCAAATTTGTTAACATGTTGCTGCAGCGTATTTTGCTGCGCGATGTGTTGCCATTGTTCATGGCAGCTCCTAAATATATTTTTAGATTTTTCTTATCGCCTCAAGGCTTTGCCGTGAGCTGTCCACACTGAGTTCGCTGAGGGGCGGCTTGGCGACAAACTCAGTGCAACTTAGGTCCCATGAGAGCGAGGGGAAGCAGAGGAAAGAAATCCCCTTCCTGAATCATAAAAAGCAGGCCAGATTTCGCTCCCTCCAAAACCCTTCTTCTCCTCATCCCTCTAAAATCTCACTACACATAATACCCCCTCTATTCACACACTTGCGCTTCCACTCCACCTCCCGCCGCCCTGTATAATTTTCTGGACAGCTAAGTACTCGATTACATCCTGTCACATAGTGTTCCGTACTAACCATTTTTATTTCTGTTGTCTACTAGCACACCCTTGTCGAAATGAAAGCTATATTTTTGATGTACTTGTAACTCGCAACACCGCTGTACTTTTGCACAGCATGTTTTGGGCTTGCCCTTGCAGGTCTCTAGTTGCTGTTTGGTCTCTCCTCTCTCTCGCCTTTATATTCTTTCTGACTCGCATGTTTGCCACAGTTTTGTGTGGTGTTTGTACATAACCGGCTATCCATTGCCACACACTCTTGCCTAGGTGAGCTCAGAGATACGAGGGCATAGGGTAGTTTTAGGGGGCAAGCTGCTCAAGAGGCGGCTCGGCGAAGGGGTACTCGCGAGAGTTCCGCCTGACCCGATAATGGAGTTCCGGGCTGTACGCTGAGCAATACCTAGTGCAGGGGCTTGTATGGGTTTGGCAAGTCTGGCAAGTCTTTCACTTTCACTCTGCTGGACATGCAAACGGGTTGGTACTGCATTTAGATTACTGAGGGCGAACAGGAGACTGGGAGGCAGTGGTGACTAGAGATCTGCAAGCGCTGGAGCAAAATGTGCTGTACAATTGAAAGCGACTATGCTGTTGCTCTGACATGAGACAACTACACTTCAAGAGACATTAAGAGACAAATTATCGGGCGCTGCTCCCCTTCCATTTTCTACTCTGTGTTCTAATTAATATCATACGGTGCGGCAGAAGAGTCAAACATCACCATTCCCTGGAAAATAAGCGATATGTTGCCATGTCGGGGATGTGCTTCAAATGGTAGACTAAACATGTCTTTGATGCTGATAACAATATGCAGATTAGCTATCACGTAAGGATTGGGCATGTATGACATTGATATATATATATATATATATATATATATTGTTGCGCGCCCGCTGCGGCTGTCCCTGACGTCGACATGTCAACCGAATCAGGTGACAGCAATCCAAGCGCCAACGAGAGCCCCGCTACAGCCTACGATATGGAGGTAGAGTCTAGCCTCTGATAAGTTGCACAGACGGCCGTATTGAAAACTCCCCTGCGCAACTCGTCTATTCCCTTTTCTCTCTTTTCTTCAGTATTAAATATAACTTTTAAAATCCCCACATATTCAACATACACAACAATATGCATATATATGAGTAGTGCAAAAACTACTTGGCGTGTTTGTATATTGAGTAAAAGAATAAGCCTGAGGAAACAATCTGTATTTCTGTCACATACGGCCTTTTATCTGTGGGTCCTAGGGGCGAGCTTCGTCCCCTCGTGGCTAGTCTCACGTGAGCTCGTACACTACACACCTGCTGAAAAAAAATCAATACATATGTCTGTAGATAATAGTGTTGTTTCAAGTTGATCTGTAAGCTCTCTTTAAACTGCTGCAACCTGGTATAGGGCTCGGTTCCTAGACCAGGCTGGAATAGCCTGTATATAAGGACGAGAGGCCCACTCTTATCACCAGATCCACAACAACAAACAGCCCAATAGCATTCCTATCTTCAGCTTAGTGACTATGTCTGAAATCATCGCTGTCATCGGAGCCACTGGTGCTCAGGGAGCATCAGTCCTTACCTTGCTGTATAGTTTTTCTGAAGAGTATAGCCTCCACACAGTCACCTGCAACACGAGAAGTCACCCCCATGCCAATGCAATATATTCCAACATCATATTCTACCCCTTTACAGCAAGTATTTCGGTCTAAAAGTGTGTTCTTCTGCGCGGGGTCTTGAACCTGGCGCCCCCCAGACCCGGTGTAATGATATTTGAGCGTGCAGTGCGCGTTGTGTTTCTCCTGCGTTCGGCCTCCTCCCTCTGCTCGGCCTCTCTGACCTCCAGCTCCATCTTGGCCCGCTGCTCATCCGCGTGCTTCTGACGGTTGACACCAGACTCGCGTAGACTGAAAAACATGGGTCCAAGCTCAGCCAGCCAGCGGGGATCGACGGCCGTGACGCATTGCATGTACTCCTTGGACGTATACACGAGCTCATGGTAGACTATATAGTCGGGTGTGAAGCCCATGCCGTAGAGCGCACTGGTCGGATGCAGATGGCAGGGCAGGCCGGAGCGCAGGTTCAGGTACTCGCCAATGGCCTTGACGCGAGCCGCCTGGTGGAAGTATGCCGAGCACACGCACTTGCGAATGCGGTCCCAGTCGGCGCCGGCGCTGACCAGACGGATCTTCAGCGAGTTCTCGAGAATATCCACCAGCTGGTCGCGCACCTCGCGCGCCTTGCGCATGGACTTGGCGTGGATGAAGTGGCGGGCACACCAGGCGTCACGGTGGCCGTTGGCGGCCCATTGCGTGTAGACGTTCAGTAGCGTTAGGTGGTCGGACTCAGGCACAAAGAACTTTTCGCGCGCCCGATCAGACTCCTCCAGGCGCTCTTTCGGCCGGTAGAACACCGAGGGCACTGCCAGCATGGCCACGATGGTGGCAACTTCGGCAGTACACCCCAGGGCGTGAGCGCTCACCAGCATTTTGGCTGGCGCCGGGTCCAGCGGCACCTCGGACATCTGGCGGCCAAGCGCAGTGATGGCGCCAACGTTGTCCAGGGCGCCCAGGGTCCACAGTTGGTACATGGCGGTCTTGATGGTGTCGGCTGGCGGCGGGTCTAGGAAGTCGAAGCGCAGCAGATCCTGGATGCCGATGGACTTGAGCAACATGACCACGTAGGCAAGATTCGTGCGCTGGATCTCGGGGATCGGGCTCGCATACATTTCGGTACGGAAGGCCGGCTCGGTGTACAGGCGGTAGGCGACACCGGGGCCGGTTCGGCCAGCGCGGCCCGACCGCTGGTTGGCGTTGGCCTGTGAGATGGGAGTGATTTGCAGGGCGTCCATGCCAATGCGCGGATTGTAGACCTTCAGCTTATAGTAGCCCGAGTCGACCACATACTTGACGCCGTCGACAGTCAATGATGTCTCGGCGATGTTGGTAGCCACCACGACCTTGCGCGCTGGCGCCGGCTCAAAGATGCGGGCTTGCAAGTCCGCGGGCAGCTGTGAGTAGATGGGCAGCACGGTAAGCGGCTTGGCGCCGTCGACTGCAGCCAGGCGCTCACGCACGGCGTCGCAGCAGGCCTCGATATCTTCCTGGCCGGTCATGAAGACCAGGATGTCTCCATCAGGCTGCGATAGGTGGATGGTCAGGACCTGGCGCACGGCGCTATCGACGTAATCCTCACATGGCGACTTGCTGAACATGACATCGACGGGGAAGGTGCGGCCGGGGATGGTGAAGACTGGTGCGTTGCCGAAAAAGTCGGCGAAGCGCTGCGCGTCCATGGTGGCCGAAGTGACAATCAGCTTCAGGTCGCGGCGCTGGGCAGCCAGACGGCGCAGTAAGCCCAGCAGCACATCGGTGTTGAGCGTACGCTCATGGGCCTCGTCCATGATGATAGCGGAGTATTGCGAGAGGTCGGTGCGTGTCAGGGCCTCACGCAGCAGCACTCCGTCGGTCATGTACTTGAGGCGCGTGCGGCGGCTCGTGCAGTCCTCGAAGCGGATGGCGTAGCCAACTTCGTCGCCCAGCCGCACATCCATCTCCTCCGCCACACGCTTGGCCACGCTCATGGCCGCCACGCGTCGTGGTTGCGTGCATCCGATCATCCCGTGTGCGGTGTAGCCGGCCTCATGAAGGTACTGTGCCAGCTGCGTGGTCTTGCCCGATCCGGTCTCGCCGACGACAATCGTCACCTGGTTGTCGCCGATTACGCGCAGCAGCGCATCACGGCAGGCAAACGCGGGGAGAGACTGGCGCTGGTCGCGGATCGAGGGCTTGGAGGCTGCGACAGGCTCCTTCTCGCCCTTCTCCTCCTCTTCTTGCTTCTCCTCCTTCACCTCCTCCTCATCCCGCACGCCCATTACGTTGCCCAGCACAGTACCGGCCATACTGACGGCGTCGCGCGTGGCCTTCATACGCTCGCGCTTCTCGCGGCGCTCGCGCACCAGCGCACTGCCCTTGCGTGCAAACACAGCCAGGTCGCTGGTGGGATCGACCACGGTCTTGACCATCTCCATGCGCGCCAGCACCGACCCCTGCAGGAACTTTGGCTTGAGGTCGTGAACCAGCACTTGCACACGGTCGTCGCTGTCGTCGTCGGATGCGCCTGACTGCTGCACCACACCCGACTGGGCCAGGCGAGTGGCCACCCACCGGTCGTTGTCCTGGTTGTACTGCTTCTGCCGCGCCGTCAGTGCCTGCTGTTGGCCGCGCAGCTGCGCCTCATGCTTCGTGTCGTGGTCTACGTAGTCGGCGAACGGGTTGTGGGTGTCGGCGGTGCCTGACTCATCAACTGTGTACCAGTCGCGCTCCAGCTGGCGTTGTGTGCGTTCCCATTCGGCGCGGTCCGCCACGGCGGCTTCTGCCGGTTGCATGTCGGTGGCCCGCTGGGGAGTTGGAGCGTCCCACTCGGACCGTCGGTTGGTGCTGTAGCGATCTGGGCCGTGTCGATCCGAGCCGTATCTGTCTGTATGGAGTCGGTCGGAACTAAATCGGTCTGTGCCGCGGCGATCTGAGCTGTGCCGGTCTGTTCCACGCCGATCTGAATTGTATCGATCTGATCCGTTTGAGCTGTGTCTATCTGTGTCGCGACGGTACCCTGACCGCGGTCTGCTGTGGTCTCGCCGCACCGGAGACCGCTCACGGCCACCAGCACCCTCTTGACGACCTGTGCGTGACGCAATCCCACTGCGGTACGCCCCGTGGCGGCGACTGCGGCGATGCTCCTCCATGCGCCGCTGCGCGCTCAAAGACACGCCGCCTGGATCCGACGGCGTGTCAGCGCGACGGTTTCGTAGGTGTGCACGCACGTTAGGCTGCCGAAACACGATCTTTTCTTCCTTGTCGCTCATGGTGAAAAAAAAAAGAAGGAAATATGCAATGTGCGACACAGTTGATTTATAGCCATTTGGGATTTATACCAGAACATTGGATGTGGGTGGTTACGGTAGGTGCTTTTTTTTGTTTTTGAAGTGTATTCAGATGAGACAGAACCCCGTGAGGGACTTCACAGAGAGCAGTTTAGCGCTGGGTACCAGGCGAATCCTCCAGGCGCTTGGTCAGCACCTCGTAGCCGGTCTCGGTGACCAAGATCCCGTGCTCAAACTGCGCACTGCGCTTGCCGTCGGCCGTCACCGCAGTCCAGTTGTCCCGCCACGTCTGGTCGTTAAACCGGCCAACATTGATCATGGGCTCGATGGTGAACACATGTCCAGGCCGCATCACACCAGCCGCCTTGTTCTTCGCATAATGCGGCACATTCGGCGCACAGTGGAACATCTTGCCGACACCATGCCCGCAGTACGTGCGCACGACCGAGAAGCCGTTGGCCTTGGCATGCGATTCAATCGCCGCGCCCAGATCGCGGTACCGCGCACCGGGCTTGACCAGCGCAATGGCGCGGTCCAGGCACTCGCGCGTAACACTGACCAGCTTTTGGCCTTCCTCATCGACATTGCCCACCAGATACGTCTCGTTGAGATCGGCGTGGAAGCCGTCCTTGTAGAGCGAAATGTCGATGTTGATGATGTCGCCGTCGCGCAGCGCGCGCTGGTCGGGGATGCCGTGGCAGATGACCTCGTTGACGCTGGTGCAGACGCTCTTCGGGAACCCGTAGTAGTTCAGCGGCGACGGGTAGGCCTTGCGCGCAATCGTCGCCTCATGCACCACCCGATCGATCTCGTCGGTCGTCACGCCCACCTTCACGGCACGCGCGGCAATGTCAAGCACCTCGCGGCCAAGGCGGCACACGTGACGCATCGTCGCCGTCTCCGCCTCCGTCAGCACCGAAATTTGCGCGTTGCCGTAGCTCTGCTCCAGACGGGACACGCCGCCCGATGCGTCTGCGTAGTCGGGCCGCGGAATGTCCGCTGGCACCGCCCGCCGCGGGCTCAGCGGATACTCGGGGCGGATCGTCCCCGTGTAGGGGTAGGACGGGAACGGGTTGTACGTGGCCCGCGGGTTCTCGACCTGGTGCGCGTCCTTGTGCGCACCCCAGCTCTGCCGGAAGCACTCCTGCGAGCAGAAGAACGAGCCCTTGATTCCGAGCTTGACGCACGTCGGGCATTGCAGCTTCGCCGCCTTGTCGCAGCCATCGCGCAGGCACGTGTGTTGAGATGCGTCGCTCATTGTTGTGCTTCTAGGGTTGGATCTGAATGAATAAAAAAATACGAGAGCAGAAGAGAAATTGCGGGTAGCCAAAATGCCACCACCACCACCACCACCTGCCAACACAACAAAAAAATTTTCCCATCTGTTGCGTGATCATGCTCGCTTTTCCCTTCTACCGCTCCGCAAGACAATGTCCTCGCTCACACCCCTCATTTCCAAATGCAAGGTCAGCTCCGTGCTGAACCGCGACGCAAAGTCCTTCGGCAAAGCACACCTCTTCGATGCCAGCCTCGAGACCTGCTGGAACTCCGACCAAGGCTCGCCGCAGTACATCCTTGTTGAGTTCGCCCAGCCCGTCAAAATTAACAGCGTGCTCATCCAGTTCCAGGGCGGCTTCGTCGGCAAAGACATCGAGCTCATTGACGCCATCAAGGCTGCCAAGATATGCAACCTCTACGCCGACGACAACAACAAGCTGCAGTCGTTCGATGTCCCACAGGAGGAAGCCGTCATTGGGCGCTCCCGCATCAAGATCCTGTTCAACCAGAGCACCGACTTTTACGGCCGCATCGTCATCTACTCCCTCGACTTCGTCGGCTCCACTGCGTAGCAGATGATGTAGTTTGGTTCATTTTTAAAAACCCACTATAGAAAAACAGTAAATAACCCCCTCAGAGCACAACCGTCGCCGTGCCAGCCAGCGCTGGGAACCTGGCCAGGCTATGCAGTCTCTCCTGCACCTTCTCCGCCCGCGCCCGCAGCGACTGCACCACCGTCTGCTGTCGGTACAGCTCAAACTCCGGCTTCTTTGCCAGCGGCTGCCACGCCGGCTTCTTCTCGGCTTCCTCAGCCGGCTTCAGCCTAACCAGCCGCGGCATTGCTGCCAGCACACATGCCTCGCGTGCAACCGTCTTCGCCTCACGCACCGCCGCGCTCACCTCCGCCGATGCCGGGCCGCCCGCAGCCGCCACCAGCAGGGGCTTCCGGAGCTGCTCAACCGCCGCGGCTCCACGGTACACATACTTGCCGCGCAGGTGCGCGTTCTCGCGCCGCAGGAACCCTACCGACTCCTGCAGCACCTCGATCTTGCGACGCAGCCCCGCCAGATCCGTCGGCAGCGCCAGCCCAGCCTGGTCGCTCGGCACCGCCGCCTTCGCCACCGCCGTCTGCTTGATCTTGCGGTTCTCGCGCTCCAGCGTATCCACCTCCCCTTGCAGGCTCTCGATCGCCTCCTCGTACGTCCGCTCCTGCTTCTGCGCTGCTGCCAGCAGCTGTTGGAGCTGTTGGACCTGGTCCGCCTGCCGCCGCATTGTCTCCGTGCGCTTCTCCAGCATTTCGGTCTTCACGCCGTACTCCTGGATCGCCTGGTCCCGCAACTTCAGCTCCCGCGCCAGGCTGATGATTTCCTCGTTCAGCGCCTCCGTGCGCTTTTCCACCTCTGCATTGCGCACCAGGCTCGCCTTGAACTGCGCTGCGCGCTTGACCCACGGCGCCTCCACCCCAGCCGCCCTCGCCAGGTTGCTGTCGTCGCTCGCCAGTGCCAGCGCCCGCCCAACCTCCTGCGCCAGCCTCTGGGCCGCACTCAGCGCCTGCCCCAGCACCGTGGCATCTGCGTTACCAAACACCTCCTGCGCCACTGTGTTGAGGTCGCCAACCACCCGGTCCACAGTAACCTTGTCGGCAGCCCTGTCCTCCTCGCCACCTCCCTGCGCATAGTATTCCTGGATCATCGTCCGCACCTTGGTGCAGTACACCTCCAGTTGCGAGCTCTGCCGCAGCGCCTCGCCAACCTGCGCGCTGATACTGTCGTTGCCACACAGATCGCCTTGGATCAGCTCTTCTGACCGCTTCAGCAGCTTAACCGCCGCCGCCTTCGACGCCTTGCAGTGCTGGATCGTGCTTGCCACCGCCGGCAGAACCTCGCCTGTCATCCGCTGCCTGTCCTCGGCAGAGAACACTTCAACCGGCTCCGCTGAGCCGTCCACTGAGCCCTGCCCCGATGCCAGTAGCTGCTCGATGTAGAACAGGTTTGCCAGCTGCACGTCAGATCCGAACGCTAGCTGCCCAACTGCCACGCCCAGCCGCTGTACCCCCGTGGCTGTCTTGCTGCCCGTTGGCACGTGCGAATCCGCCAGCGCCAGCATCTGAGCCGTGAGCCGCCGGATCTCGGGCAGCGAGTCAGTCGCCCGGAACTCCTCCTTCTTCATCACGTCAATCAGCCCGTTGAGCCGCCGCTCCGTGCCCTGTGCATCCACAAACAGCGCCCCGAGCTTCATGAACTCCGTCTCGCTGCATCCCGACAGGTGCCGCACAAGCACCGCCGCCACACCCGAGAACTGTGCCAGCTTGCTGCGCACCTCTGCCGTCGCAACAAACTCGTCCGATACATTCGCCTCGGTGTTCTCGTCCTGCTCCAGCTGCTTGCAGAGAATGTCGCTCTTGACCGCCAGCCGCTTGAACGCCAGCACCGACTTGAGCGCATCGCCTTCCGACTTGAAGAAATGGTCGGGCAGGAACGGCTCCGTCATCGCAAGCTGCTCCGTCGCTTGGTCAGCCTCCAGCCGCCGCATCTCCAGATCAACCGCCTTGGCCTTGGTCTTCAGCATCGTCGACCGCAGCTGCAGATTCAGGCTCATCATCTCCTGCGTCTTGCTCGAGAAGCTTGCCACCTCTGACGCCTGCGTCTCCTCGCGCTCCCGCAGCCGCTGCAGCTCGCCCTGCAGATTCGCTACCAGCTCCCGGTACTGCTTGATGTTGAACTGGTAGTCCGCCATCGCCTCCTCCAGCTTGTCAATGCGCCGGTTCTTGTCGTTGACCGTAACCATCAGCCGGTCGATCTCCGCCTTCAGCCCTTGCTCCTCCTCTGCCCGTGTCTCCTCCATCTCGTTGTTGACCTCGCACAGCGCCTCCAGGTTCTCGATCACGCTTTGCATTTCCTCCACCTTGGCGCTGAGGTTCAGGTTGCGCTCAGACAGATCCTCGATCATCTCCTCCGCCCCCAGCGCCTCGTCCAGCCGCTCCTTCAGATCCTCAACCTGCGACTCTGCCACCTCCAGCTTCTCCCGGTAGCGCTCCGCCTCCTCGGACAACTCCTGCGCAGCCTCGGCCTCGCGCTCAAGCTGCCGCACCCGCTGTGTCAGTCGCGACTCGGTATCATTCGACACGTCGCGCAGCCGCACCAGTGCCTCCTTCAGCCGCTCGCTCTGGGTCTTCAGCTGCGCATAGTCAAGCGCGGTCGCGCCGTCCGGGCTGTCTGCCAGAACTGCGCTGTGGTCGCCCTCCTGCTTGTACACATCCAGGCTCGCGCTCGCCTCGTCCAGCTGCTCACGCAGCACTGTCACATCCTGCGCAATCTGCTCGGCTCTCTCCTCAGCCATCTCCTTGTCCAGCGTCAGAATCTCCATGGCATCGTTCGCCTCGCTGTACATTAGCTCAAACTTCTCGCGCGCGCTCGTCGCCTCCTTCAACTTCGCCTTCAGGGCCCGCATCTCCTCCTGCTGCGTCCCCACCTTGGTCGCCAGCTTGTCCCGCACACGCAGCGCTTGCTCCGCCTCGGCGCGCATCTTGTCCGCCTCCTGGATCCGCTGCCGGTCCTCCGACCGCTTCTGCTCCAGGAACTTGTACTTTAGCCGCAGCTCCTCAAACTGCTTCAGCGGCACCGTCTGCGCGCTCATCGTCGGCGCCGACCCTGCTCCAAATGTCGAAGACTCATCCATCGTCAACGCCGGGCGGTATGGCGTGCGCTGCGGCTCTGTGGGCTCAGGCGTGGTCGGCTCTGCATCTCCCTCCTTCTTCTCCTCGTCCTTGGGATCTACCTCCATGGCCACCGCCTTGGTCGGCGTCTGCATGCGCTCAGCCACCTCTTCACCCACCGCTGCATGGCCCAGTGGGCTCGGGGTCTCATTACGCGCCTGCGGCAATAGCTCCCGCGACCCAGGCCTGCTTCCGCCCTCGCTAACCAGGCTATGACGCGACGCACTGCGCGCGCTGCTCGGAGACCGGAGTCCCGAGACCGTGGTCCGGCGAGCTGCGATCCCGCTTGCCCCCGGCAAATGGCTCGCTCCACCCGCCCGTATCCCGAAGCTCCCGCTGAGCCGCTGCGCCGCCCCCGCCGTCTGCGATCCGGCCGCCAGCATCGACGTGCGCCGCGGCGTCTTCAGCGACTCTCCGCCCGCCGGTCTGCCTAGGCGCGGCACGCTTGACGGCGCGCTCGCTGATGATGCCACTACCTTGGCCTGCGACGGCCGCACAAACATCCCGTAGTTTGGCGCACACTCAAAGTACCGCTTGCCCTGCACGGATCCGTCGTTTTTGCCCCGCGGCTCCTCCAGCTCCACACCGCACCACCGCCCGGTCGCAAACCCGGTGGTTCCGCTGAACCGCACGATGCCGCGCATGCCCTGCACTTCCACAAGCTGCCCAACATTTGGCCCAGACACAGAGCCCGCGCGCGCACGCGGTGTGCCTGCGCCTGGTTCGTCTGCCTGTGGCGAGCTCATCTAGGTCCGAATTCTATGAGAAGGGTGTATTTGGCTGATAAGAATGAATAAGAAGTGGTTTGGAATTTGAAAAGGTAGGGGATTAAATGCGGAAGAGTGGTTGTGAAATTACAAGAGAAGAAAAAGCGAAACATAGCAAACAGCTGGCAATGTTTTCAAGATCGCCACCACCATAAATGCGCCGACGTTTTGTTTTTGTTTGGTCTCTGGGCACTCAGCCACTCCTCGATTTGGACAAAACATCGGTACAGCATCGCATAGACGCAGCCAGCATGTGCACGTCTACCCCGTTTCTACGCAGACCATATCGGGAAATACACACGATGTTAGGATGCAGCCAGGCCTGGCCCAGCCCTACGCTGCCAACGGTGCCCATGGCTGCTTCTTCTATCTGCCGAGCCGCGACGTAGGCTCAGCACCTCCCATCGACACTTGGACTGCAAATGCCCTTACCCTTGAGTACAGCAGCTTCACAGACTCTCGAGCCTAGGAGACTACAGTATGCAAGGAGGAACAGGGGTTGGGTCGGGGGAATAATGTGGCATTTGCTCTATATTGCCTGCCATATTGCACGCGTGGATGTGTTATTAACTGCCAACAATGTGCCACATCGTGGAGCACTCCTGACTAACAAGCTCACTCACGCCAGCCGAATGTAATCCACGCAGATTCCTTGATCAGACCACACCGAGTTGCTACCATGCCGACGAGGGGTATATCTACACATGCGTGTCTGTTCGAGCATCAGCGCGTGGGTTGACTCATTTCATTGAACACAGCACTGGACGGCAAAACGAGCCAAAGAGCACTCCACAAAATAGAAAATGGCGGGTATAAAACAAGGCAGCTTAGAGCTGGCCCGACTTGGTGATCTTGACCTGAGCCGAGGTGCGGCCAGTCTGCGAGCCCAGACCCTCGACCTTGCGGACGACATCCATGCCCTCAGTGACCTTGCCGAACACGACGTGCTTGCCATCGAGCCACGAGGTGGTCACAGTGGTGATGAAGAACTGCGAGCCGTTGGTGTTGGGGCCGGCGTTGGCCATCGACAGGACACCCGGGCCGGTGTGCTTCAGGGCAAAGTTCTCGTCGGCGAACTTGTTGCCGTAGATCGACTTGCCACCAGTGCCGTTGTGGTTGGTGAAGTCACCACCCTGCAGCATGAACTGGGGAATGACGCGGTGGAAGATCGAGCCCTCATAGCCGAAGCCCTTCTCGCCAGTGCACAGAGCGCGGAAGTTCTCGGCGGTCTTGGGGACAACATCGGCGAACAGCTCCATCTCGATGCGGCCGAGAGGCGCGCCGTTGGAGGCGACGTCAAAGAAAACCTTGGGGTTCGACATGGTTGTAAGAGCAAAGAGTTCCTAAGTGCAATAGCGGACAGCAAGTGGTTTAGCAGCCCTGTTTGGTGTAGACCGAGACGACGCGAGAGGAGCTTGGAGAATGCCCAGACCGCGATCTGGACGACGGGACCGCGGGCCTTGCGACGCGAGACCTGGCCGCCACGGCCAGCACAAAAGCACACGAGCAGCAGTACGTACCTGGAAAGTGCGAAAAAGTAAAACAAAAGCGACTATTTCTGAGGAGGGAGAGTGTCTGGCGAAGAGTCTTTGCTTTTATATGGATTTGCAGGCGGGACTGAAAATTTTATTGATTTGACAGACTTAGGATTGGGGGCGAGAATCAGCCTGCGGGCCGCAAGGCGAAATCCTCAGAAGACTGAGGAACAAAGGGGCGCGCAGCTACGTCACGCTGTCTGGGCCTGAGCAGCCTCGTATTGGCTCGGCGAGTAGTTCTTCTACGACAATGGAGAGCTGGCGGTTAGCATTGGCATGCTGACAGTGACAACAAACAGGGAAACAAAGAGCTGCTGGTTTGCTACTTGCCTGCGAGAAGGCGTGAATGCTCTTCATTTCCTCCTTGAGGACCTCGTTGACCAGCCGCTGGCGCTGCAGGCGGCTCTTGCCGTCGAATGCCTCGGACACAACAATGGCCTGGAACATCGATCCGCACCCGCCCGAGACGTCCAGGACCTCGACATGCGTGGCCGGCAGCTCCGCCATGAGCTTGTTCTTGATGTCGTCGGCCGAAGTCATTGCGTGCTGGAAAAGTGATGAGTATTGTGCAGGGAGAAGCGATCGTTTCGCACCCAGCGTGGCCATGGTTCTCGCTGATAATCAAGCCAATCAGCGCCCGGCCGGTTTATGGCCTTCCAGCTCCGCTGCCTGCCATTGGAACGTCACTCGCCTCTCTCTCTCTGAAGCTGTAAAACCACCCCCTATGCAATTAGACACAAGCAAAATGGCCCTGCGCAGCGTGTACACGGGCCGTGCCAACATGGGCACTCTGGCAATAACCACCCACCCGAGCAGCGCAATTGCTGGCCAGCTGTTTTCGGTAAGGCAGACTGCTGCGAATTTGCCTGCTGCGCGCTTGCTGCGAGTCATTTATCACTCAAATCCCGCTCACGTTTGTCCCTCGGCTAGGTATATGCCTCAGGACACAGCCTGATTGTCCATGGAGACAAGGCAGAGCATGTCGTTGAAGTCAGGCACGCGACCATCAGAAGCCCGATATCGTGCGTATTTGCATCGCGGCATGGCCAGCTCGCGGCGGTTTCAGGCGCAAACGTGGCGGTGTTTCAGCCCAGTGAGAGAACACCAGCACAGTGGGCATATGCGTCGCACTTCACAACAGCCGATGAAACCCAGACACCAACTGCTGGAGCATGGCTTGGCGAGGACCAGATTCTGCTTGGATCTGGCGACCAGCTGGTGCTGTGGCAGAACCACCCAGAGAAGGGCTGGAGCACGACATGGCGGAAGCGTACAGCAAGCCGAGTTTCGTCAATAGCTGTGTCACCTGACGCCTCGATGTTCGCCACAACGGCTGCTGGCGGACGACTAGTCAAGGTGTGGCATGCACAGTCCCTGGGTGGCGACTACATGCGGTTCCAGTACATTGCTCATTCGTCAGCCGTGCGGGATATCTTCTGGAGGCAGGCTCGTTCGTCACAGGAGAACCCAGTTCTCTACACAGTTACACGTGATGGTCGCTTCAATGTCTGGACATGCTCTGGCAGTGGCACTCGCTTTGCGCTGATAGCCACGGCTGATCTGGCAAGGGAACGAACTGCAGACCTGATTGCCGGGAACAGAAAACCCCGACGACTAGTTGTGGCACGTGTTCTCGAGTTCCCCAGAAGCGACTCGGTGGAGCCGCAGCCAAGCCCACAGCTGGTGCCAGGCGACTGTGAATCGGCCACCAAGCCTGACTCTTTCAGCAATCCGGAGGTATTGCAGGATCGGGAGGCCGACAGCCCCACATCACATGCTGAGACTGATAAGCAGGCTGTGTCAGAAGTACCACCAGCAGCAGAGCCCGAGCCAGAATCCGTGCATGTGCTCACACCATCGCTGAAGCCAAAGATCAGGCCTACCCGCAGTAGGTCTCGGACTGCACTCAGGCTTGCCCAGCCGCCTTCCCCGCGGCCCACCCCAATGAGTTTGCCGCTATCCCCTGAGCTTGACTATGTGTACGCGGCGTTCAGTGATGGGTCTTTTGAGATGTGGGAGATCCAGCACTCTGCGGGCACCTTTGCCATCCCAGAAGTGCAGGCTGTCTTGCGTACACCACCGATCAACACATCGTTCCCAGCGATTCCTAAAATGGCACACCCCCCTTCGCAGATGCTCCAATCGCTGCTCTGGCGAAGCACTGACGACGGCCTCTGCCTTGCAGTCGCCGATACCGTGGGGCATGTCTATATATTCAATGTTCCCAAAGAAGGCGATTCGAGTGATGGCTCAGGCGTCAGCCCACTCCGCCTGGTGCATCTCTGGGACGGCCACAAGGAGCCGGTGTTTCATATCAGCGTGGATCCATACAGCCAGCGCGTGGCCACCCATTCGGTTGAGGGCGAGCTGCTGATCTGGGACAACATTGTCACGCCGGAGCGGTCGCTGCCGATCTCGCGTCGCATGGAACTGGAAGGCGGCCGGATCCGGACCATTGCATGGGCGCCCAACGAGTCCGAATTCATTGGAGCCACCGACAAGAGCGTGTACCGACTGGTGTATGGCACTGACTCTGAGCAGTGGTCGCCTTGCGACACCAGATTCCCGCAGATGGACACGTTCGACCATATCTTTACTTACCCATCAAGCTCATCTGAGCCCTCTGCCAGCCCGGGCGGCGGCGAGCTAGCATACTTCATCTCGACCATCAACAAGTCGGACAAGGCAGTGCAGACATGGCGTGTTGCCGGGCCCAAAGAGCCAATTGCCTTTGTTGATCGCTCAGTACTGAAACAGGCAGCCAGGTTTGACCGTGCGTCACGTGTGATGCCTGTTGCACATCCGTTCTTCTCTCGCGACAACATCATGGTCACATTCGATACCGACAGCGGCCATATGCGCATCTGGGGCATCCGCACCTCGCCCAAATTCCGCTGGTTTTGCTCAAAGAAGCACCGCCTGCCCAAGATGGAGGCAGCCATGATCCGCTACAACTCTATCGACAAAGCCGCCATTGTCTCGGTCAACGAAGACGGCTCGCAGGTCATCACGATCTGGGTGTTCTCGTCTGCATCTCGTGCCTCTCACTATCTGCCCGCCGGCACAATCCATCCACGCAGCAAAGACGACAAGGTGTGCGAGATCCGCTGGTACCTGACCGAGTACGCGCAGTCCTACCTGGGCATCCAATGGGCCGACCGCATCGACATTTACTGCCAGGAGCGCAATCTCGACGACGCCTGGCTGTGCATATCAACGATCCGTGCATCGGAGTTTGGATCAGACACAACCATTGGGTCTTTCTCGTTCACGGCTGCTGGCGAGCCCACATTCTCGATTGGCCGTAAGCTGATAGTGTATTCGGAAAAGCTGCCGGATGGCAAGCGCATCAGCGAAGTTGCCTATGAGGAGCATGGCGAGCTGCCGTACATCCACCCATCGGTACTAACGGAGCTGATGTCGTGGGGCCAGATGTCGGCAGTGAAGAGCCTCCTGGCTCAGCTCTACGACTACATACGTGAGCGTGATATCGACCCAAAGAGCAAGGCGCAGCTGCCATCTATTTCTCTCCAAGATCTCATTGCCCCTGATGATACGCAGCCATCCAGCCAGTCCAACGGTACTGCACCCAAGGCGAGCAGTGTGCGGGCACGGTACTCGATGCTGTTCAACTCTGGACTCGACGACAAAATCGATGCAGGCAGATCTGCTGCATCCGACTTTGCTGGCTTCAACCGGGAAAAGGCCGACTATATCGTGGAGAAGCTGGCTGAAATGAAGCTCCCTGGGATCTCTCCGCTGGACCAGGCCCGACTCATGTCGATTGTCAGCACGCTGGCGGTCAGTTCTGCCAAGGATCAGCCCCTCGATGGCATGGGTACACGGTACCTGATCAAGCTGCAGCTTCTGGAGCTGGAGAACAAGCGGCTGCGTACTCGCCAGCCCAGCGATTTGGCGTACCGCGAGCTCAACTGGGCAATGCACAGCAACTCGCAGGCCATCCTGTTGCAGATCTGCCTGCAGCAGCACGCGCCAGCGTCAGGGATGACATGGGAGGACGCCCGGCGTATGGGCATCTTTCTCTGGCTCAACGACATCAGCAGCGTGCGGGAAGAGGTCGAGAAGATGGCGCGCAGCATCTTTATTGCAACGGGCCGCGATCCGACGCAGTGCGCAATCTTCTTCTTGGCGCTAAAGAAGCCACGGCTCTTGCTCGGTCTGTGGAGAACTGCACACACTCACCCGGAGCAGAGCAAGATGCTAAGCTTTCTGTCTAACGACTTTACAGTGCAAAAGTGGAAGACAGCGGCTGCCAAGAACGCATACGTGCTGCTCAGTCGCCAGCGGTACCTTGACGCTGCCACCTTCTTTTTGCTGTCGAGCAAACTAGCCGATGCGGCCACAGTGTGCGTTGTGCAGCTGAAGGACATCCAGCTCGCAGTCACCATCTGCCGCTGCTACGAGGGCGACAATGGACCGGTGCTGAGGAGTATTTTGTGGAATCATGTCTTGCCAGCAGCCCTGAGCTGCTCGGACCGCTGGCTGGCCAGTCTGGTATTCGGCCACATGCACAAGTACGATCTAGTTCTGCGTGCTCTCACTGACTCCCTGCCTAAGCTTGCCGTGGAGCTGGAAATCGAGACCACGCCATCAACCAACGCGTCGATGTCGGAGCTTGACACGGAGCTGCTGATGCTGTACCGGAGCATGATCAACTACTCGGTGCACTACCGCGCACCGCTGGTGACCCAGGCAGAGCTGATTGCGCAGACCATCACCATCTTTGAGTGCCTGGGCCTGCCTGTCATGTCACTGGTTGTGCTAGAGTGGTGGCGCCGTGAGTTGTTTGAGCGGACGAAGGCCAGTGCTGCTGCTCACAGCCTCACATCGGCTGCATCCACTGTGCAACACACGCCAGCCCTGAGCAAGAGCGCCAGCCAGGCAGCCGATCAGCTGTCGTCAGGACAGCTGGACATGAGCTCGTTCGGTGCGTTTGGTATGTCTGCTGCGCCCAAGCCCAAGCCAGCGCCTGCCGTGGACCCCATGGCGAGCGGAATGCTCGACATGACCTCCTTCGGGTTGCTCGGTGCTCCAAAGCCTAAACCCAGCCCTGCTCCAGCCGCTGACCCGGTAGCCAGTGGTATGCTAGACATGAACAGCTTTGGGTCGATGTTTGCTGGGTTTGCGCCAGCACCTGCGTCAAACCCACCGCCTCTGGCTGAAGATGCAGCAGCAACAGCAGCTGCGTCTTCTGCTGTCGCGAACGGAGCAACCAACGGCGCTGTTGCCGGCGACCACTTTGAAGGCGATTCATCGCTGGTGGTCGAGATCGAGGACACTCCTGTGCAATACACATGCCGCGTAACACTGGCGCTGCAGATGTACGAGTATATTGTGCGCACCATGTCCAGCGGCAACACCACCATCGACCTCGACAAGGAGAAGAAAACCATCTCAGAGACGCTGCGCCTGCCGATATCGATATTCCCCGCCACCGCGTAACTAGATCCATATTTGCTGATCAGCAAGATAACGGGCAGCGTTTTTAGGCGGACAGCCCTTTAAAGCACTTTTGAGCATGAAATTTTAGCGCCTGCCAAAGAGCAGTCCCGTCCTGGTTCAATTCAAACACCTCTTTTCCGTATACTCCTCTCGTTTTCTCTATTTCCCCCTCCACCTTTCAGCATTTGAACTCGTGTTTACAAAAATGTTGCGTGCGACTTCTCTGAGCTCTAGGGTGCTGCTGAGAGGCAGTGTAAGTAATCCCACTTTGCAGAATCCGAAAACTGGCGTCTGCCCTTCCTCTAAATTTTTTGGCATTTCTTGCATAGGCTTTTAAGGCGACAAGCACAGCTGGTTACTCGGCGCGCATGTCGGCAGCCCGGCGGTTTGCATCAACGACCCCCACAACTCCCACAGGCGCAGCTAAGGATGCCGCAAAGGACGCTGTAAAGGACGCTACGAATAGTGCTGCGAAGGAGACTGTGTCGGCCACGCCGAAGCCGACTACTGCGCCGAAGCCAGCTGCGTCGAGGAAGACCCACAAGATCCGCAACACCGCAATCCTGGCGCTTCTTGCCGGCTCAGCGTTTGTCGGCGCTGCCGCCTATGCGCAGGAAGATGTTGATTTCGATGAGAGCTTTGAGATGTACGTTCCAGGCGCCCGGCGCTTCATGCAGCTGACGCGGCACCATGACGACAGCCTTCTGATGGCGCTGAGCGACGTGGGCTTCCATGTGTACGACGACGTGGCATACACGGCCAAGTTCATCTATGGCCAGCTCTTCAACCTGTACAACATGCTTGCCTATAACAACTGGACCGGTGAGACCGCTGACGACGACGAGTCTGGCCGCAAGCGCGATGTGGCGGCGCCGCCCAAGATCGAGAAGCCCGCTGCCCCGAAGAAGGAGAACAAGTCGACGATTGATGATGCTCTGCCGTCGGCACCCCTGAAGAAGATCCAGCTGGCTGTCGAGATCCCGCCTCTGGTGACCGATAACTCGGCTGTGGCTGAGCTGTCAAAAACGCTGTCTGCGGTCGTGGCAGCCTTTAACAAGAAGGGTCTGTCGCCTGAGAACATGCAGCAGCTCAAGGCACTGAGCGACTCGCTGATCGCACTGGACCTGCACCTCAAGACGCTGAAGGACGAGGAGCGCAAGGTCGTTGAGGCAGCGCTGGCTGAGGAGCGCAAGAAATTCGAGTCGACACTGACGGAGTTCCAGCAGGCGGCGCGCATTGCACTGGCATCGCGCGAGGCCCAGCTGATCGAGTCCCAGGAGGCTGAGCTGTCTGCCGCCGCTAAGGCGTCGGACGAGCGCCTGATTGCGGAGCTCACTTCGCAGCGCGACCTGCTGGAGCGCCGCTTCAACCGCTTCGTGCGTGCCCGTGTCGATGAAGAGCGCGGCGGGCGCCTGGCCCACCTTGACCGTGTCGAGGCACAGTTGCGCGAGCTTGCGCAGACTGCCCAGCAGAGCGGCGGTCTCCTGCGCCAGTCGCAGGCGGTGGCCCGCCTGAGCGTGGCCATTGCATCGCTCAAGTCTGCGGTCATCGAGGGCAAGAAGCAGACACCGTTTGCGTCGGAGCTGTCGGCTCTGGCCAGTGCTGCGACAACCGATTTCCCAGCCACACAGGCGGCTGTGGCAGCGATTCCCCATGAGCTGGCTGAGCAGGGTGTGCCCTCGCAGGTGGAGCTGGAGGACCGGTTTGAGGCCGTGCGCAAGGAGATCCGCAGTGTCTCGCTTGTGCCTGAGAACGGGAACTTTGGATCGCAGGTCCTCTCGGCGACCCTGTCCAAGGTCATGTTCGAAAAGGAGGGCCTGGTCGAGGGCGACGATGTTGAGGCCGTGCTGGCCCGCACCAGCTTCTACCTTAGGGAGCACAACCTGGATATGGCGGCGCGTGAGCTGAACCAGCTGCGCGGCTGGCCGAAGAAGCTGGCCGAGGACTGGATCACCACCGCGCGCCGTCGCCTCGAGGTCGAGCAGGCCCTGCGTGTGGCCGAGTCCGAGGAGTTCCTGGCAAAGTTCTCGCTTGTTTAATGCGATAAACCCCACGCTTCTTAGATACCCAAATATACCCAGCTCTCTTTGTTTCCAAGCCCGCTGGGATTGGTCTTGTGCCCGCCACATATTGTGGTGGAGACTGATAATCCCAAAGGCGAACCTGCCGTCACTGCCGGCTTTCTGCCCTCCCCACTCTTCAATTTCACCACTTTTTTCCATACCCTGTTCCACATCTAAATCGCCTCTCTCTTGAATCGACGATGGACTTGAATAAGCTGTCAGACATTTCAATTTGGGACGTGCGCAACGTCTACAACAAGGTGAAGAATGTTGTAATGAACCTGACCGAGATGGAAATCAAGGTCAACGAGGCCACGGGTCCTGAGCCCTGGGGCGCCTCCAGCACGCTCATGATGGAAATCGCGGAGGCAACACACCGCTCGCAGGCCTTCAGCGAGATCATGCCGGCCATTTACATGCGATTCAATGACACTGACCCGTCGAGCTGGCGCCAGGTCTACAAGGCGCTGCAGCTGCTCGAGTACCTCGTACGCAACGGCTCTGAACGCGTTATCGACGACGTGCGTGGCCACATCACGATTATCAAGATGCTGCGCAACTTCCATTACATTGACGACAACGGAAAAGACCAGGGCATCAACGTGCGCCAGCGGTCAAAGGAGCTGCTGGACCTGGTGAATGACAGCGAGCGGGTGCGCGAGGAGCGTAAGAACGCCAAGACCAATCGCAACAAGTACAGCGGGTACTCGGGCGGTGGAAGCATGGAGGGCTTTGGCAGTAGCCGGGGCGGGTTTGGGAGTACTGGCGGGGGTTCTGGCGGTAGCCGGAGTGGGTTTGGGAGCAGCTCAGGCGGGAAGTACTCGGGATTCGGCCGCGATAGCTATGTGCCGCCGAGCTCATCGCGCTACAACGATGACAGCGAGTCAAGCTCGCAACGCTCGGGTTCAGAGTCTGTGGCAAATTCCCGATCTGGCCGGTCCTCAGCCAAGCCCCTGAAATCTGCGACAACCCCTGTGCGTGAAAAGACCCTGCCAAAGCCTGCCGAGCCCGTGGTTGCCGATCTGTTTTCGTTCGATGATGATGTTGATGCGTCGCCTGCAGTTCCTGCGCTTGGTGCAGCTTTGGTTGCCCCTCCATCCGCTGCACCGGCCACCACCAATGCACTGGCCGATGACTTTGGTGATGACTTTGGCGACTTCCAGGGTGGGTTTTCTTCTGCTCCCCAGCCTGCTGCTGCTCCTGCGGCCCCCACTGCTCGTGCTGGTGGTGGTATGGACCTATTGGGCGGTGATGATCTGCTCTCTGGGTTCCAGCCTCTGTCAGCATCGTCGACAGCAGCCACTGCTGGATCTTCCCAGCAAACATTCGGTGATTTTACTGGTATGTCGCAGGTATCTACACTACTGCAGCCTGTGAATTCCACGCCTGCGAAACCTTCGCCTGCAGTGCCTGCAGTGACGTCGCCTACCCCCTCAAGCGGCAGCAAGAGCGGTGCAGCCAAATCAGATGCATTCAGCGACATCTGGGGAGCCAACTCAGACCTCCTGTCGCTTGACTCGCTGTCGCTGTCCAACACAAAGGGCAAGGGCGCAGCGGACCAGAAGCCAAAGTTCTCGATGAACCAGCTTGCAAACCAAAACAAGTTTGGCGGCATCTAGACCCCCTGTGCGCTCTATTTCGTTTAGACTAGGAGCAGAATGTAATGAAACACACATGCATAGTTTAAGCTGGAAGTTTCGTTCGGATCTGAACATCCATGAGCGATGGTATGACGTGAGCAAGTCTCTGCAGCCATTCAGTCCCCGGTTCATCGATGGGCGCTGCTGTCTTTATCTCTATCACCTGGAGTCGGCAGTGGGTTGCGAGCAGTGCAAGCTCTGCTAGTGGCATTCCATATGAACACTCTGTTGTAAAGCAGTCGATCTGGAGGTGCCAGAGCCGTGGGAGCTGTATTATCAACACCTCGACAGCACGTAGCTCAACGCAGTCAGCAACGATGTGTAGGCACTGCAAGAGTGGCCAGTTTGTTTGCTGGCCAGGCAAAAGACACAGTCGCGGGATATCCAGCCTGGCATCTTGGAGCACCGGGCTGGCCAAGGCAAGCATGGAAAAAATACTCTGATCACGGTCACCCAAGTGCCCATTTCCTCTTGCAAGATGCAAATCCAGCGCTTTGACCTTTTTGAGTATGCGAACATCCAAAGCGTCCCATCTGTCGACAGACTCATGTAAAACGAGCGACTGAACTGGCGATGCTACAAAGAGAGAGTAGAAATCGGTATACACAGCGAGTGCCCCTTGGATGTCCAGCTCTCTGAGCCTTGGAAACACCAATATCATACCCTCACTAGAAACCGCCACTGGCGGGACTTCGTTTTCTGCGAATTCCAGTCTCAGTCTTTCAAGGTAAGAGAACACAATACTACCATGAGATGAATCGGTGAAATACGTCCAAGGAAACGATCCGTCGACGAGGTATATGCTGAGATACTGCAGCTGTGTCGCCATGATGCGCGGTAGATGCATGCGATGGCGGAGAACCACCGGTGCGCTTAGTGTGAGACCAGTGATATTTTCAGGCGAGCAGCTAGGTGCATCAAGCCCGAGCTGTGGCTGGTGCAATTGCAGTAAGCGCAGCTTTGGTAGTCTCGCTGAAACAAGCATGCTGATGAGGAATCGCTGAGGTCCGCCCACAGTACTCTCCTTGTCTGCGATTTCAGCTATGTTTGGTATGTTCCGAAGCAAGTAGTCGCTTGTGTGGCGAGTGGATACGATGCTTGGCAGATACTTGTTGGGGGCTATGTAGCTTTTAAATCTTAGTGACTCCATAGCAGACCATGTACCTGAGCTAAAGTGGAGCTGGTCCAGGGCATCGACCAAGGGAAAGGCGCTCCCGCTAAAGATGCCAATAATCATCAGCCTCCGTGTTGCTGCAGACTGTTGCGATCGAAGGATGAAGGGTATGTTGGAACTGACGCCGTATATTGCCGGCTGCCCAGCTTGTGTGGCATCAGGATGCATCTTCTGGCGTTCCACAATGGCTGTCTGACAAAGCTGCTGCTTGAGCTGCTGCATCCACCTGCGGCACACGAGTGCTAGCATCATAATTTGGCAATACGTGTCCATCCCGTAATTCTCATGTAGAACATCATTGCTGGCGCATAAGAGAATCTGCCGCAGTATGTCTCCGTCGGCCAAGTCATTAATGTTTTTAGGGTGGTCAAACATTGGTAGGCAGCGATAGAAGAGGAAAGATAGGCTAGACACGGCTTTGGTGCAAAGGGCATGCAGATAGATGGCCCTACACGCTCACTGGAATTCCAGGCACCAAATAAATAGCCTATGTCATACGCCCCTCCTGCGTCACCCACCACCTGAGCAGTGTGTTCTAGGCGGCCAGTATTTGCAAATACTTTTTCTGTACGACAACCTGCACTCTTAAACACAGATATTTGGCACACCAGGGATACGTAGAGACCATCCATATCCAGTACCATTGTATGCTTCGAAACCCGGTCTCTATATGACGAGCTATGAGTTTCGAATGATATGTCTCAAACCACCATCGTCGTTGGCATCATCAATCTCGGTGTCCAAGCGTGACAGGCTTAGATATCAATGCTCTGGCTTTTGGATTATAGCTTTATTTGGTTACCCATGCTCTAGATATGCGGTGAGAGACTGTGGCTGTCGGCATGGCTTGGAACTCCAAAGCAAAAATTTTGATTTGATACCAATTCACCATTCTCTCCTCCATACTCTTCCTGGTTTTCGCAAGTTTTGTGTTATTATGACCAAGAGAACGAACTTCAGCGGCTTCTTGGATGCTGGCACTAAAAACGATCCTGCAGTCGTGCCATCTCAAGGGTCGACTCCTCCCAGTGCGCAGCCAAACCCAGACGAGGCACCAGTCAAGTACCTAAGACATCTGCTTGAAACGAGGCTGTCGATCAGTAAAAACTATATGGAAGTTCTGCCGAAGGCCTACAATACGCTCCTAGTTAACCGAGTGAAACGCGACGCTAGTGACACCCTCGACGAGGAGGTCATCGTGGGCAGCGCAAATAGGGTCGTTGCGCACTGCAACGCGTTTACAGGCATTGTGAGGAACATCGACTTGGTCTGCAACACCCTGGACGAGACCATTGTCCACTTCCTCAGCGAGCTCCCACCTACCGAGGAAAAGAGGGCAGCTATTAACGAAAACGGCGAGTACTTCTCCCATCTGCTGAAAATCAATGTCGGCAAATTCGACCCGTATCAACTTGCAATCGACCCAGAGAAGTATCTGGATGCGTTCATTCCGTCATTTATCCTGGATGCACCTACGCCCTTGTTGAACTGGCGAGAGTTTCTGATCATGTACGGCTCACCGCTGCTTCGGAGCTTTGTTATGTACGACCTGCATATAAGCTGTAACTGGACGACGGCGAAGACGAAGATTGTGAAGGCCTTCGGCATGCAGCACAGCATAGAGACGGTGGGAAGGGTCCGATATGGCATGGGCCAGCTCTATCAAGTGCAAGACATCCTTCACCACGTGTCCAAGTACGGCAAATCGAAACGCTTACTCACCCTGGGTGTTATTGCCGGTGTTTGCACACTCAATCAACAGCAGATGTTCGTCAACGCAATTGAGGGCCGTGGCAAGTTTAGAGTCGGGGAATTCAATTTTTCCGAGCTTTGTGGAGACTATCCACATACGAAAACCGGAGCTGCTTCTGTCCCTGTCGCCGCCTGTACCTCAGCTGCTGTGCCCTCTACCACTAGCGTTGATCCCACGCCGGCGCCGGCGCCTGTCCCTGTCCCTGCTAGGGCTGCTACCCCTGTCCCAGCTACTATGCCTACTGCAGCTACTTCGAGTAAGCACAACCCCACCTACCGTGCCTTTGTTCATCCTACTGGGCGGCCAGTTGGTCCCAAAAGCCCACTTCTCGCCTCCGCAACCAGTACATTTGCTGGCTGGGGACCCAAGGCAACAGCCAGCGTATTATCGACTGCAGTTCAGAGCTCTGGCTCACCCTTAGCACCAACATCCACTACCACCGCTACCCCAGTATCTGGTTCTGCAATTCCAATTTCCAATACTGGCTCTGGAGCTACCGCAACATCCTCCCATGCGTGGGTCGCTCCTACCAGCGCCACTAGTAGCACTACCGTGTGGTTTGGGATCAAACCGACCACAGGAGCCTCTGCAACTTCGGCAGCCGCTCCTACCCAAGCACCTCCCACTAGCACATCTGACTCATAGGCTCGATTTAGCCCTGCCTCCAGCCAAATTGACTGCACGAAGTAGTGGCTGGATAAGATTGACTACTATGCCGGCAGTTCATATGATAAGATGAATCCAAATTTACCGGTGTGAATACCATGAGGGTTGATCGTTCGAATGTCTAGATATGATAGTATCACGCTGTATACGTGATGGCTGTGTTGAATAGGCTTCTAGTTATAGGCAGGACGAATATAACAATACCCACTACCCATATATTACCAGACAATGTTATTGACGAGGGGCATCAGCAGAGAACGCACTGCCGACTGCGATGCAGATATATGCAACCAAACATTAATATGCTGCCACACTCTATTCATCTTCTGACAAGCCAGTTGAAAATGTCTGTATTGGAAAGTGCGCTTTCTAAGCAAATGTGTATTGCGACTTTTCGCTGGTTAAGAGCTGCGTGACAAGACGGGTGCCAACGACGCGCTCAAGCTTGAGCTGATCGTATTTTGTGAAAAACGCAGTGCATGAGAGCAGCTCCGACGCTGCCGTCTCGTCGTTGCTGGTCAGCATCAGATTGACCAGCTCCGAGTAGAACAGCGGATGCTCAGGCAGACCGTAGAACACCATGTTGTGGATGCCCTTGATTGGGTACCTGTGGAAGAAGTGGGCGCGCTCGCTGTACAGGATAAAGCTGATCTTGCCGTCGTAAAAGTTCATGCGGGCGCGCATAGCCTCAGAGCGCGTCGAGTACTCTGAGATGGCAGCAAACGAGCATGCGCGCTCTTTGCAGTAGTTGCGGATGCGCACGAAATCAAAGTAGGAGGGGACAAAAATCAATGTGTGCTTGTCGCCAACAGCTGATTTCTCAATGTCGGGCAGCACTTGCTCGGTAAAGTGGGAAAAGCGATCGTCTGCGGCGCTAAGCAAGCGCTTGACGCCCAGGCGCTTGAAGATCTGTGGGACCTGGGCAACAACGTCTGTCACAGCTCCTGCGTACGACGGCTTGATGCGAACCTTGCCCTCGATGTTCTGGCAATTGTTGGTAAAGACAGCCTGGACCTCTGGCGTCAAGTAGTCAGAAAGCATGATGGTCTGGCGGCGGTACTTTGAGGTGCCATCGAGGTACCAGTTGCGGATGCGAGAAAAGTCACACCCATGGTCCTTCTTGGGTGTGCGGTTCAGGTTGGTGAACATGTGCATGACGTGGTCCCAGTTCTGCATCAGCAGCGTGTCACAGTTGTCAACAATGAGCACTTCGATGGACGAGAGGAAGTCAAAGTCACGGCGCTCGCCCTTCTCAGCGCCTGTTGTCATGCGCAGGCCGATTGGGGAAGCAACAATAATGTCGGACGCGTAGAAGCCTGCATAGAGCTTTGCCGCGTTGTTGCGTAGCTGGATGCCAATCCGGAAGGCATCGTCGATATTGCCAGCAAAGGTGTGCTGGTAGTCTGCAGGCTTGCGCTTGTTGGCCTTGGAATCATCCTCGTTCCCGGGCCCGAACTCCTTCTCGAACCGGGTTTTGGTCATCTACATAGGAACCGCGTCGGCAAATGGGAAAATCAGCCGACTGCTTCTTTGTGAGTGGGCTTGTGTGAATCGTCGATATCGGAAATGCAACGGAGAGTCCGACTGCAGTGCCAGCGCATATGCTGCGTCTCGTTGCTGACTGGCCGGTCTCCCAGCAGACGAATACAACATCGCGCTAAGCAATCCATGAGACCCACATGGACTCTAGTCAATGGCTGCAGCCAGATGCATACAATAACGGCCTCCCTTTTGGCATCCCCCAACCTGCAAAAGCAAGTGTGCGAGAGAATGGCAATTCGGAAACAGATACCAGCGAATCCTCATTTTCGAAATGGAGCCACGCCAAGGAGCAACATATTCCCAATACAGGCACAATGGCGACTTACCTCTTGCTCCGACGACAGCAGCCTCAGCACCTTTTCGACAAACCGGTAGGCGCTATTCCTGACGGGCAGGATAACCAGAACCCTGGGGCGTGTAAAGCCACGATCGCGGAGTTCGCCAGCGTCCTTGCCGGTGGCGTGGGCCCTGGCTAGTCTTGCGTTGTTTTTGCGCTCACGATCGCGCGACTTCAGGACGTGGTTGACAGCATGCAGAGCATAGGCAGTGGTCAGCTCATCGTCATGCTCTATGGTGCGGCCTGCGTAGACCACATCGCGGTACTGGTCAAACCAATTAAAGATTGACGCCTGGTAGTCGGTGAAGCGGTCAGAGTTATTGAGCTTGTGGAACGGCTTGACAAGGCGCTGCTTCAGCGGCCGCGGGTTACGCTCCTTGATGCCCTCGTTTCCGGTGTCAAACAAGACCGTGTTGCGCAGAATCGGGTCGTCTATGGGCACCTGCTTGTACTCCTTTTGTGTGACCGCTGCCAGCTTCTTGTGAGCCAGCGGCGAATCGTCGTCGGCGACGTGTGCAGCAAGATAGTCCTTGAGCTCAAACACCTCTTTGAACCCATCTATTTCAGTGTCATCCTCCTCGTTGGCCTGCTCCTCCTCCTCCTCTCCCTCGCTAAGATCGTCTTCGCTCCGAGCCTCGCCTTCCTGCTCGTCCTGGTCATCCGATCCGGCATCGACCTGCCCATAGTCTGCTGCAGCTTCATCCTCGGAGTCGGTTGCTGGCAAACCACCATGCTCGCTCTTGTCATAATCCACAGCAGCATACTCCTCTTCTTCCTCTTCCTCTTCCTCTTCTTCGTCCGAAACAACTGCAGTGCGCTTTGCAGGAATGGCACTCGATCCACCCAGAGATTTCAGCAGACGAGAGTAGGCATCGGGCCTGGCGCTCTTCTCCTTCTTCGGTAGAAACGCCCCCTGCTTTCCGAGATGCCGCTCGTATCTCTCCCGACCTTTCTTGGACGAGAACCTGACCTCGGCCTGGCGATGCGAGCCGTTTTTGCTCATGGCGCGGCTAATAAGCTCGTCGAGGTCGTTTCCACCGCTGGCGCTGCTAAGCGGATCGAGCTCTCCATAGTCTTTGAGTTGCTGTAGGTCCTTGCGAGAGAGCCTCTTTGACTTTTTCGATGGCGGCGGCATTTCGTATGCTGTCTTTTGGGGGAGTGGCTGAAATGCGCGAATGAAGCTAATGTGGAAGCAAGAAGAAAAGCGGTGCAAAAAAGCCTGCACGCTTAAAAAAAAATAAAATTTTGAATAGCCCCTGCTGATTATCCGATCTCATCGAGTGATCATGAGTGGGTGATGGCCTGCTATGTTACTTGGACACACGATAGGCTGGTGGCAAGGAAGGTGAGACAAAAGGGGGTTCGAGGCTGGTTGGCTGGCTAATCGTCAGCGCTCCTTTTTGGCAGAAAGGGTCCGAGTAGACTTGGTGCTGAGGGGGTATAATCGGAAACGGATTCACACCCTCGCGCTATCCGCAACTAAGCAGGAAACATTTGAAAAGCAAATGGCGAGGCCCAGGTGCGACCCGCTATCCTTTTTTCTTCATCTTATGTGTCGGTGGTGTAAACGGAAACGAATAACATAAACCGCTGTGTAGAAAAATGGCTGGAAATCAGAAACCAGCAGCTTGCCATTGGAAATCGGATAGGCGCCTAGCATGGGCTCCACATACAACCTCCACCAACCATAGCCAGCGTCTGCCGGCTCTTTATTCGCAGCCTGCTCTGAGTCTGCTTGTTGCAGGCTGTGTCAGCAGGCCAGCAGATGCACGCGCAAAATACGCCCTTTCATACGTTGTGCAGCGGTTTGCAGTCCTGCCGTGCGGGCTCCATTTTACGTAGGCAATGTTGAGGGATGTCATCCACAAGTGTCTGTCACCAATGTGTTGTTTTGAATGCCAATGCCGGCTGACCTACCACCAGTCACAACAGGATGAAAACCACCAGTGGCTGTTCGCGATCCACGCTTGCAAATTCACAATCTAGCTGCATCTATAATTTTACTGTGAGAACCCTCCTCTTGAGCACCACAAACTGCAATTACCCCCAGTCAACCTCCCTCACGCCCATCACCCTGCCTGGCCTGGCAGAGCCCTTCCACTCCCCACCAGCAATCTGCAAAGCCGGCAGCGGAACAACTCCGGGTGTGCATGTATCTCACACCTCTAGCCTGGTGCCTATTTCCCCACCGATTGTATGAGCACTTTTCTGTTTTCGTCGTTTTTATAAAGCGTGGAGAGTAGCGCTTGAATCCACCCCTTTTTGCATTTCCAAAATTTTCTTTTTCTTCCTTGCTGATACCTGCGCTTGCATTTTGTGATTCTCTTTCTTTTTTCCTTCAGCCCGCACTCCTTTTCCCCCCTACACTTTTACCTTACACCGTGTCCCCTTTCCTCGGGCGAGAGGATAGCGGGAGTAATTCTTACAAGTGGAGCAGGCAGTAGTTTCGGACGCTACAGAAAGCAATCGGAAGGGCTGTGCTCTCAGCGTACAGAAGCACATTATCTACAACGATTTATTGCAACTGACTAAGCATGACGCTGTTTGTTGCCCACGTTAACGAGCAGGCCACTGAGGACGACCTGCGTAAGCTATTTGAGCCGTTCGGAACTATCACCGATATCGACAAGAAGCGCACGTACGCCTTTATTGTAAGTTTGCTACCTCTTTAGTATGCTATGTGTTTGCTCCCGGCCGAGACGAGCTGCAGTGGTTTGAACCAGTGGGAGACAGCGCACGCAAGCACCAGTAATGCACCGCAGTCGGCGGGAGACGCGATGAATTCAGGCACCATGACATATCTACATTGCGTCAGCATCCAACATCTGGAAGCATTTCCAACGGCCCTCGCAGCTTGTATTCAGACACCCTCGCCACCTACGATGCACACATGAGCAGGCCGCCTTGTCCCTGTTTTCAGCCTGCATCTCACCCAACCTTTCCGGCAACCCGCATCTGTATTGACCGACACCTACCAGCGGTGCACCATTCTTCTCCACCGTACGACAAACAAGTCGTCATTCTAGCAGTCATAACTTCTTGTCTAGCTGCGGTAAAGCGACTTCCGCATATGTGCCATGCGCAAGCCTCCACCAATTTTGTTCACTCCGACTACCTGTTAGGTCGCGGCGGATCATGCAGAGTGCGGGTGGGTGCAGGAGAGGCGGTATGAGGGGCTAGCAGGTTCTCCACCATCTGTTTCTGAGCGAAAAAAAAAGAAAACGACTGGCGGCTTTCATTCCCTCTGCATTTTTTGTCTTTGCTCGCTAGGCATGCCCAGCAATCCCCTAGTGCTGCTTGCCATTGGTTGGCTATTTTCTTTGTCTGGCCCGCTCGTCGCCTGCGTTTGGGCTGCTTTGGGACGATGCTCTGAGAAAATGGACCCCTCCGCTACAAGAAGCGTCTGCAAATTGTGTTCTTGCTGGTTTGTTGTGCCGCCTGCCGCCCCATGTTTGCCTTCTCCCGTTTTCAACCCCCGACCCGCGGTCGCCACTATTTCGCACTGTGAACTGCTGTTTTGTTGGGGGCCGGGCACTCACCCGTGGGTGTGTGCATTTTTGCCGGGCGCTCCAGTTTAGCCAGCAGGCGGAGAGCGGCTCCAATTACCCAGCCAATAGGTGACCGCAACACCTGATGCAGCGATTTCGGATACGTGCTTGCCGTCTGGCCATGTGATTCCCGTATAGTATTTGTTCACACAACGCCGTGCATGCCCCCTTTGTGCTTTGTATAGGACTATGCCGACATCGAGAGCACCGACTCCGCTATAAAGGCGCTTCACAATATGGAGTTCATGGGCTCTAAGCTGCGCGTTGAAGTCTCAAACAAGACTCGGGGAGATGACGGGCCCTCGCTGGGCGATCTGCAAGAGCAATGCTACCATTGCAAGGAAATCGGACACATAGCAAAGAACTGCCCGTAAGTGAATATGCCAGCTGCAACCTTATTGCTTATTTTGCCAATGCCCATCCCAGCTCCCACGTTCTTGCCTATTGCATTCGAAACCCCTCCTAATTTTGGATGCATTCCCTCCCTCATCCACCTCTCCTCGCCAATAGTCAGCTGCATCAGCAATCATCCTCGCAGCAGCTGCAGCAGCAAAAACCGAGACCACAAAAGCAGATTGCCACGTCAGCGAACGAATCACTGTACATGCAGATGTTTTCGCAAAAGCAGCAGAAACCGCCCCGACCGGGCCGGATGAAGCGCGTGTCCAAGGGTGACAGCTGGCTAACCAACCCGTACCAAAAGCAGAAGCTGACCACAAAGGGCGATCCGCGGCTCTACGCCAAGGACCACACACCTGCCTCTGATCTCCAGGAGGATCCGAGCATGACGGGTGGGTATGGCGAGCAGCACCTGGGTGCAAATACGTTTAGGACTGACCCCACTTCGTCCCAGTCATCATCATGGATCGAGGCTCCAAAGCCAAAGATGCCGCTGGCTGACATGCCGAGTGTGCCGGTATTTCGGGTAATGCAGGACGAGTATGCGCGGGTGTATGCAGAGCACCAGAAGGCTGGCAAGCAGATATCACACTATGAAGTGGCTAAGCAAGCGGCGATTAACCTTCGAAAAACGGCTCACACCGGCCAGGGGCTAGGAATAAAACACACTGCGGCGCTGCCAACACCAGACAAGTCGAGCGGTAGCACCATCACGCAGCTACCACGACCGCCGCCGCCTCTGCCGCCCCCACAGCTACTCCCGCCGTATCAACCCTCTGGCTCTGCCTATCCAAATGTCACACCACCCCTCAACACAGGCGGAAGCATGACAGACAAAGAGAGCACTATGACGGCTACACCGCCTGCCGGCAGCTACCGGTTCCCCTCTCCACACCAGCCATCGCTTGCCAATCTAGGTGGCGCACCCGTGACTGCTGGAATGATGTTGCCCGTTACCGGGCCGACGTACTCGCCACAACCCTCCCAAGTTGCACACGCGTACCACCACCCACCGCACCCACCGCACCCACCGCCCATGCCGCCTCTACCACCTCCGCAGCAATCGGCCCTAATTATTGCACAGCCACCACCTACACCTCTTCCTCAACCACAGCCGCAGCCAGCTGCTAATTTACCGGTGGCCGCTGCACATACTGTCGAGTCATCACACTACCCGCCTGGAACGGTGGTCTACCTTCCCGTGATCACCGTTTTACCCGGCAGCAGTAGCGCTCCGAAATCGGCGTCGACCACCCCGACACAGCCGGCTCAGCAGTATACGCAGTTCCACTCCCCACCCATCCCCGGGTCGATGACCCACACTATGCCTCTGTACAGCCACGTGCAGATGCCAGTTCCATCGGGCGCTCGGCCACCGCTGCCCCCTCCCCTTCATCCTCCTCCCCCGCAGATGCCCCAGGCGTCCAGCTCCAAGAGCATGTCGCCGGGTCCATATGATTACAGTTCGCAGGTCATAGATACCCGCGACACTGCTGGATATGAGCGGGAAAGGAACATGCCAGCTGACGATTATGTCGCACCCCTCCCAAGCATGCCAAATTTCACAGACCGATATACTCCCGGCTCACGCAGTCGGCGCGGGTCACTAGCGTCGTCGACAAGCGGACAAGGCAGATCTGGGCGGGAGTCACGGGGCGACCAGTCGTCGCGTGGCAGGAGCCGGTCACCGAGCCGGCACAATCACCGATCATCTGAGCGCCAGAGCGAGCGCTCGAGGTCGCGGGAGCCAACCTCTAGACGTAGATAATCGCAAACAGGTAGAATTAGTCGCTAAGTACCGTCAGTCTCTTCTTTAATCTTTCCACTTACTATAGCTGTACTTTTGCACCGTCAATACATTTATTAAACCGTTCCTGCCTGTTCGCATTCGCAAAACCTTATTATACGAGAATCTTTGGGATGGGACAGGTCCTGTTCATGCTTGATCGTATTGTGCCTGCTTGAACACGAACAATCGGCAAGCCGCTGTGCCTCAAGCTGGATGGTATTTGCCATGTAGTCTGAGGGTTTGTAACCATACACTCAATGAGGGCAGTCTGTTTGCTCCTTAATTTGTATAATAGCGTGTGCGGCATATGCTTTTCTTATTGCGACAATTGCGCATATACAAATGTGGAGAACAGCCCTTATTGTGCTTGACAAGAGTACCCTTCTGATTGTAATAAGCACAGAATGCCCGCACAAGCAATTGTATAAAGCAACGCCTGTGCTTATTGTATCATAGAAACCACAAGCACTGCTTAATACAATTGCAACCCGCCTTACACCATCCCCTCACATCTCCCCCAGCTCACCCAGACACCTTTGGCTGCCCCTTAGAGATGGCCAATCCCATGGTCTATTCTGCAAACTACTGTGGCGGGTGAAGGAGCCCAAGCGACGGGCGCTTATTGTGTATTAGTACGATTTTCCCAAAAGACGTGATTGGTGGATGTGGCGAGTGTCTTTTGTAGAATAAGGAGTAGAATACAATTGCCAATGTGTAGGTCGTCAGCCTGGACCAGCAGGGCAAGGAGCGAGCCTGCCGATGTATATAAGGGCACGCGAGAGAACAGATGGGGGAAAGCGATAGGCACACCATCCACATCCCTTACACTCAGTTGACACTACACGCATATTCCCCCTCAACTTTCCTATCTATTTATTGTATTCTACGCCATCTATTGCAGACCATGCAGCAACTTCACGGACCATACCCCCCACAAAACATGCTCCTCCTAAACCCCTTTGACACAAATATCGACGCAAATGCCTTTGGTACAGCCCTCGACGCAAGCAACTTTAGCGCAGCCCTAGGCACAAGTGCCTTCACCCCGAGCCTGCTAGATATTGGCTCCGCCGTTGGGAAACCGTATGCGGTAAAGCACACCTATACCAGGTCTGTTGACTCAGGCATGTTCACAAACCAAACATATGCAGAATCGTATGACTCGCCCAGTGCCTTTGACTCGCCCACCACCTGCGACGATGACTATGTCTGCGACGAAGACTGCGGCATCAGAGAGCCAACAGAGGTTATCCATGGCAATCCCCCACCAGGCATACTAGTGACCCAGGTCCCCTACGGGTTTCGCCCTGTTCTTCTTGATCTGGCGCGGTGCCCTCGGGACATTATCCGCCGTACACTCCACGAGCAGCACTGCGACAAACGGCCGGGCGTGGCGGTGGATGATGTTAGACATTGCGAATGTGCCCTGCACGAGTTTGATCACCAGCCCGATGTCCTGTTTGGCAAGCGCTTGCATCCAGACGACGATGAATCTTTTGAGGGATCCGCATCAGAGGCTGAGGACAGCGACTCCCATCGTGAGGCGCTGAAGGAGCAAACCAAGATCAGGATTAAGCGCCCGCCCAACTCGTTTATGCTGTACAGACGCTCGCGCCACAATGAGCTGGTCAAGCTGCACCGTGGCGGAAACAAGGTCGTTTCGAAGATGATTGCCGACGAGTGGCATTCCCTCGACAGGGATAAGAAAAGAGCCTTTGAGAAACTGGCGGCTGACAAGAAGCGCGAGCATGAGCTGCTGTATCCCAACTATAAATTCACGCCCAAGCGGGCCAGAAAGTAAATAGATTTGTATGAATAGAACCCGGTCGGTGGTGGTGGTATTTCCCGATCAGCAGATGCCCAGACGCTGCTTGTGTGAACGGACTCCATATTAAATGCATCCCTCGCCACACGGGACGGAGTGTGCATGTTGCAAAGCGTTTGTGTAAACAAGTGCGCCTGGAGGCGCAGCATGGAGAGGCCATTTAGAAGGGACGCTGAAATGAAACTCTAACCAAGGACGAGTGTCTACGTCGTTGCCCGGATCCAACAATCAGTGCGAGACAAATGTGGGTTGCGCCTCGTTCCGTTCCGCCTTGTGTAAGTTCAATCATTCTTGACGTTTTGATTGATGCAAAAAGAAAACCCTCGCCACATGCTACTATTCGCTTGTCTGTCCACCACGCCAGTTCCGAAGCACGACATTGCGACACGGAAGATATCGTTATTTCCTACTGACATGGTCTGGATGTTGGGGAGTGTGCAAAAGGGATAGGTGGAGAGCGAATCGCTTGCCGTGTTCCTGGAATAAGCGTCTAACCAGGAGGGACGTTTAGAAACAACAGTAAGATATAGAGGTGGGAGGCACAAACAGGTAGGCAGGCAGGCAGAATGGGCAGACAATGCGGTCTGGGACTGACGACAAGAAGGCAAGTATCTACCACTATAACTGCCCCTCAGCAGCTTGCAACCCCTCCTATGCACATCTTGGCTGGTTCTGCCCATAGCAAAAAGTCAACACTTGCAACTTTCCTCTTTGCGTCTTTCAGAGTATTGTCTGCACACAATATGAAGGTAATAAGAAAGGATAATGGTGTCTCTATTCCTGATTTGGAAAAACAGACGTATATTGCGGAAAACGAGGGAGGGAGAAGCGCACTCGTATTGCATTGTCTCTGTCCTTGTCGCTTCCATCCGGTACATGGGTGGTTGCTTTCCAGGTGCGTGCTTCACACGCCACTGTCCGGAAATGGCTCGCTGGCACGCCCAGTGTCGCATCTTAATCGATAGGTACTGCTGTCCATTGGATCTTTTGGGAACGTGGGGCCCAAGAATCAGCTGCGGGCAGGCTCGGAGAGGGAAATTGAGAGGATGCAGCAGTGTGCGGGATCTGCTTGTTAATATGGGACCTCATAAGTGCATTACTGCGATGTGGACCTGGAAAGGAAAAAGGAAAAAGAAGTACTGCCCCCATCAGCCTCACATTGTCGGACTTGACAGGTACACTTGACATGTGTCCTTGATACTGTATATCGAGCCGCAAGCGTAACCCAGGAATGAACGCAATTGTGCCCAGATGTTGCGTTTAGCCTTGTTTTCATTTTGATATCGTCGTTTGCTGCTTAACATTTTGTGCCCGCCAACAAAATGCAAGCGCATAGCTTCTGAAAATTAGCCGCGTCAATCGGCTTCAAATATGTATTGTGTATTAGCGCTCGCAAGAAAAATAGATTCATTCCATGTTGCCACCACGTCGTCAGAGACTTTGAAATGGGCAAGAGAATGCCCTTGCCGCTTCTTAGCTGTGGCGCAACGACATGTTTATATCTTCATGGTGGTTTCTTGTTTGCAAAACGAGCCCACGAGAGGCTTGCGCAGCTAGCGGCGGGAATGCAGAAATACCGCGGCCCATGGCCAAGAAAGTAGTGATAAAAGCGTCAGCGATGCATCCCATGCGGTCGCTGGAGCGCGCACAAAGCGCTGTTGCAACTCTGAAATGCCCTGGCGTGCGAGAGTGTGCCCTCCCGATATCATGGCATCTCGGCTTTTGCCCGAAGCTCGAAGTGATTGCAACATGCACAGCCCAAAAATTTCGCTCTGTAATACATTGCGCAGCTAGTGCCTTGATTCTGCGCCGATGCCGCATGCAGCCTGACCAGCACTCTCAGTAGCGGAAGAAATACCGCCCGTGAGGATGAGGGCGAAAGCGAAGGCGAGGGCCAGCAGCGGCGGCGCGGGATGCAGACACACACGCGAGAACAGCACCCTCCACCCTTTTTTCTTCCCACCTGGCGAATCATGGCAGACCAGCTTTTTTTTGGCAGGCGGCTTATTCTTGCAGTTTGGGGGTGGGCTATCGAGGGGGTGGAGCATGCCCGGCTGTTTACACCCCCGGGGATGTTGCGGGAGGGGGCCAGGGAGGCGCAAGTTGCCGGGTCGAGTAAAGGTTTTTCTCTTCACTTTATTTGTATCGGAGCTTTGCCATCCCTTCTAACCACCCCCGCTCGAGAGACAACCTGGAGCCTGAGTGGGCTGGAATCTTTTAAAACCAAATCGCCCGCTCCCCCCTCGTCTCTGCGGTTTGTGTGCAATTTTTCTTGTCTATCACATACCCTTCACAAAGCCTTCTTTTCCTCCTTCTTGCAAAAGAACTTGTTCCTCCTTGGGGTCTGCATTACCACCATCATACCACACCTCTATTCAACTCTAGCCCAACCTGCTTCGCGCATTGGCATAGCCATTATTGAAGAGGACCTCAAAGCTTGACGTGTTCGAAAAGGAACCGACAGACAGGAATATACTGCAAAGCTGGTAAGGCTATTAAAGCACAGACGAGCTTGTATGATTGCCGCAAGCTCTCCTTTCGACACCTTTGTTCATGGTAGAAAATCCCCAATCCTCTGGCTTGTGTCACATCGGCAGCTAATATACCCCCATACATTATCACCTCTCCTATTAATGTAGCCAGAGCCATCGGCGTCTCTACCCGCTCTCAAAAAGAATCACACTGTCGTTTTCCCCTCGCAGTCATATCCCACCGGTGATTAGTTGACTCCCCCTGTTTGACATGGACCACGGCGCAAACTTGTTTACGACAGAAATCGACAACAGCAGCAGCCACCTCCCTTCAATCAACACTGCACCACCCAGCGGCCAATCTCCTATGCACTCGCCGAGCTCTGTTGAGACCCCGTCATCATCGACAACGCCGACCATCTCTGCCACTACGAATAACGCCAGTGCGGCTGATCTTAACTTGAGTATCTCTCAGGCGCAGAGCTTCAACGAGCACTCCATCCCCCAGTACAGCTTGCCACCCGCATCATCCATACAGCAGCCGACCTACACGTCCGCATTTGGTGCAACCCAGCCCCAAACCTCGTGCAGCGGCAACGGATACCACGCTTCGACACAGTACGTGTCTCATGAACAGCAGCCGCCGCTGGCGCCTCTGCAGTTTGGACCCTTGGGAGTGATTAGCCCGCAGCGCAGTCAGACAGCGTTCCCGTACGAGTTTGGGCCGACAGACAGCAGCTGCCGCGGACCCAACGTTTATCATCCAGCCGACATGGATACCGGTAATGCAGGTGGGCAGACGCCCCAGCAGTTGGGCACTGCTGGATACATACGCCATGTAGGTAGTGTGGCGGTGAGCTCGCAGATGCAGCCGCCGCAGATGCAGGCATCGCACAGCCAGCAGTCTATCATGGAGCTGCCCGCATCAACCTCTTCTGGCCTGGAGCATCCGATGCGCACGCAAAGCGACCCCTCGTTTACGCAGACATCCAACCAGCCCATCTTCACAACACTAAACTTCCAGAACTCGCAGCTGCAGGAATACGATAGCTATGCGCGCCCCATCAAGCGTGCGGGCCGGGTGACCAAGCCCAAGCGCACCCCACGGCCACCCAACGCCTTCATCCTGTACCGCAAGGCAAAGCAGGCTGAGGTGATCCGGGACAATCCAGGCGTGTCCAACAAGGATGTGTCGTGTATAATCGGACAGATGTGGAAGGCCGAGGACCCGTCGGTGCAGGACAAGTTCCGCGAGCAGGCCGAGCTCGAAAAGAAGAAGCACAAGGAGCTGCACCCGAACTACAAGTACCAGCCACGCAAGCCCAAGAACAAGCGCATGCAGGAGGCTGCCGCTGCCGCTGCCGCTGCGGCGGCTAGTGTGGGCGGTGCTTTAATGGGAGTGGTTCCTGGCGCCCACGACGTCAACTCATTCATGGGGGCCGGTGTTTCAGCCATGGGCACGGCTAGCCTGCCATCGGCTGCCAAGGACCCATCGTCATCAGGGCAGTTCCAGTACTCAAAGTACCACTTGATGATGAGCTCGGGTCAGCAGCCGCAGACGCCAGGGTCGCAGCACCAGGTGTCTCGTGGCGATGACTACTATTACCGGACACAGGGGGCCCTGGAGGCACAGCACGCATCACACCACGGCGGGTTTGTTAATGTCGGCATGCCGGCCCAGCTGGATATCAAGAATGGCTTTGTCGGCAACCCGAGTGCGGCGTATTGGACGCCCGCCACACCCAGCGACGCCGGTTTCACCAATCCGCTGGCGCCGACCAATGTGTTCCAGCACGGCAGTAACGGCAATGACCACCAGCAGGTGCGCGCCTTTGAATCCATGGCCCAGCACCCAGCCCACGGAGCCCAGTCGTTCCACAGCGCCTCGTTTGACCACCAGGCCGAGTACCACCAGCACCAGCCGCAGGGCCACCACAGCCAGCAGATGGTTAGCTCGTATTCGAGCGGCCTCACATACCAGCAAAGCCAGCAGCAATCCCAAGCGGGTGTCGACAGTCTTGATACCTCTGCCGCCGCCGCAGCAGCCGCTGCCGTTGCGACCGAAGCCCAGGGACTTGGCTTGCTGTCGCCGCCACCAGTAGCCTGGTCATCCAACCTCTAAAATGAAAGCCCCCACCACAATTGTTTCCTTGCAACATTCCATTTCTATGTTAAACTTATTCTGCCTTTTTTGTTTAGTGCATCACCCCTTCAGTAACCTGTTCTTTACTCAATATCATTTATTGCCTTCCGCACTTCCTTGGTGTGTGCTACCTGCGCTTGGCTGCTGGGTTTACTTGGTCTGCCGGCCCTTGTAGTCACGCACCTTGTCCTCGAAGAACTTTTCGAGCTGGCAGGCACATGTCCAGTACCGTGTGCCCTCGCCGTTGTAGTTTTTGCAGTTGACAAAGATCTTGCGCGTGTCGTTCACGAACGCCTCCAGAGTCGGATACTTGTTCATGTCGACATTGTCCTCGAGCGTCTGCAGATCTATGCTTGTAGAAATCTCACGTAGATTAGGGCGAGGTGTAGGTTAGTCACTAGGTCACTCCTGGTTGGTCTGCTTTTGGGCTAAACGGCGCAGTTTACTTACCCATGGGCTCCTTGATGACAACATAGTAGTCGGGGACCTCCTGTGGATCTACTGGTTTCTGGAACGGCCATGCCGAGGGGTGCACTAGGAGCTCGCTCACCACCGTTATCTGCCAGGTGTTCAGCTTGCTGCGCGCCCGCCGCCTATTCATCTCGTCTATCTCTGGCGTCCACCCCGACTCTGCTACAGGTGCGAATTTTTTAACTCAGCGAACAAGAGCAGAAAACACAACAATGGTGATGAAAAAACGTGCTGTGCATGTGGGCCGGCATGATCCTCACCCCGCCCACCCACTCAGCTGCGCAGACAAAAGGCAATCTGCTTCTTAGCAGCAAGGAAGAGAACAAGAGATGGACCGAGCACACGATCACCAGCAAGAATGGAAGTGGGAAGGCGGAATGCCCGTGTTCTTTGTCACCAGCCGTCCCTATTTTTCTGTAAACATCAGGCAACAGCCATGCCCAAGCGCAATTCAGATATGTGGTAAATTGCCATCATGACAAAAAAAAGGACTGGTCATATCCACAACCAGGAGCAGTGGTGGGAAGGCCAATCCCTCGTCCGTGCCATTTTTGAAATGAATGATGTGTACGCCATGGAAGAAGCGGCGATCGGTGCTGCTGAGTCTGACGCCCAAATATGTCCATTAGAGTGGGAGTAATTACTAGGAGCTGCTCTCTGTAGAGCAGAAACAGCACGAGTGTGGGCATGTTTGGGCAGAGCCCAGACACGTATTCTGACGCTCCTTGCAAATCTTCCAGAGCGCGGAGCGAGCGAGAGCAGGCGGTGTGGGCTTGGGAGCCGACCAGTGGATATCGATATCCAGAGGTGCAACTATTCTGCCTGCGCGCTGTCGTCTCTGTCCCAAATGATGCGAGACAAATGAGGGAGCGAATGAAGCGGGGAGCGGCACACGCATGCCCGTGCATCATCTCAAAAGCGAAGCAAAGAAATTCTGACCAATGCCCGATTTTCTTTTCCCGCGAAAAAATGTGCAAGCGAGGATCGACGCCTGTGCAGCAGCGCACCCTCTGGTTGCAAGGAGCAGGGGAAAGGGCAGTATATAACATATAACTGGGCGAAGCTCATGTGTTCTGGTAGTGCCCATGGCATATGCAAAAAATGACAGAATCGATGGGTGAGGCCACCTCTTTTGGAGCAGCAATACGACAGAGGGTTCACCTAGACACAATACGCAATGCATGGCTCATGTGTAGAATTTTTTCCCAAGGGTGGACCAAGGCATACTTCCCTCCCTCTTGCCCAAGAAGACAATGGCTCCAGCAACAGGGCAGTATAGTGTGCGGCCCCCTTTTGATGCTGGCGTGTCGACCTCAGACGGCACAACAGCGCATTGTCCCCGAGGCAAAGAGCGGCAAGACACTCCTGCAGTGCGCTCTATCCTGTATAGGGGATAGCGGGTGGGGCGTGGTGTCAAGCCAAGCCCTGAAACAACAAGACGCTAGCCAGCACGCCACTACTTACCGATTCCCGGAATGGACATTGGGTCTATCCCACTACCACCGTCGTTGAAGCAAGTGAGACCTGGATATACGATTTGCGACCGCGTCTGCGCCCGAATTTTCTCCAGCACCGCCTACAATAAAGTTATTGTTGCAATTACTTCCATTCTGCAGTCTGGGTTATTTGTTGCAAGGGCATGTAAACATTTGCTGGCCGGGTTAACATGGCAAAATGCATATCGCCCAAAGCAGAACCATGGCTGCCTGTCCAATCATGTAGCTCCCCTCCGTACTCTCCCCTTTCTTTGGCTCACGAATATGGCATCTGCAAGTGGCAGAGTGCGAGTGCAGCCTCGTGTACCTTATGCACAGCAAACAGGGACTCAAGGAAGCGCCCGCTCCAGCTGGCAGGGATCGGAGACACTCGGGAGCAGTATCTGCTTTTTTCGCTCACAGCCTTCGGTATTGGGTGGTAAGATTATAGCGATAGGTAACGCCCTGCAACGCACGGCAGACACAATACCGAGAAATTGCGATCTGACAACCCCTATGCGTCTGCGGCAAAAAAACAGGCACCACGGCGCGAACACCACTTTTTTGCCAGCTCCTGGTACATGGCTGATTGGCTGGGGATTTTTTTTCTTCAGCATGCTCCCTCACAATAGCCCTGGGAAGGCAGGGAGTGTGTGCATGCAAGCCTTGCATTCCGGCCAAGGCATAGCCAGAGATGCAAGTGGCCGCATGCCTCATACCCCTGCCATCCGCGCTCGGCACAAGTAGCGATTTTGGGGAAGGTATGCACACCGCTTGCCTCCTCCTACTTCCCGCCCCTCAGCCAGCCCCACCCATGCCCACCTAGCAAATGCGCACTCCATATTGCGCTTACCTCACGCTGCTTGGCCAATATCTCCTTGACCTCCAGGTACTTCACTTTCGGAACCATCGAGCACTACAAAACGCAATTTGCCAAGACGCCGAGTGTCAGTGAGCCGCTGCGGCATTTCGTTTCGAAGTAGCTGCCCGTCTGCACCCCAATTCATAGAATAAAAAGCTTCTTTTGGACAAGGCACATCCACGACATGTATCGCGCATTTGCCCGATCCGTGCCAACTCACAATGCGCCCAAACCCGCATATGCGAATTGCGACAGAGAGGGGTAAGGTAATCGGAAAAGTGCACGTAAGATTAAATGCAGGCTTCACACACGCACAACTATACGTATTGTTGTCCATCATCCCCAGTTGAGGAAGGATACCCCCTCTGTTTGTTCAGAGCACCCTCCCCGTGGCCACCCATTCTATTCATCCGGGCGCCTGCCCTAGCCAAGCAGCTGTGGTTTCGGGGGACAAACAAGCAATATGTGCAATCTCCCGAAATGCACAACCAACTGTCTGTCCGCCTGAAACAACACCTGCTTGTCTGGCATTCCAACTGGACACACCCTTGGGTGCAAAACAGGAATTGGTCAAGGACATGTGACAAGAGATATGCCGGTTTTAAGCAAGCGACCGAGTACATAACAGGATATCTGCCCGCCCTTTCTCAGCCCTTTTCGCACTCCTGTGTAGAGTGTTGGCCACACAATGCAATGTAGACGACACTTACTTGCATCAGCGTTCCGCCCTCATAGTCCTTGATGTACCCCATCCACAGTCGCTTGTCGAGTGTGATTTCCTTGGTGAAACCCTACCACCAAAAACGACAATTCCAGAATTAAAACATCCGCACCAACTAGAACAGCATTGATTTCTGGAATGGCGCATACCTGCTTCTGGAAGTACCCAATCGCATAGTTGTCGGCATACGTCAAAAAGTGCCGAGCACCAGTGTTTGCCATGATATAGTCCTTGAGGTTGTTCATCAGAAACGACCCGTACCCCTAGTTCCACGAAACCACAAGAAGAGCAAGGAAATGGAGAACAGCGCGGTTAGTTTTGTACGATAGAACTCCCCTCGGTGCCACCACTCCCACATGCATAGTGCATGAATCCAATAAGAAACACCCCACTTACCTTCACTTGCTCAGACGACGACACGGCACAAAACACTATCTCAGCAAACTGCCGCTGCTCAAACAGCCGGAACGTGATTCCACCAACCACATGGCTGGCACCCTTGACAATAGCCATGCTCGAGTGGTTGCGATCGTACACCAGCCGCGCAATGTACTCCTTGGGCATCTTTGGCAGCTGCTTCTGGAAAATGTTCTTGAGCCCTGTCAACAGACGCATCGACGAGTCGCATGTGTCGTTGTACACCACCTCAAACCGAATCAGACCCTGACGCTCCTCGACAGCTGCTGTCTTCTCCTCACCCTCCTCGCCTTCCTTTGCAGTGGGCTTTTCGGACTCCGTCACATCAGGCTGAGAGGCATCAGGTTCAAACTCGGACTTTGTCGGCGAGAACTCCTTGATCTCCCCATCGTCGTTGTCGCTGTCTACCGACTCGCTGTGTGATCGCTTCTTAGAATTCAGTGACTTTGACGTGTACCCGTTCAGGTGGCTGCCGTGCTCGGTCTTCACGTGTGCTGTGTCTGCCATTATATATTCCGAAACAAGAAACAGATTTGATGCCTTATTTGCCAGACCGCGCAAATACAGTGCCCAGAATTTCCGATCATGACTGGCATGCATCACGTTAAGGGAGATCAAGTGATCATCCCCAAACCCATCACATGTCGAGCTGGTTCTTGAGGTCCTCCAGCTCGGCGGCCTCGACAAGCGAGATAACCTGCGCAAACCGCTCTGACCCGTTGATCCGCTCACACTCTGCCAGGCTCTGCTTCAGTGCCGTCTTCAGGTTCAGCCGGTGCACCGGATCATTCGCCCTCAGCCGCCTCGACCGCTCGTTCGCAGGCACTATGCTCTCATCGTTGCCGCCATAGTAGTCATCGGGCATATCATCGTCAACGTCTCCAAAGTACATCGAGCTGCCTGTATCCGACATGACCTCGTTCCATAGCGGCACCATCATCGGTAGATGCTTCAGAACGCCATCATTTGTAGTTATGATCGAGACACCCATTGCCAACACATGCAGCCGGCGCTGCGGCACCTGACCGATATCATCGTACAACTTCACCCAGTTCTCTGTGAACTGCCCTAGCAGGACCGCATCCTGCGTAGCCAGAAACTCGCCAAAGAACGTCGGATAATGCACCGCCAGTCGCGACAAGAAGCAGGCTGGGTACACCAGCATCAACGCAACCTTCTTTTGATCCACCACCTGCGAGAATGCATCCCAGAACAGCCCTGAGTCGACGAGCGCCTTGCCAGACAGCTCCACTGGCACGCACTGTACAATCACATTCAGAGCATGGTACCCAGAAGCTACCGCGCGGTCATTGATCCCAGTGTCCGACACGAGCTCCCTTAGCCCCTCCAGGATCGCCAATCCGCTGGTGTGGAATGATGTCGGCCCGTCCAGCAAAAAGTAGCCCTCAATTACCCTCAAGACATGCTTCAGTATTTCGGTTTCTTGGTGCAAAAGGCCAGCTGCATGAGGCAGAAGGCTCAGAAGCGTGCCATTGGCCACCAGCTCCTGCGTATTGCGCACCAGCGCCAGCCACAGGTACATTCCGTCTTCAATCAGGTAGATGTGTGCCGGGTCACTCAGGTTTATACTGTGCTTAACCAGTGGCACAATGAGGTCGTGCAGCGCCGCAGACTGCGACCCCAATGCCTACATATGGATAAAACAAGCCCAGCCAGCGGGCACAATGCCTTGAAATAGTAAATTTGCACTGCATACTCACACATACACACAGTCACGAAGCATCCTGTATACAATACTTACATCGACGAGCTTGGTAATGAGGTCGAGAATCGAGGTCTGATACAAATTCTCGCCTGCTGCACTTTGCCACAGTGGTGGCAGCAGCCGCACAATGGCCTCTGCAAACGGAACAATCTATCAGAAAAAGACCAGCAAGCAGAAAATAAATAAATAGCTGCCCAGGTAAAAATAAAAATAAAAAGTCGGTGTATAGTGGCTTGATACCACTATGCACAATATGCGAGCCGTATATGGCCTAGTATTGTAGCTGCTGCTGCTGCGCCATCACATAAACTAGCACACAGCCCGTAGACATTTGTCCTGTAACTTACCTGTCGCTGCATTCTGCTCACAATGATGCCCAGTAGATTGACAAGGCGCATGCGGCTCTCTGGCATAGTGACATCGCTCAGAACTTCAGTTATTTGCACTATAGTCTGGTCCAGGAACGGCGCAAACCCAGCCGGATTAAAATCCCAGTCGTCAACGCACAGCGCCAGGCTCGACGTCGCTGCCATCCGCACAACCAGCGGCTCACTGCGCCCCGTTAGTCCCAGGAGCGCTGCGTATGCGATGTTGCGGCGCTCATCGGGGAATTTCACGTCGATCCACTTGCCGACCAGCCAGGCAACGCGCCACTTTATCATGCCCAGCGGCGAGTCAAGCGACTGCCGGTGCTCGAGCCAATCGCAAAAGTCGAATGCCTCGTACAGGTCTTTTGCGCAGAGTCCAAGCGCAGCATACAGTCCTTCGCAGCGGACAAGGTTGCTCAAGGTGATCTGCTCGGTCTCGATCGCACGCAGGGCCTGCACCAGAGGCTCAATCAGCAGGCTCTTGTTCTGGCTCACCAGATTAACAAATAGATGCTCGGCGCAGCGGCGTATGTCAAATTCCCAGTGATCCGACTGCTCGTCGTTCGTCCAGGCCTCAGGATCGTCCTGCCATTCCAGCAGGTCGCGGCTTTTGAGCGGGAGATAGTATGTCATTAGCGTCTGGGCCATCTGCTGCACAACCTCGGGCGCAAGGATCTCTCCATCGATGATCTGACGACAGCGCTTTGCGTCTTTGTCCTCTGGGCCATTTTCCTCATAGTTGTAGAAAAAATTCTTGACCACCTCATTGTGCAGGATCAGGCCTTGGACCAGTACCTTCTCGAGCACCACATCCGGCTCAGCATAAAGGTCGTTGCCATTGATGGCAAGCTTTGGTGCCTCGGACACAACCTGCGTCCAGTACCAGCACAAGATGTCCTTGACGCCGTTCATCGTGATAAACGCTACCGCGTGGCTCTTTTGGAAGTCTAGGTACAACTTGCCATACAGCAGAATGATTTTGCGCAGAATCAGCGTCTCGTCTGACTCGCGCTTCTCCGCAGGCAGCCCTTTGAGCAGATCGTAAAACGCTGCCAGGTGCGTCAGCGACGCAAGGTAGAAGTCGATTGCCGTCCTGTCGGTCTCTGCTGGCTTCTCGTATCCGCGCACAAAGAGCCTGCGCAGTATCTTGATGCATAGTCTGATCTCTTTTAGGATAGCTGTGCTCTCCTCGGCATCCCCTGACTGCAGTGCGTTAGTGAACTCGCTGATCCGCTGCGCATAGATTGATGCCACCAGGGCAACAACACCCGGTGTCAACTGCCGCAGTGCCTCGCGCTCCTTCATCAGCATCCGGGCACATAACGTCTTGATGAACAAGTGCAGCGTGTAAAGTACATTCTGCTCTTTGATATGGCGCATCCGTGACTTGGGCTCGCTGGCTATTTGTCGGACGTGTGAAAGCAGCTCGTCGGCAAACTCGGGCCACACCCGCGGGTAGTCCCACCGCGAGATCCGCGAGAGCGTGACGCAGTACTGAATTGCGATCTGAGGCACCTCCTCGTCAAAGAATGACAGCAGTCGAGGCTGGATGAGCTGCTTCTCGGAGAGCTGGATGGGCCTCACGGGTGTCTTGCGCCAGTACTTGTTAATGCCATTCTTCAGCTTGATAACCGCCTGCCAGCGCACCTGCGTAGGAAGCGACCTGTCAGCAAAAACGTCAAACAAAGTGGCATGGAAATTCTCCTGAGACTCCCAGTTGTTCAGATCCTCCTCCGCAGCCGCTATCTGCGCAGGGTCCTGTGACGAAATGCGCTCAAATGCGTGAATCACTGCCTGTCGCGCGTCCATGAGAGTAGGCTGGAGAGAATAAGGAAGCAAAAAATACTTGAATTTAGTCAGGTTGGAGAGAAGAGCAAGCTGGGTGCCAGGTCCCCCAACAAATATCAGCTTCTAGACACTTCACGACCAGGAAAAGCCGCAAAAACTGCCTCCCTCTAAACAGGGCCATCTATGCTTAGAATCAGAGCGATAATGATACATACTGCCCAGATGAAAAATGAGGTATACAAGTATGAGTCTACGTTGAAAGGATGGGAACGGATGGAGCGGATATATGCACACACGGATACGCCTCAAAGCGCTTGATGATAGTAGAGTGGTGAGTTTAGAAAACTGTCATGTCATATTTGCGTAAACGGAAAAATTTTAGATTTCGAAAGAACGGAGAGTTGTGAGGAGTAGTGTTTGTAGAGCTCATAAAATGGATATGGAGTCCTTAGAAGAGCGCAAAAAGCGCAGCAACAGCCATGGCAGACGAGAAAAGCTGCACCGAGACCACAGCGCTAGCAGCGTTCCCGTTAGCTGACGACTTGCCAGACGACGAGGACGAGGAGGACGAGGACGGCGACTTGCTGCTCGAGCCCGAGCCGCTGCTAGTAGCACCATCATTGTTCAGGTCGTCCTTCTGCTTGAGGCACGAGCCCTGGTCCTTCTGCTTCGGGGACTTGACGGTGGTGGTCTTGACGCCATCAATGTCGCACTTCTTGCTCTTGCTGAAGTTCTCGTTAAGAACCCATGCCGAGCGGTGGGCAGAGGAGCAAGCCGAGTAGTCGCCATAGAAGCCCTTGGTGGTGTTGTGGCTCACACCATCGCACGAGGTCTGGCCGCAGATGTAGCCCATGGCATCACCCAGAGAGGTGCCCTCATCCTTGGTGAGGGTGGTGCTAGCAAGGGTGCAGCTCAGAGAATCCATCATGCATGAGCAGCGGGCAGTCGACGGGGTTGGCGGAAGGACATCCGACTTGATGTGCCAGTTGGGACCAAGGGTCGGGCAGGTGCTCTCCTTAGTAGCGGGCTTGTAGTCGCTCATCTTGACACCCTTGGGCTTGGCCGCAGCCAGGGCCTTCTTCAGGTTCTCGTAATCGCCAGTCTTGGTCAGCTTGGAGTCACCGTACGAGACCGACACAATTCCGTAGTCATTATCCTCCTCGGAGTACTCGTACATAATGCCGCCAGAGAAGATGGTGTTCATGTCAGGGCCGTAGAGACTCTTGAGCTCAGGGAACGTGCGGGGGCGAACCTTGTTGCAGCCGAACTCGGTCAGGAGCGAGGGGATCGAGTAATCAGTCATGTTCTTGGTCACATCCTCATAGCCCGACGTCTTGAACGTCGTCTTGTCGCCACACCATCTGTAGATGTTAATGCCATAGAAGTCGGCGCGCGACTTCTCGTCACCGCAGTTGAAGTAATCGATAAGGTTCATACGGATGTTCATGTCATCGTTATCGGCGTAGCCGACTGGAGTAGAATGTCCCTTGGACTTGATGTACGCCTTCATGTCACGGATAGCAGCCTTGACGAATGCCGACGCAGGGGTGGTGTCCTTGTCATTGGTGACCTCGTTACCGGCAATCCAGGCCAGCAGGTTGGAGTACTTGGAGAAGGCATCAACCTTCTTCTTCCACTCGCCCATGATCTCCTCGTCCCAGTACGGGGCTTTACGGTTAATAGCGTACTTGGGCGACGGCATGTCGAGCACCAGATAGATGCCAGCATCCTCCAGCATTTTCATACACTCGTCGTGGTCCTTGCTGTAGTCGACCTCGTACACGCGGATAGAGTTCAGACCCAGCTCTTTGAACACGGCGATGTCACGCTTGCAGCCAATCGGGTCGGCCAGCGGGTCCAAATCGCCGCTCACGCCAGAACGCGGCTGATAGGCAACACCCTTAAAGAAGAACTGCTCGCCAGTCTTTTCGTTAAAGAATTTGCTGCCCTTGATAACGATGTTATCCAGGGCCAGCGTCGGTGCGGCGACCATAGCACCGACACATGCAGCGGCAAGTGCAGAGAATTTCATGATATGCGTTTGTGTAGGTCGGCGTTAGAAAGTGAAAAAGGAGAATGTAGGGGTTTTGAGGGCAAGGAAGAGAAGAGAAAGGGGGAGGAGAAAAACAAAATAAACCTTGGGACTGGCCAGAAAATGAATCGCCGTAAACCTATTTTTATAAACACAGCTAGTGGTCCCTCCCTTGTTCAGAGCGGTTTCCGCGTTTTCCATGTGTGCCCATGCCGATCCATTCTTTCAGAGCTAATGAGCGAATGGAAATCACCTCGAAGATTCTCGCTGGAATGTTTTCTGAGGATTTATTTTTCCAGATCCTCCCAGTGAGAAGCTCAACAAATCGCGTGTCAATTCTCGAACGTCATAGTGCCTCTCGCTGGTTCTTTTTTTTGGCGAGTCCGCCATGTGGTGGGCCAGAGACAAGACACCGTAGTCTCTCTGTCCGTTATTTGTGCACGCACATCTCTTTGAACCCCTACGCGCACTGTGGTCAGTAGCGCTTGGAGTGCGACAAATACGCCCCAAAGGCAAAGAGACATTGAGCACCTTTGCTGCTAAAGACATGGAAAGGAATGTTTCCCACGTGATGGCTTGGGTGTCCGATTGGTGGTCTGGGAGCAGCTCTATTCAGTCCAAACAATGTGACATGCTTCTCCAGAACATCATGCAAGAGCCTTTTTCAGGCAAGGTCAAAACAAATGGGCAGTATACTACGAACAAGAGCAGGGTGCATGAATACGCAGTGTGAGGTGGCAGATAAACATCCTGGCATTTATTAGGCCGATATGCTGCCAACAGACAGAGCGCTTCAGCGAAGTCACCTACAGCGAGAAAGTGCAAGATGGGCAAACCACATGTTGAGTAGTCTAGGCGGGAATCGATAGTTGGGAGATGGCAGCTTGCATGAATGAAGCAGTGAGATCTGACGAAGGTCTAGCTGTGTGAATCGGATATGCTGGTGGAGTGTGATGGATATGGAGTGCATTACAAGAATGCGAATAGCTCCATGTAGGGCCAAGAGAAGAGAGATTGGAAAGGTAAAGGGGAAAGCAATGTGTTTAGCACATGGCTGAGCAGACAATTGGAGGATATCGACGTGGCTATCCTGGTGGTCAAACTGGCTTGAATGTGTTGGCTAGCCATTGTCGAATGTGTCAGCAAGCTACACTGCCAGGTTCTATATTATGCCGGCACTGCCTCTAGTGTATGCTAGAACTACTTGACTGCCGATCCAGCTGGTATGGAAGAGGCCGCTGGGATCGCCACAAGCATGCGTATAGGGCGGAACTATGCAGGACGAATATGTGCACCATCATTGATCAGTCCAGCAGTTACGAGAATAACATGACATGTTAGTAAGAAATCTAGTAGATATAGGCCGAGCCAGGTCTTCCAACAGGTGTGCCTGCCGATGATTCTATACCACTTGGGTGAGCGTCTATCAATCAGACAGACTATCAAGGCAGTATGAAGACTGGACATGATACATGGCAGACCTATTGAGTTGCATATATGCGTTGACTCTGTCGGTTTTAATGGGGCTCGAGTAGAGGTGGAAGGCAGAAGTGGAAGGCGAAAAGCAAACACGAGCTGCCAGATAGAGCAGATAATTTTATATGTATCTAAAGCCGAAAGACCAGAACGGTAGTCGGCTCGGTTGAGCGATCGATTACATTGATTCCGTCCGATTGGCTCAGTTGGCAGAGCGTGAGTCTCATAATCTCAAGGTCGTGAGTTCGAGCCTCACATCGGGCAGTCTTTTTTGCTCCACTGGCGTCTGCTGCTCGCCTACTCTTCCATGCCTGTCCGCAGCACTCCTTTTGGTCTGAAATCCCAGAAGTTGCTGCTTCTGCTTGATGACGCCATGGACATGCCTGCTCTTTTTATGTCTATGTTTTCCAATGCTAACCTTGGGGATGAGCGGTTATCGGGTATACGGAAAAATATCTTTTCAAAAGTATGACTGAGGAGAGAAGCTGATCGTCTGTCTGGGCCTTTGTACGCATTTGTTTCGGCCTTGCCCATGGTGGCGCTGAGGGACTCCGAATATCAACAGAGTATATTGCGATATGCGTCTGCGCGGATTTTATACTGACCTGTTTGTTGGGAGGCACTGAACAACCGTTGTTCCAGGGGCTGGATTCACAGATATCATAGAAACAACCGAAGAATAGATGCTATAGATCGTGATGAAGGTCCTGCTTATACAAGGTACAGGGCTCATGATAATATCCGCGCATAGAAAAGTGTTGGTGTTGGCAGACCTCCAGGGCGTAAACCTGGAGGTTAGAACGTAACTAGCTCACTGACTCGACTTTCTTCAGAGTTCTGAGTGTGGCTTCATGCGGAAAGCTGAAATATAGCAAACGCCATATCTATCTGTGAATAGCACAAGCTGGCTATCATGGTGTGCTTCCATTACATACAATACAGGTAAACAGTGCCATGCAACATGGACACTGCAAAAAGTCCAAAGAAACTGATTTCGCCACTATGATATCGTACGGAGGCAAAATAAAAGGCGAATGAAGCAAAAATTCCATAACGGGGAATCGAACCCCGGCCATCACGGTGAAAGCGTGAGATCCTAACCTCTGGACCATTATGGACTCCTAATCGGCGCCTAGCCAATCCTCAACAAGCGCTTGAGCTAATTCCCAAACACAACTTCTGGAAATCTGGATTTTAATTCGTATATGAGCTTATTATTTACCCTTTGGTGTTTTCCATGAATTTTACCTGCGCAAACTCTGTGGGATCCACGACGATGGCCGTTGAGTGGGCTGCTGCTTAATACAGGGTTATTCACCTATAGTTGGCGTTCCTTGGCGAGTTAAATTACAGGTATGGGCTTTCAGCTGTTATTGGCAGGACGCAGCTGATTTGTTTATACCATTGCGCATACTACTAGGGGGTGTTGCGAGATATAACCATATGTATTTAACGGAAGAGGAAATGTATTCATAAAAAGTTTGTCAACGGATAGTGGGCTCATCAAATACACAGGAAAACGAAAATGCTGCTGTCTTTGGCGTTGTAAGGACCAATCCAAATACAATCACTCACAATATGCGAGCGATGATGAGATCACTAGTCCCGTATTGCCGATCGCGACTCGGAGCCGTGCTAGCACGGCTGGCTCGGACCATGAGGACCGTGCCAGCTCAACGCAATTCGGTTCAGTTAGGCTGCCCGCATTTGTTTTAGTAGGGGTTGTAACATGGATATTCACACCAGTTAGCTCGCAATTTTGCTTGCAAAGGAATCTACACCCGACATTCTTCTGCAAGCTTTATTCACACCCTTCTGAACCTATGAAATAGCTGAGACTAGAATCGATTGTAAACTAGTATGTTGTGCTGCATGACCACATGTCAAAGTGCACCTGTAGCGATGCATCCAGAAAGAAGAAGAATATAAAAATGCTGCGGTTCGTGTGCCTGCCTGGGGGCATTGATTCACACGTGTCAATCAGCCAAAAAAAGTGTATATTTGAGATAGTTTTTAATAAGGTCAGCTTCTGCATGAGTACATAGTTCATACGCTCACCTGAGAACCCGTGCAAACTCCGCTCATAGTGGTCCGTCTGTATAGCACATTTGAAGTCCGAGCGACTGCATATGCATACCGAGGTGGTCCATAATGCAGATCGCGCCACGATTGCTGTCAATTAAAAGGCTCACTGCTTGTGCCAAAGATCAGCTGTCAAGCATCATCTGCCCATCAGAGTACTTTTAACATAACGGCGTGCAAATTCTCCAGCGGAAGCGGCGAAACGCGGATAGAACTATATCGCTGGTACTCTCGAAAAAGCAGCAGAAGCAGCGGCAGCAGTTGAACCTAGGGTCGGCCTTGTCCTCTCCCCTAGTCTCCCCCTTGCTCCATTATAAATTGCGCCTCTCATTGCCAACAATACTCGGAGAAAAACAAAACAGCTTCAGAGTCGCCACCAGTCTCATCCTTGTCCTACCTTGGCTTTCTATCCTTTACTATGCACCTCTTCTCGCCCATCTTCCTCGCCTCTATCTATGCCGCAGCCTCCACCGCTGCTGCATCGCCACTTCTCGGCCAACGGGACTCACCTTCAAACGAGACCAGCACCACGTACAACACTCCTGTTTCGCAGTATAACTTCAACGATGCAGGCTACACCTACTGCCAGGCCAACTACCCTAGCTCCAAGTCGTACAGCCCTCTCCCTAATGCTAGTCTGGAGATGGTACAGGTTGTTGTTCGTCATGGTGACCGCACCTCGTATACTGTCCTGCCTAACGAAAACGAAACATGGACCTGCGACGGAGTTGAGGAGGATACGTACCTTCATGAAACCGACAAGCCTCCAAGAAATACCACAGGGTCGTTCAAGCAGGTCATCGAGATCCCCAAGTGGAATTCCAAGTATGGGTTCTCGAACAAGGTGTGGGCAGGCAGCTGCGATATTGGCGAGCTAACTGATATTGGCAAGTCTCAGCACCGCAAGCTTGGTGGCCAATTGCGCGATATCTACGTCAGGAAAACTCATTTCTTGCCTCCCACACTGACAGACACTAGCTCAGTGTATTTCCGTACGACGCATATCTGGCGCACCAAGAACTCTGGCGAAAGTTTGCTTGGCTCGTTGTATCCTGGAAGAAACACGGATTCGAACGATGCTATTCCTATGCACACATACCCTGAGAGCATTGAGACCATGTACGAAAACACAGCTGCCTGCCCAAAGCTTAATAGCTATGTGTCGCAGATATACGGCTCTGCTACCTTCCAGCAGTTCCTCAAGGACCAAGGACCACTCATGTCGCGGATATCCGGCATTCTTGGGGTTAGTGGCTCTGTATGGACTGCTAGCTGGAGTGGCTATGTGGATGCACTGCTTCCGCGCAAGTGCCACGCCAAGCCTCTCCCTTGCCGCAGTGTAAATGGGACAAAGACCGATGACTGCATCACCGAGGATGATGTTAAGCAGGCAATGCGCAATGGAAGCTTCGAATGGACATACAAGTTCCGCGACCATCCTCTGTCGGGCGAATACATGCGTCTTGCCATCGGCTCTTTCTTGGCAACTCTACGGGACCAGATTCACGACCATGTATCTGGGGCAGCCAAGGCTCCAAAGTTCTCGCTGTATTCTGCTCACGATTCCACCGTCGCAACCATACTCGGTGCACTCAAAGCATCCAACGCTGATATGCTCTGGCCACCGTACGCTTCCAATATGCTGTTTGAGCTGTGGAAGAAAAATGACGGAAACCATGTTGTCCGTATCATCTACAATGGCCACATACTCCAGCTACAAGATGGTTTCAAATGGTGCGATCTCAGCAGCTGTCCGCTTGATAAGTTCAACAAGTACCTGGAAGCACTTATTCCCACCGATGTTGCGGCACAGTGTGCAATCTAGTTTTCTAAGCAACCTTTTATCTTTTACCTATATATAGGATTCTATAGTCTAAAAAATGTGTTGTGCGCCCGCTGCAGCTGTCCCTGACGTCGACATGTAAGCCGAACCAGGTGACAGAAAGCCAGGCGCTAACGAGAGCCCCGCTACAGCCTACAATATGGGGTAGAGTCTAACCTCTGATAAGTTGCACAGACGGCCGTATTGAAAACTCCCCTGCGCAACTCGTCTATTCCCTTTTCTCTCTTTTCTTAAGTATTAAATATAACTTTTAAATCCCCACATATTCAACATACACAACAGTGTGAGTGTGAATAAGAGAATAAATAATTTGTAGTGATATTTAATTATAAGGACAAAGAGAAGCAAAGGTTTTGGATGCGTTGATATTCGGAGTCCCTCAGCGCCACCATGGGCAAGGCCGAAACAAATGCGTACAAAGGCCCAGACAGACGATCAGCTTCTCTCCTCAGTCATACTTTTGAAAAGATATTTTTCCGTATACCCGATAACCGCTCATCCCCAAGGTTAGCATTGGAAAACATAGACATAAAAAGAGCAGGCATGTCCATGGCGTCATCAAGCAGAAGCAGCAACTTCTGGGATTTCAGACCAAAAGGAGTGCTGCGGACAGGCATGGAAGAGTAGGCGAGCAGCAGACGCCAGTGGAGCAAAAAAGACTGCCCGATGTGAGGCTCGAACTCACGACCTTGAGATTATGAGACTCACGCTCTGCCAACTGAGCCAATCGGACGGAATCAATGTAATCGATCGCTCAACCGAGCCGACTACCGTTCTGGTCTTTCGGCTTTAGATACATATAAAATTATCTGCTCTATCTGGCAGCTCGTGTTTGCTTTTCGCCTTCCACTTCTGCCTTCCACCTCTACTCGAGCCCCATTAAAACCGACAGAGTCAACGCATATATGCAACTCAATAGGTCTGCCATGTATCATGTCCAGTCTTCATACTGCCTTGATAGTCTGTCTGATTGATAGACGCTCACCCAAGTGGTATAGAATCATCGGCAGGCACACCTGTTGGAAGACCTGGCTCGGCCTATATCTACTAGATTTCTTACTAACATGTCATGTTATTCTCGTAACTGCTGGACTGATCAATGATGGTGCACATATTCGTCCTGCATAGTTCCGCCCTATACGCATGCTTGTGGCGATCCCAGCGGCCTCTTCCATACCAGCTGGATCGGCAGTCAAGTAGTTCTAGCATACACTAGAGGCAGTGCCGGCATAATATAGAACCTGGCAGTGTAGCTTGCTGACACATTCGACAATGGCTAGCCAACACATTCAAGCCAGTTTGACCACCAGGATAGCCACGTCGATATCCTCCAATTGTCTGCTCAGCCATGTGCTAAACACATTGCTTTCCCCTTTACCTTTCCAATCTCTCTTCTCTTGGCCCTACATGGAGCTATTCGCATTCTTGTAATGCACTCCATATCCATCACACTCCACCAGCATATCCGATTCACACAGCTAGACCTTCGTCAGATCTCACTGCTTCATTCATGCAAGCTGCCATCTCCCAACTATCGATTCCCGCCTAGACTACTCAACATGTGGTTTGCCCATCTTGCACTTTCTTCGCACATCCAATATCAACAAGCATATTTTCACCCTGGTTGTTTCAATCGTCCTCCACGAAGACTATCATTTACCAATAAGCACGTTGTGGTCGGGGGTTGACTATGTCTGCATGAACCCTATCATTAGATGAACCAATCAGCTATAGCTGACGATTCTGGGCGATTATCTGTGAGCATATGCATCAGCTAGTTCCATACAGCCAATGATACAAATGAAAAGATATTCGCTGTTCACCGCTCTGTGCATCCAATAGCATTATCTCTAGAGATGCACAGTGCAATCTACTGAAGACTGAGGTGGTTGGCTGATTGAGTGATTCTATTCTTCATGGCACTACTGCAGCCATATCAATCATCAGTTCATGCAGTATGCGCCGCAGTATTACATGCCTATTTGGCCAATGATTGTGAAGGCAAAGTGTGAGGTATTGCAGCGTTCTAGAAGCACACTGCGGTCTGTGTACCTTTAAGCAGTTGCACAAAAATGCGACATGTTCGGGTCAGGAGTGCAATTGAAAACTGCAGTAACCAAAGTAGCAAACACCCTTCTGATGAATGGGGTGCCACCATTTTTTGTTCAATCATCTGACAACAATAAGTTGCCTGGTCATATCTGCTTGGTGTTTGCAGACTTGCATGCACAATCAGGCATGAATGGGAAAGACTTGAATTCCAAGGCAGATTGTTCAGTGCCTGAACTTGCCTTCCCCCTTGGCCACTTATTAGCGGGGCGTTTTGTTCATTCTTGTGTTGGGTATTGCTTTCTCGAGGTGACTCGACAAGGCAGGGGATGAGGCAGAGGCTGGAGTTGGCCACCTTTCCTCCCTCTTTCGGCATTGCCGCATTGTCCGAAGATTCAGGACTCCAGTGTGGCCAGTCTGAGCCTCAGCCCGGTGCCAGAAACACTGTAGTTTTCACCTATCAATTGTGAAATCTTCTGGGACAGCGTGTTACTGGAGTGTTGGGCAGATTGGTGTGTCCACGGGTGAATCGTAGATTTGTGCAAGGGAAGCTGAAGTTGAAATGAAGGATTTTTCTGGCACGGCGACTAACCGCAGTGGCGCGCTTGATGACGAAATAGTGCATATATGCCAGTGGTCGCTGCACATAGGTTTTGGTAGACAGCGACAGCCGATGTACTGTTGGTAAATGTGCTGTATGTAGTGCCTGATTATCGGCATTCGGAAATTGAAGGCGGCTTGTGAATACCCATGCGTGTGCGGGCAGAAATGCGGTACATCAGCCAAGAAGTAGTGCCCCAAGCATCGCGCCAAGCAGTTAAAAGCCTGCTAACCTGATGAGTGTGCAGTGTCGCTGGGCGCCTTCCCCCCATGGACACCTGCTTGTTGCATCGTCGCTGTAAAAAACGGATGTTACAAAATTCGTCAGCACCGATGATGGTGGGACTTATTCATCGAGTCCCTATTGTTGGGTGGGCCAATCAACGTTTTACGGAATTGTGACGAGCAGGGGGGGTTGTGCTATTGCCAGCGAAAATTTTTTTATCGCCTGTGGGGCCTGCCTCGCCAATCGCCCGTATCCAGCTGGTGAGTAAAAGCGCGCATGCATTTCTCTTTTGTTAGTCAGTGGATGAAGGCCAAACCAGTTTTACTGTATTACCAAAAACGAATCGCACTCATCCGTTTTTTCACTTTCTTGTACAGGAAAACGTGAAGCTGGGGTCATCCACTTCTTTCTTCCACTCAAGCTGTCCTATTATTAAATCTCTCCTTTTCTCTTTCTTGGTTATCGCACTGTTTTGCATTCAGCCATATAATATCTTGAAGCAGGAGACAGAAAATAAACTGGCCGACAGGTTATTCTCGAGTCACTGCCCGCACTTGCTGCTGTCACTTTTTGTACATCATTTCTTTCACACCAACCTCACTTGTCCGACCTTTCTTTTTTCTTCCCATACCCTGTCTCTGCAACCTTTGACGCGACACGCTTGTTCTCTTTTCAACATCTGTTGCGCTATTTTATATTTTGCAAATAGTACTTCAGTTTCAGGGGTAGACCAGAAAAAAGGGCCCTTTTCTGAATTAGAAGCCTTCCGTCTTTCCATACTCTTGCCCAAAAAAAGGAAACCACCACACAGGGATACGCGCGAACACGATGAATGGTAACGGCGAAAGGAAAGCGGGGTATCACCTACCAGGTATTCGGGCTCTGACAAACAACGAGCCTCCACTGAGCTCAGCACGACCTCCGCAGAACATGATGCACTCACAGCACCAGCAGGCACCATATGACTACGGGCAGGATCCCCAGGGAGCACCGCCGCGTGGATATCCTGGGCCGCCACATTACAGTGCACCGCAAACGCCGATGGTGTACCAGCAGCCGGTGCCGGCGTACCAGCAGTGGGAACCGCAGGTGTCATCAGGGTATCAGCAAACAGCAGGGCGGCAGTACCAGGGAGGCACAGAACGTAGTTACGAGCGCGACAGAATGCAGGTTGACACAGGCATGTCACACAGCCAGCCTAAGCCTTATTATTATCAGCAGCAGCAGCAGCAGCAGCCACCACATCCTCGCAGCAACAGTAGTGGATACAGTCAATACCCGCCGCCACCGCCGCCACCCTTGTCATATCCGGCCGGGAATTCGTCCCAGGCACACCCAAGGACAGGAGGCCATGTGCCGGGCGGATTCACAGGGCGGGCTGATCGAATGGACACGTCGCCGACATCACAGTACCCACCGACATACGGACCTCAGTACTACAGCGGCGCACCACACCGGATGTCACCGCACGAGCAGGCACCGCAATATCAGGCAATGTCGGGGCCCGGATACCCAGAGTACGCACAGCACAGCCCAACAGTCATGCAGGAGCCGCGCGGGGCGATGGTGGCAGCGGGTCCAATCAGAGGCAGCGCGCCGCCAGTTCACGGTCCAGCGCCGAGCCACACCACCCAGCAGCACAATTCGCTGGTCCAGCGCCCGCCTGCGCGGCCCCTGCAGCCGCCCGCGCCCCAGCCGCCCGCCAGCCTGCCAGCACACCGCGCTCACGCCCGGATGGGGTCCGGCGGCAGCATCCCGGCAGGGCACTCTGCCAGTCAGCAGCCCGCAGCCCAGCCGGCGGTCCCAGTAGCCCCAGCGGCGTCATCACGTGGCGGGCGACGCGACCGCAGCCGGCAAACGCAGACGCCCGATGGCACGGCAAATCCGGAGCTGGTGGACGATGAGGCGCGGGAAGCCCACGAGGCGCTGATGAAGCGACGTAAGCGCAATGCGCAGAGCGCAGCGCGTCTGCGTGAGCGGCGCAAGAACCGCGAGCAGGAGCTGTTCAGCTCGTGCCAGCGCCTGGAGTCGCAGATCTCGCAGCTCGAGGAGGAGCTGGCGGACGAGAAGCAGCGGGCGATTAAAGATATCAGGAGGCGAGAGGCGGATCCGGCGGCGATTGAGGACAATTTGCAGGCAGGCGGGATCCCCGAGACCAGGCAAGAGAAGACGAATAAGCGGCAGCGCACGGATGACAGCGAGGCTGGCGGGAAGCGCACGCGGCCGATGCGCGAGCTCGACCAGGTGCGGCTGGACGATCTCAGGTCCAAGATTGCCACGCTAGGAAAGCTCAATCAGCAGGTGTGCGTCAATTTAGGTGTCCTCAGGCAGGAGATTCGGCGGATCTCGCAGACGATCATCACGCAGAAGGACGGTCAGCAGTCGGCTACCGCGGCATGATGAAGCAAACAAAAAACCATATTTGAACTTCCCCCTCTTGTAACCATCCCCCCATTACACATTTTTCCGACACTAGTGTCAGCCTAGACATGAAATCCTCTTTTGCTAATTCTAATTTCAGTCCACCCCCCACCATCAAAGACATAAACATGAAAACAAAAACAAGTGGTGCTGTAGAACAGGGATTATCGTGCACATCAAGCCTCATGCAGCTCATTCCTGGGGATGACTGCATGGCCTGGGCTGTTATTGCATCTCTCCCCAAATGAAATGCTGCACTACAGTCGTCCAGTCACTGGCATGAGTCATTTTTCCGCAATGATGACGATCTCATGTAACAGGTCCAGCGAGAATTTTGCATGTGGGGCCGCTAAAAGGGAGCCATTCCAGAACATGCTGTGTCAAACTATTGCGTGCACTTGATGGTATATACACATTTACGAAATGGCGCCACTGGGCTTCCTCCTAATGTCTTTGTTGTTCAGCACTGGTGAATGGTCACAAATGTATACGAACAAAAGCAATACCAGGGGTACTACCGGTGGAGGGGGACAGCAGTAATCAGCCTGACAATACAGCAGTAGACCGACGTAGAGTGTGCCATTAGGCAAGCAATGATGTCAGTGGCCGGCAGTGACAAATGTATGTGTGGCTGCTGCCCGGAACAGAAAAAAAGGGGGTGATAAGAAGTATTAGTTGGTGGCGCTATGTACTGTGGGGGGTTCACTAGGCACTTCTAGCAGCAAGGGCGGGGTGTGGTATTGAGTTGGCCGGTAGTTCCAGTTGCGAGGTAGTCGCTCATAACGCCTTAAGGAGGAGAGTGTCGACAGGCTGTGAGACTCGGGAAATGGGGAGTCAGAAACCACATGTGCCATAACCCACGCGGATACTGCATAATGATGGATGGCAGGCTAGTCGGGGGGTTTCTGGCACCACTGCCATGTAACTCGGACCCTCATTTTTAAAAGCCATGGCCCTGGACGATAAACGCCGCCTAACCGACAAGCTACAGCAACAGCGCGCCCGCGAGCACACGGAAACCGAGTCGAAGCGGCGACGGATCATGCTCGACAACACGGTGAAGCACAGCTCGGAGCGGTTCGTCGCGCAGGAAAACTCAGTGGAAAGCAAGCTGAAGCTGTCGACGGTCGGACTAGTGAAGCTCGAGGAATTCCAGCGCATCAAGGGCGCATTGGAGGAGGAGCGGCAGCGCAAGGCCGCCAACACCCTGGTGGATAGCGAGGCAGCCAGGCCCAAAAAGCAAAAGAAAAAGAAGATTGCGAAGCTGTCGTTTGGCGACGACTCGGAGGAGGAGGAGGAGGTAAGGAAGAAGGTGGTGAAGAATCCGGCAGTGGACACGAGCTTTCTGCCGGACGCTGAGCGCGATGCGGCGGATGCGCAGGCGCGCGAGCAGCTGAGGCAAAAGTGGCTTTTGGAGCAGGAGAAGATCAAGGACGAGCCGGTGCTGATCACGTACAGTTACTGGGACGGCACCGGGCACCGGTTCCAGGTGTTATGTCGCAAGGGCGACACGATCCGGCAGTTCCTGGACAAGTGCCGGGGGCAGGTCAAGGAGCTGCAGCATACGAGCGCCGACGCGCTGGTGTATGTCAAGGAGGATCTGATCATCCCGCACCGCTACACGTTCTACGACTTTATTGTGAACAAGGCGCGGGGCAAGTCGGGCCCGCTGTTCAACTTTGACGTGCATGAGGATGTACGGCTGGCGAGCGATGCGCGGGTGGAGCGCGGTGACTCGCATGCGGGCAAGGTGTGCGAGCGCGCGTGGTACGAGCGCAACAAGCACATCTTCCCGGCCAACCGGTGGGAGATGTACGATCCGGAGCGGGACTACGGCACATACACAGTCAAGGACACAAGGCGGCGGTGAAAGGGGAGTGTATTTTGGAAATAAAAAAGATTAAGTCTCCATGGCCTCGGGCTTGTCGGCGACAGGGCCGGTCCACTGGTGCATAGCGGCGGGAGTCTGGGTGTGCTCGGCCCAGATGTCGGTGTTCCACTTGGGGAACACGCGCTTGTACAGGTTCATGCATACGGTGTCCATCTGCGTGACCGGGCCGTCGAAGATACACTTCATGTAGCCGTGGGTACCCAGGCTCTCGGCGATGTGGCCCGTGCGGCCGTACTTTGTGTGCAGCTGCACCGGCTTGAACCACGCAATGTCCTCGGGGCTGAAGAACATGTACCGCACGACTGCTCCGCGCTTGTGGATCTTGTACGGTGCGCCGGTCAGCACAATGCGCTTGGCCAGGATGCGCGCCGGGTTGATCTCCAGCGACGTGCCGGTGCCGACCAGCGTGGGCAGCGGCGAGTCGTCGGCGGGCTCCGGAAGGTACAGCGAGATCGGCGACGCGCCGAACTGGATCGGTGCAAACACCGTGGCCACGGTGACGCGGCCGTGCTGCAGGAAGCGCTCGAACTTGTGGACGTTGTTGGTGCCGGGGCCGCCGCGCGTGTGCTGGCTGAACAGCGGGCGCACCGAGTACCGGCGGAAGCCGCAGTGCAGCACCAGCGGGTCCTTGGAGCGCACCGGCGCCGTGTACTCGTCGTTGCGCGTGACGGTGAAATGCATGACCGACATCTGGTGCTCGTACTGCAGCAGCCCAAACACCACAAACGGCCGCGTGGGCGAGAACTGCGCGGCGGCTGCGCGTGGCACCTGGCGCAGAATCACACGCACATGCATGCCGGCCTTGGCGGGTGCGTCGTCGGTCTGGCGGACCACGCGCTGCTGCGTGTGCCGCGGGTTCTCAAACTGGAAGATCCGCGCGTAGTCCAGCGGCAGGTTCTCGTATGGGTCCCACGGCGACGTGCGGAAGCTCTGCAGCCCGCGGTACCGCGCGAACCGCTCACGTGCTGCCATGTCGCGGGGCGTGTCGACCTCGTCGGGGAACTGCAGGTCGTCGCGGTTCTCAGCCGCCCGGCTCTTCAGGTACTCGCGCAGCTGCCGCTCCTCCTCCTCCGGCGACAGCGCCTCCTCCTCGTCGTCATCGTCCTCCTCCTGGGCCTCCTCAATCGGGTTGCCGTGCTGGTCGATGCGGATCTCCTCGTACTCCTCGCCCTCGCCGGCCTCGAACGGGTCGATCTCGGACCCAGATTCGTCCGACTCGTCGTCATCCATGCTCGAGTCCGAGCCGCTGTCCGATTCGTCGTCCTCATCGAGCTCGTCGGCGATCCACGCGGCCTGGTACGTCGACGTGCCCTTGGGCACGCGGATCACCCGCTCGGCCTGCATGCGGGCCTCCTCCTCCTCCATCTGCTGCATCTGCTCCTTCCACCCGGCCATCTCGTCGTCCTCGGGCCACGTCTGCTCGTTGTTGAGCTGGTCCGGCTCATTGGCTGCCACCAGCGAGTCCTGCAGCTCGGGATTCGGCTCGTCGAGCAATGTGGGCTCGCTGTCCTCGTCAATAGCGTTGGCCTTGGCTGCCTCCTGCGCGACCGGCACATTGTAGATCTGGTCGATCTGGAAGTCGCCAAAGTTCGGAATGTGTACGAGCCGGTTCGCCGACAGGTTGGCGCCGCGCAGGTAGCCGGTGACGGCGAGCCGGCCGGTCTCCGAGTCCTCAGGGCTCGGCTCGAACTCGACATTTTCAGCCAGCATGTAGGGGCGGATCTCGCGCCACTTGATACGTCTTGGCACCTGGGACGTCAGAATGCGCAGAATGGCCAGGGCCTCGGTGTCTGACTCGGTCGCATACATCTTGTCGGCCTCAGGGAAGAAGTGGCCCATGAAGCTCTGCAGCGACTTCTTGACGTCGTTGCGGCGCTTCGCCGGCACTGCCTCCAGATACTGCACCACCGGGAACACCGACGGATGGCCCTGGTTCTGGATGGCCGCCAGGCACTGCTCGCCAAACGCGTCGACCTCGACCTCAGCCGACACAACCGTGATCATGTAATCCGCCACCTTGCACACATCGATGATGTCCAGCAGGTTGCGCTGCACCTCGACAAACTGCACTGTCTGCTTGAACCGCTCGACATTCAGCACGTGCCGGGTCGCCGCCATGTCGCTAGTCTCGCCGATGCTCTGGTGCAGCTGCGCAACCACTGCGTTTGTACGTACGTCGGGGCAGAGCGGAATCACCGCTACGATCTTGGGCGCCCGGTGCCGCCCGCTGAAAATCCGCGTGCTCATCAGCAGCTGCTCGCGCTTCTTGCGCTGCTCCGTCCGCACTGCGTTGCGCCGGTCCAGCCGCGTGTGCTTGCGCTGCACCTTGCCCTTGATTGATGCCCGCTGCGTCTTGCCCTTGGCCTTGTCCCGCTGCTGGTTCTTTGTTGCATGCCGCCGCTTGAACGCCTTGTGCTTCTGCTTGAGCGACGCCCGGTGGTGGAACGCTTTCTCGACCATTTCTGTATATAGTTGCTTTTTTTTTTTCTAGTAAGAGAGCTCGGAAAGAAGTTGCTGTCTGACCTGTATTTCTTGCCAGTCCCCCGATCTATGGTCTAGGGGCAAAATTTTTTTATTTTATTATATTTTTCTGCTGATCAGGTTAAGCCGTCCTGGATCAAATATTTCGCGCCCGATTTTTTTTAGCTCTTTTGCAAAATCCTTCTTTGCTAGCTTTTCTTCAGCTCGCCGCTGTCTCATTCTTATTTTTATTCACATTACACATTTCTGCCCACAGAACCAACCATGCCCAAGGACAAAGGAGGTAAGCCAGGAAAATAAAAGCAGCAGCTTGCTCGCTGCCATTATCTCCACACCCACCAGAGACACTGCAACCTGACTTGACCCGTGCTTTTAGACTCATCGGACGAAGCCCCGCAGAAGCTCGAGCCGATCAGCGCATTGACCATTCCCGCAGAAGAGATGAAGAAGGCGCTGGAGTTCAAGCCTGAGCACATGGCGGCGCCGCTGCTGGAGGAGTCGAGTTTTGCAACGCTGTTTCCCAAGTACCGCGAAAAGTACCTGCGCGAGATGTGGCCGCTGGTGACGAAGGCGCTAGACAAGCAGGGGATCGGGTGCCAGCTGGACCTGGTGGAGGGCAGCATGACAGTGCGGACGACGCGCAAGACCTGGGACCCATATGTCATTATGAAGGCGCGCGATCTGATCAAGCTCTTGGCGCGCAGCGTGCCGTTCCCGCAGGCAGTGAAGATCCTGGATGACGAGATGGCCTGCGATATCATCAAGATCGGCAACCTGGTGCACAACAAGGAGCGGTTTGTGAAGCGCCGCCAGCGCCTGCTGGGGCCGAGCGGCAACACGCTGAAGGCGATTGAGCTTTTGACCGAGTGCTACGTGATGATCCAGGGCGCCACTGTCTCGGCAATGGGCCCGTTCCGCGGCCTGAAGGAGGTGCGCCGCATTGTCGAGGACTGCATGAAGAACGTGCACCCGATCTACCATATCAAGGAGCTGATGATCCGCCGCGAGCTGGCCAAGGACCCGAAGCTGGCGAACGAGTCGTGGGACCGTTTCCTGCCACGCTTCAAGAAGCGCAATGTGAAGCAGAAGAAGCCAAAGACCGCCACGAAGAAGAAGAAGGAGCTGTTCCCGCCCGCTCCCACCCCGAGCAAGATCGACCTGCAGCTCGAGAGCGGCGAGTACTTCTTGAAGGAGGACGAGAAGAAGGCCCGCGAGGAGGAGAAGCGCCGCAAGTCTGAGCTGGAGCACCGCATGAAGAAGGAGGCCGAGCGCGAAAAGGCCTTTGTTGCGCCCAAGGAAAAGGAGGCCAAGAAGCACAAGGAGAGCAAGAGCCAGAAGGCCAAGGAGGAGAAGAAGAAGCTGGAGGACCTGAAGAACAAGTTCAAGGCCAAGGCCGAGAGCCGGGGGGCCGAGAAGCGGGCCGCCACGACTGCCGATCTGTCATCGTACGTCGTCACCAAAAAGTCAAAGAAGTCCAAATAAATTTTCCTTCTCATGTCCCTCCAACAAAAAAATGCTACACGGTCTTGTATGTCGCCCGACTCGACGCTGCCACGCCCATGGCAAACGCCGAATTGCGCAGCACCTGGAACCGCGCCTCGCCCGTGCCCGCCATCTTGAACGTCGCAACCGTCAGCGCCTGCCACACGCCCCGGTGGTCGTCGAACGGAACCCGGATGATCGCCGTGGTGCCGTCAAATTTCAGAATGTCAATAGGCGTGCCGCCGCCGCTTGCCCCCAGCCATTGGTTCAGTGTTGTGGCCAGGTGGCTCCGGAGCTGCACCATGTCGATGGGGGGCCCCGGTTGCGCCGATTCTGTCACCAGTACGATCTGGAAATAGTAGAATGGCTGCTGCGAAATTGTCGTCTTAAATGTCGCTGGGGTACGTGTGTCGACTTCCATTTTGTGATGTAAATATTGCTGTGTATTGCGGACTATGCTGGAGAAATGGATTTTTTAACTGATTTCAGCAATGTACCTTTGGCAAAGAGCTCGATAGAAATGGGTTTTTGATTTGGCACGGCATGCTAAATTATAATGTCTGACACAAGGCGATACCCATGGATGAATCTAGTGCGCTGAATCTCCACGCGTTATGAATGCTATGGCAGAGCAGCACCGATCTCGATCATTAACATGGCCAGCCAGCTGCTGGACCTGTGTGGCTGAGTATCACTGTGCAATGCGGGTGATCATTTATTATATTTCACTGGGCCAGAGAACAGATCGTTCTTACAGCCATCCAGCGGCGAAACATGTAAAATGCCTTGGCAGAAGCGTGTTGTCTTCTTTCTTTCTTTCCTCCATTGCCTCTATATCTTTCTTCACATACCTGATTCTTTAATACCATTGGCTAACCACCAGTTCACCGCAGAAGAGTTTTTGGATATATTTTCTTGCTCTTCCAGTCTCACCGAAGAGCAGAGGGCTATGATAAAGCGTGGGGGTCTCTGCTCTTTATTTCAGATAGGCCAAAATCACTTCCGTAGGGTTGTTCCGGCCGCCCTTTCCTTCGATCTGGATCAATTTGAACTGATGATGGCTCTATACCGACTAGCGCAGACTGGACCCGCTGTTTCTCATGGCACTAAAGATGGTGCTGGCACCACTTTCCACAAACTCAGGGAGAATCAAAATCGCACAGCAACCACTGGTAACACCAAACTACGTAGCTTTAACTCTACCACATATCGGTGATGCTGCAAATGAAAAGTATGCTACAAATACTTGATCTCAGCAACCATTCACAAATAGGGCATGCAGATACGGCAGCCTGCTGGTTTGCGGATCAGCAAGCATGCCCCTATGGCACTCCCAGATACCCATGCCATATATAAGGCAATGGGCGAAATGGTGCTTGCTGAGTGTCAGGAAAAAGCATTGGATGAGCTCTTCCATGATGTTGGTCTAGAGTTTCTGAGAGCAAGGCTTTGCGACAATGTAGTTGATATTACCAATATGGATAAGGTCTTTCCCTATGAGAAATATGTACAATAGTCCTGGAAGCAAGAGAATGCCAAAGTCTTTGCTGGCAATCCTGCGATTGAAGGCAATATTGCTTGGCTTGATATATGGGCTGTGTTCGAATTTGAGTGAGCAGGCATTGGCTGCTATGACTCTGCAGTGACTGGCAAGCTTGCAAGTCACCCCATGCCTATGTGGGAGAGCCAGCCGCGTAGCTGTATATTTGGAGTGACTGCCGTTAACGGAATGCTCATGCTTGTGCTCAATACGCAAGACTGCATTTGGTACCGGGATATCTGCATGCTTCCATTCATTGATAACCAACAGCCAAAGCTTCTGAGTTGTGATGAGTTCAAGAAAAGTGGTCCTGATCTGCACACTGGTAGTTTCAGGGATGGTGCAGCATACTCACTACATTGATGACCACATCATTCAGCGACTTCGGTATTATTGTGTCTCAAGTGCGTGGACTATTCCAGCCCATCTACCAGCCTCACATTGGTGTTATACCTTCTCATGGGCTGTACCAAACCCAGCTGCAGTTTGGACGATATCTCCGCTTGGCTCTCCAGCCGGGATGCTGCATGCAAGATTCCGGTTCTTGAGGATGCAGGTGGAACAATTGAAGAGTGCATGCACCAGATTGTGGACAGCACAGAGGTGCACTTGAAACTATCTACAGGCTACCTGGGTCTAATAATACACAGAAAGATGCGCTTATGGAGCGGTTGCAAGGCCTGGATACCCCAAATGAGCAGCTGCTGTGTGGCCACATAGCATGGCTTAAGAACGGGGTGTCATTTAGCAAGCCAATTCCTGCCCAATCCTTGCCACTGTGGAGGGAGATGCTAGCTGCACTGTATAGCCTCTTGTTTTCTACATACAAGCCAGTGTGGACATTATTCGACTGGATATCGTATGATCCGTGAATGTCTGATTTGTCGCTCCCGGTGTGACTTGACGCGTTCAGTGAGCTTCTCGAAAGTGTCCCACACAGAGCCCAGTTTGGGTAGTTTCCGGGCTTTCTGCATGGAGTTCTGCCAGGAGAACCCCGATGGTTCCGATGGTTCTGATGGTTCCGAGTGATCTTACTGATGGCGAATAACAACGTGGCGGGGCCAAATACCACACCACCAATCAGCTTACACGAAAATGTTACACGTAGCGTCACCTAATCAATGTTCCTAATACATGCATCAGCCATATTAAAATAGCAAGTGCATCCCCTTGAGAAGACATAGTGTCCTTTGTAGAGTGAGTAGCTCATCTGTTGGGGGGAGATGCTATGTCCGCAATGTTTGAGCAAGTACAGGTGGATTCGCTTGTGGTCTGTACCACGTTCCTGAAGCTAGCTTGGCCGATAGCTCCTGGAGTGCTGTCGGAATCGCAACAAGGTCAACTGGCATACGCCTAGCAGAGATGAAATCCAGAGAAGCAGTGCCAGGCACACTGTCAGTTTTAGATAGTAGGTCGGTATTCCTGACTTGATATAGCTTCACGGCTGGGTAGAAGAAGTGGCAAGATAAACAATATTTTTTAAACAAGTCGAACGTGGGGGAAGAAAACCAAACAATAATATAACTCGATCTCGAAGAGGGGGTGTGTACGAGGGCTAGAAGCAAATAAATAAGGCGCCGACGAAGGAGAATACCGTGCAGCAAGAGTGAGCGAGCGAGCGAACGAGCGAACGAGAGAAAGACAAGCAGGTATAAACATAGTACATTCACTCCGAACTCCTTGTCGATGCACTCCGGTCAACGATAGCGGTGGCCTTCTCTGGTACATGCAGGTGAGCCGAGGCAACAGCCGATTCGGCCTTTGCCTTCTGCTGCAGCCCTATAAGAATATTCTCACCGTTGGGCAGCGAGCGGATGATCTCCTGCATGTACATGGCTTCGCGCTTGAGCTGGTCGTTGTTGCGGCGAAGGTAGTAGATGTACTCTGTAGCCTTGCCGAGGATGGTGGCCTTGTTGAGCTTGGTCGCGGCTTCAACGCCATCGATATGTGTGTCATCCTCATCATCAGAGTTGTCGTCGTCGTGTGCACCAGCCTTCTTCTTGGGCCGGATGTGCTGCAGTGCAGGCACCGAGTTGCGCAGGTCGCGAATCCGGTCGTTGATGTTGTTACGATACCGGCGCTCGATTGCATTGTGGGCTACCTTGCGCTGGTGGTGGGTGGGCACAGAGCCGTCAGGGAGCGTGGACTGGACGGGCAGCGACGTAGAGGTGGGAGTGGATTTTAGGCGGCTAATTGGGATTTTGGCGCTCGGAGTGTGGGCGTTTGCCATGGGCTGGAAGGCACCGGGGCGTGGTACCTGCGACAAGGTACCTGGGTGGTATGAGGCGATACGCTGGATGCCGATGCTGGACGGAATCGGCATGGGGCTAGTGTCTCCGTCATGTAGGGAGGTCTGGCCATACGAGATCGGCATGCTGACGCGCTTGCTGAGTGGCACACCGACCGGGAACGACGGCAGCCCGGCTTCCTCGCACGTGCGCTTGCCAAGTAGGCCCGCGGACGACTGCGGGTTCATCATGTCGCGCGCGCCAGGCGGCAGCAGGAAGTTGCCGCTGGACGTGGCTGGGGGGTTCAGGCCGAAGCTGCTGGAGCTGTACGAGCTGGGCTGCGGCGCCGTGAACATGGTGTTCAACGATGATGTGTTGAAGCCGGAGAACGAGTGGCTCATGGGCGAGCCGATGTCGGTGGTGGTGTTGAGCAGCGGGCTGTGGCCCTGCATGCTGACAATCGGCGACAGCAGCGGCGTTGTGGCCATGCCGCTGGCAGCGTGTGTTGCTGAGAGGCCGGCGGCAGCAGCTGCTGCCAGTGCGGCGTCGCTTGGCGGCAGGTCGCCAAATTGCGGAGGCTGCAGCGACTGCGAGGGTGTTACACCGATCGACGCGATTTCCAATGGTACCTGTGCCTCCACCGGGTAGCCTGCCGCAGAGGATGCGAGGAAAGCTGCCATGGTCTGCCCGTTGACGTTGACATCGATCATCGCCTGCACTGCCGGGTCGGCGCCGGTGGTCGACGATAAAAAGTTGCTCAGCGCGTCAATATCGCTGGATGGCGTTTGCTGTATTGCTGTCGTGTCTGGGTCGCTCATTACTGGCCCTTGGAACATTGTCTGCGACTGGTGAGCGTCCATATGTCTGTGTTTGGCTGTGTATCTCAGATGCAGCTTGGGTCGGCAGGTGAGTTAATGGGTGCGGATCAGAACTTGGAGCAAGTAGAAACAAGAGCAAATCCGGCTAATTGTATGTCAAGGAGGGGGGATTGTATAATAAGCAGGAGGGGCGTCGCCTTTACAATGGTGTCGCCTCTGAAAACAAGGTGCTTTGGTAAGAGCAGGGAAAAACCTTGAAAGTGAAATGTCGGTAAGGATAGAGGCAAAAAGTGGAAAAGAGAAGTGAAGCTGCTGGAAGGAAGCGGTTGTGAGGAAGTGAGTGGAAAAAGGAGCCTGGCACCAGAGTGAACACAAGCGATCGGCTTTATACTCCTCAAGCAGCCCGGGCACTTTCCGTGCAGGCTTGGGTCTTTCCCAGCACCACCCCGGTGATCTCCTCCTTCCATGCTTTCACGGGCAAAGCCCGAAAGGGGGCTTTGCTGTATTCCGAGCGCAGTGGGGAAGAATTGCCAATTGCCAACTGCCAATTGCCAAACAGCCTTGCTGCCCCTGCCAGTGGTATCTGGAGAGGCGTGCTTTGGCTCGGCTTCTCAGCACAAGAAAGTTCGCTGCGCTGCTCCAGCAACATTCGAAGAATTAATTCCCGTTCAAGCACAAACCGTCTATTCACAGCAGCGACCCGATGAATAAAGAGCGAGTAAATTCTTGCGGGAATGGGGTGGCAGCGACAAGCCAAAATAGAGGACCACTGAGGCAACCAGCACACACCCCACTGACTCTCCATACTTGGCGTTACACCAGTACAACATCCATTCATAAGCAGTGCTGCTTTTTTGGGCTAGAACCCAAACGGATCCAGCTCGCATTGGCCCTCGCCTGGGAGCTGTGTGCAGGGAGTTCGCTCTCTGTAATTTTTGTTCCCGCCGATGTTTGTTTTTCAGGCGCAGGAATTTGTGCCTTCTCCGAAGGAAGCTCCTCCACATGCATTTTCATGTTGACCTTTCCGTGGCTGTATGCGCCCGCGGGAACCAGACCCGCAGCCCTGCAATAAGAGCACCCCCCGCCGCTACTAGACATGGCACACTGCCGGCTCCGTGTTGGCAGAGATGCTTATGCATGCCTCTCGGATCGGTTGTGCTGGGGCCTAAAGAAAGCAGTCTGGCCAGGCAATTGCCACCAACAATGTGGTCCTCTGCTGCCTAGGGCTTGGCAGCAGGCGCGGGAGACTCCTCCCTGCAACCCGATAGGCAGCGCTGGTCTGAGCTGGTTGCCGAGCAGCAATTATCTGTACCCGGCATAATGCCTCGATTGGGAAAAAGTGCTGCGCGCATGTGCGGCGAAATTCAGCGGATGGATCTAGGAGCATCTTTTTTTATCATTTTTGAATTTCGGACAGACGGCCGATATTCAAAACATTTTCTGCCTCTGATTTCGTGGAAGATTATGCCAAGGCCTGCCCCAGCCTACAAGACAGCATGTCCGTCTGTTGCTCGGGATTTCGTCATCCGGATGCAGAGACCAAAACATGGCCTCCGTCCCCTTGGGCACCCGACACTGCTCGGCCGATTTTCGGACGTGCCCAAGGCATTGTTCTCAACATCCTGCAAATCACATACCTGCAAATTTTCGATCGGTCCGCTGTGGATCCGAGTCTCAACTTTCGCTGTCCGGAGCGTGTAGCATCCGAAGCCCCTTGATGACCAATCCTGTGGAACTGAGGAGAGAGTTGTAGCTCCACAGCCAGGGGCTGCCGGGTGGGGCTCCGTGGAGAACATTTCCGTATTCTACCGCGGCCAGGGGCTACGGGTGGGGACGGATTCAGCCAGACACGTCGGTGTAACTAGCAGCATTAGCCATCACTGGCCATTTGGCATATGCCTCTGCATCCTATGTTACCAGTCAGTTACCACGCACACACACACACACACACACACACACACACACACACACACACACACACACCCACCCACCCACAGCCAGTGTTGGGCGGTGAGTGATCGACAGCTCGGCCATGCAGAGGTGGGCCAATCGGTTCTACACAGGCTGAGGGATTGGAAAAGTTTGTCTAATTCCCGAATAATCGTGGTTATTTTTAAGAAGGAGCAGATGCTAGAGCTGCAGTGGCCAGAGGTGTCATCGTGACCTGCACTGACGCAGAGAGAAGGATTGTGCTGCCTTGTCAAGATAGCACAGGCCCACAGCCTGCTTCAGCTAGGAGGTGAGCAGATGGCTCAGGAGCACCTCCCCACGTACCAAAACCACGCCGGACAGGCATTGAACGAATGGCAGACCCCACGCCGGCATTGCTCCCGGTTCCTCGCTCCCTGCAATTCCACACCTTCTGTCCCAGGAGCGTGTGCGTCTAATTGCCATTTATCACAGCCTCGCGAGTCTCCAGGTCATCCTCAAACATGAAAACGTTGGTGGGAATGTCCTTGAAGTTGGCAAACGGGCTCATTGCGATAAAGTACAAGGGGGTTTGAAGTGGAAGGTGCGTATCTTGCGTATGTACAAGAATAGAGAAAAATTATAAGGAGCAAAAGGCTATTTTAAGCGTCCTAGATTACCATGGTCAGAAAAGAAGGAAAGGCTTGCGACTCGGGAGGGGACATGTCAATACTTTTATATATCCTGTGGCGAAGCGGTTGAAAATCACAACTCGTCACCTGCATTGCCGTGCGCTGTTTTTTTCTTTTTCGCAGAGGCAAAAGTGACACCGACATGACACTCTCTGCGACACTTGCCACGGGGGCTCTGCATGCTAACCTTATCTCTGCCAGATTTCATGCTTCTGTGCCGTTTCTGTTTTGCATTTGAACCAAGTGTGCAGAAAAACCGGCGCCAAATGAATTTTTGCTATGGCTGTGCTGTGAAAAAAAGGCTGCAAAATAATGCCTGCTGCCTGCCCCACGCTGCACGCTGCGCATTCACTGCAGAAAAGCATGACCCGCATCTTACAATCGCATCTGGTGCAACAAGAGGGCTTGCCTGACACCGGGGCTCAATGTACTCTGGCTTCGGGCTCGCTCCCAGCCACCGACCTGGAGCAAAAGACTGCCAAAGTAGGGAGGCTCAGGCGTAGCCACAGCTTTCTGAAAACAACGTGCGCTGTGAATGGTAGCAAAGGGAGCGCAGCGAAAGAATAGCTAAGAGGAGGGACCATTATTCGCGGTCATACACAGTACCAGCCGCCGAACAAACCGTGGCCTCAATCACCATCGGGGAGGGGGGACACTGCGACGGAGGTTAAAAAAGTCACAGCGCGCCTCTATCCCTCATAATATAGACGTCTCTACTTGTCTTGGCTGGAGTCACACCTATGCATGCCATACATCCCTCACCGCTCAGCGAGGAATCTTTGGCTGCTCTAATTTTGGCTCTCCGCGGATGACCCAGGCCGCTTGACTTGCCCAGCCAATGCCCACATAAATCCGCAGTGGAAAAAGTGCTGGAAATCACCAGCATGACGTACGACATGCGCATCGCACATTTGCCGATGGCCTTAATTCGCCGGGATGGGATATTTATACACAGCTACATGTGAAAGGCGGACAAGCTGTGTCGTGTCCCACTGTTTTAGCGTTGTCCTGGCTCCCACCCTCTTCGCAAGCTGGTTTTCCATGCACATTATCTGGCTCCAAATGAAGTAGTTGCTTGGTTGTCTCGTGCTCACATGGGCACTGGACGCACAAAGAGCAAGCGGTTGTGCAACAGCTAGGGTGATCATGGGAGAGCAGGTGGCGTGCTTGGGTGGCGTACGCTTGGTGCTAATAGAGTGCCAACTGCTTTTCCAGTACTGCTAAACTGTCTAATCACCCAGCACACTGACAGACTGTGACGTTTCTAACAACAAAACATATATTGGAATTGAGATGCTCGTACTGTGGAAACCTAATCTAGACGGTGCTTGACCCACATGCCACGTGCAAACTGGTCGACCTTGCGAGCAGGCTTGCCAATCTCAAAGTCGGCACTGAACAGCTCCTTTTTGGCATTGGGTCGGAACTCTGCCATCAGCAGCCAGCCACTGCGCACATAGTCAGTACCAGCTGAGTTACCGTCACCAGTAGTGCCATCAGTGCGACCTGCGTACTTGCCCTTTCCAAGTGTCATGATGTCAACAAACGTGTTGGCAAATGGCTCCATCTGGGCCTTGGTAACACCATAGCGGCCTGAGGCGAAGATGCGTGAGAACCCAGCAACATCCAGGCTGCCGTGATTGTTGTCCTCACCTGACGAATTCTCCGGGATATAGCCCCAGCTGTACACCATGTTGCCCTTCTTGCCCTTGACTGGCTTAGTGGTACTGAAGAACCAGTCGACCGATGCTTTAACGAAGGAGTCATAGAGCTTCACCTTGCCAGGATTGTCACCGAGAAGCTCATGCGCAATGGCCAGGTTCATAAAGCCGTAGTTGAACATCATCTGCTGGTTCCAGGGAACAGTTCCACCTGATTTGTAAACCGAAGCCTTGCTGAAATACTGGCGCTTGTTCCGCGAGACGTCCAGCAGCGACTTGAGGATGTGGTCATCGACAGCCTTGTCCGCCTGCTTGACGTATGTCTTTGCGCGGTCCAGGTAGGTCTTTCCATAATTGTGTGGATCCTTGTCGGGGACCTGCGAGTTCAAGATTGACTTGGTGTTGAGGATGAGACGAGCACAGTATCCAAGATGGCCGACTGGGTCGCCCTGCTCTCCACCAGTAAAAACTTTACCGTCGAGCTTTTCAGTACAGTCAACCCAAACCGGATCGACGCGGCCGGTCCAGATCTTGCATCCCTTGCCCATGTCATTGCGAATTGACAGGACGGTGTCGCAGAAGGTGATCATCTTGTTGAGGATGGCGACGTCGTTCGAGATCTCGTACATCATACCGAGGGCTTTGGTGTTTTCACCAGATTTTCCCTGAGCCCATTCGTTGGCTGACGATGTTGATGGCTTCAGTACCTGCATTCCGGTCTTGAATGAGTCAACTTCCTTCTTTGTCACTGGTCCGTCGAAGCTCTCGACAGTCATAGAGTTGGCTGCAAGGCAGGAGAGTGCCATGGCTGACATGGAGAGAAATGCACGCGTAATAATCATAGTGGTTCGATTGCTTGCAAGTTTCGATGTGCTTGGGGTGAGTGAGGTTGCTAGGATAAAGAATGGAGAGTAAAGAATGCGCGATTGTTGTATTGTTCTGGTGTGGTCTGATACAGCGAGACAGCATACTGTTTTACGGCTGTTTTATACACAAGAGTTGACAAGGAGCTAGCCATCGTACCGTACCTTTACGATATCTTCATAGCGCGGGTGTTTGTAATTTGTGTCGTTGAGTAAATGCCAAGATGTATCAGCGATTTGAATTCTTCAACATCAGCCATATTGCTGGAAAGAAATACACGCCCATTCCTTTAGAGATAAATTAATATTAGACGTCATTTTCCAAGTATTTTTAGAATCTGGTCTTTCTAGCGCTTATAGACAATACTTGATGGTCTGTACACGACTGCACACACGCGAAGAGGATAGTCTATTTTTACAGAAGGTATTTTATCTGCCAGATACTGGGCCAGGTATACATGTCTGCTTCCTACAAGAAGAGACTGTGATGAAATGGTCAATGGTTGGTGGAAAGGTATTTCTGGCTCATGCCAAGAGGCTATCTTTACTTTGAATGAAATTAAAGGCAGGCTGTCTCGGCACGGTTTATGCAGATATCAAAGAGGATTATCCATGAGGGGGAGCCAAGTCTAAGGGCACACCTGGCCACAGTCTATATGATCCATAGCAGTTCACTGCAGCAATATGTCCATGCTAGTATCGTGAGCAGAGATAGCCGTCCCGATATTCGCTGGGCAAGACGAGGGAATCAGCGACAGCTTCAAGCTCAGTGATAATCGCCGAAATCTGATCCAGACCATGAAGTGATTATTTTCTCGAAAACAACAGCTGAAGGTGAGTCAATTTTTTGGGGGCAGCGGTTTATAACGTGGTTCGGTTTACTTCCAAGGGCTACACTTCTCTCCTTTTTTTTTTTGCTTCAATCACAATTCCCCTACTTTCCACACCTCGATTACGGGCAGGCTAGGCAAAAGGCTCTATTTGTTTTGTTAATTCCTACGATGAGCGACGATTTGAAGCTGAACATTCTGAAGAAGCTCGACGCTGAGGGCAGCATCAAGGACACTAAGGATGCGTTCTCGGGCGTGGCGTCTGAGACCATCCTGGGTGCTCTAAAGAGTCTTGAGAGCCAAGATAAGGTCGCGTACTCGACGCTGTCATCGGAGGTCTGGACTTTGACCCCCGAGGGCCAGGACCAGCTGGACAACGGCAGTTACGAGGCGCAGATCTACAACGCAGTGCCCGAAGGCGATGAGGGCATCACCGTGGACGAGCTGAAGGCCAAGTTTGGCAACGTGGCGAACCTGGGCCAGGGAAAGGGCTTCAAGAACAAGTGGATCAAGAAGAACGGCAGCAGCATCGTCCGCCTGGCTGCGTCGATCGTCGACCAGACCAAGATCGATCTGGAGGAGGTCAAGGCCTCGGGGGTTCACAGCAAGAAGGACGTGGTCAAGGACCTGAAGCGGCGCAACCTGATCAAGCAGAACAAGATCGTGTCGTACTCGGTGTCCAAGGGCAGCAACTTCTCGACGGAGCTCAAGAAGCAGATGACTGATCTGACGGTTGAGATGCTGCAGAGCGGCGCGTGGAAGACTGGTGAGCTGAAGAAGTTCAACTTTGACTCGCTGGGCGTGTCGCCCAACGGCGGACATCTGCACCCGCTGATGAAGGTGCGTGAGGAGTTCCGCCAGATCTTCTTTGAGATGGGATTCGAGGAGATGCCGACCAACGACTTTGTCGAGTCGTCGTTCTGGAACTTTGACACGCTGTTTGTGCCGCAGCAGCACCCGGCGCGCGACCTGCAGGACACGTTCTTCCTCAAGGATCCGGCGATGGCGCAGGGCCTGCCTGAGTTCTGGGAGACGGTCAAGAACGTGCATGAGAAGGGCGGATACGGGTCGATTGGATACCGGTACCCGTGGGCTGAGGCCGAGGCCAAGAAGCTGGTGCTGCGTACGCACACGACGCCTGTGAGCTGCCACGTGCTGAACAAGCTCGCGCAGGAGCCGTACCGGCCGGCCAAGTTCTTCTCGATCGACCGCGTGTACCGTAACGAGGCGGTGGATGCCACGCATCTGGCCGAGTTCCACCAGGTCGAGGGTGTGATTGCCGACAAGAACATGTCGCTGGGCAGCCTGATTGCGTTCCTGGACGTGTTCTTCACCAAGATGGGCATCACCAACCTGCGCTTCAAGCCCACGTACAACCCGTATACTGAGCCGAGCATGGAGATCTTCTCGTGGCACGAGGGATTCCAGAAGTGGGTCGAGATCGGAAACTCGGGCATGTTCCGCCCCGAGATGCTGCGCCCGCTGGGTCTCGACAAGGATGTCAAGGTCGCTGGCTTTGGCCTGTCGCTGGAGCGCCCGACCATGATCAAGTACGGCGTCGACAACATCCGTGCGCTGGTCGGGCACAAGGTCGACCTGTCTATGATCGAGTCCAACCCGGCGTGCCGGCTGGACAAGAAGATGGGCAAGGAGGTGTTCGAGAGCAAGAATGTCGAGGTTGAGAACTAAGATTCTATTGATCGGCTTCTACTCTACTCTGAATAAATGCAATGATCTGGTCCAGATCCGCCTGCAGGTTGTATTTGGCCCATGGGTCGTGGTCGCGGATGGCGCTGAACTCGTCGACCTCGCTGGTAATGTCGGGCATCAGCATGTAGCTGTACCGGCTGCCGCGCGGATAGAACCGCCGCACCAGGTTGTTGGTGTCCAGCAGACGGTAATAGTTCCGCAGCAGTCCCTCCGTGCGCTCCTCGCCAAACACGTAGACGGGCTTGTGCAGAGAAATGGCAAGTGACAACGAATCCAGGTCATCAGCGCTGACAACAACCTGCGACGCGTTGACAAGTATATCGGCCGGCGACACGCTTGATGTGGCCAGGTCCACAGTCCGGATGTGCTGTGGCATCTGTGCTGTCAGCTTGCGGCGAAGCGACTTGTGCAGCTGCTTGGAGAGAACCATCGTGATGTTCTGCGTCGGCAGGTGCGCTAGCGCATCGAAAAGCCGGTCAACATCGTCTACCAGCATGTGGAACCCAGAGGGCTCGACGCCCGGCCCCAGGCACACCACAATGTTGGGCTCATTCGACACCACCGCCGGCGTTTTTGGGCTGCCGCTGAATGGGAGCATAGTAAACAGAGCGTTATCCAGCTGGTCGCGAGCAGGCCCCTTTGCACGCAGCTTCATCTGGTCCAGCCTCGAAAGCAACAGGGCATCGATGGAGTTGATCTTGGTATCCGGCAGGCCATAGAACACGCTAAAGGAGCGGCCCTGGCTGCGCTCCTTTGTTTCGAGCACGCCCATCAGCGAATCCGGCGATGACCCAATGACGACTCTCGGCAAACCGTCGGCCTGCGTGTTGGTATCTGATATGTGCGAAAATGCTGTGCGGGTGGGAGAGACCAGGCTTTGCAGGCTGAGCATTTGGCGCTGCATTAGAGGGGGCAGGCGGGCGGGCTTGGGCCGCTTGATCGTGTAGGGCAGGCCGAGCGCGGTGGCCAGGGCGGTAGCCCGGAGCTCGCGCAGGGGGTTGGCGTCGGAGATCACCCAGGCGAGGGGCTGCAGCGATGAGTGCCGTTCGGCGTGGTAGCGGCGCAGGCAGGTAGAAGTGGTCCGGGCGGGCCAGATGGTTCGGGCTAGCATTATTGACTCGGAGATGAAAAATGAACAGAAGGTGGAGGGGTATCGCAGAGGGGACGTGGTTGGGGCATGCAGGCAAGGCGGGGTTTTCTGGAGTCTACCCCAGAATTTCTAGTATGGCAGAAGGCGAGGGACCGTTTCAAACATTCCAAGCAGTCCTTCCTGGGTGAAAATCTCAGAGCATGCTCTATTTACCGATGAAAAAAACTATTGGAATGCTTACATGAACGCCGACGTTACTGCAATCACGGCCGCCGCCTGGATGGCGACCATGGCAACATTCCACGTCCGCTTCATCGCCGCATTAACAGAACTAACAGCACTAACAGCACTAGTGCTCTCATCTGCAGTAGTCTCCTCGGTCGTCGTGGCCATCGGGTCCGTCCGGTAGCACAGACAGAGGCCCCCCGTGTTACAGTTCATATTGTAGAGGCCAAATTCGCATAGCTCCAAACACTTCTCCTCGAACACTAGGCACGATGAGTACTCGAGCATTTCGCCCGATCCTGCTGTCGCTGTATACACGTCAGCCGGTGCAACTGCTAGAGTCGGTGCACCTCCTGCACCGCCGGCTGCTGCACCGCCCGCACCGGCTACCGAGGACGACGAGGTGGTCGCGAGGGCGCCAGGAGGTGTGGTTGTCGATTTGGTTGCTGTAGCGGCCGTCTTGGAGGGGGTTGTGGCGACCGGATCACCCAGTGGCGGAGTGGTTGAGGGCTTCACGGCGGGCGCACCGGCCTCAGGAGTGGGTGTTGCCTCCTCGGCTCCGGCGCCGGGGAGCGTGGGAGTGGTGGCCGTAGGTGCAGCAGCACCGGCTGGGGTAGTAGGTGTTGTTGACGCGACACCAGGAACACCGGGAACACCGGGAACACCGGGAACACCAGGAACACCAGGCAACGTGGAGGTGGTGGGTAGACCAACTCCTTGGCGAAGGCCGCGATGTGGTGGGGCGATAGGCACATTGGCTTGCGCACTGACCCCAACTGCAGCTGCACATAGGGCCACCGACAGTGCGGAGATGTTTGATACCAGGACCATGGTCTATTCGCTAGAAGGTATATGGGGGAGAGGAAAGGGAGAAGACGAGGGAGGACGGGAAGGGGAAGAGTATAAACAGTGAAGTGAGAAGAGAGTAAAGAATGTTATTTCTCGTTTGGCGATCGCCAGAGCACACTTTGAGAACGCTCGACTGAGAGCTGCCACTGGCGATGTTGGGCCATACCAGCCAGCTCGAGGGCACAATGAGCCGAGCCGCCAGACAACCCAGTCACGAGCCCACTATTCTCACAAGCATTCACTGCACGTCATAGCCACCAGCTGCTTCCCGCAGCGAGGCCGCTTTACTTCGACTTGACTCTCCAAATAATACCCGCATTTTTTCGCAGCACGAAATTCAACCTACACATTCTGCCTGTATTTACTTAATTAGCCTGTACAACTAGCAACACTATTCACACCATGTGGCCCTCAAGCTGGTCGGTGCAACTGCCGTCGTGGGCCGTGTCGAACTCGCTGCAGAAGCGGCTGGTCAAGTTTTTACTGCGGCGAACCGTTGGGCAGTTTCTCAAAACCGAGCTAGACGACGCCAACCTGGACGTACAGCTGAGCAGTGGGCAAATGCAGCTGAAGAACGTTGAGCTTTCAGAGGAGGTCAGTATTCCATGGAATGAGCATATACTGCCGCTGTGGAGCAGCGCTAATCGTAGCTGTTATTGTAGTCGCTCAACGATGCCATTGCTGGGCTGCCCATTGTTGTCAGCAGCGGACAAATTGGCAGGATATCGGTGTCAATTCCGTGGTCGCAGCTGTGGACAGGAAACTGCGAGCTGCAGATAGAGGAGCTTGTTGTGAAAGCAAAGGTCATCGACGAAGCAGATCTGTCTGGCCCCTCAGGCAGCCCAGGGTCGGCAGACGGGGCTAGTCCCCATGTGGGCAAGCCAAATCTTGCCGAGTCTGTGGCGATGATGACGGAGGGCGGAGCGTCTATCCTGACCTCGTCGGTGTTTATCGCAGACGACTTTTTGCGAGGCGAGTCGCTGGGCTACGAGGATGTATTCCTCAACAAGGACGTTGAGCGCATGGTGGCCAATGCGCATGAGGAGCGCGCGCAGTATTATTCGCGCACACAGTCAGCGGATGTGCATGCGACCGGCAAGAAGCAGTCCCCGTGGCCAAATAATCTGCAAGCCGGGCTCCAGGATATTGATGACTTGCCAGCCCCCGAGGAGCCCGGTGGCTCTATCCAGGGCCTACAGGTTGTCAGTGAGATGGTCGATAGGATTATTTCGGCAGTCAATATCCGCGTCAAGACCGTGCGTGTGGAGTGTGCGATGCCGGGGAGGGGTGGCAGACGTGAGGGCTCGACTGTTAAGGTGACCGTGGATAGCGTGGAGTTCAAGGACGAGCGTGCCCGGGATAGAGCTGAGAGAAGGGCGAAGAAGGCAGAGCCAGAAAGCGCTCCTGTAACGTCGTCGACCCCCGACGGCCATCCAGCCGGGATCGAGTACAAGGTGGTCGAGTTCCACACCCTATCCAAGGTGCTGGAGATCCAGGGTCTGCACGTGTATCTGGTTCCTCCGCCTGGGGATACCGACGTGCTGCCATCTGCTATTCTGTCAACATTCTCACAGCCGATAGCCGCGCACTTGCGTATGCATCGTCGCATGCCGTTCTCTGAACTGGCGCCCGTGCAGCCTGCAGATTCGCAAGGGCGCCGGCGGGCCAGTAACTCGAGTGAGTCGCTGTATATGGGGCCAATGCCCGGCGAGTTTCGTGAGGCCAAGCCAATGGAAATCACACAGGTGCAGCGCGTGCGCAATCGCTCAAACGAGGATGCCATGGCCAGCGGCTGGGATGTGTCGGTGGAAGTCGATGATATCGCAGTGGTTGTAACCAAGGAGCAGCTTGCAGGTATTGCTGATATTGCGGAAGCGCTAGGCCTTGTGGCCAAGCAGCGTAGCCAAAGCCAGGAGGCATGGGACAAGTACCAGAAGGCGTATGGGGAACAGGTGTTAGATGAGGCGACCGCGAAGCTTGCACGATGGGTCAGCCTGAAATGCCGCCATATCTATATGGCTGTGGTCCCCACAGAGTCTGCAGCCGTGAATGACTGGCACAAGGGCAGTTTGGCTGTACTAAGGCTGAAGCTCGAGGCAGTCAAGCACATCGGTGTGTATATGAAGCGTATCGGTACGCGCTGGGAGAGCTCGGCAGTGGGTTCGCAGACCAGCAGCAAGAATGACTCACCGGTGTACCTGGACACAGAGTTTTGGGCTGAGAAAACGCGCGGAACAGCGCAGACAGCCACGTCGAGTGTGGCAGTGACAACGGCGTATGTCAGACAACTCAGTATTTACGACAGTGATCCGAGCGCCCGACCGGTGGTTCAGCCGCTGATCAGCATTGACCGCTCACTGGTGGAGACCAAGGGAAACTCTGAAATGTATGACATCTGGGCCTGTAAACGCGATTGCGATGCTGTACTGAGCATTAATATCGGGCCCGTCTGTTTCATTGCCAACAAGGAGTTAGCTGACCGGCTGAGTGCATACCGCGGGCTGTTTGACAATCTCCCGCTGAACTCTCAAGCTGCATCGTCTGCGCAAACCCCGATGCACGCTGGTGTGGTAGCCCAGAGCATTGCCGGTGATATTGATAGGCTGATGGGCGAGCTTAATGCCAGTGCTGAGGACAAGGCACCCTCGAATATCGCCGTGTGCAGCCCGCTGATTCGCACATGGATTCAGCTTCCTACCACTGCAGCCAAACACAGTGGCTCGCGCAAGGACGAAGCCAGCGGCCATTTCTGTGTAGACTTCATCGATGCTGTTATCACAAACGTTGTCAAGGGCACAGCCACTAGCAGCAGAGCTCGTGACGACGTGCCTGATGGACATATGCGCGACCCACATATCCAGGAGCTGCTTGAGTCGCGCAAGAACGTCGCTGGGTCTGGCATCCGGCTCGAATGCGAGGAACTCCGGGTGTCAGTGCAGGCAATGGAGGGAAGCAGCAAGCTCGAGCATATTGGATCCGTGCATGAGCCAAGCGACCGGCAGGGGTCTGGATCGATTCCACGGCCACATATCGAGGTCACGACAGTCCCCAGACCGCTGCATGGCGAGCGAGGCAGTACCAAACGGCCGCCTGCCTTTGACGCCTTTTCTTCTGTGGACGACGATATTCGAGTTCGCATGGCGCCTGAATCCGAACATTTAACATCGATTGACTTTGAGCGCATGGCTGTCGAGCAATCGCAATTCATTGTGTCGTGCCATCTGCCGGAAATCGAGGTTCAGCTGGGCCGCACTGCATATAAACGCATTAATGCCATCATTAACGAGTTCCTCGTTTGGCAGGCAATGCAAGACGAGGAGGCAAAGGAGTCCGAGAGTCTTGGGGCACGGTTCTCTGTACTGGTAGATATGCCAGTGATGCGGACCGAGGTCGATACCAGTGACGAAGCGAGTGTGACGATTGGGCATGGAGCACAGCCCCGGATCGAGCAGCGTATCACATTGCTGAGCACGCGAATGTTCATCACCAACGCGATGATTGAGTCGGGCCGCATGTATGTCAGCGGTGAGGCGAACCAAGTGCGGCTGTCATCGTACAAAGACTCGATGGAGGTCGACATACCGCTGAGCCATTCGTTTGCCACGCCCGCCGATCCAATGAGCACGCCCCAGGTGTCAGTGTACATGCTGACCACGCCGTCGATTACGCAAGAGACTGAGGTTGTACTGAAGACTGCGTGGACAACCTTCGAATATTCGCGAGATTCAACATGCCTGAGAGATCTCGAGTCGTTCTTTGCATCGACAGGCACGTCAGGGCTTGTCCAGCCGCCACCCAAGCCAATGCGGCTGTCGCTGAATGTGCGCAACACCTCGCTCCGGTGGCATCCAAACCAAAGGTCTCTGCGCAGCGCAGTGATCTCTCTTGACAGCCTGGCAGTGATCGTTGGGCTTAATCTTCCGGGCCCAGATCGCGACCGGGAGAAGCTCCGCTACTATATTGAAGGCTTAACAGTACTGGGCCAGGCTGAAGGGTCGCATACAGGGATTCCGTCGCCCGTATCCAGCGATATGTGGGTTGAGACGGGCCGTTTCTGGCGTGACTACGGATATGCGGTTCTGGTACATGCGGACATGATAGATGTCGGGTTCCGGACCAAAGAGGAGGACATTGAGATCAAGCTCGGTGGTCAGTCGCTGGTGGTTGACGCATGCGCGGACTCAATTGGTATCTTGCCTGGGATTCTGCAGAGCCTAGTGCGCGATATCAAGGGCGAGGAGCCAGAGGTGGTCCAGCAGGAGAAGAAGGTTCGTAGGGCGAAGCGTGCAGAGCGCCAGGCGAATCCGCAGGTTCTTGAACAGGCCACTGACGATATCTTTGGAGATATTGAAGATGATGCATTTTCAGCGCCGCCCGTTCCCCATCGGGATGTGCAAGACGACTACGACTTTACGTATGATTTTGAGCACGGCCGCGATGATGTCGGAAAGCTGATGGAAGGGTATTTTGCACCACATCAGCAGCCTGACACTATCGAGGAATATGAGGTGGTGGGGGGTGGAGCAATGCCTCCGGCACCGCCACGGCCTGCCGATGCCGGCTACCCGAGCTACTCGCGGAGCTCCAAGGGCAAAGAGCCATTGGTAGATGTCGATAGCATGAGTAGTACCAGCGGACTCTCGAGTGACGAGGATGGTGTCTTTGGCTACTCGAGGTCGGCCAGAAGACGGTTCTCGGGGCAGCGGGAATTTTCAGCCGACGACATACGAGTAGCACACCCTGACTCAGTGACTTCTTCGGTCCATGGCATTCAGCTGCCGCCGCAGCCGCAGATACTGACGGAGACATCCGGTGATGTGGTCAAAGTGTCTGTGGATAGTGGTGATGAGAAAGGCGCCCTTGATGACAAGTTCGAGATCATCGACAATTACTTTGCCGTGCCTGCGCCTGGCGAGCTCTCAGAGGACAATCCTCTGGAGGGCACCACTGATCGCATTCTGACAGCTGCATTGGATGTTGCCAAGGTTGAGATCAATCTGCATTCGGGGCAAGACTGGTACGATTCAGTTTCAAGTCCACGGCCGCGCAACTCGCCGTCCGATGCACTGTTTTTGCCATCGTATCTGGATGAGCTGAACGATGCACCCAACTCTATGCAGTCTTCAGCATATGGTCGCACATCGCTGAGTCTGCCTGAGGCGCGCGGCCTGCCAGTATCGCCTAAACGGTCACCTCGCCTGCCTATGCGGCGGTCAGTGAAGCCCAAGGTCCGGCTGCGTGCAACCCAGGTACATGTCGAGTTCGACATGTTTGCAGAGTCATCTGCCCTTTCATACGACCTCGGGTTGAGCATTGGTCTTTTGGAGGTGCTGGACGAGGTCGAATCGTCAGAGTGGTCGAAGATGCTGACGCGGCGGAGGGACCCAAAGACAGGACTGCCTGCGTCGCTGCATTCCCTGGCAAACGCGCGCAACCGACAGCTGTTTACTGCAGGAACAGCCGACTCGGACCGGGTGACCAGCGGGTGGGCGTGGTGGGCCAGCAGGTGGAAGGAATCGAGTGCCGAGCCTATGGTGTGCGTGCGCATCGAGGCTGTGCGGCCGTATGCTGGTGTAGAGACCGAGGAGCTGCGTATGGACGTCGAGATATGCCCGATCCGCTGCTACATCCACCAGGAGGCACTGGATTTTATTCTGTCGTTCTTTGAAGAGGCCGAGCGCAACCAAACTAAGCAGGTGAAGCAGGGGACTGCGAAGCAGCTGTATTTCCAGATTGTGCGAGTTGCTCCTTTGAATGTCATCTTCGACTACAAGCCCCGACGGATCCGTGCTAACCCACCGTCGCCCGGGCTCAGCAGCACGGCCAAGCAGAAGCCGGCAATGGAGCTTTTGAACTTTTTCCCGCTGGAGGATGCCGAGATGACACTGAACACGGTCAAGGTGCGTGGGGTTGCTGGGATTGCAAAGTTGGTGAGAGGGCTAGGTAATGCGTGGCTGCCACATCTGACCCAGACGCAGATTCCCGGGGTGGTGTCGGGTGTGACGCCGATCCGGTCGCTGGTAAACCTGGGGTCGGGTGTGGCGGACTTGGTAATCCTGCCGTTGGAGCAGTACCGCAAGGACGGCCGGCTTGTGCAGGGCATCAAGCGCGGTGCCAAGTCGTTTGCCCGCACCACTGCTCTGGAGGCGATCCAGCTCGGCGCCAAGGTCGCTGTCAACACACAGACGCTTTTGGAGCAGGCAGGCGACATCCTGAATGTTGATGTGGGCGGGGAGCTGGAGGAGATCGAGGTCGATCTCAACGACTGGCCCGACTATGTATCGGAGCAGAGCTCGAGCACTGCGGCTGCGGCACGACGCGGCAGCTTCGGCACCAGCAAGTATGCGCGGCAGCCGGAGAATATCAGCGATGGTGTGAAGCAGGCGTACGCAAGCCTGAGGAGCAATGTGGGTGATGCTGTGCAGACCATCTTGGCGATTCCGGTGGTGGTGCAGGAGGACGAGGAGGATGAGGGCCGATCGGCAGTGCATGGATCGGTGAGGGCGGTGGTGCGGGCAGTGCCGGTTGCGGTGCTGAAGCCGATGATTGGCGCGACCGAGGCTGTATCCAAGACCCTGCTGGGGCTGCGCAATACGATGGAGCCCGCCAGGCGCGGCCAGCTGGAGGACAAGTACAAGAACCGCAGACTGAGCGCGAAGAAGTCGTATCCGCTGTGAAGCGTCTGGAGGAGCATCAGCGAGATTAGAGATCAACTCAGATTTTTCCCCCACAGCCTAGAATATTTTTTGCGGTGTTATCTGGAGCGCCAGATCGCAGAGCCTGCGCGGTGTGGATTGAGTGTCCGACTGCTGCTTTTTTAGATAGTCCCAAGGAGAAAAAGCGGTGTGTTTCAAATTCAACCAGTCGGATTTATCTGCTCTTCTTTTTCTGTTCTGCAATTTTATAGACGATATAAAACAGCTTCCCCTTTTTTGTTCAGGTACATTTCGCATGCTCGTCGATTCAACCCAGAGATTCAGAGCCTGAGCCCGAGTGAATGCAACACTGCCAGCACTGCAGACGACAGTTGGAATGACGCTGATTCAGCGAATGAGAGATTTATCAGAACTGTGAGAGCTCATTGCAAAAAAAAAAAAACTACCTGTAGATTCACGATAACCTAAAACGATGTTCAACGCAGTCCGCCGCACTCTTATCAGCAAGGCCGCGATGCCGCTGGCGCGCGCGCAGTTCTCGGCGCCCCAGCGCCTGTTCAGCATGGCGTCGGTGCGCCTGAGTGAGCACCACGACGCGCCGCTGCTGCAGGGCCCGGGGGCGCCAGCGGGCCGGACGCCGACGAACTTTGACCAGGCGACGGGAGCCGAGCGTGCCGAGCACCTGGCGGCGATGGAGGGCCAGGACTACTTTGACATGGGTCCGCTGGTGCTGGCGACCAAGGGCACGAAGAAGGAGCCGACCATTGTGCCGTCGGGCGCGGCGTCGCGCATTATTGGGTGCACTGGCGCGCCGGGCGAGGACCACGAGCTGGTCTGGCTGGTGGTTGAGCGCGAGCATGAGATCGACAGGTGCCCGGAGTGCGGCAACGTGTTCAAGCTGTCGGAGCAGGGCTTCGAGGCCAACCCGGCCCATGTCCATGCCAACCCGGCCGGTGGCCACAGCCACTAAATATGAGATGTAGATGTGCAGGGGCCGCCGCCGCCGGTTCGCCTTTGCTGCTTGTTTCTGTTTTTTTTGCCGCTCTCTCTATCTATCTTCTTGGTGTTGTCTTCCGGCCATCAACCGGCCAAGGCTCCAAATATAAACGCACCTTTCAAATCACCGATAACATAGGCGCCGCGTGATACATGCAGATATCGCTGCCGATGGATGCCCCTGTGGGGATCGCCGATGTTCAAAATAATTTTTTAGATCCAATTGCGTATGATACGAGAGGTTTAGAAGTAAAAAGAGAAAGCCTGCTTAGCGCTTGTACAGCGACTGGAAGGCGCGGTTGACAACGCGCTCAAGACGCTTCTGGGCGGCAGAGATCTCGTTCTTACCGGCGGTGGCACCGTTGACGTCGAGCCACTCCATGGCCTCACCCATGGCGTTCTCGATGGCCTCGCGGTCGGCGCGCTTCAGGCGGGCCTCGACCTTGATGTCGGACATGGTGCTCTCGACCTGGTGGATGGCAGCCTCGAGGTCGTTCTTGGCCTGGATAGCCTCCTGCTTCTTGTTGTCCTCCTCGGCGAACTGGGCAGCCTCGCTGACCATGCGCTCGATCTCGGCAGCCGACAGGTGGCCAGTCGAGTTGGAGATGGTGATGTTGGCCTTGCGGCCCGAGGCCTTGTCGACCGAGGTGACCTTGAGGATACCGTCGGCGTTGATGTCGAAGGTGACCTCGAGCTCGGGCACACCGCGGGGGGCGGGGATCAGACCGTTGAGGTCAAAGTTACCGAGCAGGTTGTTGTCCTTGGTCATGGGGCGCTCACCCTCGTAGATGGGGAACTCGACCGAGGTCTGGTTGTCGGTGGTGGTGGTGAACACACGCTTCTTGATGGTCGGGATCGAGGTGTTGCGGGGAACAACGACACCCATGACACCGCCCTGCATCTCGACACCGAGCGACAGGGGGACGACATCGAGCAGAAGCAGGTCGTCGGTCTTGGACGGGTCAGCGGTACCGGTGAGGACGGCACCCTGGACGGCGGCACCGTGGGCGACAGCCTCGTCGGGGTTGATCGACTTGTTCAGCTCCTTGCCGTCGAAGAACTCCTGCAGCAGGGACTGGACCTTGGGGATACGGGTCGAGCCACCGACAAGGACGATCTCCGAGACGTCCTTCTTGGTGACACCGGCGTCCTTGAGGACCTGGGCGACGGGGTCGACGGTCTTCTGGAACAGAGCCGAGTTGAGCTCCTCGAACTTGGCGCGGGTGATCGAAGCCTGGTAGTCGACGCCATCGAACAGCGAGTCAACCTCGATGGTGGTGCGGGCCAGCGACGACAGGGTGCGCTTGGCGCGCTCGCAGGCAGTGCGCAGACGGCGGAGGGCACGGGGGTCGTCCGAGATGTCCTTCTTGTGCTTGCGCTTGAAGTCCTCCTTGAAGTGCTCGACCAGGGTGTGGTCAAAGTCCTCACCACCAAGGTGGGTGTCACCAGCGGTGGCCTTGACGGTGAAGATACCGCCGGCAATGGTCAGCAGCGACACATCGAAGGTACCACCTCCGAGATCGAAGATGAGCACCTGGCGCTCCTCCTTCTGCTTCGAGTCCAGACCGTAGGCAATGGCAGCGGCGGTGGGCTCGTTGATGATGCGCAGGACATCGAGACCCGAAATGACACCGGCGTCCTTGGTGGCGTTACGCTGGGCGTCGTTGAAGTAGGCGGGCACGGTGATGACGGCCTTCTTGACGGTCTTGCCGAGCTTGGCCTCAGCAATCTCCTTCATCTTGATCAGCACCATCGACGAGATCTCCTGGGGCGAGAAGGTCTTGGCCTCGCCCTGGAACTGGACCTCAATGTACGGCTGCTCGTCACGCTCGACGACCTTGAACGGCCAGTTCTGAACGTCACGCTTGACCGACGGGTCGTCGAAGCGACGGCCGATGAGGCGCTTAGCGTCGAAGACGGTGTTGCGCGGGTTCATGGCCGACTGGTTCTTGGCAGCGTCACCAACCAGGCGCTCGCTGTCGTTGAAGGCGACGTACGAGGGGGTGGTACGGTTACCCTGCTCGTTGGCAATGATCTCGACGCGCTCGCCCTCCCAGACGGCAACGCACGAGTAGGTGGTACCCAGATCGATACCGATAGCGCCGTTGTACTCCTCAGCCATTTTGTGTGTAGTTGTTCTACGGGAAGAAGCATGGTGCTTAGGAACGGATGTCTAGAAACAAGGAGGCACGTGTGGTTTCCGAGCTGGCAAATTTTTCTGCTGCCTGGACAGACCCCTGCACAGTGTCATGTGATAGGGGCAGCCCGTATGCAGCATCAATATGTCTGGTGTGGACTTACTTTGTAAGAAGAGACTTCCTTCAGAAGGACCGAGCCCGAATAGAGAGGGGATAAGAAGACGAAGAAAAAGGTGTAGTTACAAGAACGAAAAGAAGGGCAGGCGCGGCCGCAAAAGCAGACTCCTGGTATTTAAACGATCAGGGTGAGCGCAGAGAAAAAATTTTTTATCTCAAACTTTTTTTTTTCCAGCGCACCAGGGCTCTCAACATTTGCCCTGGATTCGGCCTGCGATTGGTCAGTGGGCGTGTTGATTTTAAGCAATCATGGTTCATTTGAAATCCAAGCCGGATCAACTCCTTTTTCTTTGTGTGAGTTCGCAGACCCAACGCCTCCCCCCAGCAAAGAAAAAAGCAATGAGAAAAAACGGGCGATTGGCGTGGTACCTGCACATAGCTGCTGTGCTGGATGCCGGCTTGGCTGGCCCTGCTCAACATCCAGAACGGAGGTTTGTGGCCGGGATTTCCACCCTCCCGGAAGACTGCAGCCTGGCAGTAAAGACGGCGGACCGGCAGTTACTGTCGATTGGCTCGCTTGTTTGGGGCTTGTGGCTGTGGCATCTCGGCCACCGGTTGCTGCTGCTGCGCGCTAGTCGCTGTCGTTGCTGCTACCGGTAGCAGTCGGCTCTTCGTGAATTCCGTCTGATTCGCCGGGGTCAGTCTCACTGGCCCGAACATCGACACTGGCGTCTTCGTCTGAGCCATTGTCCTCGCCAGATAGGTCATAATCGCTGTCGCTGTCACCATTGCCAAATCTACTGCTGGGAGCAGCACACTTGTATACTGGGTCATCATCAATGATGAAGTCTCGGAGAGCGGCGGAGCCGTCATTGTCCGAATAGCTGTACTCGACTGGGGAAGACGCCAGCTTGGACGTGTATCCAGCGGATCTTGCGCGACCCTGTGTCGTGGAGGGGTCGTATACCGACGTTCTTTTTCTGGTCAAGTGTGCGAGCTTCGTGAAATGGTCCTGTACGGCTGACATCCGCAGGTCTTCGCCGAATCCCTCGTCGCGTATTGCTTGCCTCACATCTAGCTTGCTGGCCACAATCTGCGGTAGCTCATTCTCCGCAAGAACCACGGTGCCATTGGACGTGTGCTTTATGATGAGCCGGGTAATGATTCTACGCAGGAACCTCTCCAGCTCACTCGCCAGATCTGTGTAGAGAATCGGGGACACCACAAATGAAGCTTTTACGTAGTACTGCCTCGCCACATTTCGGACCATATCCCTATGGAACATGTGCACCGCCGGGTGGTTCACAATCTCGCCGCAATCTCCACCGTCACTGTCGATGTCTTGGATCATCTGCATGAGGCGCGGCACCATTACCTGCTCTTCTCCATCAATCAATCTGCGTGTGACTCGCAGCATATTATTCCTGGTTCTAGTGTCGACCATTTCCTCGGCTGAGGTATGGCCGTCGCCGCTGTCGTCGCCATCATCGGGAAATACGGGCTCAAGTCGATTCGACCAGAACTGCATGTGCTCTATGTACTCGGCCACGTGTCTTAGAGACTTGCCTGGGCCGACATGCTTGGCTATCTCGACCAGTGATGCCCGTCCATGTTTCAGCTTTTCAAACAGCCGTTCCTTCTCTTCATCTGTCCAGTGGTTGCGCTTGGCACGCTTCTCCTGTCGCTGCTGGTGAATAAGCAGGGCTTTGTCTTCTGGTGAGTCTTCTGGTGAGGGTGGCCGACGCTTTAATGTGTTCTGGGATCCCACGATGTTGTCATCATCATCGCTATCATAGCCATCAGCACCATCGCTATCATCACTGTCGTTACTTTCGTCACCGCCATCGCCACCATCACTGCTGGTTGTTTCTGGTTCCTCAGACTGCTCACGCTCAGCCCGAGCAGGCTCGATCTGCTCGCTCTCGGATTGCTCAGAGTCCTCCGAGTTCTCAACCTCAAGCTCAGAGTTCTCCGACTCGGATGCAGATGAAGCTACATATGCGACTTGTGGCTCGCTCTGGGATACGTCGGATACCTTTGGCATTGTGTGGGATGCTGGATAAAAGTACAGTGCGAGAAATAACAGTAACCATCTCGCTTCTGCCAAGCGAACTGCGGACAGCGGTATTGCACAATACTGGTAAAATTTTCGTTTCCCAACAAACTATGGAGACAGCCAAATTCTGGATTACTTTTGCGCCTTCTCAAGCACCTTCTGCACAACCTTTTCAATGTATGACGTAGTTGCCGACTCGCCAGAGGCATTGGCCGGGCCCTGCAGAATCGACGTGGTGACCTTCTCGACATACTTGCCCAGCATGTCGACCTCGATATTGACCAGATCGCCTGGCTTCTTGGTCGGCATGATAACATGCGACTGGCTGTACGCAATCAGCATGATAGTGAACCACGCCTCGTCATCGTTCACATCGCAGACAGTCAGCGACGTGCCATCAATGGCGATGAATCCCTTGGGAATAATGTACGGCATCAGCTTCTTGTCGCCCACGCGGAACTTGAACCAAATCGAGTTACCATCGGGTGTGGCCGAGATTATCTCGGCGGTGGTATCGACGTGGCCCTGCACAAAGTGTCCACCGAAGCGGTGACCTGCCGCAAGTGCGCGCTCCAGGTTGACGAGGCTGCCAGGCTGGAGCTGGCCCAGGTTGGTGCGGCTTAGCGTCTCAGGCGCACAGCCAACTTTGAACGTGTCCTTGGTAAACTCTGTTACGGTCAGGCAGGTGCCGTTGATGGCGATGCTGTCACCCAGATGGCAGTCCGAAAGGACCTGCTCTGCTCCCGAAATCGTCAGCGACGATCCGTTGCCGCCCGACTCGCTGGTGTCCAGCGGAGCAAACTCGACAACCTTGCCCATGCATTCGACGATTCCTGTGAACATTGCTGTCAAGTGTTGTTTTTTCTACAAATTGCTAAAAAGTTAACCAAGAGGTGAAAGAAGATGGAGCCGATAGCGAGAAGCAGACGTCAGCACTGTGGCCGGGGGAGGGGAGCGGCGCCTTTATAGCTTTGAATCTCTCCCATTTGTCATCGCAAGGCTGATTTTGGTAAGCCCGAGATTCCCCCAGAACTGCGCTGGGCCTGCTCATGCAGACGCACCTGGCCCTGACACGTCGTATCCCTCCCCGCCTTTCCTCCACGTCTCTCATCGCCTTAACCCCACGTATCCGCCCTGTGCTATTGTGTTTTTTCTTGCCGATAATGTCTGCGCCTCGTAAGCTTTCGGGGCTACAAAAGGACGTGCTGCGGCTGTACCGGGACTGCCTACGCGCGGTGCGGACCAAACCTGAGGCAAGTAGTCCTGCTGATAAGGACCGGGAGCTGCAGCGGTAGGAGCGGCCAGCAGCTATTCATAGTGATCCCTGGGCTGGGCCAGATCTAAAAAACACACAATATTCCACTGCTGTAGGAGGCACAGCCGCGGTTCTATGCATTCACCCGGCGCGAGTTTGAGAAAAACATCGGATCAATGAAGCGCACAGACGTCAAGGCTATCGAGTATCTCATGCGGATCGGACGCAGACGGCTGGAGCAGTACCGAAACCCAAACGTCCGCGACATCGGCCAGGGATAGACTTTTTGTAAGCATCGAGACCCCCCAGCTTAACGAGTCCATGTAGAATTTTCAATTTTATCTGGCCGCTTACCCGGAGAAGCCGCATGCAGGCGTGACGTGTAGATTGATGATGTGCCTATGCAGCGCTCGCACGTCAATTCCAACCGCAAGCATGCTTGGGACAGGATCTGCTAGAGCTGAACGGAAAGGCCGCGCTGCCCAGATACGCCTGATGTTACACTGAGTAAGCAGCGGATACACTTGCTGACAAACTGTTGCCGCCGCTGGCCGTCTTTGGGAATCCATGAGACAGTGAGGAGCGATTGCCATTCCACTGCGCCCAGGCTGAAGTCCTTGTCAGTCGGTTTCAGGCATCGTTTAAATACGGCCCAGGGACGCTGCCAACCGCCCTGGCGGCTCACCGAAACACATCTACCCCCAATATTGCTCTTTTATTCATTTCCACGCCTATTCACCACACTTGCTGCTATTTTTTGTAAGCGTAATATGACTGTTCTCGAGCTTAGTGCCAGCGCCAAGGGATCACTGGCCAAGGAGCCGCTTCTATTCAAGGGGTTCCGCCTGCTGCACCAGAACCCGTACTCGAAAGACGCAAACCCTGAAGGAATCATCAATGCCGGTATCGCTGCCAACAACACCATTAGCGACATGGTTCTCGAGAAGCTCAACTCGCTGACAGGAGTCATCGCCAGCGACTTGGAGTACAACTCGCCATACGGAGAACCCCAGCTGCGCTATGAAATCGCTGACCTGTTCAACCGCTACCTGAGCCCAGCTGAGCCTGTCAACCCCGATGCTGTCACCGTGTTCAATGGCTGTACAAGTGCCATCTCAAAGGTAACCGCGGCCACTTGCGATCCAGGCGACCACATTCTGATTCCGGCACCATGCTATGCGGCGCTGGAGTCCGACATGGGCACACTGCCGCGTGCTGTTGCCACACCAGTAGACATCCCGCTTGACGAGGCATTTGCCCCGTCTCAAGTCAGGTACTTTGAGCAGAAGATTTCGGAGCTAAAGCAGCAGGGGAAGCGCACCAAGATGCTGTTTCTGATGACGCCGCACAATCCGCTGGGCGCCAGCTACCCGAAGGAGACACTCCGTGCTTTGTTTGAATTCGCTAGCAAGCATTCGCTCTTTGTGGTCTCCGACGAGATCTATGCACTCTCTGTGTTTGACAGAAAGGAGGGTGTGACGCCGTTCGAGTCCGTGCTGTCGTGGAGCGATTTGAGCTCTTATATAGATCCAGCGGCGCTGATTGTCATGCACGGTCTCAGCAAGGACTTTGGACTCAATGGGTTCCGCATGGGCTGGACAATTACGCCATGGAACCAGGACCTGACAAACACCCTGCACAACTATGCACCGTTTGGATACCGCCCTGCGTATACTGACCGCATTATCGCCGATTTCCTTGCTGACCATGCGTTCGTCGACAATCTGCTCTCCACTAGCCGCAAGAACCTGGCCGAGAATTACGCACTGACTACAGAGTTCTTTGATAAGCACAGTGTGGAGTATGTGCCGTGCTCGGCAGGTCACTATATCTGGTTCAAGCTGCCTATTGCTGCCAGCACAAAGGCACATCGTGCACTTGGTGCTCTGCAGGCCACTGAAGTGGCCAAGCTGTGGACAAAGGAGACCGATCTCACGGCATGGGAACATATCGTCCTAAACGAGCGCGTGTACTTCCCTACCGGGCAAGCATTCTGCTCGACTGAGCCTGGATGGTTCCGATTCACGTTCGCCATCACCAAAGAGCAGCTTGTTCTTGCTCTTGATCGCATTGGCAACTCGTTCAAGCTGGACTAGGCCTGTATCTCCATAAATGGCTTGATACCGTATCATTCAATCCATGGTGAATATCATTTAGTGTATCTGAATATACAAAGTTGCCAAGCAATGCCCGCAGGTTTGCCTTGGGCTGTAAGCTAAAGCAATGTCTGACTTTGTAACTTTGGCGATGGGCACAAGGACTCAGTAATATACACATACAATTACCAAATTGTGGCAGTAGCCATGCTCTCAGGCGATGAAGGAGAATGTGGTGCCTCCGCTAATCGCAGGATTTGTATATCATCTGCACTCAACAGTGACAACCGCTCACATAATTCTTGTATTTTTTGTCATCACCACAAATTACTAATATTTTTAGTAGTTGCCAAGACCACTGCGTGCAGAAACTCGTGTAGAAAGTATTAAAGCGCAAACCTGTGCTGCAATGGCTTTCTTGGCCAGTGCACATTTTTAGAAACCTACCATGAAATTCCGGTTGTCGGCATACAGCTACACGATGGGAGCATCTGCAGTCCCCAGAAGTATTTGCGGAAACCTACCATTTCTTTGCAATTTCTTTCTGAGAGGCCGTGCCCAGTATTTCTTGGCCTGCATAAGCAAGTTTTCTAGGGACCTATCGGCCACGCATAGCGCCGATCGGCGTGCCTTTTGATACGCTAATGGCATTTTGTCCGCGTCGTCTGAAAGATGAGGTTTACTGGGGCCACTAAAATTAGAATACTAGTGAGAACAAATCTTAGATGCGTTCAGCGCATGACAGGGGGTCTCCTCGAAGTCGTTTGATCGGTGTATAAAAGCCCGGCGCTGCTGTTGCATTCCACATCCCACATCATCATCACCACCATCACCATCATCAACAGCATCAACAGCATCACCTGCTTCACCAAGCAACACATCTCACACCTACTTTTGCATCTGCATCCCCGCCAACAACAGCTCTGATACAATGCGTGTTACTCTTGCTGCCTCACTCGCCTTCTTCGCCGCTACTGCTGCCGCCAACCAAGCAATCCCCATTGGCGACGCAGATTTTGTGGATGCTTCCTACTACCATGCCATGGGCTTGGGTAGAGTTCCCTACGATTCCTTTGTCGGTCTTAAGGGAAACACCAACCAGCGCGGTTCGAATGGCGCTACTTACAGGGGCACGGGGAGGAAGTCGGGTGTTGGCAGAGGCCGGATTGACACCAGGCTGCCTTACCAGAGCCCGCCGTTCTTCCCCGACACTTTCGAGCTTCCTAGCCTCAGCAAGCGCAGCGACGATTACGATTACGAGCATGACAACGAATACTACGTAGATTCCTACAACCAGCGTGGCGGATTCGGTAGAGGTATTGGTCGTGGGCTCGGCAGAATTGGTGATGCAGTAAGCCCAGGTGACATTGCCTCGATTCTCGACATGTTTGTAAAGAGAACCAATGACGGCAACCAACGCGGCAGCTCTAAGAAGAGTTCAAGCAAGGTCAGATCCAACCCTAAGCGCCCTAAGACCATTCCTACTAAGCCAACGAACCCTGGTCCCTTCCCACATATTGAGCCTTTCCCCCAGTTCCCCTGGCTCCGGGAGCATTCCCCTGGCATGATCATTGCCTGATGATGTGTGATCATGTAGCATAGAACATAGCATATTTTTAACACATTTGTGAACATTTTTAGAGCACATAAAATATGTAGCCTTTATAGGCCCTTTGGACTTGTTGGGGCTATATTCTCATACTATGCAACATCGCATCTTGTTAAACTGTTATGTACATGCTTATGTACATGAATCGTTGTTCTCCCAAGACCCAGACCAAGGCAGAAAGGCTCTGGCATGCGGATGTGCGGACCTCCGCTGCAGCAAGCATGAATGTCACCACATACAGTGGTAGTATTAGTTGGGCCGAGATACCAGGCTGTTTGAAGCTGATGTTGCTCTGCTAGACAGAAATCCTGATCACCATTGTCGCTGAACGCGGTCTCCAAAAGAACCCCCACCTGCCACACTAGGCACCTGTCAGAGCGGAATCCGCCTGCAAATCCAGCACACGACCTGTTGTCAGCTTAACTGCCGGCTTCGAAAGAATCCTCTCCACTTTCCATGCGGCACCATCAATATTATTGTGAGCTGGCATGGATCCAACCACTAGTCTTGAGAGTAATTTTGGCCGGAAATTGCTCGCCTATCTGTCATACCGATTAGCATGGCACGAACGCAGGATCGGCCTGTCACTCCTAGCTCCGATAATACTAAAAAGCGTGTGTGGCAAGAGAGGATGGCTCTGTATCGAAAAGCAGTAGGCCCAAGCGACCACTTGCGTAGTGGACCTGGTGGAGTAGGGGGTGACAGGATATGCTATCTGCAAACCACTCATGTTTTGGCCATGGATGCAGTACAGCAACGGAAGCCGAGTTGCCAATAGGAGGTCTCGACATGGCCAATGTTTGTATTGTGAATGCAGGGGGCAAATTGACCACCTTTCTCTGGAGATGCCCGCTCGCGCTCATTACATTTTAGGACGAATGCATGTAAATCGTGTGCGTTCTGAGGACTGCTCTGGGCATCAAATGCCACTAGGACGGTGAGAATTCTCTATCTGCGAGAAACTGCACCGTTCCATGCAGTTGAGTCCCTCGGCTGCCCGAGCGACAGGCAATTTTTGTGCCTCAGTCTATATTTCACCACACAGATCCCCAACTCGCCTTCCTGACACATGCAGCTGCCCACCCCCATTCTCCAAATACATAGCTGGGCTTCTGTCACATATAAAGCCGAGCGCACGCACCCCCCACCAGAAACTGCAGGCTCACCTCAGCAACAAGCTAAAGCAGATTCGTTCTCTCTTCTTACCTAATAATCCATAAGCACCTTCAGCCCTGCCTAATTCCTCGCTGGTAGCATCCTTCACTTCGTCAATGCTATTCAAGTACAGCATCCTGGCACTGCTCGTCCAAGCCATCGCTGTCCGAGCACACAGTGACTTGGGCAAGCGCGGCAATATTGCCTCTTGCCCCGGCTACAAGATCGTCTCCAAACAAGATATGGCTAGCGGGTTCTCAGCCACGCTCAAGCTTGCCGGCAAACCTTGCAATGCCTATGGCAATGACGTTAGCGATCTGAAGCTCAACGTCGATTTTGACAGCCAGGACCGACTGCATGTGCATGTGCAAGATTCAGCCGGCAAACAGTACCAGATCCCAGCATCGGTGCTGAAGCTGGATGCGAGCAAACAGACAAACAAGAGCAAGGCGAGCCTCAAGTTCAACTACTTCCAGGACGCCAAGCATGGCTTCGGCTTCAAGGTGTCGCGCGGCAAGGACACAGTTTTCGACACCACCGGTCACCCGCTGATCTTCGAGGACCAGTACATTGAAGTGACATCGAACCTGCCCAGCAATGCCAACATCTACGGCATTGGTGAGACGCCCGACTGGTTCCGGCGTGATACCGCCAACACAATCAAGACACTGTGGAACCGCGATGCAGCAGATCCGTTCCAGGAGAATGTCTACGGCTCGCATTCGATCCACATGGAGCTGCGCAATGGCAAATTCCACGACGCCTACCTGCACAACTCGCACGGCATGGACATTGTGCTCGCCAACAACACAATCCAGTACCGCGTGCTGGGCGGCACCGCCGACTTTTACTTCTTCAACGGACCGACGGCACTCGATGTCATTGACCAGTACACGGAGCTGGTTGGCTGTCCGAACCGCATACCATACTGGGCACTGGGGTTCCAGAACTGCCGGTATGGCTACAAGAGCGTCTATGAGGTCAACGACGTGATTGCCAACTACTCCAAGGCCGAGATCCCATTGGAGGTGGCCTGGACCGACATCGACTACATGGACCGCACGCGCGACTTCACCTTTGACCCAGTCAACTTCCCGCTCAGCGAGATGCAGAAGCAGCTCGAGTACCTGCACGCGCACAATCAGAAGATGGTGCTTATGACCGACCCAGCCATCCAGCGCAACTCTTCTTACGGCCCGTATGCACGCGGCCTTGAGCAGGACGCGTTTGTCAAGAATTCTGACGGTAGCGTGTTTGTAGGCCAGGTATGGCCCGGGTACACGGCATTCCCGGACTGGTTCGCGCCCAACGCCGACAAGTGGTGGAGTGGCGAGCTGAAGCGCTACTTTGATGCGCTGCCAATTGATGGCATGTGGATTGACATGAACGAAGCTGCAAACTTCTGCACTGGCAGCTGTGGCTCAGGAATCCCTGAAGATGTTGTGCCTGAGTATCCGTGGAAGGCCAGCCCGCCGCCTGTCTACCGCCCTCTTAATGCCAGCAATCTGATTCTAGCGCCACCCTATGCAATTCATAATCCGGCATCTGAACTCTCCAACAAGACCATCGAGACCACAGCCCTGCATGCCAATGGCGTCCTGGACTACCACGTGCACAACATCTACGGACTGATGATGTCTATTGCCACACGCAAGTTCTTGACGAACCACCGCCCCAATATCCGCCCGTTCTTGCTCTCGCGCTCCACGTTTGCAGGTTCTGGTGCCTTGGTTAATCACTGGACTGGTGACAATGCGTCTACATTTAAGGACCTGCATGTGTCAATTGCGTCGATGCTGGATTTTGGCATCTTTGGTATTCCAATGGTCGGCGCCGATATCTGCGGTTTCAACCTGGGCGCAACCGAGGAGCTGTGCGCGCGCTGGATTGAGGTCGGTGCCTTCTACCCATTCTCGCGTAACCACAACGCTATTGGCGAAGATCCACAGGAGCTCTACCGGTGGGAGTCTGTGGCCGAGGCCAGCCGCCGTGCCCTCACTGTTCGCTATACCCTGCTTCCATACTTCTACACCAACTACCAGCATGCTGTCGAGAATGGCTGGCCAGTTGCCCGCCCGCTCGTGTTCCAGTACCCCGAGATCGCAGCCACCTCTGCAATTGACAAGCAGTTCCTGATCGGCGATGGGCTCCTGATCTCACCGGTGCTGACTCAAGGTGCAGTCACTGTCGATGCGTTCTTCCCCAAGGGCATCTGGTACGACTGGTACACATACAAGGCAGTCAAGGGCGAGAACAAGGAAATCACATTAGATGCCCCGCTGGAGCACGTCAACGTGCATGTCCGTGGTGGTGCGATTCTGCCGGCCCAGGTCCCCGCCATGACGACCACCGACTCGCGCAAGAACGACTATTATCTTGTCGTTGCCGTAGATGAGCGTGGTCGTGCTGAGGGAAAGCTGTACCTGGATGATGGCGAGACCTTCGATACTCCGCATCGCTGGATCTCGCTGGAGTACAAGAACGGTAGGCTGTCGGTCTCACAGGACAATGGCAACTACAGAGTGGCCCCCAAGCTCACCAAAGTCGTATTGCTTGGTGTCGATAATGTCAAGACAGTCAGGGTTGGCGGTGCATCGCAGAGCGCAGCCAAAATTTTGTCAGAGAACGGCAGCACCACAGTGGAGGGTCTCAGCATTGATCTGAACCGCAGCGCAAGCATCTCGTTTAAGTAACCTCTTTCCGACGCAACGTTGAGCCATAGGAATTTATCAAATTGCCTACACGACAGTTCAACATAGCCTGCATCAAATGGGACCAATTGTCAGCTCTATATCAAAAGGCAGCCATTAACAATATAAACACGGTATAGAGCTGCGCAGATGTTACATATGCTATTTGATCGTCTTTAATTTCAACTTTTTATGTTTGTCCTTTTTGACCTTGTCCTTCTTTGAGTGTTTCGCGCTATATTCCTTGTCCTTAGATCTGTGTTTCTTTTTTGTCGGCTCGTGGACGGCTGGTGCCACAGACGCTGGGCTGCTAATCCGGCTGAATGGGTTTGTCTTCGGCTGTGGTGCTCCAGGTGATGGCGACGAATGGCTAGGCTGTGGCACGCTGGTCACTGGCGATTTTTCAGGCTGCATCGACCCCTGCCGCACTCGATCAAGGAAGGAGCTTTGCGAAACTGCATCCATCCCAGCCATCCTCCTTTTAATGGTGTACATAGGATCCATTGGCTTGTCACTCATGTTCCATCCAAAGCCATCATTCTCAGCATTTGCCTCGAGATATTTGCTCTTTTCGGCGGCTGGTCTGGCCGAATCCCGATTGGTCGTGATAGCCGACTGCTCAGCCGGTGTGCGTGGAGCCCAGGTTCTCTTCATGCCCTTTTCGGATTAAGCAAAACGCGTTAAAATGTTGTGGTATTGTGGTAAATATAAAAGCATAGTAAATGAGAAAATAAAACGCGATCAAAGACCTAGTGGTGCGAGGGTTGCGATATGGAGGTGTGGCTAGAGATATGGGGAAAGCGTAGCAGAAATTGAATATCGAACAAATGGGAATGGAGGGATATTTTTTTGGTACGCTCATGCGTTCTAAATGCCTAGACGGGGACATTTAGTTTACAACAACCGATGTCGTGCATGTAGTAGGTTCGTTGACGGTTATTGACAGGGTCTGAACCGGCTGAGCTGGCTGAGGAGTGACAGGAACGGCGGCAGTGTTTGTCGGATACATGGGGATAATCTGAGGAGGCTGGCTGACAATGAAGACAAGAGTCTCCTCAACAGGCGGGCGGGGGACAGAAGCGATATAGCTAGGCTGAACAGGGCTCACAGTAGGCCGGGGCTGAGCGGGGGCAGGCGGCCCAGTAGAGAAGATGACCGGTCCAGGACCAAAGGGATAGAGCGGAATTTCCCAGACAACTGTTTCCCACTGAGTCGCAAATGGCGGGAGCTCACGTGGCGGGGCGAGCCAGCTAGATACTGGGGTTGTCACGCACACCTCGCTAACCGTGGTGGTGACGGTGACAGCTGGCTGGGTGACGGTGACAGTGACTGGCGGAATGACACCAGGTGTAGGCGTGGACTCCTCGATCTCGACACACTCGGTCTCATCAGTGTAGACAGGAGGCAAAGTATCGATCTCTTCGACTGGAGTGGAGCTGGCTGGCGGAACGACGGAGGGCTGCTCTGCAGAACTGATCGGGTTTGAAGGGGCAAGCGTGCTTGGAGCAGGGGCCTCAGGAACACTAGGCTGTGAGGCGGGAGGGCTGGGAACAGGGGCGCTAGGCTGCGAAGCCGGAACACTGGGCATCGGAGCCGGGACACTAGCGACCTCTGTGGTACGCTCTACAATGGTATCAGCAGAGGTTTGGCTTTTAGCCTCCTCAGTATAATCGACGATAATCTCAGGTGTAGGTACCTCGATCTTAACGCAGGTAGATTCTGCAGAGGAAACCCCTGGGGCACTGCTGCTCGGAGATGGGGCTGGCACACTGGGCTGGGGAGAAGGAGGGCTAGCGATTTGAGTTGAGCGCTCAATGATAGTCTCGACAGAGGGAGTACCAGGGATCAGTTCGGTAAACTCGATGACAAGCGTGGCGGGCGGCTGCTCGGTAGCAACAACCGGGGGCTGGCTGGAAAGCGGTGTAGGAGGGACCATGACCTCGGAAGGCTGTTCAACAGTGGTCCCAACCGAAGCAGTCGACTGCACTTCCTCAGAACAGGTGCTCGGTGCGGGAATAGCGGGAACACCAGTGCTCTGGGTAGCAGCTGGAACCTGGGGAGCCGAGCTCACCGACAAGAACTCGATAATGATTTCGCCCTGAGCTGGAGGCTGCGTGGGCTGAGATGGAACGGCAGGCTGAGAAGGAGCAGCCGATGGAACTGATGGGACAACCTCAGGGGCGCTTGGGGAAGGAATTGAGGGCGGAGGAGTGGCCACAAATGTAACGCTGGGAGGAGCTGGTGCGGATGGTTGGTTGGCCTGGTAACCAGGAACCGGCAGAGCAGGAGACTCTGTATTAACAGGCTGCGCAGGAATCCCGGGAACCACAGTTTCGACAGGCTGAGCGGGCACCTCGGGCACAGCGGGCACCTCGGTAACGGAGGGCTGAGCAGGAACCTCAGGAACAGCCGGAATTCCAGGCATTCCATGAGTAACTGGCTGAGCAGGCACACCAGTAGCAGAGGGTGGAACAGGAGCACTGGGTACAGTTGGGAGTCCTGGAATCTCAGGTATGGTAGGTTGAACAGGCGCTTCGGTAACAGAAGGCTGGGCGGGAATCTCAGTCAGAGATGGAATCGCAGGGCCATTAGATGGAGGAAGGGTTGCAGGGGGAATGACAGTATGGTAATCCGGGGACGCCGGGCTCTCGACTGCGGGCGGAGCTGGAACGTTGCTGAACTCGATGATCTGTGTGGCAACCGGCGGGGCGGGGACAGCAGAATGCCCACCAAAGCCCGTCTCCTCAGCCAGCACAGGTGTGGGCAATGCCGGCGAATTGGCGACATATGAGTACGGGCTAGCGCTAGCCATTGCCTTCGACAACAAGACGCAAGTCCAGAGAAGCTTCATTTTTGTGAATTTTTGGTGCGTGAAATGGTATATGAGAGGGAAGGAAAGAATGTATGGAGTGTGTAAGGAGAGGGTAGGGAGGCGTGAGAGAAGAAACAAAAGCGCAAGAGAGTGAGAAAGATGTAGGTGAGTTTGTATGAATGTCCAACTATACGGGAGTTCTGAAGCAAACAGGAGTTGCAGTCTGAATATATAGGCAGAGCTACCGGACAATAATGGATGCGAGCAGGGAGGGAAGGGAGGACGAAAGAAGGACGGAGAAATGACCCGGAAAACGTGGTTAGAATGGAAGTTGGAGGATAGGGTTTTCTGAAAATACCGCCTCCAATACGGGCTATTTGATGAAAATGCAGACCACCAACTATACTGGTCCCCACATCCCTCACTGAATAGTCAACAAGTGCTCTGGGAATGAGATATATTGTCCTGACCACGATTTGACTCGGTGCGACCTGCTTTGTTTACTCAGGTAACTAAAGCACTACTCCTCTGCGGGCAGTAGTCTTGAATGCATATCATCTACTGCCCACCGTTGGATGAATGTTTGCATTTTGAGTTTCTCGAGTGCTGCGAACGTTGTTGACAAGACCGCCTCCCCCAAAGTTCTGGCATGGTCGTCAACAAAAGCACTTGCACCGGCGAAGCAAAAGAACGTTTCTCATATCGCCTGATACTATTCTGCATGGCTTATTTCCCCCTGAAATGAGACATGCACATAGTCGGCTGCTAAACTTCGAATATGCAAATAGTTGGTGTTTGCGCATTACTAGAATTTCTTCTGATACCCATGGGATACTTTGCTTATTTAAGCTGCAGAAGGGCGTACCGACACTTGGTCCCTGGTTAGGCGATATGCTAATGAGAAGGGGAGCATGTTATTTCTAACCTGGGTTCAGTTACCAGTAGAGATTACGGAAGGTTGCCACTTCACTATTATCGAATCGTGATACGACAATGAATTTGGTAGATTATAGGAAATATCACCTGTATATGAGCCCACTGAATACTGGAAACCAGTCATCGCTGAGCATTGTATATAACTGTAGTTCTGTCTGCTCCCTACTTGGTTCACAGGAGATGATGTGGCTATCGCATCTCTTTTGTAAAGCAACAGAGTCCGACAGCCCACCAGTGTAATCATGTCTTTAAACCAATTCCTGCATATCTGCGTCTCTTTGCACGTGTTTTTGTGCTACTGGGCCATTCTTGAAATACACAGTACCTATGGCTTTGCAGGTCAGTCTTGCAGCAGGAATCTTCAGCTGAGTTTACATTTGAGCAATTCGGTATGTCCTTTACCTGCCTCCGTGGGTATTCCACATATCGGTATACTCAGCACCTCGCTCTCGTTCCCTGACTCCACAGGGTGTGGCTCCGCATTGGGCTGCTATGCATGAGCAACTCCAACCGAGTCGAGCCGCATAATTAAGGAAGTCGCACGTGACACCAGTGATCGAAACTCAGGTTCAGTGCCCCACTCTCAGGACCAGGGGAGCAGCGGCGGTGCGGGAAAAGTAGCCCGCCAAGGCGCGCCAGGGCGCATTCCCGGCGGTATCTTACGTCGTCCGCGCTGCCTCTGTGGCCCCGCCTTTCTCGACCCCCTCTTTCGCTTTCTTCTATTCTTTCAAGTTATATATTATTTCTCTCGTCCCACTCTATTTTCCAACTGAAGACCCTTTTGAGCAAAATCCGAAATGGCCGATCAGTTGCCGATTACGTTTCAGGAGCACGTCAAGGTAAATTTCACACCTAGACAAGGGTTGGACCTCCAGATGAGGCTGCATAAGCAATGCGGACGAGATGAGAGCAAGCATGTCGTTTTTTGCTGACAAGGGCACACTATTCACACTGTAGCTCCCCGAGTTGGGAATTGACGTCAGCAACATCAGCTTCAACACGCTGACGCTTCAGTCGGACAAATTCATTTGCATCCGCGAAAAGACAGCACAGCGCGAGCAGGTATGCATTGTGGACATGGACGACACCTCGAAGACGTTCCGCCGACCGATTACAGCGGACTCTGCGATTATGAACCCGGAAAACAAGATCATTGCGCTCAAGGCCGGACGCAATCTGCAGGTGTTCAACCTGGAGATGAAGGCCAAAGTCAAGTCGTGTCTGATGACTGAGGACGTGCAGTTTTGGCGCTGGATTACCCCGTTCGACATTGCGCTGGTTACTGAGACCTCCGTGCTGCACTGGTCAATCGAGGGCACGTCGTCGCCCGAGAAGCAGTTTGACCGGCACGGCAACCTAGCCGGCACGCAAATCATTGCCTACACTACCAATGCCAAGATGAACTGGATGGCACTGATTGGCATCTCGGCGCCGCAGGGCCGTGTTGTTGGCAGTATGCAGCTGTTCAACAAGGACCGGGGCGCGTCGCAGCCGATCGAGGCGCACGCTGCCGAGTTCTCAGAGATCTGGCTGGAGGGAGCCTCGCAGCCAACGCAGGTGTTTGCCTTTGCTGCCCGCAGTGCCGCTGGTGCCAAGCTGCACATTGTCGAGATTGACCACGTCGAGGGCAACCCGCCATTCCAGAAGCGCGCCGTCGACATCTTCTTCCCGCCCGAGGCAGTCAACGACTTCCCGGTCTCGATGCAAGCTGGACCCAAGTACGAGCTGGTGTACCTGGTAACCAAGTTTGGTTTTATCCACCTGTACGACCTGGAGACCGGAGCGTGCGTGTTCACCAACCGCATCTCCGGTGATACTGTCTTTGTCACGACCAAGCACGATAACGGCATCATTGGCGTCAACCGCAAGGGCCAGGTCTTGTCCGTCAATGTCAATGAGGACACCATCATTCCGTACATCCTGGCCAACTCGGGGAACGTTGAGCTTGCGTTCCGTATGGCGTCGCGCGCCAACCTCCCAGGCGCCGACCAGCTGTACGTGCAGCGGTTCCAGCAGCTGATGCAGCAGGGCCAGTACAACGAGGCGGCAAAAATGGCCGCTAGTTCGCCGCGTGGAATGCTGCGCACCGAGAACACGATCGACCAGCTCAAAAACCTGCAGAGTGCGCCGGGCCAGCTGCAGCCGATCCTGCAGTACTTTGCCACAATCCTCGAGAAGGGCGAGTTGAACCGGTACGAGTCCATTGAGCTTGCGCGCCCTGTGCTGGCATCGAACCGCAAGGCGTTGCTGGAAAAATGGCTCAAGGAGGACAAGCTCGAGTGCAGCGAGGAGCTGGGTGACATTGTCATGCAGCACGACTCGACATTGGCGCTGTCGATATATCTGCGTGCCAACGTGCCTAACAAGGTCGTCATCTGCTTCGCGCAGTCGGGCCAGTTCGACAAGATCGTGCTCTACTGCAAGAAGGTCAACTACACGCCTGACTGGGTCCCTCTGCTGCAGCAGATCACGCGCATTGACGGCGACAAGGCGTGCGACTTTGCGCTGTCGCTGGTCAAGGAGAACCCGCCTCTAGTCACTGCAGACCAGGTGGTCAGCGTGTTCACCAGCCAGAACCTGGTCCAGCAGACCACGCGGTTCCTGCTCGATGCCCTGAAGGAGGACAGGGAGGAGGAGGCCCACCTGCAGACCAAGCTGCTTGAGATGAACCTGCTGCGTGCACCGCAGGTCGCCGACGCCATCCTCGGCAACAACATGTTCTCGCACTTTGACCGCCCGTATGTTGCACAGCTGGCTGAGAAGGCTGGTCTGTACCAGCGTGCTCTTGAGCTCTATGACAACCTGGACGACATCAAGCGCGTAGCTGTGCACACTGAGGTGCTGAATGGCGAGTGGCTCATTAGCTACTTTGGCAACCTGTCGGTCGACGACTCGCTGGCGGTGCTGCGCCAGATGCTCGATCACAACATGGCGCAGAATCTGCAGATTGTTGTGCAGGTTGCGACAAAGTACAGCGAGCTGCTCGGCGCACAGAAGCTGATTGACATGTTCGAAAACTACCGCTGCAACGAGGGCCTGTACTACTACTTGGGCTCGGTCGTCAATGTCACCACGGATCCAGCCGTCGTGTTCAAATACATCCAGGCTGCTGCACAGACCGGTCAGATCAAGGAGGTCGAGCGTGTGGTGCGCGACAATGACCACTATGATGCCGAGAAGGTCAAGAACTATTTGAAGGAGGCGTCGCTGCCCGACCAGCTGCCGCTCATCATTGTGTGCGACCGCTTCGAGTACGTGCATGATCTGGTTCTGTACCTGTATTCCAACGGCATGAACAAGTACATCGAAGTCTATGTCCAGCAGGTCAACCCGTCGCGTCTGCCCCAGGTCGTTGGTGCCCTGCTTGATGTCGACTGCGATGAGTCGGTGGTCAAGTCGCTTATCTCGTCGACCTCTGGCATGTTCTCGATCAGCGACCTTGTCGATGAGGTCGAGAAGCGCAATCGCCTCAAGGTCCTGCACCGCTGGCTCGAGGCCAAGGCTGCCGAGGGCTCGCAGGACCCGGGGGTCTACAACGCTCTGGCCAAGATCTACATTGACAGCAACTACGAGCCCGAGAAGTTCCTGTCGAGCAACAAGCTGTACGACCCGCGTGTCATTGGTGCCTACAGCGAGAAGCGCGACCCGAGCCTAGCATACCTGGCCTATTCTCAGGGCCAGTGCGACGACGAGCTGCTGCGCCTGACCAGCGAGAACAGCATGTTCAAGCAGCAGTCGCGCTATCTGATCAAGCGCCGCGACCTGGGTCTGTGGAGCAAGGCGCTGTCGGGCGACGACCAGCACGTGCTGAACCAGAGCCACCGCCGCCAGCTCATCGACCAGATCGTGTCGTATAGCCTGCCGGAGGCCGATGATCCCGAGGAGGTGTCGGTGTGCGTCAAGGCATTCATGGCTGCTGGTCTGCCGCAGGAGCTGATCGAGCTGCTGGAGCGCATCATCCTGGAGGACACGCCATTCAGCAACAACAACAACCTGCAGAACCTGCTTATTCTGACTGCAGTCAAAGTCGACCCGTCGCGTGTGGCCGACTACATTGAGCGCCTGGGCAACTACGACGCTCCGGACATTGCTGAGATTTGCATCAACAACGGCCTGCACGAGGAGGCGTTCAACATCTACAAGCGCTTCGAGGTCAACACCGATGCCATTGGTGTGCTCATCGACCACGTTGGCTCGCTTGATCGCGCCTACGAGTATGCCGAGCGCTGCGACCAGCCCGAGGTGTGGAGCCGCCTTGGTAAGGCCCAGCTCGAGGGCCTGCGTATCAAGGAATCAATTGATTCGTACGTGCGTGCCGACGATGCTACCAACTACGCCGAGGTCATCGATGTTTCGTCCCATGCGGGCAAGTTCGACGACCTGGTGCGCTTCCTGCTGATGGCGCGCAAGAAGGTGCGTGAGCCCGCTGTTGAGTCCGAGCTGCTCTTTGCCTACGCAAAGACCGAGCGTCTGTCTGACCTTGAGGACATGCTGCGCGGGCCCAACATCGCGCAGGTGCAAAAGGTCGGCGACCGCTGCTACGACGAGGGTCTGTTTGAGGCCGCGCGCCTGCTGTTCCAGAACGTGTCCAACTGGGCCCGCCTTGCCTCGACTCTGGTGCGCCTCGGCGACTACCAGGCTGCTGTCGACTGTGGTCGCAAGGCCAACTCAACCCAGGTGTGGAAGGATGTCAACTCGGCCTGTATTGCTGAGAAAGAGTTCCGCCTGGCGCAGATCTGCGGCCTGCATCTGATTGTGCACGCCGAGGAGCTGGAGCCGCTGGTGCGCCAGTACGAGCAGGGCGGCTACATCGATGAGCTCTGCTCGCTGATTGAGAACGGCCTCGGCCTGGAGCGCGCGCACATGGGCATGTTCACTGAGCTGGCGATCCTGTACTGCAAGTACAAGCCCGAGCAGATCATGGACCACCTGAAGCTGTACTGGTCGCGGATCAATATCCCGAAGGTGATTCGTGCCTGCGAGGCCGCGCACCTGTGGCCTGAGCTTGTGTTCCTGTACGTGCACTACGACGAGTTCGACAATGCTGCGACGACCATCATCCAGCACTCGGCCGATGCCTGGGAGCACGCCAGCTTCAAGGACATCATCGTCAAGGTGTCGAACGTTGAGCTGTACTACAAGGCGCTTCGGTTCTATCTGGCCGAGCAGCCGCTGCTGCTGAACGATCTGCTGAACGTGATGATGCCGCGCATCGACCACACGCGCGTGGTCAGCATGTTCCTAAAGTCCGACAACATCCCTCTGATCAAGAAGTACCTTGTCGCAGCCCAGTCGACCAACAACAAGTCGGTCAACGAGGCCTACAACGACCTGCTGATCGAGGAGGAGGACTTTGTCGGCCTGCGCAACTCAATCGACAACCACGACAACTTTGACGGCATCGGCCTTGCGCAGCGCCTGGAGAAGCACGATCTGCTCGAGTTCCGGCGCATCGCCGCGCATCTGTACAACCAGGCCAAGCGCTGGCGCCAGTCGCTGAACCTGTCCAAGAAGGACAAGCTGTACAAGGATGCAATGACCACGGCGCGCCAGTCGGGCAGCACCGAGATCGCCGAGGACCTGCTGCGCTACTTTGTCGAGTCGGGCAACCCGTCGTGCTTCTCGGCATGCCTGTACACATGCTACGACCTTGTGCGCTCGGACGTCGTCATGGAGCTCGCCTGGCGCCATGGCCTGTCCAACGAGGCCATGCCGTACTTTATCAACCTGGTGCGCGAGTACCAGGTCAAGGTCGATACCCTGACAACCGAGGTCAGCGAGCTCAAGCTCAAGGTCGAGAAGAGCGGCAGTGGCGGTGCTGGCGGCAGCAGCGACGGCGCCAACCAGCTGCTGGGCCCGGCTGGCCTTGGTGGGCGGCTCATGATCGGCAATGGACCGACGGCGGGTGGTGCCCCGAACGTGTTCGGCGGAGCTACGCCTGGCAACAACGCGTCGCAGTTTGGTGGCTCGCAGTTTGGCGGGTTCTAAATCTGGCCAATCAATTTTCTTTTCCTAATCATCCCTTCAATCGCAAAATTTCCAAATCAACAGCAGTTACATTTTTTCCGAGAGGAAACAGCAGCTCCCTGTGCTCCCCTCCCTTTGCATTTCGCTATTCTTCTTGTAAAATGTCGCCACCGGAACAGAAGCGCAAGCGCGCCAGCTCTTCAGACGACAGCTCCGGGAGCGATAGCGGAGGCGCACACAACGCACATGTATCTGCCGGTCGGTCAGAGGCGACCCGCGAGGACGACGCACGGATCTCGTACAAGAGCTCCGAAGAGATAACCCGGTCCATCCGCACAACCAACCCTGATCTGCTCGTTCAAGGTAAGCGCAAGCACCCGCATGCATTCGTTATAGGCTGGGTGCATATATACCATCTAAGCTGCTCCTCGCTGCTGTAGGATTCACGCACTTCCGAGAGCACCTAAGGCTGTGCACTCGCAAGCCGCGCCACCAGGAGACTGCCGAGGAGCGTGCGCTGCGCGAGTCCAACAAGCGCGTCGTATTTGAGTGGGCTGAGCTGCCCGAGTCCTTCTCCGATCTCTCTTCGGCCTGGCATTTGGCGACCACCAACGCCGTGGCGCGCCTGGACGGCCTGGTGCCCGTGACGCTGGCCAGCCTCCTGGAGGTATTTGACACGCCATCGACAAGTCGGCATGGCAACAAGCTGATCAGCGTCGTTATGGAGGGGTTCATGAAGACGATTTACCGGGCATTCTCGACGCCGCGGTCGTTTGCGTGCGCAGCGGTTCTGCAGCTGCTGACGCAGATGGTAGTGTTTGCTAATGGCGAGCACGCTGATGAGATCCGAATGGCGTTTGACTGGACGATCAAGACCTTGGGCCAGCTGCCGTTTATCAGGGCACAGGGGACGGCCACTGGCATCCGGATGCTGTGGATCCGCTTCGTGATGTCGTTTTTTGCGGCCGAGCGCTGCACCAGCGCCAAGGAGCTGCTGAGGAGCGGCAGCCTGATTCGTGATCTGTTCAAGGGCGTGGAGCAGGACTCGTACCCTGAGCTGAGCGAGTTCCTGCACAAAGTACATACCGGCATCGTTACCAATGATGAGGTTCGGAGGTCGGACAAAATATCGCTGTTTGGCACACGCGTCATTGAGATGATTATGCGAGCAGCAGACAACCACGAGGTCGTCGAGTTGCGCAGGGTGGGCGTTGCCCAGATGGAGATGTTTGCGCCGCAGGTGACCGACGCCGATCTGCGGTTCCAGAGCGACACAATATCGGATCTGATCATCCGGTTTATGAGCGGGCTGATGACGCACCCTGGAGTAGGGATATGCTTCAAGGAGTATGGGCTGTACCCGGCGCCGCGCAAGTGGGCCAGCGAGGCCGGCGACAAGGACAGCGATGGCCTGGACAATGGCGATGACGAGGACATACAGGATGTTGCGGTCTTGTCGCGCGGCTCTTCTAGGCAGCTGCAGTATCTGTGCAATGGCGCAGTCCTGCGGATCCTCGTCCAGCGCATCAACCCGTCGCAGTCCAGGCAGCGCACAGATCTGGCAGTTTCAATCTTGCGGGCCAGCCCCGAGCTAATTGCGCCGTTTTGGCGAAACATCTCGTGCTCGTTCGAGCCGCGGCTCTCGTTGCGGTACCTCGGCAACACCACGCTGGCGCTCAAGATCCTTGGGCTTCCTCTGCCTGTCCCGAAAGAGGGCGATCCACAGAGACATGGGCCGCCGAGGCTCAACACCCTAGTTGAGCACGTCGCGCCATTCCCACTGACGCGGCTGATTGTTGGCCGTGGATTGCAGCACAAGGATTCGGCGTTGGTGCGGTACCGCAATCTTCTGATTATTGATCTTGTCTTGCGCAAGCTGGCTATGGCACGGGCCTGGATCCAGAGCGAGATCAAGCTAGGCGACAGTACCAGCAAATGGGGCGTGTTCGAGAAGCAATTGCTGGCGGCCGTCAAGCAGAGAATCCCTGAGTGGAAGGTTGTGATTTCGGCGCACCAGGAGATTCAGAGCAAGGCTGCCTCCGATACGTCGGCGGACGAGGACCTGCGGGAGGCGGAGTGCCAGCGGGCCCTGATGAGCAATGTGCTTATGCGCATTGTCCACGGCTACCAGGAGCACTTCAATGAGCTTATCATCGAGTCACGATTCGAAATCGGAAAGCTCATTGCTGACATTAACTTGGCAGAGGTGGTCTCTACGGGAGCTGCCAGCAGCTCAAAGGTGCGCAATCCTATGAGCGCGCACACGCTCTTGTATTTGCTGCAAGTACTTGCAACCACGCCGGCCGCGCACATCAAGTGGACAGCAAAGGCCAGCGGGTCTTCCACACAGCACACGAATTTGGGTGTCATCCTGACCATCTACTTGTTTGCGGTGCAGCCAGAGCTGCGTCGCAATGCCCGCACCGTCTGCATTAACGCGCTGATGTCATCGGGGCTGTTTGATCATGAGCATGGGTGCCATATGGCATTCCGCGAGGCCAACTGCTGGCTCGACACCCTGGCTGCACTGACGTCGCCGCTGGCCTGCAGAAATGTGCGGCTCGGACAGATCTCGCAGAGCGATTTGGAGGGTGGCCAGGCGTTGGTTTCATTCCTCGAGGATGCTGTTGCGCAGGCTGCCCGGCTGCCGTACAAGTACGTGGACCGGATCCAGGCGCTGACGTCGGCGGATTCGCTGCCGTTTAGTCCATTGCTGCCAGCGGTGGTCGAGGCGGCGCTGCTGAAGGCGTCTAGCGGAAACGGCCCACTGGCGAGCAGGCTGAAGGATGCCAGCGAGGGCAAGGTTGCTGCCGAGATGTGTGTGAACCACATGTTTGCGTTTATTCGAGAGCTTGTGAGCCGGATCGCAGAGCTCAAGGGCAAGGGAGCGGCCAAGCAGCTTAGATCGTTCATCGAGGGGTGTGCGAAGCAGCTGTTTGACGCACGCCTGGCCAAGGCCGGTGCGAAGGCTGACAAAGATCACTACAGCAAGGTCGCTGAGGCATTCAGTACTTCATTGTCGGGAACACTAACCTATCTATCGGCGATCAAATCACACAAGGGCAAGAAAACCAAAGCCGACAAGGTACCGAAGAAGCTGGGCAAGGACTTGGCAGACGCGTGCACGAAGATGGAGTTTGCTGACCCGTCCGATATTCTCGACAAACTGGCCCAGGTTCTCCGCCTGCACGCTGATTCCGCGAAACCGCAGATGATCACCCGCTGGCTAGTCGAGCAGGTCGCCGCTATGCCTGCTGATGACATGCGGGCGGCGCTTCCGGTGGTCGCCGTGTGGATCACGCGCTGTGACTCGCAGAATGCGTCGCTGTGGTCGTACGCTGGGTTCACCGCACTGGCCCCGGCTCTGCTGAAGCTCGATGACGCCCAGGTCCGCCTGGTTCTGTTCCGCGCCCTGCTGCTGAGCACCTCATTTACCGAGCTGATGGGTGGGGATCTGGTGAAGCAGCTTTTGACCGCGCTCTTGGTTGCCAGCAGCGGCACAGCGGAGTTCTGCACGTACGCAACTCGGCTGGTGGGCTGGTCGACAAACACGCCTGATACGCTGGCGTTCGCATTCGAGCTTGTCACTGCACACGCGACGGCCCGCGGCGTTGAGCCATTTGTTTTGGAGCGATATGCTGAAGCCCTTACCCCCCAGGCCAATCTTGGCGATTCGGATTTGCAGCAGGCGTTTGATTTCTACGTCTGCAAACTGGCGCGCAAGTCGAACAAGGACTGTGCAGCTGCTGCCAGGGTGTGGCATGCACTGACTAGACGCGTTGCCGACTGCGTCACTGCGTCTGCCGACAGGCCAAGCGAGCACTCGCTAATGTTGCTGCGCACCATTGCACCTGTGATCGGATCGGAAGCGCGTGCCACTCTAGCAGCGGCCCTGGGCGCTGTTATTGAGCGCGACTCTGCTGACGCTGATCTGCTGCCGTCGCTGATTTCGACAACATACACGCTGCTTGACGACCATTCGGAGTCAAGCGGCAGCTTGGTGGCAGTCAAGGAGAAGCTGTCGGTGCGGATCATTGGCCTGTGGACGGCGCGGCTGAGCGGGAAAGAGGGCAGCTCACAAAACGCCAGCGCACTGGAGCACACTGTCAAGCGGGTCACTGCGCTGCCTGGGTTTTTGACAGGCTCGGTGCAGTCCAAGCTCGTTGACAGAATTGCCCAAGCAAAATCCGCGTTGGTGCATTTTGACCAGCGGTACTCGGCTGGCGACAATGTCGTAGATGTGCTGGCTGTGGTTTGCAATCTGTGGCAGCGTGCAGACATCGACGGCGCGTTCGGCGAAGATGCAGGCAAGCGAGAGATTCTTGCTCGCCTTCTGGCTGCTGATGGCCAGCTGCGCAAGACTGTGTGGCAGTGGGTTGTTGAAAACACGCAGTGCAAGAGCTCGTCGCACCAGGCATGGCTCCTGGTCTGGCTCCTGGCGAATTTGGCCCAGGCGTGCTCCACGCAGGACTCGTATGGCCGCATTAGCTGGGGTAAGGCTGATATGGCAAGCGATGTCAGGGCCAAGTTACTGGACACAGCGAGCCGCATTGCCCCGGATCAGCTGGCAAACGACTCTGAGCTGGTGTTTGCTATGAGCGCTGCAATCCAGGGCACAGCAGACCCTGCAATTGCCGACGCTCTCTGCGAGGAAGCCACTTCGAACCGTGCAGCTGCTTTGCGCTCAAAGCTGCTGCGTGTGTGCGAGTATCCGACCGAGCTCACGGCCCATTTTGAAGCACTGGCAGAAACACTCAGCCTGAGCCGGGAACTGGCCAGCCAGAGCGAGTTTGCATCCATGGATGTGCTTGCCAGTGCCTGCGAGTTCAGCCTGCGCTTCCAGTTGGACCACTTTACCAGACCCGACGCCATGGATGTCGATGTGTCGGTGGACGATACTGAGGTGGCCAAGACCGCGGTTTCCAGCTTGTTCAGTGGCTTGGATATGCTCATTGGCGATATCTGCTCGCCGTTCTCTATCGCCTCAGGGTGGAAGGAGTCCGAAGTCCAGGCTGCCAGCACCAAGTACCCGGTGTCCGTGTACAGGCTGCTTGCATTTGTCGCCCAGACCGTGCAGACTGTCACAGAGGCGTACCAGCTGACACCAGATCCGGAGCTCAAGTGGTTTGATGCCCTGAAGCAGCTCCTCAACTGCCGCTGCTTCATTTCACGCATACAGGACGCGCAGCTGCGCGATCCACTGGCACTGCTCATATCTGCGCTGTGGAACCTGGCGAAGCCGTCGCTATCGCGCTGGTCGGCATCCCTGGATGACTACTTGTGCTTGGACGAACTTGAGAGTCTGGTCGGTGCCTATGGCGGCAGCCGGTTGTTGGCAGACAAAATCCTGCTCAGAGTTATTGGCGACTACGAGGCAACGACACGGCAAAGTGTGATGCGCGGCTTGTTGCTGTTTGGCCCCTCCGCAGCCAAGACATATATCCGAGACCGGATCGGACGGATCGCGTACCTGATCGACAGAAACGAAAATGACGTGGGTGTCGTCGATGAGGATGTCATTGCCCGGGCCATTGTTAACATCGATAGCGGTAGGCTGTTCCGCTCGGTGCTAAACTTCCCAGTTGAACAGACCGATGATGGCTCACCGGTTCAGCAGATGCTGGCAGTTCAATTCGGAGCCGCAGTGGAGACTGACAAGGAGCAGCTGGGCCAAGTCTACGACCACGAATTCGTGCTTAGGTGGGTCTGGTCGATCGTGGCATCCGGCCACACATTTGACATTCGTCGGCTGTTTGACATTAACGCTGCCGGCGTTGCGTTTGTTGCCTTATCCTCAGCCAGCGAGAAGACCCGCAAGCTGGCGTACTTCATCCTTGACGCACTCTACCCGATTCTCACCAGTGCGCAGAGACTGGGTGGCCAGCGCCAGTATCTTCTGCTGTTCAACAGCCTGCGCAACGCTATCACGGAGCGCACCCAGTGGGAGTACCCGCGCGTGCCTCTAACCATGACCATGTTTGCCGCCTCGTCCCTGAACGTCCTGATGCACCCTGACCACGTCATGTTTGGCCACGTCAACAAGCACCTTCTGTCCAAGCCTTATTTGAGCGCTGACGAGATCCCACTGCTGCGTTCGGCGATGAAGTCAACGACAAACACGAAGCGCGAGCGCGTGCATATTCTGAGGATGGCGGCACAGAGCGCCCGGTCGTTTGACGGCTCGTCGGACGCGTTCCGCCGCGCCAATGTCGCCAACATTCTGTTCACACTGGCGTCGAATCCCTTGGGCGATGTGCTGACCAGCAGAGCGGCAATGACCATGGCGTTTAATTTGACTGGCAGACAAAACTCTGACGGGCTACTGCAGCATGTGTCTAAGCGTCGCCCGTCGCTGCTGACCTGGATCCGCCAGCAGGTCTCTCTGCAGCTGAATGCTTTGCTAGGGGCGGCGTCGTTGGTGAAGGCCGAGGGAGCTACAGGAAACACGTTTATTGCGACTCAGCAGATGCAGGCAGCGCTGATCAACCTGCTTGCGTTTGCACGACTACTGGCGAGAATTGTCGGAAACTTTTCGCTGGGCGCAGACGGCAAGGAATTCAGCCGCTTCTGGGCCGTCAAGTCGCAGGACCAGGCGAACGCCTCCGGCCAGAGCATCGTTATCAGTGTGGTGCAGCACGTGCTTGATGGAGCTGCCAGAGCTATGGCTATGGCTGGCTGGCGGAGCCCGGGTGTTGTCAGAACCGCTCTAGCTCTGGTTCACACGTCAGTTGACATTGCCGTGACTCTGTCCGATATGCAGTCATACGCTGGCGGCAAGTCGACTGCGCTGGAGTCCTCGCCGATCGCCTCGCTTGCCATCCAGGCACTCAAGCCATTAGAGCCAGCCATTGCTCAGCCTAGCGAACCCAGTGGCAGTGAGCCGGGATCAATCGAGACTGTCGTCTTGTCCCAGTTCTCGGAGTCACTATTTGCTGCTGGTGTTAGCCCGATAGACGAGTACCGCGCCTGTGTCGAATCGCTGCTGCTCTGGACGTGCTCGTTGGGAAAGGGATCGGCCGAGGTCATTAGCCGTGTTCTGGCGTCAAATGCCCCCAGCTCCACCAAGATTGTCTCGTGGATCCGCCGCACAGACTTCTAGCCTAGGTACCTAGTGGCTTTTTAGTTTATTTTGAGTCACAAAACGATAATGCAGTCGTACCATTTTTCTTCGCCGTGCTGGACATCAGACGGGCCCAAGCACTTGTATCCTGCACGCTCATAAAACCCAACCAGGTTCTCGCGCGACATCATTGCTAGACGGCTGACATTGCCCAGCTCCCTCGCCAGCTTCGTGTACTTTAGCAGCAACTGTGTCGCCAGCCCTTTGTGCTGCCAGTCTTGGCGCGTGCAGACTGAATGGATGCAGACCGTCTGTCCCTTGGGGTCGCTCCTTTCCATTGCCTCGTGGGTGACTAGTGGCAGTGATGACCGCGTCGACATGATATAGCCGACAATTCCATCGGTATCAAAGGCACCAAGGAACAGCTCTGGCGCGGTTTGGAAACGGTATAGCATGGCGGAGAGACTTGCGGCTTCGTCGGCAGGATACTCTGTTTCTTCGATGAGGTGGGCGTCCCGCACTTCCTTTTCGTTGGCGACAAGTCGGAACGTGAGCTTGGAGAGATCTACGGATGGCATTGCGTTTCAAAATGTCAAAAATATTAGCCACTGAAGGACAGATAGTGACGTAAAAAAAGCCAATCTCCGCGATTTGTACTTGTCAATGGCAGCAATTAGAATTTGGGTTGAGCCATCCGCCCAACTCGATAGGCACACGGCTGCCATGTATTGGCGTGTTGATACATGTATAAGTGGTTGTGACTATTAAGCATGCCGCTTTAGTCCTGCTGTGATAACTCGACTTGGGTGCATTTATTGTAGTCAATAGAAAAATGGTATTTAGAACACTCTCTTTCTCTTAGACGACAATACACTTGTCCGTTTGCTGCAGCATGGGAAATGCAGACAATAAAGGTGCTGGTAATGTCCCAAAAGTCAGGAGTGTCGGGAACGAGATATAAAACAGTGGCATTTGTGGTTCCATTGTGCTCGTTTGGTATTCCTAAAGCTCCTCTTCGAAGGCTATTTTATTTACCTAGCAACCATTTATACCTTCCGGAAGCTATGGACCAAGCGCTAGTAGTACCCTTGATTGCTAGGAACATACTTTCTCATCTTACAAATGACAGAATCCACTCTTTGGCAAAAACCCCAGACCCATCAGATATTCGGGAAAAGTACATCCTGGCAAGCACATGTAGAATGTGGAGAGAAATCCTGCGCCCTCATATGTATGACCATTTCTATTATAAATTCTCGCATAACCGCAGGCATACCCCCAGATATTCTGCCGACCAGCGGGATCTTGCGTCAACCTCACAATGGGGCACGTATTATTCAACAAGCACGCAGTTTTTAACATACGACCAGCAACATAATTATTTCCAGAAGCCACGAAAGCATGCACCACTGCCGATAACAACGACTACGATGTTAGATGGTTGTCTCCTGTGCCAGACGAATGCCAGAATCCTCCCCGAATATGCTCAGCCAAGGCATATCACTCTTCATCTGAATGCTTCCTCTATCATCACGTTGGATTTCGTGAATGAGCTAACCCAGAGTGTTTTCCCAAATACCAGCTGGCCATTGGCCCGGGGACTGACTATCATGTCCGAGACCCCTTTTGAACATCGTGTCCCAATCGAAGAACTGGTTGGCGCTCTTGTGTCACGGTTCCTTAGCATCGTCTCGATTACTCTAAGGCCAAGCGACAGGGGTCCGTCTAGGGCTAGCACGATAAGCGGGCTGCATGGGCATTCAGATAGGATTACTGCCTTGGATCTTGGGTCAAATTTCATGATGTTCGATTTGAATAGCCTCCGGCTTCGGTCATTAGCCAGCCTGTCGCTGCAATATGACCGGGCTCATACTCCAGAACGTCTCCCTGTGATTAACCCACGCAAGGTCAAACACTTGAAGCTCGTTGACATCCACGCAGACATGTTCTTTGGCAGGTTCGACGAGGACGCAGTCGAGGACACTGTTGTATTTTCTCAGCTCGAAACCCTTGATATCAAATTTTTTGAAGTTAGGAGTGCAGGTAGAGGACAAGCGAGGAGCATAAAGTACCGCTTCCCCAAGCTTCGCCACCTCGCTCTTGACTCTGAATCGTACGACGCGTTCGATGTGCACTCGATGATCCAAGGTTCACCGCTTGAGTACCTGAAGCTCATTGGTGATGACGATTGTTTGCACCAACTCGATTTGTCACTATTTCCAACTCTAGCTTATGCAACTATACTTGAAGGCACGACAAGGCGACCACGACTTAGCTCGGTCGATATCAGCAGGAATCTCATACGCCCCGAGTCCAAAATCCGTGAGCTCACATTGTGTTCAGTCGACCAAGCATCCCTGTTGGGGCATGAACTCGGCTGTAAGTCGCTTCGTCATCTTGAAATTAACGATGACATTGGGTTTGGGCTACTCAAACATATCGTCCAGCAACTGCCAATACTCTTGGCTCTGGATGTGCTCTTTCCGCTTACAAGCTGTGAGGATATGATTACCCAACAGGTTATTTGGAGAGCAGTGATCACCGCGCCATCGACACCACTGAACAGCTCGCTCCAGATCCTAACTCTTCGCGACAGCTACCAAGAGCAACTTGGTGTAGATGGTCGTGAAATCCAACCCAAATACTACAGCACAGACGTTGTCTCACTTATCGTCATGCTTGTGAGGATTCCGCTGCTTCGCAGAATGACATTTTTTGAAAAAGTCCATGGGAAGGACGAAGCGCTCATTCGGAATACGTTTACAGATCCGGTTATCCAAGATGATGCGCCCCATTTTAGGGATACTGCTTTTAACATAGTTTACACTACTCAGAGGTAGCTTCGATGCCGTTTCTCTATTTAGGACATTAAGACCACTGCTAGAATTTCTGGCTCAAAGCCATCGTTGACAAAGCACTGGACTTTGTGTTTGTACTCACAGGCTGCAAACATGCATATGCCCACCGTCGATCCCCTTTGTTCGCAGCATGCGTGATTTGGAGACATCCTTTTTTCATGGGGTTCTTGTGAACAGCGTGGGTCACATTCCACGTTGAATAAAGGCCCAGAATGAACTCTCTTCCCTCCCCCTTCCACCCAGCAGAGTCCTTTGTCTATTATCTTTGCACGCTTTTGCCTACTTTTTGACCATGCACCCCACTCTTTCTATTCCTTGGGTTGTTGGGAGCATCTTCCAGCACTGTGTTAAGGACGACGAGGCAGATGAGATTACCAACAAAGTTCTTTTCTCTGTACGGGCAAGATACCAACTAGCAGGTGTCTGCCGTGTTTGGAGAGGGGTCGTACATTCTCGCTTTTTCAACAAGCTCTATATTCGCCTAGAGGAAAACCCCAAATACAACAGTCGCACTCGAACCGATTCTAGCTCGACCCCCGACAGTAACGCAGAGGTGCTAGAAGCAGTAACGGTTAGCCCTGACAGGCGCTTTCGTTACACGACAAACATCGTGTTCCATCCCCTATCCACCCAGCTGCGCCATGTCGTCCTCCATATATGCGGTGACGATATTTTCACACAGAGCACCGCTGACTACCTAACCCGAAGGGTGTTTGCCAACCGCGGTTTTCCATCGGCCAGGACATTGACGATCATAGCACTTAATCTAGATATGTATGGAATGGGTAGACGAAACTACAGCCCGCTTGAGGATACGATCAGGGATATTCTACAGCGGGTGCCGAGCATTAGCGGATTTAGACTTATTCCAAAGGGCAGGAGAATGGCCAAGATAAGCATACAGCGTGCACTTGTTACGCACTTTCACGCTATTACTTCTCTAAGACTTGGTGCAGCTCCATTCTTCGAAGACCTCTCTGGACTTGAGCTACCTGCTTTAACCAATCTCTTCATCGACTACAACACTGGCTATAGAGCTGACTCCATTCCTATATTCAACGCTAGCAGGCTCAAGAGCCTACACCTGTATAGTGTTGATCTTGCCACGTTCATGGCAAGACTGGAGTGGCATGCAGCTGAGAACATGGCTCGCTTTTCTCAGCTTGAGGTTCTTGATCTTAGAGTTAGAGTACCCTTGGGCTTTGAGTACCCTGATGATGACTGGAGAGCGACCCATTGTAGCTTTCCCAAACTCCGTTATCTCAGCCTGCGTAGCTGGTCAAACCATATGCCGGACCTATACTGGCTATTTGCAGATGCGCCGCTTGAACGCTTGAAGCTGGCTGGCAACATTCACACTATCAGTCAGTTTGAAATAGCACAATATCCTGCGATGACCAGCTTCGACATACAGATCGACGATCGACTGCATTCACAGCCTAACCCAGAGCACATCGTGGCCAACATTATCCAGCCGACTTCCTTATTGCAGAGGCTCACCATCACCTCAATTGGCTCAGATCTGCAGACGCCATATGAGTTCGGTTGCAAACTGCTTCGCTATCTCAAGATCAGGGATGCTGTTCCGTTTTGGGCGCTGCGGCACATTCTCTCTCAGCTTCCAGTACTCATAAAGCTGGACATTCGGTGTCCCCTTACGAGGACCGGAAATGGGATCAAGTTGACGGATGTCCAGACTGCAGTACAATGCTCCCCTTCCACCGTGCTCAGCCATTCGCTCGAGCAACTTGTGATACATAACAGCAGCTTGGCAAGCCAGCGCAAGACCTACAGTGATAACTTTGCCTTACTTACCTGTACCCTGGCACGTACTCCGTCGCTGGTGAGGTTGTTAATCCTTGGAGTGGTTCGTGTAATGGATGGCTCGCTAATTCAAGACGTATTTCAGGACAGGAAAATAATGAGTATCGCCAAGCACTTTGCAGGTGTCAAGGTACGGGCTAGGTCGGACATTTAGATAGATTACCACTTCGCATTTCATTACTGGATTTTTATGTGCATTATGCTGTGTGTGCGAGTGGTGTGCATAGAGCGATGTCTCGATGCGCATGCGCAGCTGGCATTTCCATTTCCAACAGCGGTCAAGAAAAATCCACGTGATAGACACTGCAGCCCACAAGGTACACAATGGGCGCTGTGGGCAGCATTGATCACCAAATATTTGATTACCGATCAGCACCACCCGCTTCACAGCCGGGATTCAAATTAGAGCACGGCCAGCAGCTAGCAAAAACACACGTCCAGGGCCACCAGCAAAGGATCCATCTTTTTCAATCTGTCCATTTAACACAGAAATCCTCGAAAATGGTAAGGGCTCGATATTTTTAGGCCAGGAGGCAGTGGATGCGGTGCCGTTGGATGCGGTGATAAAGCGGATGGATACGCCAGAGGAGCGCAGCGGAATCACGGACGGCTGGCAGTCATGGACAGAATGGGACTAGGCATCCGAATTGTGAAATGGAATTTGCGGGCAATTCGGGCCGTTGCGAAATGGAGAATATCCCTGGCGTTCCAGAGAGACCGCACAGCTCGAAAATCAAAGCGTCGTGCCTACTAATCCCCTCCCTGGTCATACATTTGCGTTTTGCTATAGTCCGCTGAGAACTCGAAGGCCGCCAACCCCATGCGCGAGCTTGGCATTGAGAAGCTCGTCCTGAACATCTGTGTTGGTGAGAGCGGTGATAGGCTCACCCGCGCCAGCAAGGTGCTGGAGCAGCTGACTGGTCAGTCCCCCGTGTACTCGAAGGCCCGCTACACTGTCCGTACCTTCGGTATCCGCCGTAACGAGAAGATCTCGTGCCATGTGACCGTCCGTGGTCCCAAGGCCGAGGAGATCCTCGAGCGTGGCCTGAAGGTCAAGGAGTACGAGCTCCGCGCCCGCAACTTCTCGGCCACCGGCAACTTCGGTTTCGGTATCCAGGAGCACATTGATCTCGGTATCAAGTACGACCCGTCCATCGGTATTTACGGTATGGACTTCTACGTCGTCATGGGCCGCCCTGGCTTCCGCATTTCCCGCCGCAAGCACTGCCGCTCGCGTGTTGGTGCCTCGCACCGCATCAACAAGGAGGAGACTCAGAAGTGGTTCAAGCAGAAGGTAATTATCGCGGCTTTGGATCGCAGTGGTGACGCTGGCGACATTTGTGGACACGGTGATGGTGTTGATCTATTGAAATATGCGTCTACTAACTTGTGCCTTCTATGCCATCATGTCTGTAGTACGACGGTATCATCCTCAACAAGTAAATCTTTTGTTCTTTGCTTCGTTTTATTGGACAAATATAAGCTTGCACTCTGCCGCTCCCCCTCTCTAAACAGCTCCATATGCAATCTGCCCCACATGGGAGGCTACATGTCAGAATATGTGCAGCGATTTAGGACTTGTATTCCTTGGCATATCTAGAAATGGTCAGCCTGCAAAGCATCCGCTCCATAGTTGCGATCGTCCAAAGGGCAGCGCGAGATCCGGCTGCTTCCACGAGCTGACTAATGAAGCAGAGCTGGCATCATTTGTTGCTTTTTTTTTTTCGACTTTCTTTACTTGGCCACGCACAAATGGACACGTCGAACCTCAAGTCCTTCAGCCTCACGCACTTCCAGTACGAGGACGGCGATATCCTGGGCCAGTTCCTGGCACTGATGAGCCTGATCCCAATATTCTTTATCGTCATGGAAGCGACTATCGTCCTGAGCCGCCGTGAGCTCGCCGGCCTCGTCCTGTTTGTTGGACAGCTTCTGAACGAGCTGTTCAACTTTGTGCTCAAGGAGCTGATCCGTGAGGAACGACCACACTCGGAGCTGGGTGATGGCTTCGGGATGCCGTCGAGCCACGCACAGTTCATGGGGTTCTTCGTTGCGTACTGCGTGCTGTATCTGGAGATGCGCGTTACGACGGACCGGATCCACACGAGACTGGTGCAGCTGGGTGCCTTGGTGCTGGGCATCCTGGTGGCTGTGTCACGGGTGTACCTGAACTACCACACGGTGCGGCAGGTTGTGGCCGGCGTTGCCGTTGGGCTGGCAGCGGGTGCAGGGTGGTTCGGCATCACCGAGGCTGCGTTTTTTGGTTCAGGCCTTGCCGAGTGGGTGCTGGACACCAGAGTGTGCCAGTGGCTGATGGTGCGCGATTCCCGCAGCATCCCCGATATCGCACGGCGCGAGTACGAATTGTCACAGTCTTCCAAGCAAAAATCGGAGTAGAGATTTATTAAAAACATTCACTCTTGCTCGTTCTCCAGATAGTTCTGAACCTTCTGGGCGGCGGGCAGCTCAGTCCGGTAGTCCTTGTCGGTGCGGGCACCCAGCTTGACGTAGCAGAGCACGCGCGGGGCACCGTTGTCCAGCACAGACTGCATGCACTGCTCGACGACCTTGGAGACGAGCGCGTACTCGCCCTGGAAGTTTGTGCCGGAGTCATGCATGGTGTGCTCAAGGCCCGACTCTTCAAGGATCGTCTTGACGCGGGCAATGTACTTTGTGAAAGAGACTATGCCAAGGGGCACCATCTGGATCTCGCCAGAAACAAACATGACCGATAGAGGGGGCTTTGGTGCAAAAGATAGCGATGGAGAGGAGAGAGGGGTCAGGAAAATATCCGCGCTGTAATTTTGGTAGTCCGAAGCTTTGTTTAGGGTGAATCGAAAATTTTATGACTACCGAAGAGTGATGAGGAGCTGACATCAGGCCTTGGCGGCCATCTCGACGCCCAGCTTGAACGACCCAACCAGCGACGACAGCTGGATCTTCTCTGTTGCGCCAGTCGCCATGTGGTGCTCGATCTCGGCGATGCTCTCAAGCAGGAAAATACGCGTGCTTGCCGGGAAATCGATGGCATTAACAAATGGTACCAGCTCAGTCAATATATCCTGCAGCGCCAGGCCCTTGTCGCGCTTCAGCGCTGCAATGTTGTCCAGCGCCGTGTGGAAGTCATCGTTGAGCATCCAGTCGGCCACACGCTTGATGTCGTCGGGGCTGGGCTGGCCCGTACACGCATACACTTCCTCGCTGTCGATCCGCGGGTACGCCGCATGGCATGCTTGCAGCACATTGAGCACGCGCCGCATATCGCCATTCGACAGCTTGATCAGCGCCTGCTTCCCCTCGGGCGTAATATTGACACTCTCGCGCTCCACAATCATGTCCAGCCGCGAGTTGATGTCGCTCAGAACCAGGGGCGCGAACCGGAACCGCGTGCACCGCGACTGCACCGCAGGCGTAATCTTCGACACGTAGTTGCAGATGATGCAGAAGCGGACGTTTTTCGTGTACTTTTCAATCACGCGCCTGAGCGCTGCCTGCGCAGCACTCGTCATTGCGTCAGCCTCATCCAGCACCACCAGCTTGAGCCCGGAGCTGAACACAGTACGCGTGCTCGCAAAGGTCTTGATTTGGTCGCGAATCACGTCGATACCACGGTCGTCTGAGGCGTTCAGCTCGAGCACCATGTTGCGCATGCTCTTGCCATACAGCTTGCGCGCAATTGCCAGAATTGTCGTGGTTTTGCCGGTTCCGGGCGGTCCGTAGAAGAGTAAGTGCGGGAGCTTGCCGGAGTCGATGAACCGCTGCAGCGTGTCGACAATGTCCTTTTGCGACACGAGCTCAGAGAGCGTCGTTGGCCGGTATTTCTCCACCCACGGCAGGTTCTCGTTGGGCTGCGGTGACACGTCGGTCTGCTTGCCCTTGTTTCTCGATACCGTAGCTGTGTCAACGTCCATTGCCTCGACCATGGTTGAATTAGCTGTGAAGAATAAAGAAGTGATTGACAAGAGGAATTGCGATGGAGAGGGGAAAGCGAAAAGCAAGAAACACGAACACGAAACGCGCAGCCAAAGCTTGATTATTTACTCGGCCAAATTGCATGATTCTTTAGCTGGATCCGATCACGAGATGTTGGTATATGGCCCTACTGTGCCTAACATATATATGCGAGCAGCCATCCACGACACAAGGTCTCCACAGTTTCTATACCAACATCCTGAAGATGACATCATGCTTACTCGCTGCCAGAGTCAATGCACCGCCCCAGGCCCGTGCATCCCTCTACTGCCTCCAAGGGCATTCAGAGCACTGCCGCTGCGGTGCACCAGAGACTCTCCCTAGCACCTGGCAGGTGCTTGTCCGTCCACTGCCATTTCCAGAGCGCAGTTCACCCCTCGGTTCGCCCAATCCGCCTGCGATTTGGCACCTAACGTGTTAGAAAAAGCCACAGAATCAATAGATTGTGATTATCAGATCAGTCTCCTGAGCGCCGACCTCGATGAGCCAATTCCTCGTCCCTGACCGCCGATTTGACTCCGTTCCAGTTTCCCATGGCCACAGCCCTCACTGGGGCACTGGCTAATACTACTGATACTATCATTAATGGCCTCTACCAACCTCAGCATCTCACAACACTTGCGTGCCGCGCGCGAGTTCCAGCAGCTGTGGGAACTCAGTGCTGGTCTTCTGCGTTAGCCTCGTCATGCCATATGATGACAAAGAAATGAACAAGATGCCCCCATGAACTCCTGCCCGTTTTGCCACCGCCTACAATGGCCAATTTCTTTGATGCGCTTTGGAGTTCACGCCAATTGCTGCCTGGTCCTGGTCAAAATCAGGAACTGGCCGGCTCTGGAGTCCTGGATAACTCCCCTGGTCTGGTAGGCTACCATGGCTCTGTCGGAAGCTGTTTACTCGGTCTCTCAGATTGGTTTTTTGCGTATAGCTAACCTTCTTAACCTTCTTAACACTATTTTTGCTAGTTGGCTGGGATATCTCAGTAGCACTGGCGGTTCTGCAGGAGAACTGCCTGCTGAAATATTATAATAAAGCTCGTTCGCTGTGATCTGGAGGGGTTTAGCCATCCGTCAACCTACCTTTACAAATACATATTCGGAGTAACTGTCTGTTGTGATTTGTCTACGCTGTCACTCAACACGCGCGACCACATATACTATTCTGACATTCGCAGGCTGCTGTCAATGGATGAGGCGCAAAAGACAGTGCTTAACCGCAGAAACTTTGCAAGAACAAAGTTATTTTTAATGTGGAACATCTTCTATAATCCTAGAACTGCAGAAAGGATAGACGAATCTCAAGGCATTTGACCGCCCGACTTTTTGTGCCTTACAGCCCATGTTGATACCAGGGGTTGACGAGGCATCGATATCGCCAATGGTGTGTATGCTCTGCCTGAGCTTCGCTGCATCAAACCTTGCATAGCCATTACATCACATAAATTCTCCAATCGTGCTAGTGATTTATTTGCAATAATCATATCAAGAATTATATTTTTTTGCGGCCGAATTTTTGGACATTGTATGCCTTAGCCTCTCTTTGCAGACTCTGCTGTCTGCTCAATTGCTCCTTTTGGCATTCTAACCATACACTTCCTCTACTCCTTCTTAACCGAAATATACGATGGGCAAAGACGTGCTAGAGTTCGCAGGCAGCGGTTCCGATAGCGAGGGCGAGTTTGACCTAACCTCGGCACTCATTCCGCAGGCCAACGCCAAGCTCGGCACACGTAAAGCCAAGCAGGAGCCCGAGGAGGCTGCCTCCAGCTCAGACGGGGACACAAGCGAGGATGAGATGATCAAGCAGTCGATGCAGGCACAGAACCGCAAAAAGAAGAAGTCTGGTGGTTTCCAGTCGATGGGTCTTGACCCGGCGCTATTCCGTGCCATCATGAAGAAGGGATTCAAAGTTCCAACGCCTATCCAGCGCAAGACTATCCCAGTGGTGCTTTCGGGCCGCGATGTCGTGGGTATGGCACGTACAGGTTCGGGTAAGACTGCGGCATTCTTGATCCCCATGATCCAGCATCTGAAAGCGCACTCAGTGAAGGTTGGTGCCCGTGCCATTGTCTTGTCGCCGAGTCGCGAACTGGCGCTGCAGACGCACCAGGTCACAAAGGACCTTGTGAAGTACACCGATCTGCGCGCTGTGCCGATTGTCGGTGGTGACAGTATGGAGGATCAGTTCGGTATCATTGCGTCGAACCCTGATATTATTATTGCCACGCCCGGACGTCTATTGCACCTGGTCGTCGAGATGGGGCTGGATCTGACTACCGTCGAGTACATTGTGTTTGACGAGGCTGATCGTCTGTTCGAGCTGGGATTCGCTGTGCAGCTGCATGAGATCCTTGGCCGTCTGTCAGCGAACCGCCAGACGCTTTTGTTCTCGGCTACACTGCCAGCTACCCTGGTTGATTTCGCCAAGGCTGGCTTGCAGGACCCGGAGCTGATCCGTCTTGACGTCGAGTCCAAGATCAGTCAGGATCTGGAGATGGCGTTCTTCAACGTGAAGAACGAGGACAAGGACGGCGCGCTGATTTACTTGTTGCGCGAAGTCATTGGTGCACCCATCAACCAGGACCGGTCGATCAAGAGCCAGGCGTGGCGGCGGTTCGGCAGCAAGCCGCCCAAAGACTTGAAAAAGAAGGGCAAAAAGGGAAAGAAGGACGAGGAGACGAACGAGGACGGGTCGCCCAAGCCAAAGTGCCAGACGATCGTGTTTGTGTCCACCAAGCATCATGTCGAGTATCTCAACTCGCTGCTGACCGAAGCCGGTTTCTACGTCTCGCACATCTACGGTTCCTTGGACCAGACCGCGCGTAAGATCCAGATCGCCCGCTTTACTGCAGGCAAGACCAACATCCTGATTGTCACCGATGTCGCCGCCCGTGGTATCGACATCCCGATCCTCGAGAACGTAGTCAACTACGATTTCGTTGACTCGTCCAAGGTGTTTGTGCACCGCGTCGGTCGTGTTGCCCGTGCTGGCCGGCGCGGCTGGGCGTATTCGTTGGTGACTACCGAGGAGTTGCCCTACGTCCTCGACTTGCAGCTGTTCTTGGGACGGCCGCTGCAGCTTGGCAATTCGTCGAACACAACGCCCTCGTATTCAAAGGAGATCACGCTGGGCCAGGTCCCGATCGAGCTGACGGGTGCAGACAGCGAGTGGGTGACGCGCATAGTCAGCGAGAGCATTAATCTGGAGGCCATGAGGAAGACCGCAGTTAATGGCAGCAAGCTGTACAAGAAGAGCAGGCAGACAGCCGCCAGCGAGAGCTACAAGCGCGCAAAGCAGATCATGCTGGCAGACTCCTTCTCGGAGCCGCATTCGCTGCTCACCAAACTCATCCGCCCGGAGGACAAGAGCCGCATGGAAATGCTCCGCCACCTCTCGGGATTCCGGCCCTCCGAGACCATTTTTGAAATCGGTAACCGTGGCTCCAAGCACGCGACCACTGCCGGCCTGATCATGCAAAACTACCGCATGGCATCCGGACGGTTCATTGCACAGACGCAAAAGCGCCGGGCGGAGAAGCTCGAGGATCCGCTCGATAAATTCAACGATTCCGATGACGAGAAGCAGGCCAAGGACGAGCAGATTCTGAACCCTACCAACAAGTCGGCGTTCCGTGACGATGACTTCTACATTCCGTACACGAAGACAGACCTGAACTCCGAGCGTGGCTACGCCATGCCCAAGGGCAGCTCGTTTGCCGAGCAGGCTCAGGGTGCGATTATTTCGCTCAACGGCGACGAGAACGAGACGCTGTTGCAAATGCAGCACGCGAAGCAGTCAAAGAACGTCATGCGCTGGGACTCGAAGAAGAAGAAGTTTGTGCGCGGCACGGGCATCGGATCGGATAACAAGAAGATGATCCGCACTGAGAACGGCACTATGCTGCCAGCGTCGTTCAAGTCGGGTAGCTTCAAGGAGTGGCAGGACAAGACACACACGGCGTTGCCACGGACTGGCGAGAGGGAGCGCGACGATGCTGTGGCCATGATGGCCAGAGGGAAGTACGCAACCGGCACATTCAAGCATACAAAGGTTACAGCTGCCAAGCCGCTGGACCCGATGGCCCTCGATTACGAGCGCAAGCTCAAGAAGCGCTCGCATGCTGAGGCAGAGGATAATGGAGACAAGTACAAGGGCACAGTGGAATTCAGCGATAATGAGACATCGAGTGGCCGTGGGAAGCGTGCCAAGGGTGGTAAGGGCGGTAAGAGCGACAAGGGCGGCAAGGGCGACAAGGGCGGCAAGGGCAGCAAGGCTGGAAAGCCCGCTACCAACAGCGGTAACCAAAAGGTGCGCAATGAGCTTAAGAGCCGCGACCAGATCCGCAAGGAGCGCATCCAGAAGGACAACCGCCGTGCACGGTCGAACCAGCCATCCAAGCGGGGCGGGCGCAAGGGCCGGAGATAGATATGTGAGGTTATATTTGAAGAATGGGAATGGTAGATTTGAAAGAGAGAGTAAGGGAAAGAGAAAAAGAGAAAGAGAATCTTGGATGGAGAAACTAGGCACCACCGCGCTTGACCAGCTCGCTGGAAATGCACGAGTTAATGAACTCCTTGCGTGCCTTGAGCTCATCAGCAGTCATTCCGAGGTCCCTGGCCACCTGCTCGCGCACCTGCTTCTTCGTCGACGTCTGCAGGTCGGCCATGCTGAACACATGTGCCACCTGCAATGCAATCATCTCATCTGTCACTGGGCCGGCCGAGCGCGCCGACGCAACAGTATTGAACTGCTGCACATCGCCCGGCATCATTGTGCCTGCATTCTGGCCATAGACTGTGCCGGCGTACATGGCGGAATCGCCTGGCATGCCGCCCACGATCGGCGATGGCATGCGCTGCGCTGGCTGCTGCTGCGGCATCGGGCTGCTTTGCGAGGTCATCAGCTGGCTCACACGCGGATCGTAGCCGGGTGGCATCTGCTGCATGAACTGCTGCGGCTGGACCTGCATCAGCGACTGCTGCATTGGCTGGTGCTGGCTTGCAAACGCTGCAGAATAGTCGAGTGGCGGTGAGCTCGCTGCCGCATAGCTCATGACATCGTACGTGTCGCCGCTATACATGTGCGCTGGCGGACTGGTGCCACCTGGTGTCATGCGCCCGGAATTCGCCATGTTGTCGACTAGCGGCATGTTGCTGCGGATGGTCATGTTGGCGGCCGAGTTCGAGTTATAGCCGTACCCGGCATCCATGTACACCGATCCCGTCTTGGAGGCTGCGTAGGCGCCAGGCATTGTGGCGCTGTTGTACACGCCACTCATGGACTTTGGGAAGTTGCCAATGGCAGATCCGGGGCGTCCTGACATGACGTGGTCGAGCCGGGAGCCCATCTCGGAGCCGCCTTGCTGCGACGGCGTGCCAGCCTCCCACATCAGCTCCTGCTCGTAGTCGGTCCACTTGCGCTGCGGGATTGTCGTCGTGTCGAACTTTTCGTTATCGACCATATACACATGCTTGCGACCGGACTCGCCGACCACGACACGAGTATTGCCCCACGAAAAGTCATCGAAATGCCAGAACGAGTAGACAGGCAGGATAAAGGTAAAGAACGGGATGGCAATGATGTACACGATCATCCAGCCGATATGCTGCCACTGGCGCTTCAGGATGAAGATCAGTGCCTGCATACCGTAGATGCCAGCCAAAAGGTACAGCGAGATGTACGAGGTTGTCGAGTCGGGGTTGGTTAGCTGGTACACGAGGTACGCCAAGTACACAAGCGTCGCAGGCATGATGATGGTCGAGATCAGGTCGATGAAGACAACGAAGCGCATCGAAAAGCAGCAGAATCCGCACATTTGCGGCAGGAATACGAGCTCAAACAGGTTGTGCACAGTCGAGTTGATCCAGCGACGGCGCTGCGACATCAGCACGCTCCACGAGTCCGGCGCATTCGTCAGGCACTGCGCCTCGGCGTTGAACTTGTTCTTAAAGTACGGGAAGTGCTTCAGCATCAGGGTGGTCAGATAACGATCCTCGCCGAGGTGCAGCAGGTTCTTCTTGTGCAGCGTGTCAACGATGTTCTCCGAGTAGTCATGGATGACCTCCTTGGAAATCAGCAGGGGGCGGCCGTCGGCTGAGCGTATACGGTACATGCAGAAGCAGCCAGGGAGACAGGTGACGGAGCCGAACAGCGACTCAAAGGCCTTGGTCAGGTGGTGCGAAATGAAGTACTCGTAGACCTGCATCATGGTGATCCACGAACTCTTGGCGTTGGCCAGCCTGGTCTCGCCGCACAGGCCCATGACCTTGACGTCGTGCAGCATAGTGCGGATCATCCGGTTCAGTGAGTCCGGCAGCACCACGGTATCGGCATCGATCATGAGTACATATTCGTACAGCGACGGTGCCACACCAATGACGTTCTTGATCTGGTGGTACATCTCGAGCTCAAGCGGCGTCATCGGCAGATCAAAGTGCACCTTGTTGAAGAAGCCCATCAGCATGATCTGCGAGTCACGCTTGCCACGGTTTCCAGGACGCGTGCGCTCCTGCGGGGTGCCGCACTTGGCAACAACCAGGTAGGGGACGACGTGCCCAGCGATCTCGTACAAGCCGGAGTAGACCTTGGCCATATTGTGCTGCTTGGACCCCTCGCCCAAAGCAATGTAGCTGAGGGCCTCGGTGTCCTGATCACGGTCAACGCCCAGGATATCCAAGACAATGCGCGGGGTCGGGCGGTCGTTGCCCGAGCCCATGATCATGCCGTCGCACACAATGAACAGCAGCTTGCGCTTGTCGTCGTACTTGGTCCTGGCCAAGGAGTCAATGGTGTTCTTCAGCGACTCCTCGCCCTCGGTATAGCACGGCACATTCATCAGAACGAACTTGTCGCCAGGCTCGGGCTCGCGGCGGCTGCCAAGCTGCAGCGCGGCAATGAACTTGAAGAAGATGACAGAGACCAGGGCGATTGAACCGGCCAGGAGCAGGTAGTTGGCGGCATAGCAGCGTGCAGACTTGCGGAAATCGACCTTGCCGACATAGAAGGCACCGCGCAGGCACTGGTAGTGCAGGTTGCGCATGTTGGGATCTCTGCTGAAATAGGCATTCCACTTGTCGGTAATGTCCTTGCCCTTGTTCTCTTCGAACATGGTGACGACGTTGGAGTCCAGGAACTGGCGGTTGAAGCTGCTCGAGTTGCTCATACCATCCGGAACCACAACGTACGGGGCGCCATTGGCGCTAATATAGTCGGTTAGATCGAAGACCTCCTCGTTGATGATGCAGCGGATCAGGTTCTTGCCGTCATTCTGGCCCTTGGCGTTTCCAGCAGCCTGGTCCCTGATCAGCTTCGGGTCAACGGCAATGTGGCCCTTGGCGTACTGCTCGCGCATGATGCGCATCAGACGGTACTGGTAGTAGTTGAAGCCCTTGTCGGTCGGGTGACGCCACCAGCGCTGGTCGTGGAAGTATGCCTCGGAGTACAGAACCGGTTTAGGCTGAGTGGACAGGCGCGGGTCCATGTTCTCGAAGGGACACACGAACGACAGCTGCAGCGGGAAGATGTCGGACTGGTCGCGGCCCAGGTAGTTGTGATCGACAATGTACTTGTTGGCGATGTTCATGTGGTTGAAGTTCTTGATGTCAAAGACCTCGCCGCGGATGGCAATCAGGGCGTCCTTCTCGGTGCTGTGGTCAGCGAGCTCCTCGATAGAGTAAACATTCTGGTGGGGGCACAGCAGCAGGCCCAGGCCGCAGATCCAAAAGATCACAAAGGCGCAGCTCCAGAAGATGAGCAGACACAGGGTCAGCTTCTCGCGCCACGCGACCTGCTCGTCCTTGCGCTTGCGACCGGCGCAGGTAGCAATGCATTTGTTTGGAACCATCCAGGTCATGAAGGCAACGACACCCAGCCACACACGGCGCACCAGGGTCATCGAATGGGCGTTGTCCTCTTGGTCCTCAAAGCTCTCCTTTTGCTCGTCGGCGTCGCCATTGCTCAGCACATCGGAGAACCCAGCCTGGAAGCCACCCTCGCTGAGGATGTCAGAGAAGCCGTCCTTGCCGAGAAGATCCTGGTAGGCCTCGTCGTCCGAGTAGAACGAGCGGGTGTCGTTGTCGACGCGGTCCTTGAGGGCGCGCGCATACGCATCGTCCTTGGGATCGACATTGAAGCTGACACCGACATTGCCCTCCTTGGCGTCGTCCGGCCCGCGCTGCTCGGCCCAGTCGCTAAGATCTCCGGTGTCCTGCAGGTTGCGGGCGCCACGCTCGTGGGCACGCACCGGGTCGTCAATGCGGCGCCAGGTGGCAAAGTCCAGGAAGACCTTGGATGCGCCAACCATCATGCTGGCATCGTCCAGGCCCATGGCCAATTTCAGTGCCTGGCACTTTTCACGCGGATCGCCATGCTTGCCAGCGGCTGTGGGCACATGCTCGCTGATGACAGCGCCGTAGCGGTCGCAGAAATCGGTGGGCAGCATGGCGGCGGCATACTCGACGCGCTTGCGGCGGACAGCGTCGTCGAGGGCAAAGCCCTTGACAGTACCCAGCACCTTGCGGGCATCGGCCCACTTGGGCTTGCCCTGGTCATTGGACTTGATGCAGACTACGAACCACGGTAGCGTGTCGTCCAGCGTGGCCATGAGCTCAGACATGGCGCGGCTGAACTGCGTTGCCAGGCAGCCGATCTTCTTGAGCCGCGACGCCGGCAGCTTGCTCTTGGCGCGCATCATCGACGGCGCCCGCATCGGCACATTGAGCGCCTGGGCCTGCACGATTGTCTTCTCGTTGCGCGGGTGCACCTCGGTGGCAATGGACTTGTCGGTGAACAGCCCAGACACAAAGCCGTTGCGTGTTCCCGCGTTCTCGGCAGTACCATCGCCGCGGAACACGGCGACAAAGTCGGAGCTGAGTTGGTCCAGGTTCTTGTCGACAAAGCCCTCAATGTCGTAGGTTGCGTGACCCCAGAAATGCGACACGGTGAACGAGTTCATCTCGTTCTTGCTCTCGATCGACTGGTAGTGCGGGTTGCGCTCGCTGGCCTTACCCGAGTGGTGCTTATTGAAGGCACTGAGCAGCTGGAATGTCGCCACGCGCCCTGTCGCCTCCGGGTCGAACTCGGGTGCCACTGAGCTAGCTGAGTCGCGCCGGTTGCGCTTCTTCTGCGGCTTGCGGCCCATCAGCTCGGCGGCCTGCCGGTCCATGATCGAGAACAGGCCGGTCTTTGGCTTCATAAACAGGTCCAGGCACAGCGTGCGATCCGGAAACTCGACGCTAGGGATGCTGGCGGCAATGCGCTCGGCCTTGTACTCGTCATTGCCAACCTCGAAGACCTGGTGGAACATGAAGTGCTGGATGCGCTCGTTGGCGTAGTTGGTGCACAGCTGCTCGTAGCCGTTGCGTCGCTGCGTGTGCCACCCAGGAAAGTCCAGCATGCCAATGAAGCTCTCGCGCTCGCTGTCGTCGCGGCAGAACCGAGCGTTAATGAACTCCGCCACCCAGTTGAACAGCAGCGAGTACAGCGCACGCGCCAGCTCGTCACGGCGCTGCGCTGCGCCCACAGCATCCAGGTAGACAGTGCACGATTCATTTGCCACGCTCTGAGTCTTGTTGGTCAGCGCCGTCTCCAGCGAAATCGGATCGACGCCCAGCACCTTGCTGACCTGCTGCAGCAGGTCCGTGTTGCGCACCACCGCCGAGTCGAATCCGTTCTGACTCTCGTACACAAACATCAGATTACCAAGGCACAGAATGGCGCCCAGCACCGCGAATACATGTCGCTGGTACCGCTTATGCAGTCCAACGTGCTTCATAGCCGAGCACAGATCGCTGAACTGCTCGATATCACCCACATGCGCCGCGCGCTGGTGCCCGCCAGCCGCACGGCTCAGGTACTCGAACGCAGCAATATCCTGCGGGATCCCGAACGACACGCGCTCCTCGGCCGATGCGCCGTTGGCCAGGTAGTACAGCACGTGGAAGTTGCGCTCGTCGGCAGGCACGTCGGTTACGCGCGCCTTTTCTAGCAGGTACGTCAATGTCTTGGCTCCCACTGCGCGCCCGCGCTGGTCGAACTGCAGCTCCGAATAGATGCCCACGCGCGAAGCGTTGCCGTGCGCCATGGTGCGCGCGCTGGAGAACGCCTCGAGCACCTGGTCTGCCTGCTGCAGCCGCGCAAACAGCTTCACGTCCTTCTTCGAGTGCGACCGCAGCAGCGAGAAGAACCGGAACGCCAGCCGCCGCTGCTCCGTGGTTCCACTGCCCGACTCGCCGCTACATGGATGTTGTGATTTGGATGCTGTATTTTTAGTTTCTAATATTGTTATTTGTGGCCCGCTTTCGAGCATACGAACAATACGAACGCCCCCTCCCCTGCCACTGCACAATACCTGGCTATCAAGCGGTGATATTATTTTTTACAGCTCGGGGGTGGGAGCGCTGATACCGCTCACCACGGCGCCACCGTGCAAGATAGGCGCACTCTCTTTTTTCTGTCTGCGATACCACCAACCAAGGATAAAGTGTTGACCAGCTACAAACATTCCTTACTTACATGAAAATGAGGCTCTGGTTCAGCCCAGTCTGCCGCATATGCAGGTACGCCTGCTCGGCAGTCTTGAACACATGCGGTGGCAACTCGGGTCTTTCCGGCGACATATCGCGGTAGTCGTCGGCGTAGCGCATGGCACCGTCGTCGGAGCTGGTCTCCTGGACCTCGAACGGGTTCATTGCGATTAGCACACGCGAGCCAATGTTGGTGTATGGCTGCCCGTGTGGGCGTCGCTCAAAGCGCTTGACAAGGATGTTGACAATGTCCTCCGAGTCCATGTTGGCTGCCTCGGAGAGACGAGACAGATCGTCATCCTCGAGCACCTGCGACATAATAGTAGTATAGTGAGATTATCAGAATATGTAAAACCAAATGGATGTATCTGGGAGCTATGGTAGAAAGCGAGGAGGGAGAGGAATAGCAGGAGCTGAAATGCGCTACTGAGCCAAGCAGAAGCGCCCTTTTCAACTAACAACTGGCGCAGCGATGCGTGTGTGGGAAGGGAAAGCTGAACGCTAGTAAAACTAGCCAGATGTGGGCTTTTTGTTGACGCTTTTGCAGAAAAATGTCTCTACTTGGCTCAAACAATGGCCCCTCGTATCTGCATCTTGCCATAGTTGGCTCAACCAAAGCCTCAATTGCGCCAGTAATAGGCCGAGCACGCCCGCACTCTCCCCTCCCCCAAACACCCCCCACCTCACCGAGGGCCATTGTGCTGCCAGCTACTGCCTACCGGGATGTCCTGAAAAAGAAGCTGCGCGATGCCTACTGCTGAAACAACAAGAGGCAGCCATGTTGTTAGCCTGTGGCCTACACCGCACATCCATTGTTACACCCGGCCGACAATATCACACCCTGAACATGTCAACATGGTGCACATACCATCTATCCGGTGCCGTTTGACTGGTGGTATATTGTACAAATCATCTGAGGAAGGACGGGAGAGACATAGAAAAGAGGAATTATCGTTTTGTTGTCTGACAAAAGGGGGGAGGGAAAACTAGTGCGTGTAATTTGTATGATTTTTGTTGGAGCAGCCGACTACTGCCCATGTCATCCACCACTTCCCGGCCGACTGCTCATTTGCCGCATATGCTCCATCGCCAAGTCGGCCTCGCGGCTGTAGAACTCTGCTATATCCTCCAAGCACATGTTCACTGCTTGCTCGTCCTGCGCTGTCAAGCCCAGCACCGGGCTGTGAAACAGCTGCTCCACTGGAACTCTCTCGCCTCGGATCGCCAGCGCAAACGCCACAGCAGCCGCAGCTATCACCTCGGGCCTATATAGCAGACAAATCACTGACCGCAGGCAGTCGTTGACATGCGCCATCGCCGCCTTGGCCACATCTACCGATATGTTCATTTCAATGACCAGCTGCGAGATGTACTCGTACGGGTGCACAATCTGCATGTCAAAGCAGCAGTTCTCGAGCACTGTGATCTCTAGCCGCTGCAGTAGTTTGACCCAGTTGTCCCGGCTGCGCACAGACTCGGCCTCGTTGCCCTTGGTCGCTACCAGCGCGCACTTGTATGCGACGTCTTTGAGGTTCCGCTTGTGCTCCTCCACCTTGGTCGCCAGGAATACGCACGATCCAGCCACTTCCTAGCAGAGAATTGGACTGTTAGCCACGCCTGCCTTCCCACGTTTGCCCTGGCGCTGCTCGTCATGGGCACATTTTTAACTGCTTTTTGCATTCGCAAGGGCAGCGCTCTCACAAGCGCCGCAACGGCTTTCGCATGCCCAAGCCCAATCGCCTTTGATCAACTTACCAGGTGCTGGTAATCGGCCAGCGACTGACGCATAAAGAATCGATGGAAAAACACACATGCTGTCGACGCTACCAGCTGCGGCCTACGTATAAAACTACCGTTAAGTACTGTATGCCTCAAGAAGGAAAAGAAAACACCCCTCCAATCCCTTTCCGCCGAAACTTACAGCTCGAGTCTGCGCACGACGTTGTGGATAAACCCACACCCTTTATTCCGTCGTAACCGCTCGTCCTCTAGCGTAATGATCTTGCCCACAGGTGTCGAGTAGTCGCTGCTTGTCAACGACGGCGTGTTCTGCATGTCGTCCTTTCTAAACAGCCACTGTTCCATGTTTGCGCCCAGCGTCTGCATGGACCCAGTCCCCCGTCTCAACCGTGCCGTCATCCTTGTGTTTCTGCGGACAGAAATATATAAAAGGGCGTGGGAGTGCTAGTGATGAATGTGGGTGCGTGTGCGGTAAATTTCAATAGCCACCTCTCACTCTTCGCAACGAATAAATAAGAAAGAGCAGATAGGCTAGGAAAAGAAGGAAAGAGTGGAGCGAAAAAATGAGGATCCTGTATATAATCCGCGAGTTTTTTTTTTTATCGAGAAGTATGCAAGCAGGCTTTGCTGGGCAGGGGGCCGTGCTTTTGACGCCAAAGACTGGCAATAATCGTGGGCTGATCACGCGGAAGGCGAAAATGGATCCCTTGCACCAAATGCTGAAGTGCGCTGGCGAAAATAAAAAAGTTTAGAGGCAAATAATAGGCCTTGTGGATTTCCCTTTTGGCAAATAAGGACGACCACAATTTGGAAGAAGAATACACGCAATGGTAAACAAAAAGTCGTCTCTGGCCTCTCTCTCAGGTTGCTGCTGCTGCTGCCTCAAGACGCGGCTGCATTCAGAATAGACAATTGTAAAAAGGAAGTTTCTGGGGCGGTGCAGAGAGCGACAAAAAGAAGCAATAAGTAAAAGCAAGAGCAGTGCAGCGGGTCCTTTCCTAGACGCCAATAAATCCCTCATGGAGTCAGTCACCACCGAATGTGGGCTCAACCAAAAAACCAACTACCGTCAATAAAGCTGCAGCGATTCGCTCAAACTATAGCGCACGTGTTAATTTATTTAAATGGCTAAAACATTGGAGGTGCTTTCTACGACTGGGCAATGATGGCCGACACGAAATCGCGCGCGGCAGGCTCCAGCTGCTGCATGGCGCCGACAAGCTGGGCTTGGATCGGCTTCAGAACCAGTCCAAGACCAACTGCAGCATTGGTGATCTGCGGGCAAGGGTCAATTTTGACGTCACCCAGTGTCGCTAGCTTTGCAAACGACGCCTGGTATCCGGTGTCCTCAATCTCAAGCGAGTCCAGGTCCTCCTCGCCCGCAGTGGCCGACGCCGAGGCGGCTGCAGCGCTGCCATCGAGCGCACTACGGTCGGCAATTGTCTTGGTCTCCTTGACCTTGGTGTCCATCAGCAGCACAGCCAGCTGCTGCAGCGTGGGACCCGTCAGCTGCGCATAGGCAGGGTTGCTCTGGAACTGTGCTGACGCAACCAGCAGACCAAACCCAACCACAGTGACCTTGCGCTCCACAGCACCAATGACGCGCGGGATGGCTTCCAGCAGCACGTTTTGCAACACATTGGCAAACAGTCCGGGCTGGATCTGCTCCATAGTCGAGTACAGCAGCTCGACGCCGGCGCCGCTCTGCGGATCCTTGCACATGAGCGAGCCCAGGTAATGGACATAGTTGCGTGTGAACTTGCCTGTGCGCGACGACTGAAGGCGAGTCAGACACAGCGTGAGCACCGGCCGCAGATATTGCTTGAACGACTCGGTCGGCGTAAACTGCGTGATGGCAAGCAGCAGGTTGAAGCCTAGGTGGTCGTTTGTCTTTGAGGCAATCAGCTTCTGGAACACGCCCAGAATCGGCGCCAGCTGGTTCTGCTGTGCCAACTGCGCTGCGCCGATTTGCAGGTAGCTCTGCAAAAGCCGCACCAGAGCCGGCACGTTGCCCTGCGAGTCCCACAGATCCGGCACCAGCAGCATCGGCAGCAAGCCCATGTACGCATCGGGCAGCTTGCCCGACGCCTGGTGCACAGACAGAAGCTGGGCCAGGATCTGGAACACATATGGCATGAACTCAGCAATGTCCTGCTGCAGGATCGTCTGGAAGATCGGGAACAGCGTACTCTCGAACTGACCGATCGCCGAAGGCTCAGCCGCACACGTGAACCGGGCCAGCGAACCAATTGCCTCAAACATAAAGTGGCTGAACCGCGGATTGCTGGGGTTCTTGCTGACCTCGGCCACAATTTGTGCCAACTTGCCCAGCGCCGCCGGTGCCAGCGGTGTGATATTAGTGCGGCTGGCCAAGATGACGCGCATCGCCGCCTTCATCAAATAGTCGTTCTCAGCCAGCTTCTCTGGTGAGCCTGCACGGTCAAGCAGCCCAAAGATGTGCACCAGCATGCCCTCAGCCAGCGGCTGGATGTCGCCTGGGCCAAACACCAGCTTGCCCTCCTTCTTCAGCATCAGCAGCCGCTCGATCGTGATAGCAGCGTACGTCGATACCACCGGGTTAGGATGCGCCAGGTGGCTGGTGAGCCACGGCAGCGCCTGCACCAAAAACTCGCGCGGCAGCTGGCTGCGGAATGTGTGGACATACTTGATAGCATCGACCTTCAGGATCGGTGCTGACTGGTCAGAGCTGACGTCTTGCAGATGCGGCACAATCTGCGAAGTAAAGAAGTCGGTGATGTTGACTAACTCGTTGATCTTGGTCGCGCCTAGCGAGTTCACCGAGGCTACGACGGCCACCGATGTCACCATGAATAGCGCGACATCCTTGTCACGCCAGTTCTCGACCGGGTTCACCGCATACTGCTCCAGCCCCTTCTGGATATACATCGACATGACCTGTGTAGTCTCGCTCGAGAACTGGTCCAGCAGACCACGCACCAGATCGCCAGCAGCCTCGCGACGGCTGCCAGCCTCGTTGCCCTCGATGTCGCGCCGGATAAACTGCATCGGGTCGTCTTCGAACAGCTCCTCGTCGTCCTCGGGAAGCACTGTGTTGGGGATGATAATGCGCTCGCAAATAAGCTTCAGCGATTCACTCGACGAGAATAGCTGCCTCTGACGCGGGTTCCTGACAACCGTGCGCAGGAACGCCATGCCGCGGCTCACCATGCTGTCATATTTGTGCGCGGAGCTGACAGTGGTCAGCATGTTCCACACTGTCTCGACAAACTGCGGCAGCTGCTTGAATACGTCCTCGTAGCGCTGCGCATAAAGCTCAATGATCTCGCAGATGCTGGCCTTGACCTCCTCTAGATCGCCGGCCACATCGTCATCGTCGCTCTCTGCATTGGCGTTAGAGTACACCAAGTATTTGTGGAATGTGGCCATGAACGCGTCCATGTTGTCCTCGAAGAACGGCGGCAGGTCCTGGCAGTTGAGGTCGTAGAAGATCTGGCACAGCAGCATCAGCGAATGCAGCAGAATCTTCAGTGCCTGCTTGTCGTTTGCGTGCTCATCGATCAACCGGTCTGTCGCTACCACCACCTGCATGTACGCGTCGGTGAACTGGCCAAGCACGTAGTTGATCTTTGTGTACAGCCGGTCCGACCGGAACGCCGACCGCCAGCCCTTGAACACCGTGTGCGCTGTCTGCAGGATACCATTGTTCACGTGGAAATCCGTTGGTGACAGCTTCGTCACCAGCTCCTGGATCAGGTCCGGCCACTGCTCAGGGAAGTCGTTGTCGGCAATCACCGATACCGCCTCGCCAATCTGCAACTGCAGCTTCTTGGGCACTGATATCATCAGACCCACAATCTCCTTCTTCACTGCCTGCCGGTCCTCCAGTGCCAGCAGGTCCTCCGTGTCCTCGTCCTGTGGCCAGCGGCGCTTGACAAAGTTTTTGAAATACAGCGCTGCGGCCACCCGCACGCTCGCATCTATTCCTGCGTCGCTCACCAGTTGCAGCAGAGGTACCACGAACCGCGGCGTCTTTTCCATGCTGTCCAGATATTGCTCAGCTACAATAAAGGTGAATAGTGCATTAGCTTGAGCCAAATGCTTACGCTTAATGTCTGCTTTTATTGCTGCCCCTACCCTGCTTGCGCTCATGAGCATGCCCGCTTAGTGACTGTTGAAGGCTCGCAGCCAGTGTCTCAGGCGTCGCAGTTGCCATGGGTAAGAAAGAAGTCGAAAACGTTGGTTGGAGAAATAAACAAGAAATTTGAGTTGAACAAGAAGACAAGGATGGCCTTGTGAAAATATCAGCAGCGGCTCTTGAAAAAACACACACAAGCAGCGCCCGCTGATCTGCTGATCGGGAGTGATCTTTGCTGCCTCGGCCAGCCAGCTTCTAGATGGTGCTTTTCTGCGGTGACAGATCCAGCAGGATGCGACAGCACGCGATGCACATTGATCGGGCTAGGCTGCTCGAACCCAGGCTCCACACCACAGCCTTCCCACCTGGCCTGCGCCATAGGTGTCTGCCATGATCGAGGCCGAAAAGTCAAGATTTCCATTCTAGCTCCCCCATCAGCCAACAACCATCCTCTTTTCCGCTTGTCCGCTTGTTTTCTAATTCCCGTTCCCTTTCATTTTGCAAATGTCTGCCCCCCTGCTGCCATTTCGACACTATATCCACACGGTGATATGCACGCTGAGTGCAACGTCGGTCACAGTCCTCAACACAACCGAAACCATCAGCTGCAACCGCATGGGCTGCGAGTGCCATGTCCTTGATGACTCCCAGTACAAAGTCGTGTTTCCATTGATAATAGTCCTGGTCCTAACCGCGTTCACGCTGACATTCGGTCCGCAAACACCGCAGTCGCCGCTAATGGCTGAGTCGCCGTCAGTGTCCGGCAGATCGTCGCCACAAGTATCGATTCAGGCAATGGAGCAAAAAGCAGATGTCGTCGAGTGCCCAAAGAAGCAGGTGTGCATAGAGTGCGGAAGCCCAGTAGCCAGTCTGTATACCGAATATGGTGTTGGGCACATCCGGTTGACGCAGTGCGAGAGCTGCAAAAACTTTGCTGACAAGTACATTGAGCATGACGTGGTTGTTATATTCATCGATATGCTGCTTCATAAGCCCCAAGTGTACAGACACCTGCTAGTTAACAAGCTCGAGTTCCGCCAGTCGATGATTGAGCGAAATGTGGCCAAGCTTGGCGTGCTTCTAGTTCTTTTCAACGTGTACATCGATTGGTTCCGGCTTGAAGAAGGTGGTCGGCTGCGTGGCCAGAACGAGCTTCTGTTTGGCAAGCAGCACTCGTTCACGCTCCAGTACCTGTTCATCCTGGTGCTGTCCGCCATTGACGCATCATCACAGCTGTGTGGCATTGTATTAGCATCGATCATTCACCAGCGCAGCTTCATGCAGGTCAAGCGCTGGGCTACCATATCGACAGCACTAATCATATCGAGCTTCGGCAAGGTGTTGATGATTTTGCTAGTTATATGGGACTACAACGAGCCATATTATCCATGGCTGCTCGACCTTTTGCTGCTGACTTCGCACTCGACTGCCTTGGCCGTGCTCTTTGACATCAACATAATGTGGTCGGGACTGGTGGTCATATTTAGCGCCGCAGTCAGGCAGTTAGTGCATTTCATTGTGTTATCCACAGCATCTGTATTCTTTTCCTAGCATCTGTTTCATTCACAATTTATTGATTTTCTGGTCTGTGTCTCAAATCCTAGTGAATATTTGTACCGTTAGCATCACCTGCAGCAGTTTACATGCTGAGATTGGTATGTGGTTTTTTGTCTGTAGAGTCGCTAGCTCCTATTGTCCCAGTGATGACTATATAAGAGCAATCCAGTCAGAAGTCCACTTTTTAGCCATGCAAATATCGAAAATAAGATTGCTACAAGAAATTGCTGGCATATACTTCGAATACCTCAATAGCTTATATAGTGGGACGACGTACAGAAAGTAGAAATTGATACACTATTTCATGATACCAGGCACTACAGACCACTGGGTGTGCCGCTTACTTTATCCGTACTATCACCTGCCAAGAGAACTTTGAGTAATTCCTTTGCTACGCACGCTGGTTTTCACTAGAAGACTCATTGTACTGCTTCTGAGGGGCAGCAGCGGCAACGCATGCATTGCAGTCTATGTGGATCCGGAGCTTGGACTGAAAGTCCCGAGCAATAAAAGTTTGGCATCGCTCGAATTCCACACTGGCAGGCCAAAAACAACTTTTAGCACTGAAGCATGCGGAGATGGAGCAGCGAGAATGAGTATGAACAATGGCCGTGCATGTGGTGTCAGTCTGCTCCAAAATCAGGGGCTATTGGCATGAGCAGAACAAGCATTTTTGGTTGCGCAACAGGAGCTTAATTAACCGAAAATAGCAGCTGCACAATGATCCGCAGCAGCACGCAGCGCAAGGCCATGCACAAAACACTTGACAGTGACAACCCGCTGTTCTGCTTGCTTCGAGCATGCAGGGGATGGAGGGGATTTTGACAGTATGGACTGTGAGCAGCATAAAGGCAGGCGTGCATTTCCAACCAAGACACTGTGTAAGCCGCATGGAAATAGATTATGCAAATGGCACTGCAAGCCTTTTGAGCAGGGCAGGATGCACTCCTTATTCGCTGTGGCAGCACCCAAGACCTATATGCGGAGCAGAGTTGCAAATAAGAAACGTCACCATCGACAACTACAAGCCAACTGAGTAACGAGTGATTTGTCTGGAAAAGAGGGACACGGCGCAAAATGACCATGATTTGGCAAAGCGGCTTTACCAATCGCTCATGCAGCCCGCTGGCATGAGCGCCATTCAGCAAAAACCGAGCAGACGGTATAGTACACAGGAGGAGCTGCACACACCTTTTTGGGCTCAAGAACCTAGCCCCAGCTCTATAGCACAGCAAGGGTGGCATCTGGGGCGCCTTAAACCACCCCTGGATCCAAATATAGACAGCAGCTCATTTGCTGATCACATGTGTTGCTGCTCTCCTTGTGTGTGGGTAACAAGTATCCCCGACCACATTTGTGGCCAGATGTCACTCTCTTGGGGAAAGGTATGCGGAGGCGATGTAGGTAGGCGCCCCCTTACTCGCCTGTGCAGCCAGGCTTGACGTTCTCCATAGCTGATCAGTATTTCTATTCCAGAAAAGGAACTTGATGGCACTGACGCCCAGAGGTTTGCAGATTGTCAGTGACATTTTTGTGGCCTCTACGGAATGTTGGTGCCGACCTGCGCCCATGAGCATTTGGATATGTACACATAGTGAATTATATATAAATGAATACATTTTTCAAACCGTAAATGAGCTAGTATTCACATAAAAGAAATGGGTATGCAGAAACGATGGATAGAGGCCAGGGGAGATGGGGAAATGCGTGGATAACCCGAACTGAAGCAGGTACAATGGCTAATTGAAGTGACAAAAAAACCATCAGCAGCTTAGTCGTGCACCGAAATACGGCACATACACAAGCCACATCTGCCTGCATGTGCAAAAAGGGACTGCCGACAGAGTGGGTTCAAGCAGGTACAGTAGACAGTGCCGCTGCAGTCGCCGTCCTACAAATCCTGGCTGCGCAAGCATCCTATGTGTCCTGTACTTTTGCCCTTTGGACATTATTTTTTACTTACACCTAATATTTAAACCATGTCTGCCAAACGCACAAGCAATATCTCACTCAAGAACAGTCCAGGCAAGCGCCTGAGAGGGAGCGACGTGAGCAAAGCGCTCAGTCACTCACCGGTGCCGTCAGCGCCAAACGACAACACGTTGCAAAACAGCAGCAGCAACAGTAAGTACTGGAAACATCCTCGTACGTTTTTAACCAAAAGAGCATGTCTACTAACACAACACTTGACAAATAGGCAGCAATCAAGGTCAAGGGAAGAGACAGCATCGTCGTCACCGGCAGACCGAACTCCTGCAAAGGCCTCTGGATATAGACCAGCTGCAGAATCGCTTCTTAACCAAAAAAGAGATCCAGGCAGAGCGCGAAGAGCTCGCCGAGAGTGTTGTCTCTGGCCAACTCATCGAGGGTACCGACCAAATCCACATTATCATAGCTCCGAGGGGAGAGGCGGGTAGTGTTTTTTCATCCATAGCCGACATTATCCACCTCGAGCTGGAACATTTGCTGAACCCCAATGCAGATGGTTCTGATGCGAGCAGCATACTCACTCACACCATGAACCTGTTGTACAAGGACGCCAAAGACGAAAGCCCGCGCTCGCGTCGACTTCGAACCAGAGGGTATAAGGCTAAAAGGAGGGAGTTCCTCGAAAGTCTGCGAGGAATCCTGGAGGAGCTGCAGGTGTGGGTCCGCCACCACAACAAGGGCAAGGCCGGCGGCAAGAAAGAAACAAAGTTGTACACCCCTTTCCAGTCCTTCGTTCACTTTGTTGCCCCATTTGTCAAGTTCCTCTTTGACAAACTTGGTCTCGGTACGCTTTTCCCTTCTGTCGTTCATCAGCGCTGCATCATCTGCTATCCGAAGACGAACAGAAAGCCCCTATGCGGCGACGACGACCGCAAGATTGACATCGGGTTGACCACCTGTCGACCTGGCGATTTGGAAGAGCAGCTGCCTGATATGTCCTATGCAGATATATTCGCCATTGTCGAGGCAAAGTACTCAAACACCCGCAAGGACAAGAATGACGCATACAAGCAGCTTGTGGACTACTCGCGCCACATGTATGCCGCCCAGCCGAATCGCCGCTTTATTCTGGGACAGACCTCCTGTGGAACTGAAGTGCGGGTCTGCTTGTTCTCAAACGACTGCATATTTGCAAGCAACCCCATGGACGTGTCAATAAGCGCAGGTCGTCGGGAGTACATTGGGCTACTGGTGAACCTCTCGCTGTGCGACAAAGACCAGCTGGGGTATGATCCGACGATGACCTGGGATAGTGAGCACGAGTACTGGATCATCGAGTGCCCTGACACTACAGGCGAGTCATCGGGCAGCCAGGCAACAAAAACGTACTACTTCAGAGATGAAGTTGCCAAAGCTGATAGCCTTTTCGGTCGGCACACGAGGTGCTTTTTGGTAACAGATGAGGACCCTGCTGGTGACAGAATCAAGCCCAAGTTTGTTGTGAAGGATTCATGGCCGGAGGTTCTACAGGACCATGACGACACACGGGACGAGGTTATGTTTATGCGCAGAATCACAGAGGAACTTGCGAACTCAGATGTCGAGGACTTGGTCTATCCAAAGCTCAAAACCGGTGGTCGTGTTTCGTTCGATACTGACGGGGGCCGATTTGAGGACAACACGAGAAATGTGCTGGGCCCACTCTACTCATTGCGCAAGCCAGACAATACAGCAATACCGTTCCGCGTCCACAAGCGTCTGGTTATGTCACCGATCGGCGAACCGCTGGAAACCGTCGGTTCTGTCCACGAGCTTATTGTTGTGCTAGGCGATGCGATGCGCTGCCACACCGAGGTTCTGCGGCGGTGCAACATCCTCCACCGTGACATCTCGGACAGCAATATCCTTGTTGTGCGTGAGGAAGGCAAACCACTTCGCGGACTACTGATGGACTTCGATAATGCACTGGATGTGAAAAAGATTAATGACTGCACTCGTACGGTTCAGTCAGGGTCAAATATCTATATGAGTATTAACAACTTACTAGGCCCAAATGTGGAGCGGACAGAGCTGGATGATTGGGAGGCATTACTCTATCTCGTTTGCCTTAATGCAATTGTCGGTATTGGAGAGAGATATCAGCGATCACCAGAAGAGATGAGGAAGTTCGAAATCAAGAATTGGCGTACTGGTAACACTCAATCTGTCGGAATATCAAAGGCAGGGGCTTTGGCAACCATTCGTGCCTTTGAACGGTACACAATCCATCAGTTCAAGAGTGACCAGCCTGATATCAAGGATTTGCAGAAACTAGCAGGTAACATCTACTCCAATCTGTTTTGGAACCCAACTCTTAGCAATGGCTGCTGCATGGGTACTGCAGATATACATATTGATGGTATGTGGTTTAATCCATTTGAGGAACGAGCAAGTCAAAGGGGCACAATTGCTTCAAGCTTGCTTGAGATCATGGAAAAAGCCTGGAGGGACTCGATGATGGTGGTTAAAGCACTGGCAGACTCAGATGCTTGAGTTTTTCAATCATTTTCTATTAAATTGCATGTTTATTATCTTTCACACCACATTGAAACTCAGGTACTGAGGACTAGAGTATAGTTAAAGCATGTGCTATTATCGCAGCTTACAGTAGTATATATCACATTGATGGTACACAATACCTCAATGCCGAGAGGTGGCTCGCTCACCTGGTTAGCTTAACCTTTGCTGACTTGAGTGTCAAGAGCAATGACTATTGTTGGAGAGAGTATGCGTAGCTCAAGTTTGTCGACTGCAGCCAATGTCTCGCTAGTAATAGTACAGCATTCCTCATCATCAGCCACATTTCGGATGACAGATGCCTGGCTGAATCAGATTCGATTTGCTCAAGCAGTATAAACAGCTTGATCTTAATGACAACAATGGCATAGCACCAAAGCAAAGACCACACTGGTAGACACACCTGCTCAAAGAGCTTAGTTGAAGTGTAGACTGTTGACGGCCTCTTGATCTCGCTTATTTGACCTCCCAGCTTTACATTTTCTGCATTTTCTCTAATTACTTCATTTGTAATGAGCAGCAAGCAAATTCCCGCACAGCAACAGCAGGTACTCGAGGGGCACACCTGTGGCTCCATAGTCTGCATCGGCACCAAGCGGCCGCTTTCGGACCCCGACCAGCCAGGCATCGACCTGCAAATATACCCACCCAAGAGGGTGTGCATTTCTCGTGTGAGTGACACCAGCAAAGCGCTCAACCCCAGCACCAAGAGAAAGTTCACAGATGATGACAGTTCGCTCGATGATGATGGATCGTCGCCTGCCAAAAAGACACGCACATATGGTGACGCGGAAGGTATGTAGGACATTCGCATTGTTGGAGCAGTAGGTGTACTGACCCCTCAGACACTAACCACACGATACATGACATTGTAGATGACTCGTTGGTGTTGCATACCCAGATTATTGCCCGCAAAACTGACAGCCATTTACGCGCAAAGAAGCGCCAGGCCACAAGAAACAAGACTGTGGGCAGACGAGTAAGCGCTCGCAACAAGCAGAATATTCAGGCACTACTGGTGCATCCTATCGACATTCTGTCACAGACAAGCGCAGAGCAGGCTCAGACTTCAACTGGAGGTAAGTGTATGCTAGTCGTAGTTGTACCTATACCAAGAACATCATACTAAAGTGAGCTGCTATTTATTTGTCACTGTAGTCGTACTGTCAGCAGCAAGAGTTCAGTCTGCTACTGAAGTGACTTCCAAGGCAGAATGCTCCATCACCAAGAGAAAGATTGCCAATGATGAGGATTCATCTGATGAAGGACCATCGCCTCCTAAAAAGGCACACACTTCAAGCGATATGGATGGTAAGACATTGTTGTCACTAGCATGGCATGTGCACTTGCTTTTTAGATACTAATCACACAGTATAAAACGCAATAGGTGAATCGCTGGTGTTGCGTACTCGGATTGTTTCCCGGAAGGACGTCAGCCAAATGCGCGCAAAGAAGCGCCAGGCCACAAGAAAAAGGGTTGCGGACAGACGAGCAAGCGCCCACACCAATCAGAGTATTCAGGCACTACTCTCACACCCTATCGACATGCCATCGCTGGCAAGCCCTGAGCAGATTCAGATTTCAACTGGAGGTAAGTCTATGCTTGTGGTAGATTTGATAGCATCGAGAACACTCCATTAAAATGAACTGCCATTTGTTTTCCATCGTAGTCATACCATTAGCAACAGGAGCTCAGCCCGCTGCTCCAACGACTGATCAGCTGGTAAGCTCTGGTGTCAAGATGCGTCAGACAGACAAGGATCTGGTGAAGAACAACAGGCCATCGCCAGCAAAAATAGCGCAGGCAACAATTTCAAGTGAAGGTAAGGATATGGTGTGCATCACTAGTAGGAAGGGAAATGGTAGTGGTGGATAGTAATCGATCTGTATATGGAAGTGTAGGCGAGTCTTCAATACCTAGTCCCCGATCATCTACCAAAAAGACTAGCAGCCAGTCGCGCAAAAAGAAGCATTTAGCAGCCAAAACTAAAGGCCCTGGCATGCAGCCCAGAATTCGCACTAGACAGAGTGCTCATGCACAAGTTTCAAGCTCAGGCAATAAATTGCTGTCGCCAATTAACTCACCCACCTCAAGCCAACCAAAAGGTAAGCACATGGCTATCGTCTTTGCAAGTACATAGCTGTTTACTATACGATGATCAGCTAACATTTACAGAACAATGTAGAGTGGTCTCCAGAGTCCAGCGAGATTGGGACCGCTGCCAGGTTGAACGAGTCTTCCAGTTTCACAGTATCCTCAGCACCGAGTATGGCATCATATACAGCAGAATCCTCACTCGATAGCAGGTGGTGTAGTGATGACGATGACGAGACAGATACTGAGGCAGACATGTGGGCCAAGACGCGGCTCATTAGAGATGCAGATGCAGTGCTCGACATCGCAAAACCGCAGAGTGCTGCCGGGAGAGTGCTTGCCAGCAACATTTCCAAGCACATCTCAGCTGAGCTGGAGCATCGGCTCAACACAGCTAGCACATACGCAATAGCTGACACTAGCAAAACCCAGTCGGCTTTGGAAGCGCCCATGCAAAACAACAACTATCGACAGCTGCTGCTCTCCGGCACAACATCTGCTATGAGCAAGGATGAGCGCAGTGCAGCCACGACCAATGCATTTGCAGGGTTTCAGGAGTGGATTACACCCGAGTCGATACAGCATCAGCCTATTGGAGCACCATCTACACCACCAGACAGTACCTGTGGTGACGATACGGACGATGCTAAACAGATACATACATCAGTGCAGTCATTCATTTATTTCGTCGCACAGGAGATCGACAGTTTCATTAGCGCACTAGATGCAGACGCGCTTGGGGAGCATCCCACATATCGCCGTCTTCTACCATGCATGAATCAAGAGTGCCATCCCAGCAATACAGGCAGCTCTCCAACCATCGAAGCAGGCATCACTACACAACACAGAGGCAGCAGTATCGAGCCGCTCAACAGCTTCTGCTGTGCTGATGCATTTGCTGTCATCGAGGCACGACCAGGCAAAACTCGGCGCATCATCGACAAGGCATATGCGCAGCTGATGCAGAGCACACGCAGCATCTATAAGGTTCAGTTTGACCGGCGCTTTGTTTTTGGCTTGACCGTCTGCGACAATGAGGTGCGGGTGTGTCTATTTTCCAACGATGTGGTCTTCTCATCCAGCGCTCTTGACATGTCCATTGCATTTGGTCGCCAACAATTCATCGAGCTGCTAGTTTACTGGTCTCTCTGCGATGAGGACCAGTTGGGGTTCGACACGACAGTCCACTGGGACAAGGATAACAACTACGGGACCATCGAGTGTCCTGACACAGCAGACGAGTCATCGTGTTCTGCAGCCACAAAAATGTACTACTTTGACAAGGTGCTACTAGGAGCAGACAGCCTTTTCGGTCGGCACACGAGGTGCTTTTTGGTGACAGACGAGAGGCCTTCTGGCGACGAAATCAAGCCCAAGTTTGCTTTGAAGGACACATGGCCGGAGGCCACAGAGGACCCTGCCAGAGATAGGCGAGACGAGGTGATGTTTATGCGCAGAATCAAGGGGGAGCTTGCGAACTCAGATGTCGAGGACCTGGTCTACCCAAAGCTCGAAGCCGGTGGTCGTGTCTCGATAGATACTGACGGGGGCCGATTTGAGGACAACACGAGAAATGCACTGGGCCCGCTTTACTCGCTGCGCAAGCCAGACAACACAGCAATACCGTTCCGCGTCCACAAGCGTCTGGTTATGTCACCGATCGGCGAACCGCTGGAAACCGTCGATTCTGTCCACGAGCTTATTGTTGTGCTAGGCGATGCGATGCGCTGCCACACCGAGGTTCTGCGGCGGTGCAACATCCTCCACCGTGACATCTCAAACAACAACATCCTTGTTGTGCGTGAGGAAGGCAAACCACCCCGTGGACTGCTGATAGATTTTGACTGCGCAGTGGATGTAGGCGAGCGTCAAAGGCCGAATCCAGAGACTGTTGGAGTGCTCCCCTATAGGAGCATCAGCAACCTATTGGGAACGGATGTGGAACAGACAGAGCTGGATGATTGGGAGTCGCTACTCTACCTACTGTGTCTCTGCGCAACAGTCGGTATTGGAGAAAATTGTGAACGATCTCCTGAGGATATAGAGATGCTGGTAACTAAAAATTGGTGCACTGGAAGGGCTCAGTCTATTGGGTTATTAAAGACAGGAATTTTGGCATCCCTTCCTGGCTTTGAGCGGCACGTAGTCTGTAATTTCAACAGTAATCAACCCAACGTCGAGGATATTCGAACATTAGCAAGAGGCATCTACACCAACCTGTTTTGGAACCCGACTCTCAGCGATATTCGTTTCAAAGGTACTGCTGACATATCTGCTGGTGGGATGTGGTTTGACCCATTCCAGGAACGAGCAAGAGAAAAAGACGCTATTGTGCATACTCTTCTTAGTACTATAAATAAATGCTAGTATCCAAGTGTAGTGTGAAATTGGATTTTTGTACATCTCATAGATATGGAAAGTAATTGCATATCTAGCACATAATTCATCTCGCTACATTTATAGTTATACATCAAGAAGTCACATATAACGTACTGCGGTTAGTTATGTAACAATCTGTATGGCATTTATGATGACTAACTTAGGAAACTCTATAAGTGCATGCCTATGTACTTCCTATGTTCAGATGTTGCATCATGACCCACATGTACATGAGCAGCGTAGTTGAGGCAACAGTGGCCACCAGCAGCGGCCACTTGTGCTGCATGGCCAGCTCGCGCGCCTTATGTGCAGTATTAGTGAGCTCAATGACCTGGGCCATGCGATTTTCCTTCCCTTCCGCCTTTACCTTCGGTGCCAGCGGATGTGCATTTGTGGCGGGTACCAGGGAGGTAAACATCACCGGGCGCACAGGATCCAGACGCTTCCACGTAGCCTCATAGGTGTTGACATCGGAGAGCTTCGGCAAATGGCAGTTGCCCAGGTGCTGCAGCTTCAGCGGCGGGTAGTTGAGCTCCAGGTTGTATGAATCGGCGATGACGTCGTCCCACTTGGTGACCTCGGCCGGCAGTTTGGTCAGCATAGTGTGGAGGATGGCGAAATCGCGCTCGCACGCAAGAATGTCGTCCTGGCGGCAGGCAATCACGGCTGCGGCCATATACACGACCTGCATGGTCGGGCTGACAATCAGGAAATCGAAGATCCGGCAAATGTCGTCGAAAGATGCTACGTCATGCGCAAACCACGTCAGTACCCAGCTGATGGCGAAAAACGGCGGCACATCGAGCTCCGTCAGCACCCGGTGGACTTTAGGGCATGTCTGCTGCAGAAGCACGTATAGGAGCTGTAATTGCTGCAGGACATGGTCGAGATTGCTGCCCATGGCATCGCGCACAAAAAACAGGGCAGTCATTTTCGCCGCCTCGGCAGCCGCCTGCTCACTGCCAAACACCAGCAGATAGGTTAGAGCCAGCTCGTGGTATCCCTGGTAGTAGCTAAGCCAGGGGTAACTGCGCAGGACATTGCGCACTACCGTGCCCAGCTGGTGCTGCCGCCGCTTGGTTGTTTTGGGGTCGCGCCGCAGCTCCGAGGACTCGGGCAGGCTGGTTCGCCGCAGATCCAGGTCAACCTGGCCCTCGTCAGGGTGTGCATTCTGCTTGTCGCCGGTGTCGGTCAGAGACCGAAAATTCAGCAATAGCGGCCATGCCCGCCGCCGCAACCGCAGAGTCTGCAGGCCGTTGCCGGTACGCGCCAGGTCCTTTAGCGTGGCCAGGTCCAGACTGCTAATGGCCATGGATATGCGCTTGGCCTTGGACAGCCGCCGGCCAACGTCGTCCGATGACTGCCCAGCGCTACTCGCTATCCGCTGGCTCTTCTTGCGCTGCCGCAACCGGCCGTGAGTTTTCATGTCTTTGGGGGGTTAGAAGGTGGACGAATTAGACAACCTTTTTGAGTTGAGGAAGAAGAAAAAAATCGCCCAAACTGGTCCAAAAATTTTGTGGCCACCAGATGCCAGACGGCGTTAAAAAAAACGGTGGCCAAAGTGTCCACGGAGCCAAAACCACCAGTTGCATTGCCTCTCCTTCACTTTCTCTGTCACCCAGTTTAATTTTCTACTATTTTGCGCTTGTACACTTTTTCTTCCTTGCAAAAACACGACGTTCTACTTTCAAAATGGGCGCAGAGGTAAGGACATGGGCCCGTCCATGGTGGTGTAGGGGCACGCTGGTGCTTGGTGCCAGCAAAATGCAATGGAATGACCAAAGCACATTTATACGTGGGTCCACGTCAACAACCAGCCCTACTCTTCTTTCAAGCCCTTGTGTTCTTATTTCATACAGCATGCTGCCAATCATTTCCGCTAAAGTTCACGCATTTAACCTTTTTTGTAGTTTGAACGGCTGCTGCGCTTGGCAGAGCAAAATACAGTTGACATGCAGCAGCAAATGACACTGCAGCGCAAGCGGCAGCGGACAGATACGACCAGCAACCGAGACACGGATCGCGAGGCACGGGAAAAGCGGCAGCGCAAGGAGCTGGAGCAGCGGGTGCGCGAGCGTGAGCAGGCAGAGCGGCGCGAGCAGGCAGAGCGCGAGGCCCGGCGGCGGAAGCGGATTGAAGCAGAGCGAGCCGAGGAAGCAAAGCGGAAGCTGGCTGCGCAGCAGGCCCGGAATGCAGCCGCCCGGAAACCCCGTGCAGAAGCGGCCGGGCAGCGAACACTGGCAGCACCCAAGCCGGCAGCACCCAAGCCGGTGGCAAAGCCCCTGTCGTATGACCAGCTGATGCAGATTGCGTCGGGAAAGCCTGTCAGCGCTGTCAGCCGGGAGCAGGCAAAGCCAATGCGTTCAGCTGATGTGCGGGCAGCCCCGAGAGATCGGCAACGGACCATGTCGCCGGTGGCCGAGCGGAAAAGAGCTACAGAGCCATCGCGCAAAGAGCCCATGACACGGCCAAGCGCCAGGGAAAACAAAACGGCGGCAGCTGGTCGGCAGCGCGTATCGCCGGTACCAAGGAGCCGGCCGGCAGCGGGCGACCGGTGCTTACCGGCCGAGGCAGCCCGGGCAAAGGCGGGAAAAAGGAAGGCCTCGCCGCCGCCGGAGCGCGTGCGCAGGCCGCCAGAGCGCGAAATCGATCGGTTCGGTGTGCGGTCAAAGTCGCTTAGGGATGCACCCAGTGCCCGGCCTGGCGTCCGCGACAGTGCGAGAGATCGGGGAATCGGCGGCCGGCCGGCATCTCGGCCAGCCAGCGCCTCTGGCATTCGCCGCAATGACCCACCGCGCAGCGCCGGTGCGGCGCGCGAGCATGCGCGTCACGCAGAGGCCCGGCGGCCAGTGCCCGGCGGCGTGCGGCGACCCGCTGACCGACGACAGATGGGCCAACGACGGGCGCCCTGTGGCCGTGGGCGGCAGGATGACTATGAGGACGAGAGCGAGTATGATTCACTGGATGATTTTGTGGTGGACGACGAGGACGAGAGCCGGTATCGCGTGGGGGCGATCCGCGAGATGTTTGGTGTGCGCTACCGTGATGTAGACGACGACGATGATTACAATATGGAGAGCTCAGCCATGCAGCAGATGAGCGAGGAGCGGCGGAGCGCCAAGATTGGCAAGCTCGAGGACAAGCGCGAAGAGGAGCGTCTGGCCGCCGAGGAGAGGGAGCGTGAGCGCAGGATGCGCATGCGCCGGTAATAAAACCCCCCACTGTAGGCTTTAATGAGGCATTTCATGGGACGTTTTGTGGAATGCCGCTGGAGTGGCGGTGGCAAGATAGTGTGTGCGATGGAGCCTGGCATGGCTGAGATACTTTTGGCAACATTTTTTATGGTACAAATCAACTACATTTAAAATGCACAGGCTAGCACCTGTATAAGAAAGCTGTATTCGCTTAGAACGCCCACACCAGCGACGAGTACATGCCGCTGGTGTTGTCAGTTGCAGTCTGGGTCTTGGGGCACCCCTTGATGATAGTCTTCTGGCGAGCTGCGACGGGAAGCTGGTCGGCGTTCATGAGAGGTAGAGTATATAGAGTTGATGAAAAAATAGAGGAAGAGAATGTGGCCTTGTCTTTTTTCCATGCCCATCTCTGTGTTCTCTTCAACACCTCCCCTGGCCCAACAGCAGGGTGTGCCGACGTCACAATGCTGCTGGCCATGTACAGATCTACGAGCCTGTTGCCCAAACACCTGAAGCGCTGCTCTACTGTTCAATCGTCCAAGGCGGCACATGCATATATTTGCAGCAACCCCTGCCATTGAGCCTAAGTCGAGCAAGTCCTGAGGCTTCTTTTTCGGGCACGGGGCTGGGAATAATGGCGGGCGCTGAGCAGTTTAGATCTGAGACTTCATGGAAGGTGGTAGTTGAAAAGCACGAGTAAAATGCAAAGCTGTATATATGCCCCAAAATCACGGCATATCACTAGCCGCACGCTTGTTTCAAACCAGCCAAAAATATTGGCATAAATCCAACACACAACTCAGCCCCTTTCGCCATGCCAAACGACCTGACATCCAGCACACCCACATCAGGAGGCTCCACACCGCACCCAGCAACACCCGGCCAGCCGGGCAAAAAGCGTGCCCGTACACTCCTGACACCGGCCGCACTTTTGCGTCAAAAGCGGAAGCGCGGCGGCACCACGCTCTCGGGCCGCAAGCCCACCATAGCACGCTCCGGCACAGCAACGCCAATAAAGCCCAAGCCCACAGCGCCCGACACAGCAGCGATAACGGAGAAGCTGAAAAAGCGCACTGGCATTCCAGACGACGAGGACACGGAGGCAGATGACGACGAGGAGGAGATGCTAGGGGACGACGAGGTCACATTGGTCAAGCAGAGCAAGGAGGAGGTCAAGGAGCTGTGGGACCAGCTGTCGGCGGAGCAGCAGCAGCGGTATGGCGTGTACAGACGGACGGCGCTCAGCAAGGGCGCGGTTCGGCGGCTGGCCAGCAGCGTGCTGGGGCAGCAGATCTCGCCAACTCTGTCGTTTGTCATTGCCGGGTTCTCCAAGGTGTTCGTCGGCGAGATCGTCGAGCGCGCAGTGGCGGTTCAGCAGGAGCGCGGCGACTCTGGGCCACTGACGCCGGCGCATCTGCGCGAGGCGTACCGGCAGCACAAGAAGGAGACAGGCATGGCGGCCAATAGCTCGGGATTCACTAAGCGACTGTTTTAATGTGTAACTAAAGAAAGAAATGGACCTAGTTGGCGGCCGGGGTCGATGTGTTGCGGAAGAACAGCACGGAGCCCGAGTCCTCGACGAACTGGCAGTGGCGCAGGTTGTGGTACAGCGCATAGAGGAAGTTGGTGCGGTCGTAGTAATAGTACTTTCCCAGCTTCTTCTTGAGGTGGCGGGTGGCCTCCTCAGCGTGGTAGTGCGGCATCTGCGAGAACACGTGGTGGGCAACATGGGTGTCCTGGATGTGGTGCAGCATGGTGTTGAGCACCCATCCGTAGTCGCGGTCGACAGTGCACAGCGCGCCGCGCACAAAGTTCCACGAGTCGTCGGCGTAGTGCGGCACCACAGGGTCGGTGTGCTGCAGGAATGTGATGGTGACCAGCCAGAAGTTGACAAACAGATACGGCACCAGATAGTAGAAGAACACCGAAGCCGTCGAGAACACCCACGCCGAGTAGGTCAGCACCAGCACCGTCAGCAGCACGCCGACGTTGCTGATGACGATCTGCCAGAACTGGTCAGGCCGGAACAGCACTGCGTTCGGGTTGAAGTGCGAGGCGCCGCGCGCATACTTGGGCCCCGATGCGTTGCGGTACAGATATGCGGGCCAGCCAACAAGCGACTGCCCAATCGACAGGTAGATGTGGTACAGCGGCGTCTCCTCAAACAGCGTGTCGGTCCTCCAGGCCGGCGTCGACGGCTTACCCTGCAGCCCGCGGTACGACTTGGTGCGCGGCACAAAGACCTCATCGCGCGTCATGCTGTTGGTGCCCTTGTGATGCTGCGAGTGCGTATGCCTCCACGCATAGTACGGCACCAGCAGCGCCGAGTGCAGCACCCACCCAGTAGCGTCGTTGATAGCCTTGGAGTCTGAGAACGCTCCGTGGCCGCTACGGAAATAACCGTTTTAGTCACCAGTAGCAAACTGAAAACCACCACGCAATCGGTTTCATAGTGGCTTTAAAAAAATCCCAACAGAGCCCCGTGGGGCGATCGCCGGCGATTCAGAACCCAGTCCCAGCATCTAGCAGATAAGAAAAATTTTCCACTTACCACTCGTGGGCGATAACCCACAGCCCGGTGCACACCACGCCCTGTGCGATCCAGTACGCAATCCATGCCGGAGCGCGCAGGAACAGCGGCAGCTGGTGGATGTACGTCGCGCATGTGGCCAGCGCAATGACTCCCAGAATATCATACGCCACATAGCTGAACGACCGCATGGTGTCACGCTCGAAGCAATGCTTCGGCACACAGTCACGCAGCTCCTTGATGGTGAAATTGGGAGGCTCAAAGTCCTTCTCCGGGTCAACGATGGTCTGCTTGCCGCCCATGGTGTATAGGAAAAACCGAGATACCTCTAGAGTAACGAAATGAAGTGAAGGAGAGCAGTGGAGAGCCGGGCGACACCTCTGCCTGTTTATATGCCCCCATGTGAAGCTGCAGCAGTGCCGTGTTTGGGGAGGCGTCTACGCTCAATGCTAAGGATGCCCAGCAAAAAAAGAACAAAAGAAGCAGTTGGTTGTCACGACGCTTTTTTTTTTGCTGCAGACACATTTGGGGGGAGAGGGCCACAACAGTTCCTCAGTGCCTCACTCCCTCTGCCCCGTTCGCTGCCAGGAAAGCCTGCGCCAATCTGCACCGATCTTCCCCAATTGGCTGCTCCGGACAAACTTTGTGACTTTTGCAAATATCAATTAGGATCTCCATCCGTGGTCCCGAGATTTTGTGTTACTTTTCGGCCAGTCACAGCGCAATATGGAGTCTGGCATTCCGCAGGGCTGTATTCCGGTAAGCAAGCTCGGCTTAACGGCCAACATCCCTCTAGCCACAAACATCTGTGGAATTGCCTGGATGGCATTCAGCAACGTGGGCCACGAGCAAATGAGGGAACCAGCAGAGGGGAACAATAGCTTCATATACCGGGACTAAGCACTGCAGGTAACTTCTGCAAGACACGGTCAGCAGACATCTCTGGGAATTGCAGATATATGCAGTAGCAAGGTCAGATGAGAGGTACTGAAATTAAGATTCCATATAGATGAACTGCACTACTGTGCCAAAGCCCCCATTGGGTCCCACGGCGGCAGAACCACCGCATCCTGGTCAAGCACATCCAGGATCTCCTTGGGCAGGTCCTTCTTCTCGAGCACGATCTGGTACACAAACTCGTCGAACCAGCGGTCCGTCATCGTCAGGTACCCCTTGTTGCCGTAGTCCTCGCCCCATGAGTTCTCGATACGCCAACGCACAACCTTGTTGCCCTCCTCGCTGTGCAAACCAGTCAGAACCATGGCGTGGGTCATCATGCTATCTCCATACTGCAGGCGCTCGGCCTTGGTCACATTGATGCCGAACCCAAACCCGGTCTTGTAATCAATCAGCTCCGTGTCCATCATGCCCTTGTCGCGCGAGTGGAACTGGCCTACATCGCACCCAAACCACACGGGCCGCCCGTCCTTGATCACCTTGGCTGCATACTTCTTGAGCTCCTCCACAGGCAGATTAATATAGTGGACATCCTCGGCACCCACCACGTTGCCGAGGTACTTGACCGTGTATTTCTTCATGTATGCATTGCGTGGGTCGTGGATCAACGACACCGTCTGCTTGCAGTCGAGTTTGACGTGGTCATGGTAGAACTGCAGCGGCGACAGGTTGCAGAACTCGTGGAACCCCTTGTCCTTGTCGTAGAACACCCAGTCGAACTTTGCCGGCGGGTGGCCAAGCGAGATCACCAGGATCTTGTGGATCTCCTCGAGCATCTGGTCCTTCATTGCGCGCAGCTGCAAGACCTTCGCCCCCTTGGCATGCATACCGCGCAGGTCCTTTGCGTACTCGCGCAGCTTGGACGTAATCAGCTTGTCCATCTGCCCGGAGCTCGACGTATGGAACGTCTCAGGATACGCAGCCTTGGTCACCACACCGTACTTTTCAATCAGAGCCACAAACATGTCCCACTGGCCGCCGTCGCCCACCGGGTCCTTCAGCAGGTACTGCACCACCCGCCCCTCAAGGTCATCGTCGATGGTCGTCAGGATGTTCTCCAGGAACCAATTTGCCTTCTCTAGCTTGTCGTAGAAGAAGAGATACGGCTGCGAAAGCTCGAGCTCCTCAAGATTGTGCTCGTTCATCATGCCCTGCCGCAGCATGTTCAGGCCGGCAAACAGCCAGCACCGCCCGCTGCTCTTCTGGTTCGTGATCGGCGCGTCAATCGCAAGCTTGTTCGAAAACACTGGCGGGTGCTGCGTGAACACATAGCGGTTCTCGAGTGCATTGCTGTAACCCTCGCGAGAGATTGTCAGTGTTGCTAGCTTGTTCTTGATGTCGGCGTCAAAGTTCTCCTTGTAGTGGTCCAGCTGCCCCAGCGTGATGTCCTGGGACGCCTTGGGCTTGTTGGTAGTGACGGTCATGGGTGTATCGTGCTTCCCGCGTTGCTGCGGTTGCTGGGTCAGAACGTGACGCGCGTAGGAGGAACTGGCCGGAGCGTGGTTATAGATAACAGTCATCGGAGAGAAGAAAGATGGCTTGAAGAATAGTCGAGGGCTCTTATATTGCTTCAGAGGTACAGAAAAGTGTATACAGAAAAGAAACAAAAAAAGCAGTGGAGAAACAAAAGTGTAGCAGAAAAACGTCAGAACCGTGGGACGAAAAGGGCACCTTTACCAGTGGATTTGCGGCATTCACTGCGAGCCGCAATTAGCATCACATGGTTCCGTGGCATCTATAAAACCGGCTTGGCAGCTACAAAGAGTACGGAGAGAGCATGTCAATACACAGGACAGTAGATCCAACCCGACCAAGTTCTGTGGAGAGAAGCGGCCTTACCTGCAGGCATCTCAAAGAAATACGGATGGTCCAGTGCCTGTCGGACTGTCAACCGCTTTCGCGGGTCATACGTCAGCAGCGAATTCAGCAGCATAATTGTGTTGGAGCCGACGCCGCGCACAGCCAGCTTCAGGTTGTTAAACTTGTTGTCAGGGAACTGCATTGACTCAGCCAGCGGCAGATTCCTGAAGCCAGGCCAGATGCGCTCGTTGGGCGCACCGATCATGTCGACAATAAGATTCATTTGCTGCTGCTCCGACGACCCCGGCATAAACGGCTTATGGACAAGCAGCTCGCCGAACACGCACCCCATCGACCACATGTCGATTGCTGGCGAGTAGTCAACAGCACCCAACAGCAGCTCCGGCGCGCGGTACCACAAAGTAGCCACGCGCGGCGTCATCGGACGACGCGGCTGATGGAATAGCCTGGCCAGGCCAAAGTCGGCTATTTTAACGTCGCCCGATTTTGTCAGCAGTGCATTGGGCAGCTTGAGGTCTCGGTGTACAACAAAGTTCTGGTGGCAGAACTCGAGCCCGCGCAGCAGCTGACCCACCAGGCTCTTGACCTCCGACGCTGTGAATGGCACCGCCCGGCTATCCAGCAATGTGCCCAGGTCGCACTCGCAGTGCTCCATTACCATGAACACTTTGTCAATGCTGGTGCCCACCGCTATCTCCAGCACGCTGACTATGTTTGGATGCCGCAGCTTTGTCAGCAGCGCGATTTCGCGGAAGCTCGACAGCGGGAGCCCGCTGCTGCTGTCGTCCATGTTGACGCGCATGCGCTTCAGCGCGACGATTCTGCCGGTGCGCCGGTGCCGTGCCTTGTAGACGATACCGTACGTGCCCTCGCCGATACGCCCAAGCTTCTCATACACGCTCACATCTGTGCATGTCCCAAAGAACCCGCGGCTCGGCACCATCGTCGCATTGCCTGAAAAGTCGACCAGCTGCTCGCATTCGCCCTCCATTGTGATAAAATATGCTGGGCATCCATGCTGGGCTCAACCCACACGGGTGTACATTCATTTGGAGGCCCACTTCCTACGCGACTATGGAGCCATTTTATTTCTTGGCAGTTACATTACAAAAGACGCTTCAAAACTCCTGCTGCGCGCGGAATAGCGACGAGTACACAATAATTGTTCCGTACACCAGCAGCCCGCCCACAATGCTCATGTACATCGCCATCGACGTAATGATACCAGAGTGCGCCAGCACAATTGGGAACCCGAATCCAGACACAACCAAAATCGACGTCAAAAACCTGCCCACGTCTGCTACCGACGAGCTCACGTCCGCCAGCGGGTCAGACGACACATACCGCCCAAACACTGCATTCGGCAGCGGCGCCAGCGCATATGTAAATACCACCGCCAGTGGCCACCAGTTGCCGTACAGCGCACAGGAGAGAATCGATAGCAAGAACCCTGCCGCCAAGCACACCGACAGCACGACAATTCTAACAAAAGTAAACCTTGGAATTAGTGCCTGACCCGAAACCACTCCAGAATGTTGCCTCTAGCAGCGAATTTGATGCCCTTACGATTTAACTCCAGCGCTCATTTCTCACTACGCAATCGTTGTATAAGTAGCCTAGTTTATAAGAAAGCAAAATTCAGGAAAAGTACAGAAACAAGCCAATTTCGCGACGACAAAAAACGACTGTGCGCTGAAATCAATGACGAAACGACGATGGCCGCGCCCGCCTACTGGCCCCACCCATCGATCATGTGACTTTTGTTTTCTGACCAAAAAGATGTGCTGTTGCCTGGAATCGAACCAGGGTCGACACGGCCACAACGTGATGTACTGCCACTATACTACAACAGCCTGAATTGATGTCAATCTCTTGGTCTCTTGCCAAAAAATACTCTACAGGAATTTTCGGTTACTGTGCCACAATTTTTGCCTTGCCTCCACCACACCAACTGATTGTTGTAGACGGAAAAGGGAATGATGGGAATATCGTAATTGAACTAAAATAAAGTGGCGAAACTGCGATGTTGCAAACATATTCCTATTGCTACTTGTATTCCACCACAAACACATCATCATTTGCTTCCGCTTTCCCATTCCAGATACCCCATCATGTGCCAGCATCTCCTTTATCCCGTTACATGTTTCTGCAAGCGATATCTGTTTGTTGGCTGGCAATCCCATGTTTGCAATTTGCAGGTCGAGTATACCAATATATTCATACTACCCATGGGCCCCCGGTTCCCAAGGCTTCATTCTATGTCTTTCCAAAAGGAACATGCGCAACTTGTCCAATGAGTAGAAGCCATCCTACACCGACTTGCAGTATGATTCCTTACACATAAACCCACTTGTTCCGCCCTTGCCACCGACTTTTCCAGACAAGTCGAAATCGGTAATGATAGGGTTTCCTTTGGCATTGACCAATATACTACCTAGACTGAAGTTGGTGTGATGGACATCAATTGAATGAAGTTGTTTGATAGGATTTGGAAGTTGGTGCACAATGCTCTCAACCTTTTCTTCATCCAAATTGGGCATAAAATAGACCTCCTTTGATTAGATTGTAAGAGCAATACCTAATGCAATTCCTTATGACGAATAGATGCCATAGTAGGTGTAGATGTTAGGATGCCCTCTATGCTTATAAATATGCTCATAAGCTCTAATCGCACACTCCATATTCTATGTATAGAGCTTCTGTTCACCACAATCTTTAGTAATTAGTTACCTCTATTAGAACATTAGTTTACTTCTCCTGATCTTTTTCTTATTCTTTCTTTTATCCTCAAATCAGTCTAGTCACTGGTCTAGTCTCTCCTTCTCCTTTTTTACTAACTCCCAATTTTCTCTTTAAGATAGCTTTAGTCTGTCTTTTCCTGATATATTCTCTTTTACTTAGGTAGGATAGCCCAGCCCAATTCAATAGTTTATAACCTCAAACAGCCTAACAATACCTTTCAATATAGAGAGTGTGTGCAGTCTATTTATTCATACAGGTATCACTGGTAGTGATGCTTACTCTACCAAATATGAATTAAACAATAGATTTCCCTATAAGTCAAATCAATCATATATTTATAGTGAATATATTAGTATCAGGAGTAGGAACACAAAAGTAACAGACCTAAGAGAATACTCACAAGATGCTACTTTGTATAATGCACTGCTTACTCTCAGCTCCTATAGTAACTGCTAGGAATTAAGTGACTTTGTGGGGTTAGAAGAGGAAAAGATAAGAAATATCATTAAATAGATAGTCACAGGTATCACTGTGAGAATTCTGGGATCTAGTAGCTTCCAGTTAAAGGGGTAGCATTGAAATGACTGAAACTTAGATAATTCATACTTTGGTAGTTTTGCCCTACCACCTACATCTACAATAAATCATGTATCCTTAGAAATCAATGCATAAAAATTTCAAATTCGCTGAAAATTAGAAGCAGCGATGTGCAAAAATCTACCAAGCTAATGATAGATACGTCAGAAGCTAAATATAGGGTCCCACGCAACAGCTATGCAATATCATGAAATGCTTTTGTGCCAGCTTATCGGTCTCAGTACATGGGATCGTCGCGCAGAATTGATTTCCTCTCATAAATAAGGAACTATTAATAGCTACTCCTGGATCGACAGCCATGGGTATCCCTCAACGAAACGCATGCAGAGGCTCTGGAAAGTAAATGGTCCCAACTTTGTAGATTACTAAGGAAATCTTCAGGAAATCAAGCAGCCCTTCAAATGACGAAACAGCTTTGAGCGATTCTGGTATATAATGAAGCACAGCACCCATGGTTCGCTGCACCTATTCACTTCATTACTCATTTGCATGCATTCCACACCTTGCATTATTTTATCATGAACCTGCATTTTCCTATCATTCTTATCACCCAGGCTGTGCTGGCTCTTGCAGATAGCTTTCCCGAGTTGTCATCGCCAGCAGCTAAACTATGCACAGTGCACACTATCTCATCTGGTGACACATGTTCATCAATCGCATCCAAGAACACCATTGACGACAATACTCTCAAGTCATTTAACAAGGACATCAACTGCGATAATCTTCAAATAGGACAGAGGCTATGCATCTCCGCTGGCTCGCTTCCATCCAACAAACCAGCTGCGAATGCTGATGGCTCTTGCAAGTGGCATCTCGTTATGAAGGATGAGACCTGTTCTTCAATTGGTAGGCCATTGGATCTGAGTGACTCTGATATTGCTGACTTCAACAAAAACACCTGGAGATGGACTAGCTGCGACGGGCTGCAAGCTGGTACCAAAATATGCATTTCATCGGGCAGCCCGCCACTCCCAGATATCAACCCTGAGGCGCAGTGCGGTATTGCATCGAAAGGCAATTCATCGTGTCCACTGAACCTGTGCTGCTCTGCTGCAGGCTTTTGTGGCTTTGATTATGCGTTCTGTGATCCATATACACCGCTGACTGGCCCTGGATGCCAGTCAAACTGCGATATGACGTGGCCAACAGAGAATAAGGTATGCGATAACGCAATGTCCAAGCGCATCGGATATTTCGAATCGTGGGCTTCCAACCGCACCTGCGGCAAGTATGAGGTTGGTGATATCGACCCGCAGCAATTCACCCATTTGCACTTTGCTTTCGCCGACATCAATGCCGATTTTGCCCCAAATCTGAACGACAATCAAGCGCAGCAGCTCGGGTCGATGAGAAAGCTTAAAGAGATCAACAAATCACTCAAGGTCATCCTTTCAGGTAAGCGGCATATGAGCCATTTGACGTATGTAGACACATCTGTTTATTCAGCCTCACTAATTTGTAATTTTGGTATGTGAATAGTCGGCGGCTGGGCTTTTAACGACCCAGGACCTACTCAGCATCGATTCAGTGATCTGGCTGCCTCTTCAGAGGGTCGCAAGAAGTTCAACGCCGTCATTGCAACCTGGATCAAGCAAAATCTGATCGATGGTGTCGATATTGACTGGGAATACCCCACATCTCCTGACCACGGAGGTCGTCCCGAGGACTATGAGAATTTTGTCACTTGGATCAAGGAGCTGCGTGAAGCCGTCGGCAGTGGGTCAATCTCCATCTCGGCTCCAGCAAGCCCATACTATTTGAAGGGGTATGACATTGTTGCTCTTTCTAAGCTCGTTGACTACATCGTCTACATGACCTACGATCTACATGGTACATGGGACGCTAACGTCAAGTCTGCTGGTCCTTACCTGAACCCGCATGCCAACATTACTGAGGTAAATACGGCCATCAAGATTCTCGAGCGCGCCGGCGTTAAATCTGACAAGATTCTGATGGGTCTCGGGTTCTACGGCCGCTCGTTTAAGATGGCCGACTCAAGGTGCTCGACGACTGGGTGCAAGTTTACCGAAGGGGGTGCTCCAGGTAAATGTACCAATGCTAGCGGAGTCCTGTCGTACGCGGAGATTGCCGAACTCAAGAGCATTGCGAGCGACATGCGTTACGAGCAGGATGCGATGGTCAACATCATGGTTTATGGCGATTCGAACTATGTTTCGTACGACGACCCGGCTTCTCTGAAAAGGAAAGTGATGGGGGCCAAATCGCTTTGCTTAGCGGGTACTGCCATGTGGGCTATCGATATGGATGACAAGGATGGGTCGCTGGTTTCAGCTGTTACAGGTATCAACTATCAGCCAGCGCATATCTCTGCCCCTAATGTTGTGATCAGTGCTGGTAGCGACAACAAAAATGATACCAGTATCAGCAACAGTAAGGATTACGATGACGATGACGACGACGTTGACGTCTCCCTTGGCTTTTACAATGTACAAGGCGTGGGTGATATCAGCGATTCAGACTTTTTGGGTATGGTTAAGGACAATCTGGTACTGCGCGACAAGAAGTACATGCCTGACGATTTCTGGGATACCATATTCGACCGCGTCAACGATGTAATCACGCAGAAAAACGGGCTGGCTCCTGAACGTGTTTACCAGTTATATATCCTCGCCGGATCAAAGATGATGGAGCTGCTTCTCAATGCAGCCAAAGAGGACCTCAACGACGAGGATATGGAGAAAAAGTGGCAAGACCGGTATCAATCGACCATCCGGACATCTGTGTTTGAGAAGTTCGAGGTGTCTTGTATTGAGAAGCGTGACTGGTTCACCTGCAAAAACAACAAGAACGGCTCAGAGATCAAGTGTCCGTCGGTGCAGTACCAGGACAGGTACGACATCACATACGATCTCAGGTCAGACAAGGAGTCAGAGTTTGCAGACTATGTCAATGGCACGCTCGGGATGGATATGGGGGTTATTGACATGCACGCCGAGTATAACCAAAAGGTGGTTTATGTATGCTATGACCCTCCTGAGGGGCGGAATCAGAAATCTGTTCCAAACAGACGGCATAGGCGACAGACTGAAGCCCGACCGGTAGTTCAAGGCCGGCCAAAGTCGTGCAGCGGCGGGCACTACTTTTTGCCAGGACTCGTTGCTGACTATCCACCCAAGATGGGTGTCGTTCTGTCAAACTTCACAAACAGTGCGACCGCGTCTCTGAAGGACATGCAGTACAGACTTGACTCGCGAAACACTGACCTCAACGACCTCTACCAGGGCGTCATCCAAGTAATTGTGCGCACGCAGTCCGGCAACGACACATTGGATCAATTCTATCGCTACCAGAACTGGGTCGAGGAGCAGAAGGAGATGGATGCTTTCTTAAAGAACTTCATTATCGAGCTCATTATCGGCACGCTGATCGGCGGAATTATCGACTTTGGCATTGGGCTTATTGGCCAAGCAATCAAGGCGGCTGCCCAGGCGATAAAGGCAGCAACCACGTTCGCAAAGTTCGCAAAGGAGATCGGAGGCGCGCTGAAGGCTGCTGAGCAGATGAAGGGCGTCAGCAAGGTTGTGAAGCTTGCTGCGGAAGGCGCAAAAATTTCGAAGGAGATGTTTACCAAAATATGGGGGACACTGCCAAAGAATGTCCAGGGCCAGTTCACTAGGCTCGCACCAAAGCTCGAGAAGGCAAAGGGGCTGGTCAAGAGCCATGGATGCGACGCTATTGAGCACTTTGTCGGCTTCGATATTCCCAGCGACCAATCGGTGCTCAGCAGCTCGGTGTCATTCTCTCCCAGCACGAATGTTGCAAAGAAGCAGGCTCGCACAGACAAGCAGGCTCTTACTAGGCGGACTGAGGTTACTACCTCGTCGCGGAAGGACCGCTGTGTATTTGGACTCATCACCACTAGCGAAATTCGCGGGTACAGCAACGCACAGGACTACAAGTACTGCGGTTGCCAGCGCAGCGGGGGCAAGGCGCTTTCAACTACAACCCAGAGCATCCAGTGCCTAGACGGTAGGACTGTGAATCCGACAAACATGATGTACAATGCATTGGAAGAGCTAGATGGGTACGAAAAGACTGACTCTACGCCTACATGCAACTTCATTTGGGAGCCCAGCGAGCTGATTATCTTCACCGCATCTGACAACCCCGAGATAGTAAAGCAGATGTGCACAAGAGTGGATACATTCATGCCCGAGTTCAACAGCAAAGTGCGTGCAGTTATTAACGGCCCCAAGAACCTGGACGTAATCGGCAAAGAACTAAAGTCACTCAAGCGCCAGATGTTCCTGAGCAACTTCCCCGGCGAAGATTTCAATGACAGTGCCAAGCTCAAGGCGCTGAAGCAGTACATGAACAAAAAGGAGAAGGCATACAGCGATATCAAGAACGATCTGAGCGATTTGTTTGGGCAGCTGGAACAGGCCGAGCAAAAGAAAGGGCCGGTGCTTGGTTTGTACCGGTTCCAGGGGATTCAGGACAGGTTCAACAAGTACTTTGACGGTGGAGTGAAGCGCAGACAAGGGTGGCTCGACCTCTTGACGAAGATGGTCAATTCGGATAGCGATACTAAGGAGGCAAGTGTCCGGGATATGGTTGCTCAGATGTCGACCGATAGCACAGGCGTCTCCTCGTACACTGATGCTTTTGTCAAAACCACAGGGATCAAGGTTCTAGAGAATATCTGCAAAGCAAAATAAGGAATAAATCGTTGCGAATGCTCCCATTGAGAGTGCATTTACTCAATTGATAGCAGCATTGAATTCGTCACAAACGGGAATGTGCTGGAGATGGCACAAAAATATGCAGAAAAGCGCAGAATAGCTATTTCTTATACACTCATTTTTCGCTCAAAACTCAGAAAACGAGCATAGTTCAGGCTGTTGTAGTATAGTGGCAGTACATCACGTTGTGGCCGTGTCGACCCTGGTTCGATTCCAGGCAACAGCACATCTTTTGCATATTTTTGTGAGCGATATCTTTTTGCAGCGTGCAAAGGGCATCAGCCATATCGAGACTAGCTTTGAATTCTGCTATGTGTATATATTTTTAGATCTTGTTAACGTCAAGCATAGAGATACGCAGCATTGTGTGGTGGTTGCGGTGGTGGGTTGTCCGCTGGTGCGCAGTGCGCTGCTTCTTCTTAACAACCTTGAACAGCTTGCCGTCGGGGTGCTCGATCACAGTGGCCTGGATCTTGAACAGACTCGGGTCCACCAGCGGTTGGCCCTTGATCGTGTAGTCGCGGGAGCCAATCTCTGTGACCTGGTTCAGGGCCAGGGCATCGCCAAGCTCAAGCTCCTTGATGCGATCCATGATGATAACGTCGTTCTGAGTAACCGTGAACGGGCGGCCCTTGATCAGCACGGTCGCGTAGTACTTCTGCTGGTCGCGCAGGCGGTTGATCAGGTCGGTCGACTCTGAGGACCATTTCACAGCGGGCGCAGTGGCAGCGGCTGCTGTTGCGTACTGGCGAGCGGATTGTGAGAGTCCTCCGAGGGCACGGCGTCCGATTAGTCCGAGCGACATTTTTGGTTTCTGTGAATGTGAGAGTGCGTTAGAGCGGGAAAAATAATTTCAACAGACATTAGCGAAATCGCTCGGCAAACTAAGGGCACGCTTTGGGCTCTCTATCACGCTCTGGGATCGAATCAGCAGACTTGATTGATCGGCAAGGAGTATAATTCAGATTGGCGATTAGCCTGGCCGAGCCGGCAAGTATCTGTGCACCGAGCTGGTTCCATATGGCGTTTTGAAGATAAGGTTGTCGTCCTGGGCCATGCAGCTACGGATCCTAGCAAAAGGGGCATGCACCTCGACCATGCCAGGCCATGCACCACCGATCAGGCAACTGTAGCCGGGCTCAATCGCAAACACCAGCATCTCTGCTGCTGGCAGTCTCGCCAGTGTTTTTGCGGCCTGCTATGCATTGTTGGCAAGCACAGCAGCTGATTGTGACGGCGAACCGCGAGTCGGCGCGGAATTTCCAGCATTTTGGCGATCTGAACCGGCATTTCACTATCTGTGGTGGGCATTTTTTGCCCGCGCCGAGTCTGCTGCCACTAGCGAGGTGGGGGCCTTTATCGTGAGCTATAGAGCGATTTCCTCGTCCTCTGCCTTCCTTTGCTCTTACACCTCTCTACTTTTTTCACTCCCTCTTTTGAATTTAGAGATTCTAAAAAGGCACCGATTATAAGCCGCCTCATTTATAAGATGCTCAAGAACGTTACCCGTCTTGCCTCCGCTACCCGCGTGCCCCTTGCCCGCGCTCTGGTAAGTAGCACACCCTGCCCTGTGCTTATCGCGCAGGACCCACCGCACGCACAACTGAATATTTTTAATCGAGGAAGGGTTGGCCGACTTGCTTCTGAATCTCGGCCTGATTCATGGCGACTGTCTGCGAATTTCGTAGTCGAGATTCAGAATAATAACGCCGGCCACGCCAGATTCAGTAAAGAGATTCAGCCTGCCCATTCTGCCCCTCGCCTTTTTTCAAGCGGGTGTACTGATAACAACCAAATTGTTTGCACCTGTTCATAATAGGCCCGCGCTTCCACCCCTGCTGTGGTCCGTGCCCTCTCTACCTCGACCCCGACCATGGCTGGTGCCAAGGCTGGTAAGTAGCCGCCCTCTTATCTCCTGTGGTGGATGTTTTAGATTCTCGATTTATTGACTAGGCGGATCCGCACTAACGCGCACTGCTGTCTGTAGGTGCTTCGGAGGTTACTTCGATCCTCGAGGAGCGCATCCTCGGCGCTGCCAACAAGGTCGACCTTCAGGAGACCGGTCGCGTTCTGTCCGTCGGTGACGGTATCGCCCGTGTTTACGGTCTGAAGAACGTCCAGGCTGAGGAGATGGTTGAGTTCTCCAGCGGTGTTCAGGGTATGGCCCTTAACCTTGAGGCTGATAACGTCGGTATTGTCGTCTTCGGTAACGATCGTCTGATCAAGGAGGGTGACACTGTCAAGCGTACCGGCTCCATTGTCGACGTGCCCGTCGGCGAGGGTCTGCTCGGCCGTGTTGTCGACGCTCTGGGTAACCCCATCGATGGCAAGGGCCCGATCAAGGCCGCCAAGCGCTCGCGTGCCATGGTCAAGGCTCCGGGTATCATCCCCCGCCAGTCCGTGCACGAGCCCATGCAGACCGGTACCAAGTCGATCGACTCTATGCTTCCCATCGGTCGTGGCCAGCGTGAGCTGATCATTGGTGACCGTCAGACCGGTAAGACCTCGGTCACTCTCGACACCATCCTCAACCAGAAGCGCTGGAACGATGGCAACGACGAGTCCAAGAAGCTGTACTGTGTGTACGTCGCTATTGGCCAGAAGCGCTCGACTGTCGCCCAGTTCGTCCAGACCCTCGAGGAGAACGACGCCCTCAAGTACTCGATCGTCGTTGCCGCCACCGCCTCGGAGGCCGCTCCCCTGCAGTACCTCGCTCCGTACTCGGGCTGCGCCATGGGTGAGTTCTTCCGTGACAACGGCAAGCACGCCCTGATCATCTACGACGATCTGTCGAAGCAGGCTGTTGCCTACCGTCAGATGTCGCTGCTTCTGCGCCGTCCCCCTGGTCGTGAGGCCTACCCTGGTGATGTGTTCTACCTTCACTCGCGTCTCCTCGAGCGTGCTGCCAAGATGAGCAAGGACTTTGGCTCCGGCTCCCTGACTGCTCTGCCCATCATTGAGACCCAGGGTGGAGATGTGTCGGCTTACATTCCTACCAACGTCATTTCGATTACTGACGGACAGGTGTTCCTTGAGGCTGAGCTCTTCTTCAAGGGTGTCCGCCCGGCCATTAACGTCGGTATCTCCGTGTCGCGTGTCGGTTCGGCTGCCCAGACCAAGGCCATGAAGCAGGTCGCTGGTTCGCTCAAGCTCTTCCTTGCCCAGTACCGTGAGGTTGCCGCTTTCGCCCAGTTCGGTTCCGATCTCGATGCCTCGACTCAGTTCCTGCTCAACCGTGGTGCCCGCCTCACTGAGATGCTCAAGCAGCCGCAGTACTCGCCCCTGTCGGTCGAGAGCCAGGTCGCCATCATCTTCGCCGGTGTCAACGGTTTCCTGGACAAGGTCCCGACCAACCGTGTCGTCGAGTTCGAGCAGAAGTTCCTGCCGTTCATCACCTCGAACCACGCTGACATCCTCGAGACCATCCGCACCAAGGCCCAGATCGACGAGGCCACCGACAAGAAGCTGCGCGAGATCACCGGTGACTTTGTCAAGTCGTTCCTGTAAACGGCTTTGGCAGACAGCATTGTTTTCTCCGTCGCAAGTGTCCGGTGAAGTGGAGGATGCAGCTTGGGGCAGTCGCCTATATTCCATTTGCGTCTGCTCTGGCCATTTTTCGTTTCGCTTGACCTAGTTTCTTTTCATTTTTCTTCTCCTTCTATAACTTGTTTCTTAGCCGAGTCTTTGAATACCAGATTGTTTTTCAACACATGGAGGCTGCCCAAGATAAGGGCAAGAATCACCCGTGATTGATCAGTAAATCAGCGGAAATTGAAACTGAGCATCGGCTGGCCGGCAGGGGGTATATAAGATTGCGAAAAAATTTTCCGACGGTTGCGGGCTGACTCTTTCTTTCCAGCACTGCTCTCGATCTTGATAATTTCGCTACTCTATAGGAAGACTGGTCCTCAGTGGATGCCTGTGCGGGGCAGGGGGAGGCGTCTTTTCCTCAGCAGGCAAGGCTAAACAGGTATGCTATACATTTCTTGCTAGTGCTGTCTCTTGTTGGCTGTGATGTTTCAGTCGTGCACCACGCTCAATGGGCATACTTGTCCGCATGTGGATATACACGAATACACCTAGAATCATTATATATCTGAGCCCAATACCAAGTGTCGCAGGATATATTAGCAGCATGCGCATCCATACCAGCATATCGCTAACTCGTGGTTTTTTTTTTTGAATCTTCACAATAGGTAAAGTCAAGATAGCGATTCACTTTTCATAACTTTTACTGTGTAAATACATTTGCATACTAGAATTACCTCGCTCGCGATGCGAGCTCAGCTGCCAGTCAGCATAGCTTGACACACCGATAAAAAGTATCACAGCAAACCAGCCATTTGAACGTGTCCGATGATTGCTAGTGTAATGGTTATCTTGGACATCTCTTGTCTTGAAGGCCTGCTCAGCGCAGGTGTTTCAGCGGTGGTTCGTCGCTGATAGAAGCAGAACCGGCACATAGTGTCGGGCCATCGGTGCACCCCAATCGCCTATGATTAATACCGGATCCGGACTGAACTTGCTCCTGAGTTTCGTGGCAAGCCAACAGTTTCAATTCTGAGCACTGAAGATGTAGATGTTGAATGATTTGTTTATTGGACTGCTGGACCTACAAGCTGGGAAGGAGCTAAGATGAATGGCATTTTGATATATGGCTCCAGCTTCGATTTTTCGTGTGGTATTAGGGTGTATATTTGGCTCCTTCAGATCTGAATTCATCGGCCCAAAGAGAGAATATTATTGTTAAGAGGCCACAGAGCGAGTCACGCATGCTCGTTGTGAGGCTCAAAAGAGCAGGAATCATTTTAGTCAATACAAAAAGTACCGTAGTGGATGGTCGGACACTTTTTGGGCTATAAAATCTTATGTGGTAGAGAGACCTGGTACCACTCCGGCAACAAAGAGGCCGCGCAAGAGGCGTGCAGCAGCAGCAGGCGATTCCACTGCCAGCAGCGGCAAACCACTGCTGAAACACCTGCGCTGAGCAGGCCATCAAGACAAGAGATGTCCAAGATAACCATTACACTAGCAATCATCGGACACGTTCAAATGGCTGGTTTGCTGTGATACTTTTTATCGGTGTGTCAAGCTATGCTGACTGGCAGCTGAGCTCGCATCGCGAGCGAGGTAATTCTAGTAGGAAGATAGTGCCGTTTGACAAGTCGTTGATAAAGCGTGTGCACTCTACATAAGAATATATAACGGTACTAGAATAGGAGAAAGATTGTTATTTGCCTGGCTCATGTTGGCTGGGAAGTCCGAGTGCGTTTCCGTGGTGACGGAAGATCCGTGGCTGCATTGGTGGATGGGCCAGGTGACGCGCCCTTCTCGACCGAGCGCTTCAGGGGCGACGGCTGGTGCGGAGCTCTGGTTCCAGCAACGGAGCCGGGCACGGGCCACTGGAAGGCACTCTGCTGCTGGTGGCCGATAATCGGCGTGGTGCCAAACTCGAGCGGACTGAAGTTCTCGTTCTGCTGGTAGATCTGCGGATAGAAGGTGGATGGGGAAGGCAGGTTCTGGGCCATCTCCAGCAGCATGGCGGTCTGCGGGCCGGGCTCGTTCAGCGGGTTGGCCAGGCGCGCCGAGGTGTTGACGGCAGGCGGCAGGCGGCGGGCGGGCTTGGCGGCGGACGGGTCAGTCTGGTTGGTGCGGGCAGTGGCGGGCGTCGACTGGCCGCTGCGCGCCGATCGACGCAAGAGACCGGCATCGGAGCGCGACCGGGTGGCGGGGATTTCGACGCGCAGGCCCTCAGCCTCGGCATCGGACGGCTGGCGCGCCGGGCTGGCGGATGCCGACGGATCCTCATCCTGGCTCGCCTGCGGCTCCTCCTGCAGCTCGGCATGCGGCTCCTCCTGCGGCTCCTCGTCTGCTTCGTCCTCGGCAATAGTGTGCAATGCCTGCTGTGGGTCGGCAGGTTGCGAGCCATCGGGCATCCGGTAGACCATGTATTGCGGGGGCACGCCGGCGGACGCAGCGGGCGGCGCCGCCAGCCGCGTGCGGAACGAGTCCAGCGGCCTGCCCATGACCTGGCCCGGCTGGTACGGCTGACCGACCTGATACATACCGTACTGGCGTGAATCGCTGGCACCCAGCTGCTGCGCAATCGCCGGTGGCATGTTGGCCATGCTGGCCACGGGCTGCTGATAGCCGGCCAGCGTCGAGTAGGCACGCTGCACAGGCGGGTACGCCAGCGGCTGCGTCGCTGTGCGCTGCGCCGGGTACTGCGGGTAGGCGGGCATGGAGCCTGGTAGAGTGGTCTGTGGCATTACGCGCGGCTGGTACATGCCTGGCTGCGTGGTAGCGTTCGGGTATGGCAGCGACGAATAGTATGGCGAGCCCGACAGCCCGGCCTCGTCGCCCAGCGCTGGCGAAAAGCCCTGGTTCGGCATGTACTGCTGCGCGACGCCCAGCATCTGCCCTCCCAGCATACCGTTCTGCGCTCCCTGGTACCGGTGCATTTCTGGCGAGTGCACTTCGCTCGGCATGTCGCTGTGGGCGATGCCTGGCGTGCTGGCTGTGTTGGGCGCGTCCAGCGCGCTGAGCGGGTGGTCGTCGGCGTCGCCGTCGCGGTATATGGACGCGCATTGTGTGTTGGTCAGACTCTCGTTCGGCTCGCCAAAGTCCGTGTACCGCATCAGCACCTTGTCCATGTTTGTTGATGCGTACTGTACCAGCTTGTTTTGCGAGCTGAAGATGATCACAGCGATTTCGCAGTCGCACAGCACCGACAGCTCGTACGCCTTCTTGAGCAGCCCGGCCTTGCGCTTGAGGAATGTGACCTGGCGATTGCGCTCGTCTGTGATGCGCTGGATTCTGATCTTCTTGCGGCCCATTGTTGGTCTGTTATTATTGGTGTATGGTGGGTCTGAATAAGTATAAAAGCTGCTTAATAGTTATGCCGGTTAATGTAATGGGTATGCTAGTAGAACAGGGGAGAAAGATGCTGCCAAGAAAAGCACTCAGCCACACCAAGGTGTATAAATAGAAGGCAGGCAAGGATGCGAACAAGTCTAAGTTACTGGCCGGACCGCCTATGCGTTGGTGGTGGGGGGAAAGAAGCAGGAAATAGAATGGGAGATATAGCGTGTGGAGAAGGCAGGTTGCAGGAAAATGGCTGCCCTATTTTTAACCAAAGGGCTCTACTGTTGATATTTGTTTTATCAGCGTGCTACTGTGGCGATACAATGTTTAGAGAACTACAGGCCTGAGCGCTTAGCCTTGTCTTCAACCTGCTAGAAGGTCTATGTGGTGAGTAAAATAGTGAGGGAAAAAGGCGTGTAGATGGATTTTACGCTATAGAGGAAGAGAAAAAGGTGTCCAAAAATACGAGGTGGACGAAAATACGTTTTAAAAAAAAAAAAAAGCAACAGCGAAAGGAAGGATGCTAAAAATACTACTTTGGGGTGAGTTCAGCTGATTGCTCAATTGACCGGCTCGGCCTGCCCTGGGGAGGGGGCCAATGGAAATTGAGGAGCCGGGGTTGATCACGTGAAAATCACAACTGGCCGAGCGCCCATGTCTGTGGCATTCATTGACGCGCTCAGCACTCAGCGCTCAGGGGGAGGGGCTGCAATGACGCTATCCATCCTGAGTGCCAGAGTAAATTTCTTTTACAGCAAACAGAGAAGGAGTTGGCCATGGTAAGCTCATCAGTAAAAATAGTGACAGGTACGAGTTTGGCTACAAACACGGATTTCTGTGAAACTGGTGCAGTCTATTTTTACAAGATACTCCCCCGTAAATACATTCCCCACCCACACAGCGGTTAGGCAAGTAAGAAAAAACCCGCTGTGTATTGAGGAAGCATCATCGAATTTGGTTCGCTTTCTGTGCGGAGTGGTTCCTTATTTTTTAAATCTGGATTAGTAGGCAAGGGGGTGGGACAGATCTCTGTGTTCTTCTCCCGCCCGGCGGAATTGCCAGATACGAAGAGAAAGCCACTTGAAGCTGCCTCAGGCGTTGCACCCATTGTAAACACTTGAAGGGGGGATGTGGATTCCAACCAAGAGGTCCCCGGAGCGGTGTAGCACAACTGAGTTGCATTGGATCGCCTGATGCGCCCATTATAGCTAGCATTGCCGATGTATCTGCGGCCTAGCCCTCCGGGTATAGGCCGGTAGAACACCAGGAGTGTTGCGCAAATCTACATGTGTATCCAATAGGGACAATACATACCTGGGTCTTATCCAGCGCACTGGTGCTGCATGCAGCATTACTATGTCGTGGTGGGGGATGTGCATCCATTGATGCTCTGTTATACTAGCCCAGACGTATTCTGAAATGACAAAGTGCCCTTCAGGTTCGTATGCAGCTGGTGGGTATGGATTAGTGGTGCCAGATGTGATGGGAGAAGCTTTTTGGTTGCACATTGTTGAGTGTTTATTTCTTAGCTTGGGCTTTTTTGCTTATGCCTCAGTGAAGGTGAAGAAATATAGGCCGTACTGCGCAAACAACAAAAAAATCACGCTGGCCGCTGGTCGCCGAGGTTGGGGTTCAAAATATCTCTGAGCGCATTGCGCTTCCTTCGACTCTCTTCCAACAGCACTTCAAATTCTTACAAAAACCATGGGATTCCGGTCTCGTTCAAGCAGCATAAACTCTTTGACCAAGCGCATTTCCTGGCATCGACGGACCTCAGACGCCAGCACTCAGCAGACGCTCTGCGACAGCCAGCCAGCAGCTCTCAAGACTCCAGATGACTTTGCGTGGGTGCCGGTGATCTCGGGCCACATCCCAATGAATGCCGTGCAGGGCGGAGTGGAGCGCACCGGCGAGCCGCTGTTTATCTGCCGGGCATACCATCGCGACGGCCTGCATCCGGGCAGGGCCGGAAGGCATCTGCGCACTGGCGCCAGCATCGGGTACGGGTGGCAGGAGGTGGACGTCACAGAGTGCCAGGTGCTATGTGGGCAGGGGACAAAGCTACGGTGGGTTGCACAGGAGGGTCCGTTGGAGATCAACGGATTCGTGCCTTTGCTTGCGGGGTTCGAGCACACAGGCGAGCCATTGTATGTGGCCAAGACGGTGCTGGGCGGCGCGCAGCAGCTCGGAAAGTGCGGTGTGCACATCAAGCACGGCGCGTCGTTTGCGTTCAATGGCCGCGAAAAGGCTGTTGCCGAGTACATGGTGCTGGCATATGTGTAGGGCTCATGTTGTATATATTCCAAAAATAAACATCCTAGTTGACATACGACAGAACCATGTACTCGCTGGCGTCGCGCTCCTTGTGGCCGTACGGGTACGACATGCCCTTCTTGATATGCGGGGCGCACTTGCCCAGCTGCTGCGAGCCATCCACCAGTGTCTTTGCAATGTACAGCGGCTCGCCCGACTCCTCATGGCCAGCCTGCACAGGCACAAATCCCTGGATGCTTAGAGAACCCTCCTGCTTGACCCACCGCAGGCGGCTCGCGTCTCCGCACAGCACCTGGTAGTCGCTGACAGTAATTTCCTTGTGGCCCCAGCCGATGTTGCATCCGCCGTCCTCCAGATGCGGTGCTGCCTTGCCCGGGTGCAGGCCGCCCTTGTACATAGCGCGGGCCACAAACAGCGGCTTGCCGTCACGCTCGATGCCGCCCTGCACGGCGTTCGGCGGGATGTGGCCGTTCGAGCACGACACCCACTGGAATGCCCGGCTTGGGTCGCCTTGCTGCTGCTGCTGCTGCTGCTGCGGAGGCCGTCCGCCCTGAGGAGGTCCGCCCTGAGGAGGCCTGCCTTGCTGAGGAGGCCCGCCATACGGTCCGCCCTGGGGAGGAGGTCCACCGGGGCCGCCCTGCATGAAACCTCCAGGAGGGGGACCGCCAGGTCCGCCATGGGGAGGACCACCGTATGGGCTGCCAGAGTTACCGTATCCAGACATGGTTTTGAAGACAAGGGGTTTTTTGTTGCGCGGGAAAATGAAAAGAAAAAGAAGGCAAAGTGGGATGTAGAAAAATAACCGTTGAATCGGTGGTTAAATACGCAGGAGGGGGTTGCACAGGCGCGTATAGTAGCCAAGCAGTCCAAGCGCATGGGCTTGACAGCCCCCTACTCCAGACAGCCCAGGCTGCATGAGCCCTCTTGATTTTTTTTCAAGCCAGCAGCGCCAGCCCTAATACAGCGGCCGCCAGCTGCCCGCTCCACATTCTTGCGGCGGCCGACTTTCTGGCAGCACGGGTCCGCACGCTCTCGACCACACGGACCATCCACCTCATAGTCAGCTCATCCGGATCCAGCAGGTCCTGGGCATGCGACGCGCCATCAACAACCATAGAGCGCTCGCACTGGCGCACAAACGGCATAGTCAGGAACCGCCACGGATCCAGCGACCCCGCAGTAAACAGCGCGTCCGGCACACACGCCGAATAGTAGAACTGCGCGCGCCTGGCGAACACATGGAAATCACGCTTGCGCTGCTCCGCCTGGTACTCGGGGAAGCACCGCGAGCACATGTTTGTGATGCGCCGCAATGTCAGTCGCCGCGACCGCAGATGCGACTCGCCATATGTCTGCCACAGGCCGAGCTGCGAGCACTGCAGCCAGAACCACGACGAGTCGTCATCGGCCGGGCAGGCTGCGGGCGCATGCACGGGGTACCGACGCGTCGCATTGGCAAACGCTGCCAGGGCCAGGCGCGCAGTGGGGGCGTGCGACAGGTCGTGGCAGAAATTCTGCACGTCGGGGCTCGGCTGGTCGCTCAGAACCGGGTCCTGCATCAGCTCCGACTGCTGCAGCGCCAGCGCCGCGGCAAACTCGGCGTCGTCGCGCAGCTGAGCCAGCCCAAACAGCCGCTTCAGCTGCATGATGCGCGTGCGGTTTCGGGAGTCCAGGATCCGGTCTACCTCTTCCACTGCCGTGGCCAGCTGCGCAGCACAAGGCAGGCGCTCGGCCACCGCACGGTCAAATTCCCAGTATGCGTCCTTGACCACCATCGGTGCGCTGGACGCGATCACGCCTAGGTTCAATTCCGGGTACTGGAACTTTGTCCACGCCGCCAGGCTGCCGGCAAACGACGCGCCAATCACCACCCAGTGCGCCTCCGGGCTGCTATAGTCCGAGTGCTGCACGAACCGCCGCACGTCGGCCAGCATCTGCTCCACAGACAGGAACTCCATGTCGGCGTTTGGCACCGACTCGCCAAAGAACCGCGACTCAAGCACCACGATCATCGCGTGCGTGGCCTGCGCCAGATCCACCAGCCCCGTGGTCTCCAGGTCGGCTGACGAGATCGCCCGCTCACCAGCCAGGTACAGCAGGATCGGGCCGGGTGGCCGGTAGTACTGCGAGTCGACCAGGTATTTCTGCGAGAAGTTGGCCGAGTGCTGCGCAAAATGGTCGATCGGCTGGTCAATCGCGTTCATGCCGATGGTCGCTGACTGCGCACACGCACCGATGGCCAGCGCGAGGAAAGGAATGAGCTTCATGTCTATGTTGCGAACAGGAGGAAAATAGAGTTTAGGACTGCAGTCGGAAAAGAGCACGTCCAGAGGGCTAGGAGGGTATGAAGGGTCTATTTCACGGCTCCTCCTTCATCTCTGGCCACCCCTGTATATTCGCCCACCTACCCTCCCGTATATTGTCCCCCCATCCCGCTGGCCATTGACCACATCCCAATAATCTCCATCATTTTTCATTGCTTGACCACACCGCCACGCGCCGTCCCAATCCCCCGTATATAAATTTACATTACATTGCACCGCGAATCGCTCCCCTTGCCCATCCGCTCCATCAGCGCCAGCGCCTGATCCTTGATAAACCCGTCCTTGTCTGACGCCTCCACGGCTGCCTCCAACAGACGCCTAGCGCGCCGGCGGTCGCGCGCTACCTCCTTGCCCTCCATCAGCAGCTTAGCCAGATTCAGCATGGCCACCGGGAACCGCTCGGCAGCCGCCATGGTCCAGTACTCGACCGCCAGCTCAGGGTTCTTCTCGCATCCAGTGCCCTGCAGATAGTACAGCCCAACATTGTACTGCGCCTCGACATTGCCCAGTGCCGCCGCGCGCTCAAAGTAATCCAATGCCTCGCCAAACTTTTCTTCACCCGCCAACACTGTGCCCGCCATAAACAGGCCCTCTGGCGAGCCGAGCCGCGCGGCCTCCTCAAACCACCCTCTGGCCTGGTCCGGCTCGCCCACCCGTCCGTCACGCATCAGTTTGCCGAGCTGGAACGCTGCCGCCGCCACACCCCCTTTGGCTGCTTGCTCCAGCATTGCATATGCGCCTGCAGCGTCGTTGCGGGCCAGCCGCGTCTCGGCCAGAAGCATCAGGCCGGGCGGATGTCCGATCTTGGCCAAATCCTTGATAATCTGCCCGCCCACGCCGCGCCCACCCTCCATGCGCATTTCCCCGGTGCCCAGCAGAACCGCGTAGTGGTAGGCGGCATTCGCATGGCCCTCTTCGGCTGCGACCTTGTACAGCGCATACGACAGGGACTTGTTTGGCGACAGCTTCGCAAATAGGCTGGCAGCGCGGGTGATCTCCCGCACGTCGCCGTGGAACACCCCCAGTGCCTGCGTACGCCACTCCTCCATGCTCGCATGTTCGTTCGCCGCCAGGAACTGCGATGCCAGCCGGGTCAGCTCGGGCTGCGTCACTGTGAACTTGCCCAGGGTGAGTGCCTTTGCCAGTTGCTGTGAGCGCGGGATCAGGCTCGATAGCCCCGACGCCGTTATGCTGAACTTGGGGAACGCCCGCTTCTGGATCTCGACTGTCTGCGGCGCCTGCGCGCTGCTGGTGCTGAACAGTAGGGCCCGTGGGGTCTGCTGTGCAATGCGCTGAATTGCCCTGTGCGCATACATTATGCTGTTTACAAAATACTTGAATTTGGAAGAGTTCAGTGATAAGAGATCAAAAACCGGTCGTTGCATGTTCGCCATAACCGAACTCCTCTATCACGGGACTCGCATGGCTCGCCCTTGCCGGGATGAACTCACCAAATACCTGCACATATTATTTGCACATATTTCCTATATTTTTCCATCATGACACTATCGTTCCCTGCCCCGTTCCTGCAGTTCCTTCAGGACAACCACATCGACCCGGCGATCTACGCAAAAACCCCGTCCCTGCCACGGTATGTCCGCATCATCCGCCCCGCCGATGCGTCGCCCGACCAGCTGATCGCCGAGCTCGCTGCCGACGCCCACTGTCCAGTCCATGCGATCCCGGGTCTCCCCGGCTTCCTCTTGATCTCCGACTCGTCGGTGAAGCTAAAGCAACTGCGAGCCTATGCACGCGGGGCAATCACCGGTATGGACGTGAGCTCGGGCATTGCAGCCCTGGCACTGGAGGTTAGACCTGGGGACAATGTCCTGGACCTGTGCTGCGCGCCGGGTGCCAAGCTCCTGTTGCTGGCCGAGCACCTGCAAGGGAAGGGCTCGGTAACCGGCGTCGACATTGCCGAGCACCGCATGGCCATTTGCCGCAGCCTGGTCAAAAAACATGCGGGTGATGATAAAATCCGCATCCGCCTGTTTGTCAGTGACGGGACTAGTTTTGATGAGTATGCGCCGAGGCTCGGCTGGGACGATCCGCAGACAGTAAAGGAGGCCGGGCGCCAAAGTGGCGGAGCCAGGCCGTGGTTTGCCTCGAAGATGCTGGCGGCGGGGTTTGCAGGCTCGGGCACAGAGCTGTATGATCGCGTGCTGGTGGATGCTGAATGCACACATGACGGGTCGCTGGTGCATGTGGCAAAGTACCAGCACTGGGGGTTTGAGCGGCTGGCTGATCAGGTCACTAACGACGCAGACCATGTGCCGCTGCTGCAGTCGCAGTTGCTGGAGAACGCCTGGCGGCTGCTCAGGCCCGGCGGCTCACTGGTGTATAGCACATGCAGTTTGTCGCGGCGCCAGAACGAGGCCGTGGTGGGTGGGTTCCTGAGCCGCCATTCGGACGCCGTCCTGCTGCCCATTCCGGCCCTCAGCTCCATTGCCGTGTCGCCGATCTGGAGCCCGCACGCGTTCGATGATGACCGAATCCGTCGGCTATTTGATCGCATGCACCATGCCGTCCGGCTGGACCCGCTGGTGTCCAATACGTCGGGTATGTTCATTGCGCGCATCCAGAAGCCGCCCACCCCCAGCAACGAGTGTCTGGAGCAAGAAATCGTGCCTTTGGATATTTGAAAAAAAAGCAATGCTAAAAATCCTAGTTTCTGCGCTGCTTGCGGTTAAGTCTGCGCTTGGCCTTCTGGAACTTGGTCCTGTCCTGCATCTCGTTCTCCTCCTCCTCATCGCTCGCAGCACCCCTCCGCCGCCGCCTCTGCTTCTCCGCCATGCTCTCGTTATCACGCTTGCGCTTGAGCCGCTCCAGAATCGCTGCCTTGGCGCTTCCCTCCCGGGCCGTCTTCGTCAGCGACTCCATACCGGCAAAGTCGTTGAGATGCGCAAACTCGTCGTCCAGGTCAGCAAACGCGGCCCTGAGTCCCTTCTTGTCCTTCTTGGAGACGCTGAGTCGGGTAAAGTTGTCTTCCTCGTACTGCTTGCGCTCCTCGGCCAGCTGCTCCAGCCGCACATCGCGCACGCCCACCGACGCATTGCCCGACGCCGTGGCCATCTCGGGGCGGTCGTCGTATTCGCTCATCAGATCCCGCACCAGCCGCGACCGCGCAGCCCTCTCCATCATGCGCTGCTCGGCGCGCTCGCGCTTCGCCGCCAGATTGCCCTCCTCCTCGTAGTGAACCGGCACCTGCTTGGGCGCCCGATACACGCCGTCTGTGGCCTCCACGGCCTCCCCAGCATCCACAACCAGCCCTTCGGGGTTCGGCTTGAATGCCGTCGGGTCCGCCAGTGCGTCGTCTTGCAGCATCTTGGCGATCTTGGCGCTGTCGTCCACGTGCTGCGCCTCCGGGTCGTCCGTGGTCGCCAGAGATGGCTTTGTCTCGCGCCCACCCACCACGGCGTTACGCAGAAGTTTGTCGATCTGGTACTTGAGCCGCTGCTCCAGCGGCTTCATCTTCTCCAGAACCGTGCGGTCCTCCACCAGATCTCGCACGACCTTGTGTCCGTTGATCTGCTGGCCGTGCAGCTTCATCAGCGAGAACTGCGCCAACCCACTGATGTATGAGAGGAGCGTGTGGTGTTTCACTTCAAGGAAGCTGATCCCGTTGCCAGTCGCAAGCTCTCCCGACTCCACGCGCTCCTTGAGCTTGTCAACCAGCTCCCGCACCTGGTCTGCGTTGGTCGTCATCGTTGTCAACCGTACCTTGACCTGCTCGTCAATGTCTGTCTGCGGCATTTTCCAGGTTGTGTGAATGGTGTGTATGCGAAATGCTGAAAACTGAGGAGAGCAACAAGCCTGTGCACGCTACAGGCATGCTTCAAAAAAAAAAACGAAAAACTTGGCACTGATCAGAAATCAGATCCAGGCAGTGATCAGGACATAGTCTGGCTGCCGAGATAGTGAACTCTAGCGTTGCCTCGCCAACCTAGAAACCTCTCTATTTTTCCAGCTCCTCAGCATTCACAAGCAATAATGTTCAGACAGCTGGTCGCACGCACAGCCGCCCGGCGGATATCGGCCGCCCGCTCCCTCACCACCACACCAGCACCGTCGGCCCCCAAGCGGCCCGCCAACGACAGCCATTTCCAGTACGACATGAAAGCGCCGCAGCTGGACGCTGGCGTGGCCAACCTCTTCCTGGTCGACGACAAAACCCTGCGCATCTCCAAGATCCTGCCCACCGGCTTCAAGCTGAGCTCTGGCCACACTGTCTACGGCCCACTGCTGATAGTCAACAATGAGGCCTTTAAGCTGAAGATTGCGCCGCCACAGACGAAAAACGGCACCACAGTGCATCCCTTCAGCGAGCTTACCCCCGATGCCTTGCGGATTCTCGATGTGGTGACGCCTAAGCCCGAGATGCTGGTCGTGGGCGGTGGTGCTGAGACATGGCCGGTTAACAAGGAGGCGCGCGAGTACCTGACCAGCATTGGGATCAGTGTCGAGATGGCCAATACAAAGTTTGCCAGCAACACCTTCAATGTGCTGGCCGAGGAGGGCAGGCATGCGGCGCTGCTGGCCATTCCCGCTGGTGTCAAAGTGTGAGCCATGTAGAGCATAACACATATGTAATAAATGTTTTTCTTTTTATAAAAACTTGCTAGACACGCTCCATGGGCGGCGACGAGCACTCGACCTGCTGGTACTCAGAGTCATTCCCAGCCTGCGCGCAGTGGCTCTTCACCGGCAGCATCCGATCGAGCAGCCGCTGGAGCGCCCAGACAACATAGTAGATGATGAACAGGGCCGCCAGCAGTCCAAAAATATATGCCGCCTCCACACCCTTCTTTTCCTTGTAGTTGAGGAAATCATACGTAAAGAACCCGTTAACTGCCTCATTAACGTATGCCAGCATGACATACATGAACCCGACCGCTACCAGCACGCACGGGTGCGACCAGTGGCTCGTCAGCACCATCCCGCCCACCACAGCCTCCACCACAAAGAACCCCGTATTCATTGCGTGCACAGACGCATTAATCCACGTATCCCTACCGCTCATGTTGTGCGCTGACGGATACAGCATGCTCCAGTACACGCCCGTCACGATCACCGAAAACACCGCCACCGACCCATACAGCAGCCAGTGCATCAGCTGAAATACCGGCCACATGTCTGAGAACGACGCGGTCGAGCGCTGCCGGATCGCCCGCACCGTATGGTACAGGGATGCTGCCAGATATGCCACCAGCCCGGTGTAGCACAGATTCGTAAAGTACGCAAAATGCACATTGCCTGTGCCTGCCCGCGCATCGCGCACCAGCGAAAACACCCACACGAACAGGGCGTACGAAAACATCAGTGCACGCACCGCCAGGAGGAACCATAGCCCGCCGATGCGCGACCCGGCGACCCGCGTATGGTCGAATGTGTGCAGGCGCAGCGCCCGGTGCGCCCGGTTGTACGCGGCCGTTGGCTCTGTCTCAATACCCATGTGGAATAAATATTAGGTGTGATAAGAAATAGCTGAAGTACTGAGAAGAACAAAAGGAAAGAGGGCCCAGGCAGGTTGCTGGAAAAGTCTGCTGTGGATGTTAGGAAGTTGCCGATCGGCACGTAGCCAGCGGCGGCACATGCTATTTATTGTTTTTTAGTTGCTGGGCTTCGCCTTTGCCCTCCTGTTCGCAAATGGCCTCTTTAATTTCTTCCTCCCCCCCTCGTCTTCACCTGACTTGGAACAAATGGTGGCGAAAGGGGACGAAGAGAAACTATTCTTGCTTCTCCTGCCGATCTGTTTCCCCGATTGCTCGCCCCGGCTGTTTTGGACCGTCTGCTGCTGTACACCCCATCACCCAGGCGTATTGCTGCAGCTTTTTTATTCTTTAGCTGGCCGATCGCTCCAGTGCAGTGTCCCTCTGGCACGGCATTGCCAATCAGTCATAGGCAGCGTTCTATTGCCTTGAGACTGCCCCACTTCTGATCAGGCTGCTTATAAATGGCGCATTCCTTTGGTGTGAAAGACAGTTACCTGCAAGTCACAGACAACATGAATCCCTGGCTGCAAAAGGGGGTCAGAGTAGTAGATCGCATGCCAGTCACATTGGCTTGCCGGCAGACTTCCGACATGCGACATATCGCGTCAAGCGGTGCTGTGGTTCAGTCGTTTGACCTGGGGCAAAACCTTTAGTGCACACGCCTCTCGTCTTATTAACATATCTTTTAAACAGCATACTCTGGCGTCCTAGACCTAGCCCCCAAAACTGTCCTGGTGAGCTGATGGGCAGACGTATCCCCCAAAAGCGAAAGAGTGCAAAAGAACTGATCATCCAAAGAGTTTCTTTTCTTCGAGCAGCTTTTCTTTGGCACGCCTAGCCTCTCCCAACCTTCTTCCCTCAGATCATCTACACAAAATGGCCGCAGAACTATCGCCCAAGTGGACCGCCGCCGAGCTCGCTAGCGACGATGTGTCCAAGAAGGACCTGATCTCGTACCTGCAAGAGTCTGCCTCCAACGCCTTCCTGCTGTCGCACAAGCTGAACGGCAAGCTGGCGAACGTGGCCAAAACCGCCAAGAAGCCTGCGCTGATTACCGCCTACAACGAGCTGTTCGCCACGAAGCAGTTCCGCGCCGCCGACGAAGTCTCAGCCTCCGAGGTCAAGCACGCCAAGGTTGCTGCCGAAAAATCTGCTGCGCCTGAGCAACAGCACGAGTCGGAGACTCCCAAGTATGTCAAGAAGACCACGAAGCGCGGCACCGGCCAGCGCATGCCCAGCAAGGGCGATCGTGTCAGCGTCTACTATACCGGAATGCTGGAGGACGGCACTGTGTTTGACACGAACCTGAAGACTAAGGGGAGGAAGCCCATGGCACCACTGGTCTTCAAGGTCGGCACTGGCCAGGTCATCCGTGGCTGGGACGAGGCGCTGATGACGATGGTTGCGGGCGAGAAGGCACGGCTGACGATCGAGTCGGAGTGGGCGTACGGCAGGCACGGCCATGAAGCGGCTGGCATCCCGCCCCATGCCACCCTGGTCTTCGATGTCGAGCTCGTCAACGTCGACTAAGTGTTGGTAATTTCTATATTTGCTTGCATATAGTTATCAATAAGTCAGCCGGGTTATGCTGCTGCTCTCCGCTGTTGCTGCACCTGCGTGTACTGACGTATGACGATGCGTACATTGGAATATTTACTTGGGTTTTATTGCCTCGCATATGCGATGTTCAATACGTGATGCATGAAGGGACACCAGCAGGCATGTCAGTGGGTCCGTCGCCTTAAAACAAAAGATCAAATGCACATGCTCTACTTTGCAAATACGCGGCTGCGAAGAGAAATCCATAGAGTGCATGCTCGCAATCACTATCTACATGGTCAGCGCCTGATGCTAATGTGGCGGAGACCATTTGTCGCGATCCTATTTAAGGGCCATGAGCTTCGTCTATTCGTCCAGACACTATCTAATTAATAGTGACAACTGGTATTATTAAACAAGAAGAGATGATTCCTCTCCGGGCCACTCTTGGAGTGGTCTGGTGTCTGTTTTATGACTGTAACTCTTACGACCTAGCCTGGGGTGATGAATCGGCATCATCATCTGTGATCGGCTGGGTCACATAAGCATTGGCCTTGGGTGACTAGTGTGATCACTACACATTCAGAGACCACTGTTTATCTGGGATCGGACTGGTCGGGAAAAAGTGGGACCATCTCGGGTTTTGCGGCAGCACTGTATTACGCCAATGGCGGCCGATAAAAAAATTGACCTCCAGCCCACAGCAGAGCTAGAAATCTCATCGCTCTGGCGAAGCGCACCACCAGGCTTTTTCCTCTTTGTGAATTATCCTCCCGAACAGCCTTATTCTTTATCTGCTATATTTCCTCGCAAAAGAATTCAGAGGCATTCAGACCAGAATCAACGGAGCGTACCCCAGGCCAAACCATGAATTCGTTTACACTGGCAACCAGTCTCGCACGCGCCTCGCAGCGCTCGCTACTGGCAGGCAAGATCGCCCCGATGCTGGCAGGCAAAATTGGCCAGCCGTTCACAGCCATCAGCGCACAGTTCGCACGGAATCTGAGCACCAGCAGACCCAGCCATGTACCGGCGATGGTCGGGCGCGCACAGTTCCTCCAGGCATCCAGGAGCCATGCAGCGGTGCGCGGTATACTGCGCCAGATCCCGGCTAATGCGTTCAAGCGCAGCTACAGCACCTCCGGCGAGGCCAAGCGCACGGTGGATGCGCCGATCGTCGGGTACTGGTCGCTGTTCTGCGCATCGATGGTGTTTGGAATCATCGTGTGGGGCGGGCTGACGCGGCTGACCGAGTCGGGCCTGTCGATTGTCGAGTGGAAGCCGATCACCGGTGCAACGCTGCCGACGAGCGAGGCCGAGTGGGAGTCAGAGTTCGAAAAGTACAAGCAGTTCCCCGAGTACCACAAGGTGCACATTGGAATCAGCCTCGACGAGTTCAAGCGGATCTACTTCATGGAGTGGTTCCACCGCAACATCGGGCGGCTGTTTGGTGTGGTGTACCTGCTGCCGGCAGCGTACTTTGTGTCGAAGGGCATGGTGACGCGCACGGGCACCATGAAAATCGGCGGTCTGGGTCTGCTGCTGCTGGGCCAGGGCGCCATGGGCTGGTACATGGTGGCATCGGGCCTCGAGAAGGAGCTGGGCGAGCGGTCCGACGCCGTGCCGCGCGTGAGCCAGTACCGCCTGACATCGCACTTGACGCTAGCCTACTTGCTGTATGCCGGTCTGTCTCTTTACGGCTGGAACAACTTCCGTGCCAACCGCCTGCTCCACAGCAAGATCGCCAACCCCGACGCGCTGCGTGCTCTGCAGCAGAAGCCGGCCATTCAGCGGTTCCGCCGCAAGATCGCAGCCTCGGTCGTGCTGGCCAGCGCTGCCTGCCTGTCGGGCGGCATGGTCGCTGGTCTCGATGCCGGCTTGATCTACAACGAGTTCCCGCAGATGGGACTTGGTATCACTCCGCCGCTTGAGGAGCTGTGGAACAAGGCCTTTGCCCGCGGCGACCCGTCGGCCATGTGGCGGAATCTGACCGAGAACCCAGCCACCGTCCAGCTTGAGCACCGCATCCTGGCTGTGTCCACCTTCTTCGTCCTGTCCGCGCTGTGGTGGCAGGGTCGCCGTCTGCCGCTGCCCAAGGCGTCGCGCATTGTGCTGCACTGCATGTACGGCGCAGCCTGGCTGCAGGTTGCATTGGGTATTTCCACCCTGGTCAACTTTGTACCCATTGCCCTGGCCTCAGCACACCAGGCCAACTCTGTGCTTGTGCTGGCGACATCGCTGGGTCTGTACCACACGCTGCGCCCGCTGCCTCGCATCATCCCGCTGTAAAAATTAAGGATGCTCCACTCTCCGTTTCCAAAAATGGCAAAAAAAAACTGTTGCCTCGACCACCTGCACCCGCATAAAAATGATGGCACAGATAGTCGCTGTGGGGTTCGAACCCACGATCTCGTACGAGAGCAGATATCATACGCTTAACAAAAGCACTTAAGTCTGCCGCCTTAAACCACTCGGCCAAGCGACTGCCAATTCAAGCCAAAAATCCGCTTTCAGAATTTCGAAAAAAGCACATCTATTAAGGAGCCAAGCATGCACCTACTGCCATTGTTTTCAAGCAAACCTGTATTGAATCCATTTGCTGACTGCACGACATGCAGCATGTTACGCGAAGCCTTTCAGTCTATAAATTAACTAAAGATATAAGGAATATTGCTCAGTACCAGCCAAGCAGCTTCCACCACACTAGCCCCACAGAGAAGGTGGTGCCCAGAACGACTAGCGACATGATGAGGCCAAGGAGAAACCACTTTGGCTGGGAAATGAAGCCCTGCGATGCGTAGATGGCGACCGATCCCGTTGAAAATGGCGTAAGGATACCGGCGGTGGAGCTGAACACGGCAATGATGATAGCCAGCAGATGAGGGGAGCAGTTGAGGACGTGACCAGCAGCAAAGAATGGGCCGACAAATGCAACAACGTGGCTGGAAATGGACGAGAACATGTACATGGAAAAGAAGTAAACCAGCGACAGTGTCACTGTGCTGGTGAGCGGTGACGCATCGTGGAGGGAGCCCGATAGCGAGTTGCCGATCCAGTCCGTGACACCCAGGGCCGATAGCTGCTCGGCCAGAACAATGAAGGACGCCAGCCAGAAAAACGTATCCCAGGCAGTGCTATTCTTGGCCACGTCCGACCAGCTAAGCACGTCAAGCAGGATTAGAATCATGATAGCCATGTACGCCACCACGGTCGCATCGATACCAAAGTATGACGTGCCGACCCATAGGGCCAGGCACAGCAGCAATGTAGCACACAGCTTCAGTTCGTTGAACGACACTGATCCCATCACCAGGTGCTGCCGCCTGATTTCGCGTGCCAGTCCGGCAACGTCTAGCTTGGGGCGCAGAAGCAGGTGCAGCACATGCGGCATAATGAACAGCAAGAAGAGCATTGGCACGCTGGCCCCCAGGAACCACTCGGCGAATCCAAACTCTATTCCGAAGATGCTGGCTGCCTTGCTCGCCACAATCGGGTTTCCTGCCATGCCTGTCACAAACAGTGACGACGATATTAGATTGGCATTCGACGCAACCATACTCAGATACGCACCAACCGGGTTCTCGCCCATCGTCCGATCAACTCCCAACGATGCAATCACTGACTCGACAATTGGATAAATGATACCGCCACCACGCGCAGTATTCGATGGAATGAATGGTGCCAGTGCAAGTTCCGCCACGCAGATAGCATAGGCGATACCAGCTGTTGACTTGCCCATGGTCGTCACCAGAGCTAGCGATATGCGGCGGCCCAGATTGGTCTTTTCGACAGCCTTGCCAATGTGGAAGGCACTGAATACGAGCCATGCGATTTTGTTCGAGAACCCTGAAATTGCCACCTCGAAGCTGCCGCCGATTCCATCACACTGGTACTCTTGCGAATGCCCGTGCCTGTCGACAAACTGCGTTTGGCATTTGTCACATTCAACGAGCTGTCCATCGGCTGTCCGGCACATGAAGCTCTTTGTCAGTGTCAGTGCCAAAAGCGCCACGCCCAGTATGACCGACGTGTCGTAGTCAGCAGTTAGTAGGCCCATGACCACCCTACCACCATGTGATTAACGTCAGTTGGACATGAAAGCTGGCCAAAGCGCAGGCTGCGCAGTAGAGCGGCAAATACTAACCCTGTGAAGACACCAAGTAACCGCATGCTTGTACCGGAAAGCCCCTCAGGAGCCGGTGTGTTAGCCACCAGCAGTGCCAGGACGATCGCCGGTAGTGCCGTCGCAAACCTGGATTCCCTGGCCACCTGCATCAAGCTCTTTTGCGCGCCTACATAGCATGAAATTCGCGGCATGTCGCCAGTAAAGGAACTGTATGAGAGAGAAAGCTAAAGGTGCACACCAGTTCGGGTAGCTATAGAAGGAGGAGAGAAGAAGGGAGAGCAACTAGCCAGGCTAGGCACCCTTCCTTCACTCATTATAACGCCGTGCCACCAAAGGACCCACCGACCCTTTCAGGGGGAGGGGTTGATTTTTCCCAAGAGTTGCAGCAAAGAGCAGCGCTTGTGAGCAGCATGAATTGCTATATCATACACTTTTTGCCCTCTCTGTAGCGGACAGCCGCAAAATGAATACCCCCTTGCTTTTCAGTGGCGGGCTTAAAAATCAGCAGAATTGTTCTGGTCCAGAGCTACCTACATCGTGCCTCGTCGCTTGGTGTGAGCAACTCCCCGGCAGCCGGCGATTGCTCAATGCTGCCATACCTGCACGCGCCAGGAATCTGCTGCCCATCGATCGCAGTATCATGCTGGTGCGGCACAAGCGCTGTCAACGCTTCGATATCCCTCATATTATCCGCCATTCGCTCGTGAGACAAGAACTGATCGCGATAAACAAAAGAGTAAAGAGTAGTAAATAAATATATTTAGGAATTGGGAGAGAAAGAAGGGCATTCGTCCTGGCCATCCTTCGTAGAGGCTCCACTAGTCTGCTCAGCACGCTCCCAGCGGAAAATTAAAGATTATCAGCTGGATACAAATGATCCCATCCTGTGAGCGCACTACAAGCACACAGCCCATGTAAGAGCCATGACACTCGCATTCGTCCAAACCCCCCGTTCCTGACTTCCGTCTTCTATGTCCACTGTACGCATTGTTTACTGCTCGATCCACAACAGTCGACTTTAAAAATACATTTAAATTGCACGAGTCATGAGATCAATGAAAAAACAGGGGGATCGCGGCGTTCACTGAGCCTGATGTGCGGCTTGCCACCATGGCCATGGGGTAGACCACCAGACGCTTACATGCGGCTGCCAGATTCTCAAACGTGGTCAGAGCATAGTTGCTCCCAAGTACAGCTGCATGTGGGTCAACAATCGGAACAAGTATTTACCCACATTTTTGTATTCATGCCTGATCTAGCCTGCGCAGTGGTTATCAAATTACTGTCCGAAATTGCATGGCAATATAATGCTTATTGCAGTGACATCATCTGCCAAGTGGCTGCTATATTCAGCACATAGTGGGCAGTTTCTGGCATGGGGAATATTGGAGACTGGGTAGCGGAAATTAGTAGGCGCCATATTGGTATCCAGAAATAGAATACACAATAGCATAAAGTCAAAAAATGAAAACAGGGTATTTCCCCTTGTCCTCGTACCGTCCATACTGCATTCCATAAAAGTCACTGGTAGGATACATATATTCAAGAAATATGCGTCCGCAAATTGCATACAGTGAGTATTTGGGTTGCACCTTGTGCAGGAGGGTGTGTACAATGTTTGAAGCCAGTTTGGGGTGGCAACAACATCTCATTACGAGATGACACCTTATATCCGTTGAATGCTCGGTGCATTGTTGGCTGCTGTGTTGTGTCTTCCAGCCTTTTCCGTTGTCCATCGTTCTGTGGTGCCACGGTTTCTCTGTAACTCTGTGGTGGCGGCGGTAGACTCATGGTCTGTCCACCCACCAGCATCTCTGAAATCGGTCCCAGCCCCCATCTGCCTACACAGCCACGCCAGACCGCTCGGCCATTGTTGGAAGCTGCCCCCTTCCGATGATTGTGGCCTTCACACTGGACAGCATCGCGCTTCATGTCTGTTGTTTTTCCGTCGTTAGACCGTTTGCATGTCCTTTGTGCTCGCTCGACTTCTTCTTTGCGTGTATGCGGGCGGCAATCGAACCAGCTAGCCGTCTCTGAGCCACGCCCTTTAGTGCCTATTCTCTCCGCCTAGGAGCCCGCGTCCTAACAAGAATGTCGTGCTGCTACCCAACATCCGTCCACAATGACACGCTAATTCAGCTCTGTAAATAACATAATCCGCCAGTAACTCCTGCCTGCCAGTCAATGCTCGCTTTCCGGAAAGCAAAAACAACACCACGCCTGCCGGGCATTCTGGAAGCAGAAGGCGCTGCCTGGCATGCCACCATTTTTGTGCTGTAACCTAATCCATACGCTTGTGAGTGTGCAAGTACCAGACAATACACGAGACTCCTCTTCTTTCCGCGGACAAGCGCACACATGTCGAGCCTTGGACTCCAGCATGCGGACCTGCCCAAACACCAAAACACCCACGACGGCTTTCGTTTTTGCCGAGGCGCTTTCTACAATATCTTGGACCGCACGCACTTGGATATTCTATTTTTAACATTCTGCCTGTTTGTCTGAGGGTACAGGCTCGGTGCTGGGCGGCAACAACGCCAGAAAACAATAAGCACCGCATAGCGGACCGCAGGCGGCGCTGTGGCTAGTGTCGGTGGTTGTTGGCCAAGGGACAACACGCCAGATAATCCGGCGTGTGGCGACCCAGCATTCCTTGGCCTACATCGAGCAGTGGCTATGGCTGAACTGTGAATCCATTGTCTGCTTTGGTAACAGCGACCATCCACACATATCTGTGAACCAGCTGCTGGCTGTCACTACCTGCTTTTGGCTGTCTGCCACCTCCCGGTACGCACTGCAGATTCTGACCCCCCGCCGTCATTTCCAGGAGGAGGCTTGGAGCATATCGCAGAGCTTTGAAGCCGTGTTCGCTGGTGGTTCTTGGCAAAATGCAAACCTACACAGGACCTGGATTCCTTTTTCTGTTTTGGCCAACTCTGTTCCCAGCGGGCCACGGGTTTCCAGGCCGAGCCAGGTGCGCACAGCATATGCTGGCACAATGGTTGGACTGGTGGTGGACGGCGGCTCTTTTGTGTGTGCGGGTCTCTCGCTTCAAGCACCATCCGTCCTCTGAATACCAAGGCAATCCGGTTGTGCTCCTGTGTAGCTCCCAAAATTCCTTCCAGAACACCACCGGTGTAGGTTGTCGTCGAGCAGACGGGCCGCCAGCGGCAGGGAGGCGTCGAGCCAAAAAAACTAGCAGGCAATTGTCAGGCACCACCGAACCATTTCTGAGGCACACATCCACACATATACATATATTGCAGGCATTGTGAAGGCGCTTACATAGTCTCTCTGGAACACAGCCGCCTGATGCCTAAATCGAGTCAGAGTTTGTAAGGCTCACACGAGCTTCCCGATTGACAAGCTTGCGAGCCATACATACGCAGGTACGATAGTGCGGTCTGTGCATTCACAGGAGAGCCAAACACTGCCAAGGCCGCGCCTCGCCGTTCAACCCCCCCCCCGATATGTACCGCCGCCGCATGCACTCCATTTCTTGACAGAGAGCCGCATATAAGGCAACGTCAAATATTATATCGGCATTGTGCAAGCCAGCGCATGCAATATCTCTCGCGGCGAGCATAAACAGGCACTATGCGCTGCGTAATGCCAGCCACAAGTCAGAGCCTGCGATCGCTAGCCCTGTGTTATTGAATGGCGGCTGCTGCTTGCTGAGAAGCACGGGGACTCGCTGGTCCTGTTTGTTTTGAGGCAATCGGAGTTTTCTCCCCCCCCTTCGTGCACAACACCTGCTGACGGAACACCTCAAATAGATCCCATGATTCCGGGCGGCGCTGTTTTGCACGAATGCTGGCAATAAGACGGAGGGCTTGTCTAGGATTTGACAACCCTATTGCGCGTAATTTACAGTCAATTGAAGCTTTTATACCCGGCGATTGTGCAGTAGGGTTTTAGATAATTGCCGACAATGTGCTTGACATATCAAGCCATCTTGCGAACAAGCCGCACTCCAACAAATCGTGTAATTGAAGACAGGTTTCTCAAACATGGCCCTGCTCGGTGTAATTTGCACCACCCTCACTCTGACACTTTGTGAGAACAGTGCAGTTGAGGTATGTTCGTGTGACCAGCACCATGAGCACAGGACCCGGGTCTGTTTGATGGATTAACACCGCATTCTGTCTCAAATATTTGCCGAAGCACGAGCCTAGTAAGCACTGATGCACATCTCAACGCACGGGTATTTCCACTAACGCTCTATTGTGTACCTAGGGATGGTGGAAGCGGATATGTTTCAAAGGTGCAGTCCTCAGACCATTGCTTAATTGGTCGATATAATCGAGTGTGGGAAAGCGCTCCCCTTTTTTAAGTGCTAAGGAACCTTCTGTCCATTGGTGGTGTTCACTGACCAGAGACAGGTAGGGATGGTAAGGGCGCAAGCATACGTGCGTGGGCAAATGGAAATTAGGGATTGCACATGCTGCAGCACTGTGGACCTAATTTTCAGATTTCGCTTCCGTATGATTGCGCTGGATTGGGACAGGCGGGGACAGCGGGAATAGCAGAGCGTTTACATGTGCATGTCAGCTCGGAGAAATGGCACTGTGTTGCCCAATTGAAAATTTCCGTACATGCACATTGAGAACGTTTTGTTTTGCAGATATGGCCAATAGAGACCAGGTGGCAATGGGCATAAAAGAGGGGTGCGTCTATGGGGACACCAGCGGGCGTTGTGCTGAACTGAGGGATCTGAAAGTAATTTGGATTTTGCGAAAGTTGGCCTGTCAGGGCAGATCTGCTGCTGAAATTCACCTGTGAACAGAGGGCATGCAAGGCACACCCCGCCAAGCATCAAAGTTGGCTACGGTCTCGTTTGATACTCTGTTTATAATCGAATGTATCTGCCTGAAGCGTTGATACGGCAAGGAAAGCCCGTTGTTTGGGCCCAACGCACGCGCAGCTGAGCAGTGCGTGCTTTTTTTACCTTGCCAATCTTTTGACATCCGTTTTCTTTTAACGAAACTGCTGCCATGTTGGGGAGACCGCTCAAAGGGAAATCCTCATGACAGGTGATGAACCTGCTTGGACCCCTTCTGCATTGGATGTGCAAACATGCTTGTTTTCTTTTTGCTGCCGCTTGCGTGTCGGCCAGCCAACGGGGCATTGCCCTTTTTGTTCTTTCAGACACGAGTATCCTATATCCTGCCGGTATAGAACTATCGTTGCATGAAGGGCGGAAAACTGCTGTGCATGAGGTCCTTAGGTCAAACGATTTGCCGCTCCAATGCTAGCTGTGAAATATGATTCTGTGAGCTGACCAGTGATATGTGCCCACCCGTCATGGGCGCACCGTCGGTTGATGGGTAGGTGTGATTTAAGCGGGCAAACTTGTGGGCGCATGTGTGTCTGTTCAAAATGATTGATGCATTTATGCTAGTAAATCGTTGTGCTGGTTCATGTGGTCTTACTCGCAGATTTTGGAAACCCGTCCCCGCATGCCCTACTTCTCTGACAAAGTGTTAGGTGCTCTTATTCCAGATTACAGCTCCCATTGAGCCAGCAGCACCAGGGATACAGCTCATTCATTTTTGTATGGCTGAGTGGCTGCTCTTGTTCTTTCACATTGCATGCTGTTGGGTTGTTTACTAATAGGACAGCTGTCCGCAATTTAGCAACCACGCGCTGTTGCATTGATGGTAATCGGATCCTTGCCGAGCTGCTCTTTTTTGGGTGGACATTGCTCATTCGTTCTAAGAGGATTAGCACCGTTGCTATCGATTGCTGATACATTGCAATGGCTAGCGCAAATATGGGGTGTATTGGATGATATCAATCGGTGGCATCTGATGCCGAGTACATCGGTACAGCAAGGTATACTTGATAACTCTTGCACGAAAGCCGTATTTTTTGCACTAACGTCAGCAAGCTAGTTGTGTGGCTCCTTTCTCTGATAGCTGACCTGTAGCTCTGCGCAGCGAGGCAGCAGCTGTGGATTTTGCTTCATTAAGGAGCAGCCAGTAATGTTGTCTATGCAAGTGCGTGATTTATTGTAGCGGAGTTCACGTTGTATTTCTGAAACCATTTCCGGAAATCCTATAGCCAGCTTTGAGCTTGGCGGCTCCGTTTCCTTTCTGTTGGCTCTTGATGCTGCAGTAGCGAGTTTCTGTTCCTAAATCCCCATTCATGGTTCTTTTTACTTCTTGCTTTCATTCTCAGTCCACCATGCCTCCGCGCACCGGCGCAATCTGCGAATAACACCGACTGTTTATGAGTGATTGCCAGCCTGCCACTGTACTCTCATTTTGGATAAACGCGGCTCTTGGCTGCACGCAGATCCAGTTACCGGTTTAGGGAATGTTTAAAATTAGCAGGCGCTGGTTGGAGCCTTGCCCCTTTTAGCGCTCAGTCTTTGCGCCCCTTCAGGAGGGAGCAACTGCAGCAAAATGATGTGATCGAGGGCTGTGTAGCAAGGTGCACGAAAATAGCCATGCTACGGCTGGACATGGGTATGTTTGGATGCCAAACATACACCATGTGCGGCTTTCTTTCTACAGCTTGGCCGCCAGTCTGCTCCACACACGCAGATACGTTTCTGGCATTGGCTCTGGCAACGTATATCACCCAGCAGCATGTGGCTGATATCGGTCTTTTGGGCTGAGAGTAGCTTTGGGGCGAGTTTGGAACCGGACGGTGGCTAACAGAAGCAACCAGTGCTAGGCAGGCATCGGCATACGGGGACTAGTGTGATGGCCCTAGAAAGGGGATCGGGTGTCTACTCGCAAAGCATGTGAGGGTGAGATCCACGTCTTGGTATGTAGTTGTATTGATCGTTCCCAAAAAGCGGGTAGCAGCAGCCGTAGTCCCCACCATTCGAGATCCTGCGATTCACACTAGCTGCTAATAGCAGCAGAATGGTCGGATTGCTGCACACACGGAGCGGTGCGCCCTAAGCACCGCTGTAGAAGCATGGAAAGAGGGTGCGGAATGCGATTTGCATCGTTAAATAATTCACCGACTTGTTCGGTTTTGGCATTTTGTTCTTACCAGCAGTCCCAATAATCAGTTGGCGGCGGTGAGGTAGTGTGTTTTTGATTTTGCGGGAGATGAGAGGGGGCAGATATTTGCATTGAGTGACTCTTTGGGCCGCGATGGCAGGAATAACAGCTCTCCTTTGTGCGATTCTGTGACATGGAAGAAAGCGCATTGTTGACTCTATTTCGAAAGTGACTTCTTGGCACCACGAAGAAAGAGGCTTTCAAATGTCTGTGGATTGATGCCTAAATTTGGCATAAACAAGCGAATGCCTGCCACGTTAAACGAAAAGCTTGTCGTGACAAAGATAGGTAACTCCCCAAAGCAGGCGCCATGTCACATAGCGGCAATGGGGAAGCGGAAATACGAGTAAACATGCTGGCGGGATACTCTATGCCCTGCCTCTACCCCGTGAGTGTCCGACCCAATGCTGTTGCCGTGGATACCATATCCGCGTGCATGGCAGGGACCAGGGGGAGGACCAGCGCACTTGCCGGCCGTCCCAGTCGCGCGCTCTGTCCCCAATATCCCTTCTCATATAATTACAAAGATTGCCCTCCTTAGCCAGTAAGCAGAATGTGTCTCGTCGATACCCCCCAGTCCAACACCCCCCGCCGCACCAACCCCTCCCTCCCTTTTCCACAGCACAGTTCCTCTGGCACACTTGCTGGGCGATGGTGGCTGCGAGGGGTTTTATTTTCGGTTTTTTGCATGGTTTATACCACTTTTTGCGCCAAAGAAAATCTTATTTTTTCCTTTCCTGAAGACGCTAAAAAGGGCCCGGTCGGGGAACGGGGAGGGAGGTGGTTGGCGACAGGGGTGCATCGGGTCTCCTGCACCCACCCGCCGTTCCCACCAAATACAGGCTCTCGCTTAGGAAGGAACAAGCGATATCTAACAAAAATTATTCATATAAAGTTGAGGACCCAGCAGACAACTGGGGATCGGACAAGCTTCAGAGCGCTGTTTCACAATATTTTCTCCTGTTTCCATTCCTCCTCTACCCTCCTGTGCGAGCCAATTTTTATTGCAGCCCAGTTGCACCATAGCCACCCCTATATACATATTCCCACCGCCATCACCACCACACCCTGACATCGGTGTCTTGAACCCACCTCTTGCCAGCCTGCTGCTATTCCATCCTATTTGTTTTATCCCAATTTTTAGAGTGCGAGCACCAGCTGCCTCCATCTTACCGCTATACACTTTTACCCCCCTATTATACCCATTCTGCTATATACACAACCATCCCCCACGCACACATTTTTCTTTGGCACATTTGATAGACGCCTCTAATCCGCTTTGTAAAAAACCATTTTCCGTTCTTCAACCCCACAGCAACAAAGAAGCAAAAAATGACAGAATCATATCACGGCTCTATCGACACCGCGCGCGATGCGCTGCTGATCTTCGAGGCCTGCAACCTTGGCTATCTTCCTCGTGTCCAGCGTCGCTTCAGCGAGCGTGAGCGCCAGACTATCCGGTCGGGTGCAGTCTATATCTGGGACGAGGAAGAGACTGGCATGCGCCGGTGGACTGACGGCCGGACATGGTCGCCTTCTCGTGTCCACGGCTGCTTCCTCATCTACTACGAGCTCGAGGGCCGGAGACACCAGTTTGTCAACGGCGCCAACAATCGCAACCCGCGCTACTCGCCAAGATCCGGCCAGGCCGAGACCTCGCCACTACATGCCTCGTACGACTCTTGCCCGCCCAACATCATGCAGAAGGAGCAGGGCCTGATCAAGAAAGCCCTGTCGCTCTGCACTAGTGACAAGCGCAAGCTGCATCTGGTCTGCTACTACTCGCGTGAGGATGTCGAGAGTGGCTGTCTGACCTCGCCGTCCAACGACCCGCGGTTTGCCAATATCCAGGTGTGCGAGGACCGGTATCCCGAGATCGGACACGGATCCAGCCGGGGCGACCGCTACAATCGCTCGCGGCTTAACAACCAGCAGCGGGCGATCTCTGTCGGCAGCACTGGTGCCCGCGAGGGCCCCCCGGCGTATGTGCGCTCCTCCATGGCTGCTGAGCGGCGGTCGCCTCGCTCATACCGCAGCGAGGTGTACCGGTATCCGAGCTATGGGCCCTACGCCGGCCCTGTGCGCCATGTCCAAGTGCCCGTCCAGCAGGCCCCCTTGCCACAAGCTGTAGGTCCTGCCGCTGCCCCGATGGTGTCCCATGCTGTCTACACCCCACTCGGAGCAATCTCTGCTCCCCGTGACGACAGGACACCCCAAAGCGGCCCTCTACGGTCACCAACTACCTATCAGCCCTCGTCGTCCACACCCTACATCCAACACCCGCATTCGTACCCGGCCTCTCCTTGGCCAGTAACACCCCAACCGTCCAGCAACCAGCAGGTATATGCAAAGCATGCGTCTTCAGTTGTCCCCACGCCGTCGTCTGTCCCATCAACCCCTGCTGCCTTGTCGCATCCAGCACATCCTGTCTGGCAGCACAGCGAGCCGCCAAAGGCGTATGCGGGTGGCCGTTCATCAGGTAGCATCCACCCTCCGCCACCAGGCGCACAGTGGGACAGCAACACAAAGGGCCTGATGATCCACCTGGCTGAGCCCAATCGCTCCCCTGCCACTGGAAACTCTGCCAGCAGCGTGCCTCCCACACCTTCTGTCCATTATTCTGAGCACAATGCCCAGCAAAAGCCTCGCGTGCAGCCTCAACCCCCACAAAGTGCCGCCCCACCACCGCAAAATGGCGTCAGCCACCTCACAAACGCCAGCGGCTGCAATAGCAACGCTGCTCGTCCTCCTATCCGTCTGCCACCCATTTCCAAGCTTGACGTCGCGTCGCCTATCTGCCTGTCCAGTGGTGTGCTGTCCACGCCATGCTCACCGATGGCGAACATGAAGCTGGAATCAGCCGACGACCATATGGCTGATCCACGCAGAGTCGTCAGCTCCAAGAGCACCCGGTGGTTGCCCTACTCCACCGACAGCCATGCCTGGAAAAGACTGCCACCTTCGCCATCGCCCTCACTGTCTGTTGATCTGGCGCTGAAGATGAACAGCGAAGATGCGCGGCAGCTGGCAGCACTGCGACCCAGCCTGCACTAAAAAGGCACAGGATTCAAGACTGGCACTGTTGTCCTTTGACTGGCACTCTTGTCCTTTGGAGAGCGCCTTTCTCCCTTGGCTTTTCTGCATCCTTGCAATGTAAACTTTTTGCCCTATCCTCATTGATATTTGTATATCCGCTTGCCACAAACTTCCCAGCGCTAGATGCTTCTAGCAATTGAAGCAGGCTCTAGCAAATTTAACCCTGGCGTCAAGCCCCCTCCCCGAGTTCCTAACCCCCTATCTGAAGGATAGCAGGCTTTCCTTGCACATTGACACAGCAAATGGTATATATCAGTGTATTGCAATACATCTTCATACACATTGCTATATGCACTCACATCCATAAAATTCGTTGGCAAGCGGCAGCGAATGGCGCCTTTCTTCCACTAATTGCGTGTTGGATTCCTGCTTCATGCCCGCATGCTGGACAAGCTTAGCACCACATGGCATTGCTGCAAGGCGATGCACGAGATAAAAATACATGCGGTGCTGTTGACACTCCTTCCCAGTTTTTTTCTTCACTTCTCTCAACAACGCCATCATGATTGCACTGCTCGGAAAATAAGCCATTTGCGTTGTTGGCAAAAAAGCAAGAATGAGTGAACGACTTTCATATGCTTCGCTCTCACCAGCTTTACCAAATGCCACCATAAAGCGGATGCAACTTGCCCTCGGACATTGAACCAAGGCACATTAGGTTGAATGGTTATTTTTAGGGGATCTACGCTGCCGAGCGAAGTTTCAGGTGTTCTCTTTCCTTTTGCATCATGTCTGCTTGTGGTGGAACCGTCTGGTTTCAGTTCCGGGTGCCGAGGTGAGAGGTGCATCAGGGGGATGGCTTTCAATCAGACACGGCGGATACCCCATAGCGAACTTTCAGGTGCAAGGTGCATCAGCACTGCCTGGGATACGGGGAAGGAAATGCGTACTGGTAATGGTACGCATGGTGTAATACTGAGCTCACCACGCAAAGTACCTTGCCCTTACAGGGTGCGTTGCTCTTCGCAACCTCACTCCGGATTATCAGCAAGCAAAGCCGATTGGACAATGGCTGTATTGCGACCATTTGCGCTCGTCTGCTTGCATCAGGCTATATGCAGCACCCAATGCCGCTCCAAGAGTGTGCTGTAAAGTATCAAGATTGAAATGATAATCCCCGCGGAAAATCTTACCTTGGCCTCCTTTGTGGCCAAATCGCAGATTTGTGGAGTACATGGCATTTCCTGCATTCTTACTCTACATGTCAGATGCAACCTGTCGACCTCATACTTGTCAGGTCTATTCTTGGCTCATCCATGGCCAGAGGTGCCAGGGCATGGCTTGATTGCTCTGCTCCAGTGGCTAAACATGATTCGCTGGGGCACATAGGGTACACTGGGGACGGAGATGGTTCTCAGTTCTAAATCAGCCTTCCTCCATACCACGTTCAGGCGTGGTACTTGCTTTTTTTACAAGTCCTTTTTGTGAAAGACCGAGCTTTTTTTGACAGATTTCCCTCCTCGTAGATCAAAAATGCTGCTCCTTTCTCGTAAACAGCAGCATCTGTATCTCCATGAAATAAGCCAATATTGGCCGACAAAATGTCTTCCCTGTAGACTGGTATGGCGAACGCGCGAAACATAGCACCTTGCGATTTCCCAGCACCTACTGGAATCCTTGCCAATCGTTTTTGGAGTCTCGTTCTGCTGGCAAATGATACATGACAGGCGAAGCAAGCGTGCGAATGGCAGTTGTCGGTTGCGTAGAGCGAAAAAGGCATCCAGAGCGACAGAGAGCTGGCGGACTTGGCAAGGATCTTGTTTGCATGGGGCAGGCGCGATTTACCATTCTTTTTAGAAAACGGAAACTGTACTTTTTATATAGGGCACGGTGGTTGGAGGCAGTGGCCACTCCTTTGCAAACGGTGCCAATCCACAGATACAACAACACAAGCCAGACCATACCAGTCGCACATAATAATCGCTTGTTTTTCAGTGCAGCTCAAGCAGACTACAGGCCAGACGATGCCTGGGGGTGGGGCGAGCTTGCTGCCTACGAATATGGCCCGAGCCTGTCCACTTTGCAAATAATTTGTAGATTGCTCATCACTCCTTCCGCAAAAATGGCCGTAGGAGTGGCCCCTGTTTATACCGGTTGTCAGCAGCCCTCGTTGTGGATATGCTGGCCGAGGATACCAGTGTCATGCCTCCATGGCGAAGCATTCTAATTATTCAATATTTTGAGAGCATGTTGTGATAATGGTGCAGATCGCTGACGAGTACTGATGAGAGTATTGACGAGAGTACTGACGAGAGTACTGACGAGAGTACTGACAAGAGTACTGACAAGAGTTTCGAGGGGCTGCTTAGCTGCCGTCTATGCTGAGCCATTTGCCTGCTACCACATGCTTTTCTCCTTGGCTTAGCTATCCATGGGACTGTGGCCGTATAATCACAAGGTTCTTTAAACCACCCTATGTCAGGCTAGTAGTACCCAGTGTCTATGATGAGTTCTGCCTATTTCGCACGCAGCCATATTCACAACATGGCTTGCTCTGCCCCATGTCTGGCATTTCGATGCAGTGCTGTCCGGGAATACATTCCCAGCCTGTGCGATTTGCCATACGTGCATGTCCAAAAATAGCAAGGGATGTCACTGCATTTGCTGCCTGATTGTACTACTTGTGCTGTTCGCAATTTCATAGCATGCAAAAGGAGTGGTAAACGTTCCGCCAGCATGTCCGCACAACACCATATCTATTCAGATAACGGCTGCTACCAATAGCCCTCATGGACACGGGACCCTGTGCCCTTGCAGTTGGTTTGTGTCCCACTTCCCTGACAGGATCCGCGCTACTAATGAGTACCTTTTATCTGTCTGAAGGGGACATGGCCCGCTTCGAGATAATGCAAAGGCAGGTGCCCTTTTGCACACAATTTTTTCCGAGATGCCTCCCTTGGGGGAGGCCAATTCACGCTGGCAGCCTGTTTGAAGCAGGTGTGCTCAAATGTCAAATTATTGCGCCAACATATATTGCAAAATAATCCAAATGATGGCAGAATACCTTGGCTATCTGTCCTATTTCCCTTCACCCTCTTTGGGCTTGGGTGCTGACGTCGTCTTCTCTGCCTTCAGCCTTGCCGGCTTTCTCTTTTTCTTCTGGAGCTGCTTCTTTTTCTTCTGGAGCTGCTTCTTTTTCTTCGTCAGCCTCCTCTTCTTCGCGTCCTTGGTTTCCTGCTTTCCCTCGTCGCTAGTCTCCTCGCGCTTGTTCTTTGTGCCTCGATTAAGAATAGGTGCGGTTGTCCTAATCTCACGCACTGCCATCTTCACCAGCCCTCTCTCACCACCACCGACCCATGCCAGCACTGGTGGGGGCAACGTCTTTGGTACTTTGGCCAAGAGGTCCTTGAAAAGCTCAGAGCCAGCCTTGATGCCCAGTACAGAGGCGCGCGGCTGGTGTATCGCCAGCGCCAGCTGCTTCTCGGATCCCTTGCCAACACCGACCATGCGCAGCCCAGCAATATCTGTGTCTGCTGCCGGTTCTCCTTCAACAGCAACGAATGCCGCATGTGCCAGCCCCTGCAGATGGCTCACAAGCTGTATGTCAACATCACCTCGGCACACCACGACTAGGCCTAGCTTGCATGTACACCCTTCACCCTCTGCAGCCATCCTCTCAAGTACTCGTGTGTTTTTGTTGATGCCAACGACTACTTGCTCAAGGATCTCGCGCATTTGCCGGACGTGCTCGTTTTTTGCCTCCAGCTCGTCTCTCCTACTGCGAATACTTTTGTCTCTCGCTTTCCGCCGTTCCTCTAGTGCCGAACGTATCTGCTGCTCAATGTCCTTCTGGAGCTTGCCATCCTTCACCAGCTGTGCCCTCTGATCCTTTGACCACTTCTTGTCCAGTTGGCTAGCTCTTTTGGCTGCTGACCTGGCACAATCTTGCTCCTTCTTAATTGCATGCTTTGCACGCTGGAATGTCTCCTCATGAGCCGACAGTGTAGCGCATATGTCACTCACAATGGCGGACTGCATGTCACCGTCAACCTCTGGCCATGACGTTGCATAAGGTTTTTCCAGAGCATGCTTGAAGACAGTGCGTCTATCATGGGCTTTTTTGCGCACTGTAGCACTAGACTTTGAAACAACAGACATTTGATTTTAGTTGGAATGCAGAATGGTAAAATGGACACCAAAGTGTTCACAGAGCTACAGCGGCCTCAGCGCACGAAAGTCGAAATTTTTCTAGCTACTCTGGCACCAACAGCCCCTAAACAGATAATTACATGATTGATGGTGATCACCAGACACCAGTGGCTTGTGCGCAAGATGGCTTGATATGTCAAGCACATTGTCGGCAATTATCTAAAACCCTACTGCACAATCGCCGGGTATAAAAGCTTCAATTGACTGTAAATTACGCGCAATAGGGTTGTCAAATCCTAGACAAGCCCTCCGTCTTATTGCCAGCATTCGTGCAAAACAGCGCCGCCCGGAATCATGGGATCTATTTGAGGTGTTCCGTCAGCAGGTGTTGTGCACGAAGGGGGGGAGAAAACTCCGATTGCCTCAAAACAAACAGGACCAGCGAGTCCCCGTGCTTCTCAGCAAGCAGCAGCCGCCATTCAATAACACAGGGCTAGCGATCGCAGGCTCTGACTTGTGGCTGGCATTACGCAGCGCATAGTGCCTGTTTATGCTCGCCGCGAGAGATATTGCATGCGCTGGCTTGCACAATGCCGATATAATATTTGACGTTGCCTTATATGCGGCTCTCTGTCAAGAAATGGAGTGCATGCGGCGGCGGTACATATCGGGGGGGGGGTTGAACGGCGAGGCGCGGCCTTGGCAGTGTTTGGCTCTCCTGTGAATGCACAGACCGCACTATCGTACCTGCGTATGTATGGCTCGCAAGCTTGTCAATCGGGAAGCTCGTGTGAGCCTTACAAACTCTGACTCGATTTAGGCATCAGGCGGCTGTGTTCCAGAGAGACTATGTAAGCGCCTTCACAATGCCTGCAATATATGTATATGTGTGGATGTGTGCCTCAGAAATGGTTCGGTGGTGCCTGACAATTGCCTGCTAGTTTTTTTGGCTCGACGCCTCCCTGCCGCTGGCGGCCCGTCTGCTCGACGACAACCTACACCGGTGGTGTTCTGGAAGGAATTTTGGGAGCTACACAGGAGCACAACCGGATTGCCTTGGTATTCAGAGGACGGATGGTGCTTGAAGCGAGAGACCCGCACACACAAAAGAGCCGCCGTCCACCACCAGTCCAACCATTGTGCCAGCATATGCTGTGCGCACCTGGCTCGGCCTGGAAACCCGTGGCCCGCTGGGAACAGAGTTGGCCAAAACAGAAAAAGGAATCCAGGTCCTGTGTAGGTTTGCATTTTGCCAAGAACCACCAGCGAACACGGCTTCAAAGCTCTGCGATATGCTCCAAGCCTCCTCCTGGAAATGACGGCGGGGGGTCAGAATCTGCAGTGCGTACCGGGAGGTGGCAGACAGCCAAAAGCAGGTAGTGACAGCCAGCAGCTGGTTCACAGATATGTGTGGATGGTCGCTGTTACCAAAGCAGACAATGGATTCACAGTTCAGCCATAGCCACTGCTCGATGTAGGCCAAGGAATGCTGGGTCGCCACACGCCGGATTATCTGGCGTGTTGTCCCTTGGCCAACAACCACCGACACTAGCCACAGCGCCGCCTGCGGTCCGCTATGCGGTGCTTATTGTTTTCTGGCGTTGTTGCCGCCCAGCACCGAGCCTGTACCCTCAGACAAACAGGCAGAATGTTAAAAATAGAATATCCAAGTGCGTGCGGTCCAAGATATTGTAGAAAGCGCCTCGGCAAAAACGAAAGCCGTCGTGGGTGTTTTGGTGTTTGGGCAGGTCCGCATGCTGGAGTCCAAGGCTCGACATGTGTGCGCTTGTCCGCGGAAAGAAGAGGAGTCTCGTGTATTGTCTGGTACTTGCACACTCACAAGCGTATGGATTAGGTTACAGCACAAAAATGGTGGCATGCCAGGCAGCGCCTTCTGCTTCCAGAATGCCCGGCAGGCGTGGTGTTGTTTTTGCTTTCCGGAAAGCGAGCATTGACTGGCAGGCAGGAGTTACTGGCGGATTATGTTATTTACAGAGCTGAATTAGCGTGTCATTGTGGACGGATGTTGGGTAGCAGCACGACATTCTTGTTAGGACGCGGGCTCCTAGGCGGAGAGAATAGGCACTAAAGGGCGTGGCTCAGAGACGGCTAGCTGGTTCGATTGCCGCCCGCATACACGCAAAGAAGAAGTCGAGCGAGCACAAAGGACATGCAAACGGTCTAACGACGGAAAAACAACAGACATGAAGCGCGATGCTGTCCAGTGTGAAGGCCACAATCATCGGAAGGGGGCAGCTTCCAACAATGGCCGAGCGGTCTGGCGTGGCTGTGTAGGCAGATGGGGGCTGGGACCGATTTCAGAGATGCTGGTGGGTGGACAGACCATGAGTCTACCGCCGCCACCACAGAGTTACAGAGAAACCGTGGCACCACAGAACGATGGACAACGGAAAAGGCTGGAAGACACAACACAGCAGCCAACAATGCACCGAGCATTCAACGGATATAAGGTGTCATCTCGTAATGAGATGTTGTTGCCACCCCAAACTGGCTTCAAACATTGTACACACCCTCCTGCACAAGGTGCAACCCAAATACTCACTGTATGCAATTTGCGGACGCATATTTCTTGAATATATGTATCCTACCAGTGGCTTTTATAAACTGTTGCATATAAAACAATAAAAATAGCCCACCCTGAGGCTATCTAGTGCACAACAATGCACCCATGCACAATACTCAAAACTCGCAATGTACCGAACTAGCCAAATATAGCTAGATGTGCCGATATAATATAAAAGAAAAATCTATCATATATCCGGCACAGCCTCCTTTTAAATATCTTGACTAGTGAACGCCGAGTCACTATACGCGATGCACCATGAGGCACAGTCAAAATCAAATGGTCATGTTTTGGAAATATGAAGAAAATAATGGCTACTGTTTCTAATGATGGCGAAGAAAATAATAGAAGAAACTAAATTATAGCTTGGCTTTCAAGTGAGGGGACATTGAGAACCGCAGCACAAACAAGCCGACCGTGGCAGTGACATACCCGCTAGTGACCAGAATCGCCGCGGGTTTGACCCAGTACGTGCTCAGGTAGTTCATGACCCATTCAAAGTAAAAAACCTTGAGGACTGGAATGGCGACTGCGGTGGTCAGAAACACCCATTTGATGACTTGGGTCATTCCTAACAGTATGCTCTCCTTTTCGCTTTCCTCGAGCTTGCCCATCGGATACATAGGGACGATCGAGCCAACTGACATGCAGAATATAGCGGTAAAAATTGCCAGAACATTAAAGTCCTTTGCCGAGTACCAAATTGTGCTAGTCGAGAGACCTCCGAGCAAGTGGATGAGGACCATGCCGTTCAAATGTCCGTAGTTTTTGATAAAGTGGTGCAACAGGATGGCACCAATGATCGTGCAACCATTAGCCATTCCGATCAGCAAGCCAATGTGTTCAACTGGGGCACCCATGATGACAGCATGGGCTAAAAGGAATCGTCATAAAGCTTAGTAAAGTATCAGAGAGAATGCGTTCCATTCGTTGCCTTGTTCTGATTGTCGTTATATTTACCTGGCACGAGAAGCATAACTGTCAAGAATCCTGCACCGGCTAACATCGTATGTCGACTGCAATGTAGGGTGTGTCGTCTAAAGGTGTCACAACTAAAGGTATAGTGAATATAGAAAGGAGGGATTGCAGAGCTAAAGCCTTACCCTGACTAGTAGGGGTTGGCGAACATGTAGTTATTGCCAGCGATATTTGGCTCTGTCTTGGCGACATGCACCTTGCCCACGCTGGAGGGGCAGTAAATGCAATATCTGCCAACGGCTGGGCGCGATATTGCTGATACTTTGCAGTCTACTTTCTTGCTATGCACGTTCGAATACGCCCAGCTAGCGCCACCAGAATGCCGAGTAGTATATGTCGCACTGGTTGTGCGCAGACCAGCCTATGCCGCTGATCTAGCAGCCGCTTGTTACTTGACTGATCGCGATCTGTCACTCGCTGCTGAATCGCTACGCTGCAGAACCGCAGTCGCCGCCAGATGGTTCTCCCTCACACCGAGCACCCGAGTGTGGATTGCTTGGCCAATTGTAGTGCGGAATTCCATGAGTCGCTCAAATTTTTAGCCCCGTGTGCCCTAATCCCGAAGCGCGCGAAAAAACCCCAGAGATTTTCCTCGCACAGCATGTACTATCGTCAGCAAGAATGCGAGTTCCCCTGGTGGTTCTTGCTTCTGTTTCAATCATCATTTCCTTCTTTGTAAAGAGAATACTATTCTGACGCTAGGAACATACCCACTCACCCATGTCGTTCGAGGGAAAGGTAGGATATGAACATCGGCTGAGTGGCTGGACTTCACGTAGTCAATGCCATGAGATAACATATGCCTGCTATTTGGTTCTTACCGCATGCATTATACATAGACCATCAAATGCAAGGCTGCCGTCGCGTGGGAGGCCGGAAAACCGCTGAGTGTGGAGGAGATCGAGGTAGCCGCGCCCAAGGCTGGTGAGGTGCGCCTGAAGGTGCTGGCGACCGGAATCTGTCACACCGACGCATACACCCTCTCTGGCGCGGATGCTGAGGGTCGGTTCCCGTGCATCCTGGGCCACGAGGGCGGGTGCATCGTCGAGTCGGTTGGTGAAGGCGTCACCAGCGTTAAGCCCGGCGACCATGTTGTCCCTCTGTACACGCCCGAGTGCCGCAGCTGCAAGTTCTGCAAGAGCGGCAAGACAAACCTGTGCTCGGTGGTGCGTGAGACGCAGGGCAAGGGCCTGATGCCTGATGGCACGTCGCGGTTCTCCAAGGACGGAAAGGAGATTTACCATTATATGGGCACGTCGACGTTCAGCGAGTACACGGTGGTGTGCGAGATCTCGTGTGCCAAGGTTGATCCGGCTGCGCCGCTTGATCGCCTGTGTCTGCTCGGCTGCGGTATCCCGACTGGCTGGGGAGCCGTCAACTACTCGGCCAAGGTTGAGGAAGGCGCGGTGGTCGCAGTGTTTGGCTGCGGTGCGATTGGGCTGTCGGTGATCCAGGGTGCTGTTGCTGCCAAGGCCAGCAAGATCATTGCCATTGACATCAACCCAGCCAAGTTTGAGATGGCTAAGAGGTTTGGCGCCACTGACTTTGTCAACCCGAAGGACTTTGGCGATAAGCCGATTCAGCAGGTGATTGTCGAGAACTACGATGGCGGCGTCGACTACTCGTTCGAGTGCAGCGGTGGCAACGTCAACGTCATGCGTGCTGCCCTCGAGTGCTGCCACAAGGGATGGGGCACCAGCGTGATCATCAGTGTCGCTGCCAGCGGCCAGGAGATCAGCACTCGTCCGTTCCAGCTTGTCACTGGTCGCGTCTGGATGGGCTCGGCGTTCGGCGGTGTCAAGGGACGCACGCAGCTGCCGCTGTTTGTCAAGATGTACCTGGACGGATCCCTCAACATCGACGACTATGTCACCCATCAGTTTGATCTGGCCGACATTGCCAAGGGCTTTGAGGCTATGCATGGCGCTGACTGCATCCGCCCGGTTATCCACCTTAGCAAGGAGTGAAAGCATCGTTTAGCCGCTATATTTGCCTATCATAAATGAGTTCTAACCCCAGCTAGCGGCTGCTGCCATCGACAAACACCACAAATGGCGACTCTATCGCAAACAAAGATTTGTCAGCAGTGTCCGCATCCAGATTTAGCAACCGCAGCATCTTGATTGAATGGAAGTGCGGCTCGGCAGCAATGTACCGTAGTGCTACGCTAGCCGATTCTCCAGGCCTCAGTGGCGGGATCTCGGTTGAATGGTCCAGAGAAAGAAGGCCAGGCGACAGGTCAGGCTGATCGCCGTCCTCTGCCACAGCCAGCTGCTCGCCACGGCGCGAAATGTCAAGCAACGTTAGGCGGAAGTAGTGTACGTTGGTGTTGTTCGAAATATGCACACGTACGACAAACTCCTCGCCAAGCATGGCTATTGAGGGAGCGTCGAACGAGATACTGATCGTGCCAATGTCAACGACAGATGCCTCGGGGTCCGGGGCTGGCTCTGAGATCGATGCGCGTGCCACACTCGGCCGTTTCTGACTCTCAGCCGACACCCGTGACTCCACCACCTCTGGCAGAGTAGGTGGCAGTGTTTGTGTATAAGGATGCGAAGAATTGGCTAACAGTGTCGACACACCTGACAGCGACTGGCGCTGGAACGCTTGTCGAGGCGAAGTTGGTGACCGCAGGTTGGGCGCTGCCATGGTTGCCGACCGACCCCGCATGTCTGCTTGCGGCTGCTGCTCCTCAGCAGGCACTTGGTTACCACGCAGCCGACCAAGGCTGCCTGGCTCAAAATCTCCCATGGCACTGGATCGGCTGTTCCGTAGGTGCCCGCGTCTCATGGCCATCGAGCCGCCATACTGCGATGACATGCTGCTAGCAGATAGCATTTCGGGCTGATGCTGTGACTGAGGGTGTGCAATTGAAAGTTTGCGTGCCGAAGGGCGGGTTGGATGGGCGAGAGTATCAAGCGAGACATTGCGCATGTGGCTGCTGGTCCTCTCAAAAGTCGCAGCCACAGCCGATTTCGACCCAGGCGACCGGATCTGGTCAACTGCTGTCGATCGGCGTCCATAGGCCGTGTTAGCAGTAGATGGGCGGCGGTATTGCGTGCTGTTACGTGAGCTGCTGAGCGATGCATCGGTGGCAGCTGTGGGAATTGCGGCATCCGACTCGAGGCCGTAGTTGTCGGCTACGATATCCAACTCCCTCTCCGAAGCCGTTGGCAACTGAACGCGCTGTGAGACATCAAGCAAATGCGAAGTCTCGTCTCCAGTAGAGCAAAGGGCATGAATAGTTATATATGCTGTCGACTTGTCCACTGATGTTGGCGACTCTGCTGTATATGCGGTAGTGCTTAGCAGGTTCAGTCCTGGCGCTGTGGCCCGCGTTGTGGACCGGTTCAGAGGACAGACCCTGAAGATCGACTTCCAACACAGTCCCTTGCCTAGCAACAGGGGCGCTGACTCGATGGCGCCAACACCAACAACATACCAGTATGGCGAATCAGCATCAACTGAGTGAAGAGTAACGTCCGGTCCAGAGTCCTCCTCACAGAACACGCTAATCTCTACCAACATGTTGTCGGACCCAAAGCTCCGTGGCATACTAATGACACGCGAGCTGATTTGTACCATTGGGCGGGCTGTCACCACGGCCTGGAACATACGCCGTGGCAGCACCGGTAAAGACTCAATGCCCTCAGTATCACCGGTCATGTTGGCAACCGCCTTTGTAACGGGTGGCATCAGGGATTTGCTGTACCCATTAGCTGTATGCTCCGATATGGATACCCCCGATGATAACTTTGCAGCAAGCTCCTCCAGCTGAACCGAGCGGTCGTTATATGTTAAAGGGTCGACTGGCTGGTCGCTAGATTTGGCCAGCAACATATCATCGACCCCTGTGCACGCCACACGGATCTCAAACGACAGAATGTCATCTACAGGCAGCAGCTCTGAGGTCTCCACAGGCGTTGGTGTGTTGAGCAGAAACGGGAAGACGCAGTGCCACGACCCATCGCCAGATCTTTCAACCAGCAGTTTGTCAGCCAGCGTTCCGTCAATGCTCGCTACGTAAGATGGCATGCTGCTGGTCGCCACCGGCCTCCGTGTCTGCAGCTGGCCAACATTAGGCTTGTTTCGAAATACCTGCTTAGAGTGAGCTGAGAAGCCCTGTGGTGCACGTTCAAGTGGCAAGGGTGCCAGCGTGCTGCTCCGGTTGGCCATCGGTGACGCTATATGTTGCTGCATTTGCTGGGTGGAAGATGCTGCCAGGGGTACCTTCGATTCGTATACTGCGACTCGGAATTTTAGCGTAGAGAAGAAGCTGCAGACTTCATCCGCAGACAGACCCAGCTCGTTGCTGGCCAGCTCTGGCGCCTCTGTCCGCCGCATTTCCGTGGCTAACAACCAGCGCACTTGCTCAAAGTTTGGAATTGTCGCTAGTAAGTACGCAGTGAGGCGTTCACCGTGGTAAAGAAACTTGCGCGACGGGATTTGGTCTACAATGTCAAGCGCTGTCCAGCGGTTTGTTGCGGGGTCTGCACCGGTTGGAATGCGCAACGCAAATTTGGCTGCCTTGAACAGTGCATCCAGAGCATTTCCAGACAGCTCGCCTGCATTCTTTGCCACCGTGCCGACCATTGCCGTTTAAGAGTAGAGGCAAATTGAACGAGTTTGTGCAAGAGTGCGGTGCAAAGGCTGGCAGGATACACCAGCGACAAGGCAACCAGGTCAGCAGCAGCCAAAATCAACAGCTCAGATCAGATGATTCACAGCAGTAAGCTGCAAGCGCTTCTACTGGTGTCACCACCCGCTCACACGTCACTGCCGCAAGTATCCAGGCATGCGTGGCAACTAGCTGCGCACCCCGCACATGACTGGCAGCTATCAGGCGATTCCTTGTACGCAAGGCAGCCATCTATCACCGCGCTGACTGGTTTCTAGTCACAGGATAGCTCAAACGCATGACGGATATCAAGGGTTTGATCATTGCCAATCAGTGCCAAAAGTAGATTCGGGTTAGGTGGCTTTTGAATCGCATGCTTGGTGAAGCCAGCTGGGATTGCGATGATTTACTCTAACCAGTGCCTACTGAATGCTGCTTTTTATATACACACCAACAGATAGCACATAGAAGGGCGGCTCACTAGAATGCTTGTGTGAACAAAGAGGTCTCAGTCCTCGGTAACCGATATCGCCAGGTAACTCTTGCACCCGGATAAGAGCGCAACGTTTGTGGATGAGCGGGGCGGTGTCATCACACTGGGCTGAGTTGGCGAAGGGTTGGAATGCAAATTTTTCCTTTTTGTCTTTGATCGTCACACCGCTTGCGATTTTGGTTGTTTGCCCGGTGCAGTAAACAGGCAACCTTTTCATCTCTGCTTACCTTTCTTCAAATTCTTTCTTTCTTTTATTATTATTGTAGCAAAGCGATAGCATACATCCTTGACCTTATAGTGTGTGTTAACGATGGACAAAGATCCAGAGATTTTTGCCGTAGATCGCGTTATCGGGCGGCGGATATCGCTTGCGAGAGATATCGAATACTTGATATTCTGGAAGGGATACGGGCTAGAAGATGCGACCTGGGAAAAGGAAGAAGCAACAACAGACTGTAGAGAGGCGGTCGAAGAGTTTGAGAGGCGGTGCGATGCCAGGCGCCAAGAGTTTCTTGATCTGCCACAGGAGGACCTGCTGGGATCTACCTATGTCGACCGGTTCGAAGACGTGGGCATTGCAAGCATTGTGGACGAGGCGCTTGAAGCATTTACAAATAACATCTCAGTATTCTCCGAGGCAGGGGCCGATACAGATGTTGACGAAGGCGATGGCCAGACTACTAATGGCGGGGCGATGGCACAAAGTCCGGGAACACCAAATAAGCGACGAGGCAGGAACTCTGGTAAGGGCTACCGTCGCGTGTTAGCATCTACCCATGGATGGAACAGGGCGGAGCAGCTGGATGGCGTAGCATACAATGCGCTTAAGGCGACCGAATGCGCAATCAAAGAGGTCAATGGTGCACTCAGTGACCCGGCTCTGGGTCGCTACTATCTTGTGACTTGGAGCGATGGTCAGGTCACCTGGGAGAAGCCAGCAGCATTTGACGACTCGCTGGCCGTACTGGAGCGGTATGAGCTTACTAGAGAGCGGTTGTCTCGCAAAAAGCTGTGCAAACAGCTGCAGCTTATAGCCGTCGGTCAAGGCCCGCAGGCGGATCTGCAGCTAGCAGAGACGGCTGATGGTCATATGAAGTCCTGTGCAGATTCGGCCTTTGATGGCGAGTATTCCCTGCCTCAGAGCAGCATCAATTCTGGGGACGAGTCAGCCAGCAAGCCAAACAACGATGAGCAGCCCCTGGCAAACGTACTCGGTATTGGCGGTCTAAGCGATCTGCCGCTTGCCACAATAGCTGCAATGAGAGCTGCAGACATAAAGAGTGTAAAGGCTGCCAGGTCCGGCAGAGGATCAAAGGCGCCTATTGCTTCATCGCAGCCGATAGATGCCGATTCAGACAGCACTCTTTCGTCCGCCTCCCCTCCGACACTGCTGAGACGTGCCAAGGCCGAGAGCCGTGACAAAGGTAAGTACATCGGTTATGAACAAAGGGCATTGTGGTTGAGAAGCTAGTCTATGGCAACCTGACAATATCTCTTCTGTAGAACCAGCATTGGAGGCTAGTGAGCCTATGGAGGTAGAGGAGGTGATGACCTCGGGCACTATTAGCTCCAAGATCCCGCAAAAGGACCCCACCCTACTAGTGGGTATGCCGGATTGGTCTGGGGATATTTTGAGCAAGTCGAGTATTAGGAGCGGAAAGCAGATTAAGCACATGGTCGGCGTTTTGCGTAGATCGCCTAACAATGTGGATGCACGCAGGAGATATCTGGAGCATAACATACTCGATCTGGATAGCGATGGCCGATACCTGGCTTTGCACTTTGAGCAGGCGGCGGTAATCTTGGAACCACCAAATGACAAGACGGTTGTCGTCCAGGCCATCCCAGACCCTTGCTCAGATCGCCAAGAGTTCATGTACTGGCTGTATGCATATAAAAGGTACAGAGCCCGGTGTGCAATCGACATGCGTAGATGGTGCAGGTGGGTGAGTCGTCCAGGGGGCTGTCTAATGGATGCTGTGAGCACGATCAAGCCATCGTCATTTTCGGTGAGCGCTGGACTCTCCGATTTGGAGGTTGAGCGAGTCGAATGGCTCCTGACTGCGTGGAAGGCGTCCAAGCCAGTTGTGTTCAATACGATCAGAAGAATCCGCTTCATGAATGCTGTGGCAGCTTTCATTTCGGCAGCTACTGCTACACAGCCAGTTCGTGAGATGTGCAGTTCCGGTGCTTCCGCAGGCGCTTGTGGCATGGTTCCCTACCTGATTATCACCCCACATAGTGATATCTCTGCCTGGTCTGCTAGTTTTAGGGCAGTCGCACCTAACGTTGTTGTTGGCGAGCTGTACGGCAATGAGGGTACCGTGGAAATGCTACTTAAGCATCTGGTGTTCCGCGGATACGGAAAAGGGGAGCTGAGCCCAGCGCTTTCATGCCATGTTGTTATCGCAGACTTCGAGGCGATAAAGAACGACACTGTAGCCAGTCTGTTACGCTCAGCCAAGGTCTTTTGGCAGAGCATCATAACATACGACGCATTCCTGAAGGGCGAGTCGTTACGTGACTGCTGGGATCTAGTGGGTCGGCTCCGTTCGCGCCAGTACATGCTTATTGGATCTTCACAACCACCACAGAGCGTTTATGACTTGTTTTCGCTAGCGCATTTCCTTGAGCCAAATCGGTACTCTACTGAAGAGTCGCTTCGGGACCACTTTGACTTGACTGACGATCCGACAAGGGAGGATATTGTGAGGTGTGCAAAGATGTTTGCGCTCAAGCAGGTCGTAGAAAAGTTGAATACTAATATGGCAGCCTGCACTGCCATCTCGGGCAGCCGGCAGCGTCCAGATGGTCACCAACAGTCGACTCCACCACTACCACCAGTTCCCAGTTCGTGCAAGTCGACAGCAGCCGATTTTTGCGACGCGTTACGTAGCAGTACTTCAGCATCGACGTCTGCACAGCACGCTAGCGATCCGCAGAATCCAGCACACTCAAAGGACAGGCAGTGTGCCTTGCGAAAACCATCACCAGTGATCAACGCTCCACCAACCCCAGTGCCTGTTGCACACTCGAAATCTAAGCCGTCTGCTGCGTCTTCTTCAATCAGTGTGCACAACATGCGCTACTTCGACCTCGTTATTCCCGTAGGTATGACAGCATGGCAGCGTCAGCTGTATCAGGCAATCATCCGAAAGAGCATGGCGTCCATTCAGCTGGTAGGGCAGGTTATCATTATGATGCGGCAAAGCAGCCTAGATGATGGCCAGCGCAACAAGTGTTTGGCCGAGCTCAAGCGTCAACTGACTCCCAGTTGCAGCACAAACTCCGAACACGCAGCTGCCCATCCTAGCACCAATCAGTCGGAGGGCAAGCCGGGCGCTCATGCAGCCAGCGTACTCATGGATATTCTTGTCGAGGCCCTGAAGTCGACTAGCCACCCGCATCTTATCAGCAACACCGGAGTCTCGCCCAATTCAGATCCTGAGCATCGCAATATCCTGGTTGAGTCTTCAGCCAAACTCGGCCTGCTTGACCTGCTGTTGCCGGGCTTGCTTGAACAGAGGCGGCGCGTAGTGATATTTGTGCAGCACCTTCGGACGCTTGATATTATCGGCGAGTACCTGGCTAGTTCCCGTATCGACCATTTGCGAATCGACAGCAGCCTTCGGCAGAGCGCTAGCCAAGAGCGTGCTGATCTTTTCAACACAAAACATTCCCCTGCCACAGTTCTCATCTCGTCGACGATGCTCGAGTCATATGCACCAAATCCTATCACCGCTGATACCGTCGTCTTCTTTGACAGCAGTGTCGATGCTGGAGTAGACCGTGTGGCGCTGGGGCGTGTGATGGGTGCTGGCCAGTCCAAATTCGTATGGGTGCTTCGGCTGGTAGCAAGGGATACAGCTGACGAACATATGGTTTGCCATCAGCTGCGTGCAAAGAGCGGGTCTCCGGGCGATGACGGTTCCGAGTCAGATGTCGTCCGTCTGGGTGAAGCAATCGTATCTGCCCTAGGTACCAATGCAGCACAAGTGCTCAGCAGTTCCTATATCAATCAGACAAATGCCGACAGTGAGATGGTTAGCGCAGAGCGAGCGGAAAGGGTACTTGACTGCTGCATACAGGCATCAGGGTTGCATCATGGTGCTCAGTCTAGCTTGCTGCGGAGAAGTGCCAGCACGCAATCGGTGTCAATATGTGAGCTGCCAGATTCGTGGATTCTCTCAACCGATAATATGCCGGTGCATGTTGCTACTGGACGCCCGATCGAGTTCCATGCCATGAAGCCAAAACCAGATACTGGCGCAGGGGTGGAATCACCAGACCTACTGAAAAGCAAAGCGATCAAACGCAAGGCAAGTGAAGCAGTGGCCATCTCCAGCAGCGTTGATGCAGCTGTGTCTGGGACTGACAGACGGTCTAAACAGCTCAAGCTGGCACCTTCGACGACGACTGTCCAGGGGGATGATGGCCGCGATAGTGCGATGTCAAGTGGACAGGAGGTCGTCGTATGCCCGCAGATCCAGCTCCCTGTATCGGACCCAGATTTGCCTCTATCTCAGGAATTGGTTACTGTCCACCCAGAGGAGCTGCCTCTTATCATGGAGCTCTTTGCTGCCAGGCTGACCGAGCTTTACATTTTGCACACACGTTCTCAGAAGCGTGCACTTTCTGAAGACGAGAGCAGGGCTATCGAGCAACTGTTTGACGAGATGTTCGATAAGGACTTGCGCAAACCGATGGCAAACACTGTTGAAACCACGCCTGGCCTCTTCTTTCCAATTTTGACAAATCTCTCGATAGTGCCAGGCGAATACCCTATGCCCTCCCAGCCTCGGCTCAGCGACGAGTGTCCTGCGTGTCGTGGACGTCCACACGACGTCACATTCTGTCCGACAATTTGCGACCCAGCGTTCATCCAGGGGATGAGTAAGCTGCTATATACCCGCAACTACGATATCCACCCGTACTACGTGAGGCTGCAGCCTTGGTATTCGATGCAGTATACCTGGTACTACTTGAGCAGCGCGGAAGGAGCGGCTGTCAATGCTCGCAATGTCAGGCACCACCCTGAGTTCGCTGTCGATGCTCGCCCATTTGTTACCTTGGCCCGGCTCCAGTTGCACCTTCCTCTAACCCCTCAGAACGATACTATGGAGCTGTCGTCAGATCTTTGCTTGGAGAGGTATGCTGCTGTATGCCAGGAAATCACAGAGAATTGTGCGACGATCGTGGACGAACTAGCAACCAGCGATGTGGCTACACTGGTGCGCTCGTTGAACAAGCTCAAGGGCATGCGGACTCATTTGATCCAGCTGACCCGTGCCAACGCTACCAAACAGTTTGGCGATAGTTACGTGCCCAGTTGTGCCATAGCGGGCTCCAGTCGTCAGATTCTGGATTTGAAGGGACTGATGACATGTTGTGACTGTCTGTCAATCAAGATTCGGCGTACTGAGGCCCGCATTGCAATTATACAGGCACCATTGCGGGTTTCGGTTGCTCCAGCCAGTTTCTCAGAGGCAGCTATGGATGCTGCTTTGTCTCCAGTCGTGCGACCGATTGCCCCTGTCATCCCTCCTACTGCTTCTGCGCTGGTACCAGCAACAGTTCCAGCTTCACTGCTGAAAAAGGCAGTCCCTAGCTTCAATCCAGAAATGAGAGGGCGACTCTCCAAATGCTTCCAGCTGTGGGGTCTGCTCTTGGCAATCCGTAAGAAGGGTATGAGGCTGAGTTCCAAAGACTGCGCTATCATGGATGATCTCGCCAAGGCTGTGCGCAACTGTACTGGTGTTCTGAAAACCAGCATTCAAGGTACGCCTAGCTCCCGAACAACACTAAACGCCGTCTACAGCTTGTACCAGCACGCCGCCAAAACCAGCGCCTCCGACCCTGCCGGATTTCAGGAGGAGCTTATGAGATTGGTTCATTCGTTCTTTGAGCAATTGGGCACCCAGAAAGCACCGGCTAGCCACAGCGACGCCGCACCAGCGGAGAAGCCGTGGCCAGCTACAGACTCTGCGGTACTTGTGTCTCCAGAACCATATGCACCCAGATCGACAGCAGCACCTATCTCAATGCACGTGTCGGCCCCTGTTTTTGCAACAGTGCTCACTTCAGCTACTACATCTGCTTCGATACCGAGGTCTATTCCCGATGGCGTTGCCACTACTGTCAGCATGCAGCAGCCTATATCGACATCCTCATCGGCCATGGGTTTTGTTGCAGTCTGTACAGAATCGACGTCAGCCCCTGTGGCAAACTCAAAATCCGCGTCGGGTCCAGTTGCTATTTCCATCCCAGCCTCCTCTGCTTCAGATTCCTCCTTGGCATCAAGATTTGTTGCTATCACCCCGACGCCTGCACCAGCACAAAGTCCTGATGCTGCTATGCCTTCAGATCGTCCTGTCGCATTACCAACTGTCACAGCAGATCCTGGGATTGCTGTCTCGGAATCGGTGTCTATGTCTGTCCAAGTGGCTACACCTGTTCAGGGAGCTGTTGCTACTACGCCGGTGCAGTCATCGGTAGAATCGCCATACATAGCACCACATTCGCATGTCAGTTCGTCGGTATCTGCATCCGCTGTGTCACTAGCGATATCTGGTCCAATGCACATATCATGTCAGCCAGTGCTCCCGTGTGGTACTGTTGGTTCTAGCTCGCTCATTCCTAGCCCCAGCACACCTGCTGTTGCACAAATTGGCTGGTCATCAATGGCCATGGCGAGCTCATCTTCGAATCCTTCGGCGGACATAGCTCCGTGCACGACGTCCAATCCATCTGGTGTCTATATCCAGCAGCCAGTTGTAGCGACAGCGCAGGTACATCGAGCGCGAACACCCAGCGTGGATAATATGCATTATTCAAGAACATCCTCTGCTACTCCCTCATTTATGGATGCTGATACCCACGCATTGCTGACTCCTTTGCATGCATCGACACCACAGCAGCCTTCACTTGTCCACAGATCTTCGGTAGCCACGGTTCAGTCTGTTGTATGGCCGGCAACGAGCAAGCCCCAGTGTCCAGCCGCTTCGAGCCCGTTTTCTCTGGATGCTAGTCCGGCGTCTCCTGCATTCCTAGGCGCATTTACCTATGGCAGTAATAGCTACAGCCAGTATCAGGCTGGGTTGCAGATCGCTAGTCTGCAGCAGGCAGGAGAGCAGATTGTTGAGCAACAGCGACAGTGGCAGCTTGAGCAGCAGCAACAGCATGAGCAGCGTTTATGCCAACAGTTTGCTCAGCGTCATCTTGAGCGCCTTCATCCGCAGGCGAAACACCAGTTGCAGATACTCTCTTTTGAAGAACAAAAGAAGTACTGGCAAAAGACCATTGCACCCCATAGGCTCGAGATAGCCGCTGCTGCACAGAAAGCGGTGCAACAACAGATGGCCCAGGCAGCAGCACAGGCGACATTGGGAACGACTGGAAGCGTCTTGAATGTGGCAGCCCTAGCGACCGTGCAGCATCAGCAGCAGCTACAACAGAACCAGCTCTTGCTTCAACAGTACGCATTGTACCAGCAGCAGCAGCAGCAGCAACGGCAGTTGATAAACCCGGCGCATTCTTATTCACAAATCCAGCAGCAGGTCCAGGCAGATGTGTCGATACCGCTTACCACGTCCACAAATGTAGCAGTAGTTGCTGCAGCGCAATCCCCAGTCGGAGGTACACCAGCTGCTGGATCCCCGGCTGCCCCGGCTGCCTCATCCTTGCCATCAGGCGCAAGTGTATCGGCAGCCGCTGTGATTAGCGGTACACAGTACTGCTCACTATGCAACTCCGAGGCGCATCGGCCGGAAGAATGCGATAGGCGGTTGAATAGGGGCTTCCTGGAAGGCCGGAGACTGATGGTCAGATATGATAACCAGATTTCGGATGGACTACGCGACATGGCAATTGCTGTCATTGAAAAATATCTGCGAAAGCTTGGTTGGACTGACAACGGAGGTGACCACTAGTTAAATCGCATACTATGCTTATGTAAATCACAATATATATTCGTCACCATCTAACTCCGCAATGGTCGACATGAATTGCGACAATACATGCAATCTAGCTAATAGTTTCATCGGCATGGACAAGGGGTGCAAACACAAAGTCGACGAACGAGACATCCACATCGGTCGGAATCATGAACTGTAGCGTCAAGAACCCACGCTGGTTGACTTTGATCTTGGTCTTGTCCGACAGAGCCAGCGCTTGGCGGCATTTAAGGATTAGCGGCAGCTTGTAGCGATTCTCTTGCTCCTCACTGCAAAAGAACGCATCCAGGATCTGATTCTCTTGTGAATACGTCATCTCCGTGCTGCCGTTTTCTCCTACAGTGGCGATGCGGAAGTATGGTGCCGTGCTGGCGATCCCAATGGTCACCGACTCGCTGGTTGGATCAAGCTCATTGAAGGCATCCCGCAGCCATTCTGAGCGTATGGTAAGTTGCTGAATTACCGGGTGCCGAGAAAACTCAAGGTCTACCGGCTGTTCCGGCACGAATGTAGCCAGACGACATACAGAGATTGTGCCACGTTCCTCAAGCATCATTTCGAAATCATTGCCTTCGCCCTTGTACCCGATTTGAACCGTCGTAGCGCCGCGCAGATCTAAAGGGTTGTTTGCCGACAGGTTGGACACCATAGGGCCGGGCTGGTTACTGTGAGAGGTGCTGCCAGAAGGCCCGTAAAAGAGTGTCAGGCACTCTATAAGGTTGTCGAGGGGAAGTGAGACCTGGGTGATTTCGCTGGCAACATCATCGGTTTCCATCTCGTCGTTGTCATTGCCGTTGCTGTCGCCGGCAATAGCAGCATTGGCATTGTTGGGCGCTGCAGCAAAGTTATAGCTGAATGCTGCGAATAGGGTTGGACGCAAATATGCCTGGGCCACAACACATTGCGAGTCTTCGACAGAGAACATCATGCCGCTCTGGTTTATTGCGCAGAGCGTGCGCGGGCGAAAGCTAATTGTGCGCAGCAGGTTGACTAGCGGACGCACGTTGTTGAGCCGTGCCGTGAATAGAATAGGCTCATTGGGAGTATCGGCTTCGGCCATTGCTGGGGGTAGTGTGAGTACAGAAATATCTAGAGCGGAGGAGTAGAGAGATGTGTAGAGAGCTGGCAGGCAGTGGTGTCGGATATTGCCCGTTATTCAGAATGCGCAGTCCAAAATCTAATCATATGGGTGCAGTCGGTGATCAAGACCGCTGATCATGGTGGCTTTGCTGATAGTAAAAAAACCTCCAACTGCTTTTGACTGCTGGGTCGCGAATTTCTCTAACTCTGCAGCCCTCGAAATTCGATTCACTTTCTCAGTACCAAAAACAACAAAAATGTTCCGGAGCGTTCTCGCCGAAGTTAATTCCCACACGCAGTTCCAGTCGCTGTGCCAGCAGGTGCGCTTTGCGTCCAAGAAGACCGGTGGATCGTCGCGTAACGGCCGCGACTCGATCGGCCGGCGGCTGGGCGTAAAGAAGCAGCAGAACGAGTATGTTATCCCAGGCAACATCCTTGTGCGCCAGCGCGGCACCAAGTTCCACCCTGGCGAGAACGTCGGTATCGGAAAGGACCACACTCTGTTTGCGCTGCAGCCTGGGTATGTTAAGGTGTACACCGACTCGACGATCAAGGAGGGGAGGCGGTACATGGCGGTTGCACTGGACAAGGCTGATAACGCGTTCCCCCGCAGCCCGTATGAGAAGCGCGTGAGGGGCTTTTTCCTTGTGGACCGCAACAAGGTGTTCCGGGAGGAGCGCGAGATGTGGGAGCAGATGAAGCAGCAGCAAGCGAGCAGCCAGTAGATGTTTGTTTGAATGAATACAAGACTGGTGTTGAAAATGCCTGCATTTGGGAATATCGCGTGCAACAGGGGCACCGCTGTCTTTGCGACCAACCGTGAAGACCCATGAATGCATGCGTGCGAACAGACTTTGCTAAAAATATGCATTTTTGTCCTGCCCACAGCACAGCGCCAAGACATTTGGCCAAAAACCGCAATCAAAACGGAAGGCACAATACGACTGTATAACGTCACTCACAGCCTCGATTTTCGCCCCCATAGGCTTTGCAGCTGCGTACAACCAGCATGTGCTTGAAGCGAATAGCGCGGCAGTATATCGTCTGGACTAGGGGGGATGTGAGGAGGATTGGAGGAATGCTATAAAAAGACAGCTAGGGTCTTGGTGGTCGGATGGAGTATCAGACATCTGCAAACGAAGTGCGTGCCTTCACACTAATATACTTTTTCGCTACCTCACATCATCACCATCAGCATGCAAGGAAACTACGGACACCAGCAGCAGGGCGGCTACGGCGGACCTCCTCCTCCTGGAGGTTTCATGCAGGGCGGCCCCGGTGGACCTCCCCCTCGCCAGGGCGGACCATATGGCGGCCCTCCTCAAGGCGGCCCTCCTCAAGGCGGCCCGCAGGGTGGACCCCCGGGTGGCCGTGCTGGCACTGGCAACCGCGGGTTCCAGTGGGTGTCGTGCTCCAATGGACACATCCCACCGAACGCCGTCCAGGGTGGTATCGAGCGCGACGGCAAGCCGCTGTTTGTGGCCCGCGCTATGTACAAGGGCGGTCTGCACCCGGGCAAGGCTGGCCCACATATCCAGAAGGGCGGGTGCGCCATCGGCTGGGGCCACGACGAGATAAACGTCAGCGACTACCAGGTGTTGGTGGGCGACGCCAGCCAACTGCGGTGGGTTAAGCAGGAGGGTTCTCTAAGCATCCAGGGATTCGTGCCCGTGCAGGCCGGCCACGAGGAGACCGGCGAGCCGCTGTACGTTGCAAAGACATTGGTGGAGGGATCGCAGCAGCTGGGCAAGTGCGCCCCCCATATCAAGAAGGGCATGTCGTACCCGTATGGCCACAAGGAGCGCGACACCAAGGAGTACCAGGTCCTTGCGTATACGAACTAGGTAGTGCTTCTCTAGGGTTCTTTTTTGTCATTTTCCACACAACACCATTTATCTGCTATTGTCGAGTGGCAGGATGCTCAAGGCCAGACAAGGCATGCTCACACGCCCCCGAAATGGGAATTGTTTGTTTTACCAACTGCATAAAAGCTTCGTGTATCCAGTTTGTGAAACCCCTGTGTTGTGGCCATCGAAGGAGTGGTAGGATGGGTCCCTCCAAGCCAGAAGACGAGGCAAGTGGCAGAGCGTTGGCCGGAGACATAAACCAGGCTGAGCCGTGAAGAAGTGAGAGCCAAGGCCATGCTCAATAGATGGAAGGCAGCCAAGTAGCCTTGACTGAGTTTTGGGGCTGTGGCGATGGAATGCTACGAGCGGACGAGGGCTTGAAACCTGTATCAACAACTTCCGCGTATCAAGTGCACACTAGGTATGTAGCAAACTGTAGTATTTTTGCATGCACCCGCCTTGTGGCAAGTTAGAAAAATGTCGATATGGAATTGCCATAGTCTGGCAGTTTGTCATATGGACTCCACAATATGCGAAACGTGATCGCCGTAATCTCAACAGCCTTCAATATTTTTCTATGAAAGCCCTCGCCATTCCTTCTCTTTCGCTCAATACACCATGGAGTTTCTACTAGCGGCCAGGCGTAGTCCAATGCCAACCCGTGAAATGGTTGTGCCAGTATACCGTGGAATCCTCAAAGAGGCGCGCAAATTCTTCGACCTCCCTACACGCACCTTCATCAAAACTTTTGCCCAGGAGAAATTCCGCAGCAACTCGCGTGACAAACTCCCCATGCGTGCACACAAAAAGCTCCGGAAAGCCCGCTCGGCGCTGCGCCTGCTCGAACGCGCCAACACGCATCGGTATGCAGACGCTGTCAGTCTGCTGGAGTTCGGGTATGGTCGCAAAGGGCCGCTGCGGATCGATTTGATGCGTGCCATGGCGGGTGTGGGCAAGCGGGAGCAGGTGTTTGGAAGTCTCAGCAATGTCAAAAAGTATCGACCGGCATTTTATGCGATCGCGAGTGAGCAGCTTGGAGACAAGCTGGAGGTCAACGTCAATGTGCTGAAGTCAAGGAACAAGCTGAATGTTGCCAAAATGCAGGACAAGAGGTGGGAGGAAGTGAAGTGGAAGGTGGTACCCCCCGTCGACCGGGAGACGCTAGAGATGGTCGAGGAGTTTGCAAAGACCGGGGTTGTTGATAGTACAAAGGGGTTGTCGGCAAAGGAGAAGGAGGTGCTGAGACAGTGGGAGCAGCGGTGGGTCAAGGTGCCGCACAAGCGGCAGGTGCAGCGGTTTTACCGGGAGCTTCTGACCAGGATGCCGGCTATGGAGATCACAGAAACAGAGGTGCTGAATCCGACAAAGTACCGCAAGGATATCGTGCGCCGCAACGCCAGCGACACGACGCCCGACATGATTCCCAAGGCGGCATATTCGTTCATCAGGTCGCCGCTGGCGGGCAAAAAGAAGCCATCTCTGGCCAACCTAATCGATCTAGCAGGCCTCTAAAAGTGCAACAGGGAATATATGGAGAAACCAAAGAGAGAAATGTGATGGTACTTTAGTCGCGCATCTCGTAGACAGCAAGCTTGTCAAGCGCCCTTACGCCCATCTCGTCCCACTCCTGCTTTGTAACCCACGACGACTGGTTGTCCTTCATGACATCGGCTAGCACGGCGCCGCCAAGGAATACCATATGGCGGCGGTTTGGTGGGTCGTCGATCTGCAGCTTGAACTTGTCGAGTCGCGAGGCATCGCCGTGAAGCACATTCTGCAGGTACAGCTGCTTCGTCTCCTTCTCGAGCCGTGACGGCAGACCTGGGTACATGGACGAGCCGCCAGACAGCACAACGTGCTTGTAAAGGTCGGCACGCATATCGATGGGTGCAGCCTGTACAGTGTTCAGCAGAAGCTCAGCGACACCAGCCGACTCGACGTCGATGAGCTCGGGCTGGAACAGACACTCGGGAGCCTGGAAGCGCTCAGAGCCGACCTTGATCACGCGGCCGTCCGGCAGTGTGTAAGTCTCAACCATGGTCGTGGTCTCGGTGGCCAGCTTCTTGTCGAGATCCAGGTCGTAGCTGACGTAGCACACCTTTTCCTTGATCTGGCGCACGGTCTCGAAATCGGCTGTGCGGTTGAAGGCGTAGCCGCGCAGCTGCAGCAGCTTGATCAGGTAGCGGGTGACGTGACGACCGGCTACATCCAGGCGCTTCGTCAGATGCGGCAGAGAGTACCCTTGGTACACGGGGATGATATGGGTGACGCCGTCGCCCGAGTCAATGACCACGCCCGTGAGCAGGCCCTGGGCGTACAGCGTCAGTACAGCCTGGATCGCCACATACACTCCATCGAAGCCGTAGCGCTCAAACATCACCTCACACATCTTCTGTCGATTGGCCTTTGGGTTCAACGGCGCCTCGGTTAGCAGGACCTTGCACTGCGTCGGGTCGACCTTCAACTTCTCGAAGAACGTGTAGTCCCACACGTGCTGCATGTCCTCCCAGTTCTTGATGATACCGTTCTCCAGCGGGTACGACATGTCGAGGATGGCACGCAGGGCCGCGGCTTCGTCACCCACGTTGATATCCTTGACCGGGTACGGCATATCGGCGACTGACGAGGCTTCCTCGGCACGCAGCATGGGGCGGCCCACCACAGATGGGAACACATGCTCAGGGAAATTCGAGCCCGCATAACCGACCTTGGCAAACCCAGTGCCGTTATCTACGACAAGCACGTTTTTGCTGGACATTGTATAAAGTGGATTTAATGGATAGTTGCTGAATTGAGAGATGACGAAAGTGCAAAATGCAGACTGGTTTCAGGCACCGCATCACGGTTTGGCCGCCTCCCCTATTCCGCCAGTGGCTGATTACTGGATCTGGGCAGCCGAAAATTAAATTTGCTCCCGCATGACGCTTGAAGAGAATTGCCAAGGCCGCCCAGATAGAACTTCTAGCGACCAGAAATCCCCAGACTAAAAATAGATCTCGCAAATGTAAGCCTTACGTGCATGATTCCTGTGCGTCTACTGATTTCTACGGGTCTGATCCGCCGCAGCAGCGCACACCACTAAGAGAGCCAGCACCACTGGTGTGCTCTGTCAAGCCACGCTCAATGCAAGACAGGCGCTGCGTGTCAACCAACCCAACAGACCCGTTGGGCCAGGAAAAATTGAAAGCCGCCCTTCACATGACTAAGGAGCTTTGGTTGAAAGGAAAAACAGCTGCTGACAAAATTACGACAGCGTCAATCCTTGGCCACAGCTGCTACCAAATATAAGAGCGCGGCGACGGCTTTACATGAGTGGTGCACGCAAAACCTTTTTCTCCTCTCTAAACCCCTCTTTTTCCAATGTATCCTCCTAACGATTATTCCGGCGGCTATCCGCCGAGCGACTATTCTGGTGGCTACCCGCCCAGCGATTACTCTGGTGGCTACCCGCCCGACAGTTCCTCGCGCTCTCTCAACAACAGCAGTAGCGGCCCGCCTCCCCGCCCCACAAGAAAGTACTCGTCCACAAACAACCCATCGGTAGGTGCTGGCCCCATGTCGACACACATGCCCGGCTTCCCTGGCGGTGGTGCGCCATTCGGAGGCCCTGGTGGGTACCCACCACCTCCGCCTGATGATATCGGCGGGTTTGCAATCCCCGGCATGGGCGGTGGATATCCGCCAAACGGGCCCCAGGGCTATGGTGGGTACCCTCCAAGCAGCGGCGGATATCCCCCACAGGGCCCTCCGCCCGGCGGACCTGGATTTGGCGGCCCAGGCTTCGGCGGCCCTGGCGGGTACCCTCCACGCGGCCCTCCTTTTGGAGGTCCCGGCGGTGGATTCGGTTATCCTCCTGGCAATAGCGGGTACCCCCCGGCAAACGGTCCCCCTGGCGGTGGATTTGGCTATCCGCCCTCTGACAATTCTAGACCCCCGTATCCCCCGCGTAACAACAACCCACCACCAAACAACTCTGGTCCTCGCCCGAACCAAGGCAACAGCCGCCCACCGCCGTCGTCTCAGCCGCCTCGGCCCAACACCAGTGCTCCTGGAGACCAGCAGCGTCCGCCGCCAATCCAGGCACAGGCATCTGTCGGACCTGGTCCTAGCCAGTACCGCCCTCAGGGCCAGCAGCAAGGCCCACCGCAGCAACAGGGGTTGAACTGGCGGCCAGTGACCAAGCAGTAAGCATCCCAATCCCTACACCTGCATGCATCAAAAACAATCGTTATCTGCTCTACAGAAAATAAAATATTGAACATGTTTAGGAATCCTGACATCCCCCACAACGCCATCAACGCCGGTACCTACTACGACAGCCCTTTCTTTATTGGGCGCTCAAACTACAAGGGGAGCGTACAAGTCGGCATGGTCAGCAAGAAACAGGGCGGTCTTGTTATCGCCTATGACGGCAAGCCCGTCCTATTCCACGACTTTGAGGTTTTGTGTGGCCCTGTTTCAAGTGTAAAGTGGGTATCGGTCGATGGCCGGCTCGAGCTGGCCAAAATGAAGCACGGCAAGCCGTTTGCATGCGGAAATGAGAAGGACGGGACCCCGCTGTTTGCGGGACGCACCACACACAAGGACAACGAGTATGGCGGCAAAGTGTCGGAGAAGATGAAGGGCATGCTGTTCCCGCACAACGGCAAGGAGAAGCGAACAAAAGAGTACCTGGTTTTGTGCTCCCCCTAACTTATTTATTCCACATGTATGCGTATTCCTGTTGAATCTATTGTTTTACCTAATCATTCCTGTTGCGGTTCGGCTGTCAACATGCCAAGTCTGCAGCATGGTCGAGCGGTCACATTTACATCATTAGCGCAAGCACGGAGGGTTTTCTTGGAAATCAGGCCATTTGGCGAGTGGCAATAAGAGGCACTGGCATGTATTTTCCATCACGCAAAAATATGCGCTTCCAGCCCTGCCCCTGGCCCGCGCCAATCTCTCCTCCACTCCCCACTTTTTTAATAAAATATTTATGTACCCGACACAGACTCAAGCGGACATTCACATCCAGGCTGCGCGTGCCAAAGACTCCGAGGTGCATTCTCCTACGGAGCCGGCTCGCCCATTGTCACAGACCAGCTCGCACTCGCCGTCGAACAATGCAGCAAATAGCAGCGAGTTTATGCCAGGCGATCCGGGTGGGTTTGTTGTGCCCATGAGCGTGGCTTTGAATGCCCAGATGGGCGGACCGCAGTCTGTCGCCATGTCGTTTGCGTCCTTGCCGCCAATGGGCTACCCACCACAGCAGCCATACCCACCACAGCAACCCTACTCTCCACAACAACAGCATTACCCGCATCAACAACAGTGGAGCAACCAGGGCTCGTTTGGACTACCCATGGCCCCTGGCCCCGGTGGCTTTATGGTGCCTGGCAGTGCTCCACAGTTGAACTACGCGCAAAGCATAGTCTCCAGGCATTCTAGCATCTATAGCCACATGTCGCAAACACCAACTTCACCCAGCTACCCACCAGTGCAGCAACAGACACTGGATGATCCGCCGCCATACTCGCCGTCTATCGCCACATCCCGGCCTACCCGGCACAACAGCGTGTCATCGCAGTACTCGTACCAGCCACTGCAGAACATGAGCATAACCGACACTACGTATAACCCATTCACACAGAGCTCGAGCACGCTGTATGGAGGCAATTCACAGCAGCAGCAGCAGCAACAGAATGCACCCAATTGGGACAATGTGCAGTGGGCACCGTATAACCAAGGGTAGGCATCCAACATGCATATACTAACCGGCCAATCCATCTGCATGTGCTGCATACCCGCCGGCCCACTCTATTTTTTTGTTTTATACGTGTATGTGCGGCGGCGCGGAGTGAAAGGCAGTAGGTGGGGAGGGGGTTGGTCAACGCCCGCCATGCATTCGCCCACCATCTTTTTACTTGTTAATGCCATCGCCTTGCATATACGCTCATGTCACACCGTATAATTTTCACGTATCTTTTACTAATACAACCACGCTTCTAGGTTTATTCCCGAAGAGGCGCTTGTCGCTGGCACAAACAATGGCGAACTTGTGTATGTTGGGCGTGGAGTCAGCCGCGGAAAGACAGTGGTAGGGATGTCGACTAAAAAGCTAACCGGGATCCTGGTCAACCAGAACGGCGCGCCAGCCATGATCCGCCCGCACGAGACACTGTGTATGCCCGAAGACAAGGCAGTGTGGGTCCAGGTATCAGCGCCGTTCCGTGCCTCGGAACTGGGCAGGATCCCGGTAGTGGCCGCCCATGACAATGCCGGTGGTATGATGTATATCGCACGAAAACGCACAGGCGGGTTTGCCTATATTTCTGGCACTAAGGAAGGTGATGCCGAAGGAATCGCGTTTATCTGCTATGGCAAGCCCGAACGAGCTGTAGACTTTGAAATCCTGTGTATTTAGACAAAATATGCGTTTTACCTCACCCTCTTTTGCTCTAATAAAGGGCTGCATTTACACTTGTACTTCTACTCGCGAGCCCGCTTTGTGCCCGGCGCATGCTCCGGCACATCCACCAGCTTCTCGGTTTCCTCGATCTGCTTCATAATCTCCTCAAGCTCCAGCCTGACCTTCTTCAACTCCTCTCGCTTCTTCTCCAAAAGTATCAGCGGATTGTCGGGCTTTGGCAAAACAATCGCCCGCCACACCTCCGCCTTCACCTCGTACTGCTCCCGGTGCTTCTGCTGCCTCTTCACGACCTCGTCTCTCGTCAGCTTGCCCCCTGTGTTCACGATGCAGTTGTTCTTACGCTTGATGCCTGGACCCTGCTTTTTAGAGTTGAGCTCGCCGATCACGAACGCGTCCAGATGGAGGCCATTAAACTCTGCTGTGCTTTGCTGGCCTAACATGCGCTGCGTTTGCAAGTTCATCTGCGCAATCGTCTTTCCAGGCAGGCACTCGGATTCGATTATTTTCATCCAGTTGCCGACCCCAAACTTCATCAGCGCCTTGCGCAGAACCTGCACTTCTTCCTGCGTCCAGCCTGGAGAGAGGGTACAGTTCCAGAGCGAGGCAGAATCGTTGGAGCGCACGACGTTGCGCTGTCCCGTCGGCATACTGCGGGGTGCATAGGGTGTTGCGCTGCTCATGGCTCAGATAAACGCTGTGGGTGTAAATGCAACAGAAAATAAGGGGTGTGAAAAACGTGGCAGGGAACAAGAGCGTGTTGTTTTCATGAATGCGTGCTCAGTCTCGCTCAGCCAATTAGTAAGTAAACGTGTCCCCGTTGATTTTGGGCAACAAGTCAACAGGTGCTCCAGGTGAAATTGCCGTGTTCCTGCTATTGCTACAAACATTAAAACACATTAAGCAGAGGCACCAATTGACTTCAGGTAGTCGACATGGTAGCTGTTGGAGTCAGCCTCTGGGCGGTTGATCGGCGTCCACTTTGGGTCCTCCTTGAACAGCCGCATAGCCTTGATGTAGTTGGTCGTATCCAGTGTGAACCGATGGTAGATTCCCGCTGGCACAATCAGCAGGTCGCCAGCCTCGACCAGGATACGCACCCACTTGTCGTCCTGGTTGCGCACATCGAAGAATCCAGCACCCTCCTTGACATAGCGAATCTCCTCATCCTCGTGAATGTGCTCGGTAAAGAAGATCTTGATCTTCTCCTCGTAGCCGGGCAGCAGGTCAGGCGAAACAGTAATCTAGCTGAGAGTTGCTTAGTGGTTGATGCTTCTACTATGAGAGCTGATTTTTACCATATGCCTACCTCGTCACGGTTCTTGTACGAGCGCTCCTTGCACAGAGCCTCAATGGCCTCCATGTTCTCGTCAGGAGTGCCTGACAGCCGGCGGTACAGCACACCGATGCGTTTCAGGTCCTCCAGCGAGACCTCGATGCCAGAGTCGTGCAGCTCGCGCTGGTCCAGGTCAGTATTGTCGTAAAAGTAAGAGCGCATGGTATTTAGAGCATAAAAAAGCAGTTTGAATAGAGATGCAAAGATAAAGAGCGGTAGATGCAATCACAGCGGCAAGTCACGAAGCAAGCACGCCATCGATGGCCATTGATTTATTAACAGATCGCAAAAAGCGGGTTTAGTTGCCCTCGCGCTTGGTCGACGGCTCTAGACTCTTGGTGCTGTTCAGGTACAAGGTGACGTTGCGCTGGTAGTGGTTCCAGATATTCGAGAATGCGACCAGGTCGCTGTTCATCTCGTTTATCTCCTCAACCTTTTCGTTCAGCTCAACCAGTGTCTCATTCAATTTGACAACATTGTTCGTAATGCGCGCCAGAATTTGTGTTTGTTGTTCGTCATATGGGTTCCGCATTTGCCGTGAACAGAAAAATAACGCGTCAATTAAAAGAGTGTGCTGAAGTGTAAACGAGAAGGGCGAGCAGCTTGAATGTTTACTCTAAAGCAGCCTTGGTCTAATAATGATTTTGATGCGCTAATCACAAGTGTGGGCGGTACACAAATTACTAGTGACTAGGAGTCTCAGACTAGATAGACTAATATAGGAAGGCAGTGCCTCTCGCTACGCCTTTTGAGCAGACATTTCCAGATCGTTGGTGTTGTATTGTGTCGTCTATTTACATGGAATCGAAGCTGTGTTCCAAAATGGCCCCTTGAGTGTGAGCCAGAAGAAAGCGCTACTGCTAAGGGTAGCCTACAGCCGCCTCGTCATGGTCAAGCCTCACCTCATTGTTATCCTTCCCTTTTGCTTGAAGCTTTGCAACCCAGGAATATCATCTTCTGGTGCTTGCCTTAAATGGCTCTGGCCATATACAAGGTGCGTGCCCTGTCTTGCGCGCCTTCGGCAAGACCCAGGCACCCCGACACTGTATATCCAGACCTTGAGGGAGCTGCAACCCAGGGATATCATCTTCTGGTGCTTGCTTTTCGACAGCTCTGGCCATATACGGGTGCGTTCCCTGTCTTGCGCACCTTTCGGCTAGACAAGGGACCCCCTGCAGTGTATATCCAGACGTCGGTGTGAGGGAGATGTAGCACTTGCCGCTGACGAAGCTGCCTTGGCATCGCCTTGCCAGCGAGCAGGAGTAGGGTGAAGACGAGTGTGGACAGTGTAGCATGTCGGGTATGTCGCTTGCCGGATGTGCGCGCAGGTGTGCGGCAGACCTGGAGTGCTTGTGAATGCCGGCCGGCCATCTTGACGAGGGGTTGTATGAGAAGCGAGTGTCAAGAGAAAGGCATGAGGAGATGGGAGATTTTGTTGTTGTGTTGATGTGTTGGCCATTGAAGTCCAGCGCTCCCAGCGGCTTCTTTTATACCTGGCGAGAGCCCTGGTTTGCAGCACCAGACCTCCAGGATTAGGGAAGAGCAGCCACTGTGCCCTTCATGCTGGTGGTGCCTGCGATTTTGTGGTTTTTCCGAGCCGAAATCAGGAGCTGCAGACTTCACACAATGCCAGGTATTTCCTAACCAGGCAAACTATATATGCAAGAGCATACCGCGTGGGTGGGATCTGCCATTGTGGAGGGAACCAGCCCCTCACCCTCTGACACGGCACACTTCGGCTCACGTCGGTTATTTACATTGGTGATGCAATGGTGATGCAATGTGGTGACAGTGTCGCTGCCAGATGCTCAGCCACTATATGTGCGCATGCTTGATCCCCAGATTCGCCACCGGCCAGCAGTCTCTGCCAGCAGTCTCTGCCAGCTCCGGCTGTCTACGTATCGACACAAAGACTACTTGGTACGTGATAATGCCAGAATTTATGATTCTCTGAGTTTCTACAATTTTTCCTTCCTCATCGGATCCATGTGTAATCACAGCCATGACTCCGATCCTCCTTTGGGATCTCCCTCTTCCCCACTCGATTTCTTTCTTATAGCTACTTTCTCTTATTCGTAGTTCTTTCTTTTTTTCTGGCTGCTTACAGCCCATTCCTTATACAATACAATAATTGTCTGGCTGACTCAGCCCAAACCACTCGCTGAAACTCGTGACCTTCCAACAGATAACAATGAATAATGGTGATGGTAGAGCACATGCATCATTGCCTTGTTTCTTTATATAGTTTACTCGGTAAATTGTTCTTCAAAATTGAACTCTAATGCCTACACTGCTTGTATGCTGAAAGCTCAAATTATCGTGTTGTGATGCTAGTTAAACATCAGGGTATAGTGCTTGAGCAGAGCAGGACTACTAGTCACAGTTTTGCGGCTGCTGCCTCCCGCTGACTGAAGGTCCTGTTGCAACGGTGAGCTCATAGCCGACAGCGTGTTTGTAAGTGCTGGCGTGCGGATAAGAGATGCTGGAAAGCTGATCCCAGCCGGTCCCATCACCGAGCAGCGCTCTGGACCGAGCTACATCTGTCCCAGGCTAAAGTAGAGTGTCTCTGTCACTTCCTGTGCAGAAACCGCTGTCGGAAAAGCAAACCGAGTAAGTATACCCCTTAATATTACTGTTCTCGCACTGATAGCTTCCATGTCAATAGCATGAAATGCGATGAAGGCTAAAGGAGAAGTGGTAGTGTCTATGTGTCCCGGGCAAGTTGCCCAGTACCATTTACGCTCGAATCAACTTTTACACCAGCTATCCACGATGTGGTACAAAGTTTGCTTTTCTGTATTGGAGTACACCGCGTCTTTGGTTATCCGTGCTAGAGTATTATGACTCATCCTGCAGGTCCATGCGACCAGTATAGTCTTGTGGATCCTCAAGTGCAGATTGCCACGCGTTCACATACAAGCTATTCCTACAACGAACTGCAGTGGCCGCAGTGGCCGCAGCAGCTACAATAGGAGTGATACCAGTAGAAGCTTTCATGGATAACTCTTCCCACAAGTTCTATTTGTACATTTATAAATTGCTAGTGATAGTCAGAAACTTTGGCAATATTCGCAACCAGTATTTTCATTTTTGCCATGACCGTAGACAACGACTTCGCTAGCACCAGGCCCATTCCGACCGGACACACCAGCTCAAGAAATAGTATCCCGGACAGGAGAATTCGTGCAATGGCTGTCATGGCACCAGATGAGCTCAAGCACGTTGGGAACGAGTTGCTGGCATGCATGAGGCTGCGCCAAAAGTATATCGATTTGAGCCTTCAGAGTATGCATGAGTATCTGAAGAACATGGAACAAGCCAGCGAGCAGAGCAACGGTGTGCTAGAGGACGAATGCGTGTTTGAGATGGTCGAATCGGGCGTATTCTCCGTGTTTGAAAACCAAAAGGCCAAAGACGATGGCCAGGAGCCGTTCACTAAGGTGCCGTCTATCAAGGAGTACTACATGGATCTGGATTATGTGCTTGACACGATCTCAGACGGCCCCATCAAGACTTGGGCCTTCCACCGCTTGCAGTATCTGGATGCGCGCTGGCGTCTGTACATGCTACTTAACGAGCGCGAGGAGACCATGCAGTCCAAGATGGTGCCCCACCGTGACCTGTACAACGTATGCAAGGTTGACGGGCATATTCACCTCGCCAGCGCAATCACTCAGGCAAACCTGGCCAGGTTCATGAAAACGAAGCTCATGACCGAACCGGACCGCCCCGTCATTGTGCGTGACGGTCAGACGCTGACACTGAAGCAGGTTTTCGAGTCGCTCAACCTGACTGCGGACGACCTGTCGATCGACACCCTGGACATGCACGCGCACAAAGGCGCATTCCACCGCTTCGACAAGTTCAACTCTTCGTTCAACCCTGTGGGCCAACCTCAACTACGCGAAATCTTCATGAAGACCGACAACTTTATCGACGGCGAGTATTTTGCGCAGATCACCAAGGAGGTCATGTCCGATCTTGAGCAGAGCAGGTACCAGATGGCCGAGTACCGCGTCTCAATCTATGGCCGCTCTATCGACGAGTGGGACAAGCTGGCAGCATGGGTCGTCGACCACAAGCTGTTCTCAAACAACGTGCGCTGGCTGATCCAGACGCCGCGCCTGTACAATATCTACAAGGCCAGTGGCCAGGTTGAGAACTTTGAGCAGGTGCTCCGCAACATCTTCCAGCCCCTGTTCGAGGTCACCAAGGACCCGAGTTCGCACCCCAAGCTACACATCTTTTTGCGGCGTGTTGTTGGATTCGACACCGTCGACGACGAGTCCAAGCCCGAGCGTCGCATGCACAAAAAGTACCCGCTGCCGTGTGTCTGGGACTCGGAGTCCAACCCGCCCTACACGTACTACTGCTACTTCACCATGGCCAACCTGTGCTCGCTGAACCAGTGGCGAATGCGCCGCGGCTTCAACACCTTCGTGTTCCGCCCGCACGCCGGCGAGGCCGGTGACACCGAGCACTTGTCGGCTGCGTTCCTCACTGCCCAGGCAATCAACCACGGCATCCTGCTGCGCAAGGTCCCTGCACTGCTGTACCTGTACTACATGGAGCAGATCGGCCTGGCCATGTCGCCGCTGTGTAACAACGCGCTGTTTCTTGAGTATGAGCGCAACCCATTCGACGCGTATTTCCGGTGCGGGCTCAATGTGGCTCTGTCGACTGATGCACCACTCCAGTTTCATTTCACCAAGGAGCCACTGGTGGAGGAGTACTCATTCGCAGCGCAGTTCTGGAAGTTCTCGAGCATCGATATGTGCGAGATGGCCATGAACTCGGTCATCCAGAGCGGGTTTGAGGCTGAGGTCAAGCGCCACTGGATTGGCAGTGACTATCCGGAAACCTCACAACCAGATACCAACAGGACCAATGTCCCACTACGCCGTTTGCAGTATCGCGCTACAACGCTCGAGCAGGAGCAGGAGGTGGTAAAGAAGATGGCGAATGAGGGGTCTGACACTCTCCACCCGGACCACGTCGTATTTTGCTGAGCTAGCGTGATATTTTATACCCAGTTTACCCGATTAGATGAGATTTCCAACATCTACCATACCCACCAAAAACAGAATTTTGCATATAATATACACATCGGTTATTCTTATCGTAAAAATGGTTGTTGTTCTACAAGTATCCTGTTTCCAATTTAAACTGCACGATGCTGCTGGGAGTAGGTGTTGACTTGCTGAATGTTAAACGTATAGAGACGCTGGTGCGACGCGGCAGTAAATACACTGAGCGCTTCGCAAAGTTTATTCTTAGTCCAGAAGAGATGGGCCCATTCTACAAGCTCTCGCAGCACAAGCACTCTGAGGAAATGGTGGTCAAATACCTGTCTACCCGGTGGTGTCTGAAAGAAGCGATATACAAGGCCGCATATCCACACCAGAAACTAAAGTGGGGCGATGTTAGCGTATATAAGGAGGCAGGCAAGCCAGCAGCCAAAGTACGCTGGGTTCCAGAGCTGACTGGTGCCAAAGTGCATGTGTCGATATCTCACGATAGCGACTTGCTAATAGGATATGTTGTTGTAGAGAAATAAAATGATGGTAGACAAAATTTTTCTTCAAAGGTTCTAGTCGTACTTGACATGCTTAGCCTTGGGTGCCCGCAGCTTCTCGTAGCCAGGGAAGTCGTAGTCGATACCGGCAGCAGCCAAGCGAGCGCGCTTCTTCCGCTCGCCAGCAACCAAGCGGTTGATGGTCTTCTCGTTGTCCTGTACAGTGCGTGGGCGGTTATGCGCAGCCATCTGTCTCCGCGTGGCGGCGTTTGGCAAAATGGACTTGAACCGGTTAGCAAACAGGCGCTCGTGGACCTTATCCTCCGGTACGACGCGGCACTGCAGCAGACGGTCGAACATCAGGTAGTTATGCATGGTCTGGGCAACGATCTCGGCGACATCCGAGAACTCAAACTCGATGAAGCCGTAGTGACGCGAGCGGCCGGTGCGGCGGTTACGCGACAGGCGCAGACGCCGGATACGGCCAAACTGCTTGAAGTAGTTGAGCAGCTCCTCTTCGTAGAACCCATGCGGCAGACGGCCAACGTACACGACACCGGGCTTCGATTTGGCGGCCTTGACCTTCTTATTCAGCTTCTTGCGAGCCGCTGCATCAAGGGGGATAATCGCATCGCCAGCTGCAAACTCATTGGCAGTGTCTTCCTCACCCTCAGACTCGCTAAACTCGTTATCGCTGTCATTAAGACCGGCCAGAAGGGCCGCCTCGTCGACATCGCTGGCCGAGTCATCAGAATCGGCTGCCTCAAAGTCGGCGTTGTCCTCGGACTCGTCCTGATCATTCTCCACCGCCTCTTCATCGGAGCTGTTGGGCTGCTCCTCAATCTCGCTAGAGTCGGACTCGCCATTGTCGGAGTCAGTAACGTCATCCTCAAATACGGTCTCCTCAATATCGGAATCGAGCTCAGAGTCGATATCAGATTCCTGCTTCGGGGCAGGCACCGGAGTCTTCTTATTCTTGCGGATCGGGGCAGCCTTCGGGGCAGCCTTCGGAGCAGCCTTTACTGCAGCCTTCTTGCTATTAGCCTTGCGTCCCGGAGCCATAGTTCCAACTGCTTATATATGTGTATGTGAAAGGGAGAGAAATAGGTTGCAAAAGTAAAAACGAGCGGTAAGAGAGCGCTGTCTGCTGGCAAACAACGAAAAAAAAAGGACCAGTGGGCCTTGTGAGCAGCTTTTTTTTGGGTAAATTTTTTGATACATGCGATCGGGTGATCTGTTACTGATTACCGCAGCATTGCCTGATTAAGGCTCAAAGCCTGAGCAGGTAAACATGGAAGCAACTGCAGCCTTTGTGGAAACTGCACTTTGGGGGTGTCGTTGAACTGCAAAAAGGCATGAGACCCTTTTTTGTTTGCTCTAGCCTACTTTTGCTCTGCTGCGACTACTATTCCTTCACTGACACCTATACCGACCCTTAGAAACAGCCACCGACAGACCCCCAGACAGGCACGTACCGTATACGCTGGAATGTGCTGAGGCAGTACTATAGCGGTGTGAAGAGAGCTGCAACATCTCAGTACCTTTCCCCTCTATTAATATCGCACTGTATGGTTGAACTGGTAGGCAACCGCAATTCCACTCGTACAGACTAATGTCGCAATTCGGTTACGGGGAGCGTGACAATGGACACAAAGATAGTCGACCGACACGGACGCTGTACCCAGAACTCATGCCCCAAAAGCGCCTTGCTGCGTCAAAGCTATTCGACTTGTCCAGCGACAACTACGACGATTTCGAGAATTTAAGCGACCTGGAGAATGGTGGGCCTGGACGTACACTCCGACATGCACCCGAGCATCAATCGACCAGCCCCACTACTTTGCAAACCAACAGCAACAACAGCAGCTATATACCGCCGATGTCGCCAAGGCTGGGAGGGTATCGGCGCCTCGGGCGCAACATGTCGATAGACGAGTCTGATTTTCAGGGACCAAACACAATTGCTACGAGTATGTTGGACAGGGGCGAGGGCAATAGCAGCGGTGCGCCCGAGCAGCCACAGGGCAGCACCGAACCCGCAGCCTACATGCCACAGAGGAGTAATCCCCCACCGATGCGGCGTGCTGGACTTGCACGATACACTACACCAGCTGCATCACGCGGCAGCTCAGTGAGCACGCAGCGCTCGCAGGAGGGCTCAAGCGATCAGGAGGTAGGCGATCCAAAGCCTGTTATTCATGCAGCCGGATTGCGCGGATTGCCTCTAGAGGAGACACCAACCTATAGGCCGCCATTACCGCAGCTCGGCCAAGGTTCAATAGTTACGAATCGTTGGAAGCACCGCAGACGACTAGGGCTGGGCAAACCCAAGCGGCGCGATGCGGGACAGTCATCGGACGACAATGCGGATGTGTCGGTGGGCAGTCCACCAGCATCGCTTGACTTCATGGCACAGTCACCTCCACGGTCGCCCTTGCCAATTTTTGGGACAGACGGCAGTGAAAACAATGGGCCTCGTCATCTCCTTATGGCTATTGACGGCGTCGAGAATACGTACACCACCCCTGCGCGTTCCCGGCACCCTAGCAAAAGCGCCAGCATATCAGCTACTAGCCAAGACGCACCGCAGCGCACCAGTGCTGCCACCAATGGCTCGTTTGATATCAGTGACGTATCGATGCATAGCACTCCGCGTGGTAACGGTAGCCGTGCGCAATCGCCTGTGACTGACGAGCTGGGTCGGATGCAGAGAGGCTCGCAGTCGGGATCGCAGTCAGGATCACGCGTATCATTTAACGATGCTGAGCTTCAGCGTTCAGCGACTTCGTCTTCACAAGGTGAGTCGACAAGGCGGCGAGCACGGTCGCCTAGTGCTACGCAGCGTACGCGGTCAATGGTGGTCACATCCAGACCCGACAGTATTCCTGCTGAAAACATGAGACCACAGCGAACAGACTACCCCAATGTATCACCAAGGCAGTTCCAGCATCAATCACCGAACTACCTACTGCAAAAACAACAACAACAGCAGCAGCAGCAACAGCAGCAGGGCAGGACACAGGGACGAGCAAACTCTACGTCTTCAACCCACACTCCATACGGGCCGCAGAAGCGGGAAATCGGATACGATAGTCTTGAGAACGGCCCTGGACCCAGCCAGTCGCAGCACCTCGACAAAGTTTACAAAGACACATCACCGCACCACCCCTCGCCACGCGACCGTCAGCGCGCTTTCAGCAATTCCATGCGCAGCAGTAACAGCAGTGGCGAGGTTATTGTTCCATCGGACACACAACAAGCAGAAGATTCGCGTAAGCTGGCGAGACGCGCTCAGTCGCAAGGTCCCGGGTATGTGTCGCCCAGATCATCAGCACGCCGTGGGTTGCTGGAGACAAACTTCAACGTGTTCATGCAGCAAGGCCCTGACGATAGTAAGGCTGCACTAGAGAGTACAAGGATGGGAGTTCAATCAAACCGCAGACCAGCAGAGCAGTACGTTTCGCCTGGAGCCCCACCAATGCAGTCTCAAAAGTCTACAGTGTCACCAATGGACCGGCAGTTTCCTACTTCAGTGCAACCGCCATCAGAGCTGCGGCAATCGCCGAACCAGAATCATCAGCAACCCCAGCAGTCGCAGTCGCAGTCGCAGCCATGGCCACAAGCGCATGAAATGCCGCCACCAGCTGTTCCCCAGGCTCAGTCGCTGTCACAGCCGCAGCCGCAGTCGCAGTCGCAGCCGCAGTCGCAGTCGCAGCCTCACTTGCAGCAACAGCCGCCTAGGGTAGGCGTGGATTCTAAACGGGCGCTGTCGGTCAACGGGCATACTTACCAAAAGATAAGCATCACGGGCCGAGGCGGCAGCTCCAAGGTGTACAAGGCAATGTCGCTGAAGCACGAGATATTCGCCATCAAGCGGGTATCCTTTTCACGTGCGGACCCGCAGGCAATCGAGGGATATCTCAACGAAATCATATTGCTGCGAAAGTTTCGGGGCAATCCACACATCATCCAGCTGTTCGATGCTGAGATCAACAAGGAGCGTGGATTACTGCATATGGTGATGGAATTTGGCGAGACCGACTTGGCGAATGTGCTGAAGCGCCATGGATCCAAACCTCTCGGGATGAACATGATCCGCCTCTACTGGGAGCAGATGCTACGTGCTGCGCAGACAATACACGAGGAACGTGTCGTGCATGCCGACCTCAAGCCAGCAAACTACCTGTTGGTCAAAGGATCGCTGAAGCTGATCGACTTTGGAATTGCAAAAGCAATTGGCAACGACACCACTAACATCCATCGCGAGAACCAAATTGGAACCGTCAACTACATGTCGCCCGAGGCAATCAAGGAGACGAACATGGAAGGCGGTGCACGGGTGATGAAGCTGGGTCGGGCCAGTGATATCTGGTCGTTGGGCATCATCTTGTACCAAATGTGCTACGGCCGTACACCGTTTGCGCAGCTGGCACTGTTCAAGAAGCTAGCATCTATCCCTGACCCGACCTTCAAGATTCCATTCCCTCGCTATATGGCCGGCTGCCTTCAGGTTGGCACTGAGAACGACCCAAACAGCAATCTGGAACCGGTTATGCTTGATGGTTCGCCCAAGGTTGAAGTACCGCCCGAGCTGCTGCATGTCATGCAGGCTTGTCTACAGAGGGATCCTGTCCGGCGAATGACCATACCGCAGCTGCTGCAAGACCCGTTGCTGTGCCCTGTCTCTTTCGAAAATGCATTGCTACCGCACATGTCGCAGATGCTATCGCTACTTAAGCGCAACCCGCGTGTTCTAGAACAGTGGGACGTGTCCAAGACGCAGAACAATAGCATCTTGGAAACATTGGTCCGCGTCCTGCACCAGCAGCAGCAAGAAGCAGAAGCAGAAGCAGAAGCAGATACCGTAAATTATCTATCGCATTAAGTATTTTTCTTTAGTCATCGTTCATCCAAATACATGTAATTTTTCTTGCAACTTCTAACGTTATGTTCCGCTTGTTAACCTTGGGGATGGAACGAGTGCTTACGAGCGTGCATGTGAGCAAAATAAAGGGTAAATTAAGATTGGCTGAGAGAAGAAGGGGAGGGTCTGGTCGGGCTGAGGTCTGATTTTATGTGGTTTGGTTGTTGACATGGTGACATGGGAGTGGATCAGCACTCCAATGTAATTACAATTTTATATGTAGTATATGGTCTCTGCATCACATTTCATACTTTTGGAATATGGCATTAGTTTATGTGTCGATACGTAGACAACCGGAGCTGGCGGAGACTGCTGGCCGGTGGCGAATCTGGGGATCAAGCATGCGCACATATAGTGGCTGAGCATCTGGCAGCGACACTGTCACCACATTGCATCACCATTGCATCACCAATGTAAATAACCGACGTGAGCCGAAGTGTGCCGTGTCAGAGAGTGAGGGGCTGGTTCCCTCCACAATGGCAGATCCCACCCACGCGGTATGCTCTTGCATATATAGTTTGCCTGGTTAGGAAATACCTGGCATTGTGTGAAGTCTGCAGCTCCTGATTTCGGCTCGGAAAAACCACAAAATCGCAGGCACCACCAGCATGAAGGGCACAGTGGCTGCTCTTCCCTAATCCTGGAGGTCTGGTGCTGCAAACCAGGGCTCTCGCCGGGTATAAAAGAAGCCGCTGGGAGCGCTGGACTTCAATGGCCAACACATCAACACAACAACAAAATCTCCCATCTCCTCATGCCTTTCTCTTGACACTCGCTTCTCATACAACCCCTCGTTAAGATGGCCGGCCGGCATTCACAAGCACTCCAGGTCTGCCGCACACCTGCGCGCACATCCGGCAAGCGACATACCCGACATGCTACACTGTCCACACTCGTCTTCACCCTACTCCTGCTCGCTGGCAAGGCGATGCCAAGGCAGCTTCGTCAACGGCAAGTGCTACATCTCCCTCACACCGACGTCTGGGTATACACTGCAGGGGGTCCCTTGTCTAGCCGAAAGGTGCGCAAGACAGGGAACGCACCCGTATATGGCCAGAGCTGTCGAAAAGCAAGCACCAGAAGATGATATCCCTGGGTTGCAGCTCCCTCAAGGTCTGGATATACAGTGTCGGGGTGCCTGGGTCTTGCCAAAGGCGCGCAAGACAGGGCACGCACCTTGTATATGGCCAGAGCCATTTAAGGCAAGCACCAGAAGATGATATTCCTGGGTTGCAAAGCTTCAAGCAAAAGGGAAGGATAACAATGAGGTGAGGCTTGACCATGACGAGGCGGCTGTAGGCTACCCTTAGCAGTAGCGCTTTCTTCTGGCTCACACTCAAGGGGCCATTTTGGAACACAGCTTCGATTCCATGTAAATAGACGACACAATACAACACCAACGATCTGGAAATGTCTGCTCAAAAGGCGTAGCGAGAGGCACCGCCTTCCTATATTAGTCTACCTAGTCTGAGGTTCCTAGTCGCTAAAAGAGACATGTAGTTTTGAAAGCATGGGAACACACTGGAATTTCTCATTGCTGTTGCAAAGTGGCTACAAACTATATAGAAAAACTATTTGATAAACGTTCTTGCTAACTTGCCAAGGTTTTCCGCTGCCTCGACCTCTTCCAGAGTGGCTCCAAAAGCTATTGCACCCCTTTTGTGCGCAACGCCAAGCACTAGAATCTCTAGCGCAACAGCAGATGCGTAAACGCACAGCTCAGTTTCTTTCAGCGGCAGTATAGCTTCATTACTAAGGAAGCGGCCATAAACATCGGTCTGTACTACGCACCTGAGCTCTGGGCATATTTCTATGGCCTTTGCCAATACGATCGAGTTCTTGTCCCCGCCTAGGGTGTTAAGAAATGACTTGCCACGCTCAGTAATGGCGTTGTAGTCGTTGTCGTTGTCAGGGCGAAAGCGATCTTTGCTGAGCCTGGATTTTATAGTATCGTTAACAGAGTCGTGGATGATGCTAGCAGCACTGACAATCTTGGGCGCCCCTATAGCCGGAGTTAGTTTTACAAGGGCTCGGAGTGAGTAATCAACAAACTTGACCATATCATCTGGAGTGAGCGTTTGTTCGCAGTGCTTGATTAGTGCAGAAAGTCCATCCGCACAGTCTAACGAGGCAAGTGTAGTCAGCGCTATTGTATATCTCAGGGTTGTGTTCAGCACAGAGCCGACCATATTGATTTGGAGGAAGTCAAGCGCATCACCCGGGGCCATTGTATATGCTATTGGGTATTTAAATTGATAGATGTTGAGTTGATATGGTGGGCACAAAAGGATGCTACCTCTACTATATACCGCTATATCATTTGAAAGCACCTGGTTTGCTATACTATACTAATCGTTTTGTACCGCCATTTTACCTGCCAGTATTCGACAAATTACGTGGGTTTGTATGTATACAGCCACTAATACTCGGAGTAACGATTTGTAAACCTGAAACATAGAGCACACACTATAGATCAATCGACTTGTATTAACAAACGTACATTTACTAATGTGTGTGACCTATATATGCCATTGTTTCAGGTTTAGCATGGCCGTGATAGTATGCTGTTCAGCTATACCCAGTACACCTTTGAATGCAATGCTGTATACAATACTGAACGTGCAGCGACAACCCGTAGACAAGTATAGCAGCTCACTATAGGACTGCACTGACGACCTTTGCTATCAGACGGCTGCTGATGGAAGCACGTGTGTTTGTCAACTGCAGCAACGCACCAGTGAACGCAGCATCTCTCAATAGTAGCTTGCAGCACAGCTGGCCCGCCTCTGTACACTCAGCCTCTGAATGACAGCGTTCAGGCAAAGCTTTGTATACGCAGTGCATGATAATTTCCCTAATTGATCAGCGATCATCTTATCTTCGCACCTTCAGCAGGGGCTGCTGGGTAAGGAAGAAATTCGAAATGTGTTGCATTTCAGCTGAACACTTTGTTTTTATTTCAATTTTCGACACAGGTTTCAACTTTTCAAAATGACGGCCCGCGCGTTCTCAAAGAGTCTGAAGGAGCTCCGTGTGCACTTTTCGCAGGGGTCGCCGGCCAGCCGAGGACTTCGGTAAGAGGATGGATTGGGGGGAGACAGAATTCGGCAGCGGGGACAGCAGCGTGAACGTCTGTCGTAGCGAACGAAAGGCTTTTGGGCTAATTGGGACTGGTTGTAGGGATTTCATTGTGGGCAAGTACCCTGAGCTGAAGAAGGTCAACCCGGGACTGCCGATTCTTATCCGCGAGGCTAACGGCGTCGAGTCGCGCATTATCGCGCGTTTCGGTAAGTGCAGAGAGCGACTATGGGGGCGGGTCATGGAGGGAGCAGAGGAGCTAAACGCATGTTTTTTTTGTAGACCAGGGCCGTGAGCGCAAGGTGGTCGTGGACAACCTGAATGCCAGCGATGTTGAGCAAAAGTTCAATGCGCTGGTTTCCGAGTCGCAGTGAGGGCTGTTTCATTTCCATATATTTTCTCTCAAATACACGTGTTTTAAAAGCCCCTACTCGAACTTGATACCCTGGGCAAGCGGCAGCTGGCCGCTGTAGTTGATGGTGCAGGTCTGGCGGCGCATGTACTGCTGCCAGGCAGTGCTGCCAGACTCGCGGCCTCCGCCAGTCTCCTTCTCTCCGCCAAAGGCGCCGCCGATCTCAGCACCATTGGTGGGAATGTTGACGTTGACGATGCCGCAGTCAGAGCCAGCCGGGCCGATCCAGCGGAAGATGTTCTCGGGGGAAGTAGTGAACAGGCTGCTGCTGAGGCCCTGGCCAACCTCGTTGTTCCACTCGATGGCCTCGGGCAGGCTGGAGAACTTGATGGTGTGCAGGATAGGCGCGAAGATCTCGCGGTGCACGACCGGGGCATCATGGGCGATGCTTGTGATGGTGGGCTCGACAAAGTTCCCTGGCATGTCCTTCAGGACACTGCCGCCGTGCAGAATCTTGCCGCCCTGGGCCTTCACATCCTGGATGCCCTGCTCGAATGCCTCGACGGCCGCCTCGGTGTGCAGAGGCCCGCACAGGACACCCTGGTGCAGCGGGTTGCCAACCTTGATCTGTCCATACGCCTTGATTAGGCGGTCGATAAACGTATCGTGGATGTCCTCATGCAGGAACAGGCGACGCGTGGTGGTGCAGCGCTGGCCGGCGGTTCCCACGGCAGCAAACAGAATCGAGCGCACCGCCAGGTCGATATCGGCGTCCTTGTGGACAATGATCGCGTTGTTGCCGCCGAGCTCCAGAATGTGCTTGCCGAACCGCTTCTGGACCACCGTGGCCACATCGCGGCCGGTCTTGGTCGAGCCCGTGAATGACACAAGGTTGACGCGCTTATCGTGGGCGATGGCATTGCCGATATCGGCGCCACCGCATGCAAGCGAGCACAGGGCGCCGGGCAGGCCGTTGGATTCAAGCACGTCAGCCAGGATCTTGGTCACAGCCACAGACGTCAGACTGGTAGTGGGCGCGCCCTTCCAGACAACAGAGTTGCCGCACACCAGGCTAAGCGCGCTGTTCCAGCCATACACGGCCACCGGGAAGTTGAAGGCTGAGATGACGCCGACAACGCCAAGCGGATTCCACATCTCCATCATAGCATGGCCGGGCCGCTCGCTGGGAATCACCTGGCCGTTCAGCATACGGCTAAGGCCGACCGCATAGTCGGCAATGTCCACGTACTCCTGCACCTCGCCGATTCCCTCAGGCAGGATCTTGCCCATCTCCAGAGCAACCAGGCGGCCCAGTGGCTCGATTTTGTCGTTGAGCGCGTTGCGCATTTTCCGCACCACCTCGCCACGCTTGGGTGCTGGGACCTCGCGCCACATCCTGGCGGCCTTGGCTGCCTTCTGCAGCGTCGAGTCCAGGTCCTGGGCACTGGCTTGCTGCACGGCTCCTAGCACCTCGCCGGTTGCCGGGTTAGTTGTCTCAACTATTGTCCCGTTGCCGCTCCATTCGCCGTTGTAGACGCCCAGGTTGAACGAGTCCAGCCCGAGCGCCTTCAGCGTCGTCGACGACGTGCGTGCTTGGGTCGTGGTGGAGAAGCGAGACGCTTGGAGCACGCGGAGGGGCCGCGGAGCTGCGGTCTTGAAGCGATACATATTGGATGGAAGATTTAGTATTCAGTAAAGTCAATAAATGTTATGTGTGACGGATGGGGAGCTGAACTAATGCTTGGAGGCTTGATTCTTATCCGGTGGCCCATGTGGGTGCGCCTACTGCCCCTTTTTATACTTTTTCTTGCCAGCAGCAAGCCCCTATGTTCACACGCATCCACCCCCTGGTCCTGAGCAGGTAGAGGCGTCGGGCGAACTGCTGCGTGGTCATGTGAGCGAGAGTGATGACGTTTTAAGAACGTGGGAAACCGTTTTCTGAAGATCCGCTCCCACAGCTGACTCAGGTATGGTCCTATCTGTCCTTTCAGACCGGCGGCACCTTGTCCAGAAACGCCCGCAGCGCCACCACCGACTTCCTGTACACACCCATGTCCAGTCCATCCACATCCCTGGCCACCCTGGCCTTGACCACGACCTCCAACGTGTAGTTTGAGTCGTCTCTCAGGTCATCGCTGATCAGCTGGCACTCGTCGGGCGGATTTGCCGGCGTCACCACGCCAATGAACTGGTATGTCTGCCCAAAGTAGTATTTGATGATTCCGAGCATAGACGTGTCTATTACCAGCAGATGTTGGTTGTCGATCAGGATGGCGCGGTCGAGCGTTGCGTTGAACGAATGCAACGTGCCAGTGACGCGGACAGTCTGGCCCACCAGGCTGCGGCCCTGCGACACGACGTCCTCGAGAAACACGGGCTTTCCAGGCTCCAGATCCATTTAGCAGTCCATAGAAATATGATTTTCCCCCCCCCCCACATAAAAATCTTACTAGTTTAGGCATAAGCACATTGGTATGGTGTCTATGTTGTTATGGATGGCGTGTATTTTGCTCCTGACAAAAAAATTACAGATCGGTTGCTTATCCCTGGCGCTGCTTGTGCTTCGGGTCTTTCTTGCAGATGACAAACAGACGGCCGCGGCGACGCACAAAGCTGCAGCACTCGCACATTAATTTGACTGACGAGCGCACCTTCATTCCCCGCACATTCGTCGCCGTCAGGGCTGTGTTGTGGTGGATCGCTGGCTGCAGCGCCGACGTCAGGGGCCGCAGGAACCGTGGCGAGACCGAGTAGCGTACGAGGCCGAACATTGTGAAAGTGGTGCGAATGAAAAGTATGAGGAAAAAGGGGGCTAAACGAATGCCAGCCTGGAGTTTATTTTTTTGCCCAAGAAGCCTATGGTGAGCCTGATGATAAGCAGATTAGCGATCAGTACCTGGGATCAGCGGGCAACGAAACAACACCCGCAGCGATGGTGTCATTGGGTTCGCCAACCTTATCTCCACTGGCAATTATTTTTCTCTCTCTACAACACCATGGCGTCGCAGGACGATATCCACAGCACCGACCTCGTGCGGTCGACAGACAAGAACCACCCGGCGAACCTGATTCCCGAGCTCTGCCAGCTCTTTTACACGCTGGGGTGGGTGACGGGCACCGGCGGCGGCATCAGCATCCGCGACGGCGAGCACGTGTTCATCGCACCCTCGGGCGTGCAAAAGGAGCGCATCGAGCCGTCGCAGCTGTTTGTTTTGGAGCTGGCGACGCGCAAGATCCTGCGCTCCCCTTCGCCGCCCATCAAGCCGTCCGCATGCACGCCGCTCTTCTACAACTCGTACACAATGCGGGGCGCCGGCGCATGCATCCACACTCACTCGCAGAACGCAGTCCTGGCGACCATGCTGTACGACAAGGAGTTTGTGATTTCGCACCAGGAGATGATCAAAGGGATTCGCCGCGGGTCCAGCTCTGAGAGCCTGCGGTTCTTTGATACCCTGCGCGTGCCCATTATCGAGAACACGGCCGAGGAGGAGAACCTGACCAACCGCATGGCCAAGGCCATTGAACAGTATCCGGAGACGAATGCGGTGCTGGTGCGTCGCCATGGCGTGTATGTTTGGGGCGAGAGCTGGCAGAAGGCAAAGACTATGGCCGAATGCTACGATTACCTGTTTGAGCTGGCTGTCCGCATGAAGCAGCTTGGAATTGACCCAGCTGCTGTGACCCAGGCCACCCAGGATGCGATCGACGGAGAGTAGCCTGTTTTGTTCGTTTCACCCTGGAGTTATAAGCACATCCTTGTCTATATGTGTGATATAAAAGAGCACATGCGCCTTTTCATTTGGCATCCTGCTATATTTTGCCCTGGAGCGCTATCAGCCTGTTCAATAACTAACCAAACAGCCTGGTATTAGATAGTTCTATTGACATTCAGGCTCCCAACAGCCTTCAGCTACCATGATCTACGCCAAACACCCACATGTAAATTGGGATCCCCAGTGACCACGCCGTATTTTTTCTCCCCAGCATTTATGGAACTTATTTCCATTCCAAACAGGCTTGTGAACACCCATTTCCCATTCAAAAGTTAGATCGCCGTAGAACTACATAGACACCGGCAGTTCAGCTTGCTAAGAACTACATTGAGTCTCAGAGATCGTCAATGTGGTTTCAGCGCTATGTAACCTGAACTGCGTTTGTGGGCAGAGTTCTTATTTACTAGTGTTTTATCCAAATGGCTGTTCCGTACACAATGATCGCTTGGATGAAACGCTAGCAGACCAGCGCCCTGCCTACATATGTAGATTATTCAACATAATGTAAGGACTATACATATATTTTCTTAAGTGTATGTCTATATACCTGTGCAAATGGTTTCAGTCGATTTTATTCAAATATCTAACTAGCCTAGAAGCTCCAAGCACACCTGCCTGTGATTTGGTAGGGTTAGGGATAACGACATAATTCCCATCACTTGAACCATCATTAACATCATTAAACGCATCGTACTGTTCTTAGGGAATATCATCGCTGAGAATAAGGTCGTATACTAGAGTATCAATGATACAGATGTTGTTGTTCCAGGCGTTCTTGACGCATTTGTATTCGCTTTCAGTTAGCTTCACTGTCTCCGAAATAACCGAGCCAGAGAGCCCGAGAACCAGACCAACGAATAAAAGCGAGTATAGCTGTATTTTAAAAAGTAAAAAAATTGTACGAGTCTTGGGAATCAGATTCAGTCTGAATATTCATGATTTATTAAAAGTATTTGATCCCAAAGTGCTTTTCAGCGTACTTGAATGTCACCAAGCCACCGCTGGTGACATTGGTGTGGGAAATACTGGGGTGTTACGCTATTGCTCGTTCCAAGGAATGGCGTGGCGTTGTTTACTAAAAGCCTTAGACAGTGTTTGCGTTATACATATGCCACAGAACGTCGAGAAGTGTTGGATCCCCAATGTGTGTGTTGTGATGTGGGGCATAGTCCGAACCAGCAGCCACACGGTGTTTTCTTTTATTGGGAACTATCAGTCCAAGGGGTATGCACCAGAGGTATCGCTATGGGCTCTTGTGCTTGCTATGCGATTACCAATATGAATCTATTTAATGCCCTTTACCTATCATCATCTTCCACAAGTTGAATACTGCTTTTGCAATATTGCAATGTGTTAACTGATACTCATAGTGTAGAGCAGCATATGCAGACAATACTTCTGCGAGTATTTCAAATGAGGAGAAACGAAAAGGGTGAGCCACGGGTGCCGGACACAAGATTAATATGAAGCACCTACTCGCCACATATGTTGGCGATTGACACTGTAGATGTAGTTGTATCACAGTACAGAATTCTGGACATATCGCTCCTCTGAGGCAGTCTGGGTTCGAATAGAAGCTGCCTGGCTTCCTAAGAATAGTACTAGCGGTATCGATCCAGCCCACGGATATGTGCGGGACAAGCAGAGTGCGAAGACAGCCACTTGAAACTGGGCTGGACCAAGGGCTGTGGCCTGGATCGGCAGGCGTGCCTGTGTCCCTCCCCGCAGGTTCTCTTGGGGGGAGGTTTCTAAAAAGCAATGTTGACTCGGGCCACACAGGATGCGATCGACAGCGGGAGCGCTTTGGCCACACCACTCCCCCAAAGATTTCTTTTTTGACCCACTTTTTAGATTGCCGCACGAGCACTGTCCCAGGGCACTTGCAAGTTGGCTGCCAGACTTTGCTCGATTGCAGAACCGCATTTGTGTCCACCTAGGATCTGGCTACGTGGTTTGTCTTTGGGCGTTCTTTTTTATAATGCGCTGTCCGAATGTCTCGGAGGGTGAGTCAGCAGCAGATGTAGAAAGGCCAGGCGACCAGCTTGCAGTATTTCCAGCATGAGTGCGGATTGGCGCACGCGCGCATACGGAAGCACGCTTTGTTTTTTGCTGGTCACCGTGCCGGATTGCTACTGGATTCGGACAAAACAGTCCAAAAAGGACACAAAAGACAGAGTGACGTGTACGTATTCGGAATGGCTTCCGAGGACCGGGAGTAGGGCCGGGACGCGCGACGTGTGGGAAACGAGAAAGCTTACTGCTGGGTCATCAGTGGAGAAATATATAAAGGGTAGACACTGTGGCCAGAAGCGAGCACCCTTTATCTTTATCGCGTATATATTTTTTCTTCTACAGTTTTTTTAACATGCTTCGTGCTAGCACCATCACCAAGAGCCTGCGTCGCGCGTACCACAGCGGCATCCGCGTGCCGCAGCTAGCAACCTTCAAGCTGCCAGAGATCGCCAACGAGCCGACACTGAACTACCCCCCCGGCAGCCGCGAGCAGGAGGAGCTGATGGCGGCGGTGGAGGAGCTCGGCTCCAAGACGCACCATGTGCCACTGATCATCAACGGCAAGGAGGTGCGGACGGGCAATGTGTCTGAGCAGCGGAACCCTGGGCAGAAGTCGCAGGTGCTGTGCACATACGAGAACGCTGGGCCGGCGGAGATCGAGCAGGCAATCGAGGGCAGCCTGATCGCCAAGAGCAAGTGGGAGGCGATGCCAATCTACGACCGGCAGGCAATCTTCCTGCGGGCAGCGGACCTGCTGGCGGGCAAGCACCGGTACAAGGTCATGGCGTCGGCGATGCTGGGGCAGGGCAAGAACATCTGGCAGGCGGAGATCGACGCAGCCACGGAGGCAGTGGACTTTTTGCGGTTCAACGTCAAGTACGCCGACGAGATCTACAAGGTGCAGCCGCCGTGCAACGCCAAGAACCAGTGGAACCGCGTGGAGTACCGGCCGCTGGAGGGCTTCGTGTATGCCGTGTCGCCGTTCAACTTCACCGCGATCGGCGTCAACCTGGCAGCGGCTCCGGCGCTGATGGGTAACGCAGTGCTGTGGAAGCCGTCGAACGGCGCAGTGCTGTCGAACTACCTGGCGAACGAGGTGATGCGCGAGGCCGGCGTTCCCGACGGCGTGATCCAGTTTGTGCCCGGCGACGCAGTGGAGATGACCAAGCAGGTGTTTGCTCACCCAGAATTCGCGTCGCTGCACTTCACCGGCAGCACGCACGTGTTCAAGCAGATGTGGAAGCAGATTGCGCAGAACATTGACGTGTACAAGAGCTACCCGCGCATTGTCGGCGAGACCGGCGGCAAGAACTACCACCTGGTGCATCCGTCGGCCGACGTGGCCAGCGCCGTCAACAACACCATCCGCGGAGCCTTCGAGTTCCAGGGCCAGAAGTGCTCGGCGTGCTCGCGGCTGTACGTGCCTGAGAGCCTGTGGCCTGCGTTCCGCGAGCAGCTGGTGCGCGGCGTCGAGTCGATCAAGCAGGGCCCGGTCAGCGACCCCACCAACTTCATGGGTCCCGTGATCAACCAGGCCGCCTTCGACAAGATCACAAACTACATTGAGTATGCCCGCAACGACGAGCACTGCGAGATCATTGCCGGTGGCAAGTACAGCGACGCCGAGGGCTTCTACATCCGCCCGACCGTGATCGAGACCCGTGATCCGCTGACCAAGACCATGAAGGAGGAGATCTTCGGTCCGGTGCTGACCGCCTACGTCTACCCGGACGCCGACTTCGACAAGACCATCGACCTGGTTGGTGCCACCACCCCGTACGGGCTCACCGGCGCCATCTTCGCCCAGGACCGCCAGGCTGTGGCCCACGCCAGCGCCCGCCTGCTGCACACTGCAGGCAACTTCTATGTCAACGACAAGTGCACTGGCGCCGTCGTCGGCCAGCAGCCGTTTGGCGGCTCGCGTGCCTCCGGAACCAACGACAAGCCCGGCAGCGCCAACCTGCTGCACCGCTTCCTGTCGCCGCGCTCCGTCAAGGAGACCATGGTGCCCACCACTGGTTTTACCTACCCGTCGAACCAGTGAGCAAGCAAGCGGGTTTGCCATAGTCCACACCCTCCCCACCAAATAAATATATTTTTGCCACTTGCCATCCCGTGTCTTGTGCATTTGACCTCATCACCTTTGTTTTATACATAGTCCCCCTTGATGTTCCGTCCCAAGATCCCCTTTTTCCACAAGCTCTCGCACAAGCGCCAGATCTGGTCCAGCTACCGCTCCCTGCTGCGCCTGGCGCACCGCTTCACCGATCCGGTCGAACGCACCTACCTGCACTCGTGGATCCGCGAACGCTTCCACACCAACACATTCCAGACATCGCCACAAAAGGTCGCCACCAGCCTTAGCGACGCCAAATGGGCCGAGCTCGTACTCGCCAGCGCGCTTGACGGCAACGCATCCCAGCAGCAGCTTATCTCCGACCTCGCATACGCGCGCACTGGCTATCTGCACACAATCCGCCAGCGCCTGGCCGAATTCCACCACCCAACTAAATCCTGCCAATTAATCCGCGACGTGCGCCCATCACACAGCCGCCGCCGACAGCCGCACCCGGCCTACCGCATCCCTGTGGATCCGCGCGCCATCCCCATCCCGCCCCATTTGCTTGCCCGTATCCATGACGAGGACGCCCGCGAGCAGCGCCGTCTGAAGGCCCTGCGCACGAAACAGGACAGAGCGCGGGCGCGCCAGATCTCTGCCCTGGCTGCAGCCGTCAACCAGGGAAGCTGTGCTATGGACTCTGGCCTGGTCCCCGGCGCCTTCATGCCCTCGGACTCCTTGCCGGGCATCAATGGCAACCCTGCGTATCTTCCACCCAAACCAAAGTACTCTGTGGACCCGCCGCTTGTTCAGCACGTGCGCGCCTCCAGCGGCTTCGAGTTCCTGCGCGTCAATTCCCGCAAGCCCTCCCACGCCCTAAGCGCCCGTATTGCCAAATCTTTCCGCGATGTCGCAAAGTGGCTCCATAGACACGAGTTCTTCTTTTACTTCACCGAGGACCTCAAGCTCGAGGAAGAGTTCGAGCAAAGGCTTGGTATCGAGGATCCCGGATACTGGGTCTATGCCAGGAACTACCGCAACTTTCTCAGAAACCGCATCCGCACCTTTGCCCAGCAGACTGAGTCGGTTGAGAATCCTGACATCTCCCGCATGATCCGCGAGGGGATGCCCGAGTACCGCATGCTTGAGGAATACGTCGATAGCCACGACCGCGAGCTTGACGCAAAAAATAAAAACTGAAAATGCAACAACCGCATAGCCGAAGCCCCAAAAAGAGCCACCCGCTCTCCAAAAATCATTTGGGGCTGATGGCAAAAAGTGTGGAGGACCGGGGTTTCGATCCCCGTGCCTCGCGCATGCAAAGCGCGCGCTCTACCAATTGAGCTAGACCCCCGGAATTGGCTGGAACCAATCGCATTCTAAGCTGATTCGCCATCCAACTTCTGAGTTTCAAAAAGTTTCACCTGTACGTATAGGATATTTTCCAAAGCACTACTGCACGCCACCTGGGATTATCCTTTGTGCGAATTCCCCCCAGAACTCTACTCCGCTGTGAACTACAATTGCACATCACGCTGGCTACTTTCCCCGCCTACCTTGGATGGCTCTGTGCCCTTTTATTAGCAATCCACTAGCCACCAAGTAATACTAACGCGCTCATCCGCCATGTCTGCTACCCAGCCGAATGCTGCTGGACTGAGATCCAAATCACCTTTTTTGCATGGCGGACACTTGTCAACAACTTGAACTTTGACTTTGATTTCGCCCTTAGGCCCCTGCACCTGAACGCACTTACCACAGGCATGCACTTTAATTGGATTGGCAAAATTACCGTACTGCAGCCTATTTATTGCTGTGGCAAGCTGTGATGTGTCGCTGGTCCATCCGCACGACCCGATTCCCACCCAAGAGTCATAGAAGATTCCTTCGCCAGTGAACATAAAAGAATTAAACCTGAAAACTGGCTGATGGAGTTGGCTATTTACTGCTCTTGTGCTGTCTGTGTTTGCATTCATTGTTAGTTTGCACTTGTAAACTACCCCCGAGTAGCGGATGGTAGGTAGTATGTCTTTAAGCTGGTACCCTGATGCTGTGGCAGTTATGAGGCCAATGGTTATTCGGACGTTCGTTGGGTAGCTGTAGTAAATAAGATAATGTTGGAGATGCTGCGGTACGGATGGAATGCATGGCTCTATATTTCTGGACGTGATTTTTCGCTTACGCCAAATGCATTTTCCAGCCAGCCATTCAACTGACAGCGACACATACTCTAACATTCATGCCAAAATTTAGGCTCCATATGTTCTAGAAGGCTACTTCACACTATATTTTTGCTATCTAATACCCGACCAAGGTGACTAGACACGGCAGAATACTTCAATACGCTAACACTTGGGCTTTGGCAATCGGGACAGACATAATCAAGAAAACTGCTGATATCACAGGTAATTTCGCAGATATAGAGTATTTTTCGAGCATTTAATGATGAGCTATTGTCATTTGAAAGCTAGTACGTGCAAAATCAGCAGGCAACCCACGACCAAGTGATCTTGACCCGGCCATCCTTCTTCTTTGCGATCTTCTCAAAAGCCGTCGGGCTGAGATCCAGCGACCCGTGCTTGCACTCGGGGCAGGCATCCACGATCTGGACCTTGACCTGGCCCAGCGGGCCCTTGACCAAAGCGCACTTGCCGCATTCCGGGCTCTTCTTGTCGACATTTCCGTACTGCGGCTTGTTTAGCGCCGCAATCAGGTCGCTCGACTTGTTGGGCTTTCCACATGCACCAGTGTCTGGAGTAAAGTATGTGGCGTCGCCAGAGAACATCTGACCACTTGGGCTAGTTGGCTGCGGCTTGGATGTCGAAGTGGTCTTGTGCTTGGTGGTCGAAGTGGTCTTGAGCTTGGTGCTTGTTGCCTTGCGCTTATTGAATGCCACGACGTTTGCAGCAATGGGCGTAGGCTCCTCGACAGGAAGGGCAGAGACGGCGGAGAGGGTGGCGGCGACGAATGCAACGACAAACAAGAGCTTCATGGCTGGAGTGGCTTGGTGGTGGTTGTTGTTTTGATGGTGTGTGGACGGTGTTGTTGATGGTGTTGATGGGGATTCCTCGGAACACACAGGTATCCTAGACCCTTTTTATACAGGATCTATCATCGATATCATGAGGTGACAGCATCCAAAGTGCATCTTGCAGATACAGGTTTCTCCAAAGGAGCCTTGGCTGCGTTTTGACCGGTACCATCTACTCCAGGATTATCCTTGCCAAGCAAACAAAAACATCTTCTGATGATGGCCACAAAGATAGTTTTCATTTCCAAGAAGCTGCCAAGCTCCAAGCGGCTACTTCTAAAAATAAAATCAGCTTCCATCGAGAAACGGCAATCACCTTCCCCCAATCTTGCATACACGTGGAAACTGAGTATGCGAAGCCCAGCCAAACCCTACGCGGTAATCTACGTACACGAATTAAAAATTGAAATACTTGAAGGCTATGACGGGTCTATTCGATTGCACAAATGGGCTGAACCAGCCAGAAAAACCTATTACTAGAAAATAACGGGGTGGTCCTAGTCCTTGTGAACAGCGGTACCTACTTGTGGATGCCAGATTGTGATAAAATGATGACTGGCTAAAAAGAAGACTTAAAACAAGGTCATCAGGCTAGCAATTAGTCATCTCGACTACCACATGCTGCATGACAGTTGGCATATTCGCGAGTTGCTGGTTTATAAAGATGGAAAGTAGATAAGGATATATTTTTAAGGATGCTTTGTATGGAATAAAGATATATGCGTGTCTAGCAGGCGACAAAGCTCCAGGTGATCTTGATACGGCCATCGGCCTTCTTTCCGATCTTGTTGAAGGCCGAGGGGCTAAGATCCAGATCCCCAGTCTTGCACACCGGGCAGCGGTCAACAATCTTAACCTTAACTTGGCCTAGGGGACCCTTCACCAAAGCGCACTTGCCACAGACCGGTGCGTTGTTCGGATTAGGCGTGTTCCCGTACTGCGGAGCGTTGATAGCAGCGATCAGCTCAGTTCCCTTGTTGGTCTTTCCGCAGGCGCCGAGTCCAGGGTCGTAGTAGGTTCCCTCACCAGCAAAGGTCTGGCCACTGGGCTTGGAGCTGGTAGGCTGGGGCTGGCTAGTCGAGGTGGTCTTGTGCTTTGTAGTTGAGGTGGTCTTGTGCTTGATGGTCGAGGTAGTCTTGTGCTTGGTGGTGGTAGTCACCTTGCGCCTGTAAAAGGCTTCAACGTTGTTGACAGCAGGGGGAATCTCTTCGAAAGGAAGTGCAGAAATTGCAGTGATGGTTGCAGCGATGAAAGCGACGATAAACAGGAGCTTCATTTTGTTTCTTTTTGATGAGGTTGTTGCGTGGAATGCTGGTGTGGTGGATGATGGTGATATCTTGAGGGAGTACTACACATATTCGAGCCTTATATACGTGCCACTGAGGATATCCTGGGGAAACAATATCGTAGATGGTATCCAGCCCAGCACTTCTAGAAAGATTCTTGGTATCCTTTGAGGCAACCCGCTGCTTCTATGTAGACCATCAGGCCAAGAACATTTTTATAAATAGGCGGGTGGTGCTGTCACGCAGGTTTCCTAATTGATAATTCGGGTTTTCTGCAGGTTTCCCAATAACAGAAAACACTGGTTTTGAAAAGCTGGTGCCAAGATCCAGGATCTGCATGCGCTAGCTCTTGGATGTGCGATTGTTGGATGTGCACATCACTTTCACATTCGTTCTATCGGTGATTTCATTTTTAGCATAATCCCGGATCCATTGAGTAATCATCAGCCGCATCAGCCAGTGTGCATTTATTCTGGGGGTCTAGCTGCATAGGCGTAAGCATTCGTCTAACAGGCAACAAATTCCCAAATTATTTTAACCCGCCCCTCCAGCTTGTGTGCGATTTGTTCAAAAGCTGCAAGACTGAGATCCAGTGATCCGAGTACGCATTCGGGACAGGCATCCACGATTTTCACTTTGGCCTGGCCCAAAGGGCCTCTGACCAACGCACACCTTCCGCAGTGAGGACTCACAGCGGTGATGTCCCCGTACTGCGGTGCGTTAAGAGCCGCGATAAGGTCTCTTGATGTGTTTTGTTCTCTGCACGCGCTGGTACCAGGGCTGAAATATGTCCCATCGCCCGAGAAGAGGTTGCTCTCAGCGGTACGAGTTGACAATGAGCGTGCGTTGGCTGCAGCGGCAAGGAGGGCGATTACGAGTTGCGACTTCATTGTCCCGATGGCAACAAACAGGTACTGCTGCTGGTGATAGTTTTGAAGATGGTGATATTAAAGCAAAATATTATGCCTGCAAGTCATGTAAATGCTCTGACTGGGTTCGAAGGTATCCTAAGGCTGCGCTACTGCTGGTGTATTCCTCCTTTCAACAAAAATCGCTAACGGGCGTTGTATGTAGCAAGAAAGCAATAACAAAACGAAGTGATGTACTGAGGAGAGAAGAGCGGCTACTCTCGTCCTTTGACCATGTTTGGTATGGGGTATTGTTCGTGGTGGCGTCGGAGCTCAGAGGCGCCGTGATGCCTACACCACCTAAACATGCGTACGGGCGCTAGTAAACCATCGTATTAATGCTTTGTTCTTCTCTAAACCTGTTTAGGCTTTGCATAAGGAGACCCTGTCGACGATGAATAGCCTATGTATATATCCTGAAAGGAGTTATTTTATGCCCTGGTCAATGCTAGATTCATATATGCATTGTTATTGCTGCGTTGCATTGTGATACCTCGTTGGCATAGCATGTGCTGCTGACATATTCCTAAACTATCCCCAGTCGAAAGACCGCCAGCTAAAGATTACTGCAACACCTATGCAATATTCAGATTAATCAATAATCGTACAGAAGACGGGCATAAATACAGGAAAAGGGCGCTGCATGTATGGCACCATGCCCACTCACTCGAGATTCGCCTGCTCAATGGTGGCATCTCCAGACTTGGTTGCAAAAGGCACCAACTCGCCTTCGAATCCCTACAGTAAGTATCCACGCCTGCATTCATTGGTTTAGCGGGCTAAAAGCCGGTCCTTAGTTTAACAGAATGGATGGAACCGATCACGTTATTCGTTTCGCATCATCGATTAATTGCCTTCATATGTCACTTGCATACTGTGCGGCCATGCTTGCATGACTGCTGTCCCTCTTGTTTCCCAGGAAAAATAAACGGGCAATCCCTATGGCAAAACAAAGAGTCATGTCCGCACGCCCAAGCTTGCTGGGATAGTATGGCCATGTGCGATTTTTTCGAGCATGCGGACAGCAACTCGCCTCCACGTTATAGTCGTGTGAAGTAGCGGGGAATGTGTTTGCTAAATGGTCGAACGTTCTGCGCAGAAGCTTATCGGCGCATCCTTTTTTGGGCAGATGGGGATGCCTAGGGAGTCTAGGGAGTCTGCGGCTGCAACACCTTGCCGCTGACTCAATGGCGCACCACGATTGCGCAATGGCTTCAGAAACACCTAGTTTTGGGGGAGATGGTGTACTCGTGCTGAAGCATAAAGCTGTGTTAGCTGTCCTGTTGAGAACTATCGAGACCGCCCAAATAAAACAAAACCCCGCTCGTCTCAATCGTGGGAAGACCTGCTAGTGGAGAACTGGTTTTCCCACTGGTTTTCCCACTGGTTCTAGCAGCTAGGTCGGATGGGAGCGTTCGCGCAACATGTGACATGGTCCGCTGCATGGATGCATAAACAGGGACCATTTGCAAGCAGACGCTCATGCCGATCCAAACTAACTGGGAAAAAAGCTTCAGCAATTTTGTACGCCTTCTTTGCAGACATGCGCTACAGCGAGCGCTATCGTTAAGATTCCTTGACAACCTTCATTGCGATTTCTCTGCGCAAATCACGAGAGGTTTGCAGACATGCTGAATTCTGTCCTCAAAGCATACCATCGAGTGGCCCCCCTTTCCAAATACGCAGAACTCGTTTTCGCCATCCGGCCAATTTTCTTCTAGAAGCTGCCGACTACTACAGCACAAGTGTACGTATCGACCGAGTCCACTCCTAGAAGGAATCCCCGGGCGCACCCTTTTGTTTCACAGAGGAATTTGCAATGGGTAACAGGCCAAAATTCCCACATACGAGATTCAAACCTGTATATGCTAGGCGAAATATCTCAAGCAAGTTAGGCCGGCCGGACAAACAATAGATAAGGGATCAGGCAAGGCACAGGGGTTGGATCGAGTATATAAAGGCAACGGCGCAGAGTATTCTTCATTCAGCACATCCACAACACACCCTCTAGATCTAGTATTATACAGCCCTACCTCGCTACTCTTCCTCTAAATATTCACTGTCGTGTACTACTAATAATGGTCAAGCTCACTTCTATCGTCAGCCTCCTTGCGGCTACTCTTGCTACTGTTAGCGCGGCTGCGGACCACCATCAGGATATCGTCACATTCACTCCAGAGCTGAGCGGCAAGGGGCAGTTCAAGGTCTATGACAAGCCGGTCACTGTCTCCACTGATTCGTCTGCCCAGGCCGCCTCCTTTGTTGGCGGCAGCAAGAAGGACTCTGCTGTCAAGTCCAAGGCTGATATTGCTGTCGCGTATCTGGCCAAGAACCACAAGATCCCGGCCGAGAACATCAAGATCACCGATGCCTACACCGACGCTCGCTCGGGCATTACCCACGTCTATGCCCGCCAGACCAACGGTGGTGTTGATGTCGCCAACGGTCTTGCCAATGTCAACGTTGACTCCAAGGGCCGCATCATCTCGTCCAGCCATTCATTCGCTTCGACTGATGCCCTGGGCAAGGTCAAGCGCTCCAACGGCTCCCTTGTTGCGCGTGCCAGCGACGATGCCTCGCTGAAGACCGCATTCAAGTCGCTGAACGACTACGTCAAGACCGCTGTGTCCGACAGCGATCTGAACAAGATCACTGTCGCGTCGACCTCGAACTTTGTCAGTGGCGAGCCTCAGTTCACCATTACCAACGTGCCTTCAGCTTCGGCTGTTGACGGCTCGGCCACTGCCAAGAAGGCGCTGATCCAGAAGGCTGACGGATCCCTGGCGCATGTCTGGGAGATCACCCTGAAGCAGGATAGCCACTGGTGGAGCGCCCACGTCAACCAGGACACTGGCAGCGTCGAGGCTATCCATGACTGGGTATCGCATGCCGAGTCGTACAACGTCTACCCGCGCAATGTAAACGACCCCCTGGAGGGTAGCCGCTCGGTCGTGTCGAGCCCAGCCAACACTAATGCTAGCCCTAAGGGCTGGGTTACTGGTACCACCACCACTGGCAACAACGTCTGGGCGCAGAACAACCCCACCGGTGGCAGCACGTGGCAGACCAACTACCGTCCGAACTCCACCAACGGCGCCTTCGACTTCCCTCTGGACCTGACCAAGGCGCCATCGTCCTATATTGACTCTGCTATTACGCAGTTGTTCTACACTGTCAACACCGTGCACGATCTGTCGTACCTCTATGGATTCGATGAGGCTGCTGGTAACTTCCAGGATGTGAACTACAGCGGCAAGGGAGTTGGTGGCGACTACGTTATTGCCTACGCTCAGGATGGATCCGGTACCGATAACGCCAACTTTGCCACTCCTCCAGATGGCCAGCACGGTGTCATGCGCATGTACACCTGGACTCAGACCAACCCGAACCGCGATGGCGATTTTGAGCAGGACATTGTCGCCCACGAGTTCACCCACGGTATCTCGAACCGTCTGACTGGTGGCCCAGCCAACTCCAACTGCCTGGGCAGTGGTGAGCCTGGAGGTATGGGCGAGGGATGGAGTGACACTGTTGCCAACCTTCTGCGTATCAAGTCTGGAGACACCCGCTCGCGCAACCTTGTCCTCGGCGAGTATTCAAACGGCAGCGGTATCCGTAACTACCCATACTCGACGAGCCTGACCACCAACCCCTCGACATACTCGTATCTTGACAAGTCGGGCTACAATGGAGTCCATGCTATCGGTGAGGTCTGGGCTGAGATTCTGTACGAGGTTATCTGGAACCTCATTGATGCCAACGGTATTGCCGCGGATCTGTTCTCGCATGATCTGACCAAGGGTAACTCCATCGCGCTCCAGATTATCCTTGACGGTATGAAGCTGCAGCCGTGCAAGCCCACGTTCCTTAACGCCCGCGATGCCATTATCCAGGCCGACCAGAACCTGACTGGTGGCAAGAACAAGTGCGCCATCTGGAAGGGCTTTGCCAAGCGCGGTCTTGGAGTCAAGGCTGTTGTTAAGAGCCGTCGCCACATCGACGACTTCACTGTTCCCAGCGGATGCTAGACAGCATCGCTATATAGACCATAGCTTCAACTACTGAAGCAAGTTTTCCAATTCCAAAATACACTTTATTGGAATGATACGCCTACATATCACGTACAGGTGTTCTATCGATTTGTCTAACATCCATCGTGCATCTGGACAAGCTGTTGGAACCTCATGTTTTGACTTGGCGGGTTAGCCTCTGCCACTCGGCCATTGTCCATGACAAGGACCCGGTCGCTGTCCATGACAGTGTTCAGGCGATGTGCGATAGTCAAGACAGTACACTGTTTGAACTCACGACGAATAACATCGTGCATGATCTGGTTGGTCTTTGCGTCCACGTTTGCCGTCGCCTCATCCAGGACCAGGATCCGCTTCGTCTTCAGCAGTGCACGACACAAGCTGACTAGCTGCCTTTGCCCTATGCTAAAGTTCCTGCCTTCAAACTCGATCCATTTGTCCAATCCACCCCGCAGTACAGAAGAATCCGGGCCCATCCTGATTCTGCGCCAGCAGTACCGTTCACCTAGAGCACTTCTAGTCCGCCTTTCTGTCTCCTCTTGGGTCGATCCGTCGTTGAGATTCAACTCCTCATCTTCCTGGTTTTGGCGGCCTAGCTCAGTTACTTCTTTGCGGTTAACCAGGTCGACCAATTGTGCCTTGATGATGGATGCCCAGATCTCCTCGATTGTGTGTTCACGCAGCGGATCCAGATTATCTCGAATCGATCCAAAGAACAGCGCCGAATCCTGCGGAATGATTCCCAGACGAGAGCGCAGTTCGCGCAGGCTCAGTGTTGAAATGTCCACGCCGTCAATGACGATTTTGCCTTGCTCTGCCTCAACCAGCCGGAACAGCGCCTTGACCAACGACGATTTGCCTGCACCTGTGCGGCCAACGATGCCGAGCTTCTCACCCGGGTTTATGGTGAGTGAGATTCCATCAAGTGCGCGGCTAGCAGCGCCCTTGTAGCGCATGCCGTAGTCGACAAACTCGATCTTGCCCTTGTCTGGCCAGTTCTCTGGTGGCACCTGGTTTGATGCCGGGCTGGGGTCTTCTGATGGAAGCTCAGCAATCTGGTGGTAATCCGCGACAAGGCGAGCTCGTTCACGCAGCATTTCCGGAATTTTGACCAGTTCAGTAAAATATGCCACCAGAGAAATGCATACAGTCATCATCTCGTTGGCTTCAGCTGATGTAATCGTGCTCCCCTTGCCAACATTGAACCGCTGCTGCAATAGCAATACGGTCATTGCTGAGCAGGCCATAAGTTGCTTGACAAGTATGCACAGTGTAACCTCCAGCTGTCGAGCATCGAGGGCGGCCTTGCTGGCGATAGTATTGTAGCGGACAGTAGCCATGAGGCGGCGCATGAATGAGTCTCGCTGGCCAAAAACACGGATTGTCGATGTGCCGTCGGTGAGCATATGGCGAGCATTGTGGTATTCGGTACTCGACTTCAACTCTTCTTTTTCGAGCGAGTGGGAGATGGGCGACACGTAAATGGCTGTCAGGTAAAGCGCACAAGCAGTGAGCGGAAGCACGGTGAAGGCGGCTGGCGAAATGCGCCAGGCGCTGACAATGTGGTTGAACATGTACGTCATGTTTGATGCCTCCATCAGGAGAAGTACGGGCAGAAAACACCGGAGGCCCCATGCCGAGTGATAGAATGCGGTGGCGATATCGCTCTGTCTGAGTTCGCTGAATGTGTCGAGTGGTGCATGTATGAGGCCGTCGATGAGCTTTGTGTTGACGATCGGCGTGTAGTGCACTTTCGTAATATAGTGCAAATGCACCTGGTTAATCAGCAGGGCAGTAGTATGAACAAGGCCTGTAGCAAGGTCGATCTTCAAGTAGTGCATGGTTGCCTCAACTGAAGGCGACTCTTTGCAGGCACGCAGCGCAGCGAGCGTTAAAGTAGTGGTATAGTGCCATACCATGGCTTTGCTGAATATGAAGACAATCGATACAAGTAGCACACCGTATCCACAAACCTTGCCCATGTATGCCATTGACTCCCAGACATCGACATGGCAGTCGTCGACCCTGTGATCGCATACTTGCTCTGATGTGTTGTCCGGCCTGCTCTTATCTTTGGGTACATTGCGAGCTGTATCTAATTCGACCTCCTGGTGCTGAGGAATGTGGATAATCGGTGTCTGTTGTGTCACTGAGATGCGGCCCCCATCCACTCTCAGAATCTGATCGGCATATGGAGTGACAATGTCAGTATTCGTTACCAGGACACGGGTGCTCTGTCCCAGCAGGGCATTGGAACCAAGCAGGACATGGTCGATAATCCACTGTGCAACACACGAGTCCACAGCCGAAAGTGGGTCGTCCAACAAGTAAACATCAGCACGCGCGTAGATAGCTCTACAGATCAATAGCGGAATCGTAAATAATACCTGTAATTGGAATCCACCTGCACTTGTTTTTGGTTCAACTTACCTTGCTAGACCAATTCGTGCACGCTGACCCCCAGATACGTTCATTCCTCTGCTACCAACCATCGTCATATCACCGTCAGACATGGTACTGAAGTCCCACTCCAATGCGCATGCCTTAATAACGCGCTGGTACCACACCTGATCGTAGTCTAGCCCAAACAAAATATTGTTCCGAATCGTGTCTCCCATCATCCACGGCCGCTGGGAGACATAGACGACCTTGCCAATAGTCCGGCCATGGCCAGCGCACATGTGCACCTCACCACCAATTGCCTGCAGCAATGTGGATTTGCCTACACCGATAGGGCCCGTAACAATTGCTAGGTGGTGCGGAAGGATATCAAGCGACACGCCTTGCAGTATAGACACACCGCCGCCCCATGTAAAATCGCACATGTTGAGACTGACAGCTGACAGCCTCTCAGACATAGCTGTATCCGTAGACTCCATGCTGACATTGTCAACCGTGTTGCCGTGTTCAGCGCGCAAAGAACACTCGAGAATGGTGTTCGAGGCACGCACATGGCGAAATTCTATCAGGCTACCGGCAATTTGGCTGAACTGTAAACCCATGTGGCGGATCTGATAGCGCAGTTGCAGCAGCTGTGCAGCAGGGATATTGGCATTGGTTGCACGCATATAGGCTGCTATGGAAACAAAGGTAGCCATCTCCTTTGATGTGGTGTGGATCATAATGAGGATACCTTTGACTACTACACGCACCAGCCAAACCCATGTACTGTAGATTTCGGATTCGTCGTCATCGCGGTATGTCTGCGCCCAGTCCAGGTACTTTTTCTCCCAGGCGTAGAGCTTGATTGATGTAATGCTGGCACATATTTCTTCGACATGGTCGTATGGCTGCAAGACATACCAGCGCGATGTCCAGTCGAGAAGTACACGTGTAAGACGAGCGCCCAGTGAAATCCCCACATATATGTATGCTGGCAAGAAGGCATTGCTGCCCATCGTCTGCTTGGTCATATAGAAGGCAATCGATGCAGTTACCAGCGATGATGTCTGGCTGTAAATGTTGATGACCCCTTCTACGACCTTTGATGCGTGGTATTTCCCGTATCTGAACATGTGCTCGTGCTTTAGCGCAGCCTGCGCAAGTGGCATGTGGAATATAGCCATCTCTATCTGCAATGATATCCGGTTGATCTCCGCCCTACGCATGTAGTCGACACGCATACGTTGACTGGCAATAAGCCTCATTAAAGCTAGTATGGCTAGATACGCGTAGGCGTCTGCAGGCGAAGCTTGAGCAGGCTCGTCAATGCAGTGCATCAGCTTGCCTAGCACTGCACCTTCCATGAACTCGACAAGGCCGATTATGCAGTCAGCAATGAACACCGGCAGGTATGGGAGCATGGCCATACGAATGATGGCACGTACAACAAAGAGCCGCTGTGCTGGATCAAGCTCCAGACCATCTCCAAGCATGTAGTTGGCGAGCTGATTGTAGAATCGGCGAAGATCAGATCGCTGCAGCGGCCGCATATTGGCAAGCACAATCAGCTTAGATGCTGAGACAAGGAACAGATCGGCTATTCGCTCCCTGATATGCTTGCGCTCAGTGCCAGTAAGTTCACCAATGAACAGAGTCATGTGCAGCGCGATGGCGAGTGCTGCATGTACATTCCAGGCCGTGCTGATAGCGGTCGCAACTGCACCGTACATCTGGGTAATGTGGAAACCAATGCGTATAACGTGGCCTGGTCTGAGCATTGTCATGGAAGTCAGGGCAATAGTGTTTGCGGTCGAGAACAGCGGACCAGCGTGCTGCGGCCGGAAGTAGATCAAGAGAGCCATGGGGATGGCTGTGGTCTGTGGCACGGGACTGTAGGTGCGCCATTTGCTTCGTTGGTGCAGCAGCAATATAGACACAACGCCGGCAATAGCTGCGACATCTCCAATAAATGGTACCAATATATCCTTTGAATGCACTATCATATTCGGAAGTGGAAATAATAATAAAAACAGCTTTGGTGGACAGAGAAGAAAGAAGGGGGAGAGGACGTGCTGGCATCAGCCAAGAGGGATTTTATATTGGCGCCAGGCAGCAGCTGCATGCACCATTGTCTCTAGCAGGCGAATTCCGCGATGTCTCTCAGTCACGTCCTCGTCTGGAGACCAATCGTTCTTCTGGTAGGACAATAAGACAGCCGTGCCTGTTAGAAATGCAGAGGGAACGCCCTTTTGCAGACATCAGACGGCCAAGGTGGGAGGTATGTCATAGTTGCAGAATGGCCGCAGCAAAGCGTCTCAGCTCCCACCTGCCTTTGATGATATGGCATTATGTAGGCCCCATTGATGACCGACAGGTGCGTATGTGCAACAGGTCATCCACAGTGTTTACAAACAGCATGCATGTCGTCTGTGAATGGCCCTTGCCAGTGTGGCAGAAGTACATGTAATGTGGTCGTCCAGCTGGGCAGCAGTGTGCTGTCAATGCATACGCGTTTCCAGAATGACTCATCGGCTCGGCTCGCCCGGGTTCGTTATTTTCTAAGAAGTTCTGTCGCCAAGGTGTATGTGTACACTACTCCTCACCGACCGGCCTGTCTTTGCCACCTCTCTCTTGTTCCTCAGCTATTTTCCATTTTTTGATTATCTTGTGCTATCAACATTCCTGAAGCCATGTCCATGCGCAACAACGACAACCCGCGTGTCTTTTTTGACATCAGCATCGGTGGCGAACCTGCCGGCCGCGTCGTCATGGAGCTGTTCGCCGACGTTGTGCCCAAGACAGTCGAGAACTTCCGCGCCCTCTGCACCGGCGAGAAGGGCACGGGTGAGTCCGGCAAGCCACTGCACTACAAGGGCAGCACGTTCCACCGGGTGATCAAAAACTTTATGATCCAGGGTGGTGACTTTACGCGTGGCAACGGCACCGGCGGTGAGAGCATTTATGGCGAGAAGTTTGCCGACGAAGACTTTTCGCTCAAGCACGAGAAGCCGTTTATGCTGAGCATGGCCAACGCCGGGCCCAACACGAACGGGTCGCAGTTCTTTATCACCACTGTGCCCACCCCGCACCTCGACAGCAAGCACGTTGTCTTTGGCCAGGTGCTCAAGGGCAAGGGCGTGGTGAGGGCTGTCGAGAACGGTATTACGGACTCGGGAGACAAGCCAGAGAAGGCTGTGGTTATCGAGGACTGTGGTCAGCTGCAGCCTGGTGAGGACGACGGTGTCGGTGCTGGTGACGGCGTGCCCGAGTTCCCTGATGACTATCCAATTGCCGAGGATGCTGAGGGAATCGAGGCCGAGGTCGCGCTGGAGGTGGCCACCAAGATGAAGGGCCTGGGTAACGATGGGTTCAAGGCGGGCGATCTGACGACCGCTGTGGCAAAGTACAGCAAGGCGCTGCGGTACTTGAACGAGTACCCGGCGTTCGACAAGATCAATGACCCTGAGGACAAGCTGCGGCCGCAGTTTGTCGCTGTCAAGGTGCCTGTGTTCTTGAACCGTGCTCTGTGCTATCTGAAGCAAGGCAAGTTTGCGCAGGCGATCCAGGACTGCACATTTGTTATCGAGATGGCAGACAAGGAGATCACCGAGAAGGACCTGACCAAGGCTTACTTCCGCCGTGGCTCGGCCTACCGCCAGTCCAAGGCCCACGACAAGGCGCTGGATGACCTGACCAAGGCCAAGGAGCTGAGCCCGCAGGACAAGGGCGTGCTGAACGAGATCACCTTGACCAAGAAGGCCATCAACGACCAGAAGAGCCGCGAGAAGCAAATGTACAGCAAGCTCTTTGCTTAGACTGGACCGATGTAAGCTGTGTTTTGGTCAAATAAAAGGAGTGCTTTTCTACATGCCTATCTAATGAGCCCACTCGCTGGTCTTGCGGACGGTCTGCAGGAGCTTGTCCTCGGGCGATCCGGGCTCGGGCTTGTTCATGTACTCCCACCGAGCAGTGAGTGGCAGCGACATGAGAATCGACTCGATACGAGCACCAGGCGTCATCAAACCGAATTTTGTGCCACGGTCGTAGACGAGATTGAACTCGGCATAGTGGCCGCGGCGGATCAACTGCCAGTCGCGCTCGCGCTGCGTGTATGGCATGGTCATACGCTTGGCAACCAGCGGCACATAGGCCTTGATGAACGAGTTGCCCGAATCGTAGGCGAAATGGAACAGCTCCTCAGGAGACTTGTCCTCGAGGTCATCGAAGAAGATGCCGCCGACACCGCGGGTCTCGTTGCGGTGGATGTTGGTGAAATACGTGTCGCACCACTTCTTGAAGCGCGCGTAGTACGTCGGGTCATGCTTGTCGCAGGCATCCTTGAGCGTCTGGTGGAAGTACTTTACGTCATCCTCAAACAGATAGGCGGGCGTCAGATCGGCGCCGCCGCCAAACCAAGCCATGACAGGCGTGTCCGATCCCTTCTTGTAGACCTCGAAGCGCCTGTAGTTCTTGTGTGCGGTGGGCGCATACGGGTTGCGCGGGTGGATCACCACCGAAACGCCCGCGACACGGAACTCATAATCGTCGCTGGTCAGCGTCTGCGCGGTCTTGGGGTTGCGCGCCCGCATCGACTGCAGCTGGCCAGGCGTCAGCTTGCCCGAAATCACACTGACATTGACGCCAGCCTTCTCAAACACAGTGCCGTCCTGAATCACACACGAGATTCCATAGCCCTTGCCGTCTTCGCGTTCCCACCGGTCGCGCAGGAACTTTTTGCTCGGCTCCAGCGACTCCAGTGCTGTCACCAGGCGGTCCTGTAGATCGAGCACGAATGACTCCATGCGCTCGTGCATCGGCCGTGATGTGTCGCTGTAGTAATCAGGCTTTGGGGACGTCTCGTAGTCGGTGTATGGAATCGAGACGGGCACCTTGACTTCGGAGAGCTCGCTTCCCAAAGCCTTCTCGACCGGCGCTTCAGCCTGCGTGCGTCGGTTGCGGATCTGCTGCGCTAGCGTGCCGACCAGCACGCCGGCCAAAGAGAACACTGCAATCTCGGCCTTGCGCAGCCCGGGTCCGCCAGCCTGCGGGTTGGGCTTGGTCGAGTACAGGCGAGGGCGTCTATTCTCTGGTGTGAGTTAGCTGGTGTGCATTGCCCTTGGCTCCCTTATCGTAGTAGGTTCCAGTACTTACGCTGCGCGGGCCAGTCGCCCAGCAGTCTGCGGAATGCGCATACGAGCAAACATGGTCAATGTAAATTCTTGGGAGTAATTCGAAGAAAGAAAGAAAGGTGAGGAACTTGGGGCAGAGATCGAGAGAGGCCTCTTAACCTCTCCTCCACAATGGTTTTGAGCGGCAGTGAGAGGGTTAGAGTAAGCGTGATGATGAAGCCTGATGCTGGAATCACCTGTTGCTCAGAGGTAGCCAGGAGTTTCGGCCAGACTAAAAAACAGACATCGGGCTTTCAAACACCCAACGGCGACGCTGGTGGCACTTTTGTATTAGGGATCAGAACCAGCAGCTGTGCTCCACCGATTGCCCTGTCCTGTATCTCGCACACCCCTTTCGTTCGGATGTTTCGGGCGTCCATGCTGTACCTGTATGGTCCGGGCAAGACCGCGGTATTCCTGGGAGGAGATCATCGCCCGCGATCACATGGCAGGAGCCGTATAAGCAAGGCGTGTGCACAGAAGCTGCTCCGAGCGGGGACAGCTTAAAAGGGGACACGCTCCGTCTCTCTTTTCTTTAAGCACCCTTTCATATCCTACCTTCCTATTCTCCGATCTTTTAAATATGGCCAGCAACCAGTCCGCACTACGTCGCCAGCAGCAGCTGCTTGCACACCTCGCCAACACCGTCAACCCACGGGACACAATCTCACACATCGCCGTGTTTGGCGCTGGCATCATGGGCGGCGGGATTGCGCAGATTTCGGCCATGGCCGGCTACACCGTGGCACTGTGGGATATGATCGACGACGCCTTGGCATCGGGCGTCCAGGCAATCAGGAAATCGCTCATCCGCGTTGCCAAGAAGCAGAACCGGCCAGACAACTGGGTCACCGATATTCTGGCTCGCATCCAGACCACGACTGACCAGCTCAAGGCGGTTGAATCGGCAGACATGGCCATTGAGGCCATTGTCGAAAGACTCGATATCAAACAGCAGCTGTTTGCCAAACTCGACAAGGCGGCGCCGCCGAACTGCGTGTTTGCGACCAACACCAGCTCGCTGCTGGTCGGCGATATTTCGCGCGATGTCAGCGACTCGCGCAAGCAGAGATTCGTCGCCCTGCATTTCTTCAACCCGGTCGTGATGATGCAGCTAGTCGAGATTGCCTATACCGATAAGACCGACAAGCTGCTGATGGATGTCCTCAAGTCTTGGTGCCACTCGGTGGGCAAGATGCCTGTTGTGTGCCGCGACACACCAGGGTTCATCGTCAACCGCCTGCTCGTGCCATACAACGCCGAGGCCCGCGCCTTAGTTGAGCGTGGTGACGCCACAATCGAGGATGTCGATGTTGCCATGCGTCTCGGCGCCGGATATCCGATGGGCCCATTCGAACTGTCTGACATGACAGGTCTGGACACCGGCTACCATATCGCCAAGGGGTGGTACGAGAGTGCCCCCGGACTGAAGGGAAACCCGCTGCTCAAGCCCACGCCGCAGTTTGAGCAGATGATCAAGGATGGCCATTTGGGCAGGAAAACTGGACGGGGATTCTACACATACGATCAGTAGATCTGGATCAACATGTCATGGTGCATTAGTAAACATTAACGTTGACATCATTATTTATTAGCGAAACAAGAGACGAGAAGGAATACAGTTGCGGAGGGGATACATGTATGTGAAGGGATGGGTCTGGGAATGTGACATGGAGGCGCGATGTTCATCTTGCTGTTTTGCGTGCATATTCAGGTGCATGCGATAACACGGCGTCTTCCGAATGTGAACTGGCTGCGGCTGTGGCTGCGGTTAGCTGTGGTGGTGGCAACCCTCTGGATGTCGTAGTAAACATCTGTCTTGTCCACAAGCGTCACGGCCGAATCAACCGTAGCCGTACTAGCATTCCTATGCAGCATCAGGGGCTGGGCGCCGGCAGATGCGTTAGTATGCACATCTGCGGTTTGGACAGTGGCAGCAGGGACTCGAGGAGTCGCGGGCTGCCGTCTAAACCGGGAGAACAGGGCAAGTCTGAGCATGGCAGAGTTCAGAATGACAGGGGGTTCTTGGAGCTTGTCTTGGGGGTAAAAGAGGGAATAATTGCACGAGCGAAGAAAAAGAAAAAAGAGCCCGTGGGCGTGCTGACGAAGAAAATGCCTCTCGGGATGTCGCCAAAGCATGCGTCTGCCGTCGGATGGATAAAATTTTTTCAGTTTTTTCTTCAAAAGCAGCCCCACCACAGGCGGGAGTGCTTACACAACTTGTAATTTTCTGACCCAGGGAAACTGGACCTCCAAAATGCTAATCTCGCCAAAAAGCACGCGCGGCCTGCATACCCAGCCTTGCGCAGGCCGGGCTATAATCCTCCTTCCATAAACAGCGAAGCTGACAGATCTTGCTGCCCAAAACAAGGATGCGCGTCCCTCGACCTTGCTAACAGTCTGCCCTCAAGCCTACCAGATGATCATGCACGTTCATCCGGACCGGCTCAAACACTAGGTTGTCCAGGTCGCTGGCTCTTCCATCGAGATTTACGCGGACCTCATGGTACGAGCAGTTTGTATGTGGCGGGAGCTCATGCATGGCACTGAGGTCGCGCATAATCACTGTGGCCACAAAGACCCGGATCCACCGGCCATGCGCGCACACTAGCACTCTGCTATCTCCGTTGTCAATACAGTCATTCAGGATGCCAACAGTAGCCGACAGAATGCGCTGCTGGAACTCGTGGGCGGACTCGCCATTCTCAATTCGGGCATCGAAATCCCCTGCCTTCCATTGCTCAGTGACAGGGGTCATTATCGGCTTGGCCTTTTTGAAGTCGGTGCCGTCGATAATCCCCCAGGATATCTCGTTCAGACGCGCATCCTTGGTCAGAGGTGCCGTGGGATGGAGTACTTGGCATTTTTCGGCGGTCTGGATTGCACGGCGCAGCTCCGAAGCGTATATTCTGTCGATGGGTGTGTCTTTCAGCCCCTGCGCCAGTGCCTCGGCTTGCCGCAAGCCTCGTTCGTTGAGCTCTCCGTTAAGACTACTGCCCTGAAGCACGCCAGCGGCATTGGCAGCGGTCTGCCCGTGGCGGGCCAAGTACAGAGTAACTACGGGCATGGTTCCTTTCTTTAAGAGAAATAGCGTGCTCCAAAGAAGAAGACAGCGAAAGATAAAGATGTGCGAGTGCCATTGGATGCAGCAAAAATAACGCATGACCAATATATGCAATCCGGACGTTCAGAGCTCACCTACCCCTTACCCAGCCGGCTTTTCTCTGTGTTCTGCAGACACATGTGGTAAAATTCCATGGTCACTATCTCAAATCTGGCCGCAGTCGAGACATGTAAAAACGAATGTGTCGTGTAGTGGATCTAAAAAGCTAACAATAAAGACATTACAGACCCGCAATAAGATCGGCACCCTACTTCAAGTGCGCCAGATGCTCGTTCACGTTGATCCGGACCGGCACAAACCTCAGGTCCTCCAGGCTCGTAACGCTGCTATTGACCTCGACACTGACCTCATGGTACGAACAATTTGTGTGAGGAAAGTCGCTCATGGTCCGCAGATCGCGCGAAACCAGTGTCGCCATGATGACCCGCAACAGACGGCCATGCAGGCACAGCAGAACGTTCCTGTGCCCTTTCTCAACACTCTCATTCAGAATGTCAATCACGGCCAGCACAATCCGGTCCTGGCACTCTTGTGCCGACTCGCCATTCTCAATTCGGGCATCGAAATCCCCTGCCTTCCATTGCTCGGTGACAGGGGTCATTATCGGCTTGGCCTTTTTGAAGTCGGTGCCATCGACAATTCCCCAAGATATCTCGTTCAGACGCGCATCCTTGGTCAGAGGTGCCGTGGGATGGAGTACTTGGCATTTTTCGGCGGTCTGGATTGCACGGCGCAGCCCCGAAGCGTATATTCTGTCGATGGGTGTGTCTTTCAGCCCCTGCGCCAGTGCCTCGGCTTGCCGCAAGCCTCGTTCGTTGAGCTCTCCGTTAAGACTACTGCCCTGAAGCACGCTAGCGGCATTGGCAGCGGTCTGCCCGTGGCGGGCCAAATACAAAGTGATCGCGGGCATTGGTTGTTTAAATGAGGAAGGGTACTACAGAGCAGATGAAAAAGGGAAGAGAAAGCGAATCGGCACTGCAGCGTGGGCAGCTTACGCGGTTTTTATATCCGCACTTCTGGCATATCCCCAAAAAAGCGACCTAGAAACCACGCTGCAACCACGCCACCAGCATATCGCAGATTACCTGTGAAGGAGGCTCTGCCATGTCTACAAAAATGGCGTTGTTTACATCATATCATCCAAGCCACGGGCGCCATTGGTAGGGGGTGGATTAAAAAAAGCCCCTCGTGTGTCACGACGGCCAGTAAAACCAAGCCCGGGGTCCTCAAAGCAAAACGGTCCAGGTGGATATCATTCGGAAACTGAAGACAAGGTTTTTATTTTGTTGGCTAGCGACGAGGACGGCCGCGGATAACCATCGGGCTGATGTGCTTCCTGGTCTTCCCGCCCTTGGCCAGCTTGCCCCACGGGCTGCGCGGGTGCTTGTTGCCCTTGGACTTGCCACGACCACCACCATGGGGATGGTCGCTGGTGTTCATAGCAGTACCGCGCACGGTGGGTCTCCATCCGCGGCGCCTCCTGGCTCCGGCACCACCCAGCTTCTCGTGCTTGTGGTTCGGGTTGCTGACCGAGCCAATAGTGGCCGGGGCATCAACCGGCACACGGCGCACCTCACCGCTCATCAGCTTGATCTGCGCGGTGCCGGTCGGGGCCGTGTACAGCAGCTGCGCCGAAGCGCCAGCCGAGCGTGCGATCTGGGCGCGGCCGAACGGATGCAGACCAATGTTGTGGATCGTGGTACCGATCGGGATCAGGCGCAGCGGCATGCAGTTGCCAACGTCAATGTTGACCTTGGACTGCAGATCCGTCATCAGATCAGCGCGCGGACGGAACAGCTCCTTGATAGCAGCCTCCTCATCAACTTCTCCCTGCTGCTCCGCGCTCTCCACCGGCTTCGCCTCGGCCTTCGCCGGCTTCTCGTCAAGGTCGGCCCGCATATACGACTGCACCACCGCGCCAGGCTTCAGGCCCGCCGGTGCCAGGATATACGACAGCTCGCCGGTCTCCATGTGCTTAATCAGCGCTATGTGCGCCGTGCGGCCCGGATCGTACTCCAGGCGCACCACCTCCTGCGGTCCCACCGTGTGCCGCTTGAAGTCCACCAGCCGGATCCGGCGCTTGGCTCCGCCGCCGCGATGGCGGCACGTGATCTTGCCCGTGTTGTTGCGGCCGCCCGTGCGGCGCTTTGCCACTGTCAGCTCTCGCACCGGCCCGCCCTTGTGCAGATCCTTGCGCGACGCCATACGCCGCTGTCTCAGGGTCGGTGCCAGCGGCTTCCATGTCTTGAATTGGCCGTCGTCGAACGTATTGGCCATTGTCCGGACGCTGATTTGGGGCTTCGGCACGACAAACTTGCTGGTCAGTGCTGAGACCAGCGAGGGCGTGCGCTGCGCTACTCGACGAACTGCCCACATGCTTGACAAAGTGTATAGTAGGAATGAATGTGGTGGAATCAGAGCTGGAGGACAGGGGAGGAAGGCTGAAGCCCAGAGTCTTGAGCAGATAGCCAGGGCGATTTAGATCAGGGAAAAAATCCAGCGCATTATCGTAAAATACAGATCAAATGATCAACAGCAAATCAGGAGTATATCACGTGACAGAGGTTTCACAGCGGCATGGTGGTCAATCCATGGCGATTGACCTCTGGCTTGAAGAGAGCATGCCAAATATCCACGATGCTGCATCGTGTGCAGAAAGCAGGCTTTGAAGGGATAATTAGAAACTACTAATAGAAGGTAAAGGAAATGTAAAGAGAAAATGATACAGAAAGGCGGACAAGGGGTATGGGGGCGGGGTTGAAAGAGAGAAGATGAAGTGCTTTGCAGGTGTTGTTCAGAATACAGAGCTTGAGCGTTTGCGGTTTCGCGACTTTCGACTTGGGGGAGATGGCTGCGGCTTGCTCAATGGGGCCTCAGTGGCCGGGGGCTGCGGCGCTTTCCTGGCGCTGTCTTTGGCCTTGGGCCCTGGCCGCATTGGCGGCAAATACTGTCCCACTGCGCCCGAGTAGCTGTGGGGGGCACTGTTTTGCTGCTTGGATACATCGGCCTTTGGAGGCGAATTGCGGCGGCGGTGGTTGCGCTTTCCCCGTGTGGGCGACTGTGGAGCATTGGTATCCAAGGCAGGCGGGTTCGAGTTGCTCCCACGGCGACGGTTGCTATTGTGGTGGTTGTGGTGGTTGTGGTGGTTCTTGTTGGAGGGGACCTCATACAGCGGGCATTTGACCGAGACAATCTTCTCGCCCGGCAGTATGAAGGCGGTCAGCTTGCCGCCATACACGCAGCGAGTGTCGAGCCCCTTTGTGTAGGCGTGGAGCTGCAGATTGCGGTTGGCGTCATGGCCGTAGACAACGCGAGAGAAGTGCACGTGGTCGATATCCTGCCCCTCAGCATCCACCAGCGACGCTTCATGCTCGGCAGCATCAGTCTTATTGGCGTCGCGCTCGCGCCTGAGGATCTTCATCTTGGCCGACCACAGCTCGAACCATGCAAGACCCCTGTCGTGGGAGCTGATGGGACCCGATGAGTCGATATTGCGCATGTTCATGACGTCGTGCGAGTCCTGCTCAGTCAATGGCTTGGACGGGTCCAGTCCACCATGCACCACCAGCCAGTCCTGGAACGGCGGCGGCAGCACCATTATGGTCGGGAACGACGACATGAAGGCAAAATCGGCCGGCGACATCTGCTTTGCAATCTTGTAGTGCGGCTTGCTCATTTTAAAGTCATTGTATGGCAGGCCGTGGGCGCGCTCCAGCGCCTTGAGCTCGTTCTGCGACAGATTCCTGCCGGGGCCCTCCAGGAACTCCCGCCACCGGATGACGCCGTCGTCGTGGTTGCCGCGCACGCACCAGGCGTTGAGCTCGCGGGCCCTGCGGATGACGCCAATCGAGTCGGGCCCCTTGGCCACAAGGTCGCCCACCAGCACCACCTGGTCCTCGCTGGGCTTGTATAAAGCCTTCTTCAGCAGCCTATCAAACTCGCGCGCGCATCCATGGATATCGCCGATGAAAATCAGTCGCTTCTTCGCCTCCGCACTGTCAAACTTGCGCACCTCCACCAGCTTTGGCTCCTTCGCCCGGAACGACTTTATTGCCTCGGGTGTCGCCTTGCCCTTCTTGCCCTTGTACAAGGCTGTGTCACTGTCATCCGATAGGGACAAAGACGCTAGCGAGGCCACTGATGAGTCAGACAGCGACGACTGCTGCGGCGACAGCGGCACCAGAGCATCGCCCTCGCCAGACTTGGCCGCAGTCAGACTTGTCCCAGGAATATCCACTGGCAGCAATGGCGGTTCTGACTGCTCGCTGGCCTTCCCAGAGACATTGGGCGACGTCGGCGGAGAAGTAAGCCCAGTAAGGACGTCGGCGGCGTTCTTCACTGTGTCTGCGGTAGGGCTGGGCGGCGAACAAGATAGCATGAGGAGCGTACAGACGGTAACGAGAGAAGCTAATGCGAAGAGTATTGAAATACGCTTGTTGAAACCAAAGGGCATAGTATGAAAAATTGGATGGAAAGAGAGAGAGGGAAAGAACAAGTCGGAAGACGAAGGCGTTTTACTGTGACTGGTGGTGTCCAGGGAGAGGCTCAAGCTATGGCAGCAATTAATCTTGCCACGGCCATCCCCTCTCTATACAGGCGGATGGAAACCTAGGCCTTTTTTGCTGGGCGTCTTTTAACAACGCCGTAGCGCCGCCGCCGCCGCTGTCATTCAAAGCAAAACATGCGTTTGTTCACAAAGTGTAGATATTCTACGGGTGCTCCACTGCGAACTGCCCAAAAGGGTGCATGCCCACTCGTGTGTTTGGCCACAGTCGGCAATGTCGAACAACAGCCGCCGGCTGTTCCGAAAACAACTGAGCGCAGGCGGCGATTAGTGGGATCAGATTGCAATCAGGGACCCCGATGCTCACGCTGTGATTGCTCCCCGCTGGCTGTGAAATAGCACGGTTCTCACACAATACCTAAAAATTTTTCCCGCTTTGCTTTGCTTCTCTGAATTGCTTTTGTCATTTTTCCACTTTCGCAAAGGTAGGGCACAGTCTGCTTTGTGCTTTTAAAGCCCCGCGGGCACTAGAAAAGACGCAGCATCCACTAACTCTCTCTGTACTCACCATAGAATATCATAACCATGTCTCAGGATCTTAAGGGCGCCCTTGTCGGTTTCTGCAACCCGCTGCTTGACATCTCGTCGGTTGTCGACGACTCGCTTCTGAAAAAGTACAGCCTGAAGGCCAACGACGCCATTCTCGCCTCGCCCGAGCACGTCCCCCTGTTCCAGGAGCTGATTGACTCGTGGGACGCCAAGTTCCTGCCTGGCGGCGCCGGCCAGAACGCGCTGCGCGGTGCCCAGCTTCTGCTGCCAGCCGACTCGGCCGTGTTCATCGGCGCCGTGGGCAAGGACGAGAACGCGCAGCGTCTGAAGGGAGCGGCTGACAAGGCCGGCTTGCGCACCAACTACATGGTGAACGAGGAGAAGCCGACCGGCACCTGCGCTCTGCTGATCACGGGCCCGAACCGCTCGATGGTGGCGAACCTGTCGGCGGCCGAGACGTACAGCGCCGAGCACATCAAGAAGCCCGAGAACTGGAAGAACATCGAGGATGCCAAATTCTACTACATCACCGGCTTCTTCTTCACCGTGTCGCCCGAGACCATCGAGCGCGTGGCCAAGCACGCCAACGAGAACAACAAGACCTTCACCATGAACCTGTCGGCGCCGTTTGTCCCGCAGTTCTACAAGGAGAAGGTTGCCGAGACCCTGCCGTATGTCGACATTCTGTTCGGTAACGAGACCGAGGCCGCGGCGTTTGCCCAGAACTTTGGCATTGAGTCTGACGACATCAAGAAGATCGCCAAGACAATCGCTGACTTGCCCAAGGAGAGCAGCAAGCCGCGTCTGGTTGTGTTCACCCAGGGCGCCGAGAGCACTGTGGTTGCGTCGTCCGACTCGGACGAGATCCGTGTGTACCCGGTCACCCCGGTGCCGGCCGAGGAGATTGGCGACTCGAACGGTGCTGGTGACGCCTTCGTTGCTGCCTTCCTGTCGCAGCACATCCTGGGCCGCTCGGTTGACGAGTGTGTTGAGGCTGGTACCTGGCTCGGTGGCGAGGTCGTCCGCGAGATCGGCCCCAACTACCCGAACCGCGAGCTCAAGTACGTTCCCTCTGGATCGTTCGCTCCCAAGGTCCTGAAGCTCTAAGCGTAGCCCTCCATTTTTGCAAACCAGCATTACTTTCATTCACACTTTTGCAAGTGTTTCAACAGGTATTTGAAGCAGTGAAAAGCCTAGTAGTTCGCTACATGTTCTTTTTGACCGAGGAGTTTGGTATTTGACCGGTTTAAACAGGAACTTGCACCTACCCTAGAGTGTGGGGGAGGAAGGGAGCGCTACTGCTATTACCAGTAGTACACAGGGCTCCTTGCAGCACAGGTGTCGGCCACGATCGTGCTGGCAACATGGCTGAGTTGCATGTATCGCTCGGTTGCCATTGAACAAGAGAGTGAGATACCACTGCAGGAAATGTGCTGGAATTGGAGGGCAGTATCCGCATGTTCGAAATGGGATTCGGTAACAGCTGGTGCTGCAGACGCAGACGCAGACACAGATACAGATTTCCTGGCCCTTGCCTTAAAGCCAGGCTTTTCGATGGCAGCGATATACCTTGCACCTTATCGCGCAGCTTGCAGAGACAAAACAGGCGCCTCGCCTTCACTGGTCCACCCGCCACAGCCCCTCCAAGCCGAAACGTGGAACATAAAATCGCAAACTGTCATTAACTTCCACGTCAATTTTCCTGCTTGGGGGAATGAAAAAGCAAACCTCGCCAGAGATTGCCCTGCCCAGTCGTCTGCCACCCAAGCAACCAGGTTGGATTCCGTATCGCTAGCAGCCTGGAGATGCAATAAATATTGCTCGCAGACTCCCCCCGTAAACGCTATCGATGTTTCTGATTTCCTCTTGCATTGTACCAGTAAATATCTCTTATATTTTCGACACACACCCACACATCATCCCCTCAGGTACATGTTGCGTATGGCCAGGAATCAAATGGCAGCGGGCATTTTAGCCCCAGCTGCTGGTCACTAGCGGGTGGCTTGGGGTTGTGAATTGGCCTCATCTTGGAGTGAACGCAAAGTGCTTGCCAATTTATGCACGCCCGCCTCTGCCCTGTCTCATCATGTGAGCCCCGAGACTCCAATGTTTTTCTTGTCCGTGTATCCTGAAAATTGTTTAAAGAGGGGCGGACCAGGCCCCTGACTTTTTGCTTCTCCCCCTCTACTTCCCACCCCTCTTTCTATTCTTCACACACCTACTGACAACACCTCCCTTTGTCTCTTCTCGTATAGCAGTCTGTTTTGTATTTTAGCAATAATGTCGTCGTCGGTCCCGCTAATTCGCATTTCGCCGTCCGAGTTCCAGTTCTCGCAAACAAAGAGCGGATACTCGAGCCGGCTGCGGCTGACGAATCTGCAGCAGCGTCCGGTCGGGTTCAAGTTCAAAACCAACGCACCGCACAAGTTCCTGGTGAAGCCGGTGGTGTGTGCGTTGACAAAGAAAGGCATGGCAGTAGACGTCATTGTCAAGAGCACATCGGCAATCACCGATACCGACCGATTCCTCATCCAGACCGTCGCCTTGTCGGGCGATGAAGCCGACGGCCTGGATTCCTCAAAGGTAAGACAGGGTTGGTATTGACCCCCGAGTCAGCAATGTCCGTGTTGGTGGGACTGCTAGCATTGTTCTGGCGCCGCTCGCCCCCTGCTGGGCTTGTCTGTGGGAAGCGGGCGCATGCACGGGTACTATTCTGGCGCTTTTTATTCGCCTTGTGCAGGCTGCAAATAAGCGGCAAGACTGAAGCACATTCTGGCGCCGGCTCACATGACTGGACTGACATCTAATGGATTTTCTGCTTGCAAAATTGCTTCCTATCGTGTTGCCCTCGTGTAGTGGCGGAAGCTGGACCCGACGCGAATCATGGAGGACCTCATCCAGTGCACGCATGGCCGTCGCGCGTCTATCTCGTCGCACGGAAGCCTGTCGCCGCCTGCCAGCCCGCCGCTGGTGGCCGTATCGCACGTGTACGACTCGGAACAGCAGCCAATGCTGCCTAGAATCGATGAAAAGCCGTCCAGCGGCAGCCAGCAGCTGGCAAAACGTGTGTTTATGCTGATGCCCGGAATCGACATGTCTGACTGGTCGTGGACTGAATTTGCGCTGTTTGGTGCCATTTGCATGGCCATTGGGTTTTTCCTGCCTGCCATCCGCTATGTTTTGCTCAACTAACCACCCCCTTCCACATCCATAGCTTGTAACATGTACATTTACACTAATCCTATCATTTCTTTTTATTGTCTTTCCTAATACCCATCTCCTACTCCTCCGAATCATGCTGCGCCTGCTGTGCCTTGGCAATCTGCTGCCTCTCGTTGAACTCGACAATGTTTAGCAGGTCGCTGACCCGCCATCTGAACGGCTCACCCGCCGACTCGTCGCCCTCTTTGACTGCACTCTCCAGCATCTTGGTACCCTCATAGAACGGCGTGCTCAGCGCCATTGGGATCACCATCGTGCCTTGATCGCTATCAACGACCTTGCCCTTCAGCGACAGCTTCACCGACACATCGGCCGTCATCTTGAACAAGTACCGCATCTGCACCCACTCCATCAGCGCCGGCACAGGGGGGCGCGTGTTGGGAATTGGCGTGCCATCGGGCGCCACTGTGCGCTCCACCGCCAGGCGAATCGAGCCCGAGAACTTGAACACGTACTTTTGCCGCCTTAGGCCATGCGGAATCGCCAAGTCAAAGGCCTCTGGTGGGCCCAAAAACACCGTCATGTCCTCGATCTCTGGGAACCGCACATCCCGCACATCAATTTCCAGCCTGTACCCCTGCGCCTTCATGTTGGCAATGGCATGCTTGTATGTCTTCGCAAGGAACGGCGTCATCAGCTCGTCCAGGACCTTGTAGTCGCCCTGGTTGATTGCCTCCACCGTGCGCTGCAGAACCACCGCTGCCATCTTCTCCTGAATATCCTTGATGTAGTTCTCCGGGAACGCCAGCTTCGTCATGCTGCGGGCGCTCAGCTGCGTGAACCACTTGATCAGCGGGGTAATGAACTGGAATCGCGTCTGCGTAGTGGACAGGGGGCTGTGCTTGGGCATTGTGTCTGCGTCGCTGGGCCAGATCCACGGGAACCGGATGCGCTCGCGGCCTCGCTGCTCTGTCGACATCCACCGGCGGGGCTGCAGGGCAACTCGCGGCAGCTGTCGCTGTAGTGGCCGGGTTACGCGCGGAATCATGATTTGAAATTTGAATTTGAAGGCCGACAAGTAAAAATGAGTAGACTGATAAGCTAAGCAAGAGCCAGGTGCTGGCGAAAATTTTCAAAAGGGGGCGGGGTTTATCAAGATTTTGTGTACGTCACTTGCAGCAGCCTTGTGGGCGCTTTGCATGATCACTCCATCCACAGCTTGAGCGTGCAGTCGTATCCGGTCGAGGCCATGCAGCTGCCGTCACTGGAAATGTCCACGCTCATAACCTTGCCTGAATGTCCTGCCAGCGACTTTTGCAGCCGCCAGTCGCCCGCCGTCCATACATTCACCAGCCCGTCATTTGACGACGTCGCTAGATACTGCCCCCATCGTGCACCGAAAATCGCACATCCGTCACAATAGACCGGTGTGCGGGAATCTCGTGTACCTGCGCGATCCGTCGCAGATCGAAAATCTTGACCGTATTGTCGGCGCTGCCTGTGGCCACCTGGAACCCATTCGGCGACCAGTCTATGCCAAAGATCTCTTTGGCGTGGCCCTGCAGGCTCATAATCGACCGGCCAGACCGCAGGTCCCACACCCGCCCGATCCCGTCCAGACCGCCTGTAGCTGCCAGAGAGCCATCGCACTGGAACCTCAGTGCAAACAGCTCGCGTGAATGTCCCTCTTGTAGCAGCAGCTCTGTTTGTGTCGTGAGATCCCACAGTCGCCATGACCCATCATAGCTGGCGCTGCCCAAGTATTTGCCACATGGGTGGTGATGCACATGCACGACACGGCTGGCATGGCCCTCCAGCTTGCCTACCGGCGCCTCCTTGCCCATCGACCACAGGAGGATCTGACTGTCTGCTGCACCACTGGCAAAATCAGCCGTCTCTTCGCCCTGTGATCCAGCCTGAGGATGGAATGACAGACCACCAACCCGATCGGTGTGCCCGCGATAAGTGCGGATGGGCTGGCAGTCCGGGATACTCCAGAGCTTGATGTGACCAGTCCACGAGGCTGTCAATAAGTGCTGCGAGTCAGGCGAGAAAATGCCTCGCGATAGTGGCCGGTCATCACCCACCTGCGATCCCATGTTTGCATAATTCTTCAGCTTCGCAACCAACTCTTGCCGCCTCTGCCTCACCTCTACCAGTGGCACCTTGAACTCCTCACCCTGTCGCTCAATACGCTTCTGTGCTTGGCCTAGTGAGAACCCTGCAATGTCTCTGCGTGCTTTCAGCAGCTCTTGAGACCCCTCGGTGAAAAACTCCTCGTCTTCATCGTCGCTCCCAGTACCGCCTTTTTCCTTATCTGCCTGCTCATCGATCTGGCCACCCTCCATGGCAATTTTTGACAAGATGTACCGCAGCCGCGACCGCCGGTCACCTGCATCCTCGCCAAACAAACAGATTGGATGCCCGTGTTTGCGCAGGGCAAGCTTTACTTTTTCGTCGTCGGTAGGTACCGCAATCGCCCGTGCTATACGCTTGCGCTCAAACTCCTGCATGGCCATGCGCCGACTCTCCAGTGTTTCTGAACGCAATTCCGCATCTTCTGCCTCGTCGACCACCTCTTCAATCATGTCAAGGTCAATGTTGGATATACGCGATGTGCCGGCTTCTTGAGTTTCTTGCTGTTCCTCCTCACGCTTGCGCTTTGCATAACCGACAGCATCCCGCTCGAGTGTGCCAAAATGTACTCTCTCCTGGCGGTTACTCATATTCTGAATTTGTATATTAATTGCAAGCCGAAAGAGGGAGACATGTTGCGGTTGCGGATAATTCCCCCATATACACTTTAAACCAAATTTTATTGTGCTGATTTCGGTGGATTATGGATACTCACGTGTAACATAACCCGGTTGTTACTCCCTTGCATTGCCTAACAGATATAGATATGAAAAATGAACGTGTTTGTGTGTGAAAGACCATGCTTGAATGAGGCAACAAAGTACTGTGTGCTTCTAAAGCAAATCACACATCCCTGTGGTGAAGTTCTGAGGAGCATGAGTCCCCTTAACCAATTTAAAATGGTCTGACTGACAGATAGGTATTTTTAGAGTATAAAGTTTTACATATAGATACCTCAGTGCAGCATTGCATAGGCCATACTGATTTCAGATAAGAATAAGGGATACAAAGGCGCCTATTCTATAATCACCACGGCTAGCAATGGCAATTTGAACAGGTTTCAGAGTCACTGTAGAGCACCAGTTGCCTTGCTGGCTTGCAAACCTTGTGATGCGGATGCTATTGACATGCGTTTCGAGATCCACGATTATGTGATTCGATCAAACTTTTTTAAAAGAAAATCCCGAGAAATCGAAGGCTTTTTTGCCTTCACTTTCACCTTCACCTTCACCTCACATTCGTGCTGAAATCTCTCTTAAATGGCAGACACAGAAGTTGCAAAGAGAATATATGTCGGCGGGTTTACAATGCCGGTGACGGAGGCTGATATCACTGGCCGATTCAAGCCCTTCGGCCAAGTGTCGTCAGTCGAACTGCCCAAGACAGCCGACGGGCAGGCGACTCGCGGGTTCAGCTACGTCAACCTGTCAATCAAGCCCTCACAGTGGCGCCGGTGTCTGAGCATCTATACTGGCGCAAAGTGGAAGGGCGGCAAGCTGCGTGTCGAAGAGGCTAAAGAGGATTACATGGCCAAGCTGAAGCGTGAGTGGGCTGAGGCCAAAGAGCCGCCCAAGGACGGCAGCAGCGACGAAGAGGAGGCTGACGGTGCGGAGACGAAGAAAAAGAAGAAGCGCAAGGTCCTGAAGGAGGCAGGCATGGCCAAGGACATGAGTCTGGTGACGGCGAAGAACATGGATCGGTTTAGCGGTTGGACTAAGGGCCGCTACGGCCGCCCTGTGCTCAAGGTGCGGCTAACAAAACTCGATGGCTCGAACTTTGTGTACGATCCGAACCACTACAAGGATAGCTTTGAGAAGCTGTTTGGGTCGGTCCGGCCGAAGGACTCGGAGCATCTCGAGTGGGAGTACAACGAGGGTGCCGCATTGGCAGATCAGGAGCGTGCGCGCCAGCTGCCGCAGTCGGTTATTGAGCTCAAGGAGAAGATGCTGGAGAAAATCGCTAAGCGGCCGGCGCTGGAGAGCTTGCCGCCGTTATCAGACAAGGGGTCTAAGAAGAGGAATGGCGACGACGACGATATGGCTTTGGCGCCTGTCAAAGACTTTGATCCGATGTATCCAGGCTTGACTGAGGAGGAGGTTGAGATTGCGAAGGAGCGTGAACGCACATCAAACGTGCTGAACCAGATCCTGGGTGATGTCGCCGAGATTTCCACAGCCCCTGCCACAGACAACACTGTTGAGATCGCTACACCTGCACCTGCTGCCAGTTTTGACGACGAGAGTGATGAAAGCGACTACGAGACGATGAAAGCCCATTCGACGTATTCTGCAGACAAGGCGGTTTTGTTCGAGGACTTTGCAGATGATCTTAAGGGTGTATATGGAGACAAGGACGAGGGTAACAGCGAGGGCGACTTGGAGGCTAGAGAAACGGCGAGTCCTGAGGATGGCTCTGGTACCAAGTCGAGCAAACAGTCCAAATCAAAGGAGAGCAGCAGCGGGAGCAACGACAGCTCTGATTCGAATTCTGACTCGGCATCAGGCTCCAGCTCCAGCTCCAGTAATAGCTCCAGCTCCAGTAATAGCTCCAGCGATGGATCAGATGATGGATCAGATGATGGATCAGATGATGATCTATCCAAGAAAACCGACTCCAACTCCAGCAGCGACTCAGACTCTAGCAGCGACTCAGACTCTAGCAGCGATGATGAGGATGAGGATGCCGATCAACAGCCGAAAGGCGATTCAGCAATGGACGTCGATGAGGACACACTCGCAGGAAAGAATGAGCTGAAGAGTCTGTTTGGCAACGAGTCCGGAAGCACGGGTAACAGTGGCAGCGGCCTGTTTGGGTCATCTTCAGGCAGTGGCTTCAAGTTCACCGAGGCTCTGGGGCTGGAGGCGGACGAGCCCTCGGCAATTGCCAGGACGGTTGATGAGCAGGCGCCCGTCACAGGCGGAGCGACTCTGGATGGGCCGGCAATGCGTAACCTGAACGCGAACCGCCTGCCCATGTTCTTCGCTGACATCGATGCGCCCGCGTTCAAGCAACCCGAGCCTGTGTTCCAGCGGCAGCAGACCGAGGAGGAGCTCGACGCGCAGCTCGATGCACAGCGCGCGGATCTGACCAAGGAGTACAAGTCGCAGCACCGCTCGGTGGTGAAGAAGTCACAGAAGCTGCGCCAGCGGCGGGCCAAGGGCCCAGGCGGCAATTAGGATCTTTCGTTTTCTCACGTAGCCATCACGTGGACATTCAGCAATGCACATTTGTTGCCGGGAGCCTAGCGCTACGGATCAGGGCGTCGTCTGCCGGAATTCGTTTTCTGCAATTCTGTTCCCACGTGTGGATCATGTAAAGCAGTACGCCGCTTTGCCGCCGATTCTGGCCAGGTGGAGTGCAGACATAAAAACGCACCCTTGACCCGCGCTTCCCACGCCTTTTGTTCTCCCCCAGAATTTTTTTCACTCTCCACGCCCCGAGGCACTTTAGCAAACCCCCGCCACCTACGCCTTTCAGCTGAACGCAATCTGATTCCACCCGCAACTATGATGCGCACCACCCCCAACGAGCCTGGCACGCACTACGATGCCAGCGGCAACCGCGAGCAGCGCACGACCATCCTCTTCACCATCCAAGACCAGGTCGGAGCCCTGGACGAGTGCCTGCGCGCGCTGAAGAAGGTCGATGTCTCGATGACCCGCATCGAGTCTCGCCCCAGCCGCTCGATCACCGCCGGCTACGACTTCTTCATCGACATCGATGCCAACACCAAGGAGGTTGTCCAGAAGGTCATCGAGGCAATCAAGGCTGTCAGCGTCGTCAAGGACGTCAGCGCCATCAGCAACCTCGATGATGTGGTCGGCGGCTCCTCGGACAAGAGCCCCGATGCTGTCCCCTGGTTCCCGCGCAAGGTATCCGATCTGGACACCTTTGCTGAGAAGGTCCTGGAGATGGGCGAGGAGCTGTCGTCCGATCACCCTGGCGCTAGCGACCCCGTGTACCGTGCCCGCCGCCTCGAGATCGTCAACAAGGCGAAGGAGTACCGCACTGGGCAGCCGCTGCCTCGCATCGAGTATACGGAGCAGGAGAAGGAAACCTGGAGGCAGGTGTACACGCGGCTGCGCAGCATGTATCCCAAGTATGCGTGCCGTGAGTTCCTGCATGTGTTCCCGCTCCTGGAGCAGAACTGCGGTTACGGCCCCGACGACATCCCGCAGATCGAGGACATCTCGCGCTTCCTGAAGGACTGCACTGGATTCACTCTGCGCCCCGTCATGGGTCTTCTCACGCCCAGAGACTTCCTCAACAGCCTTGCCTTCCGCGTCTTCCACTCCACCCAGTACATCCGCCACCACTCCGATCCCTACTACACTCCCGAGCCCGACTGCTGCCACGAGCTGCTTGGCCACGTCCCGCTGTTTGCCGACCCGAACTTTGCCGAGCTGGCCCAGGAGATTGGTCTGGCGTCGCTTGGCGCCTCTGATGAGGACATCGAGAAGCTGGCCACCATCTTCTGGTTCACCGCAGAGTTTGGGCTATGCAAGGAAGGCGACAACGTGCGTGCCTATGGCGCTGGCCTGCTGAGCTCGTTTGGCGAGCTCGAATACGCGCTCACGGACAAGCCCGAGAAGCGCGGCTTTGACCCTTCCCAGACAGCCATCCAGAAGTACCCAATTACGGAGTTCCAGCCGGTGTACTTTGTGGCAGACAGCTTCCACGACGCTACAAACAAGCTGCGCGAGTTCAACAAGCAGATGCGCCGTCCCTTCCAGCTGCGCTACAATCCCTACACGCAGTCTGTGGAGGTTCTCAACAGCAGGGACACCGTGCAGCACTTTGCCCGGACTATCCGAAACGAAATGCAGCTATTGACTAGCGCCTTGGAGCACTTGTAAGACTGCTCTTTCAATGCTTATATTTGCTGCTGAATAAATACCCGAATCAAGCCCTAGTTGCCGCCACTAATTGATCATGCTGATGCCGCCTGGCTGCCGTATATCTGCACATGTTATAGCCGTATATGTGGTCAGTTTATGATAGTGCTACATAGATTGAATTACTGGCACTTGTTTGGGCGGACATACTCAAATAAAATATGACCACCACATTGAGCATTATGAGGGACAATTGGAGACCGCCTTCACACCCTTTGCCATTCAGCCCCTACAATACCAGACACGGCAGACAGCCTATGACAGCAGCAGCCCTCGCCTTCGCACGCCTCCAAGTGTTGAAAACCAGGAACAAAATGAGCAACAGCTTCAAAGCAAAGGCATAAAACCCCACCCCCGACTCGATAGCAGAGAAACCTCCCTACTTTTTCCACCAGGTCCAACCCAAATCTACTTTTCCAACAACTAGCCATGATGTCTGCTACAAAGACACATCCGCCAAGCGCTATCCCGTGGTTCCCCAGGTGCACTGCTGACCTGGATTCCCACTCTGTAGCTGTGCTGCAGTTCGGGGAGGAGCTAGAGTCAGATTATGTCGGCGCGAACGACCCCGAGTATCGCCGCCGCCGCAACGAGATCGCCAAGATTGCCAGCATGTACAGAACGGGCCAGACGATTCCGTATATCGAGTACAACGATAACGAGCGGGCTACCTGGAAGGCGCTTTTTTGTCGGATGAAGGGGATGCATGAGGATTACGCCTGCACCGAGTACCAGGACGCCTTTAAGGTTCTCGAAGAGGAGGGGCTGTTTACGGCAGACGATGTGCCGCAGCTTGAGGACGTGTCCAACTTCCTGCGTTCTCGCTCGGGATTCTCCCTGCGTCCTGTAACCGGGCTGCTTACGTCCAGGGACTTTATGAACAGTCTTGCATTCCGTGTCTTTTACTGCACACAGTATATCCGCCACCACTCGAACGTGTTTTTCACTCCAGAGCCCGATGTCTGCCACGAGCTTCTGGGCCATGCTCCAATGTTTGCTGACCCCGACTTTGCCCAGCTCGCACAGGAAATTGGCCTCGCCTCGCTTGGTGCATCGGATGAGGACATTGTCAAGCTGGGGAATATTTTCTGGTACACAATCGAGTTTGGTCTATGCAAGGAGTCGGGGAAGGGGATTCGTGCATACGGCGCTGGCCTTCTTAGCTCTTACACTGAGCTTGAGAACGCGTTCTCTGATAGGTCTGAGAAAAGGCCATTCGACCCTCTTGATGCTGCCACTCTCGAGCACAGTATAGTTGACATTAACACAACTTATTACGTGGCTGAGAGCTTTGCATGCGCAACTAACCAGCTGAGCGACTATGTCCAGCAGCACAACAACAGGGACTTCAAGCTGGCGTATGATGCCAAGACTGGCACGGTCAATGTCGTTGACAAGCAGGAAATCTAGCTTTATTCACATCTCCGCATTTCCCACTTCTCATTTCCCCTTTACCCTCACCCTGTGTAGCCGTCAGTGGCTATACTGCATCATTTATATATTAAAGCAATAACTATAAGTGCACCCAAGCTACATGTGTCTAATGGTGGCTGCTGGCATGTTCCGCGATTACTGAGTGGCATTGATACGATACTCTGCCACTGAGTGTGGCAGGTCAGAAGTCGCTCGTGCAAGCGGGTCGAGGTAGAGTTCCACCTCCTGGTGTGGGCTGTATGGAGGGTGTGTCTTCACCTTGACATATGGCCGAAAACCTGACATAATCTCACGGTGATGGCGTATGGCTTTTACCTTGCGAGCACCCACCTTTTCTTGGTAAGCATCCAGCTCGTCCTTAGACAGCACTGCCAGGATATAGTCGGGATGCACAACAACAATCTCTCCGCCAACCTGGCCAAACCCAAACGACTTCAACATGCAGGCTTTTATCCCACTTGTACAAATCGTTCTTGAGGGGTACAGCAAGTGCTCAAACTCCTCCAATTCAGCGTCGATGTTGTCTGCGTTTCTGTTTCCTGGAATTATGCCTGTGCGAAGGCTCTGGACAGCACCATTCAGCATCCAAGCAGCCGCTGCGCCTTTGGGGTGTCCTGTAAGCCACTTTTGGCACACAATCGGCAGCACATTCCCCTTCCCACGTCCAAGATGCTGCAATTGTCGGTTCAGTACCCGCGATTCGTTGAGGTCATTCGCCTTGGTTGATGTGCCATGGAAAGAAGCCACACCAATATCGTCTATTGTCAGGCCCCAGGTTGCGAGACTGGCTCTTAGCGGCGAAACGTATGGACTGTCTCTCCAAATATCCATTGACCAAGTGTCTTGGGCGCTCTTGAGCAGCCTTTTGGCCTCGATATCGATCAGGCTCAAGTGCTCTTGCAGGGCTTGATCCTGGAATGTTTTCTTGACATAGCTGCGCTTTTCGTGAACCCACTGGCCAATAGTTTCACGCTGATGGTCGAGCTGCTGCCGGCGGTAGTTTATATCCAGGGTCGGATCGACCGCCACCAGTGTCCGCTCACGAGCAGTTGTCAATATTCCCTGTCCAGGTGCGGGAACAGAGCGACCTTCTTTATCTGTTGCTGTTGACGTCATGGCAACAATTCCGTATACTGGCACGCCCATTTCAATTGCCGCTGATGCAGACATGAGCACAACGATTCCAGCACCACCGCTCTCAACAAACCCGCTTCTCGTCGATGTGCACGGACGAGACATCTCATTGGGTGTGCGGCCGCGGGCAAATTCCTCTAGCGTATTGCTGGTTGCCATCATTTGCCCAAACTCATACGAGCCCTCCTCGCTGAAATCGTCGCACCCGCCTGCTAGCATCACTTTCGCCTTTCCAGACCGTATCGTATCCACAGCCACATCTATCGAGACAATAGCTGTTCCACACGCCCCGACCGTTGGCTTTATCGCGCCTGATGACGACAGTAGGAGCATGTTGAGATATGCGTTGACGGTGTTGATAAGCGACTCTTGGACAATATCGCCTTGCACTTCTTTGTCAACTAGTCTGTCTTTGTACATTCGACGCATGGACCAAGCACCTCCGATTCCTGACCCAACCGAGCTCCCAACTTGGGATACGTGCATATATTGGTAAAGCTCGTAGGGGTCAGTGATGCCTGATCGCATTAGTGCCTCCACCGTAGCAACAATCGCTTGGCATGTAATGGGGTCGACCTGGTCGATGATATCTTTGGGGATACCATAGACTTCGGGGCTCCATCCGGTTGGTAGCTGGGCTGCTACATGTCGATCAAAGTTTATCGCCTTCGGCACCATCAGCGTTGCACCCTTCAAGAACCTGACCGACCAGGAGCCGTCGTTGTTTAGCCACGAATCGACACTGTCGCCATTTTGGCGCTTAAAATCAGCAGCCTCTTCGGCTGTCGTCACAAAAGGTTCCAGATCATGTTCGATATGCAGCTCGCGCATCGCAAGCTTCTTCTTTGGGTCATAGCCGTGCGTCATTTCTGGCTCGATCAGTCGAATACCAGTGTGCTCTAGTATGTAGCCTTCGTACTTTGGCTTGATATCATAGTCATCAATTGGATTTTCCGATGCAGCATCCACCCATCCAAAGTAGCCGTTTTTGCCATCAGCACGCTTGATGAGACCCATGATCCAAGCTAACTCAATGCAGCCTTCGAGCGATAATTCGCCATATGCCTCCATCTCCCAGCGGCAGGCAGAGCTGCCATAGGGGCCAACCTCGCCATACCCCGCTATGACTACAACCTTATCCAGATTCAGCATTCCCTGCAGATAATGCATCTGCTGGAGATCCTCAAACGACCTTGCGTGCGGAAATTCAATGGTGCTGTTTGCTTTTGGTTTAAAGCGTGGCTCGGTGTAGATGATTTTCCCTCGCGGTCCAGATACACTGTATATATCAAGGCCATGCTCTGCAAATATTGCACTGTTTCGGGTGCTCACGAAGCGTAATTCGCTACGTATTGCAGCGGTGGTCTTTTCCAACATCGGAATAAGGTGGAATCCCCCAGACAGCTCAGCCCACACCGGGCCGTGCTGAGCCTTGGATGTGAATGTCGGATGCATCAATCCAATTATGTTTAGCGCCATTTCCTGTGTGGTAAATGTCCTCAATCCATGCTTTTCGACGCCGTATGCAACAAGGTTGCTCCCATCCATGAGACCCGTACCACGAACCCATCCAATTGCCGCGCCTGTGATTGCCAGCTGGCCTGACCATGACTCGGAATACCAGCGTGTAAACAATACCTCTAGCGCGATTTTACTCTCGCTGTACAAACCAGTTGATGCGAAGTCGCCATGGTTAGGCGACATGGGCAATATCACCTGTGTGCAGCCAACATTTTTGCCGCCCCTCGATTTACGGGACCTGACCTCCCCCAGAAGACGGAGCAGGTTTGTCAGCATCACCCGGTGTGCTAGTTCTGAGCGAGAGTCGATATTCGTTATGTCGTTACCAGTCTCCGATATGGCGGCAAATGGTAGAATATAATCAAGGTCCCATCCGAGTGCATCTCCACGAGTCGGTTTGTCATATATGAAGCTAATAAGGCTACTAACATCATGCACAGAGCCTTGATTAAATGGCACTACAATTAGTTTTGAGCCCTTTGCGCCAAAATTCTGAAAGAGATGTTGGAAGTGGAGTATTGTCTCTTGACTGTAGCTTGAGGTAGTAGCCACGATTTGAGCGCCCCCGGCAAGCAGCCCACGAATAACCTCAGCACCAATTGAGCCCTGGCTGCAGCCAGTGACCAGTGCTTTTTTCCCAGTAAAAGTGATTCCATAGTCGACAATACTAGAGAGTACATTGAAATACTCGTTTGTTTGCTTCCAATCCAGCTGCTGTTCTCTTGAAGACACACGGGCCTTTATGTATATAGCAGGAACTCCATCGCCGACACCAACCTTCATGTTCTGGATATACTCCTTGAATGAAGGTTGATTCAGCCGCAGGATTTCCTTATATTTCAGGTTGCCTACTCTGGAAACTGTGACATGCGGGCTAGTTTGAGCCAGCACATTCCTGTATAATGGCTGCTTTCCAATTGCTGACTTGCATATTTGGAGTAGCATTTTAATGAGCTTGGGTTGCTTGGCTCTTATTGCTGTTGAAACTGGCCCAGAAAGCCAGTTGTGCAGCATATTAATCGTGCTTGGTGTTGCTCTGTTAGCCAAATCCAATATCTGCTGCTCAATCTCAGTACTGATTACTTCCAAAGATCCTCTTTCGATTTTACATAGGAGGTCCTGTGTATCTTGGCGCACCCAGTTCCAGTACGAGTCAAATACACGAGCCTTCTTGCGATCAAATACTCCCCTGATTCCTCCAATAAACTCTTCACCAAGCTCGCTCACGATGTCATTGATTTGCCTTTGAAGAGATGTGCTCTGGTAGGTGGATACTTCGTAGTAGCGCTGACCATCCCGTAGGTCAACTCCTAGATAATTTGCAAGGGCAGTCATCTGGCATTTGGCTAATTTGTTCAGCGCAGTCTTTGACTCTGCAAACTCGGCACTATTGATGATGATTTTTGTATGTGGACTTCCTGGTCCGTTACTTTTAGCGCTACCAGCCAGGCTATATGAAATTCCAGCTTTCCTTTCATATTCTTTTGATACTCTGTCAACCCATGCGCTTGCCTCTTTCTCACTGGTTAGTCTCTCTTTTGGTTCCATTGTCACCGCAACTAGAAACACGCCATCTTGACGGCACACTTCCAAACCGTATTGCTGATTCAGAATATCTCGAATTCTGGAGACTGTGTAAGATCCAGGCAATTTTGACGCTAGCATCTTCCCCAGAACGGTTTGCGTATGAGGTCCGAGCTTCCGAGAAAACGACGACACTATATCTGCCAGCTCTGCTAGCGGGAGGTCGTCTGCTTTGTCGGGAATATCATCGCCAAACTCCTTTTGTAAATCTCCTAGGATCTCGTTCTGCAAAGTTGACTTTCCGCCTGACAGCTCCTTGATGGATTTTGCCGTCGATACTTCGCTTAGCTGCCTCTTTAGCTTGTGGCAGATGATTGCATGTATCACCTCCAGTGAAGTTATGGGCATGTCTGGTATAAGATGTCTGGCTGTAGATGAATCTGCGACAGGCCCAATGTTGGGGGTAGTGAAAGTTTCTACTGTGGATTCCACATTAGTTTCTGGCTCAACAAGACAAGCAGAGGTGTCTACCTGGGACTCTGGATCCCGGTGATTGTAGTATACCTCATCATGGTCTTCGGTATAGCAAAGTACATCAACCTCATTATTCCAGGATGATTCCCCAAGTATACCGCTTTTGATGCGGAGAGTGTCTCGAGCCATTCCGCATAGAATGGGTGTGGGGCCGATCTCAATATACCTTTCTACCTTTATCTCAGTAAACACTGTGTCTTGCGTCTCTATCCAGCGGACAGGTAATGCGAATTGATAAGCAAGCAGTTCAATAAGGAGAGTACGGGCAAGCCGCCTAGATTCACCTGCTTTCTTTGCATATTCTGGGTTCCAACTCTGTAGCTCTTTTAAGAGAATTGTTGATGCTGTCAGCTGGTAAGACGTCTCAAAGTATGACTGGCTAACCCTAAATGGTTTACCAGTGATATTTGGAATGTACTTTCCGCAGAGTGATGTGCATCTAACTGCCTCGATCGGCAGTTTCTCAAGTAGAATATTGCGATAAGAGTTCACGCTATTCAGCAATACTGAGGAATGGAATGGAATATCGATGTTATCAAGCGGGATTGTTGAAATGCCCTTCGATACACAGGTATCAAAATTGTCTTTGAACGACCCTGACTGTCCAGCCAACGCGCCATACACTACGCCTCTTATTTTTCTATCCATATCCGTCAGACTGGCATAATTCTCTATTGCAAGCTTGTCTAGTACATTGCTCAGAGTTCCAAGTAGCCTGCGTTCTCCTGCTACTACATATTGCTTGGATTCTACATTAAAGTTGACCACCTCAAGCAGCCCATTGCCAGTAGTATAGACCATCTCAACTGTTTTGAGTAGCTGGTCTGCACCAAAGTCCGGATGTATCTTTCTTGGATTCACTGCCATCATCCCGTATGGAGAACGGTCCTGGCTATCTCGCTCAATGGAAGATTGCATCAACAATCCACGATAGAATGCAATATCAAGTACTGCTTCAACAGAGAAAATATTTGGCAAGGAGGCCAGCGCGCTATACTCGCCAAAAGAATGGCCAGCATAGCATGCGTTAGAGGAAATTACACCTTGTTCACGCATGTCAGCAATAGCTGCCATCTCAAAAACACACAGAATTGGCTGCGTGAACTGAGTTGAATGGAGTAGGCCATTTGGGGATGTGAACGTGAATGACTGAGCGTCTGCTCGGACTGTTGGGAAGATCGACGATGGATAACGGTGTCTCTGAGATCTAGACGCCATACTCATATAGTTTTGTCGTATGATATCTCCCCTAGTGCTATCAAACCTCACAGTCAGATCTAGAGGGTTGGCATTTGCAATGTGAAGTAGGGATATCCCATATGTGCTCAGCATGTGATTCTCGGCTCGGTCCCAGACTTTGCGCGCTGATTTTGATCTGTGATACAGATCCATACCCATTCCAACATGTTGGGATCCTTGGCCAGTAAATACATAACAGGTTGGCGGTTGGCGCACTTCCGATGTACCTTCAAGTACTTTACACTCGTTCTGATTGAATGTCTGGATATTCACTAGCATATTCCCGTCTTTCATCCCAACATGAGACAGTTCGGTTTTTAGGATGTCCCCGGGCAAGACGACATTGACAAAGTTGATGTCATATGATAATATCCTTTCTGGATGGCTGTCGGCAGCATAAATCTCCACAAACCTGCGTGTATTAGCACTGGTCCACATCCCGTGTGTAATTGTTCCAGGAAGGTTAGCACGGTCTGCAAAATAAGGGCTGGTGTGTATAGGATTATAATCACCAGATGCCTCAGCATAGGCCTTGTTTGACAATGGGGCCATCACTTCAGTGTGGGTTTCAGCATAGCCAGGGATTAGCGAATACCCACCAGTCTCAAAATAAATAGGCGAGCCAGCCTCCTTGCCATTTCTTTTCAGGTAGTCGATTACTGGGTTGTTACAGCTTGTGTTCCACTCAAAGTCAACATCGGCTATGTGCCTACACCTGCTGTGCGGTAGCTGCATGAAAACCTCCCCTGTGGTCTTGACATGTGAGTATGTACTTCTGTTTTTAAACTGGTATCTGGATTCCAGACAGAACCCGAGAACAGCACCTGACTTGAGAGTATCTGGCGATATGGAATCGCGCATTACAAACCATTCCTTCGACTGCAGGACAGCAACATCAATGTCTGTTTTCAAATCAACCTTGTAATATGGCTCTTGCACAAGCCGAAAGGTGTTTTCAAAATCTTCAAAGGTCCCGCGGTAAAAGAATGCAAAGGACAGCCCTGCTATGGGCTTTGACTCGCGGAAAACAGTGCCGCTAACTGCAACTCGCTTCCCAGTGTCTTCGATTGTAATCTCGGTTATTTTTGCACGGCAACTCAACTTGTCGCCGACCATTATTGGCTTCGAATCACCCAGTATCCGGAAGCCGTTTGACAAATGCACCAATTGCAATATATCTCCTCTGATAGACATGGGTAGGATGGCTGTGCATGTAATTTCAAAGCATGCGCGGCCGATAAAATCCATCGGTGCCTGGATTTTGCCATTATCTACATCAATGCCCATGCATCGTGATGACGTATTTTCAACTGCCTGACAAAATTGTAACACATCCTCTTTGGTTACTTCATACTTGTCAATGACGAGATCGTGTGTGATGTTAAACGAGTGGATGGTATCGAGTTCAGTGCTCAGATTATCGAACCACAGCTGCGCATAGAAATGCTTGACCCGGACATCATGGCCATCCATAGTCTGACTGATGGGCGCAAAGGGCGTAGATGGGTGGTATGAAAATAGTGTTTCGAGGGTACTTTTCCTATTTCTGGCTACGAAATGCATACCGAGATAGATGGTGTCGTGATCATCCTTGGATATGTGGATAACCGATTCCCCAGATGCACTGAATACTTCTAGCGAATTTGGGTGACCAGACCTAAGGCCAACCTTGGTAGTAGTGCTTGGGCGCGGCTGAAGTATACGCTGAATATAGTTCTCATGCAACATGCTGTTTACAACAAGAACCGGTGATGTGATTAAAGCACGTAGCCAGTTTGGATGTGGACCGGCAAGGTGTTCGAGCCATTCAGCTCTATCAGGCAGCAAAGTCTCGGTGTCAGTGAATGTAAACACCCATTCTGTGTCTGATTTTGAGGTAGAAACACCAGGGACTGATGTTTGGTATTGCCCACACGGGATCATAGACTCGACAACTGGCACATTCCTGCCATCTCCACCATATTGATCATGAAGTAGCTTCTGTATGTGCCCATCATATATGCTGTCCAGGATATCTTTGACCGATTCATCGGCTGATTGTGAATACCTTACAGCGACTGGGCCCTGAAGAATCAAAACACGCTGTGGGTCCTGATCAACAACTGCATCGAGGTCCTCCGACTGCCAGCACGAATCCTTCAAGCACCAGTACGCCAAATCCCCATCCAGCACTGGCACGAATGGGACTGGCTTCTGGCCCTTTCTCCGGAACAAGTGCATCAAGAACTGAGTATCACACACATGGAGCACCTGCGTTTTTGCCTGCGGGAAAAGTGAGAATATATGAACGATGATTTCCTGCGGATCGTCAAGCAGCGAGTAAGTGTAAATTTCTTGGGTCTGCTCGCAATTGGCAAACCGCTCCTCAATACGGTGCAGGAATTCACCAACAAGGTTCCTGTAGCTCTGGTGGATCCAGTGGTCATGGACATACATGAGCTCAACTAACCGGTCAATGACTTCAGCGTATGTCATTTCTTCAATATCGGCAGGTTGGCCGCTGGCCTTCTTTCCGAACCATGGTCTGTGCATATCGCTATTCAGACGGCGAATAATATAGTCCTTGTCTAGGCGCAGCTTTTCCAGTTGCTTTTCGCGCGGCAGAGAAAACACAGTGTCCTCAAGCTCCTTAATAAACAAGGCTGCGCGGTTGGCAATAACGTGGATAGACTCGCCAAACTCGGACTTGATAGTGATGACACCACCGGCTGACGACTTGAGCGACTGGTGCCATTCTGAGTCAGGGGTACCTTTTGCATCAATTATCAGCTGTTTGGCGCCGGGGCTGGCCAGGCTTTCCTTGGCAACAAGCATGCGTGAGCCAAGCAGAACCCCGTCGACTGGCATTTTACTATATCCAAATTTGTTGCTCCAGCTGCCTGAAATGAACGCAAAAGTATCTTCAACACCGCCCAGTCCTGACCCGACAATTAGCACGATGTTTCTGTGCCGTCGAATCTCTGCATAGGTCTCTAGAAGAGGCTGGTGCACATCTTCCAACGAGTGGTGTCCGCCAGCTCGCCCACCGGTCCACTGCAGTGCAACAGGGAAGCCAGGGTTCGCCTTGGAAATGGCAATTACCTGGCGAATGGTATATGCTGAGCTTGGTTTGAATGCAACAAAACGCAACCCAGCTGAGCGTATGGCTCGTATAATTTCGTTTGCGACATCCAGCGACGGGACACCAGCACCAATACAAAGGCTGTCAATCGGGTATCCGCGCCTGCGCAGCATTTGAACTGCTTGGTATTGGAACTGCCACTGCGATGGGTTGATATAGATGCAGTTCAGTGAGATTGCTTCGCCAGGAGTGATAGTGTTGATGATCTGATCTATCGTGGCTACTAATGATTCTTCGTTGATGTGGCCCCCGCCTGCCAGTTCCACATGATAGCCGGCGTTGATAACAGCGGAAACAAACTGGGAGTTAGCAGAGGTAGGCGTCATCCCAGCAACCATTATAGGTGGCTTTCCTAGCAGTCTGCTCATGCGTGTGGATATATGCAGTCGGCCATCATAGGCGGTACGGATCAGCGTTGGAGAGAATTCAGATACCCAGCTTCGCAAGCTGAATGATTTTAGAGCGGGCTGGTACATGTCGGACTTTACGCCTAGATATGAGCTTCCCTTGGTTAGTGCACCAAAACATATTACCGGGATCCCGTTTCCTTCCGTGTTTGTGGATGTCATTGATCCAAATCCACGGAGCCCACCTGGTCCAAAATCTATTATATGTGTTGTTCCAGGATGGGCAGTTGCTGTAGCCCAGTTAACGGGCAAAACGCACATCGACTTTAGCAGGTATTTTGTCAGATTCTGCTCACAACAGATGTCATGACCATCATCACCAGCCCGGACAGGGATCTGTAGGTCCTGCGCAGTGAGCAGCCATCCAGCTTTTTCCGCATATGCATACTGTATGTCGGTAATTGACTCAAGGATCTGGCAGTGATAGGGAGAGTCAATTGCCAGATAGCTGATATCTGCCACTGGCTTCCGCTTAGCAAATGGCACCTGTGACTGGTCAGTATGTGAGGACGCACACTGGGCTCGCAGCATTCGCACAAATCTAACTATGCTTGGTATTTGGCCAGAGACAACATGGCTGGTAGCAGTGTTTTGCAATGACAAATACACCTTGTCTTTTGGCGTACAGACTGTCAAATTAAAATCGTTGATGAGCTGTGACAGCTTGCACTTTGTTAGCTTTCCAACCGACACCATTTGGGTTGGCTTGCTGTTCTCATGATCTATGGCATCTTGAACGAGTCTTTTGCCGATCGGCAAGGATGGCACATACAAATCTGCATATGTTGCACACAGAACTAGCAACCCCAGCACCGACATGCAGTTTTTGGAATACTGGCCGTCAGTTTGTGATGCAGCCATCACAGCAGCCGTGGATATGCCTTGGCTGTGGCCAGCTGCAGCTGAAAATGATTTGGCAAATTCCCCAGGTGTCATCCTGAGGGTTTTGTAGGCGACAAGCAACTGCATCATCTGGATCAGCCCAACCATCGGGATACTCACCGGGCTAGAGAGCATGTACTGGATGCCGGGCATGGTTTCTGGGCGTGTGAGCCACGAAAGTGGATCGAGTCCATATTTGTACCATCTACTGAATTCGGGATCAGATGATGCTGAGGCAAGGAACCCTGACATTTCCTGGACAAAACAATAGACAATCGGGCGGTACATGTCGAATACCTGTTGCGCCTCGTCCATGTATGCCTTGGTAGCTATTTGACCGCCAAAGATCGCCAGCAGTTTGATTTTCGGATCAGAAAACAGTGCTGGACGTGTGACGGGGGGGTACGCAGGAGCGGCTGCATGGTAGGCACGTATGATTGCATGTGATTGCTCTGCGGATAGCCCCAAATCGGCGACGGCCACATGGACATCTTTTCCACCCAAGAACTGCTCGGTAAATGCTGCAAGAAGAGCGGTAGCTGGGGGTTCAGGGATGCGTGTGGCACAGAACTCGAGGAATTGTGCGACAAGCTCAATTGGTGTCGGTGGCGCAGATTGCTGCTGTGAGTGACGCTCGGTAAATTCATTTGCAACGGAATCAAGATGTATCTTAACTTCAGCAGGAACATCAATGGTAGCGCAGACGCAGCCTCTAGTTTTCAGTTCTAGCAAAGCCATTATATGGATAGACCAATATGTAGCAAAATGTAAGCAGGGTGTGACAGTGCGGTGAAGAACAAGTTGAAGATAGCAGGTAGCCAATAAATATGCGATAGAGCAGTAGATACGGTGATGGCCTTAATTGAATGGAGACCAAGTGGTGGACATGTATATGTAGGCAAAATAAGCCAGGTATGCGGGAGAGGCGCTCTCAATGGTATTTTCGCCTGAGCACGCAGAAATTCAACTGAACAATGGCTAAGTGACAAGTAAATCAAATAGAGATTGACTTGCGGGCAGCCACCAGGTCTATTGGCAAAGAGAGGACATCGCCACCAAAGGCATTGACAATATCGATTGCTAGTGAAGCCAGCCAATGCACTGTACGCAGCAGCGAAAAGGCAGAGGTGGGTGTTGGAATGACAGCATGAACGCACTAAATGGAAAGTGGCCGGCGCAAATGTGAAGCAGAGCCTTGCAGGAGGTTATCAGCATGCAAAATGATTTCACATGCTCTTCACCTGAAAGTCAAGAGGTTTTTGAGACGCAAGATAAACGGAAATTAAGAGCTTTTTACTTGGCAATAGCAGCCTTGCGGGCACCAATGAGCAGCAGCAGCTTGATGGTGTATGAGAAGAGGGCCTCCTTGGACATGAACAGCAGCGAGGCAGTGAGCACCGACTGCAGCAGCTTGCTCTCAATGCCCTTGTAGAGGCCAGCAATGCCCTCGTGCTTGATGACCTTGCGCAGGCCGTCCATCAGCGAGTCGTAGCGCTCGTTCTCGTTCTTGGACTGCTTGAGCTGCATGCGCGACTTGACCAGAATGTACGGGTACGTGACCGAGGTGGCAGCCAGCTTGGAGACAGCGCCGAGCAGGAAGAAATCCATATTGCCCAGCTTGCGGAAGGACTCAACCTTGTTTTTGAGCTGCTCAAAGGCAGTGTACTGGATGATCGGGTTGATGACCAGGATGAGCGCGGGGATAATTCCTTGCCACAGCGACAAGACGCCGTCCTCGCGGATGATCTCGGCAAACGTCGACAGAGTGGTCGGAGCAGCCTCGGCGCCCTCGACATCGGCCTGCTTCTTCTGCTTGACAGTGAGGCGGGTGTTCACGACCCAGATCGGGTTGGTGATGATGCAGGTCATGGCGCCGGCAACTGCGCCCGAGATCATGCTCTCGACGGTCGTCATGCTCTTGCGTTGCGAGGCGCGCTCAAAGGCAGCCTTAACCGCCTCAAAGAAATAGTAGTAAACGCCGTTGGTGAGCGCAGCACCAAAGATGGCGGACTCGAGGCCCGAGAACAGGCCTGAAATACCCTCCTGCGAGAAGATCTTGACCAGGGCGTCGATGTTGCCGCTGTATGCCGAAGCGTCCTTGTTGTTGCGCTGGACCTGCAGGCGCGTACCGACAGTGATCAGCGGGTAGGTCAGAGCCATCGAGATGATGCCACCACCAGCACCGGAAAGAGCGTGAGCAACGTTGTCGGACATCGGAGAAATAGAGTTGTAGAAAAAGTGTAAACAAGGACGTGGAGCAAATATACAACGAAGAGGCAAAGGTGGATGAGAAATGAAGTAAAGCACAGTCGAAGGGGAGAGGCGGAGGCAGCTTTTTATTTCAGCCGGGCTAGCATGGAGACTGCTGATAGCGATGGAGGGAAAATGCATGTGCTTCTTTAGCCCAGCGCATAAAAAGGCCGGAAATGGCACACGGGACACGCGCCCGGCTGTTGACGAAGCACCGGGCGCTATCTCGTGAAACCCCTCTCCGCTCCAAGGAGATGATCCCAGAGCCAGGTTTCCGCTCGCGGTCTCGGCGTCGGGAGCGCAAGGTCGCCCGCGCACTAGCCTGAATTTCCATATTTGGACGACCGTGAGCCCATGGCACAGCCGGACTTCCTGGGTGCGCTCCACGGCCTGTGCGCCGGCAAGCTCCGAGAGTCCCAAGACAAGTCTGGCCCAGCCATGTGATCTGATCTTGAAATGCGATCACCGGCCACGGATCAATACCATTATTGGAATCAGGCCATCAAGAAAAAAAAAGCTGACCGATCGAGTTTATCTTCCCTGTCACCAATTCGCCCTTGCACCTACACATTCACAAAAAACAAATACAAAAATGCTCCGTTCTCTCTTTGGAAAGCAGACGCTGCAGCGCGCTTCACTTGCTGCCCGTTACATCGCGACGTCCGGCAAGCAGACAACTGCAGCAGCGGCAACGTACATTACGCCTGAGCCGCAATTCCCGCAGCCCCTGGCCAAGCCTGAGGAGAAACGGCCGAACGTGATGAAGGTGATTGAGCGTGAGTCGGTGGCGCGCGCGGACCGTGACGGGCGGTCCGAGCTGTTCCGGAGACGTGTGGCGCCCAAGGACCGGCTGTGCGCGGGTGACGTGGTGTTTGTCGAGACGCAGAACAGCATGTCCGATCCGTCGCTGACGTCGAATTTTACAGGCGTGTGCATTGGCATCTACCGGCGCGGCATCGACACGTCATTCATTCTGCGTAATGTGGTCAACAAGGTGGGCGTGGAGATGCGGTTCATGGCGTACTCGCCGCTAGTGAAGCGGATCGAGATCCTGCAGAAGGGTGAGGGATTCAGAAGGGCGAAGCTGTTTTACCTGCGCGAGAACCCCGGAAAGACGTTCCAGCTAAAGGCGCTCAAGAAGATGGCACAGTCGGCTGCCGCGGCCAAGAAGCATTAAAAGTGAATAAATAAACACTGTTGGTAGTAGCTTTTGCGACACGCTGTTGTCAATAACTTCCATTATCTGAAGGAGCCGTAGCTGGGCAAAACACGAGAGGTTTGAGTTACTGCCGCTTGAATATTGTGGATTTTTCTGGGGCCCAACGGGTGCGTCACACATGTTGCTAGCTCAGAGGCTGTTTTAAAGCAAGGCTCGCACAAGCTTCGGCTTTGGCGCACGCCAGCCATGCATAGAGCCTCATCGTCTGCCGCTCCTTTGTTCGCAACACGTCTCTTCTCTCTTTGGTTTTTCACTTTTCCCTTTCTTTACTCACGCTGAATTTCGCCTCCCCCTTTCTTCCTCTTATTTTCTGCTCATCTTACTACAGTCATGAGCGTAGATGACACGCAGGTGAAGCGACGCTCCGGCAAGGAGTCTCCGGACACGGCAGCGCAGCACCAGGCTGGCGGAGCCCTGAAGAGCTCCAGGACGGCGAAGACGCCAGTAAGCTCGTTTGTGCGGCACTCGCCCAAGTATGCATTCGCGGCGACAGTGCTTCTGTCGTTTGTGACGCGGTACTGGCAGATCTGGGATCCAGCGCAGGTGGTGTTTGACGAGGTTCACTTTGGCAAGTTTGCCAGCTACTATCTGCGGCGCGAGTACTACTTTGACGTGCACCCGCCGCTGGCCAAGATGCTAATTGCGCTGGGTGGGTGGCTGGTTGGGTACGACGGGCATTTCTTGTTTGAGAAGATCGGCATGGACTACGTGTCGAACGGTGTGCCGTACATTATGCTGCGCGGGTGGGTGGCTCTGTTTGGGTTTGCGCTGCCTCCGCTGGTGTACATGATCATGGCGGAATCTGGGTACTCTGTTGCAGCGTCGTTCTTGGCAGCGCTGCTGGTGACGTTTGACAACGCGCTGGTGACGCAGGGCCGGCTGATTCTGCTGGACAACATCATGATCTTCTTTATGCTGGCAGCCGTGTACTCGTACATCAAGTTCTTCAAGCTGCGGTACAAGGCATTTGGTGTGCAGTGGTGGACGTGGCTGCTGAGCACTGGGGCCATGCTGGGCTGCGTTGTTTCGTGCAAGCTGGTGGGACTGTTCACCATTACGCTTATTGGCATCGGCGTGCTGTACGACCTGTGGCGAATCATCGACATCCGCCGGGGCACGACCATGACCGAGTTCTACAAGCACTTCGTTGCCCGTGCTGTCGGTCTGATTGTGGTGCCGTTCATGCTGTACCTGGGCTTCTTCGCTGTGCACTTTGCGGTGCTGACACATACGGGACCGGGCGACGCTTACCACACGGCCAAGTTCCAGAAGCAACTGATTGACAACCCCTTGACCAAATCGTCGTTTGACGTACACTATGGCGACGCGATCGCGTTCAAGCACCGGCAGACGGGTGTGTTTTTGTACTCTGACGAGTCGCGGTACCCGCTGCGGTACGAGGACCAGCGTGTCAGCAGCCAGGGCCAGCAGGTGACGGGCGCCAAGGAGGTGTCAGACAATACGTACTGGATCTTCAAGCCGACACGTGACGGAGAAGAGTTTGCAGAGTTCTTTGCGAAGCGCCAGAGCGGGGCCGAGATTCCGGCCGAGGAGATGGCCAAATGGGCAGTGCGCAACAACGATGTGGTGCAGATGCAGCATATCCAGACGAACAAGGTACTGCGCACCCATGATGTCGCGTCGCCGCTGACGCCGACCAACATGGAATTCACGTGCATTCTGCAAAACGATACTGCTGCGGTGGATGATACGCTGTGGCAGGTCAAGGTGGAAGATGCCGACGAGGATGATGTGGTTCAGACAACGTCGTCGTTCCTGCGCATCGTGAGCCAGAAGCACAAAGTGGCAATGTGGACGCACTCGAAGAAGCTGCCCGAGTGGGGACGCAAGCACCAGGAGATCAACGGCAACAAGAAGGACCAGGAGAAGACCAACCTGTGGGTGGTCTCGGAGATCAGGGGCAGGAAGCCCAGCGAGCAGGAGAAGACCGAGATGCTGGCGCAGATCGAGCCGATGGGCTTTGTGGCCAAGTATGTGGAACTGCAGAGCCTGATGATCAAGCACAACAACGCGCTGACATCTGTGCATCCGTTCCAGTCGACGCCCATCTCGTGGCCGCTGCTGCTGCGTGGCATCTCATTCTGGACCAACAACGAGGGTCGCAAGCAGATCTACCTGCTGGGTAACCCAGTCGGGTGGTGGGCCTCGGACGCGGCGCTGTTTGCGTATGTGCTCTCGATGGTGATGATTGCGCTGTGTGAGCGGCGCAACATCGACGTCATTGACGGTGTGGTGCAGCGGCATATGTTCCGGTCAACCGGATTCCTGGCGCTGGCGTGGTTTGTGCACTACTTCCCGTTTTTCCTGATGGGCCGGTCGCTGTTCCTGCACCACTACCTACCCGCGTCGATCTTCGCGTACATGGTGCTGGCGGCATGCTATCAGTTTTTCATGTTCCCCGAGTACCAGCGCTTCACGCTGCGCAGATGGAACGACAAGGCGAGGGCGCTCATTCCGAGCGCCGGGGCAGGCATTGTGCTCGCAGTCATTTCAGTGGTGCAAGTTGCGGTGTTTTTGTTCTTTGCACCGGTGAGCTACGGCAACGCCGGGCTGACGCCCGAGCAGATTAACGCCAGAAGATGGCTGAGCGGATACGACCTCCATTTCCAAAAGTAGTCATGGTAGATTCAAAATGTTTATTGGAAAAAGACAACGTTTACTTTTCAAGCTCGACGTAGTTGGCAGGGAACAGCCCGTACTGGCCCTTGGAGTTGGCGCCCTCCCACCACTCGTCCGAGGGGAACTCAATGTGTGTGATGACTTCATCGGCGCTGAACGACAGCTCGCCCTCCTCTGCTGCCTCGTAGTCGTACAGAGCGGTTGCGTAGTGCTCACCCAGGTCCATGGGCTCGGGGTGCGCTGGTGCTGGCGGCGCTGGCGGAGCAGGAGGGGCTGCAGGAGCGCGGGGCGGCAGGGCAGGCGGGGGAGGAGCCGAGGGTTCGGCGTTGCGGGGCGGCAGGGCCGGTGGCGCTGGGCCAGCAAGCGCACAGAGCGGCGGCAGATCGACAGGAGCGCTGCGGGGCGGCAAAACAGGAGCTGGTGGTGGAGGAGCCATCGGCGGAGGAGCAGGAGCTGGTGGTGGTGGGGCCATTGGGGGAGGGGCAGGAGCTGCAGATGGCGCTGGTGGAGGGAGAGGAGCGGGCGCGGCAGGAGCGGGCGCCGGTGGAGCCATTGGTGGGGGAACCGGGACAGGCAGAAACACTGGTGGGGGAACCGGGGGAGGCGGAACCATTGGGGGAGGGGGAGGCGGAGCCATCGGGGGAGGAGCCGGGGCTGCTGGCGGAGGAGCTGGTGCGCGCGGAGCCATTGGCGGAGCAGGAGGAACCTGCGGGGCGACGGGCTTGGACTCGATGAGTTCTACAAAGTTTGCTGGGAAAATGCCCTGGCGTGACCCGTCCTGGCTTTCGCCGGCCCACCATCCGGGATCCAGCTGCTCGACATTGATGATGACGTCGCCTTCGGCGAAGCTCAGCTCGTTGTCTTCTTCTGCTTGGTAGTCGTAGAGGGCACGGGCCATCAAAGCCTCCGCCTGCTTTTCTCCGGCAACTTGCTGCTGGCGCTCTTCTTCCGCCTGCTGACGACGGCGGTCTTCCTCCTCCTTCTGCTGCTGGTGACGGCGGTCTTCCTCCTCTTTCTGCTGCTGGCGACGGCGGTCTTCCTCCTCTTTCTGCTGCTGGCGTTTGCGAGACTCTTCCTCTTGCTGATGTCTACGCTCATCCTCCTGTTCCTGCTGCTGACGCCTGCGCCGCTCATCCTCTTCTTCTTGCTGACGCCTACGGTCCTCCTCTTGCTGCTGCTGCTGCTGCTTCCATGCAGGTACTGGCGCACTAGCCGGCTGCTGCGGTGAGTACGACCCTGACCTCGATCCACTGCGAGCTCTGCGAATGGCATCCAATTCATCCTTGCGCGCCTGGGCCTCAGCCTGCGCTGACGACTGGACCGAGCTGGCGCCCAGGTCTGAGTTTAGCAGCCGGCGGCTGCGCAGCATCTCCAGCTCGCTCTTGGTCTGGTCGGCCTGCGTAAAGGCAGCCGACGGCTCGTGTGCTGCAGCTGAGCCTGCAGAGGTGCCGCTGGCGCGCGATGCGGGTGTGGCACCACGCGACGGGCTGCTGAAGGCCGGCGACTCGCCGCGACTGCCTCGCCGCAGAGCCGCCAGCTCGGCCTGCCGCTCGTCCTGCTGCGCCTTGTATGCAGGCGCTGGGGGCACGGCGGACTCCTGCTGAGGCGACAGCGGCGGCGACTTCACCGCAGCCGAGCTGCCTGCACGTGGGCCAAAGAACGACGACACCGGGCGCCCGGCACCACCAAATAGCGGCTTGGACCCGCCAAGCGCGGGAGCCACCGCTGGGCTGCTGGCGGGCGGTGCGGGCTTGGCTGGCTTGGCTGGCTTCGCGGGTGTGGGCGGCGGCGGCGCCGTCCACTGGGCGCCCTTGGTGACGGCAGGTGCGCCATACGAGGCGCCCTTCCTGAAGGCAGCACCCACAGACGCAGGCTTGGCGGCTGGCGCCGGTGCCTGGCGCCGGGGGGTGGTGTGGTACGAGTACTGTGCGCCGGAGCTGCGCTCGACCTGGCTCATGATCTCATCGGGCTGCACGTCCTCCTCGGAGCGCGCGATGACTGCGACGTGGTAGCCGCCCAGCACCTGCTGCACCTCGCCGACCTGTGAGCCGACCAGGCCCTTGCGGAACACCGGCACTCCGCGCCCGCACCACGAAATGAACACGTACTTTTGCAGCTGTGTGTTCGGGTCCTGCACCCGCGCAAACGCATACTGGACCTTGCCGTCGTCGAACTCCTCTGCCAGTTCAGACAGGTCGCCGGCACCCTCGGCCTGCACGTTCAGCGCGTTACCGCCCCGGTCGAACCCGTAGACTGCCCAGGAAATGCTTGGGTCGTTGCCCAGAATCCGGTCGTGCGTGGAAGCTATCGCTGCGGCATGCGCAGACAAATCGAGATTGCTCATTTAGAAGAAGGCTGTAGCTAGTATAATGACAGATGAGCAGGAATAGAAACGAAGAATAAAAAGCGTGGAAGAGTTGAAGGCAGAGAAACAGCCCTGGAACCCGCTCCCCCGCCAAGCGCCCTGACATGATTTTTCGGCCCCTAAACTCGCACATCATACAAAGCTAAGTCCGCAAGGCGGGCATTGTTGGTTGCACTCGCGGCGCTCGTCGCTCCCTCTATGCAAGTGAACATCAAAGAGGCCGTAGGAGGCTGCTAGATGCCAAGAGCCAGCACACAGATCCCATTTGCCAAGATGCTGGTGGGGGGCACATGGACGGCGCTGCCGGTCGCAGCTAGCATGTAGGGTGCGGATGTACGGCTCCCTTGGGCGCCGATTCCACCAGCACTCTTGCATGATGGCCCTAAACCCACAGCGGGAAAATAGCCAGTGCTGTCGATGTCATGTCCGAGCCAGAGTAGTGCCAGTGCGTCCCCTTTTTGCCGACTGCAGGAGCAGCAATCTTTTCTTCTTTTTCCCATTCGCATTGCAGTTGTTTTTCAACCTCTACCTTTATCTAATTCCGGCCTGAGCTTTTCTTAATTCCAAGGGCATTACTCTACGCTGAAAAAGAAATGCCGCTTCTAGATGTGCGTGTTGCAATATACGCCTATGCGGCAGCCGACGCTGACGAGCTAAACCTGAACGAGGACGACGTCCTGTATATTATCAACAGCGACGACCCCGACTGGCTGCAGGCGAAGCGGAAACCAGTGCAAATTGACGACCCAGACGAGGTCGGGCTTGTGCCTGAGAACCACACCAAACCTGTAAGTACCCCTCAACTCTGCCTGCACCTCCCCCGTTTCTTCGCGGTAACGCAATAGTGGCACGCTTCTTCAATGGCTGGTAGCCCTAATGTGCCTTGAATTGCGGTCACCAGGCTTCGCTGCAAATGCGCAAAGGAGAGGCTGTGCCCATATGCTTTATAATGGCGATAGGGCCTGGACATTATGTTTTGGTTCTGGATTGCCCTATGAGCAAACTTTGCTGCCGTTTTGTCTTGCTCTTCAGCATACTGCTAATCTCCAGAGCCATTATGTAGCTCGACCCGATTGCGCGCGGTAAGGCATTGTATGACTACGAGCCGACGCAGGACGAGGAAACGACGCTTGCCGAAGACGAGGACATTGAGATCCTCGAGGAAGACGATCCGGACTGGTTCATGGCCAAGACCCGCGGTGGGTTCGGGTTTGTCCCTAAATCCTATGTTGAGGTACGGCTATAACAGACGTGATAGCCCATGCTGTTGTTGCTGCTGTTATCTGGATGAGACTTTTTGCACTAAGGGGATTTGTTTTGTTGTTCTATAATTAGGTTACTGGCGACATCTCACCCGCTTGGAATGGTGCGACGGACCATCAGCCCGACCCGGCTCGCAGCGCACCAGAGCCGGAACCGGAGACTGCTCAGGGAGCGGCGGCCCCTCCTCCGCTTCCCCCACCACCCTCTCCTCCACCAGCTCCACCTGTCCAGCAACCAAGTGAGAGTCCGCGGGCAGTTGTCGAGCCGCCCGCAGTGCAGGCTCCTCCGCCTCCACCACCTCCGCCTCCACCGCCTCCACCAGCGGCTACTGACACAGCACCACCGAAATCGCCTATTGCTCCTCAACTTGTATACCAGCAACCAGCGACAATCTCACACTTCAATGTAATCGAGGGCAAGAAGAAGAAGGGCCCCAAGGTGGTGCTGAGCATCAGCAATGACGCTTTGATAGTCGATGGCAACGACGATATGACCCCACCGAAGCGCTTCAACATGGCGGATGTCGCTCCATGCACAAGCAAGAAATCAGTTATCGGTATTGAAGTTGGCGGATACTCCCCTGCAGCGTTTGACTTTTTGTGCTCATCGAACGCAGAGGCCGAGCGCATTGCTGATGCCATCAATGCGGCGCGGCGCGGTATGTTTGTTGGAGAACGCACGCTTGAGTCACATGAGGAAGCTGCGCAGCCCCCGCGGCTTCCTCCCAAGGATGAGGTTCACCCGGCCAAGCCGGCTGCCACCTCCCCGCCACCAATCTCGCCAATGCCATTCCAGACACATGCTCAGGGCGCGCGCGAGAACGCCCTGGTTCTATACGACTTTGGTAGCGACGATCCAGAGGAGCTCGAGGTACGTGAGGGCGACAGAGTATTGGTGCTCGACAAGTCAGACCCCGAGTGGTGGCATGTGCAGCTGGACCCGCCCAACGGCAGAGCTGGCCTAGTACCCTCAAGCTATTTGGAGCTTTCAGACGATGAGGTAGCCGGGCCTGCCCAACCTGTCATCCCGCAGCTGCCTACGCGCACCGAGACTGTTCGGCGCGCTGCATCGCAGGTGCAGATGAGCAGCAGTGCATCCCCAGTTCAGCAGACCGCTCGGGACGTCCAAGCACCTCCCCTGCCCCCACCACCTGCGCTTGCATCCGAGCCGCCATCAACGGGCACCACCCTGCGGCGACAGAAGACCACTGATTCTGACAATGTGCCACTAAATGTGCTGCAGCGCCGCCAGGACTCGAGCCAGAAACCACTGCCTGGTCCCGATCCAAGCAAGGTGCGTACATGGACCGATCGATCGGGTGCATACACAGTGGATGCCCAGTTCCTGTCGTTTGACAGTGACGGGCGTGTGCATTTGCACAAGACCAATGGCGCGAAGATTGTGGTTTCTTTGGCCAAGTTCAGTGAGGAGGACCGCCGCTACGTCGATGGCGTGGCGATGCCTCAAAAGCCGGCCAAATCCATGACCGCCCGCCAGCGCCAGCAGGAGGAAGCAAAGCGCAATCCCGGAAAGCGGGTAATCAACTATGACTGGGACTGGTTTGACTTCTTCACGCTCAAAGGCGGAGTCAGCGCCGACAACGCACTAAAGTACGCTACGTCGTTTGTTGCCGATCGCTTGGACGATAAGTCCATTCCGGATATTACCGCACAGACCATGGAACAGCTGGGTGTCAAGCCCGATGACATCACGCGGCTTGTGCGTGCCTTCCGCATCCACCAGGGCTTGGCTGATGAAGGACCTAACCCGACATCTGATGATTTCTTCAGCCAGCTCGAAGGATCGAAATCGCCAGTGCAGCAGAAACCGCAGAGCCCAGTACCGTACCAGCCAACTACGCTAGAGCCCAAGAAACCAGCGACTAACAACCCGTGGGGCGTTGATTCGGAACTGGATCGCCGATTCCGAGCCAAGAGCCAGATTGAGGAGGACGAAGCATTTGCACGCCAACTTCAGAAAGAGGAGGAAGACATTGCGCGTGGCAAGAAGCCAGTCACCAAGAAGCAGGCGAATCCGTTTGCCTCGTTTGATTCGCCGTCCCCTACGGCCTCTGGAAGCCAGCGCCCGCAGCCAGCGCCCGCAGCCAATAAGCAGTCGCTGAACCTTGGTGCAGCCAACCGCAAGATACAGAGGACCCCGACCTCGGTTGTTGATCCAGCGCAGTTCCGCTCAACCCAGCAGATGCGAGCAACCAGCCCGGTTACTCCGACCAGTGCGGTTCCGGCACGGTCCTCGAATATCAACGCGCTTGACCAGGCGTTTGGGTCTGGTGCTCCGTCCCCCCGCAGCCCGCCGGCCCAGAAGGATGCGCCGCCAAGGCCACGGCCGTCGGCTAAGCCCCAGCACATCCAGCAACATCAGCAGCAGCTACAGCAACAGCCAAACATCTCTGCCAGCATGGCGCCACTAGTCGCCTCACCCGCCACCACTGCACCTGCCACCACAACGGCTGGTCTCGGCGGTCTGACCACCAACGCCATGGCTGCTGCTGCTGCCGCTGGCAACAACGCACAGGTCGAGAAGCTTGAGCAGATGGCGCGTGCCAAGGCCCAGGAACTGTCTGCGCAGGAGCTGCAGCTTAAGCAGCAGCAGGAGCAGATCCGCCAGCAAGCACTGTTTTTGCAGCAACAGCAGCAGCAGCTTTTGCAGGCACAGCAGACACAGAAAGTTGAGCTGCAGCTGAAGCAGCTGAAGGAGGAGCGCGAGAAGCTCGAGCAGAAGCGCCAGGCAGATGCGCTCAAGCAGCAGGTCGAGATGCTGAAGCAGCAGCAGGAGCAGCTGCTCAAGATGCAGCAGATGGCAACACAGGTGCGTGGCAATATTGCTGCTGCCAGCATGTCGCAGCCGGCGCTGTCGTCGACAATGAACCCCAGTATTGTAGCCCAGCAGCAGCAGCCAAAGCCGGTTATGCAGCAGCAGAGCTCGTTCATGAACCAGCCAGCGACTGTCTCGGCGTCCATGACAAACGTGAATGCTGTCCAGCAGCCCCAGCAACGCGCTATGCCGCTATCTGCCAGACTGCCTGCCCCGCTGGTCCCCACGCAGGCTGCAAAGCCAATGGTATCTCAGTCGCAAACCTCTCAGTTCCAGCAGTCGCAGAGCAACCAGTTCCAGCAGCAACCACAAACAGTGCAGTTCCAGCAGCAACAGCAACAGCAACAGGCACGGCAGGTGCAGCCGCAGTCTCAACAGTTCCAGAATACCCAGCACACGACAACTGTCCAGCGCCAGTTCACAGGTCTCAGCTCTGGGTCAGCCGTCAACCTCATGTCTGCCCCACACACGATCACCAGCAATCCTGCTGCCAGCTCATCTACTACAGGCCTGATCCCGCCCAACCCCGCTGGCATGTTCATGAACCAGGGACTCACAGGCTCCACACCCAACCTTGGTTCCTTTGCAAACAAGCCGTCTGTATCATCCATGGCTGGGTTCTCAAACATCAACGCAGCGCCTGGCCAAACCTTTAACCAGCCGCAGCAGATGAACCAGTTCAACCAGTTCTCGTCACTCCAACAGCGGCCGATGCAGAATACAACGTCACCTCTCGGCAACCAGTCTATGAACCCATCGTTTGGCCACTCAATGAGCCACTCAATCGGTGGCCCGATAGGCAACCAGGTGATGGCCCAGACCAAGTACGATATGTTCAAGAATGTCAGCCCACATGCGCCAAGCGTGTTCTCGGGCGCCTCGCAGCCCATGCAATCATCCAGCATGGTAACTTCGCAATTCAGCAGCACGACTACCATGGGCATGGGCGGTATGAACACATCACAGCCGATGGGCAGCCGGCCAGCAGGCCCGACTGGCGTATTTGCCATGGCCAACCCGACTATCAACCAGCAGCAGCCGAACATGCTCCAGAACCAGATGGTGAACCCTCAGCAACCGCAACAACAGTTCCAGCAACAGCAGATGTTTAACCAGAACCAGCAGCAGGGTTTCATGAACAACCAGAACATGACCAACCCTGGCGGATTCGGAACGCAGTGGCGGTAGATCCCCGAGCCGTTTCACTGGACCTGCACTGCTTGTAGCTGTTTTTCCTGTAAGCTATGCTCACATTTTTATAGCATCTCCGAATATATTATCATCCCTGGCACCTTGGATATGCTTGCCGGCCCGAGTACTTGTTAAACAGACCAAGCTCGGCGGACCGTCGCCACACAAGTTCTAATGAAATTTGTCCGTTCACTGTAATCCACGCCATGAGCTCCTGTTTGGCGACCACCTCTGGGTGCTCACCATTGTTCAGCCGCTGAACCATCCGTGACTGCTCGACGTTTGTGCACCCAACATTATACCCCCAGTCAATTAGCGCGCTCCATTGATTGTCATTTAGTGTTACATTAGTTGCCAGCACACGGTTCAAGCAGGCAGCATACCACCCCAGATCATCCACCAGCAGCTGCCCGGCATTCTCTTTGCCCAGTGGCACCTGGTACATAACATCTGCACACTCTGCTGATTGGCATTGATGTCCGTACCCTATAGTGAGCCTCCCAGATATAGAGGAATGCTGCGGCACCTCCACCAGCGGCTCGAACCGTTTGATTAATGTAATCCCAGCAGTGTTTGGGGCATGGCACGCGGTGCTCATTGATGGCCGGGTCTCGCTACAGTCTTTTGTCACGAATGTCGTACTGCCAGTCCTCATGTAATAGTCGGAGATGAAGCACCCGTCAGTGGTCTTGTCCCAGAGTACGACCCCGCGGATCGGTGTACCGGGCGTCTGGCAAACGAGCGCAAGGTCGGTGTTTATTCGGTATGTCCGGAGGACCTTGTACGAAGTGCTGGGACCGGCGCGGCAGTTGACGTTGTCGCTGCGCACGAGGTACCCGGTTATGATACATGATATGCCGATAAGTGCTATCAGTATGGAATGTAACCGCATGTAAAACTACACTGTACCGATTTGCAAGAGATAGCTAATGGAGATTTCGGTGGTGATAAGTGGGGTTTGAGTTATAAAAGGAAAATTGCCACAATGCGAGAGCTGTCTTCGTTTACCTTGGTATAGGATTTGGACAAGTTCCTGGAGTACGCTGTGGAGAAGGGAGGGGCCAAGTGGATACTGCGCTTTGTCTCATTTGGCTTGGCTACTGCCAATACTCGATGTAGCTATTGCCGCCTGGCCTTGTAAGAGAACAGTTTCAACGTTTTTGACTTGCAGCATTTAGAACGGCACGTTGGAAAATGTATTCAAAAGAAAATGCATTAATAGCCCCCCGAGATTCCTCAGGGTGCTAAACGAGAAATTCAAAGCCGGTGCTTACAAAACAAGCTCCTGCTTGTTCTTGAGCCGCAGGCGCTTCTTCTTGGCCAGCTTGTAGAGGTTGTTTGCGATACCTAGTCGTTTTTGACCCGGAAAGTGGTTAGTAGTAGCTATTTATACATGCATGGGGTTTGGCAAAATGATCAGGGGTTTAGGCAACCCATAGAGGCTTGATGAACTTACTGTAAAGGATGGGTGGCACGATTCTGGCATCCCACATGGTAGTGCAGACAAACGCAAGATAGCTGTGGGGTGCATACGGAACGGTAGAGAAGCACTCGAGCGTGCCGCACATGAGTCCAATACGGTTCAGTACGGAACTGACATACCGCGTGGCACTAGGAATCGACACCGATGCCTTCTTGTATCCCGACATTTTTGACGCCACCCAGAAGCTGAGGATATGCTGGATTGTGATGCCTTCAGATTTAAGCTCGTACGCGAGGCTCTGTGAGAACGTCTTGACGAACCCCTTGGTACCAGCATATACAGACAAAAACGGCATGCCCTTGAGGCACGTCCACGAGCCAATGTTAAGAATGCAGCCGTTCTTGCGCTGGCGCATCTGAGGGACCACGAAGCGTGTCATTTTCATCATGGTCACGATATTGACGTCGACCATCTGCTTGCACATGGTGGGGGACTCATCGACAAAGGTTACAGCCGCCGGATGGCAGACACCGACGTTGTTGACAAGGATACCGATGTCCTTGGACTTCACCATCTGCTCAATATGGTCCCACTGCTCTTTGGTGGTGCAGCTAAAATCAACAGCGTACGAGTCAACTTTGACGTTTTTGGCCACTATTTGGGTAGTCACAGCGTGAGGTGAGTGTGCCAATGCTTCTTTAGCTTGTACATACATAAAGTCACCACAATGTCCTCGCCTGTGTACTTACAGAGCTGATTGCGGACGCCATCAAGCTTGGACTGTGTGCGCGACAGCAGAACGAGGTTGTAGCCCTTATCTCCGAGCTGCAGGGCCAGCTCCTTTCCAATTCCGTCAGTGCACCCGGTGACCACTACAGAAGTGCAACAAACAATACGTCAGAAGGGATTGGCAATTCACTCAGAACACACTCCGCAAATGCCCGCACGGTGGGTCTTATCAGGGAGCACTTGGTATCACAACTTGCCTGCCCAATATCCCTTGTCGGCGCCAAAGCTTTCAACCTACAAATGCCGCAAATGATTTGTGACATGCCGTGGAGTGCCTGGAAACCATTGTGATACTTGTCGAAGATAATTACTTACTGGAATTGAGTCTCGGAACCACAGGTCGCACACAATGTCAATGATGCGAATTGCAAAATAAAGCACTGCGGCGCAGCCGGCTAGCACGCAGAACACCTGGAACGTGTTGAACAATTTGAAATGCCAAAGGGCATCCTCGTCAGCGGCGCTGGGTATGTAACCCAAAAATGGTTGCTCCATTGTCAAATATTGCTAGTATTTTTGGTGACTGGGAAGACAATACAATAATTTGGGCAAAGTAGGGTGGAATGAAAGGTGGTTGAGCAAACGACGAAAGGACCAGGCATACCATTTCAAGGGCTTAGGCCGACGGATGCCCAAGGAGCTAGCTGGCCTTGGCAACTGGTTAATGTTGCTACTGGGCCATTATATGAGGCGTGCATGCTTTTTATTAGGCCTTTTACGTGCCAAAAGGCTTTACTGTTCTGGGGAAACGCGGTGACGCAGTCGCCGTGTAAGAAAAAAAGCACTGGATCGGGACGATTTGCGAATATCCCGTTATGAGCCAGTCGGTTCCGCAGTGTGGAAATCAGCAGCGACTACCAGAAGCGGAATGAACCACATGACAAGGCTGACACCAGGGGTGGTCTATGCATGATTGCGCGGGGACCAGGAAGGGCGTGCATTATTATTTTCAAAAGGTGAGAACTGAAAAAGTACAGAGGGATATCAAGAAGAATAAACATCAATAATGTAGGAGGGAGCTGTCGGAGCCCATTTTGGCAGACGGGGGAGGATTGAGGCAGTAGGTGGTGACACCCAACGCGGTTTACACGCTGAAGTCAGCATCCTCGCTGCTGCCGTTTTAGCTTTTTCTACGCAAAGACATCGGAGAAGTCAATGTCTGCTAGCGTTTGGTAGAGCGACGACACCGCCTTCATGATTTGCCGAGAATTAGGGTAAAACACAAACCCCGTCTTGGGGCGGTTGTCGCCAATGTATCTGCGGAAGTCGAGCTCAATATCAGCCAGGTAGCCGTCGCGCTCTGCCGGTGACAGAGCGTCAAACGCGCGCCCCGTGTGGATATCAGAAACGCCAACGGATGGCGTACTAGACAGCCGCTGCTGCTTCTGCTGTTGAGTGCTAGGGGTGATATTGCTGTATGCGACAGAGCAAACCATGGTGCAAGCGATCGAGGAGAGGAAATAATAAAGGTGCAGAGGTTGAAAAAGCGGCTGCGGCTGGAGAGACAGAGCTAAGGGAAGCAAGTGGATTCTTGCGGTCTGAGCAAGTGGGCCGGGCTTTATAATGCAGCAGCCCACGAAAACTTTTTTTAGAACGGCATAAAAAAAAGAAGCTGCCTAATTTTATTGGCTGGCCTCTTTATCCTGCGGCGTTGTGGCTCATTTCCTCGACCCCCATCTGCGACAGCAGTGGGCTTGTTCTGGCACCAGCTCTCCCCTGAAGGCGGAAGGCGCCAGAACTAAAATTAGAGACAAGAGCGGCCAATTTCTCTTTGTCGCGAACCCACCCAACGAACAGGCCCAGCCTCACTAAATATGATCGTGCGAGCGGACCAAGAGATACTCATGGTTCCAAAGCTGGGTCGAACCCATCGCCTTTTTTGCTCCACGCAGGGCTCCCATGCTGGTCCTCTGCAGATCGCCTTGTAGATGGCGAGCCAGTATCTGTACCCTCTTATCATCACTGGGAGGTAATCCCTCAATGAAAACTATAATTCAATTCAGTAGATGATTTATAGAGAGCTTTGTCGACTCAGACTCGCCGTCGCTGCCAGACTGGGCATCGGCAGTGGGCGAAGGAGACAGAGAGTACGGTGTTGCAGACTGGAGTGTCGACGACTGGAACACGCCGGTGCGCAGATTGCTGCCGAGATCGCGGGCCGTTGAGCGCGAGCATGACACCGCAACCTCGAGCGAGTACTGGGCTGGGCTCAACTCGTAGGCAGACCCACTATCTGGTACGGCTGTCTCCCACCGCCCAGTGATTGGCACCTGTGAGTTGCCGCGTGGAATCGGAATGGTGCTGGCCTCGTTGCGGAAATCCCTGCTAAGGTGCCGGTAGTATGTATGCGAAGTGCGGTGCACCGGAGTCAACGCATGGGGATGATGCGCTGTCGCGGAGACAATTGGCGGCAACTCTATTTTTGGCTGCTGGTGATTCAGCAATGGTACTGGCAGCGGAGCGCTGCTGAAAATAAATGTGCTGGGCGCTGGGATCGAGGACAGGGCTGCTGGTGCTGCTGGTGTTGGAATTGAGCCGTGGAAGCGCTGTGGTGTTGCAAATGCCGGGCTCTGGTAGCGAGATGCTATCGGGCTGTTTGTGCTGCTTCCAGTCTTCTGCCGCTTTCTTGGCGTCTCATGTCCAGTGGCAAGCGCCATGGCCTCTTCGAGCCGTTTCCGCGTGCTGGGGTCCATCAGCTCCACATCAACGGTCCAGTAACTACCCTTTCCCCGCAGCTTGGCGCTCAACTCTGGTGGCAGCTGATGTCGCGGGATGCGCTGGAAGCACTGGTTAAGACTGAGGTTATGACGGATTGTGTTCTGCCAGCCAATATCTGGGCCATCGCATATCTTTGGGTACATCTCGTTGATGCTGTCGTATATTTCGCGCAGAGTCAGCTTCTGGTCCTCTGAACTCAGAATCGCCTGCGCAATCAGTGCAGTGTACGAGTATGGCGGACGCCGCCGCTTCTTTGCCATTCCAGCTACAAGCGCTGTGCCAGGGCTGTGGATTGGGCCAGCAGTGTGGTCATGCACCGTGGTGTTGGAGGCACTCATTTCAGAACGAGGAATTGCGTGTCGTGTGGAGAGATGATGGATTAGTTTTGAAAAGAACTGGAGATGGTATTGGTCCTGTAATTTTATCTTCAGCCGGCACTCCTCGATGCGGCTGTTGTTTGTGTTGCTAGTTGCGCTGCTAGCCTGCATCCTTGCGATGTTTACACAGGGTCACTGCCGTATATTTGCTCGAGAATGTGAAATAAAATAGTTGCGAAACGGGTTTGCTGGGAACCGTTGCGTGGACTAAATTAGCGCTTCTCTAGACTGTTTACTGCCTCGTCTGGACCAAAAACGGTGATACTCTTAGGGCCCATGTTTTTTTGTTTTTCTCATTTGTTTAGACCAGCAGAAACTCAGCTACGCATGCATCGCTTTTGACAAGCAGTAGAGCTAAAGGCAAGAATTACTGAAGTACTTGCAAGGCCTCTACGGAAGCATCCGCTGGCATGCATGGCAGCACTACATTTTTGCTATATCGCCCACCTGCTGCCAATGACAACGTACCTGTTATTATATACCATGTGGTCAATTGCAATAGTGCATCCCCAGCGGAGCATAATCAACTCAATGCTCATGGCCGGGTATACTAGGATCAAGCCAGCTGCCTGGCTCAGATACAATGACGTTTTGTTTAGTACACTACCACCCCTAGGTTTAAAACAATATTGCCCACCTACACAAAACCGAGGACTGCCTGCGGCTCGAGCAACAGAGCAAGGTCAAGTCGAACCTCGAGCGCTTCATGTACCGCACCCCGCACGACTCCTTGGGGAGCTGGAATTCCAAGACCATGTATTCGACCGAAAAGCGCTTTTGGTTCAGGCACCTGCCGTGGTTTCCAGGCCACGTCACGCCTATCTGTATTACTGCCCACGACGAGATTGCAAAAAATTATACCCGCGATGGCCAGATCGTCACCGTGCCGTTCCTGAAAACCCGCACTGCCGCCCACATCTATTAGCACCACCAACCCCTCATTTTGTAACTCTGCCATCACCATCTGTACCTAATATTCCCACTCCTCTTTCCTTACTGATAAACCCCTAGCCACTTTTATTGTTGTACATGTAGAAACTACAGGGGCTTGGTGCCAAAGTACCCTACAGCTAGACCGCATGTGCCATACTCGAGCCCCTTGCTCTTGGTGCTGAATACTGCTGCATTTATCTCTGCACCAGATTCCGGACGATGTTGAAACGCCATAGCACTTGTGACCATGTTTTCTACCTGCGCCATGTCCTTGGGCTTTGTGTTCTTGAAAACCACCTCGATAAACATGTATAAAGTTTGCATTCCCATTCTGCCTATCCCCCTGCCCCGCTATTGCACTCCACATCCGCGAGCGTGCCACCAGGCTTGGGTACGCAAAATACTTCCTTCAGCACCTTGTCACGATTCGGCATGTCGTGGAAATCCAGCCCCCAGCAGTAAATACCAAACAGGCTGCCCAGGAACACCAGTAGATCGTCTGCATTCCCTCGCACGTAATCCAATCTTCCGTCTTTTGCCCACTTTGTATCGCGCAATTTGTTTTTTTTTGCATAGCCAAGCCTCCCTTGGTTTAGATCAAATAGCACCACAGACGACGCAGAGCCGCAGTTCGTCTCATACTAGCACTGTAGATAGTATATGTTCATGCGCCTGGATCCTGCTGTCATATCCAGGAGCCTGTCACCTGGATTTGGAGCAATGTGTTTGATAAGCACTTCTTTGCTTTCAAAAGTTGGGTTGAATGGCGTGCTGGTGTGGGTAATCATATCTTTCTGCGATAGTGGAACATGGCTTATTCACTCCAGCCGTTTTCTGATGAACCACCCCACTATCAGCGAGTATCTGTGCCGTGTTGATCATCTGGTAACATGTTTGCAAAGGAGATAGATGAATAACCACGATAGTCAAAGGCTCAAAGAGTTGATATCTCTAGAATGGTGCGTGTGTCTGGAAGAGAGGTATAGACGGAGCGATACCAGGTGTATACAGCATAGTCCGCCCAGCGTGAGCATGCATATTTTTCGTGTTGATTACAGCGTATATTTATAGAGACTGAGACATACCTCTGCTGGCTTAGTGTACGAACAATACCATTCAGCTGACAAATGGACGCATTGCATTGGTGCACAGCTGTAGCACTGACACGCCATGTCTGCACCCTATTATCTTTTCACTGACAAGGCATTCTGCGTAATCAATATTGAGCATTTCCTGCTCAATTGCTATACAGATTGTACGTAATGTACTCGCCTCTCATTGTTGATATGAATTGTGATGTATTCATGGCTGCTTTTCAAATGTTCCTACCAATTAACTCAATGCATTATCACTGCATTCACAAGTATACACTGGGAACGTATATCCAACTTTCATGCTTGGATTGTGTGTAGTCTGCACAAGACCTATTTGCATATCGAGACATAGCACCAACTCGCTGCTAGCTGAATAAGCGCAGAGAGCAGTTTTGTCAGGTGGCAGCATTAATCTGTATCTCGACAATTTATTTTT